CACATTGCAGCATGCATGCACCGAGCAGGCACGCGCCCGACATGAGACGCCGTAGGGTCCGCATTCCCGACTCCCGTCTTCCGCTCCGTCTCCCGACCTCGGCATCTTCGAGCCCTCGCGTTACAGAATCAATGCGGGGTCCGTGTGGCGCCGCCACAGTCATATCCCGCTCGTCGTCAAAATGCCACTGCGGTGGAGCTCTTGACCCGCCCGTGATGAGATGCATCGGGCGGGCCGACGGTCGCTTCGTCGTCCTTGAGAGAACAATGCTTCTCCAGGTCTCTATGTTCCGCGCAGGCTTATTGGAACGCGTCCGCACGGTCTCGCAGATGGCATTAGCATTCAATAGTTGCAAAATTGGAGTCTTCGATTTAATCAGAGTCGATGCGGAGACTTTAATTTCATTTGAGCTATTGAGTGCGTATCGGATGCCTTGACCTGGCTTTTCCATTCCCAAAGCCGGTACACGGCATAGCCGGCTGTGCTCTACTTTGGCCCTTGAACCCTTATTTTCCCAGCTCTCGAAGCGCACCCTAAAGACCTTCACGATAGACCCCACCATTTTTGTAACGGACATCAATTTCCCTCATTGCCGCAGCCATCACACTTTCGTCTTGCGAATGTGCTGTCTTGATGTGATGTTGCAAATGGTCTTTGCGAACCGGTGCAACTAAGCAATCTTTCACTACGCATGGAAAGACCTCTCCAGAGTCACCGTGCACGCGGTGGATGTGTCGCTCGCAGTTGTATTTCCTGTTGAAGTCTTTTCCGCACTGGTAGCACCAATGGCGAGTTCCTGTGGCAGCGCATTCTGTGGCGGAGCTGTCAGCGGTACTGTTGGAAGACGCACTGCCGATTGTCTCGCTCCGGTGAATGTCGTACTCTGGTACGTACCATTCATGGTGGCGTTGTGGCCCAATCCCTACTTGCCGCCTTCCGTGAACCGGGTCAGCACCAACATTAAACGAGAACATTTGCCTGGAAGCCAGTGGCGGGACGAAAGCACCTTGAGCAGTGTTGGATCTGAAGAAGTCTTGTGTCCTTGTGCACGAGAGGATATAATCGGCTGACGTGGCGTTCAGGCCCCTATTGTCACAGCGCTTCAGTGGGATCTGCAATGGCAGTAAAAGCGGAGAATACGTGAGGACTTACGACCCTCTCTAAAAAGAATGGTGAGTGTCACCCAAGGGCGGACAAGCAGCGTGTGGGCGTAGGTGATGAACAACCGGAGCTCTGCTTGTTAGCTGCAATGGACATATACGAACGCATTGAGCACCATCGCTGACAAGGCTATTAAAGGGCCGAAGAGCACAGTCAAGGAAACGGGAGCAAAACTCCACGGCAAGGGGAGTAAAATCCCACGGCGAGGGGAGCAAAATTTCATTGCGAGGGGAGCAAAACTCCACGGCGACGGGAGCAATTTCAAGCCTGCTTCTCTCCATGGTAACACCAAGCGTTGCTGCGTGGCCGGCAATCCCTCCTCTTGGCGCACGCCTATGTGGATGAACCAATTGGCGAATGCCAGCTCTGCTCTATCTTCTGCCGGGAGTAGCGTGGATTATTTCGAGACATGGACCGTACGACGACGTTGCTCCCGGTTCTAGTCAACCCAGATGAAAGATTCCACCCGGGTCGTCCAGCGAATGGCGGTCAAAGCGATCGGGCGGCTTCACGGTCCCTGGACAACGCCTGGCGCTCGGGCGGGCTATTGTCACGGCGGTCTCATGACAGTCATTGTGACTGATCGACAAAGAGGACCCCGTCGTCTGGTACCACCCTTGTCAGTTGTGGAGACGACGCCGTTGATGGGGCGGGAGATGAACATGCCAAAGCAGGCGAGCGAGCCATCATGACTGCGGGGAAATGCGACTGGTCCATGGCATTATCCAATCCCCTTTCACTCCCATCCGGGTGGAGCGGGTCCTTTGAGGTGTTTTGGGCGGTCTGGGCGGTTAGTTGACACGTCTGGCTGACTTGCAGGTCGGAGGTGGAAACAAAATCAGCAAAAGCGAGCAAGCTCAACTCGAGCGGCAGCGCAGTTACGTGCGCCCATCGACGTTCAAATACCTACGCCGCATTTTTCAGCCTCGCTCGGATCCCCACTGCGCTCGGCGCCCTTGCCGTTGCGAAAGGCTGTATATGCCCCCAAGAAGGCGACCGCCGCCAGGCACACACCGAGCGCAGAGGCAACAGCGGGGCACAGCGCACATCCAGCCCCTGGGTGTACAATGTGCGGCGCACTTGCCTACTGAGGGCTAGTTTGCTCCCGAGCCGAACTCTCCTTGCCATCGAATGGACTCGGTACGGCTTGATCATAAGGCTTAATCTCCCATGCAACGCTCTCTTGGCGGGAGCAAAGCATAAAGCGGCATCGGAAAGTCGTCGCCAGGAATGAACACGCGTTACCTCCTCAATCGGACGGGAGCAATGGATGATGAAGGTGCAAGGGACCAAGCAGCGCCCAGCCTCGCCGCTATCTGCCTCGTTGCCTGCTTCGTCCACGCCCCGCCATGGCGCCACCCCGCCGGGCTTATCTGCGAGGTGCACGGGTCATCAATGCTGCCGCAAGACCGTGCCATTCGCGAGGAGGGCTTCTCGAAAGCAGCCTGATGAGAGCAGCGGGCTGGTTAGCGCTTGCTTCGCTGGTGGCTGGCCTGACATAGTGTCGCTCCCGCTCCCGCCTCTAGCCTGAGCCAATCTCATTGCTCCCTCGCATCCGGACGGCTTTTTGCGAGCAACACTCTGCCTGGACCCCGCCCAGACCCAGTGCGGTGCAGCAGAGCCGCCGACGACGATAACAACAACGACAACGTAGGCCATGCGTAGTCACGGCGGAGCGCCAAAACCTTCCGCCGGCATGTAATATGATTTCAGCCGCCAGCGTGCCTGGCTAGGTCCGCAGGGTGCTGCTCTCCTTTGGCTCGAGGCCGGTCTGCGGGACTCGTTGTGTGACGCAATTTGTGTAACGTTTCCTCAGTGTACCGATCACGGGGCGAACGGCTCCGGTGCATGGGTCACATCTCAATCGGACAATGGCCAATCACGATACTATTGCTTCACGGCGTGTAAAGGCAGTTGCGTAAGTTTATGCGTATGTTATAATGCTCCTATATTTGCAGGGGTCTTTAATAATAAATCATTAGATTCGATTTTCTGAAGGGTTCAGGGCATCACAAGCACCTATCAGTATGTACAAGAATTACGATAATCTCCAGTATGCACTACTACAGGCCAAAAAAAATATGAGAGCCTCCTGTAAGTAAGCAAGAGTGAAGTCGAGGTCCGCGGCAAACCGTCCATCAGCAAAATCCCCGGTTGCCAAGACCGATAGTCCGTTATTAACAGCATTTAATTGCTATTTGTGCCCACAAGGGTGAATTAACAGCACGAATGCTCCCACATTTTTACTCTGACTGCCTGGCTGATCACTTCCTGCTGCTGGCTGCAGGTGGGCGGTTTTTCCGGCGCAACCTTCACTAACGTTTCTAGACAAGCAACCACTTCGAGTCTCTTTGAAAAAAGAAGAAATTTCTATCACAGAAACTATGCATTGGAGCCTCTTTGCGTCAAAACCCCGCTCGCCCGCCACTCACCCACCCTTTTCCGGTTCATATTCACAAAGCGAAACGGAAGACAGTTTTTCAGGTGGAAGACAAACCCCATTCCACTCAGATATTGCAGTAAGCCGGTGATTGATTGACTGCTGGGCATTGTATTGAGTTAAAAAGGTGCGAGAGGGAGAAGGCCGAATTCAAAGATGGTAATGCGGATCCTATTGGCGAAGTGCATGATCATGTGATATGATCCATAAAAGCAGGTCGATTCTAATAACTAAATACAACACAAACTCCTTGCCGATTGTATAGAGCACTGGAAAGACATGTTGGTACTGTGTGCTTGGTATAACGTATTTCTTTCTGTTCCGCGCACCGGAATTGGGCGGAGCAAACCTCTCGCTTATTTAGTGTGTTCCTCATGTAGCTAGCACTGATCGTAACAACACATTACTACCAGTCAATAGAGTTTAGCAGGCCACTAGCCAACAGCACTATTTTACGAAGGCAGTCCGAACTGACAAGCAAACATCGAGCTGAGAGTCGAAGCGAGCTTGGAGAGTGTGGGGCTCCGCAGTGAATTGGGCCGAGAAAGACGAAGTTATGCTCGAAACAGACGAAGATCGTGTCGGTAGCTTCCGGATTTAGTGAGCACACCATCTTCCGACGCTCTCTTTGGAGTCCGGTGGGCTCTGTTTCATTTTCATTCGTGGACGTGTTTTAGGGGCATGGCCAAGACCCGGCCAAGAGGTCTCGTGTTAGAAGTGTTACCCCGCAGTCCCTGTTTTAGATCAAATCGTCGGAACAACTTCCAGCGAGATGAAGGCGGGCCGGTGACCAAGAGGTTGGCGTTTCATGGACGAAACAGTCAAGAGATGCACAGGTGCAAACACGCCACCAGATGAAAGGTACGCCATTATTGTTACGCAGCGCATTCCCTTTCAGACGAACGCATTAACTCACCTTCCATCTTCAACTATTTGTCGATCAATATAAGATCTACAGGAGAGCACTGTAGCCGAACACAAGCGAGCAGAATAGTAGGGATCAATGCGTTTAGGCAGACCATGTCATAGGTCGAGACTGCTGACGTCTGCTGTTTTCGGCAGTCGACTCGAAACAAACATGCCGGTCTTCGGCTACAACACCCCCGGCATACTTAACACCACCTCCGAAAGGCGCTTGAGCGCCAAGGCGGCTCTGTGTGTCATGTTTCTTGTCATTTTCTTGTCGCCTCATGGTTAATAGTTTGTTTCTACTTCAATTGGTGGGTCAATAACCCTGCACGAACGGCAGAGGTGCTCAACATCCGGCGGAGAACAGCCTCCGCATCATGCGGCGGAGTTTTATGTCCACCCCTTTCGAAGTTTATAAACAAGCCGCCTCCCACTTCTCCGGACCACGATCCAGCAAACCATACTCCTAAAACAAAAAGGCACCTCCACAATGACCCGGCTCTCCATCCTCCCGGCAGTCCTCGGACTCGCCTCCCTGGCCCAGGCCCAATGCGGCTCCGGCACCCCCGACGCCAGCGTCACGGGCTCCGGCAGCTCCTTCGTCGCCACAGCCGGCGGCAGCCAAGTGTACTCGGGCTCCTCGTACCTCACCGCCATCCAAACGGCCATCGACTCAGTCAGCAGCGGCGCACGCATCGCGGTCATCGCATCCGGCTCGATCGGCGCCAGCACCATCACTTTGGACTCGGGCAAAATCTTCGAAGGCTGCGGCACCATCGACGTCGCCAACAACGCGGGCAAAGGCGCCATCGAGTCCACCGGCACCACCGACGTGCAGATCCCGTACCTCAGCATGACCGGCGCGCCGTACTTCGGGCTGCGCTTCTCGGGGACCACCAACCTCGTCTTGGGAGAAATCACGATGAACCTCAGCGGCGGCATCGGCATCCGCTTCGACCGCGACGCCGCCGCCAACAAGAACGTCAAGATGGGCACGATCCGCGTGACCGGCGCCGGCAGCCACGCCGTCGAGACGTGGAACATCGACGGGCTGACGATCGACAGCGTCATTGCGCGCTCCTGCGGCGAGTGCGGGCTGTTGCTGCAGGCGACGACGAATGCGCAGGTGGGGCTGGTCGACGGCGACAGCGTCGGCGGCAGCACGGGCTACGCGACGCTGCGCTTTGCGAACCGGAACGGCCGCCTGTCGAGCGGCAGCTACGAGAAGAACGTCTTCATCGACCGCGTCGTGTCGCGCGGTGGTGGCCGCGGTGTGTTCTGCGTCTCGGAGTCCGGTGGTGCGGAGATCACGGAGATTGATTTGGCGGACAACGGCAACAACGCTATCCTGATCGAGAACTGCTATGGTGTGTCGATCCTGGGCGGTACCGTTGAGGGTGGTGGTGAGGTCCGTCTGGCGGCGCGTGACGAGTTTGAGAACAACCGCGACATCTCCATCACTGCGACTGTGAACGACAACACTGTTCGCGAGTCGCCGTGCGGCGAGAACATTAGCTGGAACCTGTCCGGTAATGCTGCGCAGAACATCTGCTAGGCGGTGTGTGCGGGGTGTTGTGTATATATTTGTTATCTGTATATGTTTTGGTCTCGGTGGAAAAGTAAATACTCATGTAAAAACTTGATCTTTTGAGGGCAACCTGAAGGCTTTCACGGTGACTGGGGTGTCTAATTTCGTCTTGTGGTAAAGATGAGTGAAGTCGCGGTTTGTTTGCTTGTGAATGCTGTTGGTTGTTTGATTCTGCCGTCGGCCTGCTCCCTAGCATCACTTCACATTCAATGACACTTGCACAGGCCAGCCGGGCGCTGCACTGAGGTAAACTGCTCTTTGATTCAATATCTTCACACCCGATGTTATGGCTGTTAGTCCTGCTAATAGTTTCAACATTGGATCTGGGGTATACTCTGGTGTTTTTGAGGTCTTATTATGTGGTGTTGCTTCGGGCATGGGCGGTCGGATGCTTCAGGCATCAAATGTAAGGCAGCACAGGGCGTTTTGTTTGTGCTGTTACCTTTGGAGTTGATTCTATTCTCATGGTGCCTTTTTTGGTTAATCCAGCCGAGCGGTGTTGCTTCAAGCACGGGTGGCAGATCACTACCCTGATCAGTGCCAAAGCCCCGCCCTTCCTCCAGGCAGGAATAGAAATGCGGCACAGTAAACATCAACGTTGCTGGGCTTCAAAGCGGCGCAGTACAGACTCTCGTAAGTTTCGCAAAAAGATGATTCCTTCTGCATCCGGCGGTAGGCGGACCACGTGGAGCGGAGTGATGACGAAAATATCCAAGGTGACATGTACATGTACTACCGTCTATACATATCAGTCCCGTCGCTCACGCTTCTCCCGTACCACCACTCCCTCTCCTTTCCTTCCAGCCAATGGCAACCCGAAACGAAGTTCTTCAGGCCTGCGCCGATCAGCCGCCCGAAGCAGTCCTCTCGCTCACACAAACATGCCCCGACCCGCCAACTGAAATGCAGATGGCCTACAAGGCAGCAGAGAACGGCAACTCCACCCTACTCCACTGGCTCCTCCACAACGCCACCACTCCCTTACCCCGCGGCACACTCCTCCTAGCCGCCGCCAGCGCTCTCTCCCAGCCCTGCATCCAAGCCGTCCTGGACCTCGGCCTCGACATCAACCTCGCCAACGACCCCGACCTCATCGCCAACGACCGCATCGGCGGCGTCATCCACCGCGCTCTACGCAGCCCCAACTGCACCGAAGCCTTCATCGCCTGGCTCCTCGAGCGCGGCGCCGATCCGAACGCCGTCGATGCTGGCTGGCAGCGGCATGTCTTAGTCTATGCCATGACCCACGGGCCCGACGGCTCCATGCCCATCGTGAAGCTGCTCATCGCCTACGGTGCGGATGTGAACCGTGCGAAGGCATTGCATTATGCCGCGTCGTGCAACGATATCGAGAAAGCGAGGTTTCTCGTGGAAGAGGCGGGCGCGAATGTCGACGAGCCGGGCGTGCCGGAGAAGGATTTCTACTGGGAACGAGGTCCTGGGACGCCGTTGCATACTGCGGTGGCGAGAGGCCACTCCAGAGTCGCTCATTATCTTTTGAAGAAAGGTGCTGACTTGGACGCTCGAGACGCGATAAAGGGGATGACACCGTTGGAGGTGGCTGAGGATCGTTGGGGGCCGCCAAGTATTCTATCCATCCTGAAGATTTGGCGTAAGAAGCGTCAGCGGGATGAAACTGGGGCGTAGTTCGAGAATGGAAAGCGCGGTGAAGCCGTCAAACCCGCAAAAACTGCCGGATTGGAAAAGAAAGTGCTATATAAAAATATTTTGACAGCGCATCTGCCACGTGCAACCATAGGTAGTCGTTTTCTCGGGAACAGACCGCCCGGATTACAGCCGATGTCAGGTACCAAGGGCCCACATGGGTGACGGTGATCCAGCGCGGTTGTTGATCCAGTGGCTTTGATCCGACCGGTTGGAGCCGGCTTCCCTACTGTAAGTAAAACACCCCCATTCGTTCCTCAGTGGAACGAGCCTACCGTTACATCATTCTTCGTACCTCAGTCTCAGTCTCCGTCAATCGAAGAAAGGCCGAACAGGCGCCGCCAGTCGCCCCAGCTGCACTCGTATTGCTACTTAGCGGCTCCGCCCGCTGTAACGCATGGTGTACCAACTACACCGATGTTTGGCAGTCTTTCTGCGGTAGAATTTGGAGTCGTAAAGAAATGCATATCTGTAATGAAATAAGGCTTCTTAAATACTCTATTCAACATGCGTATGAAGCTTACTGTGCTATCTTGGCAAAATGTTAGTGTCGCACGCGCCAGTTGATCCGCGCGTAGAGATTTCTGCCCGATTTTTAGCATAAATTACGCTCTTGGCAACTGCTCACGCTCTGTGATAAGTGAAGGAGCTGACGTGCGAGAAACTTTGGTGTTTTGGCACACAAAAGAAGGTAGAAGCTCTGAGGCTCATACCCCCTGAGCTGTGCCACCATTCCAACATTAGTTTGCCCAGATAGCGTGTTCTGATTCGTTCGTATTCGTGACCTATTTTTAGGCGTGTGATGCTTATCCTTGGCGGCGAATCCTGCGGACCCGGTGGACCCGTAAAAGAAGGATCGCTTAACAATCTATAGTGGAGACGTCCGTATCGTTCATTATAAAGTTACGGATAAGTCGCGCCTCATCACACCAGAGATATTAAACCTCACCATCGCTTTCCTTGCACAACCGTTCGTTGTTTACTGTTTGCAATCCGTTAATACTTCACACAATGGCGGCTCAAAATTGGTTCCGTGCGGCAATCGTGTCGAGTGTCTGCCTCGGCCTCGCTTCCGCTGCTGGTAAGTTTCAGGAGTTCCTCTTTTCGACCACCCATTGATACTGACTGCCACAACAGACAGCTGTACCGGAACTACCACCGTCAGCAGCAAGGCCGACGCAACATCCCTGGCCAGCGCTTGCAAGACCTACTCGGGAACCGTCGCCGTCGCCACCGGAACCTCTGACGAGATCGACCTGGAAATCGAGAAGAGCTCCTTCGTCGTCGCCAACACGAAGCTCACATCGCTGGAGGGCGGCGCCGACGACGCCGTGCTAGAGAACATCAACGTGTCCTCCAACAGCGACCTCGAGGACATCACCTTCGAGGGCACGCACGCCAGCAACATCACCATCGGCGCCAACAGCGCCAAGGCCGAAATCTCCTTCCCGCACCTCAAGGAAGCCGTCGACATCGAGATCGCCAACGCCTCCTCCATCGACCTCGCCGCCCTCGAATCCCTGCCCCGCGGCGCGCTCCACATCTACGGCGGCGACCTGTCGAAGCTCGACCTCGCCGAGTTCCGCGAGGTCAGCGACGGCCTCATCCTCGAGGACCTGCCCAAGCTGACGGAGCTGTCGGCTCCGGAGTTCACGCGCATCATGGACCGCGGCGCGCTGACCATCAGCAACACCGGCCTGACCGAGCTGTCGCTGCCCAAGCTGCAGCTGGTCTTCTCCTCGCTGTACCTGTCGGGCGACTTCAAGACCGTCGACCTGCCGCTGCTGACGTCCGTCGGCGGCGACATCTACATGAAGGGCGCCAGCGACTTCGACTGCGATGCTTTCTCTAAGCAGTTCAAGGACATGGCTACCGACAACGGCAAGACGTTCAAGTGCGTGGCTGGCGACGACTCGGACGACTCGGATGCGCAGAGCGCGAAGCCGAGCACCTCGTCGACTTTCAGCTCCGCGTCGGCGTCGGGAAGCAGCAGCAGCAGCAGCAGCACTGCTTCTAGCACTGCCTCGGGCACTTCGTCGAGCGCTTCGTCGACCGGCACTGCTGCGAGCGCGTCGGGCTCCGCTACGCCGTCTGCTGCTGCGAACGACAACTCTTCTGCTGCAGCATTCAAGGTGGGTATGGCCACGCTTGGAGGTGTTTTCGGTCTTCTGTCTTTCTTGTTGTGTTAGAGTTTGTTCTGAGCGGCTACGACCAGTTTGAATTTGTACCTGTATTTTACGGCTAGAACACGTGTTTAGATTACCCTTATGTACATGTTGGAGGTTTCTAATAGAGCGAGGAGATCTGTTTATACCCTTGAAGTTGAAATACTTAATTCGTTTGATGCCTCTCGATTGACATGTGCTAAATGTGAGAATTAACGAGTCTTAATAACTGCTGCGTGTGGAAGGGTTGATGTCGTGTTGTTACGAACCCTAGAGTACAAGTGCCCACACGGGAGGAAGGCGAGTTATAGGAGAGAACGCAGAGAAAGGTGGTAAGAAAGGTGGACATTAATGGCTCGTGGGGGAAAACAGAGAAGAAGAGTGTATCCCCTGGCTAGCGTATACTAAGACGCCAGTACACGGGCTAATGACGTCTTCGTTAGTCTCTCGACGTAGAAAGTACAAAGCCAACTAAAATTTAACAAACTCTACGCTGACCGTGCAGGGTATGAGAAAAGCAAAAAGGATACGACTGTTGCCCCACGCGGGATCTACTTGAACCTGCATTATAAAAGAGATCGAGGACCCCTCAGTCCCGAAAAAAGCAAAAAAAATATGTTGTCATCCGACGCGGGACTCGAACCCGCAGCCTCCAGATGCCACGATCTTCAGAAGATAAGTAGAAGTCTGGCGCGCTACCATTCTATAACATTGTTAGTTTTCATTGTACTAGTGCGACAACGAGAAGTGATTGCTTACGCGCCAGCCGGACGAGATTATTGGTTGCCCAATCTTGCTTGGGATATCATTTGGACGCGAACATTATGCATTATATAGTGCAAAATTTTCTTGCCGACGTAGTGCCGACAAGCGTGGTTCCACCAAGCCATGGCGTATCATCTAATCTAAGATCGGTGTTTCGTAGGCACTCAACTGTTTCCGAAAAGCAATATGAAGAGAATTCGAGGCGAGAAGACACGAGAAATAAGGGCTTCCCGTCCGTACTTGAGCTGCGAGCCGGTCAATTTGTACGAAAAGTCTCGTCCGCCCGGGTGCGGTATTTGGCAGCGACCGGCGGCCGGGACTTTTGGTACAACCGTCCGTACGTTCTGCAATTTTCTTTTTTGGCTTACTGTTGTACAAGCCTTGCTTCCGGTTGAATTATATCACCTTCATCGAAGCTGACAGGCTCTCGTTATGCGGGGATGTAGCCCCGCCTTTTGCTGACACACATGACATCCGACACACTGTAGCCTCACCTTCAAGAATGTGATCTGATAGCCTACCTCGATCCGTCTCTTCCCGCTACTTTCCTCTCGTGCACTTCCGATGATCGAGACCACCGAAGCGTCCGAGTATTCAGCAATCTCACTCAACTTACTTGACTCATTGGCCAATGCGGGCTGTCTTTCGCTGAGCGAACAGTGAGAGCAACAGCGATGGAACCACCGGCCGAAGCCGAAACTGATCCACCGCGATCCACACCGAGGAACGCGTCATTCTTTTGCATCATGTGTCAAAAGTTATTCGCCAAGGAAAAGGTGGCATCCTATTTCGACCACTATACGACTTGGACGGCGCTGATTGAATCCGCCGCCTCCGGATGCATTCTTTGCAGCCAAATGATGAGTGCTTTACTGAAAGATAGGCAAGAAGAACTGCCGCCACGGTTGAAGGAAGATGCAGAGTTGAATGACGCGAAAATATTTTGTGTAATTGATGAACTACGTGAAAATGAATGTTGGAGACTTAAGGTTTTTGGAAATGCTAGGACTGGACTTCAACTAAGCTCCTTTTCCGAGCGTTCGTGTTTGCGATTCATTGTTCGTGAAACATCTGGTGAGTATATCTTACCCAGCACGATTTGAAATCCCGCATCTACAAGAAATCTTGATTTGCCAAATATACAGCATAACCTTACGTTCAAATTGGATGAAGCTAATTTCACATAGAACTTCAGGAATATCCGAGCTTGGCGGGTAACCCGATCGAAACAACAACACAGCGGACTGATAACGAAAAGACGTGGCAAACTATATCAAGATGGCTGTCGGACTGTTCATCCAATCATTCGAGCTGCAATTCGAGCAGCAATGAAGCTTTGTGGATGCCATCCGGGGTCATTGATGTATTGCCTAGCCAGAACTCAGACGTCAAAGAAGATCGAGTATGCCTAATCTCCACGAAGGACCTTTCTTCTCTTTGCAAATATGCAACACTTTCACATTGCTGGGGCGGGCAAGTACCAGTCCAACTCAAAAAAGAGACACGGGACCAATTGAGCAGCGGATATCTGGTCGACTCTCTTCCACGAACTTTTGCCGACGCGGTACGAATCACCAGGAGGATAGAGCTTAGATACGTGTGGATCGACTCCTTGTGCATCGAACAGGACTCAGAAGAAGACTGGAGGAAAGAGTCTCAGGCAATGCACCAAGTCTACAGCCATTCCTGGTGCAACATTGCCGCTTCTGCATCCAAGGATTCATCTGTTGGATGCTTCTTCGATTGGAACACCAAATTTGCTCAGCCATTCGAAGCAGATGTCTTTTGGATTGAGGACTCAGATCATGGGCCCAGATCCACAACGTTTGTGCCGCACATTTTCTTGAGAGAATATATGTGGTCCACCTACGTCTATGAAGAAGTATTGGAGCAGAGAGCCTGGGTCATGCAAGAACGCATACTGCCGGTTAGACAACTTAGCTTCACCAAAGCAGGCGTTTTTTGGGAGTGCAGATGTCTGCTCACCAACCCTTACCTTCCCGAAAATCTTCACGTCGGAGACGAACGGCATTTCTACCAAGACTTTTCCAAGAAACTGGAAGAACTTGCAACCAATCAGCCGTCAATGTCCAAATCTGGCCGTGAGTATGCCTTGATCACGCGTCATCGTGAAATACAGAAGATATACGGCGCATGGAACGAAATTCTCCAAGCCTACTCTAGAATGAAACTCACAAAGGCGACAGATCGGCTTGTTGCAATCTCCGGTCTGGCCAAAAAGATGCGGGAAGCAGTAGGCGATGAGTATCTTGCGGGCCTGTGGAAGAGCAGATTCTTCGTTCAGCTTTGCTGGAGGGTTGACTACTCCTCAGACGAGTTCTTCCATAGCCTTCGGAGACCACGCCCATTATTGGCACCAACTTGGAGCTGGGCGTCAACATTGCAGCCGATCGAGATATGGCCGGTGTCTGAAATCATTAGCCCTCTATCTGAGGTTTTAGAGGTCAATTTGCAGCATCCGACTGATGATTCTACCGGTGAAGTCATTGGAGGTTGCCTACGCCTACGCACCGTCCTTGAGCCAGTCGACCTGTCACAAAAGAAAACTATACCCGGAAGCCTATTTTCCCTCCAGTCGTGGATGATGCGTGCTTACGGGACTCTTGATGAAAAGTTCACTGAACAGGAGACTTGCGGAAAAACCTTTTGCATACCATTGTACTATGACAAATCCATCGAGATTATCTTCGGAATACTCTTGCGGTCGACATGCGGAGGACAGAGTGGATATGAAAGGATCGGTCATTGGACGTCTTATACTGTGAAGGATAGCTATATGACGATGGTAGAGTCTTGGATCAACGAGCTGCAAGACCTATCGGAGAAGGGAACTGCCCCGAGCTATCAGGATATCGTGATCTACTAGTCTATGGACAGTCAAAAACAGCCAGCGCTGTATTAGGTCTAAAGAGTCGTTTCTGTTTTACCATCAACGCGAACTGCTGAAATCAGAATATGCTAAGGGAGCTCTGGAGAGACAGATGGAGGCTTGATGTATACGTTTGATCCAAGTCGAATCAATTGATTTGAATCTCTATAATCCGGTTTACGGGACGATCAAGGATATCACGCTCTTTCGAACGAAAAGAAAGCAGAATACAGTCAAAGAACGGACGACAGCCACCGCCGTTAAGGACAAGCTCTTGCATAAAAGATAAACACAGAAAAAGACAGCTCCACAACCACTCCGGTTAGTGAATACCGCGGCCGTTGAGAAAACAGAAAAGAAGCATCCGTTTCAGGATGGATAATTGCGTGACTTCGCAAGGGGATATTTTTGCTGTCTTCCTCTTTCTTCATCGCATACACGCCAACACGTCACCGATCGCATACAGCAAACACCGCTTCGTGGCTGCTTTGCCACGTTCAACAGATCTCCGGATGGACGAAACCAGTGGCCAATCACCAAAAGCAAAGTCACTCAGAATCACGTAATTCTCACGCGAAAAAAAGCACTTAGAGCTCCTTCTTCCAGAAATGCTCAGGCGCGTGCGAGGTCTCGTAGTCGACGTGAACATAGCAGCGCTCGACGTCAGGCAAGCTCTCGAGCTTCGTCTGCAAGGCCTCAGCGACATCGTGGGTGTTGCGGAGGGTGTCGTCGGGGTTCATGACGATGTCGACCTCGACGATGAGGCGGGGGCCGGAGTGCCAGGCGCGGACGGTGTCGATGCCGGTGATGGCTGGCGAGTGGGTCATGGAGACGTAGGTGATGAGCTGCAGCATGCTCGTGTCGGCCGAGACGCCGATGAGCAGCTGGAACTCGGAGTAGGCGGTGCGCATCCACAAGAACGTAATGAGGCACGAGATGACGATGGCGCCGGCAGGGTCGATGAACCAGCGCAGCTTGGAGCCGCCGACCGACGTCAGCACGCCGAAGCCGTTGATGAACAGGTCGTTGCGGTGGTCCTCCCACAGGATGCGCACCTGGCTGTACTTGTTGCGCAGCGCCCAGCAGTACAGGAACAGCACGAACTTGGTGCCGAAGGCCGCCGCCACGGCGATGACGGACGGCAGGTGGAAGCTGCGCGTGTCCTCGCTGTGGCCCTCGGCCAGCTCGCGGCAGGCCATGACGATGATGATCAGAGAGACGGAGGTCATGAGGAAGCAGAAGAAGATGTTGCCGGCGGTTTCGATGCGGGCTTTGCCCGAAGGGAAACGGAGGGGATTGACGCGCTTGACGGCACGGTTAGCTAGGATGAGGGTGACGTTAGACATGGGATCGAAGATGGCATCGGCCATGGTGGTGAACAGCGACAGCGAGCCCGACGAGATGGCGCCATACAACTGCAGGCAGACAAGGCAGATGTTGGCGGCGAATGATCCCCAAACGGCAATCTTGAACTGCAGGTTGTCGGCGCCTTCTTCCTCTTTGGCCTGGCGGACATGCTCGGACACGGGCTTCAGCAGGCGCTCGATGTTCTCGTTCTGGTTCTCGTAGAAGGCCTCAATCTTGCGGGCGCGGTAGGCCTTCTTGTTGGTGACGAGCGGACCACAGCCATCGCGCTTGCGGGAGGTATTGGCACGGATCTGCTCGAGCTCATGGGCGGGCTTGATCTTATCGGCGAGGTTGAAGGGATCGTTGGCGCGGTCGTAGGAGGGCAGGGTGGGCTGGCGCTCGACGTCGGCGGTTTCGTTAGTGAAGCGCGAGGCGTTCCTATGCGACAGCGGATCCTGGCTCTGGCGCTCGGGAGGCGTCACAGGCTCGAATGCGGTACTGGTGCCGTTCTTGTTGTGGTTGGTGGGCTCGGGTGTACTCGGGTGGTCGACGGGCGTCAACGCGATGAATTCCGGCCTAGGAGATTCCGTCCGATCGGCTCGAGCGGCCTGGCTGGCCTGGGTCGGAAACGGATGCGGCCGCAGTGAGATCGAGTGGCGCAGATCGGATTCTGAATTCATGCTGCTAGTGTCGATGGTATTGATGGAGGTTGAAGATGGAGAGGGGTGAAAACTCCGCTCCCCCAGCCGAGTAACTAAACGCTTATCGCTGGCGCCGTGCCTCTTGTGTGCTCTGCGGCGGCGGGAGCTCGACAGCGAATCGGCCGCCCACGCGCCATGATTCCCCGCTGCTCAAGTCTAGCTGCTGCTGTGGCCCGGATGTCCATGCACTCCGGCGGTGAGCCCACCCCGGCGGCAGAATCTGAGCTCTCCCGAAACTTTTTTGGACCGCTGCGCAAAACACCAAAGTCCCGCGCCCGCAAAAATGGCTCCCCGCGACCTCGACGACGACTTCGTCCTGACCATTTCCGACAATGAGGACAACATCCCCGACCTCGACGGCGAGCCCGACCCCGAGCTTCCCTCCACGAACGCCAAGAAGCGCAAGCGCGACTCCGCCGCCGCCGACGCAGACCTGAGCGCCTCCAAGAAGAAGAACAAGAAGAGCAAGAAGCAGAAAAAGGCCCCGAGCCCGTCGCCCGAGCCCGAGGAAGACGATGAGGAGAACTGGGCGGCTGCCGGTGAGGACGACGGCGCAATGGCCTCCGATTTCGAGTTCCAGGCCGGCGATGTCGACATTGGCGTGGTAGACGACTTTGACGGCTGGGGTCTGGAGTCTGATGCCAAGAAGAAGGGCGGTGACAAGAAGGCTGTCGACATCGACGAGATCATTGCGCGCAGGCGCCAAAAGCAGGAGGAGACTGAGAAGAAGCAGAAGAAGAAGAAGGACGAGGCCGAGGACTCTGACGATGACTCTGACGCACAATTGGACGCGGACGAGGAATTCACCGGGCTTGATGAGGATGAGACTCTGGCAGAGGATGGTTTTGGTATGGGCGCTCAGGACGCAGAAGAGTCTGGCGACGAGGAAGCTGAGGACGAAGACGAATCCGAGGATGACGAAGAGGAGGCGGAAGAGGAAGACGAGGACGAGGATGAGGAGGTCGCTAAGCCCGTGGCGCACCCTGATGACCTTCAGTCTGATTCTTCAGACGACGACGAAGAGGAGGATCCCGTGGAGGCAGAACGCAGGAAAGCCTTCTTCGCCCCGGAAGAAGACTTGGACGGCTCCAAACCTTCGGCTGCCAAAGGAAAGGGCTCTTTCCAGCACATGTCTCTGTCGCGCCCAATCCTCAAGGGTCTCGCTGCCGTTGGCTTCACCGAGCCGACTCCTATCCAGTCAAAGACAATCCCTGTTGCTCTGCTTGGTAAGGATGTCGTCGGTGGTGCCGTTACTGGTTCCGGTAAAACCGGTGCTTTCATCATTCCCATCCTGGAACGTCTTCTCTACAGGCCCAAGAAGGTCCCCACTACCCGTGTGGCCATTCTGATGCCCACCCGTGAACTGGCTGTGCAGTGTTTCAACGTCGCCAAGAAGCTCGCAGCCTTCACAGATATCACCTTCGCCCAGATTGTCGGTGGTTTCAGTCTCAGAGAACAGGAGAACATCCTCAAGCAACGGCCAGACGTCGTCATTGCCACTCCTGGTCGTTTCATCGACCACATGCGCAACTCCGCCAGCTTCGCTGTGGACACTCTCGAAATCCTGGTTCTCGATGAAGCTGACCGCATGCTCGAAGACGGTTTCGCCGACGAGTTGAACGAGATTCTCACCACCATCCCCAAGTCCAGGCAGACCATGCTGTTCTCCGCCACCATGACTGACTCCGTCGACAAGCTCATCCGCGTCGGCCTGAACAAGCCCGTCCGCCTGATGGTCGACGCCAAGAAGGCCACCGTCTCCGGCCTGGTGCAGGAGTTCGTCCGCCTGCGACCAGGCAAGGAGGAGAAGAAGCTAGCAGTCCTGATGTACCTCTGCAAAGAGGTCTACACGGACCGCGTCATCATCTTCTTCCGCCAAAAGAAGGAAGCGCATCGCGTACGCATCCTCTTCGGTCTCCACAACATCAAAGCCGCCGAACTCCACGGCAGCATGAGCCAGGAACAGGTAAGCCGCATGTAAAACCAACCTTCAGTAACCATCCAGCTAACAACGAATCCAGCGTATCTCCGCCGTCGAGTCCTTCCGCAGCCACGCAGCCTCGCACCTCCTCGCCACCGACCTCGCCTCCCGTGGTCTCGACATCAAGGGTGTCAGCACCGTCATCAACTACGGCGCCCCGCAATCCCACGAAATCTACCTCCACCGTGTCGGCCGCACAGCCCGTGGCGGCGCGACCGGTCGCGCCTGCACCATCGCCTCCGAGCCGGACCGCAAGGTCGTCAAAGCCGTCGTGAAAGCCGCCCGCGCACAAGCGGCGCAGGACAAGGCGGCGCCGCCGAAGATCGTGTCGCGACAGGTGCCCACCGACGCCATCGACGCGTGGGACGCGAAGCTGCGCGACGCCGACGCCGACATCGACGCCATCCTCAAGGAAGAAAAAGAGGAGCGCGCCCTCGCCCAGGCCGACATGGAGATCCGCAAGGGCGAGAACATCGTCCGCCACCAGGACGAGATCCTCGCCCGCCCCAGGCGCACCTGGTTCGAGTCGGAGCAGCAGAAGCTGGCTGCCAAGCAGGCCGGCCGCGCGGAGCTGAACGGCGAGGCCGCGGGCGCGGTGAAGGGGAAGAAGAAGAAGTTGAGTAATAAGGAGAAGAAGAGGTTGGATGCCAGCGCTGAGCGTAAGGAGGGACCTGGTATGGGGTGGAAGAAGGGGAAGGCGGAGCGCGCGGGTAAGGGCGCGTTGGAGGCGGCGAAGAAGCCGAAGAAGAAGGCGACGGGGGCGAAGAAGGGGGGTGCGGCGGCTGCTGCTGGAAAGAAGGGGAGGAAGTAGAGAAAAAAGAGGGGGGATTGGGTAGGCGTTAATAATGCATGAAAAATTTTGTGAGTTCAATCTGCGAGTAAGAAAGAAGTCTTTGGTCTAAGTTGAGGGGGTTCAAGTTGTACAAGCATGAATGGGCATTTCGGCTGGAGCGTGCGGAACTATTCTTCATCTTTAAGCGTGCAAATTTGTCGAACGACAGGACTCAAGTTCAGAAGACCCTCCTGTCTGTACTTTACGCTCTCATGCCCGTACAGTGTCATTTATCATTACTATAGTAAGTCCTCAACACTTCGCCATTGATGACGGGAGTGGAGATTCTGCTTTCTTTACATTCTTAGTCTTCAACAGTTCAAGTAAAAAAAAAATAAAAATAAAAGAAGTGGAGATTCCAAATATCCCAACGAACACACACTCCTACACTCCTAGCGTTCTTCATGGCGTCCGGCATATTGATCCACTAGTCCTTCCAGCGTCCAGGCAGCGGGGTGACCTTGATCATCAACGGCGGCTTCGCCCACAGCGTATACGCCTTCTGCTCTATCCAGCGCTCGCTCTCCTTGCAGAGCTCAAAGTCGAAGTGCCAAATGAGGTACGACAGCATGAGGCGAATTTCATGATACGCCAAGCTATAGCAAATCCAGCAGTCAGTCATCGCATATTCACACAAGCGGCAAGAAAACAGAACAGGCAACACTCACTTCATCCCCAAGCAATTCCTCGGCCCCACGCTGAACGGCTGGAAAACCTTCTTGTCGTCCCTGGCGAACCTCTTCTCGCCGCCCTCGCGCTCAGGCAGCCACCGCTCGGGGCAGAAGTCATCCGGCGCCTCGAAGTTCTCCTTCGAATGAAACGCCGCCCACTGCGTGACGAAAACCGTCGCGTCGGGCGGGACATAGCGGCCCGCGATCTCCGCGCCCTGCTTGGGCACGCGGCGGATCTGGCCGTCGGGCACGGGCGGGTAGACGCGGAGAGCCTCGTCGACGACGGCGACGAGGAAGGGCAAGCGGGACTGCAGCGCCTCGAGCGTCATCTCCTCTTTACTGCGGAAAGTCGTGCGTATCTCCTTCGCCAGGCGCGCGTAAGCGGGCGGGTGGGTGGCGAGCAGGTAGACGGCGCCGGAGAGGAGGGTGGCCGTGGTCTCGGTGCCGGCGACCATGAAGAGCGAGGCGTTGCTCTCCATCTGGCCCATGGTGAGCTTGACGCGCTCGTGCTGGCCCTCGTAGGCGCGCAGCACCTGGGTCCAGATGTCCGGGCGGCCCTCGATGGCGCCGCCGCGGGCGAGGCGCGCGTGCACCTGGTCGGCGGCGTACTTCATGTGCGCCTTGCGCTTGGCCTGCAGCGAGCGCGGGAGCAGCAGCGGCATGAGGACGTCGACGACGGGCACGTAGTACGAGACGGAGGCGCGGAAGGAGAAGAGCTTGATGCCCGCGAACGTGTTGCGCACCCAGTCCGTGTACTCGGACTTCTCCAGCAGCCCCATCGGGTTGCCGAAGGCCAGGTCGGACATGATGTCGAAGGTGGCGAAGTTGAAGAACTGCGTGATGTCGACGGCACCGCCGTCCGCGTTGTTGGCGGCCGCGGCGCGCTCGCGGATCTTGTCGGCCATCAGGCCGATGTACTTGAGCAGCAGCGGCTCCTGCTCCTTCAGCGCGCGCTGCGAGAAGGCCGGGCTGAGGATGCTGCGCAGGTGGCGGTGCTCGTCGTTGTCCTCGGTGCTGATCAGCGACGGCTCGATGTCGCGGCCCCGCGGCGTCGTGCGGAAGTCCCGCATCAACGAGCCTTTGTTGCCGTAGCCGTAGATGTCTGTTCAAAGTTAGCTTCGCCCAATCTTGGCAACGGTGGTGCATATGTGGTGGCGGCGTCCAGACCTTTCCAGGCATCTCCGTCCGAGTAGCTTAGCTCATTCGGACTCACGCGCACGACTTTGCCGTAGCGCTTGTGCAGCTCGAGGGATTGAATAGGGCTTCGTCCTGCCAAGCGCGCCCGCATGCGAGGCAGCGGCGTTGCGCGGCATAGTAAGGGTCCGGGGTAGCCGCGTAGTGGGTGGAAGAAGAGGTTGTAGATCACCCGTCCGGCGGCCCAGGCCAGCTACCAACGTGTCAGCGCCTGCAGTCTTGGTGACTAGTGCGACGTCGCTTTACCAGCAAGAGAGGGATGATTTGTATTGCGACCATGGCGCAGATTTGATCAAGAGCCCACTTGAAAGTCTAACGGAGAGATGAGTTTTGCGAAATGCATTGAAGTGAGGTTCCAGGTAGCTCATAAGTAGGGTTGGTGGCCATGCCGTTGTAAGGATGGTGCGGGGTTTGTTTGTGCCACAGCATAAGCAGCCAACGTTGTCAGCCGCGTGCTTGGCCAATCGCAGCCTCGGAACCTCGAGATCATCATCCTCTGCACGTCCGTGATTGGCCAGCATCGACGACGTCGTAAACCATTCCCTGAGAGACAAGTCCTGCTCTCGCAAGGCTCGCCAAATGGGGGATCGTCGCTGAGCCACCACGGAAATTCAACCTGTAGGAAGGACCCCATCTATCTGATACTAATGTACAACTACTCCTTCACATTGCTGCTCCCCGCCGTTGACTTGAACGCGGACTGGTCAAAGAACTGGACCCCAGTTGCAATGCGTTTCAGGACCCGCGTCTTCTCTGCCTCCCTGCTTGATGTGCTTTCGCTAGGTACCGAGTCGACTTGGATAGCGGTGTCCGCGCTTTCGGTGAGGCCAGGTGCTTTCTGATCACCAGCTGTTGCCGTTCTGGTTGGGGTAGAGTCGGCTTGGATAGCGGTTCCCGCGCTTTTGGTGAGAACAGGTGCCTTCTGATCCGCAGCCTTTGCGGTTCTAGTTGGAGCAGAGTCGGCCTCGATAGCGGTTTCCGCACTTTCGGTAGATTTGACGTCCGTCTGATCAACGGCTTTTGCGGTTCTGGTTGGAGCGGAGTCGGCTTGGGTAGCGGTTTCTGCGCTTTTGGCGGACCTGACGTCCATCTGATTAGTAGCTTTTGCGGTTTCCGTTGGTATAAAGTCGGCTTGGATGGCGGTTTCTGCACTTTCAGTCGACCGGATACGACGTAAGTCAGCTTGGACAGCTGGTTCTGCGCCCTCAATTGATACAAAGTCAGCTTCAGCCACTGGCTTTTCTGCAGCAACAGTTTTCCGATTTACCTGCAGTGGTGATGTGCTGCCATCATGGACCGGCATTAAAGCAAAGGTCCCAGTTCGCAGCACAACTGCTGTGAGTTCTGAATCGGCGCTATGGCCGTACGGCTCCGCGAGTGGAACTCGTTCGCTTCCTGCACCCGGGAAAAGGACTTGATCCACATTCCCTTGGGGAGTTCCAGCTGGTGCTCGAGCCTTCTTGGGTTGAGATATAGCAGCACGCTTCTTGCCTTTGGCCGTAATCTCGCGGTCCGTCGGCTTCTTTTGGTACTCTTGCTCCCGAGGTTCCGCCTGCTCCTGGGGTTCTTCCTGCTCTTGACGCTGCTCCTGCGCCTGAAGCTGCTCCTGCTCCTTGAGCTTTTCCTGCTCCCTGAGCTTTTCCTGCTCCTTGAGCTTTTCCTGCTCCTTGAGCTTTTCCTGCTCCTTGAGATTCTCCTGCTCCTGGAACTTCTTCTGCTCCTTGAGCTTCTCCTTCTCTTTGAGATGCTCCATCCGTTGCCTCTTCAATTCCTCCTTGAGTTCCATGACCTTTTGCCTGCGCTTGGACACTATGTAATCCCCGGCAAAGATGGGCTGCAGTGAGCTTCGCAAGAGATCGCCAGAATTTTCGCTGTTGGTCAAGATCGAGATGCGTGTCCGTTCCAAGAGTTCTTTCTCCTCGGCGTCCAGCAACGCTCGCTTCCTATTGATAACCTCCATCTCTTGTTGCGCTTTTTGTCGCAGCAGCAGTTTCCGATAACGCGCAAACTGTATCCGCATGTTGATTTCCGTGTACACGGCATCCAGTTGATCGGCGCGGTCGTGGTCTCCAAGTATGTCGGCAAGATGTACGCTCTGTTGTACCCACGCCGCGATGATCTCGACCGATATCCTGTCACGGTGAACCGCATGGTTTCGCAAAAAGTAGCACATGTCCATCAGCTTGCCCCACTCTTTGCTCGACGTGTCCAACCCGGCACGGAGTTTCAGGACGCCAAAGTTGTCCAGCATGTGTCCAGCTGCTACATTGACTTCAGCCATCTCGGCGCACTCCCACCGCCTCTTTGTGATGAAGCCGGGGTCAAATTTCTGGAGAAAGTCGAAGCACACATGCTCAAGGATGGCCTGGACATTGTTCAAGATGGCGTGCTGGGCTGGATAGTTGATCAAATGACCTTTCATGCCCAGCTTTTCGTCCTCCGCTTTGTTCACCCTATCTAGCTCGGGAGGTTAGTCGACAAAAAGCCTGAAAGGATACAAGTGGAAGCAAACTAACCATCCGAGTCGTGCTCGGAGACCACGTCTTCAGCACCTTCGGCGTCTTCAGCGCTTTCGACGTCTTCGGCGACTTCATCGCGTACATTGGTCGTGACCTTTTCGGAACTTTTAGAATCGAGATCTTCGACAGGCGGCGGATCCGGGAGAGGGTGGTTCAAGTCGGGAAATCTTTTCGCGGCTTCTTCGACATTCGAAAACACATTCTTATAGCGGAACCGGTTAACAACCTCCCACAGATCCTCTATATCGTACTCGTCCTTGAGATGCTTGAACAGAGACAAATGCTTTTTAATCAATTTCCCCAGCTCCTTTCTGCTCGTAGGTCCTGGCCGGTCTTGGAAGTAGAAAGGCCTGAAAGCGAGAAACACTCTCTGGTGCTTATTAGAGCTTGGAGTTTTCGCCCATCGTGAGTCTGCTTCTTCAGCCGAATCTGCTGAAGGTGTCGAATGTAGACCTTCTTCCGCCGCCAATCGCCTATGGTGGAGCAACTCGCTCGTCTTCTTCGACTTCTTCGATATCTTGGATAACCAGCGCACTGACTCATGTCCTCCGGGGAATTTTGGGTAGTGGGAAGTGAGCGCTCCCCAGCGCTTCGCTGGTCCAGTGAGCAGTGCTCTGTACATAGGGCTCAGAATTGTGCCCCCGTCACAGACACGGCGTCAGGCAGATCAATTGATGCGCCTTCGAAAACGCCTAGGACCCCATCTGCTCGAGCGGACGTAGGTGTAACGTTGAAGCAAAAGTTTGAAGCCCTTTGACCCCGGCACGCCGTTCGCGAGCGGTAAAATATCGGGCGCGGCACAGCACAAGTCGTTGCCGCTCCTTCCGTCACGCCACACGTCTGCAGAGATGCCTTGAGTACGAGTACATTGCTTTGCATAACCGGCTGTATTGTACGCGAGCCCAAGGCGGTGCTTCCAGTCAGAGCCGTGTGAGCCCCGATGTAATATTCAGGCCTCCCGCCCCCGAACCATAACATCGCGAGCATTCAAGATCAATGGGATTCATGAAGGCTTGCATTGCCAAAGTTGGCATTGAACAAAAAAAGAAAGAAAAGCAGAGCTAATATCTGCCTCGTCATATTCAAACCTAACGCTTAATCGCAACCCGGTTCCGAATATCCTCGATTGACATGAATCTCTGTCCAATTAGAGCTGACGTCAGAGCCCTCTCTACAGTCCCAGGGTGTTGTGACTCCCAAATTTAGTCAGATTTAAACCGCACAGATGTGACTTTTCGCCGCAGGAGAAGATAAGACCGGGCTGCTGGCCCTTAACTGATATTTCCTGATTTTCTTTCTAGACGATAAGGAAATAGTAAGACCGGGTTCTCTCTCACAATATTCAATATAACCGCTTGCTGTGTTCACTCAAAAATAATTTTCTACTGTTAGCTCATGGCCGTTGGAAAATAACGAACTGGTAGCGGACGCTTAAACCAGGGTAAGTTCACCGGCGAATCTCCAAGGCATACCAAAGAAAATCATGGCTTATATGGAGCACGACTCTCTCTTGTGACTTCATTTCTAGCGACTTGGCGCAGATTCTCGTCTCTATCCATGCCGAGACGTCCTCGTGATCTTATATCCCCTAAGCCAAGTGCGTGGTATCTGTATTCGCAACATCTGACGCGGCCTTGGGCTTGTCCTCGCCAAGCCGTGTCAGCTGGCTCGTCTGAGTAACCGGGCCAAGTACTCGTTCGTGTCTGCAGCAACCCGGAACGCTCACTCGTCCTCCGGTGGGGCGAACGGGTTGGCAATTTCTTCGCTGCCGTCAAGTGGCGAGATGAGGACAAGCAGAGTGCCGCGCGCAACAGTAAGGCCGAGGGAGCGGGTGGTTTCATTGCCTTCGTCATCTGCGGACAGCGGTATGGTTAGCGTCTGGGATTGGACGTTCTCGGGGCAAGCGGTTTGAGCATACCGCGCATGACCTCCTTCACGTCGTCCAACACCAGATTCATGAGCTGATCGTAGCCCTTCAACGTACCCGTCACTGGCCATTGATCGTCAGCAACGCCTCTCCCAAGCTGACGAAGCTCGCAGGGCCCGTCGGAGAACACATACCCTCGCGGCCGCCGTTGAACTTGACGCTGATCTCCTTGTCCATGAGCTTTCCCAGGTCAAGAATGTTTTCCTTCTTGGGCCGCTCCTGCTGGCCAGCGTGTCCGCCGCGCGAGCCCCCGCGTCCTCCACGATCGCCGCCTCTGCCGCCCCGGCCGCCCCGGAAGTTGCCGCGCTCAGACATGGTGGGTGGTGGTGTTGAGCTTTGCGTACCGTGGGTGCGCGTGTCTCTTGTCGCGAGCTGCTGCAAGCACGGGCGGTGACGCTGCAGCGCGCGATTTTGAGCCCCGCCGCCCAGCTACTTCCCGAGCTTTTGCCGGCTCCGCCAGGCAGGAGCCAGGAGCGGAAAGAGGCACCGGTGGTGAAATGGCATTTTGACGCCTTGAGAGCAGGTGTTTCACTGCGCAGCACTACATGCGAAATTGCATGATCCGCTTGCAGTACACGATGCAGCGCTGCCACACCCTCGAGGTCCACACCGGTCGAGAATGCCATCCAACGGTCACGGAAAATGCACGGTGGAAATCAGCCTGTAGAGTGCATCTGCGGGCAGCATCGAGCTGCTTATCTCTGGACGCCGGTACGCAACTCTCCGTTTGGGGCCCATCGCCCCCTCACCTGCCACTGCACTGCCGCGCCTCGATTCTAATGGAGCCCGTCTCGAGCTCCCCCCGCCGGTCAAGCCCTGCGGTATTTATCGAGCTCGCCGATAGTCCACATTCCGCGCTGCCGCTCTGCCGCTACGACGCACTGCCAACTGCTTGGCTGGTTATTAATGCGAGCAAGCTGCTGTCCGCTCGGCTCATCCATCCGAGAGACAAGCTTTCGGGCTCGGTATTGGAAACGGCTCGCACGGAGAGTCTGCACTCGAGCCGATGCACAATGGCATACGTGGACTGGTGAGGTCTGAGAAAGACCGTCTCGGATTACCGCACGGCGCGGCGAGGCGGGCTGGCTGGTTGGCGGGCGCGTGGGCTGCAGCAGGATGCAGCCCTGGCGTGGCGAGCTCCTGAGGGGCCTCCGCTTTGAGGATTGGCGGGCTGCCGTTCCGCCATCTGTTAGAGCAGTGGGCCGCGGATCCGCCGCAGCTGTGGCGTGTGAGCCATTGTTTCCGTGCCCGAGCTTAGCGGCGGGCGGAGCGCAAAGCTTCAGACCGCGACGACGCAGGCGACGCGGCCTGGGGCAGCGGGCCATGGCTTCCAGTTGCGAGCGTGGGCCGACATTTTATCCCGCAGCCGCAGGCCAAGGGCGCCGGTGGAGGGAGCCACGCGACGCGGAACTGGCGCCTAGCAGCTCCGAGGCCGCCCGCTGTCCGCCCACGCACACCCACAGACGGGCGCGCACCGCTGATCCAGTATAGCCTCCGCCTGGCCTAGAGCTCTCCCTCCCTGCGAGCTGTGCCGGCTACCCGATCGTGAGCGAGCCCTCCGCTTCGCCTCCACCCTCCTCGTCGGGGTCCCACCGCTCCGCCCGCCCTTCTCTTCTCCTCCCTTCGCGCGCCGCATGCCTCCCTCCGAACCCACGCCTCCCCACCGCCCTCACCTTGCTGCCTCGCAGCCCTCGCCCCCCCGCGCGCGTTGCGCTGCCCGTGTTCCGCGCCTCGCAGCAATTCGGCCGCCTGTGGCGCCCGCCGAGCAGACCGCGGCCTTGCCGAGGACTGCTCCCGTTCCGACTGCGCTTCTCCGCTGAGCCCTGACCCTTAGCCCTACCGCGTTCCCACCACCACCACTCCAACTCCAACTCGCACCTCTCCCCGGGGCCTCCTCACGCGGCGAAGCTGCCCCATTCCTCGCCATGGACTCCGGCGCCCACCACGACCCCTCCTCGTCGACCGCCACTATGACCGAGCAGCTCAAGCGCAAGCGGAGCCCGTCGCACGATGCCGCCGCGCAAGCTCCTCCTGCGCCGCCGCCCAAGACGGCCAAAACCTCCAACCACCTCCAGATCAACTACCTTGCCCGCCAGTACACCGAGGACCTGCCCTTGATCTCCGGCGACGACACCCTGCCCAACATCCTGCAGCTGCTGGGCGAGTACCAGGGCGTGCTGGATCGCCATGAGAGCATGGCCTGCAACCTCGGCGCGCGCCCGCTGGGTCCCATCCTCATCAAGCGCTTCGAGCGCCTGTTTGACGGCCCGCCCAAGGTGCTGAAGTCGCACGGCAAGGACCCTGCCCACGTCACCTGGCTCGACGTCGTCGAGTTTGCGCGCAACAAGCCCGAGCAATTCACCCTCGGCCAGATGAGCGAGGGCGTTCGCGTCTGCCAATTCTACACCAAGCAATGCCGCGTCCAGATCAGCGAGGAGGACTTTGTGTTGATCAGCAGCGGCATTCCGCAGAAAATGATCCCGCCGCAGCCAATTGTCGAGGACGAGGAGAAGGAGCTTGGCACGCTGGAAATTCTGGAGAAAAACCTCGCACAGATATGCCAACTAGCAGACCAAGGTCTGTTACCAGCCTTACCACCACCCCTGATTGCAGCTAATCTCGTCGCGCAGTCGCCGCACGTACCCGCCAATTGAATCACCGTCTGAAGGGCCGTAAGCAGGCCATCCTCGACCGCCGAGCTACGAACAGCCCCGCTGCAGTCCGCGCCTCCAGTCCCTCTAATGTCGCCCTCATGAATGGCCTCGGCCAAAACGCAAATGCTGCCCTGGCTGCGTTGTCCAAGTCGCCCTCCGGGGGCTTCGTTGCAGTCAATTCGAGGCCACCTGCTCCCGCTGCTGCCGCCGCCCCCGAGCACGATCCCGGTCGAAACGGCGCGTCTTCTGCCACTCGCAACGAGCTCATGAACAAATTCTCGACCATCAACGATCGCAGGACACATGGCTCGAATGGCGACCAGATCCGTCGAGGCTCCAGTGCTAGCCAGTACTCGGCCGGTGGATCGGCATCAGGGAGCAAATCGAGTGCTCGCCCGCCGGGCAACACGTCCGGCGGGCCGAATGGGCTTCCCTACAGCGATAGCGAATATGCCCAGCTACTTCTTTCCAACACGTCCCCGGTTCCCATCCCGAGCACACCTTCGCAGCTTCTGCCGTCGCACGGCGCACGGCCAGGGTCACAGCACCCTCCGACCGCGGAGAAGGATGACGGCGGTCCTTTCAAGGCGGAGATGGTTGCGCGCATGGAGGTTCTCTCGAAGGGAGAGAGGATCTTGCCGCCTTGCGATCGTTGCCGAAGACTTCACATGGACTGCCTGAAGAACCTGACAGCCTGCATGGGGTGCACCAAGAAGCACGCAAAGTGCTCTTGGAAGGAAGTGCGGGAGCCGGAACTCCGCATGACTCAGCCCCCTCCTGAAGGCGAAGCCACTCATTCGGACATCGAGATGGGAGGCTACCCCGGATCCATGATAAGGCAGAACCTCGCTAGCCCGGCATCGGCCTCGCCGTCGGCGTCGGTTGGTTCCGTCGGCGGCCACGCAGAAGCCAGAGCTGCCGGTCAGGACGCGAATGCTGGCCATCTCACGCCCGGGCAGGCAGCACACTCGGCGGAGCTTTCCAGGCACGAGGGCCGGCTCTCGGTGGGCGGCGCGCCAGAAGCCCGGATGGAAGACCGTCAGCAGCGCGAGCCGGAACAGCCTCCGAGCCACGCCGCTCACGCCCATCATGAGCAGCAGCATCAGCAAAGCCACGGCCAGATGCACGACAGGCGTGAGCCGCCCGAAGCAGTAGGAGCACATCCAGCGCATCCCGAAAGGCACCACCAGGAGCAACCGCATCAATCGGATTTACAATCACTCGTTGCATGACAATGAAAAAAATGCATCGGTTGCCATCAGTTTTTCAGGGTTTTGTTTTTCTTGTTGATTGACTTGTGAGTGCGTTTAAGCGGGCGGGTGGCATTTGCGGAAACAACAGCGTTTTTGGAATGTGCAAAAATCGGAGTCAAAAGGTGTCTTATGGGAAGGGGGGGAATCGTTTGACCACATGGTTCCCTTTTTTTTTTTTTTTGTTAACCACGGCACGGTTGGTTGTGCTTTGATTCAAAGTCTTGTGATATATTTCGGGTCTTTTTCTCAAGCGCGGATTCCCCCCCGGGTCTCTTTCATTTTTCACGTTTGGATTGGCTCCTCTCTCTCTCTCCCAAACTGGTTACTGAGGGAAATGAATTGTGTTTTTCGCTTTTCCTCCTTCCTCTTACTCCTACTCCTCGCCCCTTTTTCTTGGTCTCTCCAGCGATGATTGATCGATTGACAACAGGCGGCTACTTGGAATGGTCATTCGTTGTGTCATGGCTCCTTTTTTTTTCCTTTGCTCTCGTGTGTACGTATTGTGATGATGACCCGCCTCAGCTGGTTTGTTTGGTTTCCGGTTCCGATCCTTTCTTTTCGTGCTCATTCCGATTGGACTGACGAGCAGTACGGGCGGAATCCAGCCCGATCTTCCGATCGCTTCGCGTTCTTTTACTTGGTAGTGTTCCTTGTGACCAGCGGGGAAACAGGATGAAAGGCTACCCCTACTCATCTACTACGGATTACTGATCATCTCATCGTCGGGAATTCTATGGAGTCTCTAATAAGCCATTAGCGAGAAGCTCCTTCCTTTTTTCCCTTTCCTTTTCGCATCATGTTCTTGTGAAGCAGATAAGGCGGCATCCATTGCGATGCAGGCGGCGAATGGTAGGGACTGGGGATCGGCCGAAGGAGGCCTGTCTTTTTTTGCTGCGGATCGCTGGGCGGGTGCTGGTGCTTATGGCCCGGGAAGAGACGCTAGTTGGCATCCTACCTCGTCGCGAAGTGGGAGAGAGAAATTGATATTGCGTTTAGAGAGCTGAAGTAAAGATGCGGTTGTAGACGTGAATTAGAAGAGCACGCCAAGATAGCTGACTCGATCGAGCTGGTTACCCAAGACTTTTCCCCTTTCTCGTGTTACGACAACCGTCTGGGTACGTTGGGCGGTCGAAGCCGTTGGGTGGATGGCTTTTGTTACTGTAGCAAGTTCCAAATATCTACTACGTACATGCCTGCATCCACGTCCCGGATCTCTGCTTCGACGGCTCCCGTCCCCCGACGGAAATAAGAGCGCAAGTGCTCCTAGAACACTGGGAGAGTAGTAAGGGTCTTCCCGTATCCACCGTCTCATGGTGGAGGTAAGGCATTGAGCATAAGTGGAACGATTTCTCGCGTGGAACAAGCCGTTGCAGCCGCCGCCGCCGCCGCCGCCCGCCCGCCGGGCCTTATGGGAAGAACCCGAGACCCCGACTCGACTCGACTCGACCCTTTTTTTCTTTTTTAACCTGGAGACGCGCGCGAAATTAACAAAAAAAAAATAGAACTCGTGACCCTCACCCCCTTATTCCAGCTCGTATTATAGTCAGTTGGAGGACACCACGGTGCTTTGCGTCCACAAGCGTTTCTCCCCCGCACCAGCAGATGATGAATCGCACGCACACGCACACACCCGCAAAAGGAACTCGTAATTGGTGGCCGCGCGTAGCGACTCGTTCACGCTCGTGCAAGGGAAAGCTCGGCGCAAGGACCAAGGCTTGTTCGCGACAAGCCTTTCCGGGGGGGTGTGTGTGCTGTGCTGGTCCTGTGCGCTGCCTGCGCCACTCTCCTGTCTGCTTTTCGCCGGGCGTGCTGCTGCCCGGTGCTGCGCGCGCTGCCGCCGCCGCTGCGCTGATGCCAGAAGTTGGTCATTGCGCGCGTCCCTCCCCCTTCCCTTTTTTTTGTTTCCACTCCGTCGCCCGCCGCCGCCCTGCCGCCGCCGCCGCTGCCCAGCATTCTCAGCAGATCGTCGCCCATCATCATCATCCTCGCCGTTGCCGTGCAACCCTGCCGGCCGGCCGGCGCGGGGCGATGCGGGCGCGCGCGCGCCCGCGGGGAAGAAAGAAACGGCAAAAAAGACCTCATCAGGCCAGATAAGGGACGGCTGCCCCCACATCATGATTATTGCCGTGTTGCTGTGCTGGGTTGGGCTGGGCGCGCGCGCCTAGGCGAGACGGTCACGACGGCGCGGCGGCGCTGCTGGTGTGTGTGTGGGCTGGGCTGGGCTGGGCGGCGTTCGGCGGCGGCATCGCCGGACCGGAGCTCGGTATGGCGGGAATAAGAGCACCACCTAGCACACACCCTTGCTCTCTCTCTTCTCTCTCTCTCGCGCGCGCGCGCACGCACGCACGAACGTGCGGGTTACCTTGTTTTGTTTATCATTTGGGGAGGGGAGATGCGCGGCGGGAACGCGCGTCTCCGGCAACAAGCCCCCTCGCCCGCTTTTCCCCACACACTTCATTAAGGCAGGGCGTGCGCGGGCGAGGGCGCGGAAATTAGGTAGGTGGTAGGGTGGCTACCTTGTGCAGTATCTTTGCTCCTTTTGTCCGACCCCGGTGTGGCGTTCAGCGGTTTGGTCTAGTGAGGATGGGCGCGCGCGCGCAAGCGCTGCGAAGGGTGCGGAAAGAGTTTCCGTGTTGCTGGAGGGAGAAGGTGAGAATGGTCACGGGGCCGTGTGCCCCCGTCGGGGTTAGATTGGTGCGCGGTTGTCTTTGTGTTTTATGTGCGACGGTCCTTCCTCGAGGTCTGGATCACACATTGTTATTGCACTTGACTGCTTGACGCCAGCGAAGGGGGACTTGAAGGGGATGTCGGGATGTTTTCTGAATCTGCATCTGCTTGACCGTCCTTGCAATACAATAGGGCTTGTTCTGGATGATCAACAGTTATCGCTGGCGTGGCCCATGTTGTTCGGCCGAGCCTATGTGCGAAATATCGCGTCTGATTGAGGTTAATTGTATTGTCGAGAAAACTTGGAAAATGACTCTTGGCTTGTGATGAGAAGCACCGCCAAGCTGCCGGGCGTGTTCTTCCTTGTCTTAATACGGGTATGGTGTTCTTCTTAAGCTTCAGGGAAATATGTCTCGCATGGCTTTCTTTCTACTTTGTGTACGGAAACCGATTGGGCAAGGCTGTTTCAATGAAACTACCCCAGCATTTCGATATGCGCATGATTGATGCGATTTACCCTACCCTAGCTGAGGCCGAAGTCCGAGTGTATTTGGACCTCAAACGTACGTACTTTCGGGCATTGAATTCATCTACCCACGCGAGGAGGCTTGGATATTCTGCAGTCTACTCTGCAGTGGAGTCATCGAGCGCTTTCTCATGATTTGTTAGCCCATTGATGCGCAACGGTTGCCAGTGCCATCATACTTTTATCGGGAGTTTCCGTATCGCAAAAGCTTGAAGTATGGCCTCACGATGAGCGGAAGGCCTTAGGCATCAGTAAAAGACGCGTAAGACAGGCTCGCACGAGCCAACTGCGTCATCGCTTCCGCTCTCCTCTCCACCCCCATCGCTCTCTACTCGCTCCGCCTCCGCTCACGAAAGTTTGCGCTTTGGCCCTGTCGAACAAGAGTCCGCCGCGGAGAGTTTCTTTTCGCCCGGCTTAACTAAACCTCCGATCAGGCCCTCATGCGACGTGCTTCCGACCAACTACGACGACTCGTCCCCTCAGGATCGCTCCGGAGCCGGCCATGCCGGCCCAGAAGCCAAGCCGATGATCTGCGCGGATTGTCAGCCTAAGGGACTATCACACCACTCTGCCGCATGTGGCTGCCTGCCAGCATGCCCAACTGATTCTTCCGAGCATAGCTTGCCCTGTACGACCATGACAGTCTCTGCATCGGAACTCAAATTTGAAGCCGTCATCCGTGACTTGTGCGACGCATGTCAATTGTCCGGCGACCTGCGGGTACGAAGTCGGTATCGCAACAGAAGGCCTGTAGTTGGAGCCATTAATGCACAGCATATATACCCGTTCAATGACTCTGACTTCGGTGCAATACTAAGCGAAGAAACTTTCTTACTACCCACGCACCAAGAAGGATGCCAAGATTGAGCAATGGAGCTGTTCTCGACAGCCTCGCTCCATTCGCCGTTTTCCTACCCCTCTTCGCATCCAGGACCCGAAAGGGCTCGCTACCGAGAACGGCATCCATTCGCTCAGCGGCTACGCCATAGGTTGAGCCTGCAGAAGTGTTTAGCCACGATACCCTGATACGGCATCAGTAAAGGCCTTTTGCAACTACGGGCCGCGCTGTTTCCAAATCCAGAAGCATATTTCTACACCTGCACAAAGACCTTTCTTTACGCAAGTCCTCGGTAGAGGATGTCTCGGGGCTCCTTCAATCTCTTTTCATAACAAACAACCATTCAAATCCATTGTTCATCCTAATGCGATGACTGCCGGCTTCGGCCACCACGACACCATTAACCGAATCATTACTTCTAGATGAGCGACATGTCTTAGTCCGGCAATGGTATGGTACAGAGCGCTTCTAGCTCTGAGAGATACGCGCCAGGTGGCCCTTCTCACAACGCCATCAGTCAGCGGGAGACGCTTGAAGAGAAGAAGAGTGAGTCCATCGGCTGGACTGACGCTCAAACCACCAGAGCTCCACCAGAACAGCGCTAAGTTGACCTCAACAAGTGGGTTCGTTTCTTCGTGTGTGTGGCATGGATGAGGAACATAGCAAGGTGAGCAAAAGCTGGCGTCCTTTTCCGCAACATCAACGTCTTTGGCTCCGGTTCCACCCTGAACTACAGAAAGTACATGCTTCAGGTGATCGACGCTAGTGCGAAGCGGAAGGGCCACGCAAGACTGGCATGAGGTGTGGAAAGCAAGCCCGGAAGCCAAGTCTATCCAGGACGAACTTAACCGGATTCATCGCCAGAAGCAGAACGAACCCGCCGCAGGTGACGGCGAAGTTGGTGGGACGGACGAATTCACCATACCTTTCACCACGTAACTCGGCCATGTCACCTACCGCGTCCTCTAGTAGTACTGGCTCTCGCCTGGCTAAATCTGGGCCGAACTGTTGCCGGGCCCCCCGTAGGTGCCAAAAGAAAAGATTCTCCGCAATTATCCTCGCGAGCAAGGGTATCCGACTTACGTAGGGAGGTGAAGCTACCATCCGGACGTGGATGTACATTTAATAATTCTACATTTACGTCCGGATGGTAGCTTCACCTCCCTACGTAATGATAGAAATGAGTTACGATGGCTTAGATTTTTCGGCACCCAGTATGGAGTCATGTGTCAGCGTCGTTCGTCTGGTCTCGTAAAACGTTAGTACAACCCCACACAGCTAAAAAAAAAAAAAAAAAATTAAAAAAAAAATTGCAAAACGTACAACAGCCGGGATTCCCCAATGGTCACCCACTTGAGTACTAATCGGCCGGTTCGCAGCTTAAGTACGGCTGAGCGGACGGGAAGCCCTGCATTCTGCGACCTATGGTCGTACGTGGAAGAACAAGTTGCTGATGGCTATTATAACCTCTGGTCAACAAGCAGTCGCCTGGCTGTCCACTGGGTGACGGATGCCTACTTATTTACTGCGCAGTTGCGCGCATCTTATGACTTGGCCTTAGTGGTGTAGCTGCACATTGTTAAATCTCTGCGATTATCGTCTGTACCCGTTATTCTACAATCAAGTAGATTGAGAATCCGCTCCATGAATCTAACGTAAGAGGTATAAGTACGCGCTCTGCCATGTACATTACGCAGCAGCGCTTCCTTGGGTATGTGTACTGATAGTCGACTTCGCTACCTGCCGGTATTCGTGTGCGGGGAGTATTTGTGGGAGTTCTTGAACGCGGGACAGGCGCCAGGCTGGCTGGTCGATTCGCCGGCGGAGGAGGAAGAGGAGGAATACAGGTATTATTGAGTTGCACTACTGGCAAGTGCGATCGCCAAGGGGGTATTCAATGCTTTCTCTCGGGTAGCTTAATACATCACCCGTTCACCTTATCAGCTTCGCGTCTCAGCCTTTCGTCGGCGCGTCACGGATCAGTTCATGTCCGCGCGCGGCATAGGGAGGGAGCAGTTTTGGCGGAATTTCGGGATCTTGTAGGCGTACATTGGGTTTGATGCCGTGGCGGCGGGGAGGAGCGAAGCTGTTAGTAGAGAGGAAGGAGGGATGATGAGAGTGATGCAGACAGGGAGGGACATGTGGTGGGATGTGTAGGAAGATGGGGTGTGGTTTAGCAGATGTTGTGGGAGACGCGGAATAGGTAACCAGAGTTGCGGAGATAGGCTCGAGTGGGTACATGATACGAAGTGATGAAAGATGCTCATATATCCTCAGAATCTAGAGTTCAGCGAGTGCTATTAAAGTGACGCGGCCGCGAGGTCCCATGGAAGATTAAAATTTTCGCTGAACTACAACAGTCATAGCTGCGGACCTAAGAAAATATTTCCGCATTGCAAGATACGAGGCACTGCCTTCCTTCCTAGTCGGACAGGCCTCTGTTACAAGTCGCTTCATGAATTTGTGTAAAGTGGATCTGATAAATAAGAAAGTGACTACCAAATGGCCAAGCCTTCTCCCTATTCTTGCACACGCGTTCCCGTAGATTCAATTTTTTCCTATTAGTAGACGCAACTCGTATTAACCTCTTCTTTCCAGAACCCAGCTCTGCAACCGCCGCTGCCGATAGTGGGGTGAGCCCTCGCACTGTGTCTACAGACCCGCTGCAGGGAATGTTGTCTACTGTTTCGACGAAAGGATGCGTGACATGGATGTAGAGCAAGATGACGATTGTTCTCTACCAAATGAACTACCAATCCATTCCCCCTTTCCAAAGAATACAGGCTGGGCCACAACCACAATCCCAAAAAGAAAAGATGCAAAAGAGCCAGCAAATCCGCCGCTCAGCGAGGAACAAAAATCCCACTTAGGATCGAAAAAACAGCATCACGCTGAGGTATTGTTAAGGAGGGATGAAAAAAAGACCAACTCCTAGGATATCGAACTGATCTTCAAGTGAAACAAAAACGTTTGCAAGCCAACAAAGAAGCTCTCTCTCCCAACGACAAATCCGGTTGCCGACGTCCCAAGGACAAAGGAGATAGATCATTTGAACGGGGGGAACGGGCAGCCCTGTACCAAAGAACAACAGAAGCTCGAGACTTGCCACAAATGCATCCACCGAAAAGAAAAAACATCAAATGAATCTCCTCTCTAGAGAACGAAGAGGGTGGTGACAAAAGTCGCAGTACCAGCTGACTAGATGTTGTATTGTGAAAGCTGAGGGAAGATGATGTGAAGGAAAGAAAGAGAAGATAAAAGGTAGGAGAAGAAAGAATCCCGAAAAAACTTGATCCACCAGTACCTATTATATGCTCCACTACCAATGCTTCGTGTCCGTCAAAAACCATAGTATCACAAACGACATCCAAGAAAAAAAAGTACCCATCCTCCCTAGTTTCCGCCACATCTCTCTCTCAAAAAGGAACCCGCAAGAAAAAAAAGGTCTTGCCATATCCCACCCCCAACCATCTCCCGTGCCTAATCTTCGCGTTTTCCCCCCCGGAACACCTATCATATTTTCCCCGCACAGCGCATCATAAATCATCCCTGGGCCCCCCTTGATTGATTCCCCACCCCAACCCCTAAAAGAAACAGTCCCCGTTTTTCTTCTTTATCCTTTAAAACCAATAGCTCCCACCATGATGACTGACGACGAATTCGCACCCGAGCGGCTTCCCCATGTCCGCGAGATTCCGCTCGTGGTTCTCCAGCTCGACCAAGATTCTATCGCCCACGAGCGGTCCGTCCATGAGCGTGTCTTTGACATGTATGACGATGACGCTTAGACCCTTCAGCGGCGCGTGGTCTCTTTGATGATGCTGCTGGTTGTGTTGATTATGATGGTGATGACTATTTTGTTGTTGAGCGTGCGCGTGCTGTTGTTGTTGCTGCTGCTGCTCGGCATTCGCGTGTTGCGGATCAAGCACCGCGGGCGCAGCCATGTACGAAGTGACAGATACCGACGGTGGAGCTTGTTGCTGCAAGAGAGTTTGCTGATGTTGCATCGCCTGCGCACCGCCGCCACCGTTTGTAACCGGCATTTCCGGGCCTGGCGTGGGCGTGGGTGTTGGACTGCCGGATGGCGTGGGTGTGTCCATGTAGTCGCGCATGATCCGCTCACCTGGAGACAGGAGAGTGATGGAATTGGTGCGTGAAGTGGCTCCGGGTGCGTACTCGCTGATTGAATTGGCTACCGAGGTCGGAGCCGATGTTGCTGATGTGGTGGCCGCGTAGGATTTCTGTCTTGATCGGCTGCGTCGGCGGATGTAATAGTCGTCTTCGGTACCGGAAAGGAAACCGTTGGCGCTGCTGTTACTCTCCCGTTTTCTCTTTCGGCCTTTTCGATGTTCTTCCCGCTCGATCTCAAGCTTGTTCTTTGCGTCTCTCACCATGTCTGCGAGAGTCTCTAGTTCCTTTATCAAATGACGCGGCGCGAGATGTCCAAACAAAACAGCATCCCCTTGGGTGTCAGCATAACTGCACTCAATAAAGATTCCCTTAAGGGTACCGTTGGCGATCTTTGGTGCCGCTTCGGCCCAAACTTGAGCAGTGCGAGGCGAGAGAGACAGCGTATCGGGCTCGACATCCCCAAAAATGAGAATCTCCCGAGCCGGCGGTGGACGAGAAGATGAATAATGGGAGGCCAGCTCAGTGCGAATGAAATAAGCCGAACTGTCCACAACGCACTGCTGCATCCCCATGTCCATTGGTGGCACCGATGTCCCGGACGCGCCGGTAAACATGGGCGTTCCTGGTGCTGAAGGCTGCGATATGGAGAGGGACCTCCCATCTGCCGCAGTTGGACCGTGCGGATGCGGTAAGCTGGTGGGTCCGATCTCTGAGAGTTGGACACTGCTCCCTCGGTGGATATGTCCGGGCCCTTTCATGCAATTTCCATGGCTGACCTTGAATCCTTTCACACCCAAGCCATCACAGACTTCAATGTATCCCCTTCCAGGACCGTCTCCAAGAGCATGGTGACCTCCTTCGGCTAGTCGCTGAAAGGTAACAAACCCCACTCCTCCGTCTTCATCGGTTAGGTTGGGCCAAATGACGTCATTGAAGATATGCGTTTTGATAGAGTTGACGGTAAACGGTAGCGCAGCGAGACGCTTGGGTTTCGACGTATTGTGAAAGGCGGCCGTGTTGATAACAAATCCAGAGAGATGATCGAGATGCGGATGGGTGATGAGGTACGTCGCGACGTGCTCACGGACGACATGCACGGCATTTGCACGTGCTGAGGCATATGGGAACGGTAAGCCAGCAAACGCCCCCGAACTCAATGTCGTTATAGTCGGTTGCGGGGAAGCGGATCGCCAAGAGATTTCGGACCCTGCGTCCGAGCTTTCCTGCTGCGATGAGGTATTGGTCGGACTAGGGGAAGTCTCGCTGTCCTCAAAATGCACACGTGAGGACGTCGGCGTGTTGTGCACCACGGTAGGGAAGTGCTGCTCCAGAATTTTCGTGATGGATGCTAGATGCGTCCCGGCGTCTACAGCTAGAATGGAGTTCCTGGACCATTTCGAGGCCGTGGCGCGCACGAGTAGCCCCGTGACGCTATTTTCATTCGGACCGCCACCGGCTCCCTACATCCACAGATCAGCAGCTGGGCTCAATGCGAGACTTTGATCATGCATGCTTCCGCGCCCTCGCTGCAGAGCCACGCGCTGTGGGGTGCAGTGCTGTCCGGAGATTTGGCCCCCGAGAGCAAACGGAAGAGGCGAAAGTCGACCACGGCGCATCGGACCAGGCACTTACCAGACATATCACCTGGATAGCCGCGTCCTTCGGGGGGTGGTCCGCGAATCCATCGCCCTTCTTCATGGCGCCGGCTTGCGCCGGACGGGCGGTGACGAAGAGTTGGTCCTCGGCAGAGTTGCGTATTGTCTCGGGTGTCTACAGAGTTGCAGCAGGCACCCTTCAGCCGAAACAGAGCGCCGTGTTCGGGTCTCGAGGACCGCGCCTTCGATCTCGATATGTCCGTCCTGCCAAGGTGCGCCGCCGGTGGCCCGCGACGAATTGGTGGGCTCAGCAGATGGCGACGGTGCGGGAGAGACGTAAAACAGGCGCCGACGGCATAGGAGGGTCTGGGACACGGGAATGGCGAAGCGGAGACTTCTTTGTTGTCGGCGAAGGGATTGGTGGCGTGTCGCCGGACCCGGGCACCTGTGTTGTCGCTGAAAGCAGGGCTCGAGCGAGATGATGGGCCAGCGGGCGGCAGGGCGCCTGGACAGGAGCTGGTGTTGTTCGCTGTGGAATGTGCGACAGCAGCGGGAGCGAGGTGTGCGGGACAGCGCCAGGCTCTGCAGTCAAGGCGCGGTGACCATAGCTTGTGCTGGGTGGGACGCTGGGCGATCGGAGGGCGCGGGCGTTCGGGGTCGTGCTCGGAGGGGAGGTTGCTGTGAGCTCGATGGTGTTGGCAGTGGCTGGACGCAGGCGCGCGTGAGAGAGAAGCCAAGCGGGTTGTGCCGGGGGCTTAGGACGCCGCTGGTCGCACCCAACGGGCTCTGGCTCTGTCTGGCTCCGGCATGAAGCAGGTAGCGCAGCCTCTGTCGGTGCCTCTACAGCTGTCATCTACCGTTCGCGACCGTGCTTCCGCCGTGACTCGCGCGCCCTCCATCTAGATGGGCGCGGCGGTATCGATAGCGGCGCGCGCGACCGTCATGTGAATGGCCAGCCCTACGTAGCTGCGCTGCTGCCCTCATAGGTTCGCCCTCGCCCGCCGGCGTGACGTGCACCTCGATCCCCAACGGCCTCTTGGGGCGCCCAGCGAGATGACGACGATTTTCACATGATCCCCGTCATCCCCGCACTCACGATCAGCCTTGCATCATGCACGTCGTGCCCGCCCTCGACCCTGGCCCCTCCTCCAATCGCCGCCCTTGCTCTCGCCACTGCGGCCAGCGTCACCTCCGACGTGGCATGATCACTCGCACTGCTGTCCAGGGAACAGGGGAATCAAATCTCTTTTTTGTTCGCAAAGAGCTACAGACGTCAGGTCGTAAAAATTTCGCTGGAATACCGCTCATATCCCATCCAGCCCTCAATCAGAGCACAATTGCCCCACACTGCCTCTAACTACTAGCTCCGCAGCAATGCAGCAACTTTTTTTTTCCATCCTATCAACAGGCAGGCCTCAAACCATCTATTTGAAGACCTTGCCGTCGGCCCACTCGTACGTCTTGCCGTTGACCTCGATGGGCTTGTCCCACGCCCACTGGTCCTCGACGAACGCCTTGTGCTCGGGGTTGGTGTGGTCGAGCTTGGTGAACTCGTAGCTCTCGTAGTCGGGAGCAACATCGACAGCCTTGAGCGCATCCTGGCCACGGACGAGGAAGGCACCCTTGATGACGGAGTCGTTGGTGACACCGTAGACCGAGACGGCACCGAAGATGTACTTGCGGCTGGCCTCAAGACGAGCGAAGAAACCGCCTGCACACAACGTTAGAATACGCTATATTCATGTAGCATTGCTTAATACGTACCAATGAGGTTGGAGGTCATGAAGGTCATGGTAAGCTCGTCGTTGTACTTGTAGTCAACCTGCCACAGCGAGTACTCCTCGAAGTTGACGTTCTCCCAGAGCCAGGGAAGGGCGACCTCGCGGGTCTCCTCGTTGGAGTACTTGCGCTTCCAGTCGTCGAGCTGGAAGGTGGGGCGGCCGAGCTCCTCGAGAGGGTGCTTGGCCTTGGGGGCAGGAGCCGGCTCATCCTCAGTGGTGGTAGGAGGGGGGGCAGCAGCCTTGGGCTTCTCAGCCTTGGGCTTGGCCTCCTGCTTGGGGGGCTGGTTCTTGATGGCCTCGTCAATGAACTTGAAGGGCTCCGAGACGGCGAGCCAGAGGGGCTGGTTCCAGACGGTCTCGAACCAGCGGGTGGTGGCGGGGTTCTCAGACCTCCACTTCTTGTCGAAGAAGTACTCGAAGCCGCGCGAGAACAGGCTGACAGCGAAGATGTCGGCAAGAGTGAGCCTCTCACCAACGAGGTAGGTGTTATGGGTAAGGTGCTGCTCAACAACAGCGGCGTTCTTGAGGGCGGTCTTGAGGGATTCCTCAACAGCCTTCTTGTTGTAGGGGGCCTTGCCGATGATGGGGCGGAAAGCACCAGCAAGGTTGGGGAGGATCTCGGAGTTGGCAAAGGACATCCACTTCAGGATAGAGGCGTAGTCCTGCTTGGTCTTGCCGAGAAGGGTGGTCTTCTCGTTCTGGGAGGTGACTGCAGCTCAAGTCAGCGATTGCTTCGGGAATTGCGGCAAATTTGCGGAAGCTCGAGGTGTGTGCAAATTGTGTGCAAAGCAAACATTTTCTCAGAGTGTGAATGTTCTCAACAGTAGTCTTCAGACAGGGATAACTGAATGATAAAAAACGCTCATCCTTGGAAAGGGGTTTTTGAGAGACTGGTTGAACGTACCGTACACGGCAATAGCAATGCACTCGTGGAGGGTGTAGCCATCGGCACCCTCGAAGGTGGGGATCTTGGCCAGGGCGTTGGCCTTGCGCAGACCCTCGGGGACGTTGTCCGGAGGAGTAGCAGTGACGACCTCGATATCGAGACCGTTCTCCTTAGCAACAGCCAGGATGGGCTGGGTGCGAGGGTGGCCCTGTAGAGAATTGTGCTGTCAGAGAGCGGCCTCGAGAGGAGTCACAGCGGGGTAGAAAATCGCCTCAGCGCCCGCACGTACCTGGAAGCCGTAGACCTTGCCGAAAGACATGGTTGCTGGTTTACTCTGACACTGGAAGCTCAAAGGGGTATAAGAGAACAAAGAGAACCAGTGATTCTCAGAGTCGAGTGATGTGGTGGTTGGGAAGTTGGAGAGTTGGGCGGCGGTCGCGTCAAATTTGCGATTTACTCGCCAGGCAATCGGTGCCCTCTCGCGCCGACCGCCCTTGGAGCCGCAGTTTCCCCGCCTTGGCACGTCTCGCGAAGGGAAATGTCGATGATTGACGCTGCTTGCACGACAGCAAGCACCACCAGCAGCTCATCGCCCCGGTCACGCATACAATGGCGAGCACCCGGCTTACGACAAGCCTCCAGAAGGCCGGGCGCTCCGTCACCCTGCCCCTGCGGCCCCGTGTCCGACCAGACGTCGCTTCGCTGCGAGCAGTCAGCCGTTCCGACGCGACTTCCTTCTCGACCTCCGCTCCCCGCGCCGATAATGGCAGCCAGCCGAGTTTCCAGGCGGCCGCCCCAATCCATTTCGGCGACTATCCCAAGGACATTCCGCTCCTGAGCCGCGTTCGAGTAGTGCCAGCATCGCCGTCGTACTTCACGGCCAAGCCTACCTTCACCGACGACTTCCTCGAGCTCCAGGCCGTCCTGCGCAAGTATCAGACACTACCGATGATAGAGCCGATCTACGCGCCGAGGGTGGCTTGGAAGAACTTGGGCGAGTACAGGCTGGCGACCAATGAGGTCATTAAAATTTCGAAATGGCGCAAGATGCAAAAACTTCTGCAGAGGCTCAACTACATTCACCCTACTCTTGTTCCGGAGGAAGTTACGCAGGTCCTGCAAAAGTACAAGAGAGCGTTCAACCCGTACGATCGACAGCCGAGCCCGAAGACATTGGACGAAATGGGAAGGGGAATGGGCGTGGGAAGGAGAAAGACTTCGTCGGCGGTGGCATGGGTAGTGGAGGGAGAGGGAGAGGTCATGATCAACAGCAAGAGTCTGACGGAGGCTTTCAGCCGGGTGCACGACCGCGAGAGCGCCATCTGGGCGCTGAAGGCCACGAACCGCGTTGACAAATACAATGTCTGGGCACTTGTAAGAGGAGGTGGAACAACAGGGCAAGCTGAGGCATTGACTCTGGCAATTGCAAAAGCATTGATGGTGCACGAGCCAGGTTTGAAGCCTGCACTTCGAAGAGGTAGGCATAAAGACTTGCAACCCTCCATTTTTTCCCCCCTCTCAGCCGCGGTCCACCGAGCTTGTTGTGGAACGTGTCTCTGCCCAAGGCGAGAGCAGGGCGTTCGCCTCACCGAACGCCTGCGCGTTGATGCCCACTATCTGTTTTACTTTGCTTTTGGTGCGGAACGCTAACGTTATCGACTCCACCAGCTGGCTGCGTCACTCGCGATCCTCGCAAGGTCGAAAGGAAGAAGCCGGGCCACATCAAAGCTCGCAAGATGCCCACCTGGGTCAAACGTTAAGGCGGCTGACCGTGCTGTATACTACCTGTACATTGTCTGGCTTGAGCGGGTGGTTTATGGAAAGTCAAAAAATCAACAGTCTCAGACAATACCCTTGCCTTTTCGCTTCCTTCCGTGAGGGTCTGTTACAGCAGTAGCTAGGGTCGTCTAGCCTTGAGGTCGGTGCTTCGCAGCTGGCTCCGCTTCGAAAACCGCACCTAGTCTCTGTTCATTGGCTGTGGCTAGAAAGAGCAGCTCATAGAGGCGGAAGTTTATTTGCAACAACCTACAAGCCTACCAAACTGTTTCTAGATCGCCTAGCATTTCCGAAACAGGCTGATGACTGAGAAAGCCGGGTCAATCGGCAGTGGCCGGCAGAAGGGTCGATTTTTAGGTGAAACTCTTGTCGCCGCGCCTTGCTGTCTAGCGCAGGTTAAAGAAGGCAAGTAGGTAGCAGTTGATCTGTGCAGCAAAGTGACCAGGCATGACGTTCGCTGTATGGACGGGTCTCGAGAAAAAGGACTGATGGGTGCAGGGCAGGATCCCCCAGCTGAAACACGCCCTATCGAAAGGGGCAAGATGCGCTGCGGGTAAGGTGGGCTCGGTCCGTCCGATGTCGATTAGGGTGAGCAGATGGGATTGTCAAACGCCGCAAGGCGTGGCTGGTGCTGCGTCCAAATAGCAGCGGGACGTGCTCGGTACCTTGCAGGTACGATGTGGCTCGTCCATACGAAGCCGTTTGACCTACTGCAGCGCGCAAGCCACGGCGCGACGATGTTTGAGTTATTGCGGGGCTCGAGACAGATCGCGCTACAAGCTACAGATGGCGAGGTTGCGCGCTGGCAAGAAAGGCGTGCCGCTGGCGAGCAGATAAGGTTTGCAAGAGGCTCGCCCGACACCAGTCTGGCTCCAACGGCTCGAGTCTAAAGCGGGCGTTCGACGGTTCACAGTCCAGGGAGCGGCGCGGACACAGGCAGGTGCCAAGCCAGCGCAGCAGGGAGAGCGGGACAAGGCAATCTACAGACGCACGTATACGCGGCGCAGCACTCGGGCGCGAGAACCGCCAGCGGGCGCGCACACCCGCCGCGGTGATCTGTTGCAGTGTGATTGTGATGGAAACAACGCTAATTGCTTCTCGAAGAAGGTGAAACGCTTCGAAAGAGGTTCTCGAAGGCGGATCGTGTGGCCGACGCAATTTCGCCAAAATCCTGGCGTTCTCAGGTGATGCAATGGAGGGGACCGCCGGTCGATCAGTGGGATGCGCAGCGTTGCGGGCAAAGACTGGTTGATGAGGTGGTGTCGAACTAAAATTACCACGACGCTTATCCACGGTAGTTGACGTGCACGTAAGCGGGCTCGCGCAGCTCGGACTCCAGCGCGCACTGCTCCACGCCGGGTGCGTCCGAGATGACACTCCAGCCAGCGCTGCCGTCATCTCGAGCTGGGTTGGCTGCGGGCAGAAGCAATCTCCTCGTTGCTCTGGCGTCGGGGCACATGAATCGACGCCCAACGTGCCCACGGACGCTAGAGATCGGCGCGGTTTGTAGGGCTCGACGCCCTGGCGAGGCGATCCGGATGCTGGATCGACGGGCTAAGATCCTTTTCTCCCTAGTTTGCCTATACCCCGGCACACTCGCATAAAGGAGATTGAAAGATGCGCCCTGTGCGCTCACACCCAGCACCTCACGTCTGGAGCAGAGCGGCAGCCTCGGAACTGGGCTCTGCTGCCCTTGGCGGCGTCGGGGGGCGCTGAAACGCGTCTTCCGTCGCGAAAAGAGCCGCCGCGGGCCAGTGCGCTGGACGGTTTCTTCTGCTGCCCAGCACAGACGGGCACGAGGGCCATGACGACAAAGCGGGAAGGACGACAGACGTGGTGGCTTGCCTCACGCCGGCCCGCTAATCTCAGGGGCGCTTCAGGCGTCAGCCCAGCGCGTCGCGGTCCTCGGTCGCCGGGAGCGGATGTGCTTTTGCGAGGCTGGGCCGCGGGTCTCGTGGTCAGGCAGGCGGTGCGGCGCTGGTTTGACAGCGGGTGGTGTGGCCTGCATGCTGATGTCGAGACGACACGACCCTGGGATCGCCCGCCTAAGTCGCCCCCGCCATTTCGGGCTTTTTCTCTCGCCCAAAAGCTCGGAACAGCTTAGGGCGCGGTGCTCTGCTTTCATCAGCGTCTGGCGCATCCATGGCGCGCGCACTCTGCTAACCGCACCCTGACCCATCCACACCAGCACGAGCCCGCTGCCACCCATCGTCATCCGGCACGCAGGCCGGCGCGTCGTGGCGTACCTGCGGTGCGTAGGGGCCCTGGCTGGCGGGCAGACAACGCTGCCAGCTCCAGGCCAGCCCTAGGAGCGATCCCGAGCCGATCAGCTCGAACTACCCGGCAGCTACTGACAGGCTCCATCACCGGCCAGCGCGCGCCAGGCCAATGAGGCGCCCGCAGCGCCCGCTCTGCGCCAGTCACCTCAACTATCCTCCTCGAATTTCAGCAGTGAGCACAAATAGCACGTTGGCGCGCCTCCTAGGGCACCAGCAGCACGCCCTCCTCCTCTTCGTTTGATACCCGCTACCCGATTCTGCTGCGGGACGACCCAACGTGGGCGGGCGCGCGACAAGGTTCCCGTCTCTTTGCACTGTCCTTCAGGCCGAAGCGTCAATCGCGCCGATTTTGGGTCTCCTCTTTTGCAGCCGATTCTTGCAAGGTTGTCCTTCCTCGTTCCGTTTCGTGGCCCTGCCGAACACTACCGTCGACTCCGTTCAAGGATTCTCCCCGCTCTTTCACAAGCTTTGTTTTTGACACGGGCAGGCACAGCCTACGTGTCTGGCCGGCCCACCCTCGCTGACGCGACCCGCCAGTCTCCGCCTTTTGGGGGGGCATTCCGGGTTCCCTCTCGATCGAGGTACTCACAGCTGCTCGAGGGTATCCTTGCGCCAATCATAGACTACCGTGAGGCTGCTACGCCATTCTTCCAACGGCGCGGCCTGCGCGTGCCATTGGTCGATTGCTCTGCTGCGCCGGGCCTGAGTCGCGTCTGTTTAATATCCCACACGTCGCTGACCTCAGTCCATCGTGAGTGCCAGACTCCTCTCGTTCAATTCACCAGCAGCTCTGACTCGGTGACCCGCGTTCCCAAGGCCTCCACTCCTCGCCCCTCCGCCGCGCACCACCGCTCGCTTCCCACCCCGATCGCCTGTAACAGGATCAGCAGAATCCGAAAAGCTGGCACTCTACGCGACTCCTCCTCTATCGCCGCTGGGGCAACGGGGTGCGCGTGAGACGCCCTTGTATCCACCTCAGAAGGGCAGGTCGGCTGGCATGGACAATAATGACCGGCGGCAGCGGCAGGCAAATCCCACTGGCTACACCGGACAGCAACCTCTCATCCCCCAAGGAACGCCCGCTCCGTACCCGGCCGTGAGCGGCTCCGATCGCTTTCGACAGCAACCGCCATTGACCGCGCAGTCCCCCACCCAAGCACCGCCGACGGCCAGGACCGGACAAGGGTACGGCTACGCATACGGCGGCGAAGGCGCAGCGCAGTTTGTCGGATCGTCGATACCGGCCGGCGCCCTGCAGTACCAACCCGAGTACGGCCAAGAACAGCAACCGCAACAGCAGCAGCGAACGCCACAACAATATTCGCAGTACGCGTCAAGCATGATGTACAATGTGCCCGCACAGCAGCAGGCGGCTCCGCAGGCACCTTACGACTCGGTGCAACAGTACCAGCCACGGCAGTCTGCAGCAATAGAGGTGTTGTCAACCCAATTTGGAGTTCCACAACAGTATTATGGTGTGCCTGGCGAAAGCGGTCCAACTAGCGCCCCTGCGGCTGGAATGGCGGCGCAGAACGTGCCGGCACAATACCCATCCCTCTCTTATACCACTCAAAGTCCCGTCGGCCGGGACCCTCTCGCTCCCGCATACGCCGCTGGAATGAGTGATCCCACCACGGCCGGCTCACACGGGGCGTACCCCCAAGGAAACTACGCCGCCCAGACCCAAGGCGCGTCCGACTGGGACAACACGTACGCAGAATACCAGACCCAGGTCAAAAGGACCTTCGAATGCATCCGCGACGGCCGGCTAAGCGAAGGCGGCGGCTGCCTCTTGCGCATCACGAAATGGTTGCTGGGGAATGCCGAGGCGCTGGGTAAGCCGCACGCAGCACCCTCTCACAGCCGCCAGCAGCTGAATTGACAATAGGTCTAGTTCGAGACGACGAGCCCATGCACGGCGAGCGCCTGAAGCTCTGGGAGGAGTTCAACACGGCCTGGCTCAGCATCCTGCAAAAGCAGAAGGAGATGGTGCAGGAAATGGCCGAGGCCGGGCAGGCGCCGCGCCCGCCGCAAAGCCTCATGGAATATGATTTTATGGAGAGCATGGGCAAGGAGCTGGTGGGGCTCTGCGACTCGATGGAGAAGCACGGGCTGGTCGACTACCAGATGGGCGTGTGGGAGGAAGAAATTGTCGCAAGTAAGTTCGCCGGTGCGCGCTCGCGCTTCAAGACGGTACTGACGCTTGGCAGTCCTCACAAAGACACTGGACACGATGGAGGAGCAGACGGGCGCAGGCGGCCAAGGACCCGCAGCTGCAGTGCGAAGGCGATGAACGACGTGACACGCGACTCACTCGATAATGTCCCGATACGAAGAACGCGAATATTTCCTTGATCTATTCTGTAAACTCTGTACCAGGTGCTCGCTCGTCAGCTGCTTTTCTTTCCTTCCTTTCCGGCATGCTGGGTTTCCGACTTGGGGAGCCGGCCGCGCTTCAGCTCTTCAGCCTTTTTCGTTATCCGTCGTATTTCCTTACTTTTTTTCCCTTCTGGCTCATGCATTCCGGTATTTGGAATGACGTGGGGTGCGCATGGGCTCCGGGTGTTCATGGCGTTCCTTTTTCTTCCTTTCTCTCACTGTACAAACATCGAGCATGTTCCAGGCGCGGCGCTAGGTTTGATGTACGATGCTCCGAGTAACGAGCTGGCATGGGGGGCTGGTTCCGGACACAGGGCTTCAGGCTTGCTGACGTATGGGACAAAGAGAGGGGCACAAGATGGGGGGAAAAATCCGAGGAGGCTGGGGTGGGCTGCAGCCGGCGTTGGGTGCTTGCTCCTGGGGCGCGGAACGGTGGGGTGGGGAGGAGTTCGGGCCTTGCACGACGGGACGTTTTCATTTTCTTGAAATACCTAGAGGCGGCGGATGGGGGGGCAGGCAGGGCTGGGCCAGGGCGGAGGTTGGGTTGGGCAGCAAGCGATTGGATGGATGGAACGCGACGAGACGAGCTACGCATGACATGGATTTCTGGACGTGTACCTTAGCTAACCTGCTTACCATTTACTGTAGAACTAGAAGGCCGTGAAAGCACACCCAAGCAGACCCGCTCTCCCAAGACGACGCCCCCCCGAGACGCTGCGCCACCCTCGATTGTACATGCATCGCACATGGCCGCGATGCGCTGGCGTGGCACCCGACAGGAAGCCCTTTTTCTGCACGTCGGCGATCTCGAGTGCGCCTCGCAAGTCAGCCTGGAGGGCGGGCATCATTTTGGGATCTCTGTCTCTCTACTCGCTCGGATTTGCTTTTCTCCTCGCCGTCGAAGCCTCGTCAGGTCGAAGCCGAGGCGGCAAGTGACGTGGCTTGTTTTCGCTGCTGCCGGCAGGCAGTTGGCAGGCGGGAGCAGAGGCGGATGGCTGCTTTGCCTTGCGGGACCCTCGCGCTGCGACGCCCGCCTGCAAGCCCGCAAGCCCACAACCAAGGCGTTGGGGATCGCGGTGGATGCTCGCCCCTTGCGGCAATCTCCCAGCTTTTTTCTCAGCTCACCACACAAGGGCGCTCGAAGCGGCAGCTGCTCCGACGAGCGGCCGCACACGCAGCAGTCTTGGGAGGGGGGCGCGGCGTCCGGGCAGACGAGGCCTGATGAGCATCGAGCCCGACAGCTGCACGCGTGCAACGCCTAGCTGGGGCGGACAGGACAGGCTGCAGCAGGTGTGCAGCAAGCCTGATCATCAACATGAAGCTCGACGCCCCGTCAGTTGGTGTCTCTTTTTTATTTTATTTTTCCTCTCGTTGCGCCGCAAGGCCAGATCTGCAGGTTGTATGTTTAGAAACATCAGGGCCCGCACGCAGAGCAACTGTGCTGTGCGACTGCGCGCCCTGCGAACGCCTCGTTGCGCGCGGATCCACAGCCGCCGCCCAATGCCGCCTGCTCATCGCGAACGACGTCTGGCCATCGCAGAACGAGAGAGTCCCCACTCTGCTGTCCCGAGTGCCGCCTAAGCCAACCTCGTCTCCAGCAGCGCGGGCCTAATAAGCGCACTTCTCTGATCGCACCTCCTGCGCAACTTCGATGCTCCTCCATCAGAAGCAGTCCCCAGCCAGCCTCGGTCCCGCCGGCCAATTGGCACTTCTCCTATGCGCGACGCCACCGTGCGCCGTCCGCCCGGCGGTCTTTCGCGTGCAGCAAGGGTCGCCAGTGCCCGCAAAAAAAAATAAAAAATGAATAAAAGAAAGAAAGCCGGGGCGAGTCAGGTACCAACACAGCCCTCACTGCTGCTGCTGCTCTGCTGCGCCCTTGCAGGCCGACGACATGGGGGTCGGAGACAGAGCTGAAGCCAGCTAGTTAATCACACGACCAGACGACGACCGCTGCTTGCTTGTTCTTGCCAGGGAGGAAGCCCGCCGGGGCCAGCTTTTTCTCAAACAAGTCCCACTAACAAGACACAAGTCTCAACGCCAGCGCCAATCCTTTCGAGTCAACTCGTCTCCTCGCGTCCGGGGACCGCTGGGCGGGATGCGGTGGTGTGCCTTTCAAGCGAGCCGGCAGCATTCCACCACCCGCGTGCGCTGCTTCTCACCTTTTAGCTCCCACGTCTTTCCCAAAAACCGCAACCCTCCCCCGCCATTGTGTAGGCCGCTACCTCAGAAGCGGCCAATCAGCGGCCGTGGGGCCACAAGTACCCTCTCCGACGGAGATACCGCAGCGCCGTCGTGGAATGCAACTTGATACGGGAAGCTCTACTAATGCTTGCAAGCCGTCGAGGCGCATCTGGAACGTGACGCCTACTCCACCGGCGCGGGCGGTGCTCGCAAAGAGCCGAGAGGGAGCCTCCACTTTTCCCCCTCCAAAACACAGGGCGAGCATTTTCCGCCGTGACGCAGCAAAAAAAAAAAAAGCCTGACTGATGAAATGCACGGCATCGGCGGCAGGCTGGAGGAGGTCGGGCGTTGCTGAGTCAGGCCGAAGACGCGCATTAAGCAGTCATAGCGCTATGCACGCTGATTTGCATAAAGTGCTCCGCTTTGGCGAAAGACGAATCATATGTGGGCCCATTACTACTCCTCAGGCCAATGACTCGGTTCGAAGCACGACATATCAGCAGCACTAGGCGCCCCAGCGTGACCTACGTGTTCGTTTGTGCATGCGCGCGGAGCTTTGCCGTGGCGGCAGAGGAGGAGGAGGGGCAGAACCAGACGATCCGCTTGGGATTCTACCCCGCTCGACAGACTGAGCTTCTCTCTCGAACAAAAAAAATCTGCTGACGAGCGAGTGCCAAGGCCGGCGTCAGCGGGCCAGTCAGCAGCCGGCAGTTGGCGTCAAAAAAGGGTCCAGGTTGCTAACAGACCACCAGAAGAGCGAGAATAAGCGCACTTTCCGCTCGGCCATTGCTTGGGAAAAGCCCTCGTCGCTCTCGTTCGGCCGGGGTCGATCATCGAGTCCGCCCCAGACGAAGCAGACGCAGGAACCGCCGATCGCCCAATCCGGAGCCACGACGCGCCCGCCGCGCTTCGTGTCTTCAATATCGCGCGCCTCCCTCCTCTGCGCTCGCCGTCGCCAACGTCTCGGAGTCCGTACCGACCCCTGCTCGCTTCGCCTGGGCGATTGGCGTGGGATTACGTCTTTTGCAAGATCTCGACATCCGCAGATCTAGGCGCGTCACCCAGCAAGGCTGCGCGGGAGCAATTCCATGCTTTGCAAGCACCCCAAGCCACAAACAAACCGGGATGCGATGATGGCGTGGGATGCTGAGTCAAAAGTTACTCCGACACGTCACTTGTATTTACTTCGGCACCCGGCCGCAGCAAGCGCGATGTCAGCAAGAATGGGAAATGATAAAATGGCCGTTGCGTGAGGAGAGACGGCGAGCGGCTCCGAGAACGCACGGCTCGTGCGCTCGACTGCAGCCCGATCCGAGCTCCGGATGGTCGGTGGGACGACCGTTTTGATGCTTGACGTTTGACCTGCTGCCGCTCCGTGAGCTCCGCTCCGACCTCTCTCTCTCTCCTCGGCGGGTCTCACACAGCCGCTCTGCTCGCCCTTCTTTTTGCCTCCCGGTCCGCTGCGGAAATCGGAAGAGGGTCAAGATTCGCGGCAGTTCAGCTCACGGCGCCATCCGCGGTCCGAGGGCCCTAGCTCCACTGCATAATCGTCAGCGCTTCGAAAGGAAATCAAAGAAAAAAGAAGATGAGAGGACGAGAGCTGTGTCTCTCGTGAGTCGTGAAGAATTAAACTTCCGATCATCATCAGCCCCGCGTCGTTCGTTTTTTTAGAGTTGCCCTCGAGCGTGGCCGCCTGGGCCAACCGACGATCCGGAATTCGCTTCTTTCATAAGAACGACATCAGTGCTGACGCCAGGCTGGGACATTACGAGCAACCAAGGATTTGCCATTCTCTCGGCCGGCGAAGGGGACGACAGACGTCGAAGCCCGGACCCCCAGGGGTTGAAGAGCAGAAGCTCGGATGACAAGGATGATGCCAGAAGGATTCAGCTAGGATGCTGAGTTAGTGCGCAGAGAGCTGAGGGCGGAGCCTGCTTTTTTTTCCTGACCCAGCACCGCACAGCACAACGAGGCTGACCGAACAAGGTAAAGCAGCACCTCCTGCCCCAGGCATGAACCTGCAAGGTGTCCTTCCCGAATCGGCTCCCTCCTCCGCGGAATTAATCAAAAGCCCACGGGCCCCCCGGGAGCGTCACTTAACAGCGGGCGAATGGCGAGAGGCAGATCTGGCTTTCCTTGCTGCGGGGCCAGGGAAGGAGGTGGTCATGTTCACCTTTCAGGTGCCAACACCACGCTCCTTCGGCCCTATCAAAAGGATCATGTGTATCAGCTGAACTACTTGTCTCTCCCGAGCCGATACTGCTCTTCGTTCGCCGGCCAGAAGCCCGCCGCTGTGGGCTTGTCGTCTTGATTGTGAACAATCACATCACGATCTGGCCAATCGAGATTTTCGAAATACCCCGCCGAGATCGCCCAATTGCAGCCTATTGGGGCAGGCAATGTCGCATTTCGCGAAGCGCGGCCCAACGTCAAACGGCCGGAAGCGCGAGGCGGGATTGTGGAGAACTAGTTTTTTTTTTCCTGCCTCGGGGGGGCTAGACACAACCGTCTGGCGCATGCACAATCGGGCCATTGCGGCCGCTTGGTGGAAATGACGACCGGCAGAAAAGATTGTCCAGAAGGTTGCGCGCTGCGGGCCGCGGTTGCCCGCACGTACACTTCTTCGCTTGTGCTGTCCCAGCTACCCATCACGGACCTCCTCATCCTTTCTCTTTTAGTGGTTGCCGCCAGTGTCACTCTCTCGATCATGATCTGACTTCTGTCACACGCAATCCCTCCTGAGCTAGCGAGAAGGGGTGGTTGATCAAGGCTTGGAAGACCGTGTGTATGTGTGTGCCTTAGCGGAGCCGCTGTAAGACCTTCCTCCCTCCCTCCCCCCGGCCGGAACATGGCCAACTCGGTAATGCCGATTGGCATTATGGTGTGCTCATCAGAGACGGATGCTATCATGCTCGGTATTCCAGCGGTAAACCATCCGTATCTCTTTGGCGTTGTCGCATAACGACACGTCTTTGGCGAGATCCTCGCGCAGCCTCAGCATCTCGACGACCCGGTCAGACCCGTCCGCATCCTCGCTCGGTAGGGCAGCAGCAGCTTCTGACGTGGACCAATCGCCTCGGCCATGGCGTTTCTTGTACCACTTCTCGATCCTTTGGCGTCGTGCGGCGAGATAAGCTCTTGTCTCAGGCTCCTCCGCGTCCCGTCGTAGCGTGCAACCGTCTGAGTCGCCGTCACATATCATTCCCTCTTTAGGGATATGCGTTCCATCATCACCGGAGAATGGCTTTCTTCCTGCATCATCCTCCAATTCCCTGCTTGTCTCGACCTCCTCGTCTTGTGTCTCCTACTTTCCCGTCAGCTTTCGATGGTCGAGCACGGCTTCAATCTGCCTCGGCATCTGGCTAGAGGATGGAGGCAACAAGGGGGGACAGCCAGGGACGCACCATGAGGCGACGAGCGTACGCCTCCTCTCCGAACAGCTCGTCCAGCATGCGCCGCCAGTCGAACGAGATTTCGCGCTTCTCGTAGTCGATGCGCAGGTCTGGCAGCTCCGGGTCCAGCGCCAGGCCGCGTATCTGCACCCAGTACCGCCACGCTTCTGGGCGCAGTGAGACATATCCCTTTCCTCTCTCCTTCTTTCGAGCGCCTTCTTCTCCTCCCTTTGCTTCATCGGCACCGCCATCTCCGTCGCCAGACCCCGGAACCGCCCACCTCCCCACCGCCTCCCTCCACTGCACCATCGTCTCCTCCAACACCCCCTCCCCGAAACACTCCGCCGGCCGCTCGTCCCTGAACACCGCCCTCCTCCCCGCCATCGAACCGCCTCCTTCTACTCCACCTCCCCTGCCCCCTCCTCCCTGACCCTCATCATCATCCTCAAATCCCACAAACCCCATCGGCACCTCGAGGTCATACACCGTCGTGCTGGACCACTCGCCCCCGCCTTCTTCCGCCACGACCACCACGGCGTGCGCGCCCAGCGGGAACAGCACCTGCACCGCCCGCGGCTGCCGCCGCAGGTGGCGGTCGATGAAGACTTGCTCGGCCGCGGCGCGGGTGAGTGTGCTGGCTGAGCGGCAGCTGCGCCAGAGCCAGGCGAGGTGCGGCCAGGCGGGCGCGGCGGGGCTGTGGTGGAGGATGGAGGTGTGGAGTTCGAGGGGGAGGGGGGGTCGTCGGGATCGAGGGCATGGGGATGGGGATGGGGAGGTTTGAGGTTGGGGTTGGGGGTGGGAGGGGGGTGATGGGTCTGAGGGTGGAAGCATGGTTGGGGAGCCTTTTGAGGCAATGGATTGAGAGATGCTGCGTGATGATGTGGTGGAGATATCTTGTGGTTGGATGAGCGAGTTGGCTCTGGGTCAACCCGCTGCCCGTGCGTTTTTGTCAATGTAGAGGTGTCTAAACCCTCTCTAACGTGTGCGCGACGATCCGGCGCGCATACAGGTACAGGTAAGGTTTTGGGGGGACGTCGAAAGAAAGACGAGCTGTTGCCACTCGCGTATCGTTCATGCAGGTGCCGCGACGCGAGAATTGGGAGTGCGTTCCTGGGGACGATCATTCCGGGCACTGCTTGGCCCGCGGAACAACTCCGCGAACCACGCGCGAAGCAACCGCGTCGTCTCTGATCATCCCTCTCGGTTGACTTTCCCGTGGCGGCGCGGCCACGATTTTTTCTATCGCTTGGAACATACACACAAGAGCTAACGGGAACAACTGCATAATCTTCGTGTAACGTGCTGGATGGCCGAGAGGTTTTTTGACCACGTGCTTGTCGGGAGATGCATTACTCCTCTGTAACCATCCTTGCTTCGGACCTGCGGGGCCTCGGACATAAGTCTCATACGGGCAGAGGAATAGGCGATTTTTGTGTCAACCGTATTCTAGGATGCATGGTGCATACGCAGCTTGACCGGTCGATGCCGGTATAACGGTCACTGTGCGCTAGCCTCTGCATGCTCTTTTTTTGACCGGTCCGTTACACGAGGTGTGCAGCAACTAGAGGCGTGTCTATCAAACTCACCGGTCGCGCTGCTGCCGTATGCATGCAATCTGTCACGCAGCCAAGTGCCGATGCGACTTGGCTGTCAGGCATTCTGTCTTGCACATGTAGCAATTGATTTCCATTACTGCGCCCAAGGAAAATGGTGCTCGGCAGTGTTCGCAAGCTAACACTACCGTAGCTGTACATCAATCTCTTCCAAGTCCTGCCGCTCCCATGCGGACTTTTCGATGTGGCCAAGAGCTTCCCGGACCGCATATTCTCCTTCCCATTTGATCCAGAGAACGTTGTAGAACTCATATAATTCGTCCTTGGGAATTTCTCCATTAGAATCTTCCACAAGTTCCTTGGAGGAAACAGGCCAGTACACGCAATAAAACGATCTGCATTGGCCTCTAGATATCGCAATGAGTTCGCATTCTTGCCCGACTAGTGCCGCTTCAGGATCACCAAGATTCACCCGAAGGCAGCCCGATTTTGATCCCCGTACATCAACCACGATTACGTCTTTTCGATCATGCTCGATGTGTGCAGCGATTTTGAATTTGGCCCTGTAGGACCGAAACTGAAGATACGGAGGCCAAGAGAGCTGAGCGGGCTCAGGCGGAAGCTCCGCCGCCGTGGGGATCGGACACTGAAATGCAATATCAGGTGCCGCCGCGGTCGTGTAATATTTTGAGCCATAGTAGTCATGGCGAGTCCATCCATCTGGAGGTAATGCTGATGCTCGAGCGCGAGCACGCCATTCATGGTGATCGTTGCGAATTCTTCTTTGATTCCCCGTATATGGATCCACTTGATACCAGTCGAACAAGGGCTCTAGCTTGCGGTCCGAGTCGGTGAAAAGCGCCCCTGCATATTTTTTGAGATGCTGGTACGTGCCCAGTTCCAAGGTAAGGTGGTAGGAAATATGACCTGTCCATCCCAACCATGACCAAGACGGTACAGCATAGTCGCTGATGGTTCGATACTCTTCCCCTCTTCTCCAGGACGAGTCAGAGTCTAGTTGCCAAAGCATTGCTAGGTCAAAGAAGAATTCCGGTAAACCGTAGATAAACCCCCCGGGGAATGATTTCTCCAGGGACTTCTCGATTCCCGCGAAAGCTGCCTGGATGTCCTCCGAAAACGTCAAGTTTCTTGTGTTGTATTCCTTGACTGCAATACTCCACTCAGACAAATTTGGCCACGACTCAATGTGGAGGGTCATGTAATTTTCCCGATCCGTCGATCTTTGATCCCATTCTCCGGAGTAATCTTCCTGCCAGGCGGACTGTTGGCACTGCCAAAATACGGTGTTTTGGTGGAAGACGATATATCTTCGGGCAAGAAACATCTCTTGGAAGGTCCATCCTCTTGTAGCATGGTGTGACTGTTTCAATTTTCTTTTGAAAATTGATGGGAATGAATAGTGACCGAAGTTCAAGGATCGCTGAAGAAGATGGCGTGGGCGTGACCCTAATTCAACCCCAGGAAGCCCCCAATTTGCGTCTGTTCCGTCGGCTGCAATGATTGTACAGTACGCATTCATGAAGATGGTGTCCATGTTCAGTACATGGAGAAGCTTGTTCTTTTCGTCGTCCTGCACGATGCATAGGCGATCAACCCAAAGATAACGTTCCCCCAACCGTTGCAATAACCGTAATGCATCTCGAATAGTTTCTGAAAGTTTTACCAGTGGCGAGTCAACCGTGATGCTTCCATTTTTGCAGAGCATGTCGATATTGTCCATCCGGGCTTCTGTCACCGCAGCAAGTTGGCCCCAGACATAGGAGAGCGCAAAATATCTTGTGGTGCTTGGTAGCTTGACCAAGCAACCCTGCTCGACATCGACCAAATGTAAGTTTTTCAAAGCAGAGTCTTCATTCTGCGAATGCGTCCCCTGACATTCACGGCCATGTGTTTGGTCGCAGTCATTCAGCCATTGCTGAATTTTGGAAATGTCAATCCATGCGCTGTCTGTTGTACAATTAACTTTTATCACACGATATATAGTAGACAACCGTAAAATTTTGGAGGTGTGCCCTAACCTACAGATATGCGCTGTGGCGTAGGGCCATTATGCATGACAAACTCGCAAATAGCCTCTGAACCAGAAGGTTCTCTCTTAAGATAGAGAGCCCCTGGGCGACCATCTGTAAAAGAACGCAGCTTCAATAGATCAGTAGCTTTCTTGGATACAGGCTGGAGGAGTTCTGATATCGCCTGACAGTTTTGGCAGGTAGGTGCTCTTTGCTGGACGTCTGCGACACTTCCCAAAAACATCAAGCACCATTTTTGGCGTGTTAACATTCCGCCGATGTCTTCGCATATTTCGCAAACCATTTTTCCTCTTCGGTAACGCAGCGGGCAAAGGACGACACCCTTTGAGTTCTTCGAGGGATTTGGGAGACGTAGGCCAGAAAGTGCCCCGCACCGTCGCGTTGCAGGCAACAGCCAAGTCCTGCAAGTAAGCGGAATGGGCCCCTGCAAGGATTACTTAAGCTATCAAGGTGTTATCGCTACACTTCTATATTACCATGGGCATGTCGATATAAACTTCTCCAAAAGATCTGAACGAACATAAACCGTGCAGAATCATAGTGCCTCTGGACAATAGTTTGTAATATTTTGAGCCATTGAATCGATGCTGATCTCAATCTCAATACCCCACTAGTAACACGCTCGTAGCAGACACGGCCGTTACAGCAGAAGTGGGCTTTGCTTCCTTTGAAAGCAGAATCGCTGATGATGCCAAAGCTTTCGTTTCAGTCTAGCTGCCCGAAGATACCTTGAGTTGCAATTGAACCCCTCATCTCATCTCGTCCTTTTTAGAAACCGCCGACTGCCCGTTAGGCGGCAAAAGGCTGTGGGACAATATCGCAAACCTTAGAGACGATTTGAACTAGCCAGCAGCCTACCAAATACTCCTAGACTAACAAACCTTCCCTCGGAACCCACGCTCACTCACTCTCCACCGCCGCCGGCAGACTCCGCCTCCTCCGATCAATCGCCCTCTGCACATCCTCAATCTCTTCCTCAATCTCAACATGCACGCGCAGCTCTTTTTCCTGAAGCGTGTTGTACACGCTCCGCAGCTCCTTAAAGTCCAAGTCGTCGACGAGGTGGGCGAAGGCGAGCATAAGGTAGGCCTTCGAGTAAGGCAGGTGCAGCAGGCCGCGGAAGAAGACGCGCTTAGCGGCGGCGCGGTCGGCGGTCGAGACGAGGTACAGGACGTACGAGGACCACAGGGCAGAACTCTTCTTACCGCTGGGGATAGCACAGGTGTGTCAGTTACAATGCTTCGGGTGGTGGTGGGAAGGGGGAAAAATGGGAACGTTACCTCTCACTATCAATCGCCTTCTCGAAAGCCGCGCGCACGGCGTGCGTCGTGCCGCCGAGATTCTCGCCGCGCTTGAGCTCGGAGTAGATGGCGAAGAGCCAGCCGACGATCGACTGCTCGTTCTGCTGCAGCACGACGTCGTGCATGATGGCGCGCACGCGGTCGTCGACGCGGAAGCGGGCTTCGTTGGCGGCGTACATGGCCAGGAACTTGGTGTTGTTGGGGAAGAGCGTGATGCTCTCGTGCACCACCGAGCGCGTGATGACGGGCTTGAAGAGCTTGACGCGCTTGGAGTGGTACGAGAGCAGCTGACACTGGAGTTGGTGGGCGATCTCGTTGGCGGCGGAGTGCAGGTGACCGCGAGCCTGTAGGAGGGACGACATTTCGAGGAATGTGCTCAGAGCTGCTTCGATGTTGCTTCCTTCTTGGATGTAGGTGAAGAGAGCGAGGCATTCTGCATAGTATACTGCTAGCACGGTATCGCCAACGGATATGCTGTGATCACGTCCCTCGACGAGAGTGTTGCGGACCTTGAGCACTGTAGCAGGATGGAACTTGTCATCGTCGTCATCGGTAGAACGCGCTTTTGGTTCCGGTTTGGCGTCGCCAATTGAGGAAAGACGGTGCCTTGCGGACCTCAGATCGTCGGTTCGGAGAGCCTCCCATATCCAAGATCGCCATAGTAGGATTATGTGCTTGCGGGCCTCAGCGGGTAGCTGATTGCTCATACCTATTGCCATGGAAAACACGCGGTTGGCTGCTTCCGATTTTCCGGACCGGCTCTCAATCAGGGCGTATGCGTTGTAAAGACGTAGACTTGATGATTGCTTCTTCAAAAGCGCCTTCGCAGCCTTTGCGGCGCCAGTCGGGTTGCAATGCCATTCGAAAGCGAGGTAGTACTCAGCAATGGAGTCGTCTGAGATTGAGCCCGCCAAGGTCTTGAGGGATCTACTCAACCACTCCAGTTGTTCTTGATTGCGTGTTCCGGAAAAGAAGCCCTTGGAAAAGAGGTCATCGGTTGTTACCTGGAAACATTCTGCTGGCGGGTTCCAGTTGTCGAGCTCATAGTGAGAGTCAACTTCAGGCTCAGCTGAGGTTGTTAGAAGGAGGTGCTTGGATACGGTAGCGTTGAGCTTCTCGCTCCGCAAGAAAGGGTCAAGCCACCATGAACGAGTCTGCAAATCGGACGGTAATGGCGGAAGACCCCAGAAGCAGAGATAGGCTTCTACGAGCAGGGTTGGCGGTAATTTCTCTACCAGGAGTTGGAGCTCGTTCTTGATATCCGAGTACAGAACAACATGGAAAGGATCGTCTTCTCCAAACTCATCTGTAGTCCGTCCTGGCCATTGTAAGACATTCATTCGGTGAGTCTCCTTCTGAGAAAAGGATTCGAACAGGCGTCGCAGAGAGATGTCAACCTCTTCATCTTGGATAGTGGATTCAGGCGGGTCTGGGAAGACCCCATCTTGTCTGGCATTCGCCCAGCCGACGGCGCCGGTCTCGCCGAAGCGGGGGCATTCGCTCTCCCAAAACTCTTCAAAATCTTGCAAGATTGATGACTTGGGCGTGTCCTCCCCGAAGGTAGGTGGTCTGAACAGCTGAAGCTCTAGCAATGCTTGCCAGAGCGCAATTGCCCTCTCGTGATAGCCGGCATGTTTCATCAGCGATGTAAGCCGGAGGAATACATAGACACGCAGGTGCTGGGCTTCTCTTGTGGTAGACTTTGAGATGATCTTCAAGCATTCCAAGAACTTTGACCTACAGTCCTCAAAATGAAACTCCGCAAGATTGGTCTGTAGAGCGTCGAGATATTTCATCCATAAAGTCGTACTTTCGCGGTTCTCTGAAAGCACTTCCTTCCATCGGTTGAAATGTTCTTCTCTCTGGTGAATCTTGGAACTTTCGTCCATAAGAGCAGCAACCAGGCGCTCGGACTTCAGAACCTTCAAAGCTCTCTGGTAGATATCAAAACGGAGAGACGCGAGGGCATGAAGCTCCGATGACTTTAGCTGACGATGAGTATCAGAAGACCCTATACGGATCATCGACTCCTGGTGTTCGACCAGATCCAGCCAGGTTTGGAGATCGTTGGGTTCGTCTTGGACTCTTCTGGTCAGCAATGCATTCCGCTGCTTTGTTTCGGAAAAGAAATCTGCATGTGAGCCGGCATCCACATCATCACTAGCATACTCTAAATCAGAGTCTTCGGGCTGATTGGGAGGCTTGGCTTTGCCTTCAATTGATCTGTAGTCAATCTTCTCGGCCTCTGGCTCAGGCGATTCTGAGCCGCGCTTCCTCTTCAAGCTGCGTACAGGAATGAAATCCTGGTTCTGATCGAGTTCACCGGTAGTATCGGAATGAGTGGGCTTGACAAGGCGCAGAATTGGTGCCTCTTTGCCAAAGACCCTTTTGGACAGCAATTGGCGCTCAGATCCACCATGACGTCGGCGCATGTCAATGATAATGGTGCGGTCATCCGAAGAAAACCTGTCAATCCTCGCATAGGATGGTAATCCTAGCACAGAGCCGTATCCTGCTCTGTAGTAAGGCGGCACACTGTATTGGTGTAGTCTGCCATACTGGAGATTGGCCAAGTCGCCTTTGCGGTCGATAACGTATATGACATCGTCGCCTACTGCTTGTTTCTGAGCCGGTCGTTCTGCAACAGCACGGTCGTCGCGTCTCTCTTCGCGCCTAGTATCGCTCTCATGCTTGTGTTTGTGGCGGCGCTCGTCACGCTTCTCGCGTTCGCGATGCTCGCGATGCTCACGGTGATCTCGGTCTCGGTCGCGGTGGCGGCGGTCACGGTCGTCACGGTGACTGCGACTGTGGCGATCACGATGGCTCTTGTGATCGCGCTCGCGATCTTCGTGGTGGTCTCGTCGACGGCGGTGTTTCTCGTCGTCGTGATTGGGGCTGGGTTCCTTGGGTGGCGCGGGTGGCGGAGGCTTTGGTTTGAAGCTCGAGAATTTGGGCACAGCAGGTTTTTCGGCCTGATCCATGGTTAATCGGCGACGTTGAGACGGGTCAGCGGGGCATACGAACCTGGGGAGGGTCCATGTTGCGGGCGGGCGACAGCTGTTAGATCAGCGGCGGGCGTCGGCGATTCGGGCCGGAGCGGCAGAAAAAGTTGGGGCGGTGAGGGCATTTTCAGTTCTGAGAGCGCGCGCATCGCATCCACTCTGCTGCGCGACACTCTCAGAATCGACTTGCGCTGCGCCCGTCTCCCGCCTCTCTTTTCCATGGACGCAGCGCTGCGCTACACCGCCATCAATCTCTCGCCAATATGACGTCCGCCCTCCAGCAGCAGCTCGCCCAGATCGCGGCAACGAGCACCCACCAGCTCGACCTGAAAGCTCAGAAGGCTTCTCACGGCAAGTCGCTGCTGTTCGAGCCCAGGATTGCCGCCTCGCAGGACTTCAATACCATCTACCAGATATGCCACGAAGGCTACCAGGACCTATGCATGCTGGATCCTCGCTTCGCCGCCTTCGCGCAAAACCTGTTCAGCGAACAGAGCAAGACCGAGGACAGGACCCAGATGACCAAGAAGGAGAACGAGGAGCTGGATGTTGTGTTGGAGAGCTTTCTCGGCTTGGTCGGCGCCAGAATACTGCTGAAGCCTGCAGTGAAAGCTGTCGAATGGCTCGTTCGCCGCTTCCGGTATGCTTGACTTCGCCAATCAATCTCCAATTAACTCATACTGACATGTCTTGGCGCCGCAGTATTCATGAATACAACACAGAATTCACCATCTTGACTTTCCTCCCGTACCACAGCACTCCCGTCTTCTTGAGCCTGCTATCCATTCTGCCCAAGAAGTTTTCGCCCACCTATCGATTCCTCTTTCCCTACATTACTTCGCTCGCAAGTCCGCCGCGTCAAACGATCGTGTACACAGCCACCCACACCCCGGCTTTCTTGTCGGCCCTGAATTCCTACGTCCTGAAGGTTACCAAGGCACACCAGCAATCGCCAGCTCTGATCTCCTTCTGGGCTAGTGTGGCAACCCAGGCTGTTCACGGCATGCTGGATGAGGCTAAGGCTGGCAGAGGAAATGTCCAGCGCCAGCGTGAGGAAGATGTTATTTTGCGCATTCTTCCCGTGCTCAACGAGGCATTGACCCTGAAGAATGCGCCCGAATTGAAGGTCGGCTGCTACATGATCATGACGGTCATGGCAACCAAGGCATCATTTGAAGACAAGCTTCTGAACGGAATGATGGAAGCAGTCACTTCCAGTTGGTCTGTAGAGACATTGAGTGATGCCCTGACCTCACTCGCAGTTTTGGCCCAGGAGAGACGGAGCGCAAAACTACCCAAACCGGTCTTGAGGAGTCTCCTCAAATTGGATCAGCTGGCCGCCAGGATTTCGGACCTCTCCCAGCGGTGTCGCGTTGACAGGTTGGCTTTTGGCTGTGTCCTGGGTATACTAGAGAAATACGGAAAGTCGGCATCTTCGGACAGCTCCGCATGGCTGGATGTGGTGGAGAAGACCCTGCACGCTCAGATCTACGATGATCTGCAGACCGGCGTAATAATCAAGTCGCTCCTAGTCACCGTTCAGAGGATCGACTTGGCTACCGATGTTACTTCTGAGCAGCGGAATCTCCTAGCCGATTTGATCATCCGCCTGAACCAGTCGCCCGACATCGGACAGACCATTGCAAAGGTTATTGACGGAGAGGGCATGGACGTTGAGAAGTTGGAGATGCAGCTCAAGACCGTCCTGCGGCCAGCTCTGGAACCCAAGAAGGATGAAGATGACGACGTCGACATGGAGGATTCCCAACCTGCCTTGGCAGATGCTATTGAGGACATTCTGTCTACGCTGCCTTCTGAGACAACGGAGGAATCATTCTTGGTCTCCCATGATTCGGCAACTTTCGAGGCTCTCTCAAAAGCATTTGTGCGATGCGTATCTTCTCAGGACTCTCTCGAGAAATTCTCGCAGGTTCCTCTCTTCTCTGGGAACGACTCTCGCTACCTAACTTTCCTTGCTCGGTTCTGGTGTGGATCGTACCCAGCCCTAGCAAGGAGCACTGCAGTGAGGCTGGCGACGCAATGGTTTGGCGCGCTTCAAGATACGAAGTCCGACTTCCAGGCTCTCATCCCTTACGTTGTAAGCGGTCTCGCAGACAACTCCCCTGGTGTCCGTAAAGCTGCTGCAGAATGCGCTGCGGCTCTCGCCGGAAAATTCCCTGCGAAGAAGGGCACCAAGGCTGCCGTTTGGGGCCGCGAGACGATTTACGGAAGCTCGTCCAAGTCTATCAAGTGGCTTTCTACCGATGATGCTGCTAAAGTGCTGACTGCCGCAGTCCTGCCAACCTTGGAAGAGTGCGCTCTGGATGCGAACCATATCAAGCAAGTCTTCCAGACCGCGATGGACGACAGCGCCCACAAGCATGCAGGAGCATCGGCACACGGCCCTGAATTCAAGTCTGCTCTCAGAACCTCTCTTTGCGGCTTCCTGAGCAGCCACGCTGTGAACACGCCCCTCCTTGGAATCAGGTTGCGTTTGTTCTCGTTCTTTGACCAAGTTGGCAAGAGCGGGTCGAGCTCTCGTGTCCAGATTATGCTTCCTGCGGTGGAGAAGTGGCTCTCCCTCTCCAAGGCTGAAGCCACTGCTATCTGCAGCATTGAGTCGCTCGATCTGGTCGAAGTTGACCGACTTCACCTTCGTGCAATTGGATCTCGCGATGCAGAGGGTCTGCACTTGTTGCAGAGAATCATCGAAGGCAAGTTTGGAACGGATCGAGCCAACATCCAGCAGGCCGCTTTCGAGCGCCTGCGTGCAATCTGGTCCTCATTGAAGGGAAGCATGAAGCGGGAGGCAGCCCAATTCTTGCTTGGTCTTGCTCTCGACTCGTCTGATGACGCACTTGTCAAGACCAGACGGGACAATGCTCTCGAGACTTTGAGGACGGTTGAACTTCCTACGGACGTTCTCGTTGCATTCCTCGATGACATTCCGAATGCCGTGCAGCTCCCAGAGAACCCGCCCGCAGCGAAGCGTAGGAGAACCAGCAAGGCTGAAATGGCCCGTTTCGACCCCAGGGATACCGAGGAGACTACCAAGGCCCTTGAGAAACTTACTTTGGTCCTTGAACTTGTCGAAGGTTCGTCTCCAGAAAACCACCCGGCTCTGCTGCGCGGTTTGTTCCATATTCTTGGCGAGCTTCAGCAGTACAAGGTCCAGACGAGCTCCAGCCTGGTCTACCTCCAGAGCCTCATTATCAGTTCCCTCCTGGCCATTGTCGACAGAATGAAGGCTACCGGCGCAGAGATCGACCAGTCCACTATCCGTGCGGATCTCCTCGTCGAATGCGTTCGTCACACGTCCAACCCGCAAGTCCAGAATGCAGCACTTCTGCTCATCTCAAGCCTGGCTACATGCGTTCCGGATGTTGTGCTTCACAGCGTCATGCCAATTTTCACCTTCATGGGCTCTTCGATCCTCCGCCAGACGGACGACTACTCGGCACATGTTGTCGACCAAACAGTCTCCCGCGTGGTGCCGCCCCTTGCGGCATCTCTGCGCAAGAGGAAGAGGGATCTGGTTCTCGGTGCTGCTGACCTTCTGCTCAGCTTCACGGCGGCGTATGAGCACATCCCTCTGCATCGTCGCCTCGGTCTTTTCGGACAGCTGACTAAGAAACTCGGCCCTGACGACTCTCTCTTTGCCATTCTCGCCATGCTTCTTGAAAAGTACCCCGAGGATGCGGCAGTTCGCCGTTTCGCTACTGAGCTGATGAGGATGTTTGATCCTGTCACCAACTTGAAGGCTTCTACGAGGTATCTTGAGCTTGTTCAGGATGCACTGAAGCCTAAGCGCACCATGTCTGAAGTCCTCTTCTCTTTGAGTGAGAAGGACGCGGACCAGATTCAGGAAACCGCTGTCACTCTTCTCGAGGCTCTTTCGTCGCTACTCCAGGACGGTCACCTCCACAGCAGGGTTCTGAGAGTGCTGAGGGAGGATAGTGAGGATGCTGCCGCACTCCGCACCGTCTTTACCCAGCTCCTTGAGAAGACGATTCAAATGTCTCAGCAGTACAAGCAGCAGGAGGATCTCAGGGCCGCTTGTGGCCAGATACTCTCCAGCCTCCTTCGTCTGCTGCCTACCGCCGAGCTTGTCAAGTCTACTGACACTCTCCTCGGCCATGCAAGCGACGATGTCCGCCGTACGGCCCTTCGCGCTGTTGAGGCTCAGGCCATCAATGTCAAGCAAGGCGATGCTCCGGCTAGGATTGCCCTGCTTGAGTTCTTGCCTCGCATCACTTCCGTCATCCAGAACTCTGAAGATATCAGCCTCAAACACACGGCCGTCGCTTGCATCGACCAGATTTCGGAGAAGTTTGGTAAGAAGGACACTGCAGCCGTCGCAACAGCGGCCGAAGTCGTTGCTGGCGACCGGGCCCTTGGTGCTTCCGAAGATCGTCTGCGCGTCATGTCCCTTCTTTGCCTTGCATCCACTGTGGAAATTCTGCAGGATGACTTCATTCCTCTCATCCCGAAGGTTCTCCCCAAGGCTTTCGCATACCTCGAGGAAAGCATCAATGCGGGTGCCAAGGGAGACAGCCTGCACAATGCCGTCTACTCGCTCCTGTCTTCCATCATCGAGCGCATTCCCTACATCTTCTCGGGCTCTTACCTCGATTCGGCACTGCAACTCTCGCACAAGTCCGCCGCTGCCGAGCTCAGCGACGAGGCCGACGAGAACCGCAAGCAGTTCTGCCACCTGGCTGCCAGGCAGATCGACGCGAAGGACTGCTTCACCGCGCTCGACCGCAACTGGGACAGCGCAGTCAATGCTGGCTTCCCTGCGCCGAAGGAGCACCTTTCCATGCTGCACACGGCTCTCGAGACGCGCCCCAAGTCCGTCGTCGGCAAGAGCGCGCAGACGCTGTTCAGCTTCTTCCTCAAGGCGTTCGACCTCCGCCGCACCCAGCTGCAGAGCACTTCGGACGATGCGGAGGAGAGCGAGACGCTTAGCGAGATCAACGAGCTGGAAGAGCAGATCAACGCCGTCGCCCTGACCATGGTCATGAAGCTGAACGACGCTTCCTTCCGCCCCTTCTTCGTGCGCCTGGTCGAGTGGGCAGCGTCGGCCCTGCCGAAGAAGGAGGCCCGCGGCCGCACGCTGCGCGCCACCAGCCTGTTCGTCTTCCTCGGCGCCTTCTTCGACAAGCTGCGCAGCATCGTCACCAGCTACTCCAGCTACGTGCTTGAGCTGGCTGCTGAGGTTTTGGGCCGTGAGGAGGTCAAGGGCGCCGAGGATGCCGCGCTGCTGCGGGCGGTGTTGGGCGCGTTGACGAAGAGCTTTGAGAATGATGAGGATGGTAAGTCTTACCCTTTACACACACATCCAAAAAGGCAATATACTAATGCTCATCCCTTAGACTTCTGGACCGCCCCCTCCCACTTCACCACCATCTCGACGCCCTTGCTCACCCAGCTCTCGACTTCCGCTTCCTCCCCTCTCCTCCACTCGCACGCCATCCCCGCCCTCACCGCCCTCGCCGCCGCCGCCTCGCACGCCGCAGACCACCACAAGGCCCTCAACACGCGCATCCTGCAGCTCATGCGCGCCGACCAAGCGCCGACGCGTCTGGCTGCCGTGCGCGCGCAGCAGGCGCTGACGGACGCGCTCGGCGAGGAGTGGTTGGCCCTCCTGCCGGAGATGCTGCCGTTTATTAGTGAACTGCAGGAGGATGATGATGAGGAGGTTGAGCGGGAGACGCTGAGGTGGATTAGAAGGATTGAGGAGATTTTGGGGGAGAGTTTGGAGGGGATGTTGCAGTAGATGGGGGATGAGGGGGGATGAGGGGAGAAGGGAGAGGGGGTAATTGGTTTGGGGGAAGACAGGGTGGTGGTTTTTTGAGACGTTACGTTTCGTTATGTAGGAGGTATAGAGAAAAGAGAGCGAGGGAGGGAGGGAAAAGTTTGTGAGCGTTTTTTTTTTTTTTTTGAGATGGGCGCTTGGGTGGTGTGTAAAATGGGACTTGAGACTTTTCTGTTTTCCTCTCCGTATGTGCTTATCGTTACGGTTGTACAAAAATAAGCTGCATGTCGCACCGCACCTCAGCTGAGGGGTTAGGCTGATCACAGCTAGACTGAAAGCGGGGTTGACTTCTGCCTCAAGCTGAATACTTAAGCTAGGCTTGGGCCCTCCTCAAGAGTATCGTAATCGGGGACCTGGACTATATCTGCGTTTTTTTGGTACACCTTCGGTAAGTGGTCGTCGCGTTTGTATCTGCTATTCTTAAGTACCGGGCTTCTTGGTTCTAATAGTTTTCAAGCCTTGTTTTCTTTGCATGCCATGGAATCGCCAAGTAGAGACTGTCCCAACGACAGTGCAACCCGCCAAATTGACCTCCATACATGCGAGTTCTGCGAGAAGATCTACGTCCTCAATGGGTACTTTTCAAGAGACGAGATAAACGTCATGTTCCACGACCGCTGCCCTACTTGCATGCCTCCAGACCCATCACTCTGCCGTCGATGCCAGCATATGAGACTTCGGCATCTCCTTTTTTGCGAGCAACACAGAGCAAACAAATTCACGAAGATCCCAATGGACCACTTGAGGGTGTCTGAAGTAGATGATGCTCCTCCCGATTGCATTCTTTGTTCATTCGTTCTGCGGGTTGCTCTGTGTTTAGGAGCATCTGTTGAACACTCTTTGATTGCAATTTTAACTGAGGATGACAAGCGCGTCCATTCAAGAGATGGTTCCAGCCGCAAGGGACAGAAACGTAAATTTCTAGTAGGAAACACCTCTGGACCCGAATATGCCTGGTCGGTTGCAGAAGATCTTGCTCCAAATTGGCACGCCCATCCCGAACATGAAAAAAGGGAGAAATTTTTGGTTTCACAGTCACAAACGATCAAAGAACTCATCAATTGGGACTACTTGAAGGAATGTGCGACGGTCTGTTATGGGGAGCACGAGGATTGTCGCCAAGAACAGTTACAGCTACCGTCTGGCTTCCGACTTATCGATGCTCAGGACAGATGTCTTGTATACGGATGGCCTGGAGTTGAGTTCATCGCCCTGAGTTATGTCTGGGGCAGGGACCTGGAGAGACGGGAGCGGATAAAAGGAGTCCTCACGAAAGACTGTGTGGAAGAACTGGAGCACAGAGACAGCCTTCAACCAGCCGAATTACCAGCCACCGTCGAAGACGCCATTCGAGCATGTATGGCGCTGGGGGAGAGATACCTGTGGGTCGATCGTTTATGCATTGTGCAGGATGATCCCGACAGCAAAATGCAACAGATCCAGGCTATGGGGAGCATTTACAAGTCTGCGAAAGTAGTTATAATAGCTGCTGAGGCAGAGAATATGCATGCAGGCATATGTGGTATCAGTAAAACCCGAAGGACCAACCAGGATCTTGCTCAATTTTCCGGGATGGAGGTCGTACAACAGTTGCCTAATATCCAGCAGAGCGTAGAAAGAACTATCTGGTCTTCCAGGGCATGGACATACCAAGAGGCGGTCTTGCCAAGACGAAAACTTTGGCTTACGGACAACCAAGTGTTCTTTGAGTGCGGCAAGGGTGTTTTGCCTGAAGGCAACTCGGGAGGGCTGGCACATGCAGAGTATCTCCCGGCCGGGATGGCTCAATTGCGCCCCTTGGTCGAAATGTCTTCCATTAAGGAGTACTTTGACCATCTCCTGAAATACACGAGGCGCTCTCTCACTTTTGATTCGGATATCATCAATGCTTTCACGGGAATAGGAAACTCTCTTTATGGAGGTGACAGTCTGATTTACGGCCTACCACACGACAATTTCGACCAGGCTCTTCTGTGGCAACCTATTGATCCAAATTCTGGAGCCCGCGAAGGTCAATCTATTGGAAATTCCGTCCTACCAAGTTGGACGTGGGCCTCGGTCAAGTGTCAGGCATCCGGTTCGGGGAATGCTGATTCGATTTTCTGTGGTACACTAGTCCAGTGGTCGGTATGCACAGAGTCTGAGGAACAACCTACACTCCTGCATATCAAAGCGAGAGGGGCACCCTCAATGTGGAGTAAAGAGGGACTCCATCATCGTGAGGGAATCTCTCCTCATCTATGCCTGGCAGTTGCCTGGATCCAAAACTGCATTCAGGGAAGCCTGCCACCGTCACTTGAGTCCTCTCGAAGCATGACCTTCGCAGAATTAGACGCATCGGCACAGTCACAATGGCCTAATTATGTTTCGTTCTGCGAGGATCAGTGTCCACTACCGATTGATGCGAACGGAGTTCCAGCAAGTGTCACTACCCAGCTAAAACCAGGAGACCTTGTCGGCCGCGTACTGACAGCACTTCTTACAATAATCACTACTTCTGGACCAAATGGCAACGAGTGCTTGCTACGCGATCACCGTGACCAAATAATTGGAATGGCACGGGTGTGCGGCCGATCATTGCCGACTGTTCCGAATACCAGGATCAAAGCCGTTGCCGTTTCGATTTCTTTATCTGTGTACAATGATCTAATCTGGTTCGCCTCGAGCTATCCCAGTCACCACGGATTGAAGTCTCAAGGTCAAAGGTTTAAAGCTGCAGCACAAACGTTGTGGCGAGACCGGGAAGAAAACTTTACAGTTTTTGATTCTGAGGGGCATGCACTTATCCCACCTCCCGTAGTCAACCTCCTGTTGGTCGAAGAACGTGGGGAATACTGCCGTCGAATAGGGCTGGGATGGGCCTATTTAACACGGTGGATGCAAGCGGAGCCGGTGTTCGAGACTGTTGTGCTGGAGTGAGGGACTGGCGCAATCTGGCTTTAGAGGAAAGAGAGATAGGGAATGTGAGCATGGATCATCTGCGTGTATTCTGTTTCCAGCGTTCACCTATTTGAGCAAAGTAATGCATAGACCCAACTTCCAGAAACCCGAGGTGAGTCTCTAAGCATAACTTTGTCAGTGTTACCCGCTTCCTTAGTTGTTTCCCGCTCTCGGAGGCTCAAAAAACATTGCCTGGGCCATCCATTTCACCCCTTTATGGCTGAAGTCTGTTGAAATTGTTAGAAAAATCTCTTCAAGATGTGAATTCGGAAGAGAGAGACGTACGCATAGCAACAAAGTCCTCTGGGCCGTCGAGATCAAGTGGCTCCTTTTGGATTTTGAAGTCCGCAATATCAAACTTCGGCGCATTCCTGAACGCCTTCAGATACAGCCAGACTCTCTGAATAGGCAGGGATGTAAGGATGTCATGCCGATTGGCTCTGACGATCTCTTTGTTGGCATCCGAGAGCCTGCAGTTGTTCATGATGACGTCCGTTTTAATACGCAAGAATAACATCCGCCCGGCCTGACTGACGTCATAAAAATAATCCTCCGGAGTTGCACCTAGGACTGTCAGCCTACAGCTTGCAGTATTTGCGATATGTCCATACCTGGGCGTAGATGTTTGTATATCTCGTAGAGATCCTGGCGCTGGCCAAGCAGTTCGAATCCAACCATGGTCGCAACCCATTGCGACATGTGCACTTCTGGCTTCGGAAGTTTAATGCATTCGTAGACGCTGCTGACTTTCGGGCCTCCGAGGAGTGAAACAGCGCGCTCAAGCTTCCGGAGGTACTTCAGCCGCGGGTCATCAGGTTGGTCGGTTACGACCTTGAATCCTTTTCTTGGGTCTTTGAGGTAATCGACAAGGATTTCTTTCGTGTAGTCATTGGATCGGAAGGCAATGGCCTTGGTTGGCCAAGCCTCTTCCAGCAAAAGTTCGTTGATGAGACCGACATGACGAGGCTCCAAGGGAAAACATTTGAAATAAAAGACATGGTCCGCCGAAGGGCCTTGATATCCATTCAATGGAACGAACTTCCCATCCACGATCTTGGAGTAGTTGTTGCCGCATTTCCCGACCGGAAGGTCCTGTAAGATCGAATCAGCTGATTCAGGTTTGATGTGAAGCTGTTTCATAGCGTTCAACAAGACCGCTCGTTCAGCTTGGTCGCCTTCGTCGATCAATGTTGGAAGTATGAAGCTTCGGAAAACGACCATGAGGTCAGGCGCGATCGGAGCGAAGTTGTGATACTCCGTGTAAACCCCAGGCTGGAGCTCACCCGAGTCCGGGTCGATGCGTGGGCTGACGGGCCCCTCGAAGATGCCGTATGCGTTTTCTGTGAGGACAAACTCCTGGCCCGCCAATTTCGGGGCACAGAACGACATGAAGCTGCCCTGGGCGTGCAGAATAAACATGAGCGCATCGTGCGTGTACGCCGTTTGCTGTATCCTTTCCGCCCATCGCATTTCTGGATCCATCTCCAGAGCCAAAATTTGTCGAATATTGTCAAACCACACATCCTTTGGTCTCTTGAACTTTCTCTTCTCCATGTATTCTCTCAAATGTTCCTTGTCGTCCGAGTTGTACGTGTCTAAAGAGTCGTGATCGTACCGTTGATGGAAACCATTGTTCCTGTATTTCATGAGAAAGAAAAACTTCCGTAGACAATCTCGCTCGCTACGACGTAAAGCCAGGATATTGGTCCGTGTAGCAAAAGTCTTCTTCGCTTTCCGAATGATGGTCGCTGCATCAGACTCCAGCTGAGCAAGACGCTTTTCCAAATCGTATCCATCACCCATATCCTTCTCTCGGTACATGTCCACGATCCCGAACTCTGACCGTAGCTGGCATGGTTCCACGTTGCCCGACTGGAGGTTGATGGAGTTTATGAAACAATCGTGCGGTTTGCCCTTCGATTTTCCACGCCGTTTGGTCGGGCCGGAAGGAGGTTGCGTCGCCGCTGCGAAGTTACGCAGAATAAATCGTGGAATGAAGTGATGGAACTGCGTTCCTTGTGCGTTTCGTTCGCGGTATCTCGAGGTTCTGGCAGCCATGATGGGCGTGAGTGTTGAAGAAAAATCGGGGCGTAATGCGAGAGATTCATGTTCTTTGAATGTGCTTCAGCCTTGTCTCTTCCCAATATGGGAGCGGGGCAGAGCACAGTATCACCCTGGCTTGATGACGTGGCAAATGCAATCAACCTTTTGAGGTAGTGCTCCCATACTCCAATAGGCTTTATAAATTCCAAGAAGAGAGAATCTATGCTTGTGGCTGTGTATGCTCGATCGTTCGATTTTTGATGTTTTGCTCATGAAAATTTTGGTTGTAGCACGATCGACCAGTCTTCGCGTATTTAGTTCCGAGCTGACCGATGCTCTTTACTTATTCCGGTGTATATGAATTATCTAAATAAGAAGTCAGTCGTTTGGCAGCATGTATACTTGGGGACTCATAAGAGCTTCATCTTGAATGGAAACTTACAAGCATTAGGACCCAGAGACTGCTTTCCTCTAAGCATTGTCAACGTCTGCCGATGTCCTCCATCACATTCTTCTTAGGCGTTGCTACTGTTCTCTCGATTGACTTATTCTAGGAAAAGGCTCAAGCTCCTCGACCTACGTCAACACTGTCATGCAGAATCCACCCTTTCCCTCGCCCCGTTATTACAACATTAAACCCCGAATCACCATCCATATCACTCCATCATCCCAATGCCGATGCAAATGCCATGATCAACAGTGTGTGCGGACGAAATGCGCTCAATTGCATGTCAAATTGCAAAGACGACAAGACAAACGGAAAATGCATAGTAGTGGTATCTCAATGAACGAGGATGGGATGTGTGTGGTATATCGAACGGCAAACGCTTCCCAGCAGCAAAACGAGAAAGAGAAGATCGAAGAAACAAAAGAAAAAAAAAAAACGCCGTGGTATGGTGTAGTCCCCCAATCCAGGTATATGTACCCAAAAAAAAGTCCTAGCAGCAGCCCCGGCCTTTGGCTCCCGATAACCCTTCCCAAAAAGAGAGAGAAAAAGAAAAGAAGAGAAACCCTAGCCAGAATGAAGCAAAAGAAACTAAAAAACCGCAGGAAATATTACAACAAAGGAGGTATCGGTATCGGTATCAATCTCTCAACTCCCCTCCGCTCTCCCACCACCCAAAACGCCCTCACATCGGCGCCGAAACCTCCCTCCTCGACGAAGCATCCACCATCGGCCTCCGCGGCGTCGCCTTGCCCTCAGCCACACTCCGCGCGCGCCGCCTCCGCTCCTGGATCTTCTCGAGCGCGACCTCACGGTCAAACGGACGGTCCTTGAACGATGGCGTGCGGTGCAAGGTGGCCTTCTCAGCCGCCGTCGGCGTCGCGAAGGCGTCGTGCACGCTCGGACGGGACGACGGGGTGAAGGTGGAGCGGGAGACGGTGTGGAAGTGGTGATGGTTGGAGGAGGAGGCGGGCTTGGGCGAGTCGAAGCACATGGGGATGGTGGTGGTGGTCGTGACGGTGCGGTGGAAGAAGTTGTTGGTGTTGTTGTTGTGGGCAGGCCTCTCGGAGGCGGCGGAGGTGGAGGCGGCGTAGGATGATGACGATGCGTTGGACGCGTGGCGGTAGTAGTAGTGCGCGTGCGAGGTGCTGCTTCGGCCGCGCTCAGGGCCAGGAGTGCGAGGTGGAGAAGGAGGGCGGCTGGAGGCTCGGGAGGCTTGGGAGGCCCGGGAGACTTGGGAGGCTCGGGCGGAAGCGGCGGCCTGCTCTATCTCCATGGGGGCGGGCTCCACTGGTGTGGGGAGAGAGGCTGGTGCCGCCGGGGCAGCAACCTCCATGGGTGGTGCGTCGATGTCGGTCATCTCAACATCTTCGATCTGCTGTTTCTCCTCTACTTCAGCCGCCGCTTTTTCGGGCGAGGGGACGCTGCGGAAAGTGCCGGTCGACGGCGAAAAGAGCAACTCACGTTGCTCGTCCGAGAGGGTGGCGGAGTGAGGCGGCGTCGCTGGCCGGCTCACGTTCGCGGGCACCGAACGCTTGGACGTGGTAGTAGTATCAACGTCGGCATCGCCGCCATCGCTGATCGGAGGGGTCATGGAGGCGGGCAGGCTGGTCCTGATCTTGGCCATCTCCTTTTCGAAAGTGTCGTCGTGGATATAGTTGTCGCCGTTCAGCTCGGCCATCCTGCAAGAGCAGCACTGGAACTGGCACTCCATCTTCATGAACTCGACCGTGTCCTCGGCACGCTCACGGCGGCGACGCTCGGCAGCCAGATCCTCATGGAGAGACTTGAGTTCGGCGTTCTTGGAAGGACTCGACGGGATGAAGTTCTCCTTGTCGGAACCCGAGCATACCCTAAGCTTAGACGGCGTCTTCTTGGGCGAATCAAACTCATCCTCTTCGCCGGGCCTCGATGCAGGCAGAGCAATCAGGCCCTCGGCGGCGATCCTGGCAACCTCTTCCTCCTTGAGGCTAGTCTTCAGAGCATCACGCTCCTCCTCGACAGTCTTGATCTGCTCCCTGGCCTTGGACAGCTCTTCCTGCACGCCAACCAGCTTGTACTCTGCCTGGAAAGCCTCCTGCTCGCGCTTGGCGCACTTGATCTTCTCCGACTCGAGGCCGGACTGGGTGATGCGGAGCGAGTTGCGGGTGGCCTTGAGCTCCTCCTGCATCTTGACCAACGCGGACGACGACTTGAACGCTTCCTTGCGGGCTTTGCGGATCTCCTTCTCGTACAGACCCTGGGCATGGCTGTGGGTCTCTTTCACGCGGTGCAGCTCCTCCTGTGCTACCCATCAGCAACCGTCCCCCCTCCCGCTTCCACTAGCTTTCCACACCTCGTGCGACCAAGAGGGAAAAAAAGACAAAACTTACCATGACGACCTCCAGCCTCTTCGCGACCTTCCTCTCCCGCTCCCTGCTCTCCTCAGCCTCCTTCTTCATCTTCCTCGCCTCCTCACGGATCCGGCGTGCCTCCTTCTCGAAGCCGTCCTTATCGTCGCGCAGCCGCCGGGCATCCAGCTCCGCCATCTCGCGCGCCATCTCAGCGCGCCGCACAGCCGCTTCATCGCGGCGATGCAGCTCGCGGTGGTCGAGCTGCTCGAAGCGGGCGACGGCGGCGCGCACGTCTGACGACGAGTTGCGCGCGTGGCCGTGGTGGCTGGCACGCAGCTTCGGCGGCGAGCCCAGCCGCAGGCTGCCGTAGTAGTCGGTGTTGTTGCTGCCGCTGCCGTTGTCGGAGGCGGACGAGGTGGGCGAGCAGGGCAGGCTGCCGCGGCCGGTGGTGGTGGTTGGAAGCATTAGTGGGGAGCGCATGTTGTTGAGGCGTTCGGGGGAGAGGGCGGCGAGCGGCGAGCCAACTGCTGCTGCTGCTGCGTCGGGCGATTGTTGTGGTAGTGTTTGCGGATCCATTGTGGGATCGGTGTGTGTGAGTGCTCGCGGGTACTGTTGCGAGCTTTCTTCTCGCTGGGGGAAGGGGAGAAGGGGGGGAAAATTAAATTTTTGTTAGTGGAGGCTGGTTGCAGATGCGAGGAGAAGTGCGGGCAGTTAGGTGTTGATGAAAGCTCGGCCCTGTAAGCAGTCGTTTCTCCGGCAACCGCCCGCCACCCCAATCCTGACGCCGCACGGCAAGCGCCTCCCCGAAACCAACGCATTTCTTCAGACTGATTGGCGAAATTGTGTCATTGATATGAGTCAAGCTGAACGTCAAAAGTTAGACTTAATGAGATGCTTATGTGACCTCTTGAGCGGCTCTACTCTTGTAAGCAGCTCTACGCTGAATGAAAGTTGCGCTCTGGAGTGTTGTAGCCGCCCGTACTTTTTGCGCTCATGTTACGGTCGGCGCGGCGGTATCAATGCGCACCGGCCATGAAAAAAGCTTGACTCTTCAACTCAACGCACATCTTTCGTCATGTCGCTGTACTATGAGGCAGCAACCATTCTGGAGAATGCCGACAATGTTGGCGGCTCGCTCACCTCCAGGATATACGGGAAGAAAGGGCTGAAGAGCAAACCTACTGCCATCTACGCCCTGGTCACTGAGGCCACCAAGTGGTCTGCCGTCCTAAAAGATGTTGTCGAGAAGAGCGGTATCTTAAAGTTGGAGAAAAAGGTTAGTCGTACTTTCCTGCACCTAGTCCGAACATTACTATCAACCGATCCTTCTTTACGTGTTCTAGTTTCAGTCTCTTCTTCTATTCTACCTCTCTGTATCTTTTCCATCTTTTTTATTTTTTTCATTTTGGATTCAAATATGCCTCTATCGTTCTCTGTCAAGAACACTATTTCAAGATCTGTATTCTAACACTCCACAGCTCACACCTCTCCTTGCCGTTCTTCTTACCCATGATCTTCTTATCTCAAAAGGCGGCGTGGCGGCACCAGCGAACCACCCGCTGAAGCTCGCCATCACCAGACATAAAGCCCGTCTGAGCGCCGAATTCACCAAGCTACGCGTAAAGCGCGGCTTCAGCACGCTCGACGCCTTCCGGCAGCACATCAACGCCTGCGCCGAATCTGGCATCAGCGCCAACAGCGACGCCTCCTCCGCCGCCCCCAGCACCATCACCGAGCACCCCCGCTGGGTACGAGTGAACGCAGTACGCACGACGCTGGACGCCCAGCTCCGCACGACCTTCGCCGACTACACGCGCAAGGACGCGCTCGTAGATGTCATGGCGGCGCCCGCGTCGGCCAAGGTGCTCCACATCGACGCGCACATCCCGAACCTGCTAGCGCTGCCGCCGCGCGCCGACCTCTCGCGCGTCAAGGCCTACCAAGCCGGCGAGCTGATCATCCAAGACAAGGCGTCATGTTTTCCAGCCTACCTACTAAACGTGCAACCCGGCGACGGCGACGCCATCGACGGCTGCGCGGCACCCGGCAACAAGACGACGCATCTGGCCGCCATCGTTGCGGAGAACAACAAGATAGTCGCCGCCGGGGGAGAAAAGAAGAAGACGCCGAAGCAACGCATCATCGCCTGCGAGCGCGACAAGCGCCGCTCGGGCATCCTGGAGAAGATGGTCAACCTGGCTGGAGCGAGCAGCCTAGTTACCGTCAAACAGCGCCAGGACTTCCTCAACCTCGACCCGCACAGCCCCGAGCTCGCCTCCGTCGGCGCCATCCTCCTCGACCCCAGCTGCTCCGGCAGCGGCATCGTCAGCCGCGACGACGACGTCAAGCTCGTCCTGCCCAGCGCCGCCCCTGCCCCCCAACCATCCACCACCGGCAACGCCACCCGCGGCAAGAAGCGCAAGCGCAAGGGCACCGCCGCCACCAACCCCTCCGCTTCCCCCCAAGAACCGGCCCCGGCCACCCTCCCCCTCACCGAACAAGAAACCGAAGACACGGACAACAAAACCGACGACCTCTCCGCCCGCCTCACCTCCCTCTCCTCCTTCCAACTCAAGCTCCTCACCCGCGCCATGGCTTTTCCAGCGGCGCGCAAGATATCGTATTCGACCTGCAGCATCCACGCGCAGGAAAACGAGCACGTCGTCCTGCGCGCGCTGGCGTCGGGCGTCGCCCGCGCGCGGGGGTGGCGCGTTTTGCGGAGGGACGAGCAGGTGGAGGGGATGAGGCGCTGGAATGTGCGGGGGGAGAGGGGGGCGTGTGAGGGTGTCGAAGGGGTGGATTTGGCGGAGTTAGCGCGGAGGTTCGGGATGGAGGGGGAAGAGGAGGTGAAGGAGGTTGTGAGGGAGGCGTGTGTGAGGGGGGAGAAAGGGACGGGGGAGGGGACGATGGGTTTTTTTGTGGCGGGGTTTGTGAGGGAGGGGGAGGATGATGGGGATTATGATGGGGTGGGGGATGGTGGTGAAGTAGGAGAGGATGAGGATGAGGATGAGTGGGGCGGGTTTAGTGATTGATACGCTCAAGAGGGCTCGGACTTATTATTGATTGGATTGTATTGCATCTCGGAATTTCTTCTAAGCGCCAGACCTTGGGCTAAGCCGTGCCGAACGCCGAAGCTTGCAGGTGGTTGCCCACAGCGAAGTGGGGCAGCAGATGTCGTAGCTGCCTAATGATCAAAATCAGCTACCAAACCTCAACCTTGCACCCACACATCTTTTTGGACCGCTTCGACGAACTGTCACAACCCCGGGCCGCTTTCTTGGACTTGGCCATGGGGATATTGTGTCAATACTGCAAGGTCCTGGAGATCGACGACGCCTCCTGGGGAGGTTTCCGGGACGAATCAATACCGGGAAAGAACGTCGCTGCTTTTTCTGGTGGCACTGTCCGTACACTCGAGGATTCTCACTATTTGCTTGACAGATATCACATAAAATATCCTCGCAGTTACGGTCCTGTGAAAATCCAATATTTCACATGCCAGTATGGCAGAGAGGATACGTTCCCTGAGCTGCCTGATCTGAAGGAGTCTGCTGCTGGATGTGGATTTTGTGCCTTACTCCGCGATTGGATAAGGTGGTACGCAAACTCCGACTCGTATCGTACATTCGGCGATCCGGAGCGAACCATTGTTATTCGGTCCCTTTCGTATACGTGGTACGAAGCCATCAGAGAGAACGGCGTTCCTCTCAGAATATTCGGAGGCCTGAACCCAGAGGTTTGTTGGGACGATGGCAGTGCTTGGTACTTTAAAGGTGTTGATATTAGGATAGATGCTCCTAAAGGTAAGAGTCTCCCAATGGTTCTGAGCAGTTGGGCATTAACGTGCAATATTAGGGCCATGTGCGACATGGCTGAACATACCTGAGGAACCCCCCAAAACTCCAGACTTATGGGAGAAGATTTCCATGATGAAGTCATCTCTCTGGAGATGCTCAGAAGAATGCGGTCACCGAAAATTCAGCGATTCCGTTCCTTCTCGTCTGATATATGTGGGCGAGAAGACTGACTTCGGCTTCGGGGACCCTAGGTTGGTGATCATGTCAGATTCGGAGCGTCTGCGAGACGGCTGCGCGAAGGGCAACGTCGAATACGCTGTCCTCAGCTACTGCTGGGGTGAATCAGCGAGCAATTCATTGAAGACCACGATGGAAAACCTTGCAACCCATTTGAAGAAGATACCCCTCGCGAAGATGCCTGCAACCTGTCGAGACGCTATCCTTGTCACACGAGCTTTGGGCCTGAAGTGGCTGTGGATTGACGCATTTTGCATCATACAGGGCAACAATGAAGATTGGCATAATGAGGCTGCTGAGATGGCTGGCGTGTATGGAAACGCATTCGTAACCATCATTCCGTTGAGGAGTCTTTCCAGCCACGACGGGTTCTTGGATCAGCTCAAAAAGCCCGAAGAAGTCAGAGTACCCTTCAAATCATCTATCGATCCTAGCGTTGAAGGTTATTACACCATACGCGCTTCGCCTGAGGAATGGGATGTTGACCTTGCCTTGAGGATAGAACGTCGTTCTTCGAAGTGGCAAAGCCGTGGCTGGACATACCAGGAGGACTTCATGTCACTGCGAAAGTTGTACTTTGGTGATACAGACATTTACTTTCGATGTAGCTCTCAGCAGACAATCACTTGCCAATCGACCGCCACAAGGTCATCCAAACTCGACGGTGAATCCTGGCCATTGGCAGAACGAAGAGGAACTACGACAATTGCTGATGGAACGAAAAGTGGATGGTACCTAAGCCTAAACTACTTTTGCACGAGGGACTTGACGTTCAAGACAGACACATTTCCAGCCATCTCTGCGATTGCCAAAATGTATTGCAATGGCGTTCCAGAAGACTACCAATGTGGCCTGTGGATATCGGACCTCCACAACGGAGTACTTTGGGGATTCGATAGCGGGAGATTAAACCGAGAAGAACGTATGAAGAAGTCATTATCGCAAAATGACTATATTGCGCCGTCGTGGAGTTGGGCATCAGTGTCTGCCCTAGGATGCACCGTCATGTACCCACTGCACGGTTACGGTTCCACATATCCACTTTGGAGGATCCTGGAGACGAAATCTTTTCTTGGAGGTGCCTCCAATCCATTCGGCCGCGTTCGATCTGGGCACATACTAGTTCAAGGAAGATGGTATGCTCTTTCAAGCCTGAAACTTGACTACGTCAGGTACGGCCACACTTCGGAGTACGACGTTTGGAAAGGAAGTGATAACCTCGGTGCATGTCGCTTCGACTGGAACGTGAACGATACGAATAGAGCAGACATGCTGTCTACGCATTTTACGGAGGGTTTGGTAATTCTTTTGGTGGCGAAGCATCACTTGGGACACTCTGGTATTGTGCTTGCACCATCGGCCGGGGACGAGACATGGTACAGAGTGGGGTTATTCAAACGGGGCTATTTCGAACAGTCGGACGGCATTTTTCGAAACTGGGAAGAACGCAAGTTCAAGATAGTATAGATGTTAGGCCTTCAAAACTATTGAGTGTCTAGATGAAAGAGTATCCGTGTGTATCTTTCGATGGAAAGTTCCCCTTGCCCAAGAGTTCACAGGTTATGAGGGTATCGTCGGACATTTGAGGCGTTTCAGGATTTCAGGCCCTTGGATCTGAGTTTGACTACAAAGAGAGCATAGTTGTGGCACGTTTCAATACTTAGCTGCATCGGTGGAGGATCATTTACAGGGTTGTAATTGGTATTGTAAATCCGGTTGTGAAGCTAGTGCAAAATCTTCTCAAAAGGTTCTAATTGTCGCGTACTCATAGCGATACATTTGCTACAGATGCTTTTCTTTTCAACCTCTTGACCGATTCTCTCTTCTCGCGTTTATTCCTGAATTTTCTTTATAAAAAAATAAATACGATAAATTCGTGAGATCCATGCTCACATACCGGCGATATTCCCGCCCTCAAACCAGAACCACATCTCTCTCCGCAACCACCCCTCTTCTAACAAGCTCATCAACATCAAAACTCTTCACCCGAAAAGCCCCCACCCTCTCAAAATAACTCCTCCCATCTCCCCCTCCATCCCTTCCCAGCACGGGCCTCACCAATATCCCCATCACCCTCCCCGCGCCCCGATCCTCCAAAATCGGCACCGCCAGCGCCCTCCCCAGCTCTAGTAGCTCCTCCTCATCATCCGGCTCAACCTCAACATACGGCGTCAAAAAGGGCCGCGTATATGGATGTCTTTCAAACAGCTCCGGCGCCGCGACAGCCGCAACAGCCCTCCCGACGCCCCACGACGCCGGCCGAGCCTTCGCATGCGGGACGCGCGAGGGGTTTAGCATGGGCGCGGCCGGGTCCTCCTCCTCCTCCTCCTCCTCGTCACCGCCACCCCTCTTGAGCGCTGGATGATTGTCCAACCGAAAACACTCAAACGCCTTCACGCGCAACGTAATCTCCGCGTACCTCACCGCACCAAACCGATTCCCCTCGTCCACCAGCTCGACCCTTGCGTCCAGCACCGCCGCCAGCACGCGCGCCGCCGCCGCGCCGGCCTGCCTCAGGTCGTGACAGGCGTGCCAGAGAGGCAAGCCGACCGTGTCGTCCGTCACGTTCAGCGCCGAGTTCGACATGCTGGCCCAGCTCCAGCTGGGCGCGCGGTACGGTGTACTGTCCCTGGGCGATGGCCGCCGCATGCCCTGGCACTCCCACAGCAGGCACCATGGCAGCTCGGAGCGGAAGTGGCCGGCGATGTACTCGTCGTCGGCGTAGAAGCTGTTGCCGAACATCTCCGCGACGCCGGCGAAGGCGGCGAAGACGTCTTTCTCGACGAATGTCAGGCGCGCCTTCGCGTACGTCGCGACGGCGCGCTGCCACTCGTTCATGATGTTGTCGCGCCAGGCAGCCTTCTCCCTCTCCTCCTCCTCCGTCGTCTCAGGAAGTGGCAGCGGTGCCGCTCGCGGTATCGAAAACGGCGCGCCAGCAAGGTCGAACAGCGGATGCGCGCGCGGCATGCCCTCAGGCATGACCTCAGACGCGAAGCCCAGCTCCGCGCACTCCCACCACACCTGGTCCGCGCCAAAGTGCAGCACGCGCGGCGCGAGGAAGCGCTCCTGGAAGACCCAGGCGCGGCGCGTGAGCGGGGCGGCGAAGAAGCCGCCGTTGAGGTCGCGGTCATCGACAACTGTCCACATGTCGCCATCCCCATCCCCATCACCACGCCCAGTCTTCCAGAACACCTGGCACCCCTGCAGCGCCGCCGCGTCCGACGAACGCCGCACAAACGCGCCCTCATGCGGACTCCCCGCGCGGTCAGCCGCGATATTCAGCACGCACCGCTGGTAGATCTGCCGCATGGCCTTGACGTGGCCGACCCAGTCATCCGCGCTGCCGGGCCCGGCCTGCTGGATGCAGAGGCTGTCGATCCAGAGATACGCGATGCCGAGGCGGCTCGTCGTTAGTATCGCGTCCTGGAATGTCTGCGGCAGGCGCTCGACGGGCACGCCGGCCGTGAGCAATTCCTCCGTCTGCGGGCACAGCATCATGAATTCTGGGTGCTCGCCCCAGCAGTGGCTGAGGGTTGCGTAGCCGCCGCCCCCCGAGACTGGTGGCTGCTCCTGAGCGGTGATGACGAGACGCGGGCGGCGCGGGTCGCGCACGTCGAGCAGGCGCTGCGGATACCAGCTGCTGCTGCCGCCGCCGCCGTCGCCGTCGAGTGCTGCCCGGCGACACCCCTCGTGGCTCGCGAGGCACTGCCCGAGCCAGAGCGCTGCGCGCTCCGCGACGGCCGGATGCCCCGTGCTGTTCGGATACGTTCGCAAGCTGCCGACGTGGCGTACGCGCCACGGCTCATCGTCGCGACGTTCCTCCTCCCGAGGCGAAGACTGCTGCACGATCTTCTCGCTGCAGCCCTCCTGGTCCGGCAGCGAAGCAGACCTGTAAACGTTAACGCTGGTGACGACGATCTCGCCGTCGTCATCATCATCATCGTCGTCGCTGTCGTCGGCCGCACGGAAACCTGGCATCACGGCGCGGAAGAAGATCCAGGCCGATCTTCTTCTTTCCTCCTCCGTGGAATCCTCCGGTGGCACATCGAAGCCGATCCGATAGTTGAAGGACGCCGATGATGATGATGATGATGATGATGATGATGATGATGATTCGGCGGCGGCGGTCTGGCTGGCTGCAGCAGCTGCTGCTGCATCGGAGGTCGTCGTCGTCGTCGTCGGCCGGAGGTTTTGTTTCTCCTGGAGCCATTGGCGGCGGACGCAGGTGCAGATCTTGCAGCCGGCCGTTGCGGCGCGGTCGAGGTGGGCTTCGCTTGCGTGGTGTTTGCCTTTGTCACCACCGCCTTGGGTCGTCGTGTACAGCGAAAACATCGAGAGGCATTTTGAGCAGATCATCGTTGTGTGTTGTTGGACGGCTGATGCCTTCTAGCTGGCAGCCTGTTGTTTCTTGGTCAGTGTCAAAGCCGGAATGGTTATTGAAGGTTGATCTGCAGCAGCCAGCTTACAGAGTGGGAAGTATATGCAAACTCATGGTAAGGCGGCAGGGGGGGCTGAGCTCCCTCCTTGAGGTATGGTACTACGGCCCCCACATGAGTGGCTGAGTTTGTCATGCGGTCCTGGTGCACATTAGACGGCAGGTTTTGATCAAGCAATTGCCGAGGAAGAAATGCATTCAAAGAAAAGGGTCCAAGAAAATATTTGGGCCGATGTTGTTGTAGCTGAAAGGACTGACGTTTGAGGAAGCGGATCTCGGAACATGCGCGGATTATGTCATCACTTACCCGCCTGCACTCAGTTACCAGAAAATATAAGGAGCGCCAAGATGGATCTACTGGTACATAGATCATTCCAGGTTGTAAGCGTGAACGATAGTGGACGTAGATAACAGCTGGTAGTAAGTTTCCTGGTTCCAAACCTCAATCGGGGGATGGTCTTTCGATCTCGTGAAGGCAGATCTCGAAAACTGGGGCTTGTGCAACTGTCCAGCCCTCGCTCAGATCGCACAAGCGGCGATCAATATTCGCACCGGCGGCAGTCCAGATATCATGAGGGAGGAGAAGCAGTATTTGCGTGAACGTCCGAAGATCATGGCATTTTCCGTTCTGTCTGCGAGGAGATTGTGAGAAGACCACCGGAGAGGCGAGGCTTCTCTTATTTTTCCCTTTTATCAAAACATTTCATGCACTCGCCCATAGTAGCAAGAAAGTAAAACCCGGTCCACAAAACCATTATCCCAGAGCTTGAAAACCGAATTTGATTTCTTTGGATGGATGATTTTATACGAACCACCTCCAAATGAGACACCTCCCTTTTTGATTTCTCTCCCACCGCTTTCCCGATTTCACGCTGAAGAGAGAAGCGAATTCCCCCACAGACAGAACCCCGCAAAGCCCACGCAATAACCAAGAACACCGTGAAAGGGTATTTACCGGTTGGACTTGGCAACGCGCTCAAGCTCGTCCTTCTTCTTGATGGCGTACGAGTTGGAGCTGCCCTTGGCGGCGTTGATCAGCTCCTCAGCAAGGCACTCGGCAATGCTCTTGACGTTGCGGAAAGCGGCCTCGCGGGCACCGATGGTGAGGAGGGCGATGGCCTGGTTGACGCGGCGCAGGGGCGAGACATCGACGGCCTGGCGACGGACGGTACCGGCCGAACCGATACGGGTGGAGTCTTCGCGGGGACCGCAGTTGACGATGGCATCGACGGCGACCTGGATGGGGTTCTGGTCGGTCATGATGTGGATCTGGGGCAGTGTTAGAAAATCCTGATCTTCGCGCGGCTGTTCGCGGGCAGACGTACGATCTCGAAGGCGTGGGCAACGATGCGGACGGCCATGAGCTTCTTGCCGTTGTTGCGGCCGTTCATCATGAGCGAGTTGGTGAGACGCTCAATGATGGGGCACTGCGCCTTCCTGAAGCGCTTGACGGCATAGCGGCCGGCCGAGTGGGAGAGGTAGACGGGAGTACGGATCTGGATGTAGTCGCTGTGGGCGCCGAAAAGCGTCAGCACACGTCCTCGCGCCGGTTGGCTAGCAAAAACTGTCGCGCGAACCGCGAGCGCTTGCTCTGGAGAAGGGTGATCCGTACGTCAAGGAGATGTCCCTGATCTCGACATCCTCGTAGCTCCACTTGTTGAACAGCTTGATGCTGCCAATCTCCTCGGTGACGTCCTTGGGAAGGACGGGGTAGCCCTGGGGGCTCTCGACCTCAATCTCGCCTTCAGACATGTTGACCAGGTATTGACGATACGACGCTGCCGTAAGTTGAAGGGGAGGTCGTGAGCGGGTCGTCGGCGGGGGTGGTGTTTGTCGTCGGTGAGGTCGAGGATAATTTCAGCAGAGTGTCGGATCAATTGAGTGCCGCACACTCGCTTAGCCCACACGTGATCCCCCAACACCAAACCCACCGCGACGCACCAGCACAGCACAGAGCAGACTTTGCTCGATCCAGGCGACGGAAAAATTCTTGTGCGTGCATTTGAGAGATTCGGTTTTCTCTCGCAAATCCGACCGCTAAATCTACAATAGTTGTGATGCTCATCGCTGGCATTTGCTTACTGCACCTGCAGACCCTGCTTGGCATGTCGCGAGCGAGCTCTCCAGAAATCGGCCGTGCACCTTTTACTCTGCGGTTGGAAGTTATGCCGTGCGCGAGTAGGCAATTGATCAAAGTCTCAAGCGAATAACATGTAATTAGGTCTACCAATGGCAACGCAGTGTCTGTATAGAATTACAATGGCGAAAGGAAAACTCCAGTATCTAATCAATCTATCAATGCACGCCTGATCTCCAATCGACCACAGCTGTAACTTTTTGGGGGGGTATCGATAACAATCTGTGCAATTAATGCGGCCATCTCACGCCCTATTGCGCAAGAGCTCCTCCAGCGCCTCGCCCAGATCCGCAAACGTGATCTTAGCATCGCTCTTAACCTGCGCCGCCGCCCTCCTCCACGCATCCTGCATATCGCTCTCCCGCACCCTAACCACCCACCCACCCGCCGTGACCAGCCTAACGCAGCCATCCGCTCCCCTCCCCCTCCCCACAACCCCATCCGCCCTCAACAGCCTCTCCAACCACTCCCTCCCGCCATCCCCATCCTCCCCCTCTCCGCCCGCCCTCCTCCCCACCCTCCTCAACACCTCCTCCACCCCCACCGCGCCCCTCCCCTCCAGTCCCTCCCGCACCACCTTCAACGCCTCCCGCTGCACCCTCCCCTCCTCCTCGCGCGCGCGCCTTTCCCTCTCCCGCCGCTCCTCGCGCTCCCGCCGCGCGCGCTCCTCCACCGCCGCCTCCGCCACCGCGCGTCGCCGCTTCTCCTCGAATAGCTCAGCTTCGCGCTCCTCGGCACCCTCGCGCTCGCGCGCCCGCTGCGCCTCCGCCTGCGTGCGCACGAACTCGTGGTACGCCCGCCGCTGGTCGCGCCGCGCCAGCGAGCGCGCCTTCTTCGCGCCGACTTGGCGTGTCGCGGCTGCGGCTGCGCGGCGGTGTTGTGCAGCGGCGGCAGCGGCTGCTGGGTCGGCGCCCGGTTGTGGGGGAGCGTCGCCTACAGCGCGGGCGGCTTCGATGGCGGCGAAGGCTTCTTCTTCTTCGGCGGCTAGCTCTGCGTCGTCATCGTCGTCGATGAAGTCTCCATCCTCGAATTGTTCTGCGCCATCGTTGGGGAGGGCGGGTGCGGCAGCATTGCGATCGGCAGCGGGGCGGATGTGCTGGTTGTCCTCATGCTGGCCATTGTCGGTGGCGGTGGCGTCGTCGGCAAGGGGTCGCTGCTGCTGGGAGCCGAGCGATCTGTTCTCGAAGATGACGGGCGCGAAGTAGAGAAAGGCGCAGAGCGCGACGGTGTGGACGAGATCCTGAAGGAGCGGCGTGCCGGGCCTGGTGAAGGGCAGGAGGCGGTTGAGCAAGGATTGGAGGATGCGGAAGGGATTCATCGTTGCCGGTATCGAAGGAGAAGGAGAAGAAAAGTTAGAAGGAAAAAGAATGAAAAGCGCCCGTCCAAATGTTGCTGAAGAAACCGGCCGGACTATTATTGTGTCATGCTTTGGAACATCCGGAAAGCGAGCCCACTGCTGCTGCTGCGCGGAGCTGGCGACGAAGGTGGTGGTGGTGGGTTGGTTGGACGGCGTTGAACTGGTCCAAGCTCCCCCAGAAAAGTTGGGTGCACAGGTGCGCGTGAAACGAAGCTCTTCGGCTGCAGAGCGCTATCTCCGGCACCTGCGACAAGACCCTCACCCCCGCTACTAACCCTGTCTATGGTCGTCAGTCGTTCCGAGCACTCTATTGTATCGTTTAGCTAGACATCATCGTTTTCTGTTTTTCTGGTCCTATATTAGAAATTTCCAGTGTAGACCACAATTTTCGCTCCCAAGGCTACTCTATGACGTGAAGTCGCCGGCCTACCAGGTCTGTGCAAGGCTCCCTGGCATGTGATTAGCGCAAATTCCATGCAGCGTAAATAGAACTCTACTTTTAGCATAGCGATACCGTTACGAGCCTGTCGATATAATATGTCACGCGGTCCGGCCGATCATGATGAGACTCCTGCAGTCTCAAATAAATTCAGGAGTCAAAGATAAGCTTGTAGGCTTCTTAATTGTTCGCCAGTGAAGCATACTTGCTGTTGAAAAGATGATGTTTATGCTTTCCCGGAGCTGCATGCTTTCAAATATTTAAATATAAACTTAAGAGAGATAAGCAAACGAAGTGGTTTGTGCTCGAATAATTGTTGTGGTATTTGTGCTGAAACCAAAAAGCGATGCTAAAATAATCCTTACATGCATTATTTGCAACAGTTTGAGAAGAAAAAAAAATATTTATCTTGTAGAGCCTGACGCTACATTTTACTTATCAAGATAATGAAATCGACAAAGACCTTTATAAATTTGAGACTCATATCTACGCAGAAGCTTTATTCCAGCTCCTTGTGCAGGATAAGTATGGTTTTTTGTAGAACACGGAATGTTTTTTTTTTTTCGAACTACGATGCTGGCGAGGAATATTTTGTAGGATCCACATTATGTCGATTGCCTCACCAATGCATCTCTGTTTACGGAAAGGGCTTGCTAAGACGTTGACCAAGGGCTCTTATATTTCCTGAGCACTATCTTTTTTTTTCTTGGAAATCTGACGGCGGAATACACCAAGAAAAAAGGGCTGGAGGTAATGGTCCCTTTTTTACGCAATCCTCAGCATTTGCAATCCCGACACCTCCATTGTACATACATCCCGGCAATGCTACCAAAGCATTCAGTATCTGCGTAGAGCGGGTCGATTACAAAGCAAGAATGCTTAGACCCTCATTGGGACTAAAGTCGAGAGGGACCGGATATATCGAGGGGGCCTCATGCAGCGGTAGGAGCTCATGCGTGGGGCTGCCATCTCCCATCCTCGTATTACTTTCATACGTGGATTCGCTTGTGTGGGACGCAACAAGGGGGTTGTTGATCTTTTATTTGACCTCTTCGAAGATGGGCTTTTGCCCTGCTCTCGTTGCATCATGATGCTGCCCTCATCCGCAAACCACACATACCCACAGCCGTAACCCCCCAAGAGAACCGAACGCCATGCTGCTTCCATGCCAAGAAGACAATCAGAACCTGGAAGAGAAAAGGGAGACTCTAAAATTGATCTGGAAGGGAAGTCAGCGACCGACAGCCATTGCTGAACGAGAAAAAAAAACGCACCCAAAGTCATGCTCATCGAGACGTCGGTGTTCTCGACCATCTTGGTGAACTCCTCGAAGCTGATCTTGCCGTCGTGGTCGAGGTCGGCCTCCATGATGGTCTTGTCGACAATCTGCTGCAGCTGCTGGTCCTTGAGGTTGCTGCCGACCATCATCTTGAGCACGATGAACAGCTCGCCGTTGCTGATGAAGCCGTCGCGGTCGATGTCGTAGACCTTGAACGCGAAGCGCAGCTTCTCCTCCTTGTTGCCCTTGCTGCTGAAGGCGCTCAGGCCCGACACGAACTCCTGGAAGTCGACGTCGCCGCCGCCGTCCTCGTCGAAGATGGCGATCATCCGCGTCGCCAGCGGGTTCGACGACACCTGCGGCAGCGACAGGAACTCGTCGCGCTCGATCGTGCCCGAATTGTCCTGTACAGGGGGGGAAACATGCGTGTCAGATTTTGTAGATACGGTTTTATACGAGTTCGCGGCTTGCATTCATGCGAAAGGGGGTGGGTGCAGCGCCGAAGGAGGGGTCCACGGCCAGAGCTGCGAGAGGGCTGAACATGGCAAGGGCGGAGGCGGGCGTACCTTGTCGAGCTTCATGAAGCGCTTGCGCAGGCGATCAACCTCCTCGCGGTCGACTGGACGCGAAAGTCAGCACCGCGTCAGGCAAAACACCGACACCCCGCCGGCGGAGGCTGAAGGGTTGGCGCCGGGTGGCGGCAGAAAAAGAAGGATTGGAACGCACAATTGGAGCCGGACACGATGTTGTCCAGCATCTGGGAATTTGCGTTACCCATTTTGGCGGTTGCAGCGAGGGAGGCGTAGCTGGTGACGTGGGAAAGGGCGGTTACGGCGACAAGGTTGGCAAGGCGGAGAATAGGTAGGTGGTGGTGATGTACACAGACGGGTGGGAAAGCAAGCCGCAGGGTAGCCCAGCCCCACGCTCGCTCATCTCATCTCAGGAGCCCAGCTGCCGCCCCCGGCCCGGCCAATCACGCACGCGAGTCAAACGCCCGCCGCCCGCCGATAAGTCACGTGACACAATCGGAGCTAGCTTTCCACGCGGAGAACGCAAGGCCAAGCGTCACCGCCGCTAGCATCATCATCGTCAACCCTCTCGAGCTCGAAAACCTCCCCCAACCATCACACTCCCGGCTACACCATCCAATTGCCTCCACCATGGCCGCCCCCGGCCCCCTCGAGGTCGCCTCGACCATCCAAACCGCCTCTCTGCAGCGCGACCCGTCTCCCCACCACGACCTCAACCCCTCCACCTCCGCCGACGTGCGCGAACCAGTCCACGTGCACCACCACTTCGACGAAGACGACGCTGAGATCCCGCTCTCCGTCCTCCGGCCCGCACCTCGCCGCCCGCCCCACGGCGGCCACGGCCACCACCACCTCCCACCGCTGCCGGACCTGCGCTTCGAGCAGAGCTACCTCAAGAGCATCGAGCGCTGCGAGTCGCGCTGGGGCGTGGCGTACGTGACGCTGCGCGACCAGATGCTGCTGCCGCTGCTGCAGGGCACGCTGTGGACGCTGCTGCTGAGCGGCTGGCGCCACTGGAACCGCGCCAGCCAGCTGTCCGGCGCGAGCGTCGGCGCCCGCGTGCGCCGCTGGTGGTGGAGCGTCAACGACTGGAAGTTGCCGACCCTCAAAAAACCGGAGCTGGCGGAGCGCGTCAAGGATGTGAGTGTCCGCTTTATGCGGGTGTGTGCGGACCCGTCTGGGAGATGATGGTGATGTGGGGAGGAAGAAAGGCTAATGCAGTGTGTTATTTGTGATGTAGTACTACGTTAGCGAGTTTGCCAATGCGGGATCGGATTAGAGGAGAACTGCTCGAGGCTTCTTGAGTGTCGTTCATGCGATAGATGAAAGCATTGGGATGGGAGTCTGGGCGTTATTGTGGGATTTGAGAGACACTTGACGAAATAAGAGATATGGGATACGAGTGATATTGCTACGCATCCGCTGTGGAAATGCGCAGCCTGTACTGTCTGTATACATCCGCTTGTAGTCTGTGTGTGTCGTCTAATTGTTGGATGCCAGAAACCAAACAACGCCATTGTGTCGCAGCCACTGCGACGGGTATCTTCCTGACCCAATGCCTAACGCAACTGTCTGTCTATGTACCGAACCGCGTACCGAGTATGTTACCAGAATCATAACCTTAAGGAGGAATAAGAAAGAGAATTTCCGAAAACACCTTTGTGCCGAACGCAAGAATAATAGAGGAAAAACAGAGAGCATGACCCAATCAGAAACCCAAACTCCAAACACCATTGCTAATGCAGAAAAAAGAAGAGGAAAATGAATCAGCCAACGGCAATCCTCCGAAAGATAAAGCAATTTCCAGAAAAGAAAAGAAAAACATTAAAGACAAGGAAACCCAAGACTACTCATCGTCTAGTAGTCCTCCTTCATCACAATCTCCACCCCATCATCACCCCCCACCCGCCACTTCTCCCTATCCCCCAGCCTCGCCCTGCTACACTCAAACGTCTCAATCTCATACCCCTCAATCCCCACCCCCTGCCACGCCTCGTACATCCTCTTCTCCTCCTCCCACACCTCCTTGCTCCCCCGCGCCTCCGGCGCCTGCTCCTCCTCCACCAACCGCAGCGCCCTCAGCGCATGGCAGTCGCGATCAGCGAGCCTCGGATCCTCGCCCTCGCTGCTGGGCGGGAACAGCAGCTCCGCGTCGTCGAGCGCGAACCAGTGCGCGTGGAAGTGGTACCGCTCGCACCACTTGCGCTCCTGCGCCATGAACAGGGGCGATGAAGGGATGGCGGCGGACCGCTTATTGCGCGCGTTGTTGACGCGCGTGCGGCAGGCGTTGCGGAGGTCTGTGAAGAAGGGGTCGACGTCCTCCTGGGCGTAGAGCACGCCTGCGGAGGAAAGACTCTTGAGGGTGGCAGAGGCGTGCGGCGGCGCGGAGAGGATGTCGAGGAGGAGGGCGCGGATGGGCGCGCTGGTGGCTAGGCCGACGGTGCGGAGGTGGAGTTGCTGCTCGTCGTCGTCGTAGTCGTCGCGATCGTCGTCGTCGTCGTCGTCGGCTACCAGGTCGGCAAGCCAGTCGAGCTGCTGCAGGAAGGCGGCGACGTCGAGCTCCAAGACGTGCTCCTCGACGTCGGCGGCCCGGGTCAGCCTGATTAGTGCCGACGCGGCGGCATCGCAGCAGTCCGGATCCTGCATGTACAGCGCCAGCGCGTAGAGGTCGAGCAGCCGCTGCGAGGTCCACCAGCCGTTCGCAGCCCAGATGTGGTTGTGCCTCGTCGCCACGTACGTCTCGTAGCTGAAGGCCGTCTCGCGCGTCACCCACGGCGGCAGCGGCAGCTCCGCGTCGTCCATGCCGGCCAGGCCGTGGCGCGCGTAGAGAGTCTGGACGCGGATGGAGCAGCGCAGCAACCGGCGGAGGGAGACGGGGACGATGCCGTCAACTGCGCTGGCGTCCGCGGCGCTGAAGTGGCGCAGGTGCAGTCGCGCGCTCTTGGGAACACGGGCTTGGAGGGGGTTGAGGGCGTGGTTCTGGTAGAGGCAGGTGGATGGGTAGGTGGCGGCGTCGTCGTTGCTGGGCTCATCACTGGCGCTGGACTGGCTGTCGACGTCGATGCCGGAGTCGCTGAACTCCTCGTCGGCGAGGGAGATGGCGTCCTGGATGTCGGAGGCGGTCGTGCTGGTGGTGCTGTCGACAGAGCGCGCCGACTGCTGGGGGACGAGGTCGATGCTGCTGCTGGGCTTCGTCTTCGTACGCTTGGTCGGACGAGGCGTCGAGTCCTCATCGACCCGGCGGAAAGTCTCCTCGTGAATGCGCTTCTCGCCAGCATTCTTGTAAACGACAGAGCTGATATCCTCCTGCTCCTCGCTATCAGACTTGGCGGCGGTGGCGGCGGCATTGAGTTCCTTCCTGCTGACCAGCCTCCTGCGAGGCTTGGATGCCGGCCTGCGAGAAGTCTTCCTCTTGGTGGAAGGACCTCGCTGCAGGAGTTCAGCCAGGTCAGACACCTCGACAGGATCACGACCGGAAGTGATGGTGGAAGGATCAGGCAGGTTGGTGGAAGTGTTGGAGGCCTCCACTGCAGCAGCAGAGGCGGAGGACTCGCCGGCAGAAGCAGAGGACTCGGCGACGGGTGACTTGGTGCGAGGACGCTTCGGCTTGGGCGTGTCGGTTGGCTCCTCGGGATCGGCAGTGAACGCTCTCTTGGTGTTGCGCTTCGGGGTTGCCGTCTTCTTTGGAGTGGCTGTCTTCTTCGAGGTTGCCGCCTTCTTCGTGGCGGCCGTCTTCTTCGGAGCTGGAGTGGACGCCTTGGGAGCATCCACTGAAGCACCAGCCGCCTTGCCCTTTGACTTCTTGGGTTGGGTGGCTGTCTTCTTCTGGACTGGAGTTGCCGCCTCGTCTCCAGCAACAGCCAAGTCAGTGGATGAGTTTGCGACCCTTGTGGCGCTCCTGGTGCGCGGCGTCGACGTGCCCTTCTTGGTTTGGGGTGTCGGGGTGCTGTTCTTGGTAGCCCGCTTCTTGGGGGTAGCGGCAGGAGCAGAGGCAGAGGCGGTAGACGTGCTGGTCTCCGGCTGAGAAGCGGACGCGGGTGACTGGAGCGCAACAGTCTTGCCGCGCTTCTTCGGGGTGGGTGTGTTGGTGGACGGAGCCGCATCGCTGGGACCGGCGCTGGTGGCCTTCTTGGTGGTTGCAGACTTCCTTGGTGTACGCCTGACGGGAGTGCGCGCCTTCGGGGTGGCAGGTGGAGGAGTATGGGCATCGTCGACAACGACAGGCACGGTGACGACGGGAGACTCGAAGGCGACAGTCTTCTTGCCGCGCTTCTTCGGGGCTGGAGCAGGTGTGGAGGAAGCCGCATCACTCAGACCGGCGCTAGTGGCACTCTCCTCTGGAATGGGAGTGAGAGTGGGCATGACGATGGGGGCCTTCTTGCCGGTCATCTTCTTCGCCGGACGCTTGGCCGGGGTGCGCGTCTTGCGGGTGGAGGTTGGGGTGGAAGGCGCGTCTGCATTGCTGGCAGACTCGGGCTCGATGGCGGAAGCCTTCTTGACGCGCTGGCGCTTCGGGGTGGTGGTCTCGACGTCGGCATCAGTGTCGTCGCGAGCGCGCTTCTTGCCAGATGCCTTCGTCGGAGTGGAGGTAGAGGGGGCCTTGGCGGGCGCCTTTGCGGGCGCCTTTGCGGATTGGGAAGCGCGCGGCATGCTGGCGGCGATGGTGGGTTGCTGAGTCGGGAATTTGGATGGGATTGTGACGGAGAATTGAAAAGAGATGGGAAGAGTTTGAATGGGACGCTTGGTGTTGGTCGTTGCGGTATCGAGGGAGCGCGAACGAGGTCGTCAAGTACGGGTGCAAAGACAATCGTCAGTGGGAAGGATGAAGAGGAAGAGGAGGTGGTCCGGCTTCAGCGGGAGAAGACCTTGAGTGCGCCTCCGGACAGTGAATGTCGCGGGCAGCAGATGACGGCGTCTCCCGGGTAACGCGAAAGCCGACCCGGACGAGGTGGCAGCATCTCTGCACTCACAACTACCGTCAGAAGGCACTGATGTTTGAGATCATCCTCCAATGCTCACCTTCTAGCGACCAACCAGCGTGGCAGAAAGGAAGGCTAATTTGAGAGAGGGCCATGCCGAAGGCTCGTCCCACTACAACTTATACATCACGAGCCCTTTCTATACTGACAAGGCATTCTAAAGAGCTTTATAGCATATTCAAGAGCACTCCGAAAGAAAGAAAGGCCCAGAAAGGCAAAAGCAAGGCAAGACATGGTACACCTGCCCACCAGAAGACATTCCCTCGGGGCTCTACTCCACTTCTCATCAGGTTGTTTTGGGTCAATATACAAACATTTAAGTGGTAGCGTCGTGAAAGGCTCATATTCGGAAAGACGAACAGACATATATTTTTCTTAATTGCTGAGTATTTGCGGTTGAAGAATACTTCTATTGCTACTATTGTATTGAAATAATGGCTGCAAGGTTTTCATTTGGGCCATCTAGCCGGTCTTATATACATCTGGCTGGTGTTTGTTTGATACCTTCTGGAAGTGTGCCTGCTTGTGCGTAGTTTGATTCTTAGCAGCTGATTTAAAACGATGCTCAAAATAACAAGTATGCCGGATGTGAAGCAACTCTTCCACTTCCTCTTGTTTCTTTAAATAAGAAAAAAGCGGAATTCATTTCGATTAAACCCCTTTATGCCTTGCTTACATTTTTAAATTGCGTAGATTCCGAAGGAGAGCTGCTCGTAAAAGACAGCGTCGTAAAAGAAACCCGACCGGAGGCTTATCGGGTCCAGCAAACTGAAAGCTCCTCTCGGACAGCTGTCAGCCGTTTCGGGATGACCCGTATAACGCTCAGCTGGAGGTCTTAGCTTCATTTAAACCCATCAAGAGGACACGGCAGCCGGGGAATTCTTTACGAGCTAGACCAATAGCGGAGAATGGGTAGCATCGTCGCCATTTTTAGGATGAGTTTGCTTCGCCGGACGACCCACTAAATCCATAGAAGCTTGGGCACCAAAAAATACTACGTCGTGAAAAGTAGGTAGACTAGGCGGATCATGGTTGATGATGCGTTTTCAGTGTTTCACACCGTCACCTGTTGGACAGTGGACATTCCCTGTGCAGATGGACATGGTGAATGGACGCCTCGGGGCACGCGCACTTGGACAGTGATTCCTTCTGGGCTGCGGACTGACACCGCCACTGTTGCTCGGCGCCGACAACGAAGCGGTAGGCTAAAAATAAGCGTGGATTACTACTGTGGCGTGGGGGCGGACCAACCAGACGGGCCAAGCGCATCCTCAGCCCCAAATAACCAATCTACTTTCGGGTGCCCGCAGTGCCGACCACTCTGTCAGCAGAAGATCCCCGCTACTGATCTACAGAAACAAAGTCGCCGCTCGCCCATCTATTTCATTTCCAAGTTTTATCCTCCGTGAGCTCCTCCAGCTTCCTTCCCTGTGCAAAAACACTTTCCATTGGAGCCATGTCGAAAAGAACCGTGTTCACGACCATAACGCCGCTGCCCGCGGGCGTCACCCGGGACGTCGTTCTCGAAACGCTACATAACCATGTCGAAATGATCGACCTAAACCCGCTCGTCATCGAACGTCATGTCTGCCCGCCGCCTCGGGACGCGACGGCAGAGGAATACCACTGCACCTGGTACTCACTCACCGGTAAGCTATTCCATCAACTTTGCCTGTCTCATTGCACGTCTGGCTAACTTTTCTGTCAGACCGCGTAAGCTACCTCCCCGGCGTCAGCGGGAAAGTGCAGTACAACGCCTGCTTCCACGACCTCGCCACCGGCGTGCAAACCCACGTCTACGCGCCGCTGGGCCTCGACATCAAAGAGAAATGGTCCATCGGCGGCAGCCTGCCCGGCGAGCCCGTGCAGCCGGTCGAGCTGGGCCTGGGCGTGCCCAAGCAAGGCCTCTACCTGCGCGAGGACTGCGACATGCGCTGCAACATCGTCATGACCAAGTTCGTGCGCGGCACCCTGACGAAAGCACACAAGGTGCTCGTCGACCGCCTGGTCGAGAAGGCCGGGCTCGAGCAGGTCAAGGCCGACAACCAGCGCATCTCCGTCGCGAGCAGCAGTGCCAGCGGCGTCAGCAGTAATCCCGCCTCCCTCGTCGGCGGCTCCAACGACGTCACCACCGCCGCCGGCTTCCCGGCCTCGCCGACGCTGTCGTCATCCGGCACCTTCAGCGACGCCGCCAGCATCGACAACATCCCGTCCCTCATGAACAGCAGCAGCCAGCAGCCGCCGCACTACCACGAGCAGCCGCCCACGTACGCCGAGCTACCCAGCCTGCAGCCGTCGCTGGCAGCGCACCAGGCCCAGGCACAAGCAGCAGCACAACAACAACGTTCATCGACACCACAGGTCCAGGACTTCGAGAAGCAAAGGCCAGCGGCGTCGGGTTCACCAGCACCAGCAGCAGCAGGCGAGCCCTTCCCGCCATATGCTGATACCGACTTCGTGCCCGAGCCGCTGAAGCCGCGCAAGATGCAGCGGCACAGCTACATGGCCTACCAGCCCGCCGCGTACAGCAACGCGAACAACAGGCTGTCGTACGCGGCGTATCGCCCGCCACCGCCGCAGCACGGGTACTCGGCGTACCGCCCGCATAGTAACGTGCAGCAGCACCAGCAGCAGCATCTCATGCCGCAGCAGTACCCCGGTCATGGGCGGTCGCACTCCGCGGGCGCTGTGCCGAGTGCTGCTGTTGCGCCGTCGCCTGTGGAGTTGGAGGGCTGAGTTGTTAATCTTCTTCTTTTGCTTTGATGTTTATTGGGCGGCTTTTTCACGTTTTTCTTTTTCTCATGCCCTTGACGAATCTCCCATTTTGTCACACGCCTTCCTTCGCATGCTACATATTTTTTTTTTTGCAAGAGAGCTTGCTTGTGCTCATTCTTACACTTTTTACCCTTTTTTCTTTTCCCGAGATACCAATTTGGAACCGAAAAAATACCAAGATAGATGGTTAATGGAGTAGGATGGACATTTGGGTCGCATGTTTCTTTGGCGCTTTTACGATATTCCTGTCAATACTCTGTTCGCTCTTCGAGACTGTCTTTGATGGTATCAAGGGGTTCCTTACGTTAGCGAGATACTCAACAGCGATGGGAGGGTCCATTCAGGGATGTATGGAATCGTTAAATATTCTACCTTTGAATCAGTACAATCTTCGTGTTTGAAGTAGCTCACTCTCGCTCTCACTCTTACAAAGGACCTTCTTTCACGTTTGCTTTAAGTTTAGAGTTAAGGTTTCACGACACTTAGCTGTACTCGCTCGTAGTTGTACAACCATACACCCTACGAATAGAGATAAGTACTAGAGCTAAACGCGAGGGTGAAGATTGGCAAGACCTTAGAGCGAAGGCTAATTTAGCTAGTAGATTTAAGAAAAAATGTCAGAATCGATACTCGACTTACGTGGGCAGTTGAAGCTATCGTTCGGACGAGGTGATTCACGCGGCAGCGGATCTCAGCGCAATCCAGCTACGTGCTATTCGCGGCGGTAATGACGGAAAGCACCTTCCGTACCTTCCCTTCCTCTTTGCTTTCCCTTTTTAGCCTAGAGTCAAGTACAGTCAGCCTGTTCTTCACTCACCACCAACAACAGCAATACGCCGCCTGTTCGAACCACACACGGATTCAAGAAAAAAAAAGGGCAAAAAACCTGCACCTGCCCATCCGAGTCGTAGCTCGGCGGACGGAAAGCCTTATGGCCCTCTTGGCAGGGAAAAACCCCCAAGCTTGCCCAAGGCTTCATTGGGATTTTTATTGTGGATAGGCAGCTGCTCTTTGTTTTTGTCCTTTTCTTTTTTCGACCTATCACAAGTGAAGTTAGCATGTTCTTTTGATGGTAACTGGAGTAGTTACCACTCTGCCACTGTGGGCGAAAGGAACGGCTGACTTCTTGATTTATATACCTCAGGCACCCTCAAGATCTTCCGCCCCGTAATTGCCCCGCGGAAGCCACGCTCAAATATGTGCATCCAGGGTTCAAGATTCCGCCTCCAGATCAGTATCCTCCTCCCGCATCGCAGCAGCCTCCGTCATCACCTCTGTCACCACCGCCCTCACCTCCCTCACCACGATCACCTTCCTCACCTCCCTCACCATCCACACCGGACACACACCACCATGTCGTCCTCCTCACCTGTCATCCCCGACTGGCTCGCGAAGCAATCCACCACCGGAACCTCAAGAACAAACCTTCCTCCCCTCCCCGAAGACGGCTACGATCTAGGCTTTCCCGCTCCCCGACGCCCCAACCACCGCGCAGGAAGCCATTGCGCTCGTCCAAGCCCTCCGCAGCGACGGCGGCCTTCCAGACTCGACGCACTACAACGAGAAATTCAACGGCCTGCGCCAAAACCGCCTAATCCAAGCCATCATGAAGCTCCTCCTCCAAAGCCTCAACGTCTGGGCCGCCGACCCAGCCAACGCCGCCGCCGCCGAGTACGTCAACGCCGGCGGCGACAAACGCATTCGTCGCCGTCGTCACCAGCTTTCCCCGCTGGTAGTCGGTTTCAAGAACGCCGCTACGAGACCATCAATCGTACAGGAGCTGGGAGGAAGGACTGCTCCCCGCGACCGCCGCGGAACAAGAAACCCTGGACGCGCTAGTCTACGAAAAAGCAGCATCCGGCACCATCGAGGAGTGCACGGCGGGCCACCGCGTCAACTCCGCGAATCTCTACCTCGTCTCTACCAAGAACCACCCATGCCTGGGCCATTCGTTTGCCGTGCGCAGACTTCAGCGACTAGGGAGCGAGGAGGGCCATCCGCGAGGCGAACGACTTACTCAGAGACGAGGAGAAGAGAGCAGCGCAGCACATGAACAGAGGAGGAACGGACCACGACGTAGCGGCGGTCCTCATCACCGCCGGATCGGATATAGTGTGTACATTTACGACCTCGGACTTCCGACCAACGGGCCCGGCCGCGGCCGAAGACGGTTCTCGGAGGCTCTGATGATCGGCAGGGTCAGACAGCTGCTGGAGCATCTCAAGGGCGGGAAGAGAGCCCTAAGGACAGGGCGCTTAAAAAGACAAAGATCATCATTGGCGGCGGCGGGAACGAGGGTGATGGCTGCCGCGCTATGGCGGTGAGGTGGATGGTTGAGGTGATTGCGCAGCAGTGGATGGGGTTGGATGGTCTGGAGGCGGCGCGAGGACCGCCTTTGTACTTTGGTGAGGGGTGTGACCAGCAGGAGGTGCGTTGGTAAAGGTCAGAAGTTCTTGCAGGACTGCGAACAAGTCTTTTAGAGGGAATTGGTATCTTTGACAGAGTACCCACAGAGCAGATATGAGGTGTCCGTATGACTGGCTTCACTGAGACGGTATGATGGACTGTACTGAACACAGACGAGTTGCAGCCCCAGCAAATCCGAGGACGAAATGCAAGACGAATTCAGAGTAGCAAAGAGCGAGCTCATTGCATCGAGAGAATAATGCTTTATTCATATTCCGGCTGCGAGGCCGCCGCTTCCTTCGATCTACGAACGAGTTTTTCTACAATGCATACATACGCTCTAAGTAGTGGGCGGGGAAAGGCTTTTTCGAAAGAAGAGAAGAGTAGAGTAGAGGGCGCAGAGATAGCAGCAAACCACCACCACCAACCACCATATCATCATATCATCCTCGCGCCTCCAAATCTTCCACCCATCACGATTTGCTGGTATAAAAATCATCCGCCTCCGCCTCATCCTCCAACTGTTCTTGCTTCTGCTGTTGCTGCTGCTGCTGTTGTTGCTCCCCCTTCTGATTCTTCCCCTTCTGACCCTCCTCTCCCTGCTGCTGCTGCGCCTCACCCTTCTGCTTTTCCTTTTCCTTCTGCTTCTGCTTCTCCTTCTTCTCCCCCTTCTGCTTCTCCTTCTTCTCCTTCTTCTTACTCTCCCCCTTGTCCCCCTTATCCTTCTTCCCCACCCCATGCGCCTCAGCAGAAACCTCATCCTCCTCCTCCCCCTCCAACTTCGCCTCCTCCGCCAACAGCGCCTGCAACGCCGGCACGAACTTCTCCAGCTCCGCAAACTCGCCGAGCTTGACACGCATGTAGTCGGACGCGACGCCGACGCGCATGTCGCTGCGAGACTTGATCCGCGTCGCCAACGCGTCGCCGCCGCTCTCTTCCGTCTTCAGCAACGGGGTCGACACGGCAGGCTTAGGCGGGCCGTCTGGATTATCCAGCGGCACCGATTCATCCTGCTCAGGCACAGCGGCTTCGTCGTCCTGCTGTTCGGGCACCACAATGTCGTCCTCTTCGCGGATAGCATCCATATCGACGTCATCATCGACGATGTCCATCTTGTCGTCTTCCGCGGCGGTAGGAGCGGCCTCCTCGCGCTCCATGACGGGCAGCTTCTGGTAGCGCTGGCTAAAGTGCGTGAGCAGCGTCATGCGCGCGCGCATGCGTGCGCCGATGGCCAGGGCCTCGGACGTGGTGCTGTGCTTCTTAGCGATGGCGTTGCCCTCGAGGCCGTCTTCGAACGTGGCCTCGTGCACGAGCAGAGTCGAGTGGCGGCCGATGCGGGCGAAGTCGGCGCAGGGGCGGCAATCGCCGCTGTAGCTGACCTTGAAGGGCTTTGGCTCCTCGTCCTCGGATACTTCTTCCGCCCTCGTCTCGTCGGGCCAGGTGAGCGAGACGGCGCGCGCGCCGTGGCAGTGGTTGACGAAGACGGCCTGGACGTCTTGGAGACCGAAGAGGTGCGGGTACAGCTCCTGCGGGATCTCGATGGCCGGGGTGACCGTGTCGTATGGGAAAAAGGACGGCGGGTGCTGCAGGCGGAGCGTGGCGGCCACGTCGTGCTTGGCGAGGTTGGCCGTGATGGCGAGCGGCCATAGGCGGCTGTAGCCAAAGTCCTCGACGGCCGCGTACTCGGCCAGCCAGTTGACCATGTTGATGTCCGAGATGACGGCCAGCCGCTTCTTCTCGGCTGCCAGGCTGGGGTTCTCCTTGATCGCCGTCATGGCTTCGAAGACCGTCTCCGTCGTCGGCTGGCAGCCGTGGACGACCTCGTACCATGCTTTGATGACGCCTACGATGCCCAGAATGTGGTCTGCATGCATGTGGCTCATCCAGATGACGCGGAGCTCCTTGAGGACTTGAGCGAGCTCGGCGGGCTTGAACACACGCTGCAGCTGGCCGATCGTGTTCTCACCGGCATCGAGCAGGTACGAGCCGTAGCCTGGGACGCGGACCAAGGTGGCGGATACGTTGCGGTATTTGGAAGGTAACGCAGATCCGGTACCAAGAGCGATGACCTCAGCTTCAGGCATGGGAGTCTTGCGGCGCCACTTCTCAAACTGCTCGGATGAGTTCTGTATGCTTTCCTTGACGGACTTTGCCAGGCTCAAGACCTCCTCTGGAAGATCTTCCATGCCATTCTGCGGGTTACAGCGCTTGATAAGATCTTTGTCTTGCATCTCGAACTTGGGTTCTAGCTGCAGTACAAGACCTCTTTCTGCTGGCGTAGCATGCTCGGGAAGCTCCTCCTTTTGAGAATTGTACGGCACGAACCGCTCTTGAGGCACCGTCTCATCGTCGTAATGGGGTATGCCATACCGCTTCTCGTCCACTGCTCTAAGACGCATGGCTCCTTTACTGGCGCTATCGAAGCTGATCCGGTTGGGCAAAACGTCGACAGAGGAAATGATGTGCTTCAAGTGGGCCCTATCCGCCATGAACTTCTTCAGCGCGGGATTGGCAGCTACGCCAGGGCCGAGCATCCACACGAAAGCGTCGACGCCGTTCATAATCTCTTCGCGAGTCCATTCTTCCCGTTGAATCATAGGCTCCACGTACGACGGCGCGGGAAGGTCAATGATGGCGACTCCTCGGCCTCTCCGCGGAGGTCCAAGAACCATGTCAGAAGTGATGGTCTCACCCAGCTCGTTCTTCACAGACTCCCCGGCCTGAAGCTTGGACCACAACCGACCCTTGGGGACTTTATGTTCGATGACTTTTTGAATCATGAACTTGCCCCGCTGAGAATGGGTGCGGATGATGTAAGAGACAGCCTGGGGCGCCGGCTTAGTAGGCGGCAGAGCGAGGGTCTTGACGGCGGGCCAGGGCTCTCTGACAAGCACCCTCAAGTCCGGGTTCTCAGGATTAGGCACGGGACCGGTGTACTTGTCGATCGATTTTGTCTGCGCATTCCGGATGAAGATGGTGGCCGGCAGCTTCACTTCGGACAAGGGCTTCTCGGAGAGAGCATCCAGGCGCCAGTTCGAGTTGAACATTTCGTTCACGACCGCGCGGGTCATCTGCTCGTACCTCGCAGTCTTCGCCTCCGGGCTTTCCTCCTCGAGCGCGTCTGCCGCCGGCTCGGGGCCGTTGACTTCGTCGTAGCTCCGCTTTCTCGACGTCGATGTCGTCGACGGCCGTTCCGGGCGTTCAGCGCCGGTAGGAGTGATGGACATGGACCAGACCTTGATGTTCTCGTCGACGAACAGCGGGACGGGATCGCCGTTCTCGTCCTTCTTGACCGCCTCATCCTTGATATCGACCGCATTGATGGGCATGCCCTTCCTGAAAACGAACCTCCGGCAAGCGGCGATGGTGTGGTTCAGGTTCGGGGGACCGAACATTGAGAGCACCTTCGGCGTTGCATCGAGGCCCCTCTCTTTCTTGTCCAGATTGTGTGCCGCCAAAATGTCCGAGAGGGTCAACATCATACCCATCAAGCCGCCCGTATTGCACCACTCGCTGCGGCCGGTGATGAACATTTCCTGCGTCTTGAGCATGCGCGTGCCTAACTGGTTCATTGCCCGCTGTGTGCCCTCGCCCAAGCTGCCGAATAGGTACCGCTTATTGTCAAAGTGAAGCAGGAGGGTGGTGCCGGGCGTGTCCGCCGTTGGCGTGGTGAGAACCTGGATGTAGGCCTTCATACTTCTCTGGAAGTAGTCTTTATTCAGGTATTTGGAGATGCGTCTGTCGTAGGTGGGGCTGTACGGGCGGTATGGAGTGAAGATCTGGTCGGTCGTAAACGGTCGATCATAGCATGGCTCGTTCGAGTAGATGATGTAGGCAGGTCTGCTCCGTTCGAGGGTGGGAGATCGGCGGACGACGGTTTGCTTAAAACCTGGCGGGGCGCGCAACTGCTCGTTGAAGGGCGCTTTGTTACTTTGGGACACCGCACCGTGATCAATTTCCTGTGGCTGAGGCTTGAGCTTCCCTATCAGTTCGCGGAGTGCATGAATGGCGGTAACGTCGGTGTGACTGGTCGAGTTCAGGCGGCAAGTGGTGGAAGGCGCAGGGCGGGAAACTCTCAAGCAGCGCGCCCGCAGCAACAGAGGGTTCGGCGCCGATTGCAGACACCGCACAGCTGCAGATATGGAAGCCACGGCGGGCACTAGAGGAGCCGTGGTTGCGAGCGTTTTTCTACCGACGTGGGAGCCGCTGTCCCATGGCCATGCAGTCGAAGTCTCAAAAATTTGGCCCAGCTGCGGAGCGGCGACGCGCCAATCTCCGTTACGTCAGCGATCCACCGCCACAGCAGCGGGCCAGCCACATGCACGTTCAGCACTATGCACAAGATGTACGCCTTTCAGACTATGCATAAAATTTATTCTAGATCAAGTGCAGTAGACACAAGTATACAATCAACGCTATTCGCGGAGGCCTCTCGGGCTCAGATCAAACAAAAGAAAAAATGTGCTTGTGTAAGCGCTCCTTTTTCGGCGCCTGTGTCCACTCTGCGCTAAGGCAGGTCGAATCAGATTCAATCCCAGTTCCCAAATGTCGCTTCCCGTGTTGAAAAAGAGAGTCGTAACCCAACCCAAAAGTCTTCGCTTCCAAATATTCACAGAGTCAAAGAGAAAGAAGGACAATGTCCCTAGACGCCACTACCCCACTAAACACCACGCACGAATTCACTGTTGCTTGCTTTACAGCATCATGCTCTGCATCCTCTCGTACACGGCATCGAACTTGGCGATGGTGCGCTCGAGACGCTGCTGCAGCTGCGCGGGGGTTTCCTGAGCAACAACAACCTCGATGCGAGCGAAAGCCTTCTCGGGAGCGATCTCACCGAAGATGCGTTCCGAGGGGGCAGCAGTGGAAGGGGCGGGCGAGTTGTAGTACAGAGCGAAGTCAGGGTTGCCATCGTCAACCTCCTCAGCCTCAGCGACGGCCTCGGCGGGCTTCTCGGCCTCGAAGCGCTCGATGACGGGGTAGTCGGGCTTGATCTCAGTGATGGCCTCGACGGGGGAAGCACCGGAGCTGCCCTTGCCCGAGAGGATCTCGGTGTCGAAGGGGTTGGCAGGGCCCTCGGGGATCTCGAGGACGGCGAAGACCTGGGGCTGGTTGAAGTTGAAGCCGCCGTTGAACGAGTAGTCGAACGACATGTTGGGCTGCTGCTCGGGGATCATCGACATGCCCATCTGAGAGTTGTTCTGCGAACTCTGCTTAATCATCTGGGGAGCGGGCTGCTGGGGAGCCGATGCAGGCTTAGCCGGCTCGGTGAGAGCAGGGTCACGGCTGAGCTCATCCAAGAAGGGGCCAAAAGCCTGGTGGCGAAGCAGGCGCTCGATGAAGGCACGCGAACGGGCGTTCTCCTCCATGAGGGCGCGGTTCTGCATGCGCAGCTCCGTGTTCTCGTTGGTCTTGGTGGCGACCTCGCCCTCAAGCTGGGAAATGTACTCTGCAGGAAATTGTTAGCAAATGCGCCGTGAAACCGGAAAGTAAATAATGCATACCCTTTCTGCGCGAGCGGAAGGCGCGGGCGGAAACCTTGTTCCTCAACTGGCGGCGCTCCTTGCTGCTGAGCTTCTTGCCCTCTTCGCTAGCGAGGAGCCTCTCGTCCTCGTCCATGTCCTCCTCGTCCTTCTTCATCTTGATGATGTGGGGAAGAGGGTTGGAGCCGCAGTCGGAGCCGTTGGAGCTGAGAGTGCTGTTGGCGCGGATCTGGTTGACAACGCGCGCAATGGTCTCCTCGGTGCGGGCATCGGTGAACTGAGCAGACTTCCTCTGGACGTGGTGGACGCGGTTCTGCTGCTCCCTCTGCTGCTGTTGCTGCTGGAGCATCTGCTGCTGCCTCTGCTGCTGGGCCTGCGCCTGCGCCTTGGCCAGAGCAGCTTGCTGCTGGTGCATTCCAGGGAAGAAGCGCACCTGCTGGGGCTGCTCCTGGATAGCGCTGGGGTCGACGAAGTCCTCGTTCTGGCTGTTCTCGCCCTGGGGGAAGAAGAAAGCGGACATGTTGTTGCCCATGTCCATGTCCATGTCGCCCAGACCGGAGCCCCAGCCGTCGTCAAAGCCGATGCCCGAGTTGCTGAAGGGCTGGGCGTAGTTGTTGCCCACGGATTGCGACATGCTGATGCCGGGAACAGAGCCCGAAGGCAGGCCGGTCTGCTGCTTGAAGAGGTCGTACTCGTGGCTGGGCTTGGCCGGGGTCTGGTGGTCCTCGGCCTGGTCCAGCGGCATGATGGTGGTGGCGGGGCTCGCCATGGTGGATGCGACGCTCGAGGGAGGCATTTGCGACGAGGAGCTGGCGGGACCAGGCGAGGGGATGGCGTTGAAGTCGACCAGTGAGTCCATATCGGGATCAAAACACTGGTTCGGGAAGGGCGCGTAGCCCATGCGCTGCGCTGCGACCGTCGACATTGCGGGCAGATGTGAGCAGAAACGGCGATAGAGTGCTGGCGGGTGCCTCAGGTAGGCGGCGGGTGGTGTAGAGCGGCTTTCCCGGAGTGATGATGTCGATGGGTCTTGAAGAGCTGGGTGCGGGCGGGTCGCTGGAGCAGGCGCTAGCAGGCGTCGTAAGCTTTCTATTTTCGGCTACGGCCAAGGCTGCACTGGGGCGGAGTGCGGGAGAAGGCTGGGCAGGCGGCGGTGGGTGGGAGCGTACTCTTATGCGTAACGAGAGAATCGGTCGGGTCGTGGGTATCTCGGTGCTTGTAGTGGTAGTTTGTTGGAGTGGTGGAAGAAGTGGGTTGGAACGGGAGCGAGTGTGGGCGACGGGCTGGTTTTGCGGACGATAGGGAGGAGACTGTTTCAGCTGGCACGCTGGGCCAGCGGCTGCGCCTCGACACCACAGGCAATCTCCGGGAGCTTGGACACCGAGTGGCCGAGCACGCAGCAGGGCCTGTGCCGGCTCAAGTGCGGCAAATGATACCCCTGCTCTTCCGCCGCCGTCAGCGCCAGCACCGTCGCACATCAGCATCATCGGCGCCCCGGCTCTTCGTCGGACGGCCGAGATGCTCACAACTGCCGTCCCTGCGCGCGCCAGCGCAGAGTGCCGGCCTGTTTCTGCTGGAGTCAATCGCCATCTACGGCGCTCTGGAGGGCTCCTGGAGCGCCGCGACGGGGGGTGACATCCTGCGTGCGCGCTGGAGGCTGTGAGTGGCCAGCAAGAGTTCGCGCCGAGATCCGAAGCTTGCGAAGACGACCACTGCCACACTCCCGCGAGCGTACGAACCAGGCTCATCACCTCTCACCACCGCCCGTCCCAGCCTGTCGTTGGGCGACGATCCTCCGACCGCCCCGCCGGTCTGACAGCTCACGGTCACGGCACCACCACCAGTAGTTCAAGTGTCAAGCGCTCCGGATCACCGTCGTGGCGCGGCCGCAGCGCAAGGCTGCGCCCTGACCTATCACGCATCGAGCCACACAAAGTCAACCAGAGCCTCTACGCGCGAACCACGCTCGACGGCCCGAGGTTTCGTCGCGGTCCGAATCGAAACGGTTCTCTGATTCAGGAGGGTTTCGGCAGCTCTTTTCGCTTTTATCGTCGGCGGTCGGACCTCAGATGCTCGGAGATAATCTTTGCTATACAATAGCATTATACAGCACACGGCCGGAAGACCGGCGCGCTTCCGTATTACATGACTTGCCTACCCTCCAGGCCGTCAGCTACGGCCGATGGACCCGCCTGTCGCCCGAGGCCTTGCTGGGGCAAACACAAATAAATTTTCTGCCTCTTCGTCGAGATGCGGCGACGCCCTCCTCATGCACCAGCCCAGAGCATCAGCCACGACAATGTGACGCGTGTCTCGCGTGCTTGCGTCTTTCCGGCTTAGCCCCCACCAAGGTTGAAGTAGCTCCTCCGCAAAGCAATTACTGCCGTAGTCCAAATTGAAGAGGCCCGTTCGCCCTCAGAAATCACTGACTTCCGACACGGCATCAGTGCACTCGCCGTGATACCTAGACCCCGGCAATACGGCAATGCCCAACAATGCAAACTACTCTCCAGCCAAGATCTTCCTATCGCTATTGAATCAATAGGCCTACCTGCCCGACCGCATTGCGCGCGCCTGCATGCTGTTTCTTGCGCCGCCCTGCTCGCAGGAAACACGACTGCGCCAGCGAGAAAAAGCATACGCGGCCTCACCACCCCCTGTCAAACGTGCTATTTCCAGCGAACCGCAGCACAGCCGCACATTGAATTTTCGACAGAGACGGAAACCTCTCCATGAGGCCGCCCAATTGCCCTGCTCATTCATTATCGTCGCTGCAGCCCTGCCTCGACTTTCCCCAGCTGGGATTGGGATATCCGAATTGATGAACGAGGGATCGGTCTGCGGACCTCGCTCTATTGCCGGAAGGTGAACCCGTCTGGCCTGGTCTGTGGAATGCACCGGCCGAAACTCATGGGAGCCGTCGACACGCCCCATGCCCTCCAGAGTCTCGATCGCCCTCGACAGACACAATTTTCGTCCCCACTCTTGATCGCCGCCTCAAGCTCGAGCAAAGGTCCGCAAGCTTTTCCGAAGCGCCCGCTCTGTGATGGTTACGTCCCTTGGCGTCATTGCTGGAATCCAAGGCTGAAACTCGTGGCCCTATGGCTTGGTGGAGTACCCCACGGCCGCGCCATCGAAACGCGTCTCTCCTTGCAAGGAGCCAATCCCTCCAGTACATCACCGGCATTTGACGCCTCCTGCGGCAGAGACGTCTTCTAGAACGTCGTCTGCCCCTCTCCGTCCCCATCTCCGCAATGCCTTTGGTGCCAAGTGCCGCTTGTCGGAGCAGAGTGAGACATTCTGAAGGGATATCACCGAGCTCCGAGGCTTGCATTGGGAAGCATCCGACTCTGAACAGCTGAGCGGTGGAGTCTTTAGGCCCAATTAGGGCCTAGATGGACACTCTTTCCCGCTTCCGCTGGTGTGAACAAGCAAGACCTACGTCTGCCCCGTTCGCTTCTTGCGGTACACTTGCTGATCTCCTGAGCCACTGGTGGCGCAAATGCCCCCTGATCCCGTCCATCTGACCGTTCGCCTCCTTCTCGCCGGGCAAGCATCTCCCTGGATAAATCCTGGCCCTGGGGAGGGCCTGGGGCCTGGATTGGGGAAAGGAACCGACACGGAGAAGGAGGCCGTGAGGGCGGAGCGAGGTACGGCGGACCGTCTGGTCAGGCATTTATTAGGATTCCATGTTTGTTTCGTTGCTGTGATCGCTCGTGCCGAAAAGTATGTGGAGCCGATGCGGCAGCCGGGTGTTGGCGAAACGGCCCTCAACCGAAGTCACAGCTCGTCGGAAATGTGGAGTCAACCATGTAGCCAAAGGATCTCCCTATTCCTATACAGTATAGACAGAGGCAAGTCTAGTCGGGACGAAAGGTGTGGTCGGGCCCCCATCGAGCGATCTTTAGCTCCTTCTCAAACACTAAAAATCGAATGGGCCTCTATCCGGCCGAACCGGACACGCCTAGAGCAACCTAGAGCCTCAGATTATGATGAATTCGCCGGTGTCGGCGGGGAAATGTATCCCCGCCGATTGGAACAAAGTGCGCATTATCTAGCGCTCTTTATTATGGATCTATCCCCAATCACCACTGTTGTATAGACCCGGACACACCACTCGTCTCGGGCATTGAGCTAAAGAAGCCCTACCCTTCTATTACGATGGCCGTAGAGCAGATCGATAGCGCGGGGCTTAGTATGTATTGAAAAGCGCTGATCATGTCTTATGCTCGCAGCCCGACGTTTTCACCGTTCTTTCGGAATTATCGTTATCCACATCGGTCAGAAAATTGTCAATGAACAAGAGGAAGCATATTCCAAGACCATCGAAAGTCAAGGCTATGCGTCAGACACTTTCCCTTTCACGCGGGTCCAAGTATGTTTTGGACCCACCCGCCTTTTTCTCATCACTTCATCTTTCCTTTCGCGTCTCGCAGTTCTATCATCTCACTCAGGTGGCTGGGGCTTCAGCTTAGATGTGCGCTCTCACATGATCAGTAGCTACGCAGATCCGAAAATACTTTGAGTCGGTATGCACAACACCTGCTGCTGCAGCTCGATTCTCCGAGGTGCATAGTCGTCATAGATTCAGAGCAGATGCTTACCGCTCAGGTAAGCACGTCAGGCTCTGACCTCAAAAGGCTCGACAAACACCAATAGGAAAATCTGGCTCCATGTTAAATAGGCATTGGCGGAATCTGTGACGGATCCCCCACATTTCCCGACGTCGGAGAAAAAAGGCTACGTTGTGGTGACTGAAATACACCAAAGCCATCTCCAACGCAACTGAGACAACAATACTCCGTCGGAAGAACGAGACGCCTTTCTACGCCCTCACCTCAGTTTCACTGAGCGGTGACGGTTGCAGTGCGCACGGCACATTGACGATCCCATTGCATTAACCGACGTCGTACGTCCGAGGGTCTCGCTTGCAAAATCCGAGCTTCTTCTTTCGGAGCAAAAAGCAAAGTGTCGGCTCGAGAGGCTTCTGGGGAAGATAGAGTGCACTTCTGACACACGTAGCGTTGCAAAGTCCGGGTGTGGTAAGACCTGGACACGGCTACACACACGATCAACACGGTCAAAAATGACTCGGCTTTGGGGCTCCATCACATGGCTGACGTTGGCAAGCGAAGTTCATGACATGTTCGCAGGATAATCTGGGACCCTGACGAACTGCGAGCTTGAGGGGCTCGAGGGGCGTGTTGCCGAACTCCCGCCGTGCGCTGCCCCGGATCGACGGCCACGACTAACGGCGGACGGCCCGCACTGACTTTGCGGGACAGTCAACGATGCCAACGGTCCCATTCCTCTTCACACCATCTCCTCGTCGACCAAACCAGCGGGATCTGGCCCTCATTCCAACCTGTCTCAACCCCCCGTGGTGCCCAGGTCTCGGCGTGCCGTCATCCCCGACCGGCCAGCATGGAAGCGCGCAAGAGCACCCCCGCAGGCTCGGGAGTGGCTAGGTCGGCTGCCCCGGCTTGGCGACGTCATGGTTCATCCACTTTTTATCGCTTCCCCCGGAATAATGGTCGCAACGCTTCAGTCGGCGCAATCGCCAACGACGAGTGTACAGTTGGAGGCGGAACGGCATATTCGCGCATCTTTTTCCGGACGCTAAACCAAAAGACACGGGCTGCAGGCTCTCCATGTATAAGAGCAAAGGAGACGCATGCCAGGCCAAGACACGCAATGTGCCGCGGATCGCTACCGCCGTAACCCTCTTCAGCCAAGCCATGCGGCGACAATCCAGAATAGCGGGATCGTTACGACCCTTGAGGTAGGATAAATCGGGGCAGACCTGCATGGCCTGATTTTTAGATTGTTGCGGCAAGCAATTGCGTGCCTTCTGCCAATAAAGACGGTTCTGTTGCCGCCCGCGATCTTCGTCCCCTTTGCCTCGCATAATCTTGCTTTGCATCATTGCGCGCTAGACAGCTTGCTCATAGCTACGAGCTTCCGCCTCAGCTCTTCCAAGCTCCAATTGATTTTTTTCTTCCCTTCTTCTCCTTAGCCCGCTCGTGCATCTCTACAACCACATTCCAAAAGGCAAAAATGCAGACCAAGCTTCTCTCTCTCGGCCTGCTGGCCACAGCAGGTACCACGCTGGCGCAGACGCCGCCATACTTTGAACCGAGCACCGATGTCAACCTACCCGCGACCTTTGACGCCAACACCACCTCTCCCGATTTCTTCACAGTTGGAGGTGTCTTTTCCATCAATGGTAAGCCAAAAAGAAAATAAGCACTTCCTCAACCATCACCAGCTTTCCATGAAAATCCGCAAGAAAAGAAAACCCCACCAACAACGCCCCCAAAACTAACACCACCCCTCAGCCACCCAAGAAGAGCCCCAACTCTATGTCACCACCAACGCGACCTACGTCACGCACACCAACGGCTCGCAACCGCCCACCTTCATCATCCTAATGGTCGACCCGGACGCGCCCTCGCCGCAAAACACATCCTTCTCCCAAATCCTGCACTGGCTGCAGCCGGGCGTCCGCCTCTCCCGCTCCGTCGAGCCCACCCCCGGCCCCAACAACACCGCCCTCGTCTCCATGCTCTCCGAAGCCGACACCGATACCCCGGCCATCGCGCCCTACATCCCGCCTGCGCCCCCGTCCGTCGCCCCGCACCGCTACATCATCATGCTCTTCCGCCAGCCTGGCGACGCGGACGGCGACTTCGAGCTGCCGGACGGCTTCGAGCAGTATAAGGGCGGCGAGGAGCGCACGGGGTTCGATGCAAAGGAGTTTGTGGAGGCCGCGGGCTTGGGTGAACCGCTCGCGGCCACGTACTTTTTGGTTGGCAAGGAGACGAGCGGCAATGGCAGCGCGACGTATGAGGGTGATGATGCGGCCGCCGGTATTGGCGGGAACACGACGGTGCCGGCTAGCGCGACGTCGTCGTCGGCAAGTGCGTCGGCGGCGGGCGCGAGCGGGAGTGCGGGTGCGAGTGCGACGGCGTCCGGTGGCGCGGCGGCTGCGTCGGAGACGTCGGGCGCGGAGAGGGTTGTTGGCGTTGCGGCGCTGAGCGCTGTGGCGGCGGGTTTCGTGGCTCTGGTTCTTTGAGGAGAGAGATGTGACTGCTGCGCGGTTGCTTGGGGTCAGGTGCCTGCCCTGTATCTGTATCGAGGAGGGGGTGGAATGAAGGGAGGGGAGAGGGGATGGTGTAGATGATTTTATTACTATACCCGAAGTCGAGTCATTCCTTGAGAACTTTGGTTGGTATGGGTTGATTAAGACGAAGATTGGAGTTTTTGGAGCTGGAATGTAAAGCACGGTTATGTAGAGGACGAACGCTGAAAGAATTATAAAATGTTGTGCATTGGCATCTTGCTCCTATTCAATGCTTGAACGCTTCGGGGCGAAAGACGATAGAGTGGCCCACATAGTAAGAAGCGGGTGTAGGAACATGCAATGACTCCGTCCACGATGTTGTCATATCTTGCAGTGCTAAATTAAGATAAACTGATTGAGGCTGAAGAGGGTCAGAGTTTTTTTCGAAGACATCTTCGTATTCTTAGTTTGCTTAGCTGTGTGGAAATAACATTGATGCTGAATAGGAATAATACAATCGAGAAAGAATTAGTAGGAGAAAAGTCCTTGATTATTAAAATCGCTATGTACATAGAATCGTAGTGTTTGATGGAATTGGCACTAAATTTAGGTGCGGCTCGTGCGAGTAGGCGTAGTGACACTGAAATTGTGAGTAGGATTTAGACCGTTAAAGATGCGCTAAGCCGGAGTGGTTTTAGATAATAATAGACCGAGCACAGGATTTCTTTAAAATTAACAGTGTTGAGCTTCTAGTAAGCCCTGCGAGAAAACAGAAGATTGATGATAAATTAACGGAACATAAGGAGCAATAATGAGACGAGCCTGCAAAGGTTAAATAAGATGAGCTTCTAGGACCTACGGAGCTCCGATGATCTAGACATCTTAGTTACTTCTTACTACGACTTAAACATTACCTAGAGTTGCTGCGATGTCTAGATAGAGCGGATAAAAGCAAGATAGGGGATTCAAGAACATGCTTAGAGCCAGACGCTTGTCGCCTCCGTTTTCTTTCACGTAGGATATAGAAATGGAGTTCAATCTGTCTGGCGTAGACGCCGGTAGATTCCCTGGAAAATGCTGTTGGTTGGTAACCAAGAGTAAAAAAAAAGTAGCTTATGCGAAAGACTGACGAAGACGTGAAAATGTATAATATTACAGTTCTTCAGAAGTGTTCTCAAAGCTATGCCAGAGTTTAGCGAAAGAGCTATATACTCGGTTGATGGACTTGCAATCGTTTCTTACTTTAACCTTCGGCCGCTTTGGCATGAGGGAATTACTTCACCAGGAGAAAATCTTGAGTGCGAGCCCTCTGGGGTTTACTTCTTCTTTTTTTTTTTTTTTTTACTTGCTTTCTTCCCGAGTACAAGATTCAAGTTTCACTGAATGTAGAGGCCTGGTTTCTCCCGAGAAACAGGCCGAGAGCGGCTATACTGACATGCATTAGCACCTTCCCATCATCTCCACTAAGCCTTTGTAGCATTTCTCCTAAAGTTCAGCTAAGTGCCGCTGATCTAGACAATCTCTATAGGCTCCGGGCCTGACGTATGCAATTAGAGACACTTTAGTATGCATGCAGCTCATTCAACTTGAGATATGACGGCATAGCCTGGGGGACGTTTGTATGGCAGAGTAGGGTGCATAGGACAAAGATCCAAGCCCGAAGGGTGGATCGCTTCGTCTGTCGTGGAAGCATAGAAGACAGGAGCGTCGGCATAAGGTATTACTGGAAGCCTTGCTCCTCTAGCTTGAGTGATCGAAATGACAGACTTGACTGGGGTAGTGGGAGTGACAGTGAAAACTTTAGGGGAATTTAAAGAGACATTAAAGCAAGAACAGCCGTCCGGATGGATGGACCCGTTGTAGAATTTGATTGGATTAATGGGAACCAATCTACAAAGCTGATAATGGATTTCCGGGTTATTCTGACTAAAGAGTGGCGTTGGCTATAGACATTTATACTACAACAGAAGCAAACAGAAAGCTTGAACAAATTAAACATTAAGAAATTAATGAACCGGCAATTGGGTTCATGTTCTGTAAAAGTAGACCACAGTTACCTGGTAAAATGGACCATCAGTGTGCATAATAGTTTTGTCTTGCAACTCTCATTTTTATTTTTAGAGGCCGCATCAACACTCTAATCCTATCTCCGCCGGCTTTAAAATTCAAACACAGTGGGCGTACATACGTGTGTGGGGGGGATCGAGCAGCGGGTCGGTGTCTGTTGTTGCACGCGGCATCGTGCCGCTGGCCCTGGGCACTGACACAGTCGACGCTGGGGAAGGCGCTGGAATCGGTGGTAGCAGAGAGGATCTCTGCTCTGGCGGAGGAGAGAGGCGAGGTGACTAGCCGATTGTAGTTAGCGGAAGAGAGGTGCACCCAAAGACAGAAGCAAAGATTCAAGGCGTCATCTTCAACGAGGAACTCCGATTGAAGGCTCACGCGGGGAGCATTGCAAAGAGGGGCGTCCAGGCAGGCCTGGCGCTGATAAGTTTGAGTTAATTTCTTAATGAAAACCATGTATCTTAGCCCCAACTCATATTCCGACTCTGAGAACCGGCTGCCGAGACCCGACAACCGAGTACCGACTTCCGATAATAATCGCCAGCTAATTCACTGCCCATCAAGTACATATTATTGCTCCGTATTCCGGCCGCTTACAAATAGCACGCTGCCAGCTATGGCATCAATTGAACTTACTCTGAGAAAAAAAAAAGTATGCCGTAAGTGGATTAGTCCTCCATTCATATACTTTTGAAGGAGCACATATATAGTACCTCAAATAGAAAGATTTTTCGCAGCAGTTCATCGCGCTTATTGCTCATCTTCGACTTCTGTAACTTCTGAAGCACTTCCACTTGATCGTCATGCCGAAGCAGAAGGTGTTACTCCTCGGAGCCACGGGGGAGACTGGGAAATCTATCCTCGAGGGGCTGCTTGAGAATCCACTGGACTTTGTAAGATATCTTTTGTTGATAACAGCATCAAAAGCTAACTATGCACAGCAAGTGGATATCTTGGTCCGCCCGTCCTCTGCAGCGAAGCCCCAAGTCAAGGCGATAGCTGAAAGGGGCGTTTCGATCCGCATCGCCGACATTGCTGGACCTGTCGACGAATTGGCAGTGCAACTTGAGGGTGTGGACATCTTGATCAGCGCCATCGATGCGCGTTCATTGCTGTCCCAGATCGACCTTGCCACAGCAGCCAAGAAAGCTGGCGTCAAAAGATTCGTCCCGTGCAATTTCGCATCAATTACTCCACCCGGGGGCGTAATGCTCCTACGAGACCTTGTAAGCCTATCTACGTACGTCGACGCGGCAGCACTAACAGATAGTCTTCTCGGCTGCAGAAGGAGCAAGTTCTTCAGCATGTCCACAAGCTGTTCCTACCGTTCACCGTCATCGACGTCGGCGCCTGGTATCAGAACAGTTTCCCAACTCTTCCTTCTGGTCGGCTCGACTACGCAGCTGCGGTGAAGCCCAACGTGACCATCTACGGTGACGGAGAGGCACCAAACTTGGTGACAGACCTACGTGACATCGGCCGCTTCGTCGCACGCATTATCGCCGACGACCGCACCCTTAACAAGTTCGTATTCACGTGGGGCGAAGTACTAACCCAGAAACAAATCTTCACCGCGATCGAGGCCGCGTCCGGAGAGAAAATTGAAAGAGAACATGTAAGTAGTAAATGAGCATGTGACCTTTTGGAGTCTTACCGTGCTAACTGACTGAACTCTTACCGTCACAGATCTCCGAAAGTGACCTCGTGGAAGGCATAGAGCGCTATAAGCAGCTGTCTTCCGCCGAACCAGAGAACCTCGCGCACCTGCTCCAACTGGTGCGCTACGAGTATTTCTACAGCATGCATGTTCGCCGCGACAACACCTCCGAATACGCCAAGTATCTTGGATACCTCGATGCTCGCGAGCTGTATCCCGACTTTGAGCCGCGCAATTTTGGCGATTTTGTGTCAGAGCTGCTGGAAGGCAAAATCACCAAGCCCTACGCTGAGTCTGCGGCTTATGAGGCGTATGCGAATCGTCAGTAACGAGGGTGATGGAATCAGGGATAGGGTAGATATACTGTTGTTGAATGGATGAAATTTGTGATGGAAGATAAGCATGGTCGCTACCCGAACTATTTCATATCTTTCATTTGTGAGAAGAAAGCCCTTCCTCATCCAATGTGACGCATGACACCCAACCATAGACTCACTCCTTCATTTCACGGCCTGTCTTTTCCAGCCATTAGTGCTAGAAGCGTCCGTATTGATTGATTTAATCCTGAGTTACCAAAGCCGGCACGTTGTGTAAATCCGAAAGCACAATAGTGTTTCTTGCCCCAACAGCTCGTAGAGGCCGAAGATGTGTATGGGACGATTCACAAACTTCATGCAATAGGAAAACTCGAAGATTCACACCAAACCACCTCTAATTCATTTACTATTTGTCGACTAGTGCCCACACTCTTTCGTACTGTTCGACAAAAGTCTCCCCTCTCCTTCTCTACATCCCCTGAGCCCCTTAGTCTTTAGTCTTGCCGCTTTACCTCTTCCAACGGCATTCGTCTCCGTGACTGGCTTCAAATCAGGCCGGCCTCACCATCAATGATAGTACCATTCTGGATAGCAGCAGCATGGCCGCGGGCAACGAAACCGTAGGCCGGGTAATATCTATCGAGCCACGGCAAGACCTCTTTAGCACCGGGAGTGTTGCGCCAGTCGCGCATAAGGTCGCACACAATAGCGAAGAGCGAGACGAGATGGACGCCGGCGTCGCGCATGCGGTCGTTCGAGACGTCACGGATAAGCGGCGTAGTCGTTCCCGAGGCTTCGATATTGGCCCAAACGCTGTAGCCCTCAGCGCGGAGAGACAGAGCGAGAAAGGCGGTGCCTGTTGTATAGAGAAATGGGTTTGTCAGTCAACGCCACGCACTCACCAGCAAGGGTATATATGGTGAGATGGAAGGGTCCCACATACAGACGTCAGTCGTGATGCCTGCGACAATTATTTGGCTCCTGCCTGTCGCCTTGATGGCATCCCGAAATTCGGCGTTGTCCCAAGCGTCGACTTCACCCTGGCGCTGGATGATCGGGGCATCCGGGTACATTTCGAGGATCTCTTTGGGAAGAGGCCCATTGGGACCAGTCTGAGCAGACGTGGTCATAACAACGGGGAGATCGAAGAGCTTTCCGATGGCTGCGTGCGCGATGAGATTGTCGCGGTACAGCGTCGGGTCCCAGTCGCGGGCGATTCCATAGAGGCCGACTTGCAAGTCGAGGATCAGAAGGACCTATACATTGCAGAGTCGATGTCAGATACTTTAGAAGGCCAATCCTCATCACGAGCGGAAAAGCGCGAAAGGAGTGGAACAGCATAGGTGAAGGACCAAAGAAATGGCGAAGGAGGGACTTACAGCGTCGGTGGTGTTAAGACGCTCAAATGGGACAGCTTCAGAGAAGTTTCAGCATATTAAAGCACTTGGCTACTTGACCATCAAAGTTTACTTACAGCTTGCTAGCGTAAGCAACGGCATTGCTAGCATGAAGAAGATTCCTGAAGATTTCATTTTGGTTCGTGGGCAGTCAAATGAGAAGTCGAGGAGTTTGTGTGTGTGACTGAAGGGATGGCTTCTCTAGATGGCGTACTTCGCCTTCATTCTTATACTTCTTCCCCTTCCTCTCGATTCGAAAGACCGGCTGCTCTGTGCTTAGCTTCACCGCTAAACACAGGGATGACTTGTGCGGATAGCAGAGTCATCAGCGATCGAAGGGCGGACCGTCTGCACAAAGCATACCCACTCCGAGGGGTGGAGATTCCAGCGGCTTCGCCGCTCAATCACGCACTATTTCTCTAGCTACCAAGTCCTCACCTCCAATCTTGGTCGGTGAGCCAGACACAGAAAGCCAATCGGATGCTGCTGGACTGATCGCGGCTCAGCAACACAGGCATTGCTTCGTATTCAGTGGAGTGTCAATCGATGTCGCTATGAGAAGCATACGATTTTCATCGATTGATGAAGTAGGGAGGAGCCGTGCGCAGCGGAATGACCACAGATTTCTCCCGGTAAACCGCCGCCTCCCCGGCTGACCGAGCAATTGCAAATCAAGCCCAATCTACCGAACATCGTTCTTGTGGGGCATGACGGCTGGAACGAGTCAGGTCTGGAGTATCTCGGGAAACCATCGAGACTTAGAACAGTAGTGCACCCAGCTTATTAGAAGATGACAGCACATTTGGTAATCACCGGAACGGAGCACGTGACAAAACCGGGATACATGTCATCGGACAGCTCACAGATGATGGACTCTTATTTTGCAAGAAGACTATTGTCTGCAAACTCACGAGTGCCGTAGTCCCAGCTCCCCGAACATTCTCTACTCATAGTGACTAAACCTACATCCTAAACTCGCTCGCACGATCATGTAGCCCTAGACAGCGTCTCTTGAACAAAGATTGGCATTTTCTATGCAGCTTTAGTCTAAATTCTAGATTCAAGCTACGTATTTGTTGCTATGTAAGGACTACACGTGTCCAGAAACCTGCTTGGGCTGGTAGAGCTCCTCCAGATACTCGACGTCTTCCTGAGCAAGAACCTTTCTTCTCACATCTACCGCTTCGTGTATGCGTTCAACTTTATTGCAGCCCACGATAGGGATCGCTCCCTTTTGGATAACCCAAGCCAGTGCGACCTGCGACATCTTCCACCCATTCCTCTCGGCTACCTCCTGAACACGGTTGATGATATCAGCATCCGCTCCTACCATGTCCTTGTGAATTGGATGCTGGCCGGAAACTTTAAGGCGCTCCGTTTCCTCCGCTCCGACCGGGCGCGCCAGGTTTCCACGGTACAGTGGAGCCCAAGGGATGATGCCGACACCGGTCTGCTTGCAGTACTTGATCATCTCGCGCTCCTCTTCTCTGTTTTCCAAAGTGTCAGTTCTGCTCCCTCTCTTCCCAAACGAGACGACCCGCAACTTACCTGTAACAAAGACTATACTGATTCTGCATGCTGACAAACTTAGTCCACCCATGCCTCTCCGCACAGAACTGCATCATAGCAAACTGAAACGTCCACATCGAGCTCGCGCCAATATACCTCACCTTCCCGGCCTTGACCAGATCATGCAGCGCCTCCATCGTCTCCTCGATCGGGACATCATGATCAAAGCGATGGATCTGCAGCAAGTCGATATACCCCGTCCGCAGCCTCCCCCAACGACGCGCCTCCACCGCATTAAATATCGCCGCCCGCGACAACCCCCCGCCCTGATTCACATACTCCTTCGACCCCCGCGCCGCCATCGCCCCGCGCGCCCGTGGCCCCGGGCCCGACGTCCGGCGTCTCGGCGACGGTGGCGAAGACCTTTTGGTCAGGATGACGACCTTGCGGCGCGGGATGCGCAGGTGCTGGCTGCAGCGCGCGCCCGATCAGCGCCTCGCTGGCGCCGTCCGTTGCTGTAGATGTTTTGGCCGTGTCCCACGTGTTGAGGCCGCAGGCGTAGGCGGCGCTGAGGAGCGCGAAGACTTCTTCTTCCGAGTCGAGCACCCATGGCATCCACGCTTTGTGGCCGAAGGACATGCCGCCGAGGATAGGCACGGAGACGCGCAGGCCGCAGGAGGAGCCGAGTTGTGCGTAGCTGACTTTGGTCGCGGCGATGCTGGCGGCGAGGGACTGCGGGATGGGTTGCTGAGATGCCATTTTGCGGGATTGCTCTTGGAGACGGGGAGGGATGGGTTTTGGTACAGTTCGTTGGATTGAGGTTGAAAGTTGGGGAATTTTTTTTAGGGGGGTTTGAAGTGAGTTGCGCCGCTTAAAAGGTCAAAAGTGTGCTGGCAAAATCTTCAATGAGTGATACGTTTTTTGACGCCGTCCAGGATGGAAACGGACTTAGGGGAGTTTAGAGAGACATTGAGCTGCGCGGAGTTAGGAAAGTAACGCCGCATGTCCACTGATAAGAGCGTGCACTGACTGGTGGTGGAAATGGAAATACTCGTATGTAGTGGATTAAATGTGGAGCTCAAAATCTGAGTGCAAACTGCCCCTCCCGACTGCTGAGCCTGGATAAACGGCAACCTGAGTGCTGTATCAGTCGTGCTTATTGGGCGAGGACGAGTAGTCAACAGTATCTCAAAAGAACCGGAGCAACAATCTCAACCTGTCTCCGTCACTTGTAATTAACTTATTCGCTTGAGATGCCTCAAAAGACACCAAGCCAGCGCATGTGACCAAAAATCAATAGACCTATTCACCGATTGTTCGGCCTATCAAGCACAAAATCTAACCCTTTAACTTCATCCAAGAGCCAGCTACCGCGAACCCACAATTTGGCTAGTCGAATTTGCATACCTCCGAAATCAGAGCGGTGCAGACTTGGCCAACTCGGAGCTTGACTTCGAAAGCGCACTGAGACAGTTCTCACGCCAGTACCACAGGCCCGCATACGTCGCTCCCGGACCAACCAGGACCTGCCCACAAACGACGGCCGCCACCGCTCTCCCCGCCTGCGCAGTCGAGATGTAACCCCTCCGCCGCATGCTCCAAATACTATAAAGAAGCCAAACCAAAACAGAAACGAAGCAAAGCAGCATGTCATACCGCCAAAAGTTGGACATGGCGGAGTCGAAGTCGTCCTGGCTCGAGATCCGCCCATGCGGCGGTGGGAGAACGAATCGAACGGCCTGTCTGAACGACATGTCCGGGTCGACGACAAGGTAGACGAAAACCGCTGCGTGGACGATGGCGGCGACGACGAACGTGGTCAGATACGCCGACCGGAGATGCTCCGTCTCTCTCTTGCTGTACATGGCCAGAGGCCCACCACCACGGTGGCTGCTGCCGAGTAGATGCGCAAGCGCCCATACGAGGGCGCAGGCAAGGACGGGGGCTGGCTGCCATGTGGCGATTGCGTTCTGAACGACGGCAGCGCTTCCGTACGGGAGGAACATCAGCGCGGTCGGGATCGCATAGCCAAGGACCACGGCGGGGACGATGGCTTTCGCGACGGCCTCGGGAACGGGGCGGCCGGACAGGTGCTCGTATGCCCTGTGGGAGGAAGTGAAGACGCTGACCAGGTAGTAGATGGGCGCAACCAAGCCGATGCCGCGCAGCTGGTACGCAGCGGTCCACAGTGACGGCCTTATAAGGAGTTAGCAAAAAATTCGTAATGGAAGGACGGGGGGGATCGGTGGCGCGTACCAGGCGAGTGGCGTCCGCTTGTTTCCGAGACGGTAGGCCTCGACGATCCATACGGTTGTGATGGGGAGCAGCATGCTGAGGAAATACACCACCATGATACGGAGCCCCGCGTCCGGCCCGGCAACGCCGCGAGCGAAGGCAAAGACAAGTGTTCGGAACCACTCATCGAGCAGGTGTACACCTGTGTACGTGGCCCGCAGCGGACTTCCTAAAAAGCGGAGCGGCTCGTCCGGAAGGGAGAGGGCGAGAGCGACCTTGGCAGTATAGGCCAGCGCTGCGAAGAAGCACGCAGCCGCAACAGCCGCGAGACGCCCGCCGCCCATCTGCTTCGCCGGCAGCTCGTCGTGGTACGGAATCCAGCGAGGACGCTCGGGCAGGGGCAGCATTTCGAGCCGGACGCCGGCCGAGATGACGTCCGCAAACCGCGACATCGCAGTCTCTCTTTCCAAGCGCGGCAGGATCCAGCGCGCGAACAGGCCCAGAGCGGGCGTCTCCATGGCCTCGACTTTCTGCTGATCGTGTGCGTACGACACCACCTCCCATGCGCGGTTGTGACGCACGTTCTGCGTCTCGGAGAAGATGTGCTCGATGTCTGCTTGCGATAGCGCGGTCGGAGAGGACTTCAGTTGTCTGAAAAGGGCGTTTACGAAGGCCGCCGAGGTTTCGATGGCGCTGTTGCCGCCCTGGCCTGGGAGGGGATTGAGCTGGCCCCGGTCAGCAATGATTCGACTGTACTGTAGCCGTGCTGTTACCTTGTGCGCAGAGTCTCCGATTGTGATGACACGACCGAAATACCACTTCTTGAAGACGTACTCAGGGATTGCCGTCAAAACCGAGGATAGTTTGTTTTTGTAGATTTCGGAGAACCTGACATCCTCGTAGACTCGATCGTCCCGGTACCTCTTCACCAGCTCCTCCTCGTCTTCCTTGCTGTAGCGTGGGATCGCCCCGTGCTGCGTTTCAGGAAGGCGGGTGAAGACGAACCAATATACTCGACCTCCAGGACCGGTGATGACAAGGTAAGAGTAGTCCTTTCTAAGCACATTGAACGCGGTTTGGAGGGGCAATCCAGGCGTAGGCTTGGATATACCAAAAATGCAGTTGTACTTGGTGGGGACGTCTGAAGAAAAAGGTTACCCTCTAGCACCGCGAGGCTTCAGTGATGACATACCCGTCCGCTCCGATGCCGGAATGTAGCCCGGCTTTGCCGTCTCCGCAATGCGCCACATTTCACTTCTCACCGTGCTGTGGATGCCATCCGCTCCCACAACGATGTCGCCAAAGTGAGAAGATCCGTCTTTCAGCGTTACCCCGATCGAAGAAGCGCGTTGTGTCACCGTAGCGACACGCTTGTTCAGCAGTACCTTGGACTTGTCATTGATATTGTCGTAGAGAATCTGCAAGACTGCCTGACGGTCGACAAAGATGACCGGGTAGCCATGCCTAAAATACATTAGCTGCTTGAGAACTGAGCCTTAGGCGTCTCTCACCTCTCCTCGATGTGGTCGGACAGGTTCTCCGTCGTCAGCAGAGGCTTTCCGTCCGGTCCCACCAGAACGCCTCGCTCCAGCGGCTTGTCGATGAGCGCTCTAATGGGCTCGTAGCAACCCAGCTGGTCGAGGATGCGCAGCCCGTACGGCCACATGCCTATGCTGGCGCCCACCTGCGGCGCAATTTCCGAGTGTGCCTCTAGAAGCACGTAGTCGACGCCAATTCTTTCCAACATGTTGGCGAGAGTGAGGCCGGTGATCGAGCCTCCGACTATGATGACTTTCATTCTGGGCGCTTTTGGTGGCGGGATGTCGAGAGAAAATGCGATGCGGCGATTGGTGATGTTCTTCACAGTAAGAGGATTGAGCTTCCATTTAAGCAGGGCAACAACGGTTGCACGCTTCCATCAAGATAACTGCGGTGAATCCCCTCTTGCTTCCCGCGACCGAGCTGCTGGGATTCGGCTGGAGGCGGAATCACCACAGCCGTGAGCAATGCTCGTCCCTCCCAATTTTGGTCATGGAGGATACAACAGCCCATGGCCCTCAGGGATGTCTGCAAGAGGGTTGGTTTGTCATGTTTCGGCTCATGGCTGCCGGCTCTCGGCTGTCGGTTGGCGGCCGACGGGATTTGGCCGCCGCTTTCCGGCTTACCTATCAGCCTCTTGCCTCAGAAGCTCAGACGTGTGCCCCCTAATCAGCCTCGGGAATGTGCGAGCGTAAGTAGGTTCAATATATACTGCAACGTCTGCTGCTGGAATTCGTGAGGCAGGGACAGTGATCCAATTACGAAAAGAGTCCACCATGCAAGCAACTGAAAAACACGGCATCACGCTCTTCATCGACTTCAGGGTCGCCGTCGAGTCGATAGACACTTTCATCCAGCTCTTAACCGACGTTATCCAGAAAGCCAGCCAGGAGCCTGAGTTCCTTTCTTCGGACGTTCTGAGTGATCCACAGCAGCCGGGGCGTATTATCTTAGTCGAGAATTGGGCTGAGAGTGAGGTTTGGATGGAAGAGGTACTTCTAGTTTCCGCATCTATGATTAAGCTTACGGCCGGTGACTGATACGTAAGTTGCAGAATTTCTTCACGAAGCAATACATGAAAGATTACCATTCCGCGGTACAGCCCTTGCTCCTGCCTGGAAGCTCGAAGACGATCCTAAAGCGAGTCGGGAGGGATGTCGCGAAGGCAAAGAAGGGGTCATTTCAGCTAGTCTAATTGGCGATAGCTGAATCCTATCTACAACCGCATGTTTGCCAGTCTCCAATTGACAATATGTATTTTCAATTAGGCACATTAAATCCAGCCACCAGATGGATCCCACGAAAGGGGAAACAACGAGTCCCATCCCGAGAGCGCGATGAAATTGTCGTCAAGCGGCATGTTCTCTTCAATTGACAGGGGAAAATCGTTCGAAAACATGGATGTGACGTTATGATCGCTTCTTCGCTCTTGGGCCTTTTGCTCGATTGCAGTGAGAGTGACGCGCGACACTTTGTGAATCCATGCGGCAAAGTTCCAAGTTCCCTCCATTTCCGCAAGGCTTTCCATCAAGATCTCCACGAGCGCTTTTGCGTCAACAACCACAGGACATAGTGAGACGGCGACGGGTTCGTTCAGTCGGTTGAAGAGGATGGTGATGGTGTGAAATACGGCGGTCGTTCTATAGTAAGAGGGACGTTATTCATTAACCTTGAGTGCTCTGAGCTGGACCATTCTTTACTTACACCCATCCAGGACAAAATGGACAGAGCGCATGAGAGTTCAGATAGCTCATAACATTGCATATCTCATTTACTGTCGACGATAGCAGGTGCTGGTGGGATGAACGCTTCGTCCGGTCGTCGCACTTCAAAACTAGCTGGCGGTGATAGAAGAGGGAAGCGTATAGGAACTTCAGCCGAAGCAGCGGCGCGAGGATGAGTTCATGTCTTGTCATGCTCGAGGTGTCTTGTGTAGCCGATTCAGGGACATGTGGAACCTTCTTGTCGTAGAACTCCAGCTCGCTGGAGATAAAAATCAGATCACTGTCAGTCGGTTCGGCCCGCGCCGAATACAGCACTCTAAGGATGTTTCGCACTACGCTGTTTTAGCGAATTGGTAGTCAACGTCTCAAAGCACGTACAAATTTGTCCAAGTAGCGCAGATGTGACCATATAATCGATTTCCGTTGAGGAGTAGGCGAGCGCGCTCTCTGCAAACGTATTCTGCTCAGCGCGTGGCTCCTGTTCAATTGATTCGTCGGCAATGACTAGAGGTGCGCCAACGCCAGTAGCGACAGATGCATCGTATACCTGAGCACATTTGTGAGCGACATTGCCTTTTTCCAAAGTGCATTATAGACAAACAAAGTGCACAGAGAACACTTCAATACTCTGGATGGAGGGTGTACTCACCAAAAGAAGTACAGAGACACGGTTCCACAAGCTCCGCTTGTCTTCCGGAATCTGCATCGTACGAACCCTGGGGACGCGTCAGATAAGCGAAGAACAGGTGCCTGGAGAAGCTTACTGGCGAAATAGACCCATGGTCATCGCCACATTAGCAGCCCTACCAATCCAATACCTAGCATTTCGCTCCTGAGCCCATGTTTGCCAAGACTGGGAAAGCAACAGGTAACTTTGGATGAGGGTAATCTGGTCATACTCCAGGTCGAAGTCCGCAATGAGTCTGGCTTTTTCAAAAAACGATCGACTCATCTCGCTTTTTGACTGCCATTCGCCGCTTTCGACAAGACTGGCGTCTGCGAAATGGGACGCGATGAAGAAGATGCAATTCAAAAGGAGGGGCGAGCATGTTTTTGCGCTGCAGCTTTCTACAACCGCAGCCTTTTCCACGACTGGGATATGCGGATGCACGTAATCGAAGAACAGCCGGAGAAGAGAGTCTGCAACAAATGGTCGTGGCGTTTTGAAGACACCCTGATCAGCCAGGAAAATCCGTGTTGACGTGTTGCAGCGGGAAAGAAATTTTTCGGACCACGAAGAGTTTCGAGGAGCCGGTGAGATACGAAGTCCTAAATGACGGTTGTCGGCTCTCTTTTCAGGGCCAGAGATGATATTGAGCATGTGAGCAAGAGCACCCTTCTCATCGACATGCATGACGACATCACCGTGAGCTTGCGTAGAGTGAGGCACGTGGTCATGACATTGGCCAACGGCTCGATCAATATTATCGCTGGTAGCGGGGTCCATTGCGTCTTCGCTACGGCTGCTTGACTGCTGTCTGCCGGTTGCTGCAGACGAGCTGCTCTCAGCTGGCGCAATGCGAGCCGGCTGGCTTTCCTGATGCCTCTGGCTTTGGGTAAAACGTCCAGCATCAGTATCGGTCACCAAACCACGAGCATTGATCAACATACGGCCTTGGTTGTCGACGGCGGGAAGATCGGAGTGTGCATTGCAGATTCGCATTCTTGCACCTGGTGCAGGGGAATACGTTCAGAGCGTCGCATTTGACCTTCCGCGAGTGGCACATTGTGCACGCTCTTGTTGCCCTCTAGACGCAGTGGTAAGAACAGCAGTACTCGAGCGAATTATGACGCAAGAGCGCATACCTGCCGCGGGTGTCGGTCTTCAGGGCCGTCTCGGCCAGCGGCGGAGCTGTACATGGCGTCCGGTCCTTTTGGGTGAATTCATGCAACAGCCAGCGGAGGGAGAATGCACCGGCCAGCAAAGTCAAAGTGATGGCTCAGCGATTACTAAGCACTTCAGCACGGTAGTCTAAGCCCTAAAGCGTATAGGGCATGTCGATGATAGCGCTCGGTTGCGGTGACCCAGGTCCGCAGGACGGAATGCAGGCCAGCAAAGGCAGATATTTAGTTTAGTATATTGATTCTATACTGTAATTGTTTTAGATGAACCGCAAGATGGTATCTTCACTTTTTTATCCCTACCGTCCCAAAACGCCATTATGCTTTTAGAAGTGAACACGAACGATGCTGCTTAATCTTCGTGCATGACTGCCATGTCCAGCACTTCAGCTCTTGCGCGGCCTTTGGTCTGTCCACTGATGAACTCGCCCAGAGCACGGAAGGCCCCAGGCTCAACGAAGCCGGTGCATTCCCACTCGTCACCAAGGACATCCTGACCCTCAACCTCCTCAACGTAACTCAGAATGCGATCCTTGACGGTGCCTGTTGCCTTGTTGTCGTCACCATCGTCTCCGGGCTTTGGTGCAGACTTGACGGCCTGCTTGAGGATGTTGGTGGGGCAGGTGATGCGCAACCTCATGCGAGCACGGGCAACGGGAATGGGTTGGTAGGCAATGAGAGCCTTCATAGCATCCAGCGCCTGGGACTTTGCCGACTTGTTCGCGTTGACGCCAGTCCACTTGGGAAGATCCTTCTTCGAAACCTCCTTCCCTTCGCCGGTTTGCGGGGTCGAGGTGCCGCTGTCGGTGGCAGCCTGGGCTGTCTGCGAGCTCAGCTGGTCGAGGGCCTTTTCAATCATTCCCGTGGTGTAGACTCTCTTCGACTTGGGGTCGACGAGCTTGCCAGCAACGATGTCGATGACCTCGGCGTGCACGCGCTCCAGCTGGGCGTTGCGCTCCTTCTCACCAACCTGCAGCTCGCCCTTCTTCAGGATCTCGAGGATAATGTCGTCGCGCGACTTGTCGGCGCCGAAGGCCTTGGCCAGGTCCTGCTGGTTGGCCGTCTGGCCCTTGCTGACGTTCATGTAGACGTTGGGGATTTGGAGGACGTTGTCGAGGTCCTGCTCGACGCCGCTGCGCCATTCCAGGACCTTGTTCTTGTAGCATGCTATCTCGAAGCGCTTCTTGCCTGGGAGCGGGGGTTAGCGGCGGCGGGCGCATCGCGGGCGGCGGAGATCAATACCCTTTTTCATGCGCACCAACGAGACGTTGGTGAGCGAGATCTTATTGACGGGCTGGGAGCTGGTCAGCGGGAGTGCATGGACGCGCGAATAATCTCAAAACACGTACAGTCTTGATGATAGGCATTTTGCGAGCGGAGAGCGGCGGTGTTGCGGCGTGAGCTGAGCAGGCAGGCAGACAACTTTTCGACTCCAATCGAGTCAGAGGCGGCCGCTTCTGACGTCAATTATTAAGCGGCGCGCCAGGCCCAAGGCGGATAAGCGGCAACCCTTATCAAAGCGCACTGGCTCCACTCACGCGGGCATGCGCACGGTTGGTCCACGGGCCCGTCACTCCCCCAACCGGGCTCCGCGCCAGCGCCAGGCACCGCCGACAGCTCATCTAGCTCTCCTCCCCAGCTCTTCCTCCCTCCCCCGAACACCTCTCTCTGGGACCATTCCATCCCGTCCATCACACTCCATCCTCTCTTGCTCCATCACCCTTCTATCCCACACAGATTCGAGCTGTGTGCGCAGCTTTGATAGCTCCCGCCAGCTTCCTCGTGTGTCGTCATAGCAAGCACCATGAAGGCTGCAGCATCCGCGCTGCTCCTGGGCGCCGCCTCAACGGCCCTGGCTGAGCAACAGGTCTTCCAGATGCCCAGGCCCCTCGCCGAAGCTGCCGATGCCTGGTCCAAGCCGCTGCACAACCTTGAGGATGCTCTCAAGTCGCTTACGGGCGAGGCGAAGCAGCTCTGGGACGAGGTGGCGATGATGTTCCCCGAGGCCATCGACAGCGCCAACTTCTTCTCCACCCCGAAGCCGCACAACCGCAAGCATGACAGCGAGTGGGACCACATTCTGAAGGGTGCCGACGTGCAGTCGGTCTGGGTCGAGAACGCCCAGGGCCAGAAGGAGCGGGACGTCGAGGGCAAGCTCGAGCAGTTCAGCTTGCGCACCAAGAAGGTCGACCCCAAGTCCCTCGGCGTCGATGATGTCAAGCAGTACAGCGGCTACCTTGACAACGACGAGGACGACAAGCACCTGTTCTACTGTAAGTCACGCGATGCCATCTCCCGCCTCCTTGGTTTCTCTAACACGAAGCGTTACAGGGTTCTTCGAGTCTCGCAATGACCCCAAGAACGACCCCATCGTCCTTTGGCTCAACGGCGGCCCCGGCTGCTCGTCGTTGACCGGTCTCTTCATGGAGCTCGGCCCGGCGTCCATCACCAAGGACACCAAGGTCAAGTACAACCCGTACTCGTGGAACGCCAACGCTTCCGTCATCTTCCTCGACCAGCCCGTCAACGTGGGCTACTCGTACAGCGGTGGCTCCGTCAGCAACACGGTCGCTGCCGGCAAGGACGTCTACGCCTTGCTCACCCTCTTCTTCAAGCAGTTCCCCGAGTATGCTTCTCAGGACTTCCACATTGCCGGTGAATCGTACGCCGGCCACTACATTCCCGTCTTTGCTTCGGAGATTCTCTCGCACAAGAAGCGCAACATCAACCTCAAGTCTATCCTCATTGGCAACGGTCTCACCGATGGCCTGACCCAGTACGAGTACTACAGGCCCATGGCCTGCGGTGATGGTGGCTGGCCCGCCGTTCTGAGCGAGGGCGAGTGCCAGGCCATGGACAACGCCCTCCCTCGCTGCCAGTCCCTCATCCAGAGCTGCTACAACTCTGAGAGCGTCTGGTCTTGCGTCCCTGCTTCCATCTACTGCAACAACGCCATGATCGGCCCCTACCAGCGCACCGGCCAGAACGTCTACGACGTCCGCGGCAAGTGCGAGGACAGCAGCAACCTCTGCTACTCTGAGCTCGGCTGGATCGCCAAGTACCTCAACCAGGACCACGTCATGAAGGCTCTCGGTGCCGAGGTGTCGAGCTACGACAGCTGCAACATGGACATCAACCGCAACTTCTTGTTCCAGGGCGACTGGATGCAGCCCTTCCACCGCCTCGTCCCCGGCATCCTCGAGCAGATCCCTGTCCTCATCTACGCCGGTGACGCCGACTTCATCTGCAACTGGCTCGGCAACAAGGCCTGGTCCGAGGCGCTCGAGTGGCCTGGCCAGAAGGCCTACGCTCCTCTTCCTCTCGAGGACCTCAAGCTCGGCGGCGACGGCAAGAAGATCGGTGATGTCAAGAGCTCTGGCAACTTCACCTTCATGCGTCTGCACGCCGGTGGCCACATGGTTCCTTATGACCAGCCCGAGGCCAGCTTGGACATGCTCAACCGCTGGCTCGGCGGTGAGTGGATCGAGAACTAAGTTTCTTGATCTCTCTTGGCAACTTGAATTGAGCTAGAGAATATCGTCTCGCTCAGATTGTAACGATTAGGATTTTTGAGACAGGTATGCGTGAGAACGCATGTAGATATCTCATTATGGGATAAGGTGGTAACGGTTTCATGGGATATACAACTGTAAACGCTAGTTGGGGCGGCGCAGTTTAGAAATCTGATTTTTTGTTGAATGATGTTATTCACTTGCAAGTGCGTGCCTGGACAAGGTTGACTCGTTGTAACACGTGCATTCTCCGAGAAGTCCGTTCTTTGTGCAACACTGGTCTAACGTTCTCCGCAGCTCGCTTCCTTTCAGACGTTCTCCAATAGAGAGCATTCCGGTTACGATCGTGTTCTCCACCCACGCACCCATCAGGCAAAATCCTGGTTAGACGTGGGATCTCATCATGCAAGCCACGGTCACACACATACTACCCCCCGGCTTCTTCAACCCCGCAAGCCACCAATCGCAGTCATGCCACTGTGAACGCGCCATTTTGCCCGCGCGGGGCTGGCCGGTTTTGATTAGTAGAGGGAGGGAAAATGTGGCGTTGTTGGTCCTTTATAAGAGTGGTCGGTGGTCTTGCTTCTTATCTGAGTTTAATGTTTCCCCGTCCGTCTCTTACGGCTGATCTACTTTTCGAAGGTTCTGTTTTGTATTTGTCTGGCATACTCGAGAGAAAGCATTTGATTTCTACTCTACTCTAATTCGTGTCTTGCAACCTCGGGTCAGACTGCTTATCGTCTTTGCATGCAGTATGGTCGCATGCCTGCTACCTCGACGTTGAAGAGTATAAGAAAAGAGAAGGATTACCATTTATGGGAGGAAATGAAAAAGGCGAACAATGTCGACCACTTCACCGCCAACACCACCGCCATCTTGCACCACCCCGCAGCCGCCCACCCCTGCCGCGCGGGCAGATGACTCGCTAGGCTCGACTGTCACGAGACCGTATGGCAGCAGCAACAACAGCAGTATCAATAGAAGCGATGATGGCAGAAACAGTCCATCACAAGAAACGAACAAGCCACCACTCCTATATGAGGACTCCTATGGGGAATCCAGCCATAATGCGCGCGCTTCTTCCTGGCCGTCCCCGCCTCCCCCCTCTTTGATCGCAACCACCCCTCCCCAAACACCACAAACCAGCAACAATGCAGCCGACAACGACGACTTCTTCGCCCGCAACAAGCTGTCCAAGCTCGACAAGCTCATGTGCGACGACATCGCGCAGAGCCTGCTGGCCGCGCAGGGCTACGAGCGGTCTTCTCCTCCCCGCTACGCGTGGCAGGGGTGGTGCAGTTATTCGGTCCTGCTCACGCAGACCAAAAACGACACCACTGACCGAAATGGCAGCGGAAAGCGAGCGACGGACATCCTCCTCCAATTCCGTCCCCCCCGCCACGCCGTCGATTCGAAGGTGCTGGCGCTCGCCCGCGCTGTTTATGGCGATGAGCGCGTGCCGCGGTTGGTGTATGCGGCGGACGTGCTGCTTTGGCCGCGCGCGGTGCCGCCGGCGAGGGAGCTGTTTTTCTCCTCCGCGGCGAAGGGGAGGGAGGGGAGGAGGGAGGAGGTCATGGCGATGGATCGGTTGTGTGTGACGGCGACGACGTTGTTGCCTGGGGTGCCGTATGCGGTTGTGCAGCCGGGAAGGTCGGGGTGGAGGAGGGGGAGGGGGGCGGGGGAACGGGGGAGGGGAAAGAAGGCGGTTTTGACAAGGGAGGAGTTGGGGTGGCAGAGGGAGGTGGTGAGGGGCTTTGCGGGGTTCGTGGCGAGGGGGTGGAGGGGGGGTGGTGGTGCTGATGGGGTGGTTCATGGGTTCGAGGAGCATGCTTCCTCGCAGCAGACGCCGGTGTCAGTCTCTTCGCTCATGAAGGCGAGTGGCGGGGGCTCGTCCCTGTGCGACCGCATCCCGGCGAAGCTCGCGCAGCTCTGTGAGCAGCTCCCGACGCTCGCGCTGAGGGAGAGGGCGGAGGGCGTGCGGAAGAAGTACGCGGAGATGGGGTTGGATCACTGTACTGGTGGTGATAACTGCAGCAGCAATCCTCGCCTTCCCATGCTCCCTCTCACCCTCAACCACGGCGACCTCGTCCCGGGAAACATCCTCGTCGACCGCGCGACGGGCCAGCTAACGGGCGTCGTCGACTGGGCCGAGGCCGAGGTCGGCTGGTGGGGGTTGCCGCTGTACGGCGTCGAGTTCTTGCTGGGGTTCGTGGAGAGCCGTCGCCACCGTCGATCACCGGGGAGAGAGGAGAAGAACGACATGGAAGAGGAGGCTGGGGATGCTGGTGATACACCTGGCGTGGCCTGGGGCGCAGAAGCGAAAGGTGGTGGCGGTGGCGGCACATCGGGCGGGTCGGAAGGGACGACGAGGGCGTTTGAGTGGACGTACTATGCGCAGGCGGAGGAGCTGCGGGGGCTGTTTTGGGAAGAGGTGGAGAGGGAGATTGGCGGGGTGTTCGGAGAGCTGGAAGTGCGGCGGGCGGTGGAGGTGGTGAGGGATGTGGGCGTGTTGTTGTGGTTCGGGTTCGCGTGGGATGATGGGAAGGTGGATCGGGTGGTTGATGAGGTGGATGATCCAAGGGAGGTTTTGTTGTTGGAGACGTTTTTGGGCGTGGGTGCGTATGGGGGGATAGCTGAGTGGGAGAAGGCAAGGCTGTAGAGGTGTTGGTGTTGGTATTGAAGACTTGTCGCTTTGTGAGATGGCACAGTGACCAATAGTTGCGTTAACTGGGGATCTTTGTTCAGAAGGTTTGTCATGTTTGCTATTGGGAAGTATCCAGTCACAGGTTATTGAACGGTGCTCGACTCGGGGAAGTATAGAGGAGTACTGCAGCCGATGACAGAGCGAGGAATCATATAAGTACGCCTCGGTTATTTTTTTTTTTTCATATTTACAGCCGGATGATGGCTTCAACTACCTATGGTATGAGCGAAAGATAGCTGGTAGATCCAAGTGTGTGATGTGGTCCTAGCTCGCAACGATTAGCAGATTATAGTGCACACACTCTAATCGAACGTAGAGCCTTCATACGAAGACGAGTCATTTCGATGTCCTGGCCGGAGCTCGTTTCCCGTCGCGCTTTTTCGGATTGGGGGCCGGGGCGAACAAGTCAAGTTCATGAGCACCTGATGGGATGTTGGCAGTTTCCTAGCCAGGTTTGGGAGGTAGAAAGAGCAGAGATGGATCGACAGATAAGTCGTCAATGGCGCATCTGACATAAGCAAGTCACACACTACTGGCATCACGAGGTCTACGGAGTCGGGCCTCTTACTTAGCCATATGTTTTTTTTGTTTGCAGCAATTCATAAATTGACTTCAGTATAACCGAATCGACGGAAACCAGCCTCAGTGTGGCAATATTGGACGAAGAGGCTGTGGCAGTGACACTGTACAGGCACCCGGCGACAGGGATCAGCGGGTGATGGTTCCCCCGTGACCGTGCGTCTTGTCCCTGGAGATCACCCGCTGCGCCTTGCGGGGCGCGCAGCTTTCGGCGTGTGACCACCCCTAACTCTCAGCGCTCCGCCTCGGCGACCAGGCGCATCCCCGACATGACCGCATCATTCGCCGCCAAGGGAGGAGCGGCCAAGCTCCGGGCTGCAGGTGCTAGAGCAGTAGCCAACCACTGGCGCTTGCCGCGTCCCACACCACAGTATGTCATAGCTCCAACGCCGAGAGCTCCACAGCCCTGCTTCAGCGCAAGGCACATCAAACACTTGCCGCCCGCCTAGTTGCCTTGGCCAAATACAAATCCGTCTCTGCCTGCTGCCTCCCTGACCCGTCAATCTGACGCACTTCCCATCTGACCAAAAATCTGTGGTTCCTGAGGCCCATCGTGCGCACCTGACAGCCCACCATCTCCAACAAACAAAAGGGGAAGATATCATGGCCCTCGACTACGCCCGCGATGCCTTCTGGCAAACGCTGGGCTACATCGCAGAAGAGACGGAAAACGACCGCGAATTGAGGACAGCCGGCAACTTCGCCGCCTTCGAAAAGACCATGCCGCACATCCCCATCAGCCGTCTGCGCGACATCTCGGTCGTCGACAACGTGTCGTCGTACCTGGGCAAGCGCAATCCACTCGCGCGCCCCGTTGACCCTGACAAGCACGTCATCTGGCTGCAGGACAACACGGCCTACCGCCCCAAAGACAAGAAGAACGTCTGGGAAGCCGAGTTCGTCTGCGCCTACTTCGTCAAGAACAGCGGCAAGGACTGGGGCCGCGTCGTCGCCGACATCGCCGAGAAAGCAGGCCTGGGGTCGGGCCACGAGGCCGAGCGCACCATCGCGCGGCGCCTGGAGCCGTGGATGGACGCCATCCTGCCCGCGCGCACTGTCAAGATCCAAATCGGCAACGACGACAGCGACGAGACGGCCATCGAAACCCTCGGCCCCAGCGACCGCAGCGGCGTCAGCAAAACCCTCATCCGCACCACCGGCCATCACGCCGACGGCGACACCGTCACCTCGCGCGCGCTCCACCACGTCGGCACCCGCCACATGACGACGACCTTCGCCGAGCCCACCGGCTGGGCCGTCCTCTCCGACGTCGACGACACGATCAAAATCACCCAGACCCCCTCCCCCACCGGCATCCTCCGCAGCACCTTCGTCGACGAGCCGACGCCTGTCGCTGGCATGCCGGAGCTCTACGCGCACATCCAGCGCGCCCTCGCCCACCCGCCGTTCTGGTACCTCAGCGCGTCCCCGTACAACCTGTATCCTTTCCTCCGCGAGTTCCGCGCGCAACACTACCCCGATGGGCCCTTGTTGCTGCGCAACGCGTCGTGGATGGACCTCGCCGGCTTCCTTATCGCGCTGACGGCGGGGACGCAGGCGTACAAGACGGCGCGGATGCGCGAGCTGCATCGCATGTTTCCGGGGAGGAAGTTCGTGCTTATTGGGGATAGCACGCAGAGCGATCCTGAGGCGTATGGGGAGGTGGCGCGAGAGTTTCCGGGGTGGGTGGGCGCGATTTTTATAAGGCGCGTTACGGGCGTTGCGGAGATTGATCGGACGAGTAAGAATACGAAGGAGCGGTTTGAGAGGGCGTTTGAGGGGCTGGAGAAGGCGGGGGTGGTGTGGAGGGTGTTTGATGAGCCGGGGGAGGTGTATAGGGAGATTGAGCGGTTGGTGGGGAGGTGAGGGCGGGTTGGAGGGTTGGACGCGCTGCTATTTTCGTTCAGGTGTTCTTCTCGGGGGTCTCGATCCACGTATTGTTTTCCTTTACTTCTATTAGCTTCTGGACAGGGAGTTTGCGGGTTGCTCGAGCTCTGCTGTGTTTGCGCCACTGTTCCTTTTTACCGCTGTTGGTGTTTTTTCTTTCTCTTTCCCCCTTCAAGCATTGGATACCACGGCAGTCGATTTTAGAGGAGGAGGGGCAAGAACGACGAGGCTTTTATGGAGCTTTAACTCGAACGTTGGCCCTGCTGTATTTCTTACTGTTCTCGAGCATGTATGGACGTTTATTGAATTATGGCATGTCTAATGTTGGTGGGCTTACGTCTTGGAGTTTAGCCTTGCAATGCCTATTTCGTCTCACGCCGTTTCATGTGGTGCTTCGAACTACCTGCTGAAACTTGCTTGTATTTCATGCATATGGGATTCCCAACCCGCGCATTTCGTCTGTCAAGCGTCGACGGCGGCGGCGGGGATCTCAACTACTTAAGTAAAATTGTTTCAAAGACGCGCTCAAGATCAATCCAATCGCGAAGAAGAACCCATCCGATTCCCAGCCTGTACGAAAATGACCCTTCGCTGCCAAGGAGCATGACGTTAATAACTGGCGCTATTGGGATAGCGGCCCAACTATCCCCATGAGCCATGGTGCCCTTTCGCGGCTCGTCTGTCTTTTGGTACATTTTCTCAACGAGATCGCTCGCCTCTAGTTGGTGGTATACAAATGAAATAGCTACGCACTTGAAGACTCCAGCCTTCGGCCGGTCCTCCCGAAGGATTAATCCTCGCCCCCCTCCATAGAGCCGACCAATTAGCACGCCATGGTCACTGTGCTTGAAATCGCCATTGGGATCAACCCACACATGGGCGGATTGCGCCCGCGTGAGAAGCACTCCAGGTTGGAGCTGGGCAATTTTGGAGTCGTCCTGCTCAGTAAGGCCTGGGATGTCCAGCCCCGGGTATGTTGGGCTCCTAGAGCCTCCAGATCTGACTTCGCGCCAAAAGTCTCGCAGCGAGGGCCAACGTTGTCTGAGCTCTTTCTCACTGGTCTGAGTAGTATCGTCGGGCTGCAGCGGGGCGAAAGGCGAGGGGGAGTCGAAGGCCGAATATGACCATAAGATGGCCAGATAAAAACGGCGCCCGGGCATCTCGCTCGTGTCGAATTGATATTTGAACGCTTTGTCTTGGTATTCTTCGTCGATAAGCGTCGGTGTGGAGGGCTGCGAACTCGGAGCAATACGGGCCCACTTCACCAGAGGGACCATATAATGCGGGCTTACCACTCTCGGTATCTCCACCCCTCCCGCTACAGAAGCCCATGACCAGGTTGGAAGAAGTGGATTCAGGACTGGATCTCGACCGAGAGTATTCCGGAATACACGGACGCTAGGAGGAGGTCCGCCTTTGGACGGAGCCCACAGCAGTGCTTGGTCGAAATGCTGCTCTGGCAGGCCGTGAATATTTTTTTCGGGGCCCCCAAAGAGCGCCGTCATGATTCCAGAGAAGGCATTGTAGATGTCATAGTCATACGTAAGCCTTCTAGACGTGTAGCTCCGCAAGTACTTGCTGAATGTGAAAAAGGGGGTGGTCAACTCCAGATCTTTTGAAGACGTGAACTGGTCGAATTCGACAGAATAACTGAATTCTTCTCCACATTTCTCATATTGGATCCAAACTCCCGTAGAGGAGAAGTACACTTTGATCTTGGCGAGGGCGACTTCCTGAAGCGTCCATCCCCGCGTGCTCCATATCGAGCTAGAGATGTCTCCATCGAAGTCTGGCACGCTGGCAAGTTCGAAGTCGAGAAATGATTCTCGAGCTTGCAGCTTTCGTCGGGCCAAATGCATGCCAGAAAGTCCAGAGTGCACGCTTTCCCCACGGGCGGCCACGATTACGAGTGAGGCTGAAGAGTAGATGGCAGCCATGGAGGCTATTTGATTTGCCTTGTCCGCTGGGTCGTCTTGCTTGATACAGATCTGGTCAATCCAGAGGTACTTTTGACCAAGTTTTTGACAGGCTTGAAGAGCATCTGCGATAGTGTGAGGGGGATCGTAAAGGTCGGCCGCTGACCAGGTTTGGCCGACTCCCTTAGCGCTGCCCCACACGTAACTCAGTGCAGCGAAGGTGCCGGCAAAAGAGGGACCGACTGTGACACAAACCCTTTTCAGGACGTCTATAAGGCGAAAGTGTGAAGTGAGACGACCAATGGGGCTTGGTTTAATATTGGGCAGCGATACGCGTATGCGATCCCATAATATCTCCTCCCCTAAGGGTGCCTGCCGTATCTCTTCTAGCGCATACATAAGTGGTGCAGGATCTAAAAATCAAAGTGTCAGGAAAGACTCTCAACAGTTCTTCGTGGATAAATATACTTAAAGGACGAAGACTTTTGTACATAATGCCAACATCCTTTTTAAGTAGGTTACTGCTGACAGATAAAAAGCGAGCACTGGACCCATATCGAGTGATATTTAGCTTTGCAAAGGCGGGATTTGAGGATTGATTGCCTTCGGGTGCTTCCTGTCCATGTATCGATACCGTGTCCGCGACCAAGCGACAGAGACCGCAATTTTGACAACTTCTGATTGCTTCCAGGTCACCAAGATCCACTCTCAGCTCTAACGATAAGTATCTTCTAAAAGAGTCTGGCAGACAACTGAGGATGTGTTTCAGGCGGATATGCCGACAGAAATCGCAGAGCTGCGTTTCCGAATCGTCCGAAGGTATGCAGGTAGAACACTGTTCATGAAAAAACTGGTAGAGATCCAGCGGAGTCTCTTCGCTCATGAGGGAGTATTTCCCCACCAGCGAAAGTTGAAAAGTGGAGCAAAACATGCATCGTGTGTGGTCTCCCTGATCTGCTTCCGCAGAGCCGTGAGTTTTGCCGTGAGCATCCAACGAGTCGATCTCGGGGTTGGTCGTGTCCTGCGTAGGCCCAAAAGTTGATGAATCGGCGTTTCTGCTCATTTTGGAGGACGACTGGCTAAACAGAGTGCTATGCAAGGTAGTCTGCAATGAATGTGAGTTGGAAACTGGCTCTGGAAGGTCGCTCGCCAATGTACCGGTATTTGGACGTGAACTTGATGCTGAAAAGACCTCTGATTGAGTACTTTGATGCGTGAAGGTTGAGATGGATTTGATGCAACTCAGAGAAGACGAAGATACGAAGAGATTTTACCCCGCTTTCGTGTTACACAGAGACGGAAGGGCGGTGGGGAAAGTCGGGTCGCTTGTGGCTGTCGGGTAAGCAAGCTAAGATATAATCATTTATTCAAGCCTCGATGATGGCGGCGCACGACATCGTTGGGGAATGTATGCTTCCCTATCGCGAATACCACCCATCTCTTCTACTACCAACCTGCTGTGCCGCCGTGCCATCTCCACCCACCATCCTCAATCACCTAGGCGCCCTGGCTGCAGATGCCAAGATATTTTCCTTCTCAGCCAGTATAGGCATCAATCTGGCTACAATCAGGCATTCCCATCTTTCGCTTACACACCCAGCTCAAACTCTGTCTGGAGAGAAGTATAGAAGTTCATATACCACCGCCGGATGGTCTGATTCACCCCCTCGATTCAAGATGGAACTGTGGCTTGACTGACCAGTTGAAATGCTGAGTGGACAAGAGTAAAACATAATTATCGTTAATTTCATGTCTTTTGTCTATTTTTCTATGTTTTATTATACGTGCCAAAGGGAGTTCTGAGCAGTGTGGGAATTGGGAATGCGAACACAATTACTGTTGACACAGAGAAACCCAAGAGAATAGATTGAGCACTTCCGTAAGCTCCGTCACAGGCATCATCTCGTTTTGTGACCACTAACTCAACTTGAAGCACCGACAACTCGGACCTTTTCCAGCCCCTTTACCACATACTCCACACCCACCCCATAAACCATACCGTAACCGCCACCCAAAGCACCAAGGCCACACAGACCACCACAACCGTCCCCATCCCACAACCCTCCTCCACTCGTCCCCCACCGCGTTCATCCTTCCACAACTCCATCCACTCCTCTACCAAGCCCCTATAGTCATGCGGCCCGTATGACGAAAACACCTCCTTAACGAAACCACCCTTCCGCCACCTCGGCAGCCCGAGCTCAGCCAGCATCAAGTCGAACAGCGGCAGCGTGTCGAAGAAGAAGTCGGGCAGGACGCCGCCAAAGCCGGCCGGGTAGCGCCAGGCGCCGTACCGCGCGTGCAGGATGGCGTCGTACCTGACGCGAGCACTCATTTCTCGCATATCGCGCTGCTGCTGCTGATCGTCATGCAGCTTGACGTCGTCAGGTCCTTTCTCGACGGCCGGCGTGGACAGTTTCGGCGAGGGCGCCGCGTCAGGCTTCAGAGACGACGGCGAAGGGGGGATGGTGGAGGGCTCCAGATGCGGCAGGCGGTGGTCAAAGAAAGCGCAGAGCCAGAGTGCCTGCATCTCGGCGATGGTGGCGGTGACGGGGGTGCGGACGACGCCGGCGAAGGCGAGGGTGCGGGTGTGGATGCGGCGCGGGGGGATCATGAAGCGGTAGAGGGCGTACGCGCCGTCTAGCGTCTTTTTCCTCTGTTGATCCGTGCCGTATTTTGGTTCGGAAGTCTTTCTCAGGTGCGGTGGGCGTCCCTGTGGCGGCTGCTCTCGAAGTCCAGGCAACGCGGTCAGGACCTCCTCGTCTGCCCTCGCCACCAGCGCTGCCTCGTCTTCCTCCCCTACGACCTTCTCCTCCCGACCGCCAGCACCCGGCACCCCCAACTCCGCACTAATATCCACGCCCCCCCTCACCAACCGCACACTAGGCCTATACTCCCACCCCGCCGAACAAACCACCTCATCCACCTCCACCACCGTCTCCTCTTCTCCCCCCTCCCCCTTTTGCCCATCCCCTCCCGCAGACAACCTCACAGTTCTCCCCTCCATCCCCACCACCTCCCCCAACCTAACCTCGATCTTCCCCCGCCTCACCAACTCAAACACATCCGGCGCCCCGGGTCCCCAATTCAACAACCCCCGCCCCGTCCCCACCCAAAACGCATCGTGCCACGGCTTGAGCAACGCCGTCTGCGGATGCGCGTCCAGCCGCAGCGGCTCCTCGACGCCCTTGCGCTGCACGAGCTGCGCGTGGAAGGCGCGGACGAGGGCGCGGCCGGCCGGGGTGCGGTGGAGGAGGGTGCGGCAGAGGTGTTCGAAGTGGTTGAAGGATGGCGGCTGCCAGCGGGACGCCGAGGTCGAGGGGGAGGTCGAAGGGGAGGAAGGCGAGGGGGAGGGGGAGGGGGAGGGGCAAGAGGGGGAGGAGGGGTTCGCAGCGGCCCAGATGCATGGATTGAGAAACGTGACGGCGCGCGTCGTGATCAGCGCTTCGGACAGCAGCTTGAGCGGCGTGACGCGGGCGGGCGCGAGGAAGCAGGGACCGTGGCCGGAGGGCCGGATCAGCCAGATGACGCGGTTGCCGAGGGTGTGGGCGTGGTGGTGGGCGCAGTCGGCGGCGGACTTGTTGGCGGAGAGGATGAGGATGGTTTTCTTCTTTTCATTTTTCTTTTCGTCCGTGGTGGCTGGAGCTGACGACGGACAATGCTTCCCGAAGTCGCGGACGTGGTAGATGGGGCCGGTGAAGGCGGAGGTGTCGGCGTCGGCGCATTTGAGGAGGGAGGAGGGGGGCTTGGGGGTGCTGGTTAGGCCTGTCGCCAGGACGAGGATGCGGGCGTGGATTCTTTGCGGCCTCTTCTCTCCCTTCTCCTCCTCCTCCTCCCTCTTCCCCCCCTCCTCAACACTAACCACCCACCCCTCCGCCCCCAAGTCCTCCGCCTCCACCACCTTCCTTCCACACCTCACCCTCCCCACCAACCCCTTCTCCGCCGCATAGTCCTTCAGATACCGCCTTACGCTGTCGCCGGCGATGTGCTCGTCGGCGCGCACTTCGGGATAGCGCGGGTTTCCCAGCATGGGGTAGTCGGCGAACTCGAAGTGGCCGGCCTGGCTGTTGGTCTTGAGGCCCGGGTAGAGGCGCGATTGGGCCCAGACGCCACCGATGCTGGGGGCCGCATCGAGGATGAGGAGGGAGGCGGAGGGGTGCGTGGTGGTGTAGGTTGCGGCGAGGGAGAGGCCGTGGAAGCCGGCACCGACGATGAGGAGGTCGACGGTTTCGAGGGGCGTTGGGTCGGGCATTTTTGGGGGCTTTCTTTGATGAGTCTGGATTTGACGGTATGGGATATGCTGTAGTAATGATCTTGTGGACGTTTTTTGCGCTACGATGTTGTTGTGGGCTTTGGCTGTAAATAGGTCCCGATATTTTTAAAGTTCAGTCGCTAAGGCGATGAGACGGATGAATTTTCGCATGAGAAATGCGTAATTATTGATGCCAGACACGCGCGAATGTTGATTTCTTTCAATCTGAGGCGTGAGAAAGATATACGTCGTCTGAAATGCAGCGTGGGCAAATCAGTGACGCGGTACACCCTGGGACAAAGTTCTGATGCGACGTCAGAGAGAGTGTAGCATAAAATAAAATGTAATTCAAAAAGGCTTGGGTGGGATGACCATGAATCTTAATATGTACGAAGGAAAAATAATGACCCAGAAAAAGCATTCATCTCCACAAACGCAAGGGCAATCGCCGTGTTTTATGTGGTGGCTGGATGGATGTGATAAAGGAAAAGGGGGAAGCCATGAGCAGCCACAAGAGGTGAAATGCATTTTAGCAGAAGAAAATGGGACCAATTAGAAACATGGATGAATCTAGCACTCAGCTGAACTGCGAATAAGCTTTATCGCGCTTTGTGGGGCTGTTGGAGGCGTCGCCGAGCGCTATCGCGTGGCAAAAAGACGGTGGGAAAGATGAGCTGTTTTCGAGAACAGTTTAGGGAAGGCTTCCGCCCCCGGTTGATAGCGGGCAGAAGTGCGGAGGATTTATTGTGGGTCTGTGGTACCGAGGATACCTGGTGAGCTCCATCGCAGTTGTACCGGTGATGGTGACTTGCAAATAATGGAAAATGCGATAGAATGATCCAGATGCTTGTCCGATGGGATGGTTGTACTATTGAAACAGGGAGGCCTGTCAACGGTCTCGAGGAAGATCCCGGGCGGTCGTCGAGCATGATGCTTGTGTGGAGAACCCGGAGATCGCACAAATCACCTGCTGTATTTCGACGTCTGTCTGACAACGAAATGTTCGATGTTTATGAGCAACGGGATTTTGAAGGCTCTGCGGTGCGCTCAGCCGTGCAGACAAGCGATTAGTGAGGATCATATGCGCGCTAGCGACTGCCAGAGCTGCAAGCTGCACTACCGACAGCGGAAGGATCCCACGTTCCGCTGGCGCAACATTATTATTCCTGTCCTAGATTCTGCTTACTGCCCTTCGCCTATATTTAAAGGTCCTTTCCTTGTAGTAGATTCTGGCCCACGCCTTCGCGTGCGACTTCCCGGGTCCCCTCCCGCGCGGGCTGGCTGCTGCCTTCTAGTGCGCCGGGTTCCCGTTGTTGGCAGGAACGATCAACCAGGGGTGTAGGTATTTAGTGCTTTCTTCCGGGTAGTTCAATCCATCACCCGTTAATCTTCTCAGCTTCTCGCCTCAGCCAACGGCAGCGCCGTGTCCCCAAGATTCCCATGCGGGATATTCCATCCTGCCGCTTCTGCCCTTGCGGCTACAAAGTCCTATACCCAGGGGCTCGTAACACTCTCCAAGGTGAGAAAAACTACACAACGTGGACAATAAAGCATATAAACTCTAACCGCCACAGTCTAAACGTCTGTCAACGAAACTAGGTAGGCACTCCTCACGCGCTATCCTATGCACCACTGTTGCGTTGAATCCAGCAAAGAGCAACGTGCACACAAGTATTCGTCAAACGTTCCAGTGCACTCATCCAAATACATGGCCCAATTCTGTTCCCAAGCCTCTGCCGGTTCTTGCGAAACCCTGACATTGCACCAGTAATCGACGTACAGACACCCCTCCTCACCATCCGTATCTCGCACAGCGACCAGGATTCCCGGAATATCAGCTCGCGTGCCATCCGGCGGACGATGCAAAACAACCATAAGCGCCTGCGCGTCTGCCGCCCCGATCCGCTGCTGCAACCGCTCATCGTCCGTCACAGCCCAGCTGAGCTGGAAGCACGACCGCGTCCCCTCGTCCAGCACCAGGCACGGAGCCGTGAGCGGCGTACGCGCGACATGCAGGCGCAGTCCCGGGTACTCGACGAACAAACCGCGCTCGTCAAAATAGGCGGGTAGCGCTCCACTGTCCAAAACGGCGTACTCGTTCCCTTGAGAGGCCATGAATGAGGCGGGAGCCCATCGCCGACCAGGCGCTTCGAGGCGCGGGCCACTTGCAAAGATGATGCCCGGCGGGAAGAACTGCTGCAGCTCGAGAAACACGTCCATCCGCCGTTCCGGCGGCGCGTCGACCAGCGGGCCCAGGTCCAGACCAAGCAGGGCAGCGACGCAGATCAGTTCATCAGCCGCGCGGCTGGTGGTGCGCCACTGCAGCGCGCTCCACACGTGCGCGACGCGCTCAGCGCCGTCGATGCGCAGGAGGCGCCGCATCAGCAGGTTGAAGTTGATGACCTCCATGCCGACAATGTTCCACAGCTCGCGCGAGCGGTCGCGGATGTGCTGGAGTATCCAGACGCCGACCTCGCAGGCGCCGTCATCGCACCAGAAGTACAGGCGCTTGGCGAGGACGCCTTCCTGGAACGTCCAGAGGCGGCGCAGCCAGGAGCAGCAGGTGATGCGGATCAGGTGCTCTTCGTAGCGCTGCGCGGCGAAGGGCGGCTTCCACGTCAGCTGGCGGATCTGCCGGTCCAGGACGAGGACTTGGGTCGCGGCGGTGTAGGTGCGCGCCATGAGCTTGATGGCTTTGCCGCGGTGTGGTGGGCGGAGCGGGACGCAGATGGTGTCGAGCCAGAAGTGTAGGCGGCCGTTGTGCAGGCGGGAGGGTTGGCCGTCCTTGTCGTACAGGCAGACCTGCACCATGGCGCGCAGAGCGAAGAATTGGCAGCGCGGCAGGCTGTTGCGGTGCGGGTTCCCGAGCCCGTCGGCCCAGACGTGCGAGATGGCGACGTACGGAATGTCGGGCGTGGCGGCGACTAGGTCGACGTCTGCTTCGTCCATGGCCCGCACGGCTGGCAGCACCGATATGAGTGGGTATCCTCCGGCATCGAGGATGGCTAAGGCTTTCTCGATGGGGGGCTCCACGGACCCGCAGAGTCCGTCGCAGGTGTCGTAGTGCTGGGTGATGTAGGTGCCCTCGTCGACGTTGTCGGCGATGCATGTTTCCTCGCTGCAGCGCGAGTGGTCCTTGCTGTGCTCCAGCGCGTCCATCCGGTACGCGTAGTACACGGTCGCTGGCGTCAGAGTTTGCTCGAGCATCGACACGTGGTTTGGACAGCAGCCGCGGGCGAGCAGCCGGTCCTGGATCAGCCAACTCGCCGTCCGAAGGAGGATGTGGTCGGGTTGCTCGGCTACGTCCTTGTATATGTTCATGCGCGTGTAATCAAGAGTGCTGCCGAGCACCAGGATTGAGAGCATGATTTCGTCGCTGCCCGGCCAGCGGAAGCCCGATGTTGCGGACATGAAATTGAGCCTCTTGACGTGGGCTGCGGACTCTAGTAGGATCCGTCTGATGGCGTAGAGCTGGGACTCTGCCTGTTCTCTAGTCTTGGTATCTTTCTCTGCTTTCCACGTTTCCATATACTGCGGTAATAAATCGGTAGTCACCCAGTAGCTTCCATCTACGGCATCTTTGCGGATAAAGTCCTCGTGTCGCACCCGGACTTCTGCGGCACCGAGGACGTGATAGAGCACCCCGAAGAACAGCCATTCTTGTATGAACGCCATGGCTTCGTCACCGCTTCGGTCCTGCAGGTCTCCGAGCAGCAGCAGCTCAATGCTCCAGCCTACCTCTTCAGGGAAAGAACTGAAACTGTCTGCTGCTGCTTCGGGAGCTATCTGTCCGCAGTTGATGCGGATCGTCCCAGTGCATTTGAGAGGGACATCGATCGCGGGGTTTCCGCCTGCCAGAGGGGACGGTATGTGGTCCATTTTTGCGTTTGAATGGGCTGGGATGAGGTGACAAGGCTGAAGGTTGGGGGCTTATCATCAATTCTTACTAATCACGGCTGCATAGCGCTCGTTTCTTTAATGGAGAACGCTTACGGCTTTGGACAAGAAAAATAAATGAGGGCATTTAACGAAAGTCACAGTTTGTTTTTTTCCAAGGCACTGTTCTGCATGGACAAGCAATAAACCTGGGGTTTGCATAAATTTCTGTAACCGCAGGCACCTTCTACTAAGCTTCGGACTCGCTTGACAGGTCGGGTGAGCCGTAGGGCTTACCCTGAAGAAATAAGAGAGTGAGGAGAATTGTGCGATACAGAGTGAGTCGGTTATCTATCCATTGAGTTGAAATTGAGACTTTGAGTTTTCTAGAAGGTTAAAATGCTATCTAAGAAGCATGTAAATACAGTAGGAAGGTTGGTATAGTCTGTTTCAGGACTCTTAGCACCGGGCGCACGGACGTACTCGAGGAATACTAAGTTTTTGAGCGTCTTACTGAACTCCGATGTAGCGTTAAGGGAGAATTTCTATCGAAAAGATTTGACATTGTAGAAAAAAAAGCAGGCTCTATTATTGTTTTGAACCATTTGATTCTTCGTCGGATAGTCTCTCGGTAGACATGGCGGAGGTACATCGGACGCGTCCGATCCCGACTTCGTCCTAGGTGAGCTTCTGGACGATAACCCGCCAAATCCCAAGCACCACTCTTCATGAACTCTACAACATGAACTTCTTGCCATGCGCCCGGCTGCTTCCGACATCGACTGGGCAGCCGTCCGCCATGCCTTGCTCGGCTTCGCGCTCCTCGCCGGGGTGAAACTCGTCGCATTCGCCTTCGACCGCGGCGTGGAAACCTACGTCAGTCTGGTTCTGCGCCTCTTTTCCGACGACGAGCCATGGACGCCGTACGACGACCTCGCCGTGCCGAACGTGCCGCCGCCCGTCCTCGACTGGAACCGGTGCGCGCAGCTCCACAACCGCATCGTCGAGCTGGGCTGGCAGGGCCATAACAACGGCAGCGGGAGAGATGCGGCAACGCGGGACAAGACGACTTGGTGGGCCAAGCACCAGCACGAGGCCGAGCGAATCCAAGAGCGCCTCACGCCGGGCTTGGTGGAATTCCTGCAGCGCGCCCAGATGCCCGAGGAAGGCTTAGCCTTCACCTACGAGCTATCCGGCCTCGCGGACCCGGCGACCATGTTCGCGCACCTCGACAACTTCGACGAGGGCGAGTACACGCTGCTGCTCTACGAGGCGGCGTGGGACGTGAGCGGCGACATGTTCGGCCTGGTGTTCGACAAGTTCCAAACGTCGGTGCATTTCTTCCCGTGGCTGGACGCGGACGTGCGGTCCGACGACGTGAACTGGTTTCCGCTGGAGCTGGCGCTGGGGACGTACCTTGGCACGATCGAGGCGGGCAAGTACGTCGCCATGTCGCCTGAGCGGCTGCTCGAAGCAGCGGTTGAAACGCTCCCGACGCACTCACCGCCGTGGGCCAAGATGGCGTGGGAGATCAACGGCGGCATCGAGAGCACCGTCGCCAAGCTCGACCTCCTGGTGCAAGCCATCTGGCAGCGCATGCCGGCGGAGGCCCAGACCGAGCAACGTCAGCTCAGACGCCGGCAACGCATGATCTCCGAGACAGCGTATAGTGGTGCAGTAGCCGCAGCCGCCGCCGCCGTCCCCGGACACAGCTTCCGCCAACAACTCCTGACTCAAAGCCTTGGCTGCCCCTTCGACTACATCGCGCCGGGCCTCAGATGCCCGACGGACGAGACCATCGCATCGATATTGGCTGATGAGCCGCCGGTGCCGGAGTCTTACGCGGCGAGCGGAGGAGAAGTCTCGGCGCTGCCAGTGCTCCTGTTTCCATCGGACGAGAGAGTGCGCGACGACGTCGACGGTGGAGACTTCTACGGGTGGTACAACTCGACGCTCACGGGGGTGCTTGGCGGGCTGTACCTGGACGGCGCATCGCACCACGCCGGCTGGCAGGACGGCGTGCAGCTCGTGACGCCCTTCCCCGTCGGGGGCCAGGAGGAATCTTGGGCCCGGACGGGTGATGGCCGCGAGATCAGGGACTATCCTTGGCGCACGTATGGCGAAACGCGCGCGGCTCATGGGTCTGAGGCATACGTCTCGCTCTTCCAGCTTGGCGACAATGCGTTCACGTATTCGCATCACACGAGCCTGGTCCTCGTGCTCGATCTCTGGATCGATCTGGTCGAGAGCGGCATCTGGGCGGTCGGGCCCGACGGCGTTGAAGGAGGCATGGACGTGTTCAGGATGGCCGACGAGGAGGAGCACTGGTGGAGATACTGCGTGCCACCAGCGTCCCGTTAGCGGGGGATTGCTTCTGCCGCGCGTCAAGCTTTTTTCCATGGTCCAAACGTCTTTTTTTCTTTCTTTCGGCGGGTTGTTGACCTGTTTTGTTTCCTGAGGCCGTGATCGGACCAGGATGGTTACAGAAACGGAGGGATGAAACGCCTTCTCCACTCACGTCACCAGAACTCTCTGGCCGCGTGGTCCCTGTTTGGAGCAACGCAGTGACGCTCCCAAACTCCGAGGCCCGCCTGAATTCGCCGGACCGGTCGTGTAGAAAGTTGCACCAATGCGCCCCGGGGATCGACTGCAGTGCCGGCCCTCGGACCGTGTGAACGACGTGCAGTCGGCGCAAACTGTAATAGCCGGAATAATCCACCAAACACAGCTACTGAAGCTCATCCCCTATATGAAACTAGCCCTAGGCGAAAGCTTGGCTCGCCCTTCTATTTGCGGGGTGCATGCGACTCTGGCGTTTCAGGTCCGCGCTCGGTGTTTTCCCGATGCAGCTCTTCGCCCGCGTGTTAATGAAACACCGCATCTTCTTACACACAGCAATGTTTACAGACCAGGGCGGAATCGCTGGGCAGTGTCCGGGGCATGGGATCCACCAATCCAGCCCCCCGTCCATCGCACCATGCGTATCCCGTATATAAACTTCAGCCGCCTGGCGGTGATCATTTGGCATCCACCCAGCGAGCATTTCCCGGCCAGGCGCCTTCTTAACAGCCCTCTCCCTCCTTACCTTCTCTCCAGTATCCACTCTTTTTTTGTTCCTGCAGTCCGCCTCTCCAATCGTTTTTACCAAAAACAAACAACCTTCATCCCAACACCATGCCCAGCCTCGCCACCATCCTCGCCATCGCAAGCCCGGTGCTTGCCCTGAGCTCGCCCCCCTCGGGCGCCCTCACCGTCGGCTCGTCAGGCAAATACTCGACCATCCAGGACGCCGTTGACGCTTTGTCGACGTCCTCCTCGTCCGAGCAGGTCATCTTCATCTACGAGGGCACCTACAAGGAGCAAGTCGTGATCCCACAACTCTCCGGCGCCCTCACCGTCTACGGCCAGTCCGACTCGGCCTCGTACTCGGGCAACACCGTCACCATCACCGCCGGCAAATCCCAAGCCGACGGCCTCAACAACGACGGCACCGCCACGCTCGCCGTGCACACGGGCAACGTCAAGATCTACAACCTCAACGTCGAAAACACGTACGGCAAGGGTTCCCAAGCCGTCGCGCTGTCCGCCTACGCCTCGGGCAACCACGGCTACTACGGCGTCAAGCTCACCGGCTTCCAAGACACGCTGCTCGCCCAGGAGGGCAACCAGGTCTACGCCCAGTCCTACATCGAGGGCGCCACCGACTTCATCTTCGGCCAGGAGGCGGCTGCGTGGTTCGAGGCTTGCGACATCCGCGTGGCCTCCGCGTCGGTCGGCTACGTCACGGCCAACGGCCGCGATGGCTCCAGCAACCCGTCGTACTACGTCATCAACAACAGCAGCGTCGCGGCGGCGAGCGGTGCGAGCGTCAGCTCTGGCGCTATCTACCTCGGCCGCCCGTGGCGCAACTACGCGCGCGTGGTCTTCCAGGAGACGGAGCTGAGCGACATCATCAACGCGGCGGGATGGGCTGTGTGGAGCACGTCGGATACCCGCACGGATGAGGTGACGTTTGCGGAGTATAGCAACTCGGGTGATGGCGCGTCGACGAGTGGCCGCGCGAGCTTCTCGAAGCAGTTGAGCAGCCCCGTGTCGATGTCGGATGTGTTGGGCAGCGATTATGCGGATTGGATTGATTCTTCTTACTTCTAAGAGAGTGAGGAATTGGGTGGTTATTGGTTGAAGGGGGCAGGCAGGGAGTGCCTTCTGGACTGAGGGAGTGGTGTATAACTTCTTGATTGTTGATATTTTACCCCGTTCTCGCTGTCAATACATACGTACAGTACAAAAACCAAAATCAATGCTTTCGTCTGGTCAAACATCTTTTTTTTCCCTCCCATTCTTCACCATCCTCACCATCATCATTCCTGGGCCCCAATTGACCCTGACCGAGAACGAAGCAGCAAAAAAAACCAGCTGCACAAATTCCACCAACCACACCACCACGCCCGTGCCCGTAACCCGTACCAGAGCTTCACCAACGGCAGCGCGCCTTACCAACCCAACAACATCGCGTAAGCTAAGCTTTCGCAAACACGAGCGCGCGGACCACCGCTTGCCTCCCGCTGCAATCTCTTGTCTCAAACAAGCTTTGGCCAGACCCGGCAAAAGCGGAACACAACGTTCGGGAATTGTTCGATATACTAGTATGGATAATCTCGATGAGAGGCAGATTCAAGGGGTGAGAGGCGTTGACGCAATTCTGTGTGGGGGGAGGCACAGAAAAGGAAAGCCCCGAGAGCTGAACAGATGCTGCTCGTCAATCTCCGGTAAGACCGCAACTGCCGTGGCCGTCGTCCGCTGTCTACCATCTGCCGTTCATCCAGTCCGACTCGGCCGATGATCAAAGGTTAAAAGACGTGCTTTTTGGGGGTATATCGCACATCGATATCGATCGTGTATGCAGTTCTTTTTTTAGGTTTCGATAGCTAGAAAGGTTAAAACATAAAAAGAAGAAGAAGGTTCCGTATCCGCCTTGTCCACATGTAGCCCTCCCTCCCTGCTCGGGGATAGATAACACAGAACACCGAGCAACCACGAAACAATCTATTCACGTCCCGTAAAAAATAGCCGATCAATCACGCCGAAGTCTTCGAGAACACAAACCTAACCCTCGAGCCATCCTCCTTAATCACATTCATGAGGGGCTCGTCGTCGATCAGAGCCTCGAAGTCGACGGCCGCACCGTCCTCCTCTTCCTGCTGTTCGTCGGCGGCGGCATCTCCCGTCATCTCGGCTGAAGAATCGGCAGCTGACTTCTTGGTGATGAGGGCCGTGTCGACATGAGCGTATTGCATGAGCGAAACCATCTTCGCCTTCTCCTTCTTCGTGTTGGCCGCCCCTGCCCGCCCCTCTCGCAACCGCTTCTCCTGCTGCTCCATATCGACTTGACTCGCGCGTAGTAGCATCGGTACCTCCGGAAGCTCGTCATCTGATTCCTCCTTGCCGTCGTCATCGCCGTCCTCGCTTGCAGCAGCAGAAGCAGGGACCAGACCCCCTCCATTCCCGCGGCCGCCGCAGGGGCAGCAAATCAGCTTATGAGTCTGACACCCGCCATCACCCTCCTCATTCAGCGTAAACAAATCCCTCAGCTCCTCCCTCGTAAAGCTAGCCGACGACGACTTGCTATCGATCACGCTGTCCGCGAGCCCCTGCTTCGTGACCTGGCGCTGGAAGATCTTCTCGTCGAGCGCGCCCATAGTCAACAAACGATAGATGCGGCAGGGGCGCTTCTGCCCGTCGCGGTGGATGCGCGCCATGGCCTGCAGGTCGTGCGCCGGGTTCCAGTCGATGTCGTAGAGGACGAGCCGCGAGGCGCCGACGAGGTTGATGCCGACGCCGCCGGCCTTGGCCGAGAGGAGGAAGGCGAAGCACCGGTCTGCGGACGAGGTGTTGAACTTGTTGATCAGTTCTTGGCGCTTGTTGGACGGGGTGGAGCCGTCGACGCGGAGGCAGGAGTACGAGAGGGCGCGGAGCATGTCCTCGAGGATGTTGAGGGTGGAGGTGTAGTGGGAGACGATGACGACTTTCTCGTCGGTTGTCGTGCGGATGCGGTGGAGGAGGCCGTCGAGGACGTGGAATTTTGCGCTGGCTTTGCTGTTGAGGAGTTTGGATGGGATCGCCTCTAGTATAGATGTCATGAGTGGGTTTGGGGTTTCATCCTTCTTCGTGGAAGACAGGAGCTTTGGGCTATTGCAGACTTGCTTGAGGATGTTGATGAGTTGAAGTGCGTTCTCATTGCTTCCCAGTGCAGCACCAAACGCAGGAGATGCAAGCACGCTGCGATAGACCTGTGCTTGGGCTGTTGTCGGGCGGCACAGGAGAACGTGCTCAGTCTTCGGTGGTAGATACTTGGCGAGGATATCAGCGGTTCTCCTAAGCATGAACTGCTTGGATAACTTGTCAAGCTCCTCGTATCGCTCAGTTCCTTTTTCCCTCTCTTTAGCCGTGGCGTCAGGTTGCTGACCGCGCACAATCGGACCTTCGAATTCGCGTTTGAAGGCATTCAACTTTCCGAAGACACCGGGGTTGACCAGATCAGCAACGGCATGGAACTCGAGCAGATTGTTGGAGAATGGAGTGCCTGACAGTAAGACAATTCTATCGGTGCCGAGATCACGAATTGCTTGGGCCGTCTTGCCTTTGGCCGCCTTGAGCTTGTGGCCTTCGTCTAAGACAATCAAGTCGACGTTGCATTGCTCCTTGATATCCTCATGGGACTTGAGCAGCTTCTCGTACCCGATGATCATGACATGGTAACATTTGCCTCGAGTAAAGTCCGTCAGCCGTTTCTTGGATTCGTCGGCAACAAAGACACCGAGCCGCTCGTTTCCAAGCCACTTGCGGAACTCTCTGCGCCAATTACCAACAACGCCAGCTGGGCAAACGACGATGGCTTTCTTCACCACCGGCGGGTCTTCGTAAACGAAGTTCTGTTTCAGCAATGTCCATACTAGAGTGATGGTCTGCAATGTTTTGCCAAGGCCCATCTCATCAGCCAGGATGACACCTCGGCCATTGTAAGCACCAAGACCCATGACGCAGTCGTAGAGAAACCGGACGCCTTGGCGTTGGTGATCGCGGAGGTGCTTGGAGAGGACTGGATCAACCACGACGTCAACTACTTGCTTGCCCTTGGGAATGTCCATGGGCATTGGACGTCTCATGACGAGAGCGCCGAGAGCGTTGGGGTCATGCCGCGGTTGAGGTATTGCCGTGTTTGTCTGCTTGGGTAAAGTGGTGGACGTTAAAAGCGGATTCTTGAATTTGGAGGTTAGAGGACGGCTTTGCGTTGAGACTGAACCGACGTCTGGCTTCCCCGTTGGTTTGACCGCAGGCTTCTGGACCTGGGTGGCCTTTACTGTAAGTAAAGGCTTCTTGTTGGCTGACTGGACTATCGTGGGCTTATGTTGGACGGGAGTATTGTTGCTCTGGGGAGGTTTCCCCGCGGAGAAGTCCGGCTTTGATATGACAGCGTCAATTTCCAGTTCCTTGCCACCAACCGAAAGCGTTGAGCCGGGTTCCAAAGGTTTCGACCACATTGTTTTGCCCATAGGTCGGCCAGATGTATCCTGAAGCTGGGCATAGCCATTTGATACGCAGAGTATAGCGTCTCCATCCCACGTTTTGTGCTTCTTTGCCGTGGGCTTGCGCCATAGAACCGCGTAGTGAGCCTCAGCAGAGTCTCCCAGGTTTTTCGGAATTGTATCGGCTCGAGCAGGGTTCACGACTTGCAGAAGGGGCTTGCGCACGGTGACTGGTGCAGGCGACGGCTTTGGTGGATCGTCATTGTCGTGGGAGATGCGGCGTTTCTTGGAAGGCGGCTCAGAAGGCGGATCTGCAGGAGGACGCGGTGCGGACTGGTTCTCGGAGGGTTTGCGGATCAGCGACGGAGGTTTGAAAGGCTTGTTGAGCATGGTGGTGATGCATTGAAGTTGTCGCGTCGTTGGTGTTTACTGGAACGCGGTCAGGTGGCGACGCGATAGCGCGGAATGCAGGCAGGCGCGTCTCGGCTCGCTTCTCTTGCGTCACTCCAGACCCACCCCTCCAAACCCGACACTACCGAATTTCTTCAACACCACCACGAAGCGCATATCTGATCTTGACGCCAACCTTGGTGTGTGCCTCGCTCAAGATGGCCGGGCAGGATAATGGAATCACTGATGCGACAACTGCCGAAAATCGTGAACGGCAATTGAACGAAGTCACGTTACTGGAGAGCATGTACCCTGAAGAGCTGCAAATCATCAAGCATCCAAAAAGTCAGGATGACGACTTCGAACTCGAGGTCCGTCTCGATCCTGCTCACTCGTTGTCCTTCGTTCTCTCACCCAAAACCTACCCGGCGTCTTCTGGCCCCCAGGTTTTTCTCTCCTTTGGATCCGACGTTTCGAACGATAGCAGGAGACAGTTGCGCGCTCACCTGCGAGACATTGTAGATAGGCAGGAGCCTGGTATAGAGTGCGTCGACCTTATTATTGGCGATTTCCGCCAGACTCTGGACGATTTCAACGCGTCCGCCCAGGACGACGCACAGCGCGCTGGGCAGCAGGCAAGCCCCAACGCCTCCCAAGACCAAGCTTTGCGCGTGGTTCTATGGATGCATCATTTGCTAGCTACCAGTAAGCGCCGTGCCATCGTGCAGCTTTCCAAGGAGCTTGGCCTCGGTGGCTTTTCGAAACCTGGATATCCGGGCAGCGTGTTCGCTGAGGGCGAGGCCACTGCCGTGCGCACTTTTGTCGACGAACTCAAGGTCCATTTCCTGTGCTGGCCGCAACACGTACCTATGCTGACTTGAGGTCCAGTCAATGCGATGGCAAGCAATTCAGGAACGCGCTTCAGCCACGGTGCCCATGACATCGCTTGTCCTACCCTGTGGGATCCAAGAGGTCCAAAGCCTTGGAGATATCGCTGAAGGCCTAAAGTCTACAGGACTTCAAGGAGACTCTCTGGCTGCCTTTTTCTTGGAAAGCATGAAGATTATTTGACATCGTAAATGCGCCTCGTAGGAGCTTCTCCAAGCCATCGCTTCAGCCAAGATAAGGCTTCGATTCTATTCTGGTCTTAGAAGTTTGAAACTGCCCGTATTCGGAAAGTGCTGCCCGCGGCAAAATCCATCTTTCTGCTTGGCACACCCATCTGGTTAATCAAGAGGCTGTGCCGTCATCATCCTTGATCTCCACTGTGTGGGGTCCAAAAGGATTCATCCTTGGCCTATCTAGGGTTTCCACCGCTACTACTACCGTCTTCGGTTAGCGCTAGGGCCGTTTTAAAGGGACCTCATGCGGCTCCTCGTGCTTCAAACGGAGATGCACGTCATACAGAGTCCCAGCAAATGGAAGCCTGGCATTACATGGATCAGCAGCTCATGACTCTTTTCTATGAAGACTATTGTGCAGCCTGCTGCGGAGACGACACCCTTCATCCATATCCATGGATAGCAACATCGCTCTGTCACCTGCTGCAGCCACCACTATTGTGATTAACCACGCGACGTGATTCATTTACGCCTATCCGGCTAGTTCCGTACCGCTCGAGCAAGGAAGAAGGGTATCAGTGCAGATGGTTGCAGGATGGGGCCATAAGAACCCAATCTCATTCGTCTAGCAAATTATCCGCTCGGCTTGCCATATCCAGAGCTTGCTGAAGTAGCCCCAAGCTACTGTACTTTGGTCCATCGCCGGCGGTGTGCTAAGCCGCGTAGGGCCCACTGGGGTCCATGTTACTGAGGCTGAAAGCGGGAGCGGGAAGGAAGCGGGGTAGATAGGGAGAATCTTGATTGCGGCTACACCACCGATTTTTTAACTGATTGGGTGGGGATCAGTTCGAAATTTTATGATGCAAGGCCCATTTTTTGCTTACGCAGCAAATAGCATCTTCCTTTTGTGGCCCCGAGTTCTGCCTGATCTGTTCTTTCTTGTGTCCCGTTCCGGTATCCCGAATGCCTATCACGGGGGCTAAGTTTCGGAGGCCGCGCCGGTATCTTCTTTACAGAAAGACTTTGCTCATTCGATGCGTAAGAACATGCGCAAAAGAAATGCCTCATGTGAAACATTGCTGGCTCAACTACGGGAATGCGAGATGATAACCTCCCATTTGACAACGCGGAGGCGGTACATTTAGATGCTGGTCTTTACATGCTGAATGAAAAAGTAGCGTATGATCGCATCGTAATTACTGACGAGCGCAGTCCTCAATGGTCGGTGTCGGCTATTATTGGTATCCCTACATAGGGCCTGCGTATGCCTTCGAGTCAAGGATGATAATTTGAAATCTTTTTTCCCTAAAACGAAAAGGGAAACTTAAGGGCATTTGTGAGCCAAACCCTGAGCTGTAAAAGTAGATTTTTGGGCTGGATCTAGGGAAATAGTGCTTACGGCTTCATCCTTCTGGATTCGGTGCATACGCAAACTTCGCCTCGCCCACTGCGCCACGCCGCTATGTAGGCCATCCTGAGGGTGAAAGAGGTAGTGTAACGCACCAATCAAGAGCTTGCTTTTGCACAGCCAGTTAGTACACCATGTCAGTGACAGACGCAAGGCCTGAGCTCCGCCCCATGGAGCAGCCTGGATCAACGTTTGCGTGTGTGTGAAGGTTTGTGTGTGAGACAAGGTTATATATTCAAATGCACCGTTCGATAGATTCAAGGCTGTAGCTGCTCTTTCCACTCAAGGACCCGACTATCCAGTTTCAAAGCTCTTTTTCACGGTCTCAGTTTTACCCTCCATCTCTACCAAGAAGGCTCCCGGACGCACTGAAGATGGAGATGGTCAAGGAGGCGCGAGGAGATCAACATGGGCTTCAACAGAGACATCATGACAGACCTGTTCCACGGCGAACGCAGCTTCAACGGAATCGTCGACAGCGACTAGGTGCTCGTCACCGACTTCGCCCAGTAGATGGAGACCATTCAGAAGAACCTGAGGGAGTTGAAGAACTTCTAATAGAATCAAGCACAGTGAGTGTCACCAGAAAGTCGTATACTTCCCGACAAAGATAGCTGATATCTTCAACAGAAAGAGCCGTCCAGGTCACTGGCATACCACGCATACACACTGTGGCTCTTCACACGCAGCAACATCAAGACGATGATCCTGCCCGCAACTGTCTTTGGACTCGCCACCACACTATCAGGGCCGCTGCTCACGACGAACGACTCGCCCGATTACTACGCCATCCTCCGCCGGCTTCCACTGGTCATACTTTCCACTTGGATGGAACTGTTGGTCTTCGACCTCAGTAACCAACGCCAACCGGGATCTGCCGTCGAGGACGCCGTCAACAAGCCATGGCGCCCAATCCCATCCGGCCGCATCAGCGAGGCAGCAGCACGCCATCTCTTGATGGCCGCCATACCCGCCACAATAATCAAGAGCGTCCTCCTCGGCACCACTCTTGAAACACTAGTCTTCTTCATCCTGACCTGGATCGTAAGCCACCAACACAACCCCCACCTCCACCCCACTAACACCTCTCCCCACAGTACAACGACCTCGCCGCCTCCGAATCCCACTACCTCATCCGCACCCTCATCAACGCCCTCGGCATCTCCACCTACTCCGCCAGCGCCGCCGCCGTCGCCGCGCGCATCTCTGCCCCCCTCCCTCTCCCCCTCCACACCTACACCCTCCCCCTCGGCCCCGATCACCTCACCATCACCACCCCCCTCATCCCGCGCTTCTACACCTGGCTCCTCCTCCTCTCCCTCGCCATCTTCCTGACCATCACAACGCAAGACCTGCCCGACCTGCCCGGCGACGCCGCGAAGGGCCGCCCGTCGATGCCGCTGGCCATCGGCGAGGCGCGCGCGCGGTGGAGCATCGCGGCGGGCTTCGTCGGCGCGAGCACTGCTTGCTGCAATTTCTGGGGCACGGGGTGGATAGGTGTGTTGGGGGCCGGGATAGTGTTGGGTGGGCGAGCGGTGTCGGCGAGGGGGGTGGAGTGGGATAAGGGGACGTGGCGGGGGTGGTGCGGGTGGGTGGCGGTGGTGTATTGTTTGCCTGTTTGGGCGCGGTGGAGGGGGGTGGGGGTTTGATGGGGGTTTCGGATCTCGTGTTGCAGTGCTGATGAGTGTGAAGCTGGGTTTTTTATCGAGGTTGCTACGGTATTGATATTTACTGATTACATGGACAAGGGAAAGCTCTGTTATTAGTTTCCTTTAAATCTAAACTCGATAGATGAATCTGTATTAGTTGAAGATTACATAGATGATCGAAAGCTGTTTGAAAGTGCTCCTCAAATGTAATGTTTACTGGATTGTTCTTTCCACTCCAACACTACTAGGAAAAACTTTGGAGGCCGACAGAAGAGCCTGGTTATTGACTGTGAAAGCCGGTCACCTAAGGCCACACGTGAGCGGATTCGGCCGCCATCTTGAGGCATGACTAAGGCGTTGTCGCTGGTACATCCTGTTCTTTTTTGTTGATGCTTGAACCTGTATAACTTTTCCATACAGGGCTTCGTGGTCGAAAATTGCAGATCCGTAACTGACCAGCACAACCTTAACTATCGTTCTGAGGTTGCGCTCCTTTAACTTCTGGAAAAGTGTGAGGAATGCGGAAGATAAAGAAAAGTCTGTTGCAGATCTCGAGATGCTGCCGAGGAGCTCGATGTCAATTACAATGTGGAGTTGGCGGAGACCACCCAGCGATGCACAGAAAACATCGAACCACTGCTGCTCTCCCTGTCCGTCTCGGACATTTGCGAAACAGCAGGCCAGAGCCGACTCCTTCCGAGCTGCAGAGTTTATCTTCAAGACCTGATAAGTGAGATGCTTCAAGAGCTCGGCCATGGTAAATGCATCCGCTGACGCCCCCACCTGCGGATTCAGCGCCCAGACGACAGGAATGGCTGCTTTCCGAAGCACCTCGATCACATCAACACAGAAGTCTTGGATGGCGGCACGATTCTGGAAGGAACCTTGGACAAGTATCAGTGATGATGTCTGCGCTAACCCCCACTCTTTCATTTTGGGTGTTAGCCAGAACGGGTCTACCGTGGTGGCGAGGTTCAAGCGTCTTCTGTTCCGCAGGAACGTGCATGCACCCAGGCGCTGCTCGGGGTCTGAGTGTTGTCCGGTTGAGAGATTTGTCATCGCCAGGTCAAATTGCTGATCGGAGAGGATTGGATTCGTGTTCACATAGCCAGAAGCGTTGAGATTCATACTCTGGCGTTCTGTATGACCTTATCAGCAATTGATAGTCTCGTAATAACAGCAAGCAACCTACTTGAGACCAACTGGCGGACTTCCATCAGCACTTCGCCATGATGCTCCTGCCGCCGCAGCATGACTTGCAATTTGGTATGCATGTCCCTCTGCTCGGCCTGAGCAGCCGAAACAGCCAGGCTGACGACATTTCGGGAACAGGAATCAATTTCGTCAATCAAGTCATCGTAACGGAGTTCAGCGGGCCTGGTGACCGAGTGAAGGATACGCAGAGGTTTCCGTTCCTCGAACCAATCCCGTGCTCGGATGAGGAAGCGGATGATGTGCGCGTACAGCTCGGCCAGCGCCTGCTTCATCCGCGTCGTCGGGTAAAGTACGGCGGCCAGCTCGACGCGTGGAAGAGCTTCGCCGACAAGCGCGAGTCCCTTGGCTAAGGAGGACAGCAAGTTTTCGTGATTGACAACAGCCTTCTCGCCACATCAGTTTCCTGTCGTTTGCAAGGGTGACCGCAGTGAGGGGAGTTTACCACAAACAAGAACTTCATGGCGCCCCAAGCGAGTGACACGTATTCGGGGTGGTGCTGGACTATGACGTCCATGACGTTTTGGTAGTGCACTATCCGTTTCGATAGCTTCAAAGTCCATTTGTGGGCTGACTTGTTCCTGTGCGAGGCTTCGTACCGGAGGGCGGCATCTTCTACCGTAGTTTTCAACGCGTCCGGGCTGCATGTCTTGCGGGCGGCTTCTCTTTTGCTTGGATCTGCAGTGAGTCCGGTGCTGAAGCGTTCGACTGCGAGCGTGTAAGCTTCGCGGGCCGGCTCGAGGCACCTGTGCTGTCAGCCCTGCGTCAAAGCACAGAATAGAGAAGCTTACGGGTCGGCTGGGTCTGCTGTATACCAACTAGCAAATTTATCCATGCGAATACTCTTGGGCTCGACGCACCAAGTCTTTGAAGCTTCGTTCTGTAGACGAGGCTGCGCTGCTGCCTGCCGTCTGCCTTGTGTAACATCGGATGCAGCTCGCTTGCATATTGGAGCGGGGTAACCATCAAAACCTTCAGCTTACGTTCCATTTCCCAAAAATCTTCAATGTCTGTTCTCTCCGATTCCGACAGTGAGTCGGCCTTCGAACAGAGCGCTTTACCAGACGCTCTACCAGACGCTCTACCAGACGCTCTACCAGACGCTCTACCAGCCGATTCTTCTGGGTGTTCTATATGCGGCACGGTCTTGGACGCCCGGACGCTTTCTCTCGACTGCCTATCTTTTGCCAGCTCATCTTTGGCCAGCTCATCTTCATCCAAAACGGATCTCATTGGTGTCGAAGCTCCCAGACTTTTCGCGCCTGCAAATCAGCAAGCCATTAAATCATCGAGCGCAACGGATCCAGACCGCGATCAAATTTCACGGATCGGAAAACTACGGATCAAAACCGACTCCGAGCATTCCAGCCTTCCGACACCGTCAACTCCGCACGAAGTCTCGCGCAGCAATTCTAGCTTTTCAGGGTCAATCAACTTCCTGAATCGACTGACAATATCAAGGGACCAAACTCGGAGAAAGGATTACCGGCGGGAGCAGCTGGCCGCTCTCAAAAAGACTGAAAGTACAACTTTCGACTCTGTTGAAGCAAATCATAAATACAAGAAACGCGTGGAGAACTTCAAGGAAGGGCTTGCTGCTTTGGAAGCCGAGTATTGCGGATCACTTGTACACCGTGCGGAGTCCCAGCCCATTGTTTTCAAAGCGGGGAATTCTGCCCCGACAAGCAACAAGCCCACTTACCCTGCCGAAAATTTGACACGAAGTGAACGCATAGCGCCAATCCTAGTGCCAATGTCTCAGGATCCCGGAGAGGCACCGACCCATTCCCCTACGCCGGAGTACGGCGTCCCAACCTTACCAGACGTCATGCACAGCGGTTCTCCAGAGGAAGGCTGGTGCGAAGACCAGAGCTCAGGCGGTGCTCCGAGACCAAGGCCGCAAGCCCCAGTCCCAGTCCCAGTCAAACGCTCAGCCTCACTGGGGTCCAAGCCTAAACGAGAAGGTGCTGGAGTAAAAACGCCCTCAAGTTCCTGGATAGTCCTTTACGAGATCTTTGGGGACCTTCACGTCTCACCACCAGAGTTAGTCGCAACTTCGGAGGGCGAGTCGCTAAGTAGTTCCACTCTCCTGAAAAACCTACCCAAGTTTCTGAAAGAGAACAATGACGTCATGTTCGTCCTCCACAAAGGCTACTCAACAGTTACGAGGGCAATGTACCTTATCCCCTTAGACGAACAAACACGTTCTCACAGAGCAGACTTCATGTATATTACATTGGCCGAGCCAATGATTGAAGCTATGGAGTCAATGGTGGAACGTGTCCGATCCTCTGACAGAACGTTTCACAATATCCACTTCAACGAAGATATTCCGCATCCGTATCTACCCTTATACTTTCTATATCCATGGCTTGATAAAGTCATCCCCAAGCTGGATCCGGTCTTTGTTGAGAGGATTGAAACCCTGTACGACTTTCTGGAGGAGTACCAAGGACTCGAATACACGCGCGCGCGAGAGATGATATCTCGGGGTTGCGTCGACCACAGCACGATGCCATATCTGGTCCACCCTGGTCAAGTCCTGGTCACGAGGCGAGGTCAAGACACAGTTGCATTCATGGCGACATCCTCGGCAAAGTACAACACCCAACTACCCATGAGCAATGCCCGTCCAGGGCAGCAACATGTGTCGGGTTCAAATTCCAACAAAACCCAGACCATAGCCCCCAAAGAAGCGCGTTATTGCGACTTGTGGCAGGTCAGAGGATGGAACTGGAAGTTCAACGGCACCTTTGAGAAGAAGTCTGCCACCATCGACATTTTCGTTCCTGTGACTCACGCTGAGATGAGGATTGCCGACCTCAATGCCCACCCGCTTGAATTTGCTGATATCGACAGAAGAGATCTGCTGGAGAGGAGAGGAAGGACCTTTTGGAAATGCAGGCTGAGGAAGTTCGTGTCTTACACCGCAGATGAAGACGACGATTTCGCTGGTGTAAGCAAACCCCTCTCTTGTTTTCCTACTTGAGAACTCTACAACCGCTTCTAACAGTTGGATAAGACCAGCGATCGGTACATGATCGACTATCGAACGTATCACAGACTACATCCCGAGTCAAAACCCAGAGCTGGACGCGATGACATCGGAAAGGCAGCCATGCTAGACAATGATTCCCCACCAGATGACACAATCTTTCTATTTCCCACAAAACTTATTGGTTTCAACTTCAGATTGAAGAAATGGAGTTAGTGAATCCATCTGAATCTGAACACGCTACGTTTCAAGTAACTGACAATTATTTGCAGTGCAACTTTTTGTAGACCGCATATCAGAGCCTCAATGGAACAAAAAGGCCTTTGAAAGCCTCGTTGTTGAGGATGACACTAAACTCTTACTAGAGGCTCTCGTCACAGAACAGATCGCTGCAGAAAAGTCCACTGATATTATTAGTGGGAAGGGCAACGGCCTGCTGATCCTCTTGCATGGGTACTTGGCCGTTTCAGCCGCACTACTTTTTCCCCACGCTGATCTTTCGACAGTGGCCCGGGAACCGGAAAGACATTTACCGCCGGTTAGTAGAATATAATCTCTAAAGTGCTCCAGACTACTGACGAGGAACAGAAGGTGTAGCAGAAATGACCGAGAAACCGCTGTACCGAGTGACCTGCGGGGACATTGGCACGAAACCCGATGAGGTTGAAAAGGTTGGTTTTTTGAAGACTCCATGACTTACACCCAAGTTCTCACGTTATAAAGTATCTGGAATCCGTCCTGCATCTCGGAAAAATCTGGGGCTGCGGTTAGTATGACCATCGATGAGTGGTAGAACAATGCAACTGATAAGAGAAGTGGTCCTTATGGATGAAGCAGACGTATTTTTAGAAGAGAGAAGCCTGACTGATCTGCAGAGGAATGCATTGGTCTCCGGTAAGCACTCTTTTGAAACCATAATACAGAATATTCACTTACTATCCCCAGTTTTTCTCCGTGTTCTGGAGTACTACGATGGTGGGTTGCTATTCTTATAGCAGTAACATCGTTCTGATATATAGGGACAATTAGGTATATTGATACTGACGTCAAATCGCGTTGGGTAATACCCCTTAGCCCCATCAAGCAAGAATAATCGACTAAGTACTTTAAAGGACTTTCGACCAAGCTTTCAAGTCCCGAATCCAGCTGGCTCTCCACTACACTAACCTCAAAAAGTCGCAGCGCCGCAAAATTTGGCGCAACTTCATCACCAGGCTAAAAGAGCTGGGGGAGACCAACATCGACTATGACGACATCCTCGACAACATGGATGAGCTGTGTATGGAGGAGATGAATGGGCGCCAGATCCGCAACTCCATCACAATCGCACGCCAGCTGGCGCAGTTCAAGAAAGAGGTTTTTTCCTACAAGCACTTGAAAAATGTCATCGGAGTGTCGAAACGGTTCGAAACCTACTTAAACAGTGTGAATCATGGTTACACGGACGATCAACTCGCGCAGGATGCTGGTCTCAGATTTCATAAGGCTTAGTAGAAGTGCGCTTGTATTTCAGAATCCCGAGTTTTCTCAATTCAGATAGTGAACTAGTTGTTAATTGAGATAAGCTAGCTACAAAAACCTCTACAGGAATATTGAAGCCTCTAGAAACGCCTTATCATTAATAGTATATTATTATTAAATAAGATCGCACAGAGTTATTAATATTGTTAAACGGTACAAAAACAATAAACGTGCGTGAGAAATCATCCTTCCCACTCTGAATAAAATCACTTCAACAAACAATGACATCATTACGACTGTTTCAGGCAGTTGCGCGAAGCAGTTAGTACCCAGCACGGATTGCAGTATCTTCAAGTGCGGCAGCCGACAAAGGAAGAGAACTAGGCGGGCGACAATGGCGGCGACAGCAGCAAGGACACGGGAGCATGGGCATGGCAGATGCAGGCCGGTTCGAGAAGGCCGAGAAAGAGGCAGTCGCCGTCTACCAGGACGCCGAGAAGGACCAGACGCACGGGTGGCTGGAGCGGACGAGGTGGCAGCGTTACTTTGGGGGCATGAAGAGAAAGCGCGATTTGCTACATTTGACCAGGCCGCCAGCGGAAAGCCCCGAGTGGTGAGAGGAAGAGAGGAAGCAGCGCAGGCAGTGATAGCAGCGGTCGCCGAGGAGCCAAGAAGAGGGGGGTAAGAGATTAGGACGAGGCCACCGCAGTGGCAATTTGGGAGACAATGGGGGACGTGGTGCGGATCAGCCAGGGCAGCGTGAACGAGCAGAAGAGCGCGTTGGTGCGGTTGCAGGCGGTCAGGACGGAGAAGTACCAGGCGCGGCACCGCCCATTGCAGGCGTATATGGACATGGGAGACATCAAGAGCAGGTCCAGACCATGGAAGCAGATGATGTTGTTTTATGTTCGGACGCAGTTGCAGTGAATCCTGGAGTACAACTAAGACGCTAATTAGACAACAGAGATTAGACGCCCCGTTTAATAGAGTAGACCTTTATTCACATGAGCGATGACTGCCAGCTGTGCTCTTCAAGCGTAAGCTGGGTAGCTTAGAGAGTGGGAAGTTCTTTTAAATATGATATCTATATCATGCATTCTGAACTTCCCCTGCCTACTAATCGCAATACTCCCTGAGTCCTGCTTACCCGATGATACGCCTAAACTCCCCCAAAGAGAGTAGCCGGCGTAACAAATACTTAGTTGGCTCACAGCTAAGCGTCAATTCCGTATATAGGATAGAGCGGTTCGAAGCCGGGGTCCGCGCCGAAAAGGTTAAATTGCAAATCCTATAGTGTCCACTCGTTAGGATTTTGAAAATTTCTAGAAAAGTTATAAACAGCTACCTCTGAAAAGTCAATGAAATCATTGGGTGGAACTCCGCCGTCTGTCTGTGGTATGTCACTTCGCATTGTGCTAGGATTGTTCAGGGCTTGGTCCGATACATCCGTTGACGTTTTCGATGAATTTTCGACTGCCTGCTCGGCAAAACGACACAGCTCCTTCAAGAGGGGAAAGGAAAGAGCTAACGAGGTGGTATACTTTAGTCGAGCAAAATGTCCGCAGATGTCCTCTAGGAGAGCCAGGTCATATTGGACTGTTGACATGCTCGGGAACTTCATGATGTGCACGAAAAGATGGATCAAGCCCATGAGAGGATAGGCGAATACTAGCCTATGCGTAGTCAGTTCTCAGATCAAAATAAGAACGCCTTATATTCCGCAGGGGTACTGCTGAGAGATTACCTTACCATACGGGGGAAGTGAAATCGATATCAATATGCTTGGTATCTTTGATTATCCTTCTGGACATTTCGGCGACCAGAACCGTACTCTCGTCAATCTGCTTCTGGAATCTGGAATCCCTGTCGCGGTTGATGCGTTCCATGAGCCAAGGGTATGTGAAACAGGAGTTCAAGGCGATGACTACTCCATAATAGGTGTATCTGATGTAAAGAACGAGATCGCCGGACACATCGGGAGGAAGTGAGCTTTTCTGCAAAGGCTCAAGACGACATACTGGAGGAGCAGACTCTGACCATGTGCGGAGTTGTGCGTTCAAATGGTGAACACGACGGAATAGTTTGTCCGGATCCATGCCTCGTGTTTCCAGGCGTGTAACAAATTTCAAGACGGCCGATAGTATCTGAGTCAAGCGAATGAGGAGGTTGAAGTAGACAATTTGATTCCCGCTGCCGGAGCCTGTCTCATCGGGAAGAGGGCAAGTAATACTATCATCATCCATGACCTGCAGCCATATGGACAATGACGTTAGTAGATATAATGCTGTAAATCACCAACCACAAGCTTACAATAACGTACCGATGGTCTTCCGGACCAGTATGCTACGTGTTTTTCATTGACATACATAAACCAGAATAGCAGGTCTCTTTGCTGCACCTCGAAATGAGACAAACCCAAGGTGCGAGGGGCTTTTCTGTGCAACGCTTTGGACTGCGCTAGTCGAATGGCATTTGACTGCAGCATGTATTCAAGGCTGGGGGCTCCAATCGCTTCAGCGTAGTGAGCCTAGCTTTTCATTAGCGTGATGATAATTCAAGAAACATTTCGGTATATAAAATATCTCAAGGCATTTACCTACCATGGCCGCAAGGGCTTGCACAGCTGTAATTGATGACTTGTAGTATATCATCTCGGTGTGCACCGCCAATGCGTTTGCAAAATAGGGAAAGGCGCTCGAGTGAACTTCATTGAAGTCCATTACACCAGCGTCTTTGAGTATCTTTCTTTTCCCACTCGCGTATACCGTATGGCGAAGTGCGTACCAACCAGGGTCAGCAGAATTCGAATCATGCCCATCAAAGAATTGCCGCAGTCGACGTTCGAAAGAAGGTTGATGTAAGATGCCAAAAGAGAGCCCATCATCTTCGAAATATGCTGATATCGATGTGATTTCAGCATTATATGCCCTTGAAGGCAACGGTCATTGACGGTTAAGAAAGAAAACTCACCAGAAGAGAGCTCCAAAGCTGTGTCCCTGTCGGGCTCTGCCGCGCGTTCCTCGGGAATGCGCTGAGTGAGTTTGAGCCATGTAGCAACCTGAGATACTAACGAGCTCGCCATTGACTCGAATTCTAGTGCACCTGTCTGTTTGGAAACCCATTGAGAACCGAGTCTGGAGAAGACAGATAGTATTGAGCTGGCACCTAAGACTGTAAGTTTAAGTTACCACGCACCCAATTAACTTGCTTACCATGATACTCCTGTGTTGCCTCAGATGACAAATCAGTATCGTGAAAGTGAAGCCCATAGCGTATGCCAACTAACGTTCTGCTCTATAAGACCGCTTTCCTGGTCAGAAGGCGAATCGCCCATTAATGAATCGAGATTAGCCGATGTCTGGTTAGAATGTATCCAGGTTGCCGATACTGCAGTCGTGGCCGGCATGAGTTGGACTGGCTGTCCCCCGGAGTGTATCGAATTATTGATTCCGTTTGACGTAGTTGCCCCAGATTGAAGGGGGGCTGGTGATACAACAACTACACTGGGAGATATGGTATGGGAGCTTAAAAAAGCGGTTTCCTCGGTCTGATGGTGCTGATTATATCTGTTAATTCCATATTTGACGTCCAGAAATAGTATCTTACACCCCGTTGAGGATCTGACTCGGGGGAGAGCACCAGCCCCTGTTGGTAGGTCGGAACAGTCGGCCCAATTTCTGACCGATGTATAGAACCGGCGCTCTGAGTGCCCAGGAAAGCTTCCACTCTCGATAGCCGTTTGTTGACGTCTAAACAGATCATCAGCAAGATAAATGCTATATGCAGCCCGTTCGCAGACCTTGGTCGCTGGTGCATTGCCTTCTCTTCCGCGGATGCAAAGGGAAAGCACATTCCCAGTCGTGTTTCTACTGGCTGTAAGTACTCTAATAGGGTATGTATGTCTACCAAGAGCGTCGCATACCTTGCAGTATGCGCATGGGTGCTGGCCATCACCTACTCAGGCTCAGAAGTCATTCAAGGATTGGTATGCAGACTAAAAGTACCAACATTTCACCTTCTTTTTGCGGCAGGGCACGCAGGCCACTGGCTGTCTGAGACGGGTTTGCGGAGGCATAGCGTTAGCTAACGGACTGAGGGGCAATTCAAGTATATAAATCGGGATATAAATAAATCTGCTAGGCGATAGTTGGTTAAGCGGCAGCACACCGCTAACTCGCGGTTCTTTGTCGGCGGCTGTGGGGAAGGGTCCTGACTTGTATTCATGCGCACCGCCCGCCAAACATTACGTAGATACCACGTCTGAGACGCAGGATCGCCTGTAAGCACGATGCAACCTTCCTCATCGTTAAAGCCAGGAAGGTGGTTAAAGAGTTTCCATAAGTCTTTTGGGCGCTCGAGAAGGTCTTACTGCGGTGGCCTCCTACTGGATGGGGATTATCCGTGCACTGTATTCTGTGGCTACGACCATCACCTTCTATAATCAATCTATCTCATTCGCTCTTTGCCAGGACTTTGATTTTTACTGGTTCACAAGAATTCCACACTGGAGGCATTATCGTCGTCGTTCATAGAGGAGGGGCTTTCACACTAGCATTTTAAGGATGGGATCTCGGATAGTATGGCGGAGTTGCCGACCTTTGGCTCGGATCCAGTAACTTCTCTGACCACCCACGTACCGATTTCAGGCAGCACGACCAAAGACTCGAGCCGCGCATATCCATGGATCTTCTTAGCGAAGGTCTCAACATCGCATCGAACGGATGAAAGTTGGCGGGACGACGCAGACTCAACGTGAGCTCCCGGGCATTGCCACAGAGCAAGTTCCGAGAGCCGAGATCCGATATCCGAGATTCCGAAACCTTGCATCCGAAGATTGCACATATCCGAGACGCACAGTCTTTAACACCCTTCGCCTTCCGAAGCGTTTCTCGGAACTCGGCTCAAGGATCACCAATGTTCCATATGTGTGAATACGCCGCAGAGACATTCCGTAAGGACCCCCGCACGACTACGTCCACCCTCCGATAACCATCAATGTAGTAGTATGACCCGGAGGACGTGACCAAACTAACCTTAACAAGCCCCTCACCAACGTGACTCCTGTGATAATGACGGACCGCCGAAGCCATTTCCCATTCTCCCTTGTTGAAAAGTGTAAATTATTTAAACTTAACACTGCTAATTCTCAAAATACAGCAGTAAAACCCCATGTTTATATATACCAACTAGTTATACTAATGTTATAAAGTGTAATAAATGAGTGACATTATTGTAGTGAGATAAAAAAAAAAGGAGTCTACCTTGGTGATGGAAAAAAGCAATGAAAAACGGCAGATCAAATCGGCAATAACATTGAACAGTAGTAAGGTCTGACATCTTATAATGGCTTTTTTTCATTAATATTTCGAGCAAAGTACGGCTTAGCAAAAAAAGAGTACATTCACTACCTTTAAATACAAACAAAAAACAAACAGATCTAAATACGTGAAAAAACGACCAAGGAGGCTATCTTCTGCTGGCGATCCCTTCTACCCGACTTATAGAACAATCTCTGAGAAAACCTTGTGTAACTTGCCTGCGTCTTCGAGTTCTCCAACAAACAGAACATGCCCATCCGGACGGACGGCCACTATGCATCCGTTCAGTCTGTCGACACCATATGCCTGATAAGCCGTCCCGAGTCCTCCCGAGTACGGAAGATTATCCGCATAAACGTTTGATTGCGATTGCGAGCAAAGCGTCGAAGGCAATCTGCAGAAACGAACGTCTTCTCGTCTTGAACTATGCAGTACAAGAACATCAAAGATATTTTCTCCGTTTTCAGGCTGATCCTTGGGTAGCGGTAGAGCGAGCATTTGTCCGAGTTTCTGAACTCGTTTCAGCTGGTCTGGACGGGAGATGTCTCCCGCAAAGACTACGATCCGGTACTTGCCATCACTGGGAAATCTTTCTTGAAATTGTAGAGGACAGCCGCTGGCTTGCTCGATGACCTGCTGTGACGCAAATCGTCTTCCCACAATGATGTGTTGCGCCAGCTCTTGCTTGCTGACTATGTTGGCGCCGGTTTTAGCAACTACCATGCTCGGACCGTACTCGATGGATGTGCAGCTGGTGAACGGAAGCTCCTTGGCAAAAATCTCCTTAATATCTTCACCGGCCGAGAATCTTGCGGTAAGGTCTTCGTCGAACGCGATGAGTTGTTGAGCCACCTCGCGACGTTCAGTCTCATATGTCTTGAGGATGGAGGGCTTGGAAATCCCCTTGATGACATGTGCAACCTTCCAGCCGAGGTTGTAAGCTAAGTTCAATATTAGTAAGGTCCGCCCGCGTTGTGGGCAGATAAACGTACTGTCTTGTAGGCTGAAGTTCAACCCTATTCCTGCTTTTGGCGAATGTGTGTGTACTGCATCTCCAGCAAGGAACACACGTTCACTTTTGGAAAAGCTCGACCCTAACCTTTGGTTGCTCTGGTAGACAGCATGCCAATCATAATGCGAGAAATTGATCGTGTACGGCGCTAGGAGCTTCTGTGCTTGCTCGATAATGGTCTCCGGTGAAGCTTGGCTTCTATCAATACCGTCGAGTTCCACGCCAACACGGATCATGCCATTCTCGCGAGGAACAATCCCCATGGTCCCTTGAGAGGTGGTTACAAAAGATCTCACACGAAGATCGGCTGTAAGGTCTATTAGCTCGTACGAGCCCACTAGGTGTGAATAGCACTTACGGAAGTCGGTCACGGGAACGATGTCCACAGCTCCCCACAGAGAGTCTTTGCCTTCTCCAACAAGCTTGATTCCAATCTGCTTTCGCGTCCAGCTCCGCGCCCCATCACATCCGAAGACGTATTTCGCATGGACCACCTCTTCGGTGCCTTCTTTGCCGGTGGGTTTTCGTTCCAGCTCTTTCTCATCGCCCGGGTTAATGCCAAATGCGCCCGGTGTAGGAACCGGAGCGGCCGGCGATTCGGCTATTTCCTCCTCGGTCAGGTGCCGAAGCGTCAGCTGGACCGGATATGCCTGGGGGTCCTGGAGGTTCTGCTCGTCGATCTGCAATTTGGTCGGCGCTACGCCGCGTTCAACTTCGACATTTCCCAACTCTTTGATGGCGTCAAGCAGAGTGCGTTCGATTTGGCCTTCACACATGGGTAAGTACATGTTTGTGCAGCGGCGGATCGGGAAACTCACCTTGGTTGATGAGAACCTGGTGGAAGCGGCTGAGCTCTGGGTAGTAATCTGAAGCGACTCCACAGGGCTCAATACCACCAGATTTTCCAGAAGCCTCTCACAGTATCAGCGGACGCTTTGCATAATGCTGTTTGGAGCACTACTTACCCAGAACCGGGATTCGACCAGATGAGCGGCACGCTTGTAGATTTCGTCGGCTATCCCAAACGAGTCGAGAATTTCCATCGTTCGGGGTTGAAGGCTATCGGCCTGGCCTTTGAAGACTTTCGTTGCGCGTTTATCGATGATCCGTACATCGATGCCACACTTCGTCATCCACAAGGCGGCCATGAGACTGTACGCTTTTTTAGAGGGCTTATTCGCATTGAATGTGTTTTATTTAGACTTACCCCGCTGGTCCGGCGCCGATAATGACAACATCTGTCTTGGACTCCGGAAGAGGAGCCATGTTCGAGATGTTTAATTCAGATCGTAGTTACTTCCCGTCGAGACATTCAGTTTGGAGGACAGCATACCCTTTAAGTACTGTACGTACAAATCCGAGTTGGAGCAAGGGGCTAAAGTCGGTGAACGATTATGAAGCAAATTCAGCTTCCGAACGATCTCTGAATATCACCCTCGGATGAAGGATATCCGAAGAAACACGGAGAAAGCTACTGCCGGGATCACCATAGAGATGGAAAGCTGATATAAGGGTTGTGAAGGCACCTAAAACATGTGCAATCGCCACAAGATAGCTGTAGACAGCGATGAAGTAGCAAGAATAAGGGAGCAAATAGAGAGCCCGAAGCTACCGTTAACGGATGAGGCACAACGCTTATCCGCGTAAGAGATAAGGTATGGACGAGGTTGCTCCGGCAAACGGATGAGGTAAGAGCCGAGACCTGCGCTGATGAACTGGTTGACGAACTATCCGAGACTACTGACTATGGGGATAAGTGCGGGAAAGTGGTTTGATCCGTTCATTCGGCTTTTCGGATAAGATATCCGACCGAAGACCAGAGGCTGATCAAACGGGTTAGCGAGGAGTATAGCATGATCGTGATAATTGAACTTTATATATTGTCAAGTAACGCTAGTCTAGAATGAGAACTTCACGCACCACGCACTGATTCTTGGTACGCTTGACTATCCTTCCGACGCTTCCTACCCACGGTGTCCAAACGATTGTTGTGGTTGGTGCTACTAGTATGCAAGGTGGCTCCGTGTCTCTGCGTTGCTTGAGAGCAAACAGTGGAACATCAGGGCCATCACCCGCAATCCTCATGGAGAGTCTGCCAAGACTATGGTCGCGAAAGGAGTTGAGGTAGTGGGTGCGAACTTCGATGATGATGTCTCGGTGGCAAGGAATTTCCGGACCTTTCTGGAAAGACCACATTCCTCTATTTCGGATACTACCTGCCCAACATGGTTCATCTGCCCATGTTGAAGCCGTTTGAAATGGTAAGCTACATTCTTCAGATTGTTGACTGCAGACAACGGGACTTGGCTGCCCCATCTTACAACTCCATCATCATCCTCCTTACCCGTCGCTGGACCAAGACGCTACTATTTCACAAGTCTAGCTCAAGGTAACTCGTGCCTATATCAGGCCTCACAATCCGCCCTCAGTTGGCAACGACGGCCTCCTCCTCGGCACTCCTGATGCCCGTCTTCGTTTCCGTGTGCTCCTTGCTCAGCACGCTCCGCTTAATGAACAGCGTCACCACGACGCCGCACGCCGACACGCACGCATACAAAATCCAACTGTTCCGCAGGCTCCACGCGAACGCCTTTCTGACAAGCAACTGCAGCCTCGGGTCGGCGATGCCGGCGATCAGCTCCACGTTCGCCGCGGCTGCGGGCCCCGCCAGCTCCGCCGCCAGCGCCGCGTCGACTCCTGCGCGCCTCAACGCGGCTTCCCGCATCGCCATGCCGTTCTGGAAGACGACGCCGCCGACGACGACGCTCAGCGAGGTGGCCAGGTTGCGCAGGAAGCCGAGGGCGCCCGTCGCGGCGGCGACGTCGTGCTGGGGCACGAGGGCTTGCACGGCCATGTTGGGCGGCTGGAAGCAGAGGCCGATGCCGACGCCCGTCAGCACCTCGAGGCCGACGATGGTGGGCACCGAGGTGTGGGCGCCGAGGAGGAGCGCGAAGAGGGCGACGCCGAGCGTCATCAGGACCATCCCGGCTTGCAGCAGCTGGCGGTACTCGCCCGTGGCGTGGATGAGGGCGCCGGTCGCCGCGGCGGCGAGGGCTGAGGTCGTGACGAGCGGTAGGATGAGCAGGCCTGAGTGGGTGGGCGTCGCCAGCTTGGCAGCCTGCAGGTACAGCGGAAGGTAGTACTCGGCGGCGAAGAAGACGAATCCGTGGATGAAGGTGATGGCGTAGGCGGCGATGTTGGACCGCTCGCGGAACAGCCGCATCGGTACAATGGGATACGTCGCGAGGTACTTCTCGCTGAGGATGAAGAAGAGGCCCATGAGGCTGCCAAAGACGATCAGGCAGATGGTTTTAGCCGACGACCAAGCCGCTACAACGCCACCGAAGTTGAGGCCCAGAAGTACCATTAGCGTAAGGCCGAGCATGGTAACGCTACCAAACCAGTCTACAGCTCGAAGACCGTCGGCCATACGCGTCCGTGGGTTGTGTAAGTCGAGAAAGAGTACGGCTAGAACAAAAGCAGTCCCCGCTAGCGGTAGGTTGAGCCAAAAGATCCAGCGCCAAGATACCCGCTCCGCTAGCACGCCGCCAAGCACCGGTCCTATACCGCCTGAGACTGCCCAAATTATCTGGGTCGAACCTAGAAATAGGCTACGCTGCCGGAGGCTGAAGATGTCGGAAATAGCGATGGTGACCAGCTGGATTAGTCCGCCACCGCCGATGCCTTGAATCGCGCGGCCAACGATCAGGACTACCATAGTGCGGGCCATGGCGCAGATAATGCTACTACCAAAGAAGAGGAGTAGGCATATGAGTATAATAGGCTTGCGACCCCAAATATCAGAGAATTTGGCCCAGAGCGGCATTGCGGCGGCTTTGGAAAGAAGGTATGCGCCGCCAATCCAGGTGTACCCAGAGGCCGAGTGTAGCTGGGATATGATGGTCGGTATGGCGGTCGAGACGATTGTCTGGTCTAGGGCAGCAATGAAGAGAGATATCTGCACTGTCTAAGCATCACGCTCCAGATCGGGGTCGACTGCTGCCTTCGTCTAGCAATATTGGCACTCACATAAAGAGCCGTGAGGATGGCGAATATCTTGAATCGGCCTCGGGATGGCCTTGTACTTTGCTCATCCGGCGGTTCTAACTCCATTGGCTCCACGGCCTGCCGCCTTGGTGCATCCTGCGCAAGAGAGCACGAGATCTCGAGGCCCCTGTCTTGTTCCATGGTGGACGTGGAGGTTTTTGCGCTCTGAAAACAGGTGGGTTAATTGTTGGACAAGAGACAATCAATGGCCAAGGTAGAAGTGCCGGACGAGTTGAACGAAGGCCGAGCGGAGATGGGGGTGACTCACCGCTTGAGGGGTGGTCCTCGTACTCTTTTGCTCCGCGATTTTGTCACCACAGCAGATCTCGGTTAGCTGCGGAGAGGATGCTAGGTTTATCTCTGCTATCACTAATTAGGTGAAGCGCCTCCTCGCTGGTCATTGATCTGATCACCGCGCAGCCAACCAGCGAAGAACGACTGGGCCGGGGCGGGGCCGCGTTTTAGGCGTGGCGCTTGCGGGGGTGGTGGCTGTGCCTGGCCGGCCTAGCATACCATGTGCTGGAACGCCGTTATGTCGGTGATCCTGCCACATGAGCCGACCAGGAATAAAGCCTCAAGCCCATTTCAGCAGATGGCGATCCAACGGTCTACAGCTCGCTCTTGCACCGCTTGGCTCCAGCGGCAATCGCTTGCGCGAAAGAGCCTCCAATATTTACTTCAAGTAGTTCCAGGACTTGCCTGTGAGGCCGCTGCTCATCATCTCAGCCCTTTCGCCATAACACTTCCACGACCAATCCGTGAGCGTCACTTTGTCGTCTGTTTCATACGGAGTACCTTCTTATCCCGCTGTATTTAGCTGCTAGGTTTCAACTCATTAAAGGGTGCTACCGGCCGCCCCGTCTCGAAATAGCTTCGAACGTTCTCGAAGGCCTCTTTCTGCGCCCTCCGCAAGCTTCCCTCGGTCAGACCGCCCACATGGGGCTGCACCACAACTCTCTCGCTCTCCAGCCAATACTGCCTTATTCCCTTGCCGTCCTCGCCTTCGTCTTCAAACACATCCAGCCCAGCTCTTTCAATATGCCCGCTCTCCAACGCCTCGATAAGCGCAGCCTCGTCAACCACGCCGCCGCGCGAAGTGTTGACCACAAACGAGCCCCTCTTCATCAACCGCAACTGCTCGGCCCCGATGAGCCCCTCGGTCTCGGGCGTAAGCGGGCAATGCAGAGACAAAACATCGCAAGACCGCAGCAACTCCTCCAAAGTCTCGCAACACCTAAGCACCTCTCTTCCCTTCCCCTCCTCCGCACTGCAGCCTCCTTTCACAACCTCCTCCTCTTCCTCCCTCCCCAACCTCCCCCCACCCCTCGCATAATACACCACCCTCATCCCAAACGCCGCCACACACTTCCTCGCCACCCTCCTCCCAATCGCCCCCATCCCCACCACGCCCAACACCAAATCCCCCGGATCCCTGACCAACCTCCCCCCACCGCCGCCATACCCGCCCCTCCACTCCCCCCTCCTCATCCCCGCGCTCAACCCCCACGCATCCCGCACCACCGCCAACACCAACCCAACCGCCCAATCCGCCGTCGCCTCCGCGACCGCGTTGCGCGTGTTGCAGAACCACACCCCGCGGCGCGTCAGCCACGCGACGTCAAAGGCGTCGGCGCCGGCTTGGCCGGATGCGACGACGCGGAGGTGCGGGAGGAACGGGGTGAAGAAAGTGGCGTCGAAGGGGGCGTAGGGGGAGGAGGTGGCGTCGAGGCGGGTGATGAGGGCGGCGAAGGGGCCGTGGGTGGTGACGGTCGCAGGCAGGGTGGTGGAGAGGAGGTGCGGGCGGGTGGTGGGGGTGGGGAGGATCTGTGGGGATGTCAGTGCTTGGGTTGGGGTGGAAAGAGGGTGGTGGTCTTTCTTTCTGGTTTGCGTTTGGTGTTGTGGGAAGAGAAGAATTGACGGGGGGGAAACCTTACAGTGACGTCGTAGGACTTTTTGAACGCGGATAGGTAGTCCGGGTCGAGGTACTTCGGGTCGCCGAGGACGAGCACTTTGGGACGAGCGTCCGAGGGGTTGGATGAGATGAAAGAGGGCATTATACCGCAGGCTTCCTAAACGCGGAAATTCTCTCTTGGTAACTTGTGAAGGAAAATGATAACGAGGAAGCTGAAGCTGAAGATGGAGAATGAGAAGAGTGAGGTACCAAGGTCGCAGCGAACGGTGGTCCCAGATACTGAAAGAAAATCAGAGTGGAATTGCAAAACAACACCAAATACAATTTAGAATGGTACAAGGCGGCTCCGGCTTATATGCCATTTCCCCCTCTGTATGCCGCCCGAGCTTTCATACAACACTGCAGTGAAAACAGTACTACAGCGTTCAGTCAAGCAATAAACGTGAGAACAGCGAAAAAATTAGCAGTCAAAATTAAATATCATTCCATCGAAGACGTAAGTGCTCCACAATCAGGAATGTATCTCGCCATCGAAATGTAGGATGGGATGGGAGATCCGACGGATGTTGACTTGGCCTTCCGTGTTTGAGCACCTGGACACTTGAGTCGCTCTAAATGCAGGTGCTTCAAACGTGAACACCAAGATGGCATTTTAAAAGTTTCGATGCGTAGACCCGTTGCAAGGCTGACACATACCACGCATCTCGCACAGGTACAAAAAATAAAGAAAAACGTTGAAGTACTACAAAAAAAAAAAAAGAGTAGCGGCTGCAAGAGCATATCCCTGGCCGATCTTCCCATCCGTCGGAGCTCCGCCGGATGCACCCTTCCCCACCAAAAACCCATAGCCTGATCGCACCACCACCAACACCTCCCCAATCCTTCACTCTCTCAACACGAGAGAGCCGATCACACGCGCACAAACACAGACACCGTCCGTCCGTCCGCCCGCCAAGCCACCGACGATGACGGTCGACGACGTGGCGACGACTTGCCAAGCGCGACGGCGCGGCTGGGAGATAAGGAAACGCACGCACGCCAAGGCCGAGCCATGACCTCAATAACCGCCGACCAAGACGACCGGGCCGCGCCGCGCTGCAGCGAAAACCAGCATATCCCTTCCGAACGCGGTAATCCTGCAAGTCTTGTCCCCCTTTAAACCTTCAAACCCTCACAACTTCGAACGTCTTGCCAAGGGTTTGGCAAGGCTCAGCGGTGCTCGTCGGGGCTGCACAAGCGTTTCTTGGGCTCCTTTGCCCTACCAACAAGGTTAAGGCTGGTTTCTTTTTTTTTTCTGGTAGTGACCCACACACACGCACACCGAGAATATGCATGTGTGTTGTGCAGGGAGGGGTTTCCTGTCCGACCGCTAGCGCGAGGAATAACAGGCCGTCAAACCAGAGCAGAAGAGAACAAGGGATGACAGTGCCCATACGAAGGACACGACTGGGTCGAGTTCACCGGCACCTGCTTTCTTTTTACACCCTTAAACACGAAGTAAAACAAAAGCACGTCAGCGGTCGAACGTAAAACCTCTCTGTACACCCAACGACCCATACTCTCCCCGCTTCCTCTCCGCAAACCTCTCAAAAGTCTCCGCAACTCGTTGACTAACAAAGTATTGACAAGATAATACACATCTATCATATCTTTCTAGCTATATACAGACTAAACAAACAGTACATACATGCCGTATTTCCCATTGCCTACACCGACTCTTTTTGTTCTCGTTCTTCTCTTTTTCTCCAAATAATGCTACAAGCATAAAGGGAGAAGAAAAAAAAAACATAGACAGGAAACTCAAAAAACACGCAAAACTCCGTAGCGGGGGGTCCAGGTCCGTCGTCCCTTACTGTTACAGCAATATTCGTAAAGGTCTTGGTGAGTCAGTGAGTCAGCATAAAAAAAGAGAAAAAAAAAAAAGAGGTGACAACAACAACAGAAAAACAACAAAGCAGGCAGCCAGCCAGCGGCCCCCATCATCGCAGATGGGTGGGACCATCGTATAGGTATCAACGCGAAGAAAAAAAGACAAAGAATCCTCCCGAATCCGCATCATCACACAACAGCAGTCTGGCCGTTAACCAGCGGCTGCTGCGTCGCCACGGCCGTCGGCACCTCCTCCACCACCCTCCCCTTCCTCCCCCTCCCACGCTCCTTCTCCCTCTCCCGTTCCTTCTCCTTCTCCCTCGCCTGCACCCCCCACTCCTCCCCCAACCCCACCCCCGCCCTCCTCGCACCGGACACCGCACCGAGACACCTCCCAATCGCCTCCAAATCCCCCAACAACGTGACGTGGCCGCGATCAGAGCTCACGCAGCCGCCACGCACGACGCTGTACCCCTCAGGCACCTGCGCGGCGCGGGCGAGCACCACTCCATCACCGCTCGCGAAAGCCAGGTCGTCGTAGCAGTCGGTGTGGCGGATGTGCTCGCGGGACAGGACCTTGGCGCCGTACACGGTCGGGATGGATTTGCCGTAGATGACGGCGGCGGGGGGGTAGGCGTTGGTGCCGCCGTGGCTGGCGGTTCCGAGCTCCGGTCTGAAGGCGAGTTCTTCTTTGAATTTTTTGACTTCGGCGAGCGTGCGCGTGAGGTAGGCGATGGCGGCGTCGCGGGGGATGGTGACGGCCGTGGCGGGGTTGCTGTTGTTGCTGGAGAAGGGGGAGTCGGTGTTGTTGCCGCCCATCTGCGGCGCCATGCCGCTGCCTGCTGCGCCGCCTTCGGCTTTGGCTTCGGCGTTGGCGGTTTTGGCGGCGGAGGTCGCTTTGGCCTTTTCGTCCTTGAGCTTGTCGGATTGGCTGGTGGAGTTGCTATTTTTGTGGAGGGAGCTCTTGCGGCCGATGGACGGGAGGCTAGGGAGAACGCTGGCCATGGAGCTGATGACGCCAGTGATGCCGCTGGGGGAATTGCTGTCCTTGAACGGAGGGAGAGGCGTCGTGATGACTGGCGAAAGGGCGTGGTCGATCCATGTCTGAACGTCAAAGAAGTCAATTGGGAACTCCTCCTTGGTCTCCTTGTTGAAGAAGCATTTCCCGTCGAGCGGCAAGAGTGCGAAGCTCGTCCTGATGGTGAAGTTGACTTGCGCAGTCAGGACACGTGAGCTGAGGAGGACGTCATCTCCATTGCGGAGCGGACCGAGGATGTTGACGCATGTGTTCGGAGTGCCAGCGTAGATGACGCCGGAGAACAGCTCTGGCCTCTTGTTGATGGCGTGGCGAGTGATGAGACCACCAAGACTGTGCGCGATGACTATAGCACCCCTCTTCTCCTTGGGCGTGTCTGGCTGATTGCAAGGCAGTTGCTCCAAGTACTGGATGAGCTTGCGGCTGAGCAGGTGCGGGCTCAGTCTCCAGTCATACGAGTACTCATGAATGCGAAGGTCACCGTTCAATGCATTCTCCGAGGCGCGCAGGCGCTTGAATAGTCTTCGTGCGACGTCAACTGGTCCGACGTGTGTCAACATGCCGCCAGGAATCACGCGTTCCTCCATCGTCTCTTCGTCCTCCGGGTTAAGGCCAACTTCCAGATCGACTTTACGCAGGTTCAGCCCGACCTTGATCGGCACCCAAAGCTGGCGGTGCGGGGGTTCTGCAGACCGCAGAATAGAGCCGCGATAGCCTCCTAAGATAACCACATCGCCCGTGAGGTCCTGAACAGCTTTGGTAAAGTACGGGTGCTGTGCAGCAGCGGCTGGAGTCATGCCAGCGTTGCCACCACCAAATCTCGGGCTTTTCTTCGCACTTTCGACGGAAGCCTTGTTCAAATTCAACGGGCTCGGGGTAGCCTTCCGTGTGCTATTTGAGGAAGACCCCTTCAGCGAGCTAGCTCGGCCTCTCGTGAGGTCAGTGAGGGACGAGGACAGAGACGAGGGGATATTAAGGCTAGGCATGGACGGCATGCCAGGAAGCTTGAAGTTTGCGTCCTGCCACGAGTCCTTGATGGCCTTCAGACGGCTGTTCACCTGCTCAGACACATGCTCAAATCGGCTGTCATCACCAAGAGAAGAGGCTCTGGATAGAGTACGATGGAGGACGAGGGACTCGTCCGACGCCGATCTCTTCAGACTGCGCTGTGTCAGCTGTCTGTTTATTGACTGAGGTCGCGCGGGCGTAGGCTTCTCGACAATCACTTGCGGAGGGGCTTCTTGGGGAGCAGGGGACTTTGCGCCGTCGTTCTGGATGGTCGAGCGACGCGTATGAGCAGACACGTTGGAGCTTGCACTCTTGGACGAGGCCGAGTCAATGTCTGGCCGAGGGCTGGGCGGGGCCATCAATGTCTGCGACCTTCCCTTCCTCGAGCTTGACGCAGTATCATTATTCTCGCGGCGGTCCTGGCTGCTTGGCCAACCAGGAAAGGTGAAGCTGCTAAGAAGGTTGGGGCTCTTTGGCATGCTGAAGGTGAGACGTTTCTTGGAGCCGTCGTTCTGGGAGCCCGACGAGGCGCGGCGGCGGTGGCCGGCAAAGCTCTCCCGTAACGATTGACGCAGCTCGTCGGACCTCTGAAAGACCTTGGGGCCGGACCTCCATGGCGACGGCATCCGCTTGGGCGAGCTCTCCAGGCGGGGTGTGGCGGGTTCCGGCGGACTTTCCCTGGGCGACTGCAGCAGCTGAGAGCTGAGGACCGTGGGCGTCGAGGTTCCCGTGCTATCGCCGGCCTTGGGGTCATTGGCGCCCTCTAGTCCATACTGGCTTGTGTCTCCAAAGGGACCGTCCATCAAGTCGTCCATGGCAGCAACCTTCTCGGCGGCGGGGGTGGTGGGCGAGGTGAAGTGCGTCTGGGCATGGCCGATACTGACGCCCACGAGTGACTGGACGTCGTGCGAGGGGATGTCATTTGGGTCGGCTAAATCGTCGTCGGAGGGCGTCGACAGATCGGAGTGATTCATGGAGCTGAAGCGGGCGTCCAGAAGCGCATTGGGCAGGCTATGATGAGACCTGTGGCCGCGGGATTTGGCGGAAGGGGTCGGTAAGGCAGACATTTTTGCGGCAGGGAGTACGGCATGGGCGGGAGGGCGGGCTACTTGTGGATACTGAGTTGGTGGGCTGAACCGGGGCAGTGCATGGTTCCGCGCGGTGCCGCGGCTGTGGCAGGAGGGCGCTTACGGGCGTTGGTCGAGGAGCGGTGCACAGGGTGGGCCTCCAGGTTGCTTCGCCGACGGGCCCGTGGTAGGGCAGGAATGGTGGACGCATTTGGGCGGAGCTGCGAGCTGAGGGCAATGTCGTCATGTTTTTGGAAAGACGGTTTGTTACGTGCCTGCAAGGAACACCTAGCGCGACGAACCCCTTCAAATTCCCGCCGCCCGCTCGGGCCCCGGAAGTCGCGCCCTCCGAACCACTCCCTCCCCCGCTCCGCTCAAAAACGAATACGCGTCTTCAGTCCGTGCCAACCCGCGACGCGTCCCATTCTACGCCCTCAGCCGCCGCTGCCTGACCGATCGGGCTGCCTGGCTGCAACCACACCTGCCACTCTTGTCGTGGCACGCGCTGTATCGCCAGCCGTTGCAGCCTGGGCAGTCGCTTAGAAGCTCCGCTCAGGAGGCCCCAACACAGGGCTGCCGTTGGCCATGGCGTCCACTGGTACCCCGACACCTCGCCCAGTCCCTGCGTCAGCGTGAGCGTGCGCAGGCTTGACGGCAGCAGCTCGTCGCCGCGAACCTCGTGAACCCGTTCTGGCACCTCCCATCCCATCAGCGCGCAGATTGGGATGCGCAGCTCCTCCAGGTGCGAAAGCTCAGCGAAGCCCCTAAAAGCACCGTACGTGACCTGCTGGATGGCTTCGGCCGAGACGTGTGGTGGCCACCACCGGAGCCTGATATCCACCCGCGCCAGCCTTTTTGCCCGCAGCAGCGCCCTCTGGAGCAAGGAGAAATTAGTGCCGTGCAGCCGCCGGTCTGAGGCCACGAGCGAGTACAATCGGAATTCGGTCAAGTGGGGTGAACTGAGGACCAGCGCTTCCACGTCCGGCTCAGAAACCGGCACCCATTCGATCGCGAGCTTTGTCAGGGAGCTTTTCATTGTTGCGTCCAGCATCACATGCGAGTAAAAGTACGGCCCTGCTTTGGGCTCCCGCGTGTAAACCAGGCTGTCGAGGCCGGGCAGAAGCTGTAAATATCCGTAATCGGCATACCGCAACCGGAAAAAAAAGTCCATGATCATTTCGACATTCTTCAAGTCTGGGCAGACGCCTTTGAATCCATCCCACCCTATCCAACGCGTTGCCAGCATTAACGGTGTGTAGCCCATCGAGGCAATCCTTCCTACACGCACCGTCTGGAGGTTGTTGAATCGTGATAGTAGCCAGCAAATCTCAAATTCTGCGTCGCATCTTTGCCCTACCGTTTCTGGCACTTGGAATATCCGGTTGACCTCTATTATCGCTGCTCTTCGTAAAGCCTTGTCGTCTTGTGTCTGGGCCCAGAACTTCGACATGTATCCCACGTCAAATGAATACGCCTTGACGTGTTTCGCTAGCTCGGGCCTGTAGTTGATCGTGCGGAATAGAGCAAAGGTATGCTTAACGTCTGTGTAGAGATGCGGTTCTGCTTGCCGCCGGAAGTCCCTGCAGGTCCTGGAAATGTACGCGAGTTCACGCATAGGAAGTAGCTTGATGATCATCTCCATTAGCTCTTCTGGCAAGTCTCCGAGCGACTTCCCTGGAATCCAGCATTGTTGTTGATCCATCGTGGTCGGTTTGCCTGCTTGGTATCGAATGAGTAGGTAGATGGAAACACAGTTCTCCACGCAATTTATTATGTGCGCCTCCTCACTACCTGCTGTGTGTTCCATGGTTCTCAGCCGAAAGACTTTGCTCTTCCAACACCATGGGTCGTTGTGTACCAGGGTTTTCTGGACCCTGATATCGAAGTCCCTCCTGAATGACCACCCGGACTCAACCCAACAAGCAACCCGACCTGACCTACAGAGATCACCATGTTCGAAACGTCGCTTGGTAGGGCAACCACCCAAGCCACCGCTAGTAATAGGCGGGCCCTGGCTTGGTGGGGACTCAGTATTGAAATATTGAAAGGCCCACATGCCCAACGTAACTTCTTCCGCATCACAGCCATTTACGGTATCTGAAGGCTTGTGCTCCATTTCCTTTCTCGGTTAGTCAGAGGTCGAACCGCGTGCCTCTTTCGTCAGGCCTCCCCCCTGTCGATCACAAACGGGGGATGCACAGCCTCCCCGCCCGGTGAGGATTCCGAAGATCCGGCTTTTCGGTAACCCCCAGACATTTGAAATAGTCCGTGGAGAAGTCTGTGTCGCGTTACCCAGGAATGACTACTAACCAGATACGCCTATTTTACCATATGCAAGGAAGTGACGCTGCGGATCTTAAATAGAATCCAGTTTTCTTAACTCCATCGCACCATAGATGTTGCGCTCTAACGTTACTTGCGTGGGAAATCAAATCTCAGGTCTCAATGTATCATACAATATTGGCACCTATATCGACGTCCAGATGTTTGCTTCAACTTCCCGTCAACGAAGAATATAATATCCTTGCAGTTAACCTTAATCTATTATAGTAACCCTGTCTTATCACAGACGAACTCCAAACGGCTGCTCTGAGCTACCTATATCCGCAACTCTCAAAAACTCACTTCATGGTTTGTACTCAACCTTACAGACATACACGCAATAGCAAAAGGCCTCCGCCCAAACGACAAGAAATCGACCAATGACAAAGCATAATGCACCATAGTTCGGTGCATGGGGGAATAAAATCAACGACTCTGCACAAGCATATACAAAATACTCACCAGGACGCTCTCAAACAAGAACCAACTCCCTCTTCTCCGCTCCAGCAAACCACTCGTCCCCACAAGAAAACGTGCCCACACGCTCATAACACCGTCCACCGTCTACAACACTCTTCCCATTTCCCCGCCCTCTGTTACCACCCTTCGACGGCGGCGACGAAGATGACGATGATGGAACAAGCACCAACCCCGCAATCCACGAGCCCTCGCACCTCGCCATGCCCAAACACAAAACGTTCGCCTCAAAGCCAGCGACGCCCACCTCTTCACCTTCATTTTCATCACCTACCTTTGCTCTGCGAACACTACTACCACCGCTACTATCAAGTCCAGTCACAGGAAGCAGCAGCGAATCAGGCACCATCTCGACAACGCCTCCGCCCTCGCCATGCGCGCGCTTCAGAAAATACCTCATCTTCTTCCTTCCCTCATCTTCATCACCATCATCCACCTTCACGACCAACTTAACAGCCACACCTGCACCTCCACCTCCACCATTATCACCACCACCACCACCACCACCACCCAAAACCGGCCCCACAAGCACAATCCACGCCTCCCTCACCGCACCAAGCGGATTCCTCCCCGCCGGCCTTGCCACCGCCTCTTCGACTCTCACCAACGATACGAACTCTTCCTCCCCCTCCTCATCCCCGACCACACCGCCAACACCGCCCCCACCACCAACACCCTCCCCCCGCTGCCCCGCCGACCCCCCCTCAACCCACGCATACCCAACCTCCCCCTCCACACTCGCCCACGACCAACTCGGCGCCCGCCACACCTTCGGTACAGGCCTCGCCGTCACCCCCATCGCCATCCCCGACGACGACGCGGCCGCCCACAGCAAATCCCCCACCAACCCCTCCCTCCACAACCCAGCCACGTACTCGCTCGCCCCCGCGCCTCTGCCCGCCGCACCACCACCACCACCACTCCCACTCCCACTCCCCCTCACAGCCAACAACCCCCTCGCAATCCCGCTGATCGCCGGCAACTTATCCGCCGGAAAACTCAACTCACGCGCCGTATACGCAGCCACAATCGCATGCCACGTCCGGCGATGCTGCGCGCGGCGGCCGGTGGTGAGGAGGCGGGGGAGGAGGCCGGGGGTGGTGGGCGAGGGTTTAGTTGTATGCTGGTGGGGGAGGAGGAGGTTGTGGTGACACTCGCAGCGCGAGGCGATGCGGCATTCGAACAGCAGCTCGTGCGCCGTGTAGTGCAGGATGCGCGAGCACAGGACGTGTTCTTGCAGCGCCCAGGCGCGGTGGCGGAGCGGTCCCGCGGGGGCGGGCGGGGGGTGGTAGTGGGTTGAGAGGGGGAGTTGCGGCTGGTAGTGGTGGTGGTGGGGGTCGGTCGGTGGGGGGAAGATGGGGAGCGTGGAGGAGGAGGACGAAGATGAGGATGCAGGAGAGGAAAGGTGGTGGTCTGGGATCTTCCTCGCGCAGAGCTTGTGCGCCTTCTTCGCGCGGGCGGAGGCGCGGTAGGACAACTTGGCGGGACGAGGGCGGGCAGCGAAGATGCCGGCGTCGCTGTTGGGCGCGGCCGTGGCGGCGACGGTCAGGTGGGCGTTCTCGTAGATGGCGCTCATCTGCGCCGACTCGACTTCCCAGTCGGCCGTCGAGTCTTGGATGATGCAGAGGGCGTCGATCCAGAGGTAGTGGATGCCGAGCGCCTGGGTGATGACGACGGCGTCCTGGAAGGATTGCGGGAGCGAGGAGAAGTCGATGTGGCGCTTGCGCTCGGCGAGGTTGGCCGTCGTGGTGATGAAGGTGGGACCGCCGCCCCAGCAGTGGCTGAGAGTGATGTACTTGACCTTGTTTGGAGGAGACTCACAGAGTCGGATGTGTTCGGTGGAGTCCGGGTCTTTCCCCAAGTATATGAGCCTTTTGGGGATAAACTCGTCCCGCAAACTCTGGCCGCAGAGACGATGTTTGTGGTTCTTGATGCAGTCCTCTATGGCTTTCCGAGCAAACTCAAACGAGTCGTCCGAGTCGGAATGCTTTGGCACCGACTGGCCGTGGCCGAGAGTGGGCCATGGCGATGGCTTGTCTAGTAATGCTCAGAAGGCAGTACGGTGATTCATGCTTGCTTCGCTATGTGCAGGGTCTTCTGAAACAAAGCGTTTGCAGCAGGCACAAAAAAAAGCCTAAGCGCTAAGAGCTTGATGGGACAGAAGCAGGATAAAGCACGTAGACATGGCCCATTCCAGGCCCAAATCGACGAAATAACAAACAAACGAAAAAAAGAAACCAACTTACCAAACGGGGCATAAATTTCTATATTCTCATACCTGCCTATATCAGGCCGCACCTCGAGCCGCAACGGGGCGCACTCGACCAGGTCCAGTAGCAGCCGCGGCTTCGTCTTCCGCCAGCCCTCAACGTGGGCATCGAGCGTGTGAGCGACCAGGCGGCAGCGCGGGCACTTTTCCTCTGAGCGCTTCAGCCGCACGGGGTCGACGCGCAGGCTCAGGCGAGCGACGGAGCGGCTCGTGCTCTCCTGGTCGTGGAAGGTGGCTGGATGGCTGCGCGGATCCAGGTTGTTGCACAGCTTGCACACCCGCCCGCTCTGGGTGCGGGCTAGCAGGCCACCAGGCTGCCTATCTGCCATGCTGATCGTCGGGCATGAGACATATGGCGTCAGCGTGGCTAGGCTGGGGAACGGTGCTGGGGCCTGGTTGGAACAAGGCTGCGGTCGGTGCTTCGCTGCGTGCGGTGGGTGGTCGGGCGGAGGTTGCGCGCGAGTGAGACGTCCCGTTCGCCGCAACCCCAAGGCGTCCGTGCGCCCCATGCCGTCGATGATCTGCAGCAACGGATGAGGATCCCGCATGCTCACATGCTGGGATTTTGCGATTGCCACCGTGATATCGATGTGAAAAGCATGCGCAAATCACGTCCAAGCAGAGTGGGGCCCTCCCAGATTGCAACTTGTGGAGTATGGCCCGGGCGCCTGTGCAGGTGATGTCACAATGAGAAAGAGCAGCAACAATACACATGTCTTACATCATGCATCATGGCCGCCACTGTGCTTCTGTGCCTTCCTATATCAAACCGCAAGAGCCTCGTGCCTACCTCTTGAAGCATCAGTTCAAACTTTCTCGATTAAAAACCTTCGACTCTCCGCTCCAACTCCATCAACCACAACACTTCCACCAACTTCAATCTTCCAACAACAAAAACAACAACCATGTCCGCCACCATCAACGACGACGCCGTCAAGGCCGTCTCCAACCAGGAAGGCCAGATCGGCTCCCACGTCCCACCCTCCGAGCCTCTCGAGAAGGGCGGCGTAAGTCACTTCCACCCATCACTTCTCCTCCCATCTCCCCCTCTCCCCAAACATCACCACTAAAACCAAACCACGACACTAACTCCACAACCTCACAGCACAAGCCCGGCGTCCTCGCCACCAAAGCCGACAAAGCCCCCGAATTCCACGCCCAAACCCTCCCCGCCGGCAGCGCGCCTGCATCTCACACCCACATCCCCAACCCCACCACCTCCTCTCTCCCTCCCGACACCACCACCACCACATCCGCCAGCGACACCCTCCTCGGCGCCACCTCCGCCGATGTCTACACCGGCCTCGGCCACCCAGGCCAGGGCCAGACGTCGACCGAACTCCGCCACGACGGGTCGCACGGCCGCGCGAAGCAAGGCACCGGTCTCGTCGGCGTCGGCGCCGACACTGTGACGAACAAGGGCAGCGCCGTGGACGCGCACGACCCGGGTTATGCGAGCCAGCGTGCTCTGGACAAGGATGTCGAGACAGGAGCGAGAGGCACGGTTGGCGGACCGCCGGCGGAGGAGAGGCTGCCGGAGGGCGCGGAGACGGTGGCCAGCGAGGCGCCGAAGGATAGGGCGACGAGTGGGGTTGCGTCGGCGCTTGCTGGAAGTAAGTGAAGGGGAGAAGGGTGGGTTTCTAGTTCTTTAGTGATGGTGGTGTGCTTTTGAGGGGAGGGAAGGGGCACTGGTTTTGCCTTTTGCTTGCGTGTTTTATAATCTTGCGTTCTCTGCTGCAGGCAGAGGGATATTCTCTTAATCACAAAAAAAGGGATCATGATTAAATGAACAGAACTTAGAGAAATACAAAAGCTTTTCTATCAGAATAGAGCGGTAAAAAGTGCTCTGCGAGTCGTCAGTTTCCAAATATAACTTTAAGCTCATGTGGGATAACAGTACCTCACCTACGCACCTCATCTACGCAAGTCAGCACCGAATTCTACAACACCAGCACTTTACTAGAACGAACGAATCCTCAATACGCCAGTACATATGCCTCAGCAACCACGAATGCGGGGCTCCGCACACGCCTTACCAAATATCTAACCCCACCCAACGAATGACATACACATGAAGTAATGCCTACAAAGACAAACCCCGACTTCTGCTCAACAGAAACCTCTGAGCTCTTCCTAGAGCGAAATATAACGAGCAGCACAGTGTGAAAAGAAAAAAAAAGAAGAAATGAAGGAAAGGAAATGAAAGGCATAAAAAACGCCCAACCCACACACCATAACAAAAACAGCCTGAATCAAGGAAACCTGAAAAGTGGCCCACGCGGACCTTGCAGAACATCCATCTAGCGGCTCCTCTTTTGCTGGCTGCACGCCATACTCCTCCTTTTCTGGCTGTCAAGCTCAGAGTGACCTGTATTCCAGGCAAACAAGGTTAATTGACCAGATCTTTCGAGGAAAGAAAGGGTGGGATGGGACTCGTGTGATCGAGGTGGATGTGAGAAGACCATATTGTGATTGGATTTTTTTTTGTTCTTTGTGGGGAAAGGGCCATGAACCGTACTCCTTGATCAAAAGGGGGGGCAATGGAGGAATGAAAATATCCAACGGTTGTGTTCCCTGCCAAAATGCCATCTAATCCACGCCCTCCCGGCGCTTTGTCTTGTTGTATCCTCCATTAAAACTCGCCACTTTACATCTACTTTGAAATCCACACCCCAATGCCCATAGCGAACAGCGTCGATACATAATACATGAAACGAGAAAGGATGAAGCAGAGTCCCTCCCCTCCATCTCCTTTCCCTCCGTGGGAGACGATGTGCTCGGATCCAGTGCAACAAAGATATGAAATACTTACACGGCGCTGTAACCACCTCTCGAGCCACCGCCTTGAAACGAGCTGGTGATGCGGCGGCCAAAGTCCTTGACGAGGTAGGGCAAGTCGCGAATGGTGTCGCCATGGGGAACGGCGTCCCAGCCGCGAGCACCGTAACGTTCGTAGTTGAGCCAGCTGCCGAAGATGAGGTAGGCGGCGATGGAGAGAAAAAGGCTGGTGAAAAGGAGGCACACGTTAGCTGGAACGGGAGAGAAAAAAGAAACCACGGAGCGGATCCAACTTACATGATGATGACCCAAGTGAAGAAGCCCCAGTGTTCCGACTTGCCGCCGGGGCCCGAGCCGCTGTCGCCGCCGTCCTCGCACGCGTACTTGGTGTACCACGTAAGCCGCAGCACGTCCAGGTCGTCCTCCATCTTGTAGCTGACGAACTGCAGCGCCTTGCTCTTGTCCGTCTTGTTGTCGTCGTCATCGTCATCATCGTCGTCGTCGCTGTCTCCTCCCTCGTCATCGCCTTCCTTCTCATTCTCCTCCCTCGCCTGCAGCTTCGCCATCCGCCGCCTCATCTTGTCCTCCACCTTCTTCTTGTCGTCCTCCTCGTCGATGGTGTCGCGGTTGTCCAGGTCGGTTTCGGTACCGGTGCGGTTGCGGTCGCAGATGAACTCGATGAGGGCCTTCTGCTTGGTGCCCTTGCGGCTGTGGAACGGGTACTTGCCGCCCTTGAGCTCAAGGCGCAAGCCTTCCTTCTCCGCGTCGGCGTTGGAGTCGGAGCCCTTCAACTTCGTCCACCGCGGGTCCGCCTGGCCGCCCGACGACGCTGCGAAGTTTCCGGCGATGGGCACGACCTTTGTGATGGCCGACGTGTTATCCGCAGGGTTGTAGCTGGTTGTGACGCCGCATACTGTTTTTCCCAAAAGGAGAAGCCGTTAGCCCTTTCTTGACAACTCGTGTAAATTCTAGGCGAATTTCGACCGGATGGACGATAATAAGGATTTGGTATGGGTGGGGGGCTTTGTCTCGCTCGTTCCGGGTCATTGCCTACCTCGAGTGCCAGTCGGACACTGGTCCTTCTTATCCACGCCCTTGATCGGCTTGAGCGATTTGCAGATGTCGACGGTGAAGGTTGTGTTGAGCACCGCCGGCGGCTGCTTTTCTGTGAAGTACACCGACCGAGGGCCGCCCAGTTCGTGGAAGTCGTAGCGCGTGCCGTCGACGACGACGTCCTTGCAGTCGAACATGACGCCTGCCACTAGCGACGGGAACGCCGCGGTCAGGAGCAGTGCGGCAGCAGCCGTCATCGTCGCCGTTGTCGTGGAGCCTTGTGGTCGTCGCATTGTGTTGCGTGAGTGAGTCGTCGGGGGAGATGTTGCTACTCGCGTCGGATCGGTTGGTCCGCTCGTGGGGGAGCTGTTGGGAAGAGAGATGGAAGCCGTGTGATGGGTGCTAAGTGCTCGAGAACTTTCTATGTGTAACGTGTTATGGATCCGAAGGGCGGTAATGGGGGCTGCAGCTGGGTTTTGCAAGTTGTAAAGCTTGCGTTCAATGATGTAGGTAGACGGTGTACGTAGGTAGGTCAGCGACATTCCCGACAGCCTGGTTCGGGCAGTCGCTCTGACCGCCTGCCAAGCCCGCTCAGACACATTAGCAACGACCACTGCCCGAGGCACGCTTTCGGGCTCGGGGAGGCCCAGAAATTGTGAGACGATTTTCACACGGCAGTCTTCTACAAGAATTGATTGTTTTTGATTTTCATTATACTCGTGATTCTGTCTCTGCTCGAAAGTCCACTTGATCGTGGAATGAGATGGATATCTTCGGGAAGCTTCCCTCCTGATAAGCTTCATGCAGAGATTACTCTGCAACTACGGTACTCTTTCCCAGACCAAGTACGCACAGTGGTCATGATTTTGCTGGTTAGTTCGAGCTTAGATGGGATACCAATACGGGTCATAATTTCCTTGACGCCTGCGGAATCCAAGCTCCAATCCATCGTTCTTTGGTTTTGAAGTTTCGAAAATGCATGGTGAGCGCGACGAACGCATGCGGTAGCAATTCCTCAGTACGGCCTTGGTCCACGTCCTCCACGGCCCCTTCCATATCCACCTGAAGGCGGTCCGCCACTCGGTATCTCGCCTCTCCTCCACTCCCCCGGCGGCACTCCTCCGCCGCCGCCCAACCTTCCGCCGCCCTCGTACCTGGGACCTCCACCTCTCCTCCCATATCCACCACCGTAGCTCCTGTCGCCATAGCCATTCTCCCTCGGCGGCGGTCCTCCCCTCGACATGCCGTAATCTCTCGAAGAGGGGTAGCGGCTCGCAGGCGGCGGGCCCGTGGCGACGGAGCCGTCCGCGCCGGGCGGCAGGATGCAGCACGAGACGTAGTCGCCGATGACGAAGCGCGCGTCGGCCAGCGTCTTGTCGGCGTCGCCCTCCAGCCTATCCAATGCGCCGCGGCCATTTGTCGCCGTTGTAGTCGCCGCAGGGGCAGCAGCGTCGTCGTCATCCACGCCGGGCCCGCCTCCGCCGACGATGACGCTGCCGAGCTCCTTGCTCAGGTACCGGCCGGGGCCGCCAGGGCCACCACCACCAGCACCTGCAGCGCCGCCACCGCCGCCGCCGCTGCGCGTGTCTGGGAAGATCAGGCGGAAGGCCAGGCGCGTGCCGATGGCCGGGTCGGGAAGAAGCGAGGGCAGGGCGGAGACGAGCAGGTGCGTGAGCTCGCGCAGCGAGCACGTCGGCCAGGTGTAGATTTGCAGGTGCGGCGGCGGCGGGGCGGAGCTGTGCGGCGAGAACTCGTCGAGGCGGTGGAAGGCGTTGGAGCGGTAGAAGAGTTTCAGCAGGAACGGCGTTGTTGTCTGCCGGTCGACCTTCGCGGGGCCGCTCATGGTTGCGGGTGTAGTTTTGTTATCGTGCGGCCCCCAGTTTCGCGCGGGTAAATGATGTTGGCGCGTGTGCAGCTGTGCGGATGCTCTTGGGCAAGGCGCGACGGGTTGGATGGAGGCGCGAGTGTCTGCGAAGATCGAGGTGTCGTCGCGCAATGGCTTTGGTCGCGGGGAAGAATGCGCGCACGATGCCTGCTGGAGCTCAGCTATGAGGAAGGTGCGGTGCACCTCCGCTCGCCGCAGTTTCGCCGGCGCCCGCCTTCCGTGCAGCGAGCTGCTCTCCGCCATTCGACTCGCCATCTTTCTCTCATTTCCACACTACACTGGCCGCGAGCCGACCGCAGCCAAGATGGACTTCGCCAAGCTCATGTCCGCGCAGATCGAAAAGAGCAAATCCTCCTCGACATCGGGCGACTCATCCAAAAAGTACCTGAAGCGCTCCGAGGTCGAAGCCCAGCGTCAAGAGGCTTACCTTGCCGAACAGAAGAAAGCCGAACAAGAACGTCTAGAAAAGCTCGACAAGAAGCGCAAGCTCGAGGAGGAAGAACAGGAGCGCGAGCGCGAGCGCCAGGAGAAGAAGCGCCGCCTGGCCCAGCAGTCGCGAAAGCTGCGCGAGGAGGAAGAAGAGGCCGCGGAGCGCGAGCGCCGAAAGCGTCTGGGTCTGCCTGAATTGCCGCCGAAGGGCAAAGAGAGCGATAAGGAGGAAACACCGTTGCCCGATGGAGAAGAAGACATACCCGATGACGAGCTGGTCGAGAAGCTGCGTGCGCTGGAAGAACCCGCACGACTGTTTGGAGAGACACACAGGCAGCGCTTGAAGCGCTACAAGCGGGTCAGCGGCCAGTCCGCAGCCGCTAAGCTTTACGATGGTCCTATTCCGACTGCCTTGGAGCCCGTACCTGGAGGAGATATGCTGGTGCCGGGCGCACTGCCAAAGGATGATGCGGGCAAGAAATTCCTTGCGCGACAGCTTGGATCGTACTTCAACATGGTGTTGCGGGAGTGGGAAGTTGCGCTGGCTCAGCGTGAAGACGAAGTCAAGACCAGTTTCCAGGGAAAGCAGGCATACAACGCCATGGTCCAGGCTAAGGAGAATCTGCGGCCACTGTTCAGAAAGCTTGAGAAGGATGAAGTTGAAGACAGTGTGCTGGAGGCAGTCGTTGAGATTGTCAAGGCAGCACAAGAGAGACGTTATGTGGACGCCAACGATGGTTATCTCCGTCTCAGTATCGGCAAAGCGTAAGTCGGCCCTCATGCAGTCCTGTGGATGAATGCTGACCTTTGATGCAGTGCTTGGCCCATTGGTGTTACCATGGTTGGTATCCACGAGCGTTCAGCACGAGAGAAGCTACACGAGAGCGACAAGGCAACGGCGCATATTATGAGTGACGAAACGACAAGAAAATACCTGCAGAGCATCAAGCGATGCTTGAGCTTTGCGCAGACAAGGTGGCCACCGCATGACCAGCTGCAGCTTATGGGCTGAAAAGGGATCAAAAGGCGTTTGCAAAAATATAGATATCTAGTTGTTCAAGCAAATAAGACGTGATGGAGTTTGTGGGACCAGTAGAGGTACACCGAGTGAAATAGAGAAGCGGGCAGCAGACATGACGTCGCCGGCAGATTGGCGCCAAGAAATTCACCGTCTCCCGTGAAGAACACCATCACCTTGCAAACTACTGCAGCTACTCGACTTTCGTGCGTGTTCTTCCGATCCGAGTAAAAGCTTTCTGCGGGGAGAAAATCCGCGTCGGCCTCGGCACCACTCGAGACCCAACAACCGCAACCATGCACGAAATAGTGACTTTACAGTTCGGCCAGCAGAGCAACTATCTCGGCACGCACTTCTGGAACACCCAGGTACAAGGTCCCTGCATCCAGTCGAAAAATCGCGCTGATTTGGTCTGCGCCACAGGAGTCTTACTTCACATACGATGACCCGGAAAAGACTGCAGATGCAGCAGCGGCGGAGCCATCGCCTGTGGATCATGACATCCACTTCAGGCCCGGCATTGGTGCCGATGGGTCGGACACGTTCATGCCGCGCGCCGTGATATACGACCTCAAGGGTGCGTTTGGGAGCTTGCGGAAGATCAACGCCTTGTACGAAGCGGAGGACGATGGCGACGCAGCGTTGTGGTAGGTTTATTTTAATTCTTTTGTGTGACATATTCTCACGGCGGTCAAAATTTTTTATTTCTTTCGTGTATTTTTTTTTCATTCGAAAGAGCTTGGGTTCAAGAGCAATCCTTATTGAACATTATCGAGCAACAGCGGGGTATTTCTGATATCAACATCATTGCATCGGTCCTCCCCGTACGAAATGTTATCACCACCAGAACAACGTTATCGGTCTTTTTTCTTGAGCCAAATGGAGCCCTCTCATTCTACCCCGACACACGCTACAAACAGCTGACACACATCGCCACCATCGCAGGCCCGGCAGCACCATCACCCACCGCGCGACCGCCATCCCGCCGAGCGCGTACCAGCAAGCCCTGGACACGGGCCTGCAGCCGCCAGCGCTGACGACGGACACGGTGCGGTACTGGTCCGACTACAGCCGGGTGTACTACCACCCGAAGAGCCTGGTGCAGCTGCACGAGTACGAGCTGCAGTCACAGCTGATGCCGTTCGAGGGTTGGGGCGTGGGCGACGAGCTGTTCGCCGGTCTGGACAAGGAGCACGATCTGCTCGACCGGTGCGTTGGACTGAGACGTCAACATTCACGTGTGAGAAAGATACGAGCTGACGTGAAGTACGATACAGCGATCTCCGCCCCTTCATCGAAGAGTGCGACCAGCTGCAGGGCCTGCAGGTCATGACCTCCGTCGACGACGCCTGGGGCGGCTTTGCGTCCCGCTACGTCGAGCGGCTGCGCGACGAGTTCGGAAAGCTAAGCATTTGGGTCTGGGGGCTAGAAGAGGAAGAGAAGAAAGCTCGGGTACGTATATACATCCCCCCATTCCCCCGTCCATCCCCACCACTAACGCGCAAACCCCCAACAGGACAAACTCCTCCACCAACTAACCAACCACTCCCTCACCCTGCACGCCCTCTCCTCCACCGCCTCAACCTACATCCCCCTCTCCGCCCTCCCCAAATCATCTCTACCCCCTTACCTCCGCAACGGCCACATCAACCCGGCTTCCCGCTGGCACACCGCCGCCCTGCAGTCCATCCTGCTCGAAACCGCCACCTTGCCCTCCCGCCTCCGCGACCGCGCGCGCGCCGCGCCCCTCGCGCAGATGGAGGCCGTCGTCAACGCGGGCAGCGGCAACAGGCGGGTCGTCGAGGCGCGGATGAGCGTGGGCGAAGCGGCTGTGCTGCGGGAGGCGTTGGATGAGCGGGTGAGGGCGCGTGAGGCGGAGGAGCAGGCCGGCGGCGGTGGGAAGGCGGGGAGGAGGAGGAGGTCGTATGGGTATGAGAAAGATGGGCAGGAGGAGGATGAGGGGGAGTGGGATGTTGATCTGGCGAGGTTGGGGCCGGAGGAGCAGATGGTGCAGATGGCGAAGAGGGGGAGGGGGAGAGGGGGAGGTGGTGGGGTGAAGGGGTTGGGGAAGAAGGCGCATCTGTTTGGGCGGGCGGAGGCGCTGAGGGGCGCGTGGAGGGAGGAGGGGGAGGTGGAGGCGTTGAATCAGCGGGCGAGGGATCGGTTTGCGGGCGCGGAGATGGTGCAGAGGTGGGTTGTTTTTTTCATTGTTATTCCCTTTGCTGTTCTACTCTCGCTTTTCTCTCATTTTCTTTCTCTGTTCATATGGGAGGACGATACATGCTCACACGATGACAACAGGTACACCACTCCTCTCCTCTTCCCCGTCTTGGACAGCTACCCGCATATCTTCTCGTTCGAAAACCGCGACAAAGATGAGGGGCTCGCCGTGCGCACCGCACTGACGACTTCGTCGGCTATCTCTGGCCGTCTGCGGGCTATGGGTCAGCTGGTCGGCCGACTGATCGGCGTTGATCAGCGTGAAGAACTTTCCAACGGGCTGAAGACGCTTGCGGACGAGTACGAAGAGGGTTGGGACAGCGGACTGGAGGATAGCGAGGATGACGACGATGATGAGTAGGTCAGGTGCGACAGGAGGGGGCAGAGAGTGAGGCTGTGAGGAGTATCTTGCTCGTGAAGGAGGGGTTGCAGAAGAGAGGTGAAAGGTTAAATTGTTGACTGGGAGAAACTTATGACTTGGGTGAAGGGAAGGTGGCGATGAAAATGGGTTACTGGGGAGCCGAAACTCAACTCGTAGCTTTCGTGAATGGAAAGACTGAGTGTGTCAAACTTTAGCGGATGGAAATAATGAAGGACTGTGTAGAACCAGCTGAGTTGTGACGGGCAGCATAAGCCATAGTGGTGGCGATAGTGCAAACAGCAAGGCCAATGAAAAAGTAGTATGATGAATCAGCAATTTAAGATTGACAAGTGTGCAAAGATCATTTGGCCCCCTATAACGAACATGCAGGCAGCCAAGAAAAGTGGAAGTGGGATTGTTGAGATGTCTGCAGGCCAGAGCCCTAGGTTCTATTTCGGGAAGAAGACACGAGCAGGCGGCAGAAGGAATCATGAAGGGTGACAAGGCCAATGATCCTCATGGACCGTCGGGCCGGCCCATATCAATGATCAATGCTCAGGTAACACGAGATAGAGAGGGATAAGACAGCAAGTGGGCCGAGGCTGGCGCGATGAGCTCGCGGTGGCTTAAGTTGTGTTGTCCGGCGAACGAACGCGGCACAGCAGCTTCAAAGTCACGGTACCGGTTATTCTCGCGCACATTCCTTTGCTCCACATCCCGGACGGCACAGTCGCATCGCTTGTGCCGATCCCAGACCGGATGCATTCGAAGTGGCCACAATTTGGGGCGGCGGATTTGCCGGCTGCCGAACCAGCGAGCACCTAGGTTACCCCTCACTCGACCGCACGCAGATACGAGCGAGAAGGCCACGGGGATCATCCGCGTGCGGGGCGGGCAACTGTGTTAGGGAACGATGATGGGGACTATCGACGGGAGGCGGAAGGGCAGTTCGTATATAGCTGAAGCGAAAGGAATGTGAATGGGCAGAGCAGCGGGATACGAAAAGGATGGGTCAGTCGACCGTCCCAATGCGGCACGTCGGCTGGCTGGAAGGATTTAACGATGACGATGGAGATGGAGCTTCTACGGTGTTCTTCACGCAACGTCTAAGCCTGATTCGCCTCGCCTCGCTAAATAGTCAGTGGAAGCTGCTCCGCACCGAAACGAAAAATTTTCTCCGTTTGGCTTTGTCTTCTGTTTCTCGTCCGGTTTGGGGTTTTGAGTTTGGCAGACAGCGGTACTGCCGGCAATTGAAGCAAAAACGGCAATGGCGAAAGGTTGCCGTTAGTCATGCACATGGCGAGAGGGAGGAATACCACGGTTCAGCAGCGGCCAATGGAAAGCTTGAATGGGCAGCTGAGGGCATTCTCAGTGGCTGAAAGTGAGCGTTGGCCGGTACGCTTTGTGGGGCGGGCGAAAGCTGGCTTCAACCGGTAACATGTGTCAGCGGGAGGGGACGACCTTTTATGAATGGTGACGGAGAAGGTGCAGTTGTGAGATTAAACTGCGCTGATCGTACTAGCGCAGCGCGGAGGATGAGCGGCGATCTTCACGGCGCGCCCGTTCGAGCCGTGCGTCTCCAGTTTTCCAGCGGGCCAGGCACGCACTTGGCGCGCTGCCATTCGAAGGCCAAAAGGCCCGTTTGGACGAAAAGAGAGCCACCGACGTGATGCGCTGACACGGCTGCCAACCGCGAAGCGGCGTGCCTGAGTAGCAGTGAAACGGACGCAGGAACGCGCCGCAGCGCTGACTATATGGCGGTGGAGATGAGCTGACGGACTGCAGTCCGCGGGCCATAGCGCGGCGGTTGAGCGGGCTGGGCTTTGATGGCTTTGCTGATGAGTCGCATGCGGTGGCCGGTGGAATGAGAAAGAGCTCGCGGTTCTTGTCGAAGCCACTCGGCGCCCACCACGACCAGCCCGCCTGCAAGCAATCGGCCTCAGGCCAATCATCGATGCTGCGCGACTTGTCCACCCATGCTGCTGCATGCATTCAGTACACACGAGCTCACGGCCCTGCTGACAGCAGATGCAGCAGCACGAGCTGCAGCCTGCTGTGGGGTGACTGGACTCGGGTCCTCGGCAAAAGTAGCGGCCGCCCGGCGCCGTTGCACGCGCCCGCCCGCCGGCCACCGAGACTCTGCTATTCTTGTCGTCGGCCGCAAACAAGCAAGCAACGCCTCGCCACCTCTGAGACAGCCCGTGCCCCCAGCTGCCCAGTGCCGCCCGAACAGACGGTTGCCCGCACCGCTGCACGCGAATCCTGTTGCCCCGCCCGCCCAAAGCTTGGCCAATGACGCTATGGTTCCACGGCTTCTCCGCCTCTCGTCCACGAGAAGAGGACTGTGCATCTGCAGAAACCCTCTCCAGATCCGTCGACGCTGTGCCGCATCCGCTTTCGGCTACTAGGTGAGTTAATTGTGCTGTACGAAGGCAATTGGCGTCGGAGCGGGCAGTGTACCGGACGGGCCGGCCGTGGCTTGTCTCTGACTTCCAATATTTGCCTTGCTGGAGGGCTGGGCCGGTGAGTGGTGAGAGCAGAGGCCCCCCGGTCGGCGCGGTGCCTGCCTAGCATCTGCTGTTGAGCCGGCTGCATTAGCTCCTCTGGGCATGCCCTACCACCGACACCACGCCGTGCCAGATCGCCTGGCTATACGAGATGCAGCTCGGTGCAGGGGTGACCCACCGCTCATGAGAGCCAGATGAGATCACAACCGTTAAGCTTCCTGCCCGGCATGCAACCCTACCCAAAACGGATTGAGAAAAGCCTGCTGCTACCGTGCATATAGAGAGCCTCTTCCTGCCTCCGTTTGCATGGGGCATAAATCAAGAAGCCAGCCCCGTGCTCGCCTCCAGCCTCCCATATACAGCAACTCGCTCGCTACGGTTGCAGTGTATCCCTCGTTATATCTTCCCCAGCCCTCTGCTCTGTCGCTATCCACTCAGCGCTGTCACTGAAGACGCCGGACAACATGCGTGGCTCCCTCGCTCTACTCGCCCTGCTGGGCTCTGCCCACGCTTGGGAAACGGCCTGGACCAAGCCGCTATGGAATGGCACTTGGCCAAGCGGCGAGACGTCTACTCTGTTCACCTACGTGACCACCACCATCTGCCCCATCACCTCGACCTGGGAGCACACGACTTACACGACGTTGACCACTTCAACTCTCACCATCACTTCGTGCAAGGGAAAATGCACCTACACTCCTCCAGCACCTCCCTCCTCCACTTACGTGCCTCCCCCTCCTCCGCCTTCCTCTACTTACGTTCCTCCTCCTCCTCCTCCTACGACTTACGCTCCACCACCACCTCCTGCTCCTACTACCTACGCTCCACCACCGCCTCCTCCTACCACTTACGCTCCTCCTCCGCCACACTCCTCCAAGCCGCCTCCGGTGTATCCTAACAGCACCTACATTACGACCACCTTTACCGAGCACACGACCACTTACACCACCATCTGCCCCATCACTTCTTCGACCATCTCGACTACTACGGAAACGGCGGTCATCACTGTTCCTTGCCACAAGTGCTCGGGCGGCATCACCACCACCGAGACCATCACCACTTACACGACGACCTGGTAAGCATTCCTTTATTCATCCACGCAGAACACCGAAATTAACACTGCATCCAGCCCGATCACGACGTCGACGACTTCGTACATTACCACCATCATCACGAAGCCGACCACGAAGCCGACTTACGTTCCTCCTCCCACGACTTACGCTCCCCCTCCCCCTCCCCCGGAGACGACCTACGTTCCTCCCCCTCCTCCCCCGGAGACGACCTACGTGCCTCCTCCTCCTCCCCCGGAGACCACGGAGGTTCCCCCGCCGCCGCCGGAGACGACGACGACCAAGATCACGCCCAAGCCGTCGACCATCTACCAGACGACGACGCTCACCAAGACGTGCCACAAGTGCGAGTCCGGCAGCACCACCATCGTCACCACCGTCCCCGTGCCGCCGCCCTCCTACTCTCCGCCGGCGCCTCCATCGTACTCTCCCCCGGCTCCGCCTTCGTACTCTCCCCCGGCCCCGCCGTCCTACGCTCCCCCGCCTCCTGTGCCCTCATCTGAGGTCTCCCCGCCGCCGCCCGTGACGACCTACGCTCCTCCTCCCCCTCCTCCTCCTCCGCCGGTCGAGTCGAGCTACGTCCCGCCGCCGCCTCCGCCTGAGACCACCTACGCTCCTCCTCCTCCGCCGCCGGTCGAGTCTTCCTACGCCCCGCCCCCGCCTCCGGTCGAGTCGTCCTACGTGCCCCCTCCGCCGCCGCCGGTCCACCCCAGCTACGTCCCGCCGGCGCCGAGCGTCCCCCCCGTCGTCCCGGTCCCCTCATCTGAGGTCTCTCCCCCGCCGCCTGTCGAGACGACTCCCACGCCGGTGCACAGCACCTACGTGCCGCCGGCCTACACGACGCCGTCTGCCAGCGCGCCGCCCGAGTTCACGGGTGCGGCTGTCGCGGCGCACGGCGGCAAGCCGGTCGTGGCTGTGCTTGCGGGTGTGGCCGCTGCTTTTGCGCTCGTCTGAGCGGGTGGCATCCGGCACACTACGGATGGTTCTTTAATTTATTTGTAGCAGTTTATTTTCTCTCTCTTCTTACCGGCTCTCTCTGACGACGAAATCATCATCATGAGATACAACAAACACTTAATGTGCCCGGCACTTTAGCACTACGTGTCGGGCCCGTCACGCTCCTTTACGATACCAATGAAGGGATTACTAAATGGGAAAATGGACAGGGCGGGAGTTTTGTTCATTCGGGTCTATCGGGATATGGCGAGGGAAAGGGGGTAGGCGGGGGCATGGCCTACCGTCGCGAGGGTTGGCGAGAATGTTTATTGGTTAGATTACTGTTCTGAAGTGAGACGACACAACTCCGGTTGTGATCGTAACGGCCTCTCTGCTGCACATAGGATTAGATCCGTTTGTAGTTTGGTTGCCTCTTAATGCTGATTGCTTTCATGCCCTCATACTGCTCTGCCTATCTGCTCTCCGAAGCTTGCCGTGCGATATCCCTCTTGCTTCCCTATCGGTCCGCTCCCTGCATATGCGCGGTCGACGAATACTTGTCTCGACGGAAGAAACACCGATGTGATGTCAACGTGCGGTGGGTGGCCTATTCACCAGCCAGACAGGGACATGGGATGGATGGATCATCCGATCACCTCTCAGACGTATCGCATCTTCTCTCCCCCTCTTTGACTTCTCGTCTCCTCCCCTCAGACGGTTTCTCTCTCACCTACCTACATCTTTTTCGTCCCGCATCTCCTCTCCATCCACTGATTCATCTCCCCGCTCCCGGTACCGTGACGCGACATCATGTCTAAACCCACATTACCTTTCTTTACCCCGCGTGCCCGCAGCAGATGCAGCCGACGATTTTCGTGGGCAGGATAGATGCATGTTCAGGCCCGCTACTACATGTTCTAGTTTCTGCCTTGCTCCCTGCCCTGCCCCCTCACTTCTTCGCCGGGCTTTCTTCTCCGTTATCTATCCATGTGGCTGCAGTGATCGACTTACATGCGGTCAGCGTCGCACAGCAGCCGCAGCCGTACTTGTCTTTTCCACGCCGCCACTTACCACCACCACGACCGGCTGACACCGCCTCCCGTTCGCCCGTCCACCCGCGCACGGCCGATGTCTTAGATGTTGTAGTAGCCGCATGTACTCTGACTAGCCGGCCTTTTTCAGTCTGCTCAGTCCATGTCGTGCATGTACCCTTTGTCTGGTCTCAGTCACATACTGCGAGGGGGCTGGGGGGGTTTTAGACATGGACGCTGGGCTAGCCCTCAGCCATGACCGCCTTACTGATTGTTTGTTTGTCGTACGATGGAGGTATATTGTGGCGCAAGACTGGTCACGTGGGATGTATAACGTAGAGCGGGGAATAAGGCAATAACGGATAGTTGGGTATTCCGAAAAAAACAGCTACACAGAATGACTTCTCTCTACCTGCCGCCCTGCTTACTCACCCAGATCCTCTCGACATCGTACGTCCGTAGCACCGCGGTGCCTCTCTCCACCACGCCATGTGTGATCAAGAGCCAAATCCCCTCAAAGCCCCCTCCACCAAAACGTCTTCTCCACCGCAAACTCTCCCTTCAACGGCGTACTCGCGCTGCTATCGCCGACCAACACATCGTACACGCCCTCCTCAACCACCCAAGCGTCCCTCAACTCATCCCAGAATGCCGCTGCGTACTTCTTCTGCAGCTCGACGCGCACCTTCGCCGTCTCGCCCGGCTGCAGCACATCCGTCTTCGCGAAGCCCTTCAGCTCCTTCGGCGGGCGGTTGATGGACGGCGCGCGCGGACTGACGTAGACCTGGACGACCTGCCTGCCGGGCACGGCGCCGGTGTTGCGGACGGATGCGGTGACGGTGATAGTCGCCGCCTCGTCTTTGCCACCGGCCTCGCTGACGTCCACGTCGCCCTCGAAGTTAAACGCCGTATACGACAGCCCATGGCCGAACGGGAACAACACCTCCCTCCCCACCTTCTCGTAGAACCGATACCCGACATACACATCCTCCCCATACAGCGCGCGGCCCCTCTCCGACCTGAAATTCAGGTACGCCGGGTTATCCTCGTTGCGCCGCGGGAAGCTGAGCGGCAGCTTCGCGGAAGGGTTGGCGCCGTCGGTCCCGAAGAGCACGTCGGCGATGGCGTTGCCCGTCTCGTTGCCGCCGTACCACGCGTGGAGGAGGGCAGGGACGGCGTCGATCCAGGGCGTCATGTCGACGGGGGTGCCGGACTGCATGACGACGGCGGTGCCGGTGGGGTTGGCGGCGGCGACGGCGGCGATGAGGGCGTTGGTGTGGCCTGGGAGCGACATGTGGCGGCGGTCGTAGCCTTCGGATTCCCAGTCGCCCTGGTGGGCGGGGTTAGCTGGGAGGGGGAGGGGGAACGGGGGGTTGAGGGGGTGGAGGAGAAGACTTACGTTCAACCCGGCGATGATGACGACCTGATCCACCTCCTTCGCCAGCTTCACAGCTTTGTCGATCTCATCCTGGGGCTCGGTGACCCTCGTCCCGCCGACCCTGACGCCGCCGCCCGCCATGACCGTCGCGCCGGGCGTCTTCATGTTGCTCGTCGTGCTCGAGCCGAACTGCAGATACACATCGTACGTCTTGCCCCCCTCGAGCCGCATCGTGCCCTTCTCCTCGACCGTGCCGGACCCGAAAAACGTATCCCCCTGCCGCTGGTTCTCCGTATTATCCACCACCAGCACGCCGCCCACAAACAGCCTCGCCGTCCCGCACACGCTCACGCCAAACACGTACTCGCCCCCATCCTCAACCGTCAACGTGCCTTCCAAATCCATCCAGAACGTGTCGCTCGTTATCGCCGCGTTCGTGTAGTCCGACAACAGGATGTCCGACCCCTCGACGCGCACCTCGTCGACGGCCTGCCGCCCGGCTTCCGTCGGCGGCTCCGTGAAGAACTTGGCCAGCAACCCGGGCTTGCCGTCCGTCTTCGTCTTCGTCAGGTGGCTCAGCACGGGGAGGCTGCGGTAGCCTTCCGCTCCCAGCGCGTACTTGACGTCGTCCTTTTGCGCGCGGATGCCGTCGTACGGCGTGACGGCGTAGTACGGCCGCAAGTTCGCCGACCCGCCGCCCGCGTACGCCGCGATCTTGGCGTTGGGGCCGATGACGGCGAGGGAGCGGTCTTTCTTGAAGGGGAGGATGTTGCCGTCGTTCTTCATGAGGACGATGGCGTCGCGGGCGACGTTGCGGAGCGTGGCGGAGGTCTCGGGCGAGTCGATGGACTTTTCTGGTGCGTTTTCTGGGATGTTGAGGGCGTCGACGGCGTTGACGAGGCCGAGGACCTTGCGGACGCGCTCGTCGATGGTCTGGTCTGAGACTTTGCGCACGCTGTGGGCGATGAGGGTTTGCTTGCCGCGCACGCGGGGCGGGCCGGGCATCTCCAGGTCCAGCCCGGCGTTGATGGAGTCGGCGGAGGTGTAGGTGCCGAACCTGTGTGTGTTGGAGAGCGGTTAGCCAGCCGGTCAAGAGCCTGTTCGCTCGAAGTCAGTTGGGGATAGGGAGGTCGCCCATACCAGTCACTCATAACCAACCCATCAAACCCCCACTCATCCCGCAGTATCCCCTGCAGTATCTCCCGATTATCACTCATATGCACCCCATTGACGCGGTTATACGCCGTCATATACGCCAGCGGCGGCGCATCCCTCTGCGCAATCTGAAACGGCATGAGGTATATCTCCCTCAACGCGCGCGGCGTCACAATCGCATCCACCGCCTGCCTCTCATGCTCCTGATCATTGCACACAAAGTGCTTGATCGTCGCCGCCACCCCCGTGCTCTGGATCCCCTGCACCGTCGCCGCGCTCATCGCCCCCGCCAGGTACGGGTCCTCGCTGAACGACTCGAAGCCGCGCCCGCCCAGCGGCGAGCGCTGCATGTTCGTGGTGGGCCCGAGGATCACGTGCGCGCCTTTGGCGATGGCTTCCTTGCCCATGAGTGCGCCGCCGGAGCGGATGAGAGACGTGTCCCAGGTTGCGGCGAGGGCCGTGCCGCAGGGGAAGCAGGCCGCCGGCACGCCGTTGAAGAAGCGCGTGCCGCGCACGCCGTTGGGGCCGTCGGAGGTGCGGATGGAGGGGATGCCCAGGCGGGGGATGGGCTTGGTGTGCCAGAAGTCGATGCCTGGGGGTGTGTTAGTTGGTGTCGTAGTAGAATGGAAAGGAGATAAACAGATGTTGTTGTGGTACGTACCGGACAGGAGCTCGACCTTCTCGTTCAAGTCGAGCTTGGAGAGGGCGTCTTCGATGTCTATTGGAGCCATGATGGAGTGGTTTGTTTTCTTCTTTCTTTTTCAATTCTTCAATCAAGTAAAGTAGAATTGAGCCCCGCGCAGCAGGACGTGGTGAGAACTGAGTGAACGATCTCCCTCAATTGAGGGGCATTTTTCAGGCGGACGAGCTGGCATCTTTGTAGTCGTCGCGGAGCCGCGTGTAACAGGAGCACGTGGGGGAGCAAACAGCAAATCTCGTGCTTCCATCCCTGTGCAGCAACGGACCCAGGCGCCCCGAGCCACCTGGGTACGGGTCATTGTCGGGAGAATGGATGACGTGTGGTGGGGGTTGTTGCAATTCGACGCTCTCGTTGGAGGCGGCGACGATAAGCGGACAATCACAGGAATCACGGCCCTTGATCCCGCAAATTCTCCGGTGATGAGCCGCGGATCGATGCCGGCTGTTGATCACTGCGCCGTAAACTTGGAATCTCTTGGTGGAAACACCTCCATACGAATCACTCCGTTCTCGTTGTCGTTCATGTGCTACTGCATACGCGGCCGCGTGTCTCATGACCATTCGTCTTCCGGGGCAGTGGAGATGCGAGACGAGTGAAACTATCTTGGGTTGGAGTTTGTACCGTTTCCGGTATGCGGCAACGCAATCTGTGTGGGTCGTCAGCCATGGAACACGAACATGACCAGCGAAGTTTTGCCGCCATCTTCACTATCGCATCCACCTACCTTACTGAAAACCTTTTTGGAATTTATATCACGAGCTATCTTTTTTGGAATAGTCGCTTCTGGCCACCAACGAATCTTCATATTTGAGGACGTGCAGGTGACGTTAGTAAGGCAGCATCGTGGGGAACCAACGCATACTGAAGGTAAATTATAAAATGCTCTCAAGTAGGTCAACTCGCCGCTTCAATTACACTCATAGTGAGATGAATGAACTACGTACATTCTATGCTACAGAAGGGTCGAAGAACTGCCAGACTGGTTCGCTGATGGTGAGGTTGACATCTATAGCCGAAGTACTATGACGCGCTGACATGTCGGTGCCGGTTGGAGCTGCTCGCTGGGAGCATTGCTCCTCAGTCGCCAAAAAGAAGGCTAGGCCGTCCAAAAGCGATATTTGCGTGAACGGTGGCGACACCAAAGCCGGAGGAATTGGAACGCCGTGTGCATCAACATCGAAGTCCGCGCCAGCGTACATGCCGAACTTGCACCACTGGGTAACGATGAAACTTCCAAGCCCATTCACGATGGCAGGCTTGATCCGGCGCTTATCCGGCTGCGCCGCGACCCAGCGGAGATCCTGGTCCACGTCCTGCGGCACCACTGAGCGGGTCAAGTCGTGGATGATCTTTGCGACTTTCCACAGCGGCCCCTTGGCAATCACGTCGTGGGGCAGTGTCGTGAAGGTCGTGACGACGGCGTTGGGGAAATAGCGCGGTGGAAGGTCGAGCCGGTCCGAGTTGCGGAGGTTGACAGATGTAAGGAAGCCGCGAGGTATGTCTGACGTGTCGTCGGATGATGGTAGCCCTTGGGACCGGCGCAACCGGAGACGCGCTTGATACACGCGCTGGAAGATGTGCGCTGAGAGCGCGTCAAAGGTAGACACCCACCCGCGTCCGTCCGGATCCGTTGCCGAGTTTTTCAGCATCTCTAGCTCAAAGCTAGAAAAGCGTAGTACGCGCCCGACCACCGGGGGCTGAGAAGAAGCTGAAGGGGCTGCATGGGCGGTCACGGCTTCAGTGCCTGCAGTTTTTCCGCCGTGACTAGGAGCTAAAGTGTACAATCCAGGTTGGAAATTGACCATCTTCTGACGCTCTTCCTGCATCATGTCGCTTAACTCCGAAAGGTACGATCGAATGTGTGGTGGGTGAGCAAGCGCGGCAACAGCGGCTTCGGGCTCCAAACCAGCCTTCGCCTCAGCACCACGGAGCCCACGATAGAGCTCAGCCAAGTCGCGTATCAGTTGGAAGAAGCCCTCAGCATCGCACACTATGTGGTGAATGGACAAGCCGAGCGTGACAGAGCCACACGCAAACCGTGTGTGCTGGATAGAAAAGATGGGGTTGCGGCAAACAGCTTCCAGGGTAGGAACAAAGGGTGGCAGGAGCGCGTTGCCGGAATCCGGGAGGGCGGGCATCATAATGCGACCCGTACCCGCGTCCTCCGACTCGTCTAGCCGAGCTCTACAACTCGCTTCGAGCAGCTCGATTCCGGTATCCAAGTGGGCGATCTCAGGCGTTCCATCCGAGGGATTGAACTGAAGACGTCCTGTCAGGTGCGGATAATAGTCGAGAAGCAGTTCCATCGCACGTGCTAAGCGGTCGACGTCGATGAGCTCGCTATGGTTATCATCCGCAATAGAACTTGAGGCAGGCTGCTTGTAGGCGTAGACCACGGTGGTTGGGACAAACGGCGGGCCCAACTGATCAAGTGGGCCCAGCATCACTGGCGAATCGAGCACCGCAACTAATGCTTGGTGGGCTCGTTGTACAGTGCGCCTCGCGAAAACCTCGACCGTGGTTGCAGCAGCCGCGACATTGGGGGACATGGTGCTGAGAGCGTTGGAAGAGTCGATGGGTTCGATGGGTCGGTGAATGTGGAGGCGGAGGCTTGATTGTACGATGTCCAGGTGTGACCAACGCAGGCAAGAGCAAGGCTTTAAAGCCGCCAGCAGCCTCCCAATTCCGGGTTAGAGCAATGATGTTGTATGATTCATAGTTTGTAGGACCGAAGTTGCTGAGCCCAGAACCGTGCATCGGCGCTGGGTAATCCGCATACCGAATTGAGATAACTCCATCACCTATTGATGCCCTATTAGCTCCACGAAAAAGTAAGACCCAAAAGTCAGCCTTCTCCTGCGCTTGATACTTGAGCATCTAGTGCTCTCAGCAAACTTCTTCATCCGAATTAATAGAACGTTCGTCCGAGATCATCAAGATCCACTTCGGACGAAACAATTTCTTCACAGTGGTTCGGACGAACCAATTTTTCGCAGTGGCAAAGCTTCATTTAAAATTACGAATTAGCGTGGTTAGCCTCTACTACTCGTCTGTTATTGGCTGTAATAAAGTTTATTTGTCGCAATTGGTGATGATCATGAAACGCGTGCGAATTGCTGGCGGCGAGTGAGAGGGAGGGTGCGAGTCCTGATCCTCTGCCAATGACTAAGCTATCTACGCACTATCCACAGCACACCTCTCTCACCAGCTTGCCGCTGGAAGCTTGTGATCCTTGGGGTAGTATTAAGCCTGTCTTTCTTTGCCTGCGTGGCACCGTAAGTCGCGCTTTACCGTGCCTTGCTGACGCGCCGTGAGTCGCTTGTTCGTATTATTTCTGATCGTTTAGAACGAATATATGTCACTACCTAAGTTATTCTTCACCTGCTATTCGCACTCGCGTTCGAGCGCCGCTTCAACTACTTGCTAAGCCCCAAGCTCTTCTTTTGCGAGGCCGCTTCTCAACTCCAACGAATCACTCATTTGAAGGCATCACAACCTGCATATGAAGTGCTAATAGCGCAACTTAGTCGGGAACCGGTGCATACGGGAGGTAGTTCTACTATCTTGTAACGGCGAACAAAGTGTTCTTTAGTATTGTTTACATTTCTAGAGTGAAGGCGATTGCCTAAAGTGAAGTCTTATCCAAGGTCACAATAGTGAGTTGTCAAGATGAAAGCTATTGTTTAAGGCTACAATAGTGAGTTGTTTGGAGCATTCGATAAAACCTCGTCCTCGCCCAGGTACAAGGCCCTTTTCCTTGCGTTTCCGTCAGCTCAAGACCGTCCTTGTCCTACTTCCACCGAAGCTTTAGCCTTTTTCCCGCCGACTTTACACATCAAAATGACTATCAGAGCCGTGCGCGAGTACCTGAGCCAGCCCAACCCAGTCATCGACAACCGAATCGACAAGGCCTCCTCCGTCTCAAACGAAGATATGGAGGACTGGCCTGAAGTTCCCAAAGCCACAAAGCTGAGGATCACGTCTGCCTACATCGAGGATTCCATCGGTTGGCTCTTGGACGCAAAATTGGATCTCCCGGATGACAATGCCGAACTAGCCGACACGGCGAAGATAGCTTTCGATGAACGCAGCTTTGAGCATACCTTCACCAGGGGCCCTGCAGCTCTCGTTGCTAACCTGCTCGTCATCATGGGAAAGGCCCTGGCGCATGTCCCAGAGTATCCCCAGCTGTGCCTTGTTTCGGGCTCTTCCGGAAAGAGTGACAATAAAATTGGCAAGCCCGATTGGGCGGTGGTCCCATCCACAACCCCCGCTCGCAAGATCCACACCAACAAGGCTCCTGGCGATACGAAGGGCACCAAGAAGGAGTACGAGCCCGACAAGCCACTCAGCCTGTGGGCCGAGAAATACTTTCGACAGATGTCTCATTACATGAAGGAACGGCGTACTAGGTATTCCTGGATTATTACGCCGAAGGAGATCATGATAATTCGGCGTCGAACCTCGCAGAAAACCAATGAGGTCATCCCCCAGGTAGCAAAGTTCTCCTGGGTTCCAAAGCGGAACCAAAAGATGCCAGTCGCCGTGGTGCTCTTCTTCATTGTGTTCGCCTCCGGCCTGAACAACGGCGTGCAGGCTACCTATGAAGACTTCGCGGTGGAGAACATGGTGGTACTCGAGAAGATCAAGGCTGCAGTGGAGCGCCTGTGATGGCAGACAACATCAGGTCCTGGGGGGGTTTTGGGGGTTTCTTGGTGGCGGGGCATAATTGACTTCATGAAAAGATTTGATTTTGGGGATGAGAACTTGGCCGGGCTACGAGAGATTTCCATATTCCAGTCAAAGGAGAGGGTAGACTTATAGGCCTACGGTTTTACATTTATAGAAAGGAAACCTCATGGCACGGAAATTACAGACACCCATAACTTGAGTAAAAAAAAAAAAAGATCTACACTATCCGTCAGCTGCAAAAGAGAACCGTACGTAAGAGAGGGTTCATTGCCTACAAGATGTTTGCGTTTTTAAGCCTATTTTAGTTACGTAGCGTCTCTATACGAAGTCGTGTATATAAAAACGCAACGTTGGATGTCAGTCAGCGCGAAGACAAAACATCTGACTCACAATTCAAAGCCTGACAGAGGAGAAGGAAATATCACCCGTCGGTCTCGTCACGGTTTTACGATGGAGGCAGGCTACGGTAAAGCTCCTAGGGATTCTGAAGACTGTATGAGCTATGATATGCCGAGCACCCTTCAACGATAGTCCTCCAAGCTTGAGTTCCTGCGTAGAGTCGAGAACCTGCCATATCCGGCGGAGGGAGTTACCTGGAAGAGTAAGGCCGCCTTCGGCACGCGGCACTGCGCCCATAGATCGTCGTGGAAGCGTCTCGCCTCCTCTGCACGGCTGTACGCTTGCTCGAATGTCGGCAGTTTGGCCCAGGCCCACACCGTATGCTCCCCTGTTCCTCTCTCCTTGTCCGCCCTGATAGAATTGATCTTGTGCGCGAGCCTCTTCTTCGTGTCTTCGATGAGATCAACATACTTCTTTAAGATATCCAGTGAAGCATCGTTTTTCGCCATCATAGCCCCTTCTAGAGCCCGAATGCAGGCTTCCATTGCGTGGCTTTCGAGTAGAATCTCATAGCAGTGCTCTGCGAACTCGTAGCGTAGGTTCATAACAGTATCGTCGGCAAGATCCCTTCCGGGAGTAGAGTAGAGGTAGAAACGGACCGCGTCTTCGTAGAGGTCGTTGGATGGTGGTTGGGCCGTATCCATGTATTCCTGCTCATCCTCAACTAAGTATCGAGCGGCATTTACCTTTATCTGCAGGATTTGCTTAATGAGCTCTTCGTTGGAAAGGGATTGGTTGTCGAAAGGAGCTGCTGCCTGCGTAAGAACCTTAATAGCTTCCTCATAGTCGCCACCACCGGCAAGGTGATCAGCAAGCGGAAGAGCTAAGAGGGGCTCAGGAGACGTGCAGACGTCGAGAATAGATCTAGCAAGTTCCTCTGCTGGACTTTCAACAAGGCCTAGAAGGCGAACTAGACAGATCTGCGGCATTGGTTCGTCACCGCCATTGCGTAAGTTTTCAATGAGGCTGGTAGCCTCCTCGTAAGCCTATAATTAACAGTGTTAGATCTAATATCCTTAGTTTCTAATATTGTAATATACCTTAGCCCATTGGACCTCGTCGAATATCTCCGCCACACCATAATCATCTGTACGTTTGCAGTTGTCCCACTTAGAGTCCTCAACGTCTTCCTTAAGAACTGCATGGCAGAAGTTGACTAGCAGTACCTGATTCTCTTGGATGATGATGTTCTTTGAATTGATGTGGCGGTGAGTGACGCCACCGTTGTGAAGCATGTCAAGTATCTCAGTAACCTTCCATTTGAAGGTATCGCGCGCTTCATGTGAGAGGCTCCAGATGACATCTTCGAGGGTTCTCCCGTCGTGTTTTCCTAGGATAATAGAATCCGGTACGTGTCCAACTCCGTAATAGACCGGGATGTGGCTACTAAGAGTAGATATGTCTGCCATTCGCTCATAGGCGCGCTTCTCCTTCATGAATGCTTCATTTGTGTGGAACTGGAATAATTAGTGAGTACAAAGCAAAGTGGTTAAGATAAGCTAGTGGAGGGTTTTACCAGCTTGAATAGATAAGTGCGGCCACTGTCCATGTCGGTAACGTTCCGCATTTTTGCCGAGCTTCCTTGAGCAAAGACATCATCGTAGCGCAAGTTCGAGCTGACCATTTCCGGGGGGGTTGGGCGGTCCATTACGGCAGGGCGAGGGTTGCGGTCGAGCGCAGCAAGCGGAATGTTGGAATGTCTGACAGCGAAAGAGGACAGAGGTTTTTGTACCCAGGTAAGGGCCCGTGCGCAAGGCAGCAGGCGGGCAGAAGTGACTGAGGGCAAAAGTCAACTATTGTAGCCATTCATGACGTCATGTCTACCAAGAAACTCTGAACCCTTAGAACGACCTATCAGTTCGGGTCAGGTAGCTGTTCTTCATCACGGATAAAGGTAGTTGCTTTTGACCTGAAAGTCTGGGGCTTGCTCTCCGGTTGGCTTGCGGTTGCGGGATGGAACTGAGCTAACGACGGTTCGGCTCCCATTTTCAATGGGTGCTGCTCGATTTCAATCTGCGACCTTGTGGGAGTCGGAGCATTGCTTGGCTCATTCTACAGTTCTTTTGCGCGGAGTAATTCCTGGTGCTCTTGCCGATATAAAAGAAGCTATCGTCTGCGAGTGATGTGGCTTGCAATCCGATTCGCCACTTCGAAGCCGAGGCGGGGAAACTTGTCCCTGACAATGGATACATGCAATCAAATGGCTGGAAGCAACAGACTGCGTTGGTAAGGTTTCTTTTCAAACGGTCGACTGGAGCTGGTTTCCGAATAGGCAATTTGTACAGGCTCCTGATGGTGAGCTTGATAGCTTCCAAAAGCTGGGCCAGTTCGGTAGCCGGTGGTAACAACCCGGAAGTTTCGTCCGACGCCTTTGGTGTAACTTTACTCGGCTCGGACTCTGGTATAGAACCAGATTCAGATGAAGATTCCCACGGAGAATCATGTCCCTTGCCGTATGGAGTATCGTTCGAGGGCGATAAGTCGGGGGATTCTTCATCGGAATCTGATTCTGAAAAGGCTTCAAAGGGCTTCCTCTCACCACAGACGATCTGGCGTGCTGAATTTAAAATATGTCAGCATGTCGTAGTTCAGAAAAATATTTGAGATGCGTTCCCGTACCGTCCTCAACCTGCGTATGATTAGCCTTGTCGGGCGCCTTTGTGTACTTTATTTAGGGTGCTTACGTGTCTCTGAAGGGTATCTACAATGCTGATAACCTGAAGGAATACCCTCATGTATCAGTCGGCATGCTGAAAGCTGGGGTCGGAGGTGTATACCTGGTCTTTGTAGAAGGTAGCTTCTCTGAGGCGGTAATCCAGAGACAGTTTGTAGGTTCGACCAGCATGGCTAGCACCCAAATTTCCGCTCCATATTCTGTACTTATCACGTTTGTCTAGTAAGGCGAGCTTAAAGCTCTCTAAGCACTGTTCTGAGTTTGTTGCAGCCTTGCATAGCTGTTGGAAATGTCTCAATACAGAGCGCATGGCTCTGCGAGATCAGTTGCGCCATCAATTTGGTTGAGACACACGATCAGCTCCGAGAGGCCAAAATATTAATGCAGTAAAGGATAGTTGCAATGGTGAAGTCGTCTCTAATGCTGCTGACGGCGCGGGAGAGATGACACCGTTATGACCGCGTGATGCGACACGAATATGTAAGCACCCCGCCTTTCGCTTAAGGCTCAGCCGCCCAAGGCTGAGAATCATCTCTTGTGACAGCTTGACGCACAGTCAAGTCTTTCCGCGGGTTTCATCCCAAGGATGACAGGGAGAAGAGATGGAGGTCGCCGGTCTCGTTCTGGGTGCCGTTCCGCTGCTCCTAGCGGCTCTCAACCAGTATTCTCAAGGCGTGGGTGGCTGAAATGGTATTGCTGAGCACAAGGCTGACCTTTCTGTTGGTTCGATACGTTGCGTAGCATGACTAAATACCGCTTGACCTTCAGCGAAATCATCGTCAGTTTCCGCACAAGCGTATCCATTTACACCTACGACTGTGAGGACCTGCTTTCTCAGCGCCTCATGCTGTCAGATGACCAGTATCGTAACCTTATGGAAAAAAGGGAGAAATGGGATGACTCTGTGGTTGAGAAACTGGAATATGCACTTGGAAAGTCGACTTGTGACCTCTACAAACAGTTACTGCTCCATCTCAATCATAAGATGGGCAAGTTACACAAAAGATTGGAGCTCGGTCCAGATGGAAGCGTGAGAAAGTCCCCTGAATGTTAGCCAACACGGCTGATTTTATTGTAGGTCCCGTTCATCAAGGATGGTGTTATAAATGAGAAGGAGTGCAAGGAGTTTTTCCGGGGATGGAAACGCATCAAAGGCCTCTCTTTGGCTTCACGGATAGAGAAGTATAAGAAGCTGGTTGCTGAGATTGAGGCCGATATCAACAAGATCCATCAGCTCACTACAAGAGCCGTGGCCGCTGAAGATCGTTTTCGTCCACAAAAAACGAAGGATATTCCACAATACTGGCGGGACATGTGGCAGCATACGTCGGCTCTCTTCATCAACTTGAGCTCTTCATGGTCCGATAACTGCTCTGCACCACATACCCATCATGTCCAACTTATGGTGGGATTTCCCGGCACAGAAAAGAATGAAGAAGGAACTTCTGAGTTTCAACTCTCACTCGCCTTGCAAGGCCACCAGCAAGCTACCAGCTTACCATGGGAACATCGCACTGCAACCATACTCTCTGAAATGCATTCGTAAGTCTCATTACAAAGTTTTAACTCTTTTCAAGCTCCTAATTCCATATCAAGGACACTACGCGTGAATAAGCTCATAGGCGGAAAGAGGGCTGTTAGCTTTACCATAGAAAATACGGCACAGAAGAAACAGCCATGTTCCTCGAAGGCAGGGATATCCAACTTTTGCTCTGCTCTTATCACCTACACCGGGTGTTGTGTGGGCATCCTGAAACAACAGGATCGCATCTACCATGTACACGATGTCGAAGATGCGAAACCATCGAATCTGTCTCTCCTGCAAGACTTGATCGACAGAAAAGAAGTCCTCTGGCAACGCAAAAGATGTGACCTCGCCCTCGTTCTGGCCTACGCTGTCCTTCAATTGGAAAAGACGCCTTGGCTTCGCAGCAGTTGGGATCTTAAGGATATTCACTTCTGTGCATCTGGCACACATCATCATCTCTGGATTTCAAAATCGCTCTACCATGGATCCTCACCAACAATAAACGGAGAGAAAGTCAAGAAACAATCTATCATTAAGAATGACTCCCTATTCTCTTTGGGTGTGGCGTTGCTGGAGTTGGCCTGTGGCAGGCCCCTCTCCAGTTTTCAGACTGATGATGACCTGGACGCGAACGGGAACCAGCATGACCTCACCCGGTATTTCATTGCAAGTCGGCTCACCAAAAAGCTCCATGATGAGGATGGCCCCAATTTTGCTTCAGCCGTCTCAAACTGTATCGATCCAGTATCAGAAACCCGAGAGTTTGACTTGGCAAACGAAGGATTTCGCAAGAGGTATTTCAAAGACGTCATTCTCCCTCTCCAAGAGGATTACGACCAGTTGTTCAAGGGGAAAACATAGTGCAAAGGCAAAAGCACGCAAGAATGTTTAGGAAATTTCAGGCGTCTGCGAATTCATTGCGAGTCTCCTATTGTTCCCACATTTTTGTGCTGAATGAAGCAACACTTGCAGAATCCCCTCTTAGATATGGTGCATTGCTCTCGACATATAGAAATTTTGCTCTCCATCTTACGTGTTTAAATGAAACCGTTTTGTCTGGAAAAGCACTGCAAACTCAAATATCACTTCGGGTTGTCCTCTCGACCCTCTTCAGCCACTAGCCAGTCAAACGAAACCCAGCACGGATGGCTCTGGTAAACGAATGAGTTCTCTTCGTTTCACCTCGTAGTCTTCATCACCGCCCAAGAAACTTTATATTTTGAGGCCTTCGCCTCCCGTTCTTCCATCACGTCTATGGGTTTAGTATAGATAGAGAAATTGGGGGAGTTTGTGTGTAAGTTTTGAGGCCCTACGTTTTTCTTTTGTCTTCTGAGATTCCAAGTTGAGGGCACATACTTATCGACAACCTATTGTTACGGGGCCTCTATAAGCCCCCGGACGACGGTCGCCTGTATGTGGTACACTAGATTGTGCTAGATTCGGACTTTCGTGAAGACGGCGCTCACGGTTGGCGTCGGCATTGGGTCGGTAGAAAGAGCCTCATAGCATGTACGGTGACTTTTGAACAATTTTCTTCCTCCCCACCTCTCTCGCTCCCTTCTCGAAGACAAATCAGTGCAACAACCTTGAATAAGTGAGATTCTGCACGTGATGGCTCGTCAAGCCGCATCCTGTGAACTGAGATCGAATTGGTCGTATTGGGCCCCTACATTGTATGAGTGTCGTGGTCCGAGAGAGAACATTTGTTGGAAGCTGGCTACGGTGACGGCGGCGGCGGTGATGGTGATGGGGACCGGCAGGAGGGTGGCCGGCGCAAGCTAAAGACAGCGCGAGGTGGAGGTACACCCGGTGAAAGAGCTGACAAAGTGGTGCTCACGCAGGTATAAACCACGCAGCCTGCTTTCCCGACGAGCTGGATTACCTTACTAATTGGCCGTGCGGATTTTAGGGCGACACAGCAAGCCGCCAGCTCAGCATCGGGTCTTGCAGGAGGGATGACGGGAATGGGCCGGGAACGCCGCCTGGCGCGCTTTAGCTCCTGTCGTTTGGGGCAGGCGCCGCGTGTGGGTGTCGTTTTTGAAATGGCCACCGGGTGGTAAAGGTGCGGTGATGCGCAAGCAGCGCGTTGCCGCCTGCTAGAGGATCAAACGTCCTGCCGCCGCCGCTTCGAGAATCTGGATCATGCGCGCTGCGCAAGCCCACTCGCAGCAGTGGGCGTCGTGGGCCAATCATGGCTGTGAGCTGCAACCCCGCCCGACGTTGTCATTTGCTCTAGGCGCCGCAAATATCGGTGTACAGAGGGGACTGACGTGACTTCGACATCTAAGAATGTCCGCTAAGAGGCGAGACGAGCCGAGTCAGCGGGCGCGTCGCCGGTACATCATCATCTGCTCCAGATTTGTCGTGACCTGCTCTTTTGGAGGGTCCTGCGGGGGCGGCTGTAAACGTGTGGCGCCTCACAGTCGATATGCACGGTGGAGTGCCGATGTGGGCAGGGCTGGGATAATGCGTCTTTTTGGCTGAGCCTTCGCTGACACCCCTCCCTCATCAACCCGACGCTCACCGGCAATCTGCATGAGAGCCAGGGTCTAGCCGCGCACTGCAGCCCCAGGCTTCACCAGATCCTTCCGCGACCCAGATGCGGGATACCACAGCTTTCGTCGGCGCAGATTCACAACTGAAGATTATTAAAAACGGTACTCGACGGTGAAACTTATCAATAATCCGTAGCGAGAACTAGGTCGCCAGCGGCGGCATTACGGCCACCGATTCGGGACGCTGCGAGCTGACCAGCGACCCGGAAGGCGGCGAGAGGGCGAGGCTGAGAGATAGCAGGTCGCTTTCTACAAAAAAGACTTCCAGACAGGTTCTAGCAGGCCGGCTTTTTGCCATCTATCCCCCCGCCTCAGCGCGCCTCTCTATCGACGCGCCAATATTATCTAGAGAACCCGTGCCCACCTCTTCACAAGGGTAATGCAGATAATGGCCGTGCTTTGTATCGCATGCGGCAACGAGCTTCGACGATACGACCGGATGTGAATAAGCCTTGCCGATAGGCTGTTCCTCTTTTTCGACGCGAGCGCCGCCGGGTAGGGGTGCTGCTGCACGGGCAATCGCCATCGCCCCCAGCCAGCATGAACCCGGCTACCCTGCGCCCGCCGAGCAGCAGCGAGCCGACCAGTCTAAAAAGCATGATCCGGATAGGTTAATCTCGATAAAGTCAGTGACATAGAACGGCTCGCCTTCAGCGAAGAACCTCCAAACACGGCAGCGAGCGCTTCTATCAACTCAGCGTCACATGTAGTGGTCGCATCGTGGTGCAACTTTGTAGAAATGAATTATAAAGAAATAAAAGAAAACGTGACGTGAGAGTTACTGCAAGTTCTGTGATGGTATTGGGGTAGATGTGAGAGGGGTAGGTGGCTGGAAAGCGGACACTGATGCCGACAATCTGAGAGCGCGAGAGCAGCCGGAGGCAGCGGGCGCGGGAGGCGGTGATTGGCTCAAGCTCTGGGTAAGCGAGCGGAATTTCTGGTGCATGGGGGACCCCAGTTCTGTGACTGCATCGTCCTGACCAGCTGGTGGAAGGGTCAGATCCGGTGGTATGCTGCCCAAACGACGCACAGGCCCGAAAAGGATGTGCGGCTTGGCTAGCAAACACTCAGGGGCCGGCCAGCCAAGCCAGCGCTGTCGCACATGGGGCCAATCACAGAACATTAGGAAGAGATGCTAGATTGGCCCAAAAGTAAGGCGGGGTGAGATGTGCGACGTTTCAGGGATAGCCGGACGGGGATGACATCCTTGGCACAGCTGACAGCTCTGCCACTTCCTAAGCTTGCATATGACGTTTGAGACCATCTTCCAGGACATATTCATTATAAAGTCGCTGGCTGCACTCCCTAATTCCATCTCTCCCTTCATCAATCCAGGCCAGGCCTCTTTTTCACTCCGCCATTTGCTGCAAAACCGGAGCAGGCTCCTTTGACCTTGCATGGACCTTCCCGCTTGATCGACTGAACCGTTACAACACTGCATATCCTGGGTCGGAAAATAATCCGCATCGGTATGCTGACCACTCCCTGGGGGCTGACTTCGCTTACAAATACCATAAACAGTTACCATGGGTGCCGTTGCTATCATCACACTTATCTTAGCCGTGCCAACGGCTCTTGTCGCATTGTTTTCATTGTTCAAGAAAGCAAAAAGTACACAAAACAATACCAGTCAGTTCCATATTCACGTATGATGGCCCTCACGGAATACTCACATCCAAAGATCCCCCTGCCTCTGAGAGGGCCGCAGCTCAATACGCATACGAACTCACCTGCGTCTATGCCCCGAAAGCCTTCCTTGTGGTCTCCCTTTTTAGCTTCAACTATCAGAACGCCAATCCCACAGTTCAAGGTCGTAGTTCTACTTCTTCATCTCCTTCTCTGGTGGAGACTGAGGTCAACAATGTAGACGAACACGACATCGACAACAGCAACGAAGTAAGCAACAAGGGGATCGACGTCGGACTTCCGCGACATAGGCAAGATCTGCACGATTAGCGAGCCGGTGGCTGAAACTCATGGCGCCCGGGTAACTCCTTTCAATTTTCCACGCGCACCCATTACCATGAGCATACCTCGAGGTATCCAATTTGTTTTGCGCAGCAGGAGTATTGTTCGAGCGACAACAGCTGTATAGCCACTTCTAGTTTTCTCATGATAGGGATTTGGCCAGGGTTTTCTATGGGAATGGCAAAGGCGCAGAGAAGCGATGATATGGCGGCGTTTAGGGCATGGCGTGTGGAAGCGTCACCTTAGTGAACCGGTGTTGTACCAATCGATGTTGAAGTTCATACGAGCAAATGGAACCACGTCATTCGGCCCGGCCCGTGGAGAGCCATACACATGACTCAATTCTTGGTGAAGTACCTCAAATCCATGACTAGTCAATGCACCATGTTTGCAGACTGTCTACCCGAGTCCCGACCACAGCCACATAAGACCCCTGAAGGAGGTGATTCTTTCCTTCCATTGACTTGTTCTTGTTTGGCGGTCCGGCGAGCCCAGCTGCCAAAGCGTCTACGAATGCGTCTTGTCCGAGGTGGCGTTTGAAGTGCTCCAGGTGGTAGATGAACCCCGCAACCCCTCTCCGAGCGTAAATGACGCCGTCCTCCTCGGCGTACACGAACACCATCACCATGGGACTCTGCCCTTCGACAGCAGTATCCCTTAGGGGCTCGGTGGCGAGGATGGCTGCCCAGCTGTAAGTATCTTCTGGAACAGAAAAGCGGGCGAGCGCATCCTCGTCGGGTAGTGCTGGCGTGAAGCCGCTCAGTACGTATTTCCAATTCCCGTCTTCGTCGCTGATCATGCAAATATCGCAAAAGGGGTTCTGTAAGGGGAGCTTCATAGACAGCTTGATGCTGTACACTTGGGCCATCAATCCACGTTCTGTGACGGCGGCCGGAGGTGGGCTGTCCTTTTTGAGATCGGGTACTAATTTTCGATGAGCTTGAAGAAAGGATTTCGGCGCCCATCGAAGTCCAGGATGGGTCAACCTGGGCTCCGTCCAGAAGAGCAGGTCGCGGGGAACCTGGGTCATGGTGCTCCAAAACGCCTTCATCCTCGCATCCGGCTCTGCTTCCACAATCGGTCCCATATCCGCTCCGACCAGGCTCCCGAGGCACAATGCCTCATCGTGCTTGAAACTGGTTGACCGCGTGTGTAGTGCCGCGCAGGCCGTCGTGAGTTGCATGCGAGTGTCATGTGAACCATCCTGCACTGTCTTCCAGGGCTTCCACACACTTTCCACAACATATGCCATATCGACCGTAGAATTGGCTCCCAGAACGACGTTTCTGAAGTCGAAAACGCCATCCGCAAACTGAACAAAGAGCAGCTGTGCCAAACGACCTTCCTGCAGCGTCCAGAGCCGCGAGGCCCATGTGGAGAGGTAGACGCGATACGCAAGCTCCTCGACCGATCGACCCTCTCGTTCAACGCTTCTCAAGCCCGCATCCAGGACGAGTACTCTTTCGGCTTGGTGATAGATGTTCCGCATCTGCGTCAGAGCCATCTTTTTCGCCTTGCCTGGAATTGTCGGACAGCATAAAGTGTCCATCCAGAAGGGGACTCGGCGCCGGCTGTCCTCGTTGGCAAAGGTTTCTGCTACGAGCCTGTTGATCTCCTCCACCTGGCATCTCGGCATAGCGTTGCGTTGCGGGTTCCCGAGCCCGTCGGACCAGACGTGCGAAATGGCGACGTAGTCTGTCGTGGCGTCTCCCCGAAGAAGCGAGATACCACCCCCCTCATCATCCACATCAATCAAAGGAACCTTCCCATCAAGAATAATGGACTCCAGCTCTTCGACATCAACAGCCAGGAAGCCACACTCACGGTGACAGCTCTCCGTATGTACGGACCGGTACGAGCCCTTAACAATATTAAACGCCTCACACTTCGACGCCGAGCACCGCCCATGATCCTGCCCCGGCCCATCATCGCCGCCCTTCAACTGCGACGCAAAATACGCCGACCCCAAATCCAACAGCGCCGCGCTCAGCTTGATCCGCCGCCGACACCACCCCGCCTCGGCCATCTCGTAGCTGAGCACATCGTGCGCGCCGTCCCAGCCGGGCGGAAAAACATCCTCTTTGAACGTCGGCGCGGGCCAGAAGCCGACGGACTGCGTCCCTAGGTGCAGCCAGCCGCACGCCGATCGACCGAGCAGCCCGAGCGAGAGAAGAAGGTAGGGATCCAGCTTCTTGCCGAAGTAGATGACGAACATGTAGAGCGCGTGCGCGCGCGCGACGCAGCGGTCGAGGTGGGCGAGGCGCGTGTAGTACGAGCCGTTGGAGGCGCGGAGGAGGTGGGGCAGGGGGGTGCTGTTGATGTAGTGGGTTGTGCGCCGCCCGTCTTGGTCTGCTTCGGACACGACGAAGTCGGACGGCTTGAAGGCGTCGCCGAAGAAGGCGCGGAGGAGGCCGAAGAAGAGCCATTGCTGGAGGAAGGCTGCGGCTTCGGCGGAGGTTCGTTTTCCTGGCTGGTCCAGATGGGTCCAGGTTTGTTGGTTGAAGAGCTCCGCTTCGCTCCAGCCGATGCGGGCTGGGTAGGTGAGGAAGTCGGAGTTGTCGTATTCAGCAGTGCAGTAGTAGCGCACTCGAGGTGTTGGCCGTGCTGGGTCTTTTGGGATGGGAATGTGGTCCATTGTCGAGAAGTAGGCTTCACGCGGTTGGCTGGCGGGATGAAGGTGTTGTTGTGACTTGCAAGGCTGAGAGGTGTGGCTGGATGGAACGTTAGGTAAGCAGCTCAGCCACATCACTAAGCTACAATCAGGATAGAACAAAGCATGGAATAAAGCATGGCATACAAAGCCACTGTCGGTCAGTGCTCAGTGCTCAGGTTCAATAATGTTCACGGCGAACACTGACGTACAGGGCTTGGCGCGTCATTAGATCTTCATAATGCTGTTACCTTTTTAATTCGGGATTCTCAGCAAGCTGAGAATAGCTAGTGCTCAACTTAATGTTGGTCCGATGATCGCTATCAGTTGAAGTAGATGATGGATTGGAAAGTGGGACAAAAGAATAGCTAGACGACTAAAATTACTCTTTTTGGTACCTTCCCGGTGTCCAGGTCTAAATTGGCGAAATTAGGACAGATCCCGACTCTTTGGTAGGCTTGATCTTTTTCGTCTAAACACCGTAAGAGGATTCCCATATAACGACACATTGTGTTGTGAGCTTCAAAAAGCTTTAGAACGTAGAGCGAAGGCTCTAGGTCTTGTGGCCGGCAATCTAGAATGGCATTGTTGATGATCACGCCTCTGTGATATTCGGCATTCCAAAATGCAGTATTGCCTTTCTCAAAGGCCCGAATCTTTGCAGGAATCAGACACCCTTCAAGACAAAGCGACCCATTCTTTATTGCACCATAATCATCTTGATCGACTGGTGAGCAACGTGCCTCAAGAAGCTCGCTCTCCTGCCAGAACCCCGTGGATTCTTCAAACAACAGCTGGCGCTGACGGGTGCGGCCATGCACACGACGAAAATGCTGCTCTCGCACGACATTCTCGACATCTGCACGCACCCGGAGTACGTCGAACCGCTGCACGAGGAGGGGTGGAAGAAGACGGCGCTGTACAAGATGAAGCTGATGGACAGCTTCCTGAAGGAGTCGCAGCGCGTGAACCCCATCACAGTCGGTATACTACCCCCCTTCCCCACCCCCCGCTGCAGCACCCCTCTATCCCCCTCCCGTCCAACTGCCGCTAAAACCGAACCCCCCTATCTCCCCAGCCTCCATCGCCCGCAGAGTCAAAAAGCCAATCCGCCTCTCCGACGGCACCCTCCTCCCTCGCGGCGCCGCCGTCTTCCCCTCCCCCGACGTCTTCGACGGCCGTCGCTTCTTCGCGCGGCGCCAGCTGCCCGGCCAGGAGAACGCGTGGCAGCTGGTGACGACGAGCGCCGACCACCTCGACTTCGGCCACGGCGCGCACGCCTGCCCTGGCCGCTTCTTCGCGGCTAATGAGGCCAAGGTCGCGTTTGCGTTTTTGCTCATCTGCTATGATTGGCGGTTTCCGGCCGGCGTGGGCGAGAGGCCGCGCAATGTCGAGTTTGATGATCAGGTCGCCATCAATCCGCTCGCGAAGGTCGACTTTAGGAGGACGGGGGAGACGCTGCTGGTGGAGTGATGGGGCTGAGGGATATGGTGTGCTGTCTGGCAGGGTTGTCATTTGATAATTTATGCCAAAGAGCTGTGGGGTTTCGCCGGTATTCTTGGACATAGGCTAATCCTGAAAGCTGGGAAGCCGCCCTTCAGCAATATTTGGTCACTTTAGAGCAGATTTTCACTCCTGCAGATGGCAGTGATATGATTGTATATGCAGAAAAACTCATTCCAGACGCCATCAATGTAAAGACAGTACAACAGAAGCAGCAACAACATCCCCTATACGCCAAGCCTATCCATCCTCGTCTTCGCCTTCCAATCATCCAGATATGTACAGCCGGTCGGCAGGCGGAGAGTGGAGAATTCTTTGATAAGAATTCATTTCGGATCGCTCTTCGGGGCTAGACGAATTCCCTCATCCTGCATCCTCCTATCGTCCGGCCCATGAAGCTCATGTAGATACTCGTCGAACTGACCAGAAACCTTGATGGACTCCTGAAGATGTCTGAAGTTGAGCTTGTTGCCTTCGAAAAGTGCAAGCTGTCTTGCTGTCGTGATGGCGTTGCGTATCTGCCGGCCATTCATATGCTTCGCGGCGAGTGTTTCCATGTTTTTATATATGTCCATCGCTTCGATAGGCTCATCAAGCTCTTCGAGACGCTTTATGAACGTATACCAGATGTGTTTCCGCTGCTCCCCATTGAGTGAATCGTAATGCAGCGCGAGCTGAATCCGTGATTTGAAGGCCTCATCGAATGTCCCCACCCGATTACTCGTCAGGATGAGAATGCCATCGTAGTACTCGAGCGTTCGTAAAAACACCGAGACTAAAGCGTTTCGTGGGAGGTCGGAGAGAGATCGTTGTTCCAAAAACACATCAGCTTCGTCCAGAAGAACCACGCAGTCCCAGAGCTTGCCAAGGAAGAACACATTCTCCAGATATTCTTCGACCTTACGAGGCTCCGTTCCGATATCTCCACAGGTCACCCGATATAGCGGTTTCTCTGCCAAATCGGCAACACTCTCCGCTGTCAGGGTTTTGCCGGTTCCTGGTCCACCATGTAGTAGGATTACCAAGCCGTTGCCTTTACCAGGAACAATGTCGGTTGCCTTGTCCCTTTCTATCTTGTTGAGAACAAGAGCTTTAACTATTTTCTTGTTCTCTTCCGCAATTGCCAGATTGTCAAATGATCTCTTATCCCATTCGACTTCGAAAATGTTGTCCACTTGGAGGTCCACTTTGGCATAATAAGTTAGTAAGAAACTAGACTATTTCCGCGGCGAACTCTCTTACCCCATTTTTTGTCCTGCATGTTGAAGCCGGTGATATTTTCAGGAACTAGGTATGGAAATTCGGCCGACGGAAGATCACTCTGAAGCATCAGATCTTCGTCCAACTCGTCGGGTTCCGCAATGCTGGGATTCCAAACATCGCCTTTCAGGACCGGTGCCCCCTGTTGGGAGCGTTTCCAGGTGATTGAATCTACCAAGAACCTCGCTCGATCCTGGCTGGCATCAGCAATCATGTTGGAAAGCTCTGATCAACAAAAACCTACGTATGCGAAATCTCCTCGCATATTGAGACCACTGTAGGTAACGTAAATTGGTTTGCGGAGCTTCCAAAACGTCTCGCCTCTGCGACGAAGCTTTCGGTCAATTTCCGGTTCCGCGTAACCGAGAGGGTAGAAGGGAAGGGATGAAATATCCACAGGACCGTTCTTGAGATCCTTCTCCGTGAGAGATAGGGTATTGTTCGCCTGGTGAAATTTGCCATCGAATGTCCAGCTTTGACAATTTAGATCCCAACCCGAAGGGGAAGTGCATAGAAGCTTCGTTTGTTTCAGTCCTCTGATCCTAGGAGCTATCTGGGAGACGATGACAGTCCCTGGTTTGAAAAGATAGAAGATCGTGTTCCTGCTGATTTTCTTCTGGGAGAGAAGTTCTCTTGCGTGCCCGTGATTTCTCTTGAATCCGGTTCTGAGGAATTTGAGTAGTAGCATTGTCTCGCTCCGATCATCTTCTATTCTCGAAATCAACCCCTCTTCAAATAGATCCTGGAAATGGAAATAGAGAAGGTCGATATTGACCAATCTTTGGCTTATCCGTTTGGCATTAGAGCTATCCTCTTCCACTATTCTGTCATCTTCATCATCATCGTCACCATTTTGGAGGAGATGGCGGTGATTATTATCGACGTGTCCCGCCTGAGCCAGTGTGATGCCGGGCCACTGACCTGCTTTATGGGCTAGCAGGTTGGGGCCCATCCGCTCTCTAGTCTTCGCATCAACGTTCCTTTGAAAGTCGGCATGCTCCTTTAGCTCGCTGTACGCCTCCAGAAGAGCTTCAAAAGCCTTTGAAAGACTACTTGAAACAATCTGCATCGAAACATTTGATGGTGTTGGAGTTGGCCAGTTCTGAATGTGCTGGGTGAAGATGTCTGGGCGTCGCAAGTTCTTGAATTCTTGAAACACAATGAATGGGACCTTTCCAAGCTGTAGCTGACGAAGGAATGCTTTGAGGTCGAATATTCGCTTCTTTCCTCCTAGAAAGACCTGACGGTCTTGTGTTTGGAGCCAATAAGGCTGATCTTCGTACCAGCGGGTGGATCTATCCTCATAAACCTCGTAGATTGTGACCCAATTCAGCTGCAAGTATGGTTCGATCATAGCTTTCAACTGTTGGTTTTCCGCTTCCAGGATAAAGAATTTGGAACAGAGCTCTTGGAACCGAATTTGAGTGTGCTGGCAAGATTCGCATGATACCTCTGCAATTGAGCCTGACGAATGTGATGGATTGATCCTCCTCCGCTTAGATGTGTGGGAGATATTTCTCGAGTCCAACCAGGATGGTTGGGTTTGTGCTTGAGGAAGTTGCGCATCTCTTCCATATGCATCGCTCACGGCATCGAACACGCCAATACAGCTAGTGTCAAATGCATTCTCTGAGTCATGCTCTTCACTCACTTTCTCTACGGAAGAAGTTGGTGAGGACGAATTGCTTTGACCGGGCGGGGATGTCTGAAGATGAACCTGAATTAGCATGATCGCTTGGCTTTTCGAAGTGTGATATGTCCTACACAGTTCTTTTGGTTCTGGTTAAGGCGCCCGCTGGCTTCTGCTGGAGTAGGCAAAATGTGCGTTGTCATCGACTGGCCTGAGAGTCCGTTATTGGTAAGCGCAATGACCACAATTTGTGAGACGCTACAGAAGTACTTACATTTCTTCGACATATCTGTGGATATAAGTTTAGGTCCCAGCGGCTGCTGTTCGTTTTGCGGTTCATCATGGCCAGAATCGCTCCGTCGAGAAGCGAAATACTGCATAGTCGTGTCGTGCTGAGTCATGAGTTGCTGCTGTTGCTGTTGCTGTTGCTGCTGTAGGGCTTGCCGTAGAGCCTGCTGTTGAGCCTGATCTTGAGCCTTCTGTTGTTCCTGCATTGCACTATGTCCAAAGGGCGCGTAGAAACTTGGCAGAATGCTTTCTTGGAACTTCAGTGGGCCCCCCCGTATGGTAGCCATTGGTTGCGACGCCATTTCCTGGCCGTACGGAAAACCCATCGTCCCATTCTGCCGTTGCTGGTCGTGTGTCACTGTCTGGCGTTGTAAGTCACTCAGAGGAAACATTTGGCCTATCGAGCCTTTTGTAAATTTGTGGCTAAGTTTAGCACTTGAAGTCTTTTCAACAAGGTAGGGTTGAGAGCGTACCGCGGAGATATTCTAAATTGTACTTATTGTCCGTGGAAGCTCGCACCTTGCCATCAGCTGGAGCACTTTGAGAGCAGAGCTACAGAGCATCTAATTAGTGGATTGATATGTAACGCGAGGGATTACGTACAATCTGGGTGAGGCGGTGGTAATTATGCTCTTCTCCCAGTGTGTCATCTCTCATGATTGTTGGGTCCATGCTTTCCATACTTCAGGTTAATTGGTATTTCAGAAGCAGGAGGTCGGTTTGTAACAGAAGTAAACTCCAAGTTCTTTAAAGATGATCTTTTTTTCTGAAGTAGCGGCTGGGTTGACAACGATTAGTCTTGGCTGTCGTGGAGAAAGCTAAAAGGTTGGCTATTTATCGCCGAAGGTTCGTTGGTCTTACTCTTATAGAGTTTTATTCAGTGTAAAGGCCAGAAGTTACATAACAGATTCGAGTGCGTCTTGGAGCTAATATGCAGTGAGATTTTAGAATATGTCGATCTTTTCGCCAATGTTTGGTCAATATTCCTTGTACATACATGCACAAGCGCCTCGCTGACAATCGTGGAAGCCGGTTTCAGCTGAGGCGGTCGCCAATAATCTCTTGCCACCTGGCCGTCGTCGTCCCCATAGTCCCTGCTCTGTCCTTGCTGTTGACCTTTTTATCCCGAATTCGACCTCTCTTACTTTATTCAAAATTTTCACAGCCTGCGGTCTTTCGTGTAACCCGACATAAAATCATCAAGGATAAAAAAGAAAATGCATCATAGTCTGACATTTGAACATCTTGGCACGGTTGGAGACAGCTCAGTGCCTATCGAGAGTTACACGACTTTCAGGTTACAAGGCATTCCATCAACATGCACAAAAAACACAGTCGAAATATTGCTCCGAGAGGCTCTGCAACTTGACCGAGAGGTAACAATACAGATCAAATCTCTTGCCATCAGCTCATATAACAAAGATGAGGCTGTTGCCACCCTAACCTTTAACAATACACCCTCAGCACTGTCGAATGCGTCCTCTTTCACGAAATTCGAGTTTACATTGCCGAACATCCAGGATTCATTCGAATTACTCTTGGATACACATTTCTATGGGTTTACCACTCTCCATTGCCCCGAGACAAGCGCATGGAAATTTGAGTACGTGTAAAAAGTCTCATCGGAGTAAGACTTTGCTAACGACCCGATCAGTCTCATCGCTCTCTCTGGTCTCGCAGGGCACGCTTTCGGCTCTTTCAAAAAAACAGGATCCCAGGAAATGTGGCTGCGCGATATTCTACCTAAGAGATTCAACGATGCAAGAATTCTGATATATGGCTATGATACAAGGCTACAGAAAGGCGATTCCGTAAAGAATATCCACGATATCGGCGATAGTTTCCGTCATGGAATCAGCACGATAAGATCACAGGAAACTGTGACCAGACCGTTAGTGATCCTTGGCCATAGTATTGGTGGCATCGTTATCAAAGAGGTAGATGCCTTCACGCTCTTCTTTTTACTTTTTCTACTAACCTGAATACAGGCAATGATCAAAATGCCAAAGGGTGACGAACAAGATCAGTCGACATTTGACTCCATAGCTGGATTACTCTTCTTTGGAGTACCGAATCAAGGCATGGAAATCAAGTCATTGGTTACTATGGTGGGGGACAATCGTACTAGATTTCTACTCGAGACTCTTGCTCCCTCTTCTCGATGGACGCAGGATCAGAGCGAAAGATTCCGAGAAATCTGTCCTGAGGACATTAGAATTGCGACCTTCTATGAGACAAAGGAGTCCCCAACTGTTATTGAGGTAATTATCATAGCCCATTACTCATATTAGTCTGCTTCACTAATTTGTTCAACAGTCAGAGCCTGGCCGGTGGCGCAGGGCCGGACCAAGCACTCTCCTCGTCGATCGAAGCTCTGCAGTATACGGCGGAAGCAGCCCTGGCTGGGAATTCGCAATCGATCGAACCCATTCAGAACTTGTTAAGTTTGGGCACCCGTATGATCCAGACTACAACAATGTTCTACGTTGCTTGACAACGATCTCTAGGAACTTGCAGCAGTTTCTCATCAAGCGAATCTCCTGGAATGGGGCCTTGGACCAGGAAAAGTCCGGGTCAATATCACTGAAGCAACCATATACAGTCATCTCGCCCCCCTGTCAAATACAATGGTCGCCCCAGAACCCCCAGAGCCTCCGGTCAATCTCTTTAGGTAATGCTTCCGAGAAACGAGACATTCCCCAGCGACAAAGAGCATACAATGTGGTAGATGGACAAGTTCTGTCTCAACCGGACCCAAAGCGCCAGAAATTGCCTTCAGAATCCCGCTTTCGCGCTTATACCTGTCACGATTTCCAGAAGATTGGTCCTCTGACAATGAAGATTCCCAAGAGACATCTTCAAAAGATCAACAAATGGCTGAGTCACGACGGGCAGCCGACACTGCGAGTCAACGATATGGAAAATAGTCAGCTTCGCGAGATGCTCCTCGGACTGAGCAAACACCTCGTACAAGAGGCTACTGAAGATGGTCTTGCCATACTATCACATCGGTGCCACTACCCCGCGGTTGCTGAGTCTCAGTGGGATGGTATGTTAGAAGCCTTGCTGAAGCAACTTGAATTCTACGTCCCTGAAGGAGAAGAGATCACAACACAAGATAGGATGGACAGACTTGGCGAATTTGAACGAAGACTGGGGAGGGTAAATCAAAGCGTATTCGGCGTTTTTTATGGTATGCAGGATGTATTGAACTCCGAGGTGGATAGAAATTTTGTGAAGATGTTCATCGAAGTACTTCGTTTGCACTCATCGGAGCCATCGAGGCGGTCAAAATTTCTCTTTGTACTTAGAGGCCCACCTGGCCCTGTTCATGAGTATTTTGGGGACTCGGATTCTTTTGCAGTAAGAAGTACTGATTGTCAAGTCTTCTGTCGAAGTCTTAAGTTTCTACGGCGTTAGATTTATTTATGTCTTTCCTTAGGGCGTGCAACGGCAATGATGAACCCTCGGTTTATTGAAATTCTTCTGTTATGCTGAAACACAGAGCTTGGTACAACACTAGACCTGGTGCCTCACGAAGGCCCCTCATGATCGTGGGTCCATCTATCACAGCTCACTTCGAGGCCAGGAAAATATTAAGCGTGAATTATACATTGCAACAACAGTTTCGGAAGCAATTCCCCTCCGCTTTGACAAGGACTCTCCGCAGCAGCCAAGTTTCCAACGGCTTGTCCTACCATAAGCGTCCGACATAAGCTTTTTGACAACCATACAAACAGGCATATACAACCTGTAAACTTTTGTTCCATAACTCACGACGCAGACGCCACTTTTCTCCGCTTTGAGCTTCTGAATTCTTGCCCAGATGAGCCACGTAAAGGACTTCTCGGGACCCGAAGGCCGGGATATGAACCATCAAATTGTTGCGGAATCCGATCGATCCATTTGAGAACTCGAAAAGTTCGGCTTTGCTCAGGGTTCCGGCTCGGGGACTCCGCATGGTCGACGGTCGAGAATGAGGTTGGTCCGTCTTCGTCTGGCTCACGGACCCCAAGGCCGTACAGTTTGTACAAGCTGGCGATGGAGAAGGTATCGGCGGTCACCCCGGAGAGAGTCGAGTCTGAGGACCGAGGTGGGTGACGTGGGATGTAATCGGGCTCCCGCTGTGGGTCGGCGGAGAAGACGTCTTCGCTGACTTTGCAGAATCCATTTATGGTTTCTTTGATATGTGGAAATTGGTGTTCTTTGAGGAACATAATGGAGGTGGCTGGTTGAACAGGCCTGGGTCTGAGGTGGTAGCCGGATGGGTGACAGGAACCGTCGCAGAGCCGTTTCGTGCAATGTGGGGAAGTAATGGTCTGTGGTTCACTTTGAGCGGGTCTAGCTCGTATTTTTCCTCTCCGGTAGGCCATAGTGCTAGACTTATCAGCCTTGCCAGGACACGAAATTATCCGCGATGATGGGTGTTGATTGAGGTGGAAACGCGGATCAAGAATCCACCGGGAGCCGGTTTGAGATAAAGGTGAGGGGTAACGAGCTTAGCTGCCCACAGGAAGTTTCTATACTTGGTCGAGCTACGCTTACACGGAAAGGTAGTACGTTGCGGTGGAATCGGGCGTTCCCACGTAAGCATCTCGTGACTGAAAGCATGATGAGTGCCACTGGTAACAGAAAAGATTTGCATGCACAAGGGCCTATCCCAAAAAAGTTTCCGAAACTGACCCAATGGACGACTATGTAGATACTGGCTATTCAATCTCGTTCTGTTTGCTGTTTGCTGGTTATTAGTTAGCCAGCTGGCAGCGGACCTATGGATTATTCTACGTACCTTCATTATTCCTCTACGAAATACCCACATTTGTCACTGCTCGACCGCGGCCTTCCTCCGCTACCTCCGCGTTATTGCACCAGAAACGCTTGACAACTTCTTCCTTCCCACAGATGGCAGTGATATCATTGTATAACCAGGACGACTCCTTCCAGACGCCCGCTAATGCAAGATAGTACAGCAGCAGCAGTCCCACACATCAAGTCCCTCCCTCGTCGCCAGAGCCATGCACTAAACATCCATCTCATCGGCAGCAACGCCCTTCTTCGCGCGGTCCGCGACACGCTGCCTCGTCTTTGCCTTCGCCTCATCGACCCACTGGTCGTACTTGCCCTCCTGCACCTTCGCCTTGGTCACACCCTTGACCAACTCTCCCACGAAACCCACAAAGTTATGCCTACGCAGCGAATTCTCCCACATCCAGCCCTGGCGCTTTTGCTGCTCGCGCTGCAGCCACTCGGTGTCGCCAATCTCGCGCGCGCGGATGCGCAGGTCGCGCACCATGGCCAGCAAATTGAAGCGGATCTCGGTCTGCGGGTAGCGCTCGATGCGGCGCTGGAGGACGGGGATGACCTTGTCGGGGAACTCGTCGGCGGAGCAGGGGCCGTGCGAGATGGGGGCGGGCTGCAGGCCGTCGAGCTCGTAGAGCACGCCGTTGACGGGCGTGTAGGCGACGAAGTGGTAGACGTCGTCGTCGCCCGTCGCGGCGCGCTGCGTCTCGTCGACGAAGGGCGAGGAGCGCGCGAACGAGTTGTGCGTTTCGCGGATCAGGTCCGAGTTGGAGAGGGCTTCGCCGCGGAGCTGGGGAGCAAGCGCACGCGCACGTTAGTGACAGGGCCGGGAGAGACGCGGGGTGTAGATACGTACGTCGGAAGGGAAGGCGGTGGTGAAGTCCTTGAACTCGCGCAGCTGCGGGCCGATGTCTATCTCGCCGTCCTTGTTCAGCAGCACCGACAGCAGGGCTTGGGTGCCGCAAGCGTTCTGGATGGTCTGGGCGGCGAAGAAGATGTTTTCGGCGGCCTCGTGGTCGAAGGTGCCATCGCGGGGCGTAGCCGAGGGCTTCTCGTCAGTGGGATATTTGAAGAGGAAGATGACGCCGTAGACGGGGCTGAGCTGGCGTAGGTAGTCGGAGTCGAGGGCAATCAGCTCCTCAAACTGCACGTCTTTGGTGCCGAGGTTCTGCAGCAGGTAGGTGAAGACACCCTGGGCGCGCGGAGGGTCAGCGACAGCGGCGGAGAGGCATGGAAAGGCAGCGCACAAACCGCGTCGGACTCGATGGTGTTCCAGCCTCCAGACATGGCTTCGTGAGAGAGGTGTGAAGGTGTGGGAGTTGGAAAGCGTTCGGACGTGGAGCTATGGCGGTGATTGCCTCATCGCTCCGGCGGCCCGCGGTTTTGCCGCAAGATCGGCAGTCTCGACGCGCCAGGCCTTTCTGGCAAAGTTTCAGGCTTCAAACCATAAAAATTATCCGAGCGCAGTCCGCAAAAGAAATATTGCCATCGCACAGCCAGGTCGTGCAAAATTCAACGGCGCGCAGGCTGATCGGCTGTCGCTACTACTGGACGGCTCCGACGACTTGATTCGCTGACGCGCTCGAGGTTACACAGGATATCACGAATCATAGTTGTTATCATCGCCACGGCCCTTGCTTGGGTTGTAGAGGAAACGCGACTAGCGTGACGGTGCGACGCGGAGACGACGCGCGCCAAGCCCCGCACGTTATTTCTCCTCCGATCCACATTCCTCGCCAACGTTATTACATCCCAAGCTCGGGTCTTGCTGCTGGGCAACTCTTGCTCATGTCGTAGCCCGCTCTAGTTGCTCGTCATCACTGACATCTACACCCACCGACAGTTCGTTTTCGGCTCCGCATCCTCCGCCGCTGCGCTGCTGAAATTTTGTCACGCGTCTAATACGCCCGCCTTGACCTGCAGTCGTATCAAACCACTATCTATTTCCGCCGCAGCTCAGTCAAGATGCTCGGAGACGCTCAATTGGACGCCTGCGAGTCTCAGCTCCGGTCGTTCCGCATGATGAACGGCCAGTACTACGAGACTCTGCAAGAAATCCTCCGCAAGTATGAGAGCCTGGTTGAGGACTACCGCATGCTCCGCAGCGACTACGAAGAGGAGAAGGAGAATCGTGAGAAGTACAAGCGCCAAGCCCGCGGCCAGGAGAAGAATCCTTTCGTCTTGGTGCTCGTCGACGGCGATGGCTACACCTTCAAAGACCATCTGATCAAGAACAACCGCGAGGGAGGCGTCAGTGCTGCCCAGCTCATGAGCACCGAGATCCGCGAGCGTCTGCGGAAGCTGGGCCATCTTGACCACTGCCGCCTGGTTGTTCGCATCTACAGCAACTTTGCTTCCATCTCCCGTGTCCTGAGCCACCACGGTCTCGTTGGCGCCCATGCTCGATCAATTGCTCCCATCGCTGCCGCCTTCACAGGTGCCAAAGACCACTTCGATTATGTTGATGCTGGAGAGGCAAATGGTGCTGTCTTCACCAAGGTTGAAGGTTCGCCGTTTGTACAACCCTCGATGACGAATCACAGCTAACCGCTGCCCAGAAACCTTCCGCCTTTTTGCCGAGAGCGGCCAATGCAAGCACGTATTTTTTGCTGGCTCCCACGATACCCGCTACATCCCTCTTCTCAGTCCCTACTTGGGAAAAGCTGATAAGATCACCCTCATCAAGTCCCCTGCTGACCAGTCAGAGTATCGTTCTCTCGGCCTCCCCATCGAGAAATTCGCATCAGTCTTCCGTGATGTCCCATTTCCCGCTCAAAACCCCGGCAACACTACCATCAAGGGTGCCGCCACCAAGCAAGCCATGCCTCAGCCAGAACCCGTCAAACCTGTCGTCGAGGAGCGCAATGACTTGTTCAGACTTAACGGCGCAAGTTCTAGGAACGATAGCGAGGACTACACCGATCCGAATGCTCCCAAGCCGTGCGCCATGTTCGTACGCAAAGGGATATGCAAGTTTGGCAAAGGCTGCAAATTCAGCCATCCCCCGAAGGGTTCCGACACCCCCCAGGTGCCTCAGATCAAGACGAAGACCAAGGAAAACTGGAGGGACGGCAATGCCTTCTCCGACGATTGGGGGAATAATGCCCCCGAACCATCCTATGGGGATGATTGGGGCGCCAGCTCCAAGAAGCCGGCCAGCTTTGCAGATGACTGGGGCAAGGTTCCCAAACCGAGGCAGGGCTCCCTCATCCAGTCCAGGTTTGCCGATGACTGGAGGGAGAACTCAAGGCCTTCGACTGCCGGCTTTGCCGAGGATTGGGGCAATGGTCCTCAGCAAAACTCCAGGAACGGATCCATCTCGAGTAACAGTCTGCCTTCCCGTGCCCAGAAGCCAGGCTCAATTTCGGAACTTAGCATGGGCTCTCGCCATCAGGAAGAGATCAAGCCACATCAGGCTGAGGCTCTGCGTAGCAAGTGGGAGTCGGATACTCCGGAGTCGCCCAAGACGAAGGACTCGATGCCTCCTCCTGAAAGGCCCCAGTCAAAGAAGTTCAACAGTGCCTTCACCACCGCCGCAGACCTTCCTCGCCCGACGCCCGAGACCGAAGGTATGATTCCCGTCAACAAGTACGGTGACCGTCTGGACTTCTACCTCCCGCGCCCCACGGCCGAAGAATATTCCGCGTACAATGCCATGGCCAAGGAGCCTGGAAGGAAGCCCTGCAACGAATATCAGCTTCGCGGTCACTGCCCCTCTCTTGCCGCCGGCAATGACTGCGAATACGACCACAACCCGCTCAGCCCAGAACTGTTCCATGTGTTGAAGGTCATTGTGCAAGGATACCCGTGCCCGAAGCAAGGCGCCTGCCGCAAGTCGGATTGCTACAACGGCCACGTCTGCCAGCGCCCGGGCTGTCGCGGCATATATCCCTGCAAGTTCAAGAACGACTACCGCGCGCACAACCTGGATCCGAAGGTCGCCGAGTGGGCTCCTGCCATTGACATAGCAGAACGCGAGCCGGACGACGCATCTAGTGTCACCATGGGCGACGCAGTGCCAGAAGCCGTACCGAAGCCGGCTTCTTCTGTAGCCAGCGACATCAAGCCGGACGTGCCGGAATGGCACCCGGAGTCAGCAGCGTGGAACCCCGACGCGGCGGACTGGAATCCTCAACCTGCCACCAAGAGCTGGAAGCCGGCGGCAGCCGAGTGGAAGCCCGACACTACCACCACCTCCTCCACAATCTTTGATTTGAAAAACAGCACCTGGAAGCCGGCCGTCTCCAGCTGGAACCCCAATGCCACCGTCTGGAAGTCCAGCCAAGTTGACCGCAGCGACATCGACAGCGATTCCGACAGCATCGCGCCGCAGCCGGAGAAGGAGATCCTCGACCTCGGCGCCGACGACAGCGACAACAACGCCGTCAGCAGCATCTTCTCGCCCAAGGCCCGCGACGGCCGCCTCGACAGCGTCGTACAGAACGCCGGCGCCGGCGCCTCAAAGCATCAAGATCAGGCCACCACCAAGGCACCCCTCGTCGACACCACCGCTGCCGCCCAGGCCAACGGAGGCGGCTCCTCCTCGAACGGTGACAGCAGCCAGTCCCCGGCACCGCAGCAACAGCATCCAGAACCCGAGACCAACCTGATGGACGACGACTGGGGCAACCCGCCTGACGGCGCCGGCATGACGTTCGCTGAGACGGCTGAGCCCGTCAGCTTCGATGATGACTGGGGCAGCGCGCCGCCGGGCGTCGATAATCCGGTCCTAGCCGACGAGCCCGTGGATTTCGCGGATGACTGGGGTCCGAGCACGAAGAAGGCTGCGCCGGCGAAGAGAGGACAACAGCAGGCCCCTCGCCAACAGAACCACAGAGGCCAGGCAAACCACGGTAGCAATCATTCCGGGCCGGTGTGGTGAGTATGCTGGCTTTGGTTCACATCATCCATCCCATGTTCCTTTGTTTTTCTTCTCTGCTACTTACAAAGAACCTCTGGTAACATCGTACTTCTTGACGATAGGCCCTCGGAATTGGAGAGGCAGCAGAAACAGAAGAACGAGTATGACCACCTCCTATGGGTGAGGACGGTCGACTAGAACTTCTGTCTGGCATGCAGAGCAGAGAACCCAACAGCAAACAGAGTTTTACTGGTCCCGGAGACCATCTGCAGCTTTTTGCTCTTCGACAAACCCAAAAGTCAAACATAAAAATTCCAAAAATTTGAACAATGCAAAAGGACGACGATGCTTTCTTTCCGACAAAAATCCAACCAAACCTTCGGACTGGCTCAAGACCGAAAGAAGATTCACAAACAAACTACAACTTACAAAACGACACCAGGGGGAGAGAGCTGATGAGATAACGAGGGGTGATGGGGAAAGCAAAGATGCTGGCTACTTTGAGGGGAAACCGTAGCTCTGCAGCAAAAAAACGGACCTTCCCTCTTCGAGCTAGCTCATCTCGATCCCCTTCACCCCTTCGGACTGGCTCACAGCGCGCACTTGTTCGACGAAAGAGCACGCGCGCGCTGTGAGTTGACTTATAATAGTCCAGTACATCGACTGCCTTCTCCGTTGGTTCTTTTTGACTGCGATTTCTCCGAATTTTATTACTTTAAACGGGCCGCACGCGCGAGAGGGGAGGGGACGAGACGTAGAGGTTGTGATACACAAAGTTGGCGAAAGAGCTTGGAGGGAGAAGGGATGGTCGAGCAGCTGAGATTCGCTATTATCGTCGACGTTCGTACTACCTACCGTACCGTAACGTACGGTCCCATCTTGCACTTCTCCCTCCTCTTTTGAGCTTTCTCCTCAGGCACGATCTTTCCCTCCCCTCGACCGTTGCGGAATTTGAACGGGATAGAAGAACTTGCGTTGCATTTTGGTTACGATGCCGGAAGGATCTTCTATCTTTTTTGCTTTTGAAAATTTCCCCCTTTTGTAAGAGAAGAAAAAATTTGTAGCGAGCGATGCTTTCGAGAACCTGTTGTATATAAGTAGACGTGGACAGATGGAGACGAAAGTAACGTAATGGCTCGTACAAGACATTCTTTTCGGAAGGGAAATTTGAGATGGCATAGTAAGGCTTTCGCTGCGTTTTGAATGGTGATGCACTTGTTACGTCTGTTCTTGCATTCCGAGCGCAAGATTTTGGTACTCAGTCTTCTAAGATATGTTTTTTTGTGACAATTACGAAGTGCGCAGGGATGCGGGCGTAGCATGGAACGATTTGATGCGGAAACTGCTAGATAATCTCCTGCAGAAGCAGGCTCAACACTCACACTGACAGTCACAGAGTCGGCCGTGGCAAATCTTAGCAATATGACAAGTCAGCCACGATACTGCAAGTTCTGCGCGCCCCCATAATTGGCTATGTTTGTACCAAGCTGCAGGCGATGGCCCTCAAAACTCAGCCTACAGCCACCCGTTGTAGCAAATTGCTGGCGTTAGAATGATCACAAGGGATTCTGAGTTGTTCTAGTGCTACGATAGGTCGAAGTCGGGGGTCTTTGCTCCTCCCCAAGGCTTCGATAAGCCCGGTTTTCTCTCAAAGAAGCAGCTGCTCTGTAGTTTTCAGCCGCAAAAGGGCTATTTAGATTCACCGGCGTGAAAATAGAGTTGTTGAGTTGCATAAATTCTTGCTGCAGCTGCCTTTTCTGCTTCACTGAGGCTGATGGTGCTGAGCAGATTTGCGGTTATTTTTCAGCTGCTGCTGAACCCTTCACCCTATCACCGAAGCTAATAGAAGCTCCTATACAAGGCTGACAACATGCCAGGCGAAGCGCCAAAGTGCGCCCCAATTGGCAGTGAGTGCCACTAATTCACATGTTTCGTATGATCGAATTGTAAAATCCCTCGTCGATGGCGAGCGGTTGGTTGGCTGTGAAGGCGTTCTAGACCGGTGGGTGGCGCCGAATCAGGCAAGACCGGGCGCGGGCGGCCTCAAGCAGGCATTGGGCCAAGAGCTGACGGCTGGGTCAAGCATGTTATGCGACCATCAGCAAGACCCTATCATGAGGATAGGCTTCATTGGATCGAGTCTTCAGCTCACACATTCGAGTGGCGATTTTCTCTCAGCGTCCCAATAGGCAGAAGCACCTATGTTTGTCGGAGTAACCATATTCAGCTTTTGAGGCTGGCGCGATTGACCGGTTATCAAGATTATAAAAAACCTTTCAGAGTATCTGTTTGAGTCTTCAGATGCAAATCTTTATTCATTTCAGTGAAATCCTCTGCTCCAGTCCGTCACAGCCATGGAAGCTGCGGGGGTCGACGAAGACTTCCAGAGAATGTTGGATGAAACCGTTGCTGAGTACAAGACCACAACCGGGCGCGATCTCAGGGAAAATGTGTCTTTAGAAGCTGAGAATCTTCTAGCGAACATCAAAGAGGACAAAGTGGACGACGAGGAAAAGCAGAAATGGAAGAAAGCCAAGGAGTACCTCCGCAACAGTTTGAAATGCATTTTGACACTGGGCTCGATTGCCGCCCAAGGTGCATCAATGGTAAGTGTAATGCTGAGCCTTCCGCGACTGAGGTGAACTAACAGTAGACGCAGGCGTTCGGGCCAGCGCAGTTGTGCTTCAACGCAGCCTCTTTTCTCATCGACACGGCGCAAAAGTACGAGAAGATCTTCTCAGGGCTCGGCGATCTGTTCGAGAAGATTTATGGCTTCCTACTCCGCTTTGAAGTGCATGCCAGGCCGAAGGCAATCGGCGTGAAGATCGACAGCCACCTCAAACTCATTATCCACAAGCTCCTCCGCAAATTTGTCGATATCTGCGCTCTCTCCGTCAAGCTCGCTTCGACGAAAGGAAAGATTCGTGCTGCTCTGTCGGCATTTGCCTTCGGGAGCGATCAGGGAGTGAGCGCTGCGATGGCCAGTCTCCAATTTCTAGTCGAAGAGGAGACGAGAATGGCTATAGCGTTGACTCTGGAGGATACCCAGAACAGCGGAGCGAGGACGTCGGCCGGGATCACCGAGCTCAAGGGCTTTGCACGCAACGCTGATACCAAGCTCGACAATATGAGTCATACTGTTTCACTCACGCTCGAAACCACCCAGAGTAGCGGAATCGAGATGACATCCGGGTTGAAGAAGGTCAATATGGTCTTGCAGAATACGGAAGCTAAAGTCGAGGCACTCCACAAGGCCGAAAAGCGCAAGGAGGAGGAGAATTTCATTGAGAAGACCCGAAAGAAGGTGAAGGAGCTTCTCAACATTAAGGAAGAGACCTGGCGTGACCACCAGAACGACTATCTCAGGAGCGCCGTGGAGAATACGGGCAAGTGGCTGTTCGAGGATGAGCAGTTCACTGCCTGGAAAGCCACCAACGAGGCCGATCACACTAACCCGGTGTTCGCCCTTGAAGCCGGCAAGGGTTTCGGCAAAAGCATACTGTGCGCCAAAGTCATTGAGCACCTGAAAGACAGCTTTAAGGATGGCAATCAGACTGACCGGGTGTCCGTCGCCTTTTTCTTCTTTAAAGAAGACCGAAGCTCCCGTGAGGATAACCTCTCAATGAACAACGCACTCCAAAAGATCGTGTGGCAGCTCAGCAAGAATGACCCCGCTTACCAAAAGTTTGTAGCGGGAGTAGGGCAGGGCTCCGATAGTTTCAGCAGCAACACGATGCAGCTTTGGGAGAAGGGGGTCCGGGACTATGCAAAGACGAACGCTACCTTCTTCATAATCCTCGACGGAATCGACATAGCCAAGGAGGAGGCGGTCAAGACACAGCCGCTTGTCAAGATACTGCAAGACATCGCCTACATGACTAGGGATCCCAGTTCGCGACTGCGCATCCGGCTCTTTCTCACTGGCCAGGGAAAGGACTTTTCCGAGCTGATCAACAAAAGTGGAACTGATATCTATACGGTGGCGCTGGGACAGGTGAACCGCGACGACATTGTTCAGTTCATCAACAACCGGCTAGGCAGTGCGCCGGCCCTGCACACGCACGATAACCTGCGCGTCAGAATCTGCGGCAAGCTGCTCGATATCGCGGGCGGTGACTACCTCAAACTCACGCCGATCTTGGAAGAGGTCAGCAAGAAGGATCGACGCAATGAGATAGAGGCGGCACTGGAGCGCGCTAGGAAAGACCCGCAAGAGGCGTTGCGCAGACAGGTCGAGAAGCTTAACGCGCAGCTCGACGATCAGGACATCAAGGAACTGAACGAGTTGCTCGTGTGGGTGTTTTTCGGCATGCGCTCGTTCTTGGTGGAAGAGATGGAGACGGTGCTGTTCCTGAGGAATTCGGCGAGCCGCGAGGATTCTCTCGTAACACTGGCGAGGCAGATTGAGGAAAAATACTCAATGCTGCTGTATATCGGCGAGAGCAGTTTCGTCATGGCGCATCCCACGCTGTGGTACATCAAGGACCTGCAGAGCGAGCAGCAAGAGGCAGAGGAGGACGCGGACAGTGAGGCCGATTCGACAAAGCTACACAAATCCGAGGTGGATATCGTGAGGCGCTTCCTCAAGCAGGTCTGTGACGACAAGCTCTTTGCCAAATTCGGGTTCGAGGACCTTTTCAAGCGCAAAATGGGAAAAAAGGTCGCCAAGATCGACTTTCAAGCGCCCAACGGGCACGTTCGGATCCTGCTCACGAGCTTGAAGGCCATCTGCGGAGACGACAGAGACAAAACCAAGCCACTGCATCAATATTTTATCTACTCGCTAGATTACCACCTCAACGAAGCCGACCTAGCGCACGCCGAGCACAAAGCCAAGCAAGAGATTGGAGCGTTGTTGCTTCAGATGTTTACTGACGAGAAATGTATCAAGACGTGGTGGACCGATGCGCGGCTGAACGCGTTGATGCGATATTACGTGGACTACCAAAGTAACCTCGAGGATGCCATACTAAGGTGGTTCAAGGACACGGTCGTCGTCGAACACCTGTCCGAGGACGATAAGCACTGGATTAATGACCTGTTGTCCAAATCCAAGCCTGAGGAGGATCTGTTCAAGTACATCACGCGCGTTACGGCCAGAGTCTGGCTGCAGTCGTTCAAGTGGCCACTTTTCGACTACTTCTATTGGGTGTACGCCTTTGTGACCAAGGTAAACTTCACTTGTTGCCCACGTTTTGTGCCAGCTATGACTGACGCTTTTGGCAGATCGAGAACCGTAGTAGAAGCATGAAACAGGCTCCTGAGAATATAGAACTTCTTAAGATACCCGCTGACATGATCTACGCGGCCGAGAAGTGGGCCAAGAAGGAGTTGGCCATCGATGAATCAGACGTGCAGTGGATCGTCCGCGTGGCGTACACGCTGAGTCACTTCGGCCACCAGGCCGAAGCCCTTGAAAGATGGCGCCTCGCGTGCTCGATGGACCCGCACAACTGGATGGTCGACTTTCTGCATGTGAAGATTAAGCGGGACCAGCAGGATTATGAGGCGTGCTTGAAGAGAGCATTGGCCCTTGTAGAGCGCTTCCGCACCGATGAGAGTTTGAGAAATGACATCGCTTGTTCGTGGAAGGAGGTACTGCGCACCATCGCCGACGCATATCACTCCCTTGAACAGCATGAAGCCAGTATTCACGCATCCTGTCGGCTGCTAGAACAGTTCCCGGACGACTACAAGTTCGTCATGACCGTGGTCGAGCGCTTCGACGAGCGCGGCAACTTCCGCGGCGTCATCGCCTTGCTCGAGGAGCTGGATATGCCGCGACCTATAGAAAGGCTGGAGCAGCAGAATCAGAAGGAGAGACAGCAAAATGCTAACAACAACGAGGGTAAGGTGGTAGAGAAACAAGAAGAAGACAACGACAACGAGAACAGCGGTCCGACCAAGCTCACCACCCTCTACCATGCCTTCGCCTCCTCAGACGACTATGACTCCTCTTCCTCATTCCACTACCGCGTTGCACGCGCTGCCCGCGTTACTAATAGCATGGTGGTCGTACACAAGGCCTTCTGCAACGCAATGGATGCCGCCAAGGCACAGCCATCCCCTTCCTCCATCACTACTTCTCCCTCACCCGACGAGGACATACTCGCCGCTCTACGCTACTACTACGCCCTCACCCTCTTGCACCAGAGCACCTACCAAGACGTCGATGACGCCGATGCAGACACCAAAAAAGCGGTCGAACTGCTCGAGTGCAACCTTCTACCCAATAAACTGACGTCTCCCACCACCATCAATGCCTGGACGCTCTACTGTAGCGCCCGCGCCCTGTCCAGTATCTACCTGCACTACGCCAAATCTGTCGGTGTGAGCGGTTCGGACTCGGACCAGTGGACGAAGAAGCTCCGCACGCTCGTCGACGCGCAGAGCGCGCAGGCGAGCAGTACCGGGGAAGGGGGGCCGGTCGCGACCACCCTAGTGCTAGGTCGCGTACTACACCTAGCCGGCAAGGAAAGTGAGGCTCGCGAGGCTACTCGGGGCTACGTACGCGTTGCACTGAATCTTCTCGATGACGACGACCCCGACAACGACACGCAAGCGTATCTGATGCTGGGCGAGGCGCTCGCACCGCTGGACGATGATGTGAATGCGCTGGCAGCGTGGGGGGTCATCAGGCCATGGGAGGTGGGGAAGAAGAGCGATGGAAAGGAGGGAAAGGCTGAGGACGAAGCTGGAGGAGAAGGAGGGGATAAGGGAGAGGAAACGGCTGAAAAACAGAAGGGCGTTGAGAGGCATACGGAACAAAACGACAGCAAGAACGACGAAGCAGATGAAGCAACAGCCGACACTGAACCACCAAAGATCATCCGCACCCTCGACGCGGACGACACTGGCCCGAAATCCTCCACCGATGACGGAAAGCAAGGCATACCCATCTCGCCAGGAGACGGCACGGCCGCTACCGGTGAGGAACCACCGCCACCGCGCCTGGACGGCCCGCTGGGCAATTACTGCGATGGTAACTGTAACACAACGTGGGAGTACCCGGACGACATCTACGTGTGCAAGGACTGCATTGACGTTCAGTTCTGCGCCGTCTGCTTCGACAAGGTGCGGACCGGCACACTCGAACGCCAGATCTGCGGCCGCGACCACGCCTTTCTGCACGTTCCCAGGTGGACTGACATCGCGGCGGCTGATAAGGCGGCGGGTGGTGTACCGAAGGGGTTCATGCGGGTGGGCAATGAGGTGTTGGCGATTAAGGATTGGATCAATGGGATTCGGGTGAAATGGGGGTTTGCGAAGGTGGATTAGGGGAGGCTGGTTTGATTGTATGGTCGTTTGGTTATTACGGCTTTAGCCTACGTATGACTCTTATAATTACTCGTTCACACTTACCGCGTTTGTTCTACTTAAACTCCTTTTTCGTAGAACTTTCTCTTTAGCAGCTTCTTTTCTGTATCTATTGGAATTCTCATTCATTAAGTTCTGTAACATTGGTAAATTGGTAGGTTCTGTTGCTATTCTGAGTGTGACTAATTGTAAAAGGAGAGGGGGCCGTCGTATTTAGTTCGGCGTGCTGTGCGTGTGCTCATGCTATGGCTAGAGAAGACTCCATATGATGCACGCATACATACCATTGAACTGAAGAATTCACAACCATCTTACGGAACCCGTAAGTCATGCCGGGCGGTGCATTGTCTAATTAAACCAGGACTCTTGATACCCTGAAAATAAATGCACATCTTGCTCTACCTTCTTGTCATCCTTCAGGGCTTGACCATCCATAATTCCGTGAACATAGCTTCGCCCGACCAATTGAAAACAGAGTTCAGGTGGATGGTAGCAGTCCTTTTGCCCGTGCTCCTGATCGTCGCTATGGCGTAGAATGAATGGAATACTCCCACCACGTAGGACGAACACCTTGTCCTTGACAGCGGTTTCCGACGGTCCAATGCCCATGAATCCATGCTTGGTAAGAAAAAACCGGGTTTGAACAACTTTCGGTATAACTACATCGAAGACGTGCTGCATCCACTCCGCTTTCGACTCATCTGTTGGGTCGTAGTACCAGCAAAAGTCATCATCGCCCTCATCCTCCTGACCACGTAATCTTCTGTCGAAAGTGTCCCCAGCTCTGGCGTAGTCGTAAGGCGGGTCATCATCCTCACTGGCGGTTCGACGGACCACATCACCGCTCATGGTGCTTTTGAAGGCATCTGATTGAGATTGGCCGGTGGAGTAAGTTTCACGAGCGAAAGGGTCGCCGACAAGCATCCTTGCCCACCCCCTGATGACAGGCCAAACCAGCTCCTCGTTATCGCGTTCGCAAGATTCTCCCACAGATGTGATTGTGTCGAATTCAACCCCACGGACCATGAGGATCGAGTCGCAGCAAAGCTCGGCTTTGGACAGGCTATCCCCGGCGTTGTACAGATAGGTGTGCATATCAAGGTGATTCCTATCCGGTCGCGTCCAGTCTGGAACCCAGGATGGTAGCCCTTGATACTGCGAATGGAGAGAATGGCCTTCGAGGACATCGAGAGACTTTTCTTCTTCAATCAACTTCATCGTCGCGTTGATGTAGGTCTGTGCGAAGCCGATGGAGTAGCTGGGTGTTATGGGTTGAGCTTGATTCCATATGCTCAGCCCAAGGAGCGCATTTATCTTATCTCGTGGGTCTGTCGCCCCCCGAAGACGGAACTTCTTGAGGAGATTGGCGAGACTCGGCCGGGTGAGCGATTCCCACAGTGTTCCCAGCCATTCCCGCTTGAGCTGCATAACTTTGGTCAACAGTCTCCAGAACACGTAGAACTGGTGCCGTGGAAGACTATTAAGCTGAGGTGAACAGCAAGTTAAACCATGATTGTTCAGAATATTCACCTGGCTAAGAAGGTTGTCGAAGGGTATTATCAGGTGGAAATGGATCAACCACATCTTCTTGGCGACCATTGCTTCTTGGACAGTCCACATCCGGTCCCACCATGCGCTTTCCACGATAGTCCGGAATGCGTCGAACGCACCTTCCAGCCGGCGGTCTACTCTGATCTTCTGGGGATTTCTTCTGTCCGCCGACTCGAAGAATGGAAGATCAGCCGGATGCCGACATCCCTCTTTCATTAAGCGGAGAAAGGCGAAGCATGCCAGAATTTTCTCTACTGCCGATCTCTTGGGCCCACTGAAGCGGCTGTGCAGTGAATAAGGATCCGTAGATCCTGCATCCAGGCTCGACCCTTCACGGGTGGCTATGTCTAACGCATCGCCAACCTCGATGGCGTGTCCGGTCGGGTTGACGATGCCGTCGACGCTCGGATGTCCCAGCCAAGCGAGCACGATCTCAGCACCTGAGAATATGGACCTCATGAGTCCGACCTGGTATTCTCGTTCCGGGACGCATTCCTGATTGATGCAAAGCGCGTCGATCCACAAGGTCCGCGCCGCGTCGGGCTTGCGGAGAAACTGGAGCGCTGTGTAGAGGTTGGCTGTGACGGAGAAATCGGCATCGTTGAGGGTGACGTGGTGGGGGTTGGATGGGTCTCCCCAAACGTACGACAGTGCTTCGTACTTGGGCTCCTCGAACAGCGAAAATACAGCCAGTTCGCAAACGATTTCGTCGGAAAGCTGGCCGGGAAGGAGCGAAAGTAGCCGTATCTCTCGGCGAGAAGGGTCCAGGTGTGGATATTGGTAAGCCTTCTCGGATATGTGGATGGTGCCAGGCAAAGCAGGACAAGCGGGTGGGGTCGACATGGCTGCTTCAATACAAATTGGTTTCAACTTCTTAGACTGAATCGCATCTGCGATTGCTTAGGTATTGTTGATGCCCCAACCCAAGAACGGATGATGGCCTGCTCAGCGTAATAGTTTGAGGAAAAGTCTTGATGGAACGGCTTAAGCAGAGTGAAGATACTCTTACAGTGCAAAAGAGAGATAAGCTTTTTTTGCGTAGCGTGTGACTAAGTGGTGTCAAATGGGTCCACGTGCAGCTGAACATAGGCTGAAATGGCATGTAAGTGGGGGCGAATGCTGCCTTGCCGTTGTGGCTGAGCTAGCTCCATGCATGCTGCGCCGACACGCCAAATCGATAGACCGAGAGTTCAGGCGTGGCACAGTTCAGCTGGTCATGACCCAGGTTACCGGACTGCCCGGTAGGACGCCATATCCTCTGCTCCGCAGCCCGGAGGATCGCCTGGCGCTCGACCTGCTCGTATGTGAATTTGGGGAACAGCCCACGAAGGCGGCTGAGATTTCATACAGGCGTAAATATGATTGACTTCCCTCTTTTCAAATCTAGCCGCCCTAGGTTGACGTCGAGACCACTAAGCTATTTTTTAAGTTGACATACATTTTAAAAGGTGAATTACTTACTCATGGGGAAATGCACTAGAGAAAAACTGACCCAAGTGTTTGAAGCGTGAATATAATTCCTGGTGATATTTTGCGAAATTTAATTTTCAAATATAGCTTTGATTGTCAGTCGTGCAAAATACAAAACACATTGCAGAGAAGAAAGTGAAGATGTGGAACGTTGAGGGAGTTTCAAACGCTTAGCTCAATGTGGAATAAGCCGCAGGACTTGGATCCGCAACCTCCCTATTCCACGATTCTTCCATAAGTTTTCTAGAACTCAGGCATGAAGTTTTTCGCTCCTAAAAAGAGAGCCGTACAGCCCGGTATCTCCAGGTGCGCGCATCATCGCTGGTGGTCTTTCCTTTCCTTTAGACGGCGTAGCAAGGTTTCAAGCTCTTATTGATCATCGGCTTAGCTTACGTTGTGCTGTGTTTCAGCTTTACTCGTTGTAGCTGCACAAATTGCGTCACTTGATATTTAAACACACACGCAATGCAGGAGCACGAAAGCCCTCACGTCGCAGTGCGCTCTCGATTTCTGTCAGGAGTTGAAAGACAGTGTGAAATGCATTCTACTACCACAAAGAGTAGCGCTTTTTTCTACCTCTTACGGTTTAGCGCCTCCTTCCAAAACATCACCGGGACGGCAATCACGCAATCCAACAGCCAATCAAGGTGACACGGGCACTTGATTGGCTACGCCACTAACGCATACGTATCCGGTCTCGGTGCGCACCTCACCCTTAAGTACGCAACTCACAATCCCACCACCACACACCACCACTGCCCTTTCTCCGACTCACCTCATTGGCCACCAACTCATATTCCTCCTCCAGGACTCCGACCAGCAAGGAAAGAAAAAAAATAAGCAAAAGAAGAAACCATGGCCTCCCTCATCGCCTTTGACCTCGACGGCACGCTCGCCGAAAGCAAGCAGCCGCTCAAAGACAATATGGGCGAGGCCCTCGCCTCCCTCCTCTCCGTCGCCCACGTCGCCGTCATCTCAGGCGGCGACTGGCCGCAATTCCAGAAACAAGTCGCCTCGCGCCTCCCCGCGCACGCCGACCTCTCCAAGCTCTGGCTGCTCCCCACCACCGGCACCAAGCTCTACACATACCAACCATCCACCTCTTCCTGGCGCCCCGTCTACGCCGAGCTCTTCAGCGACGCCGAACGCGCCGCCATCATCGCCGCGTTCGAAGCCTCCCTCGACGCCACCGGCTTCCAGCCCGAGCAGACTTGGGGCCCGCGCATCGAGGACCGCGGCAGCCAGATCACGTTTTCGGCGCTCGGCCAGCAGGCGCCCGTCGCAGCGAAGGAGGTGTGGGATCCGGATTTCGCGAAGCGCAGCGTCATCCGCGAGGATTTGCGGAAGCGGTTGCCCGAGTTGTCGATCAACATGGGCGGCGCGACGAGCATCGACATCACGCGCAAGGGCGTGGACAAGGGGTACGGGCTGAAGAAGTTGAGGGATGCGAGCGGGATTCCGCTTGAGAAGATGATGTTTATCGGGGATGCGATTTTTCCGGGCGGCAATGATTATCCGGCGAAGGAGTTGGGGCTGGAGACGGTGAGGGTGCGGGATCCGGAGGGGACGTTGGCGGCGGTTGCGGCGATTGTGGGGTGTTTGAGGATTCAGAAAGTCGGGGCCTGAAGTTAGTGCGAGGCGAAGGCGAGGGGGGGTGAAGGGCGTTATGGCGGGATTTCAAGCTGGGCGAAGCGGGGATGCATGACGAGTGTTACTGCGTCGGAGTCAAAAAGGTGAGCGGGTGCCTTTGAGGAAGGCTAGTAGTTACTTACGATTGACCTATGATGTCAAGCGGTTGCAGGGGGAGGGCGGAATTGGCTCCAGTTAAAAGCATCAATTCCTTACGGATAGAGCCAAAGAGAAAACAAAAGTGCAAACAAAATCACATCCTAAAACTTCACTGGAATACCGGTAATTGTGCAGATGATTATTTCGTTTGTTTAAACATCAATGCTATTGTCGTGCTCCACATGATTATCCACTCATCGTCAAGATTACCCAAGAAACCATTTCCCAAGTTCCCATTTTACGCCAGTCCCAGCCTGCGTGAACCCGTCCCAAACTCCGAAGATGCTTGTTGCCATGCTAAACGCTCAAGAAAACCAAACAAAGGAAAGAAACAAGAGAACCAAAAAGTAGGAAATTGACAGTTTTGCCAGCCAACAGGCTATCCTGATCCCACATGTATCCTTCTATGTTCCTCTCCTCTCAATGCTATTTCACCCATAGTAATTTTCAACGTTCATCCGTAAACCTCACACCCAGACCAAGTGAACCGAGCAGGTCGGAGCAGCACGATTGAAATACTCGACCTCGAGCTCGCGGTTCGCACACGTCCTGGGCCTCGGGTCTTCCTCAACCTGCTCCACATCGAGTACTTCATCGTCGACGGCACATGTCGGGTAAGCAAGCTCGGGAATTGTGCTGCATACATCCGTTCTCGGCGGCTGAGCCTCGGCAGAAGCGTCCTCATCGTCGGCGGACTTCTTGTAAGCCTCGACCAGGGCGGCGATGATGGCGTCCATCTTCTCGAAGGCGGAGGCGAGGATCTCGGTCGTGGCGGCGAAGACGGCGTCTTTGTACTCGTCGTTGACGGCGTCGGGGGTATCCGTCGGTTCGGAAAGGTCGGCAGTTGTCGTAGAAGCAGACTGCTCCAGAGCCTGAGGAGCCAGGGTCTCGAGGACGAAAGCCGTAACGATGGCGGTCGACGTCTGCGTAGCGGTAGCGGTAGCGGTAACAGTCTCGGTGGTGCGCACGACCTCGAACTGCTGTTCAACCGTGGCGTTGTCGAAGAACGGCGACACAGCAGCATCGAAGAACACGCCGCTGACATCCAGCTCCGTCCCCATCTCCTGCGGCACAACAGCACCGCTGCCCACCATCCACAGCCACGCCCCCAACACCACAATAAGCACATTCCTCCAATCCACCGCCGCCACCCACAGCGCCCTGCGCACCAACGTAGCAAGCGGGACCTCCATCCGCGCCTTCTCCGCCTCCGCCGCCCTGCGTGCCCTCTCCTCCCTCACCCTCTTCCGCTCCTCCCTGACCGCCTGCACCTTCGCCTCCTCGACCCTCTCTTCCGCGGCCCTCCTCTCCGCCGCCGCCGCCAGGGCCGCACTACCAATCAGTCTCAGCCGCTCTTGCTTCTCTTCCTCCAGCCTTTCCTCGGCCTCCATCCGCTCCAGCTCCAGTCGCTCCTCGACCTCTTTCCGCATCTCCTCGGCTTCGACTCTCTCCGCCTCCAGCCGCGCCTCAGCCTCAGTCCTCTCTGCCTCCAGCCGCGCCTCAGCCTCCATCCTCTCCGCCTCCAGCCTTTCCTCAGCCTCGTTCCTCATCTGCTCCGCACGGGCCTCCGCCTCCTCCAGCCTTCCCTCCGCCTCCCTCCTCACCTCTTCCGCACGCGCCTCGGCCTCGGCCTCTGCCTCCCTTCTCCCCGCTTCTTCCGCGGCGCGGAGTAGGGCATCACGCTCAGCGTCGGCGTCGGCGCGCTCCTCAGCCGCGCGAGCAGCAGCGTCAGCAACGGCTTGCTCCTCCTCGCGGACGGCCGCTTGCAGCGCGCGGTGCTGGGCGGGGCTGAGGTACGGCGTGATGGCGACGTCGACGCGTTCCATCTCGCTCCAGGCGGCGGACCAGGCGCCGGGCCCGGCGAGCAGGCCGTTGGCGGCGTAGATCTTGATTGTCCAGCGGGTTGTAGCGCTGGTGGAGGAGGCGGGTGGGAGCGGGAGGTGGGCGTGGCATTCGGTGCAGGTGATTTCTTCTTCGGCCTCGGAGGCGGTCTCGACTGCGGAGGCGTCGGTCTCGACTGCCGCCGTCGCCGCCGCATCAGCCTCGACTTCAGCATCCGCCTCGGCGTCAACCCCACTATCCCTCCTCTTCTTTCCCCCCTCCTCATCCCCCTCGTCGTCGGCATAGTCATCAACATGATAAAAATGCCCACACTTCAACACCCTCGGCGCCCTCAACTCCAACCCCTCCAGCACGCGCTCCTCCAGCACATCCATCTCCTCCCGCGGATGCGCCACCAGCAGCCCTCGCGTCATCAGCACCGGGTCTGCCAGCCGCTCTTCCAGCTGCGCGTACGCACGCATCGTCGACCGCGGCAGCACGCGCCGCAGGAGGTGCGGTGGATACGGCAGGGCGGGCGAGGGGAGCAGGGTGACGTGGAGGAGGATGAGGGGGGCGCGGTGGGGAGAAGAGGAGGAGGAGGGGGTGCGGGAGTGGTAGGGGGAGTAGGTGGGTGTGGGTTCGGGGTGGAAGCGCGTGGGGGTGTCGATGGCGGTGGTGGTCGTCGTGTGGTGGTTGCGGCGCGGGCGGGGGCGTGAAGAGTGGTGGTGCGACTTGGGTTTAGAGGCGACGCCGTTGCGGTAGGCGGTGATGTCGCGGTGCGTGGTGGTGGGGGAGATGGCGGGGCTGCTGGTGCGGGCCATGGCCATGACGGTGGTCGTCGGCGGCATTGCCTTTGCGATCGACCGCTTCTGCTTTTCGAGCGGGAAGCAGTCGGACGGCATGTCGGAGATGGACGACGGCTCGGTCAGCTGCGTGTGGTTGGAGAAGCGCCGGCCGCGTCCGCCGATGGAGCTGCGGGTGCGGGTGGTGTAGCGGCCGTCGGAGGATTGCGAGGGCGGGCCGAAGATGTAGTACGAGGAGTCGTCGCGCTCGATGCTGGCCACCGGCACGTCAGCGTCGGCGAGCGGGTCGTCGACGTCTTCGAAGGGCGTGATGACGGCTGGATCCGTGGGGACCTGGAAGCGGTCGTGGATTGACGCCATGGTGGTGCGGAATGTGGAGGGAGGTAGGTATGTGGGCGTGTGCAATGGGCAGTTTGTGGTGGTGGTGGTGTTGATCCGAATCGGGTAAACAAACAGCAATGGTCGCTACTGCAAGCACGAAACCCCCCGGGAAACAAAGCAAACGCAGCTGGTAGAAGCGAAGGGGAAAAAAAAGGAGAATTGGATAGTAGTCGCAGAGATAGAGCACGCAGTAGCGGCCAGGTCAAGAAAAGGAATTTATCTCAAGCGGGAAGGTCGGGATGGCTGGGCGTTGGCCGGGCGCGAATTGCTAGTCGGTGAGCCGGCGGCCCGTAATGGCCCAATCACCAGTCGCCAGCGCAGTCCTGACCCGGCAACTCTCCACACACATCATCCCTTCCCCGGACCCGTCCACCAAGCACATCGCAACGCTCTTGTATCACATCCGCCTCGCCCCAACCATGCGCTAGCCGTTGCAATGCGCCATTGGAACGAGCAGCAAGCGACAACAGCATCTCTGTGTGACCATGGCTGCGTTTTGCTGATGCGTTGCTGTTCCTGCCGCTTACGCCTGTTCCTGCTTTGCCCCCCAGCCACCACCTTTTCTGCCTCGCGTACTATCAGGCGAACGCCCCATATTATTTACTCTGTCCCTTTGCTCGCTCCACCACCATCTGAATCGTCTCCGTCCTTGCCGAGACGGCCGATCGCCTCACCCAACTCCCTTGCGCCATTGGGCCTGCCTCTGCCTCAGGCCGTTGCCGCTGGCCTTGGGCTGCACTGCAAGATGCAGCGCTTAGCTGTCGCCGCAGCGACCGGTGAGACAGATTCGTCTGCATAATCTTGCTGCAACAACGGCACGCGAAGAGCATTGCTGGCTCCAATATGGTCGTTCAATTTATCGGTTCGCCTTCCGTCATCGCTGTCTGAGCTTGCGCAGAAAACGTCGTCATTCAGGATTGCCCGGTCTGTGTGTAGCGGTTGTGGGAGGCTGGGGGCGCTCGGTCCCCTGTGCGGGCCCAATCCCGGGATCCCCCCGGCCATGATGCGCGCATCTGGAGATCCCGGGCTCCACCGCTTCTTTTTCTAGATGTGAGGCGCCGACTGTCGTCGTTCTAGAGGTCGGGTGGAAGGGTCGTGGAAGGGGTGGGTGCGGATCTGGATTCTGCGCCGTTGGTCGTGTTGTGGTTGGTTGATTGGTGGAGATAAATGGTGAAGCCTGTTGACTTGACCGGTGGGTAAAGGAAGGTTTAGCACTTCCATTCTCCTGGACTCTTACTTCCTCGCGCTGTGGAAGCTAACAACGATGATGCTGGCTATCTTGGCGTCATCGTCGGGTCGATCCGGGGTAACGCCCGATAATCGAGACACCGTTCGCGTTCTAGTCTACTCAAAGACCGTGATAGTCTCTTTTCCCGTCGGCATACACATCTTACCCTGGTCTATTGGGAGCTGTGTCATGTAGCGGGTGACGGTTGCAACGAACGAAATATCTAGTGGTCACGCAAAATGTCTTCCTTCTTTTTTTCGGCTTCTAGAATATGAATCCAGATCGTTGCGCCATCGAGAGATTTCTGTTTCAAGCAACGCTTTTCAATGCCATATCAGTCTTTGGTAAGCACAGGCTCGTTTCAAATGCGTTCCCTGCATTGTCACTAATTGCGGCAATATGCTCCCGTTTCTTTCCACGAGACGCAATCATTGGCTTAGAAGAGGTGCGGGGGAGCACAAATCATAATCAGACCAGGGCCATGCTGCAGACGACGCCGTGACTCCCAGCTGAGGATGAGGAAACATAATCAAGCGGGTCAGCGGTCCGGAAGTATGACGACGATTTTAGAAGTATTCTCGTGTGAAAACGCCTTTTATCGCTCGCACATCTTGAGTCAAATAGGACCAACGCCCCATCCATTGTGATTTGTAAGTGCACCCCGCGTTCTGTCATATCTCCATCCACGGAATATCTACCATGGAGCACCAACACAGTGCGATAGAGGAAAACGTAGCTCTATTGGCCTTGTTCAACCCGAAGTGTGAGGCTCTTACTCGAAATGCGCTACCATCAGAAGGCGAAGATTGTCAGAATGTTCCACATCGCACCTTGACTCTCAAAGACGAAAAGAAGGCCGCCGAGGCGTTTGCTATCCTATTTGCCACAACAGATAACCCGAATCAAGTGGGTGCTGTTTGTGTCGAGGAGACCTCCGATGGGAGGGGGCTCACAGTCAGGACGGCGACGAACTCAGGACCTCAAACTGCCCAAACACATGCATTGCGATCAATAGCTCAAAGTCTAAAAACAAACTCAGGTATTGATATGGCTGCTTGCTCATGGGCTATATTCCTGACTTTGACGTAGTACACCATGGCGTTGGAAAAGACCAGTTCATGCACGACATTGTTACCGTGTCTCAAGCTCGGCTACTTGGTCGCCTTCGCTCGCAGCATGCACCAGCCTCAAGAAAGTCTTGCAAACCGCCAATTATCCCAAAATTGCAGCATGCCGCCGAGATTATCCAACAGCTGAGAGACCGTCCGAGCGAATACGAAAAGTTCAGAGAACATGCTGAATCGCTGGTGGAAGCATTTACGAGGCTTGAGCATCTTTCAACCTCAGAAGCTTGCTCTGAGCAGGGAAGAGAGCTCCTCAAAGAGTTACTGGCGACCATCGAACTTATGCTTGCGTCAGTCGATCTGAAATCCGTCTTCGCCTCAATCCCAAGGAAAGGGATCGACTCGTGGACCGGTGATGCCAGGGAAAACCTCATCGAGAGACTCCAGAGACTTGTTCAATACCGCTTTGCAGCTTGCTACCTCCTTCATGCTGCGCGGAAATACCCATCATTCCGTAGCATCGAAGTGCAAGAAGTGCGCGTTCCAACGAACAAACCAGGGCGTCATCGCAGAGAGATCCCTTTAAACAAATCGGGGCTTTTCAGTCGCTGCATGGCCGGAGAAGACACACTCTCACGCGCACATTTTGAGCGCATGCTTTATGCTCACACAAGGAAGAATGCCCCCGATGTCAGGCGAAACATCGACGGGCATATCCAGCAAGAGAAGCGAGTGCATGCTGAAATCCAGTTGCTCCTCTACTACGAGCAACATCCAGAAATTGTCTGCCATCCGAGGATCATCTGCTCGAGCAAATATGCTTGCTTTCTTTGCAATTTGTTTATCAACAGTCACGGCCGCTTTCATATCCCTGGATCACACGGTCGAATTTATCCGAGATGGAGGATTCCCGGATTGCAAGAGCTCGACCTGTCTGATGAAGGGAAAGTAAGACTATCAACGTGCATGGCATCTTTCAACGAAGCTTTGGAACGCAAGATAAAAGAACTTCTCCAACGACAGCCATTCATTCTACCCGATCGAAATGAGAGCATCATCTTTCAACAACCGTCTCAAAGCTCATCATCACTATCTGACAACGCAAACACCAAAGCCACTGGAGGACAGGACTTACTAGAGAGGTTTGAAAGCCCTGGAACGTCTTACTCTGACCGAGAGTCTAATGCTGGTTGCGAAACCATTTCGAAATCCACGGCAACGAGGTCATCTACCAGATATTCCTGTACAACATTGACGAGGATATCGAGCGCTCAAACTATGTTATGCGTTGAAAGCCAGCCATACCAACTGGTCGCTGGTAAACCAACTTCTGTAGTTCTATCTCAAGGTCTCTCAGTTCGCTTTCACAGTCGTCGCATTCATGTCGAGCTGACCTACGAGGATGCCTGTTCACTGGCGTCTGCTGCTGCTTCTTCTTCAAGAAGTTCCGTGATCGGGATTTTCCAGGAAGACCTCGTGGTCAGTGCAGAGCTTGTTGACGGATTCACACAGAAAGTGGCAAGTGCCATCTTCGACCTTGGCAGGAACTGGACGCAGTTCGAGGTATCCAGAAAACTACTCTTTCAGAACACCGGGATAGCCCTGCAGAAGGGCAATGAAATCGTCTATCTTTGCATCTTACCTGAAGGTCAAAATGGCAATAGAGGCGGGCCGTCTCGAAACTAAAATCTATGAGGAACGAACTTGCGCGCTGTTACTGTATGTAGTCTAATGCCTATTCATTTCTTTATTTGCATTACGACAGCCGCCGTGATACGTAGCATTGCGGAAGTTGACTGTGGTCAATTTCCGCGTCGTGATTTGCTGAAGTCGGGACAACACGCGCCTGAGTTGATGAGAGGTAGTGGAAGAGCATATCCGACTTGAAGTGAGAGCATGCTAAAAAGTTTCCGATCGGCGGAGCCTGCCCCTTGGTTCTTGATGTTTCGATGATGTGTGTACATCAACGGTTTATCTAGCTTCGTTTTATATAATATCATGCCCGCCCCTATCGTCCTAGAAAGCAAGGTGAAACAAGGCGTGCACATACAAGGGATTCGGTGGCATCGAGGAGAGCACGAGCGGAGATCCCCTGCGAGAAAAAGACGCACAAGGACAAATGGCAGAAGGCAGGATCTCGGAAAGGACGTGACTTACGGAAGGATATTATGGACAGATGATAAGAAAGGGTTACCTTACAAGCACCTAACTCCCTTAGCCTTTCGAAAAGCTCTCGGGGCTCAATCATTTAAACAACAGGCCCACCCTTCTCGTCTGTAACCGACAACAACCGGAATTGGTCGAAAGACCATCAGACCCGTTTTCAAACTTCTCCACCAGCGAAACCCACCTCGGAGAAAATTTCTGTAATGCAACTCGAAGTGGATAACAAGATCCGCCGGTTTGGATGGCATAGGCGTCTAAGGAAATTATTCAACGAATGCTTTCCTCGTTGCAAAACAACCCGGATACGGATACGCGTAACGCAGAGTCGTAAACATTGACCAAGTATGTGCGGCCCATGTCTTATCTACGCCGAGAGTATCTGCACTGGTTATTGCACTGCGTTGAAATATCATAAGCCTTACAATCAGACTCATCTGTTCCCACCTAATTACTCTTTGTTATGCTGTTGCACTATACTATGCGTATAGATGATTTGCAGACTACAATGCCGTCTGAAATACGAGAGTTCTAGCTCTGGGTAGTATTTCCTATCTATGTAAATTCATGAAAGCGGCTGTATCATGCTACTAGTGTTCTTTGCTGGTTTATGCATGCCTGGACGGATGCTCGAATATCCGGAGGCCTGTGCTGACCTCTCGCACATTGGTAAGCAGGAGGAGAAGACGGACCGATCCGGCGCGTACCTGCTATCAACGCCACAGAGGCACATCCAAACACTGTTCTAAAGGGAAAGCTTGTAATGTACACAGTCAGTTTGGCTACTTGACGAAACATAATCTTGCCATTCTACTTGGAGCGCCACTACAATCCCTCTATTCCTAATTCACCCACCGACCTCCTCAGTAGTCAAAAACGCCCAGCACAACAATCTCCACCAACCCGTACCCGCTCACCTCCGTCTTGCCGCGCCAAACGCCCGTGGCATCGATAAACCCCTCATACGCCGGGGCCGCCCCACCATCAGCACGCAGCTCCTGATCGATCTCGACGCTCGAGATGCCCAGCTCGAGCACAGGGACCACACGCTGCTCGCCGCCGTCTGTGCGGATGGTGACGAGCCCGCGCTTGCCGGCCGTCCGTATGTCCCACCACCACATCGACAGCGGCACGGAGGCGCTGAGGCCGCCCTTGAAGATGAGGCGGCGAGCACCCGTCAGGTTGAATGTCAGGTCGAAGGCGGTGCCGGGCACGGCGGTACAGGTGCGTAGATTCGAGAAGCCGTGGTCGGCAAAGGTAGCGTTGAATACGCCTGCGGGAGGTCGGACGCTTGTAAGAGGCACGAGGCGCTCGAACTGGGTGAAGGTATACGAGGTGGTGTCGAGCACGGCCGCCATAGGAGCAGGGTCGCGTTGCGGCCTAGGTTCGCGATGACGTGCGAGGTGACCATGCAGTCGTGCTCGTTGGAGGCGCGGGTGAAGGGTGTGGGCAGCGTTGGCTTGTTTGGAACTAGAGGCCACTGAGGGGCTTTTACCGCCCATATCGGGGTTCTGTCTGTGGGCCTTCTCCACCAGTACAATAAGGGGGAACATTCAACCGCGGCAGTTGGTCTTTGCTTTACGCTACGGGGCTAGCAGCTTCAGCATTCCGGTGCGCGGTGCAGTGTTCATCAGGACTGTATCACCGACACCAATTACATCGAATGCACAATGGTCTTGATTAAACTTCTATGTATAGTCTAGAAGCCTCCCCTCCTCTTAGGCATCCTCATTTGTCAAAACTCCCAGCTACATCCGTGAAAGGCTCTTGGTACAGACACTCAAAAGTATGCAAGCGGATTGGTTGCGTTGGGGTACATGACTTGCTGCACGTCCCAATGCTCGGTGATGCAGGTTCCATTGAGCCGAAATATGTCGACGATGGCCTTGTCGAGGGTTCCCGGTTGCTGGCGGTGAATGTGGAGAGCAACGTAATCCAGATCCGAGATGGTGCGGGTTACGTTATTGACAAGGTTCGGTGCGGACAGAATCTGTTTCAAGCCTGCGGCCGCAATGGCTTTCCCAGAAGGAGCACCTGGATTGTGTTGAATGTAAGGCTCCATGGTGTAGGCGAGAAGCGTGTCGACATCCTTGTCGGCATATGCTTGCGCCCAGATTGCAGTCGTCTGGCGCTGTAGGTCCAGAAGGGCACCGGGTGTCTTCGCAATTCCCGCAGGAAGGTCTGGCAGGGAGGTGCACAAGAGGGAGTTGCTCGTAGCTGCGGCCAGAAGACAGGTGTCTGCGAGGACGAAAAGATGGGGAAAATGCATGGTAGAATGGATGAAGAATCTGGTGGCTTGAGGGTTGATGTCAAGGGACTGATGATGGACGATCAAGTGGACATTGTTGCTAGCTGCACTTAAGTATTTCCTCACCTTTGATCAAAGTCAGGCTATACACTGCTCGATGCTCGGAAGAATCATTCAATCGCCGCCTTATCTCCGCCAGCCGGTAGGTCGACATAATCTCGGGGGAAATTTCCCCCAAATAATTCTTGGCAATAACAAAAGCAGTGTACCTGAATATTAGCGGCTTGCAGTGATCGGGCCACTTAGTCTCGCAGTTCCGAGCTCTATTGCATAAATCGACTGACTTACATGACGCATAAGACGTGATTTCTCATCAGATCATGCATCATGACTCTAGGAAATCCCTTCGAAGCACAAGGTTGTGGCTATAACTAACTCATAGATATCATCAGACTCGCTCGGTGCTTTAGAACACGTTAAACGATCACTATGTGTGAGGAGAGGCTAATGCATCTATGACAGTGCGCTTAATCGGAGAGGTTGGCGTTTTCTAACACTATAACAATTCTTTTGATCAGTTGATTTGAACTCTGCTCGGCTGTCAAAACAAATTGCTCATTCATCGAATTGTCTGATTCTCGCTTTACTCCAACCCTCGGTGCTGCCGATCTGTGACCCCATATCAACCATCACTCGCCTCTAGGACCCTCCACTAGACCATAACCGATATGAGCCGCATGCTTTATAGAAGCCACCCAAAAGTATCCGCAACCCGCTTCGAGTCGAAATTCAGGGTTAAAACACTTCCTGACTCTTGGAAGATCGCCACCGTCTCTTTGTGAATAACCAGGCCGCAGCATAATGTTGGTCTATACTCAGGAGGTAACCAGGGAAAGCGACGACCGTGCCATAGAAGCCATCCACGAGAATAGAACACTGGTATGGCCGTCTGAGAACATTGAGAAGTTTCCCGGGGAATTTTTCCCAGGAGAAAAGACGCCGCTGGACGATAAAACACAAAAACTATTTGTAAAAAAGGCTAGCTTTTTGGCTTGTCCTAGAATTGAGAAGGTGTCGAGCTGAGTGAATGTTGAGGTATCCCATACTTGAACTCCACCATTCATATCTACTGCGAGAAATGCGTTCTTTCTCGGGGAGAACGCAACGCCGACAACGAAAGTTGGCATTTCCAGCGTTTCGACTTCCAATCCATCGGCCAAATTCTAAATCAAAACATTATAATACTTACACCGAGCAGCAGCAAGAAACTTTCGAGAGATGTTGTTAAAAGAAAACGCAATATCACCTATGAAAGATTTTTCTCCGGGGTTGGAAAGCCTTCTCACAATGCTTCCAGAGTGGATATCTAACAGGATTGTACGAGTACGTGAGAGACCACATGCAAAAGCTTTCCGTCAGGGGAAAACTGTACTGAAGTTTGTTGAAACAAAGGAATAGCCGAGAGGTATTTCTTTCGGTGGTGTGTCTTCATCGAGCACCTAGATCCTGATCCATTTTGTGGAATCCGTGGTGGCTAAGATGCGACTGTTCGGGGAAAATGAGAGACCACCAATGTCGAATTTATGGCCTGACAGAGATTTCTTTCGCAATTCTCCATATAAGTCCCAGATCTCAATTGATTTCCTCAAACCAGCTGCTACGATGGTCCCATCAGGAGAAAATGTGATGGATGTTACGGAAGTCCGAGGATTAAAAAGTGCGTTTGAGCACACTTCTGCGTCACAGAGTCTCACTTTCTTTCCTGCTGAAGCAATGATTCTAATTTCCGGGAGAAACTGATATTGTTGATCCAGTCTGTATGTCCGACGAGTGTATTGCGTAGATCTCTAGTGTGTGCATCCTAAAGCTTGACGGTACAATCATTTGAGCGAGAAGCCAGAGTCTTCCCGTCCACAGAGGGTGCCAGTTTTCTGATGGCCTTTGTATGCCCCCCGAGACATCTGAGGAGAGGATCTTGTTTTATAACGTTAATAGGTAATAGGGAAATCTTTGTTCGTGCGATACATTATTTGGCTAGGGAAGAATGTCTTTCATAATTCAAAAATATCCAGATTCAGTCACTCCGACAAGGAACGAGAAGCAAGTGACGCAATTGATTCACAGAATTAGATATATTGTACTGGTATTACCGCTACACAGCGTAATCAGTCGTACTCATTCGAGGCACCAGGAAACACGCTCGTTTGTCCATGCCACAGTGAGAGGCTCTGCACGGATCAAGTCGATCTGAGGGGTCCATTTTTGCACGAGTCCCCGAAACAGAAATTTTGCGTGCCTCACTTCTCCTCTGGTTCCCAAACATATGGCACCAATAGCATTCACACTGTTCCTCTGAATCAACTCCAACTTTGGCTGCTCGCAAATGAGCACAAGTCTCTGCGCCAGGTCCTCATCGCTGAGTCTGTAATTGAAACACAGCTTGTAAAGCCCATGAACAATGTCCCGCATCCAGAATGTATATGTATATCTGGACAGGGGCTGAGAGGTGGCTTTGTGCGGCACGATACCAATATCCCAAGCAGGCAGGTTGAGTTTCACACCTTCCCTCGTGCATGGGGCAAGGCCAATTTTACTGGCCGAGGGAGTGTATTCTTGGTGAAGGTCGAGCAGTGTCCTTGGGCACCAGTGAAAACCCGGTAAGCTGAACCTTTCTATGTCCATACTCGACTGAAATATCAGACTGAGGGACACCCTTCCAACCCTGAGAAGCATGCGTGGAAGGGCTGGAAGCCTTAGATCGAGCAAAGGCAAGGTGGCTGGATGCCTGGAGATTTGTCTGGTCTGGTCAACATCCGTAAACTCAGTCGGATCAAGGCCTAGGATGCTTGCCAGACACACCGGCTCGTCCTTTGACCTGCTCGTTGATCTCCAAGCCAATGCACTGAAAATATTGCGCAGGTTTACATCATTTGGGTTTGGAAGAAGCGGGTCCACAGAAAGGAGTTCCTCGTAGGATATTTTACTATCACCACCGGGAAGTCTGCAAATGGATACCAGTTTGTTGCTGTGCGTTGTAAGAACTGGGTCAAAGAATAAGCCGCCCATAGCAAGTCGACCACAGCAGCTATAGAAACACACCGATTGGTAATCGATATATCCGTCTGCGAACTTGAAATACAGATTGTCGGCGAACCGTCCCTCTTGGTAGGTCCAGAGTCTTCTCATCCAAGGAGAATTTGCCACTCGCACTATAGCCTCTTTGAGAACATGATAGGCTCGCCGTTCTGATCGACGGTCAGCCCTTCCGCGCAGGAAAAGGAGGGCTAAATGTTTGAATATTTCAAGCGTGCCCGGTTCTGCAAGTTTAGAGAGGGAGTTTGAAGAGGGAGCGATTTCCCGGGCAGCGTTCTGCAATACTTCGAGTTCTTCTGCGCAGTCGCATATACCAAGGGATACTGTTTCGAGAGTGTAGTCGAGGACTAATACACATCGAGCTTTTTCGTAGGTGTATCGCATCATCTTGATGGCTCTCGTTCGCAGACTCTCATCGTCCACAGGGACGCAAAATGTGTCAAGCCATACGCAGTCAATTTTGAATGCTGGGAGGTTCTCTAAAAGTTTGCGGATCTCTAGTACCTGGCATCGGTGTATCGTATTGTCGAAAGGATTACCCAATCCGTCCGACCAGACATGGGAAAGCGCAACGTACTCTCGATTATCCGCTGGAAAAACTTCCATTTTGATATCGGAGCCTGAACCACTGGATATCTGGATGACCGGGATCTTTCCTGCTCTCAGAATATCCTTGACAGCATCCTTGTTGGGTCCATCGAATCCACACTGATATCCAAGACACGCTTGGCTCTTCTTGAAAGTGTAGGTGGCCTTGTCCAGTTGATAAGCGACGCATTTGCGATTTGAACACCCCGAGTGATTTTTATCATCGACAGGCCACTGAAGCTCCGCTAGATACTGCATGACGTAGCTGCGGTACTGACTCTGCATTCTGAACATATTTGCAGGGCATTGCCCGGACAATGAATCCTGAATATGGAGTCCCGGAAGCCAATTGAGTTGCAGTTTATGTCCTCTTTGGTCAAATATGTGCTCAATCCAGTCCATGAGGAAGGACCCAAGCACGGATATTGAGGAATGAACAATTTTGTAGTCTTCGTTCATGGGTTCAGGGAGCTTGTAGAATAGCGTGGAGTTCAAGTGGAGGGTGAAGAACATGTAACACCTTTCAAAAATGTGCCGAAGCTCTGCGAGCCGGCGGTCGTGTAGGCGTTGGAGTTCTGGGGCCTCTGAACACATTTTGTGCATGACAGACATCTGGATGTACCAGTCGTGGAGGAACTGTGCATCGAGATTGGTCTTCAGATAGTCCCGTCCATTCTCCTGGTATATGAAATCCTCGAAAGTGAACGGGCGACCAAACTGAGGTCCAAGATCTTTGAAACGGCCAAGGTTTAGCACCTCGACCAACATCCCAAGATAGAGCCAAGCTTGAGCGAATGCCATTTGCTCGTGCTCAAACTGGAACGGGCGCAGGAACCTGACTCCTGAATAGTCCGTAGATGTAGATGGACGGACAATGTCGTCCATGAAGTACTGTGGGAATTCATCAAAGGGACCAACGAAGAGAAATCCGAGATGGGGAATCCGTCGAGATGAGCCATTCGAGGTTCTACGTGGATGAAGCAAGCTGTCCATGCCCGCCACGAAGTCCATCTTGTCGGTTGGAAATATGAACGATAAAGCCTGAGTAGTGGGAGGAATTATTTTGAGAGAGAATGATATTTCAGCGAGAAAGTAGGGTCTCGTTAAATATTAGAACAACAACGACGATATGACCTGTGAGGAGATGGGGGCTCCATCGGAGATTTAGCGGGAAGTTGTAAAACAGGATCCGATAGTACGTAGCAAGCTGAATTTTAGGCAGCAATCTATCTCTAGCCAATCGAATTATCAAGAACAGTTGTCAATCGCTAATAATAGGATATGAAGCCTCCACTTCAGTCTTAGAATGTACGTAGTACGAACTGTCGGAGTAAGGATCCAGCAATACGTTAGCTCGACGCATAAAAGCACGAAACAGGTATGTATCGGGTAGATCTCACCGGAATCAAAACACCAATCTGGCATTTTTTTCTGGAGACACGTCATTTTCAACCATCGCTGGAGGTAGAGCCTGAGCCACGTGCGTATGCAATCTCCACCAACTTCTGGGCAAAATTTATACTCGGCAAATTTGCGTTTTCGAAAGCACACGGCAACTACCATGCGTACTTCAGTCGGTTCTACGGTCCTTTATTGTTCTGGTTTGCAGTTCTTAGCATCATGATCGACTCTGTGTAACTTGGCTGTACCTCTCATCAAGGAATCAAAACCATTCACGATACCTGGAGGCTTCTGTACAAGATAGGGGAGGGGTTATGCGCAGCACTTTTGACCATAATCTGCTTCGTAGGTCATTGACCGTTCGCGCTTCTTGTTTTCATGGCTTTGAGAGAAAAAATATTTGTTCTTAGGGCGTTGAGAAAGAGACGTGCGACTAAGGATAACATGCAAGCTTAGCAATCGGCTCGACACAGCGATCGGGTAGCGTTTGAGTGGGAAGAATTGTGGAAATCATTCAATATCTGATAGGGTATCTTCCAGAGGCGTCCCAGCCTTCCCTGGCCTAAATATAGCATCTTCAAAGTTTGCTTCCCATGTTAATGTGTACTGCCTTGACCTGCGTATAAGCCTCCAAGCCGGCCTCGCCCAATTCGCGGCCTGCGCCGCTCTGCTTCACCCCACCAAACGGAATTCTGTAGTGGCTGTTAGCTTCTTGTAGCCATGGAAAAGGGTGTTCAACTGACCTGTAATCGCAGTCATTGCTGCTGTTCACCCAAACCGTTCCGCTTTCAATCTCCCTCGCCACTCTGGTAGCTCTTTCCAAATCCTTCGTAAACACGGCGGCTCCGAGCCCGTACGTCGTGTTGTTCGCCAGCCTCAGTGCCTCTTCCTCCGTCTTGAACTTCCCGATAACCACGAACGGCCCGAAAACCTCTTCCTGATAGATGGCCATCTGCTCCGTGACATCCGTAAAAATCGTCGGCGCAACGAAGAAGCCCTTCCCATCCGCCGTCGCCTTCTCCCGCAACGGCTCGCCGCCAGCCACCAGCGTCGCGCCCTCGCTCTTCCCTAACTCCACATACTTCAACACCCTCTCATACTGCTGCTTCGTGACCTGCGGCCCCTGGAACGTCCTCTCATCAAACGGATCCCCCACCACGCTCACCTCCCTCACCGTCTCCCTAAACCTCGCCACAAAATCCTCATACGCCCCCTCCTCCACAAAAATCCGCGACGTCGCGCTACACACCTGCCCCTGATTCGCCATAATCCCCACATGCGTCCACTTGACCGCCTGCTCGATATCCGCATCCTTAAACATCAACGCCGGGCTCTTCCCCCCCGTCTCCAGCGTAACATTCTTCAGCGTCCCCGCCGCCGCCCTCATAATCTCCCTCGCCGTCGCCGTCGACCCCGTAAACGCAACCTTATCCACATCCGCATGCTCCGCCAGCGCCCTGCCCGCCTCCGCACCATACCCATTAACCACATTCACCACCCCCGGCGGGAACCCGGCCTCGCGCACCGCCTCGGCCAGCAGCAGCGCCGACAGCGGCGTCTGCTCCGCCGGCTTCAGCACGACGGTACACCCGCACGCCAGCGCCGGGCCCAGCTTCCACGCCGCCATGGCGAGCGGGTAGTTCCACGGGATGATCTGCGCGACGACGCCGACGGGCTGGCGCAGCGTGTAGGCGAATTTGGTGGGGCCCGTCGCGATGGTCTGCCCGGCCAGCTTGTCGGCCCAGCCGGCGTAGTAGCGCAGCGTGTTGAAGGCTTCGGGCAGGTCGTCGTCGTGCGTGACGGTGTAAGGCTTGCCGTTGTCCCACGTGTCGACGGTGGCGAAGAGGTGGCGGCGGGATTCGAGGAGCGTGGAGAGCTTGTGGAGCAGGTCGCCGCGGGTGGTCGGGTCCATGGCTTTCCAGGTGGGGTTGGTGAGGGCGGTGCGGGCGGCGCGCACGGCGGTGGCGATGTCGGTGGCGGAGGCGGCGTGGACGGTGGTGATTTCTTTTTCGGTTCTGCGTGGGGGGTGGTGGTGAGAAGGGAGGACGGTGGTGGATTTTGAGGATGAGGAGGCTTACGCGGGGTCTATTGTTGTGATCTTTTTGCCTGACGTGGAGGGGACGAATTCGTTGTTGATGAACAGGCCCAGCGGCTGCGTGTATTTGAGCCCATTGGGGGCTGTGAGTTCGGTGTAGAGGTCCGACATGGTGGGTTCCGGCGAGTGCTGCTTCGAGACTGTGTCTTCGGTAAAAGAGGCTTCTTCATTGACTGCCAGCAATTTATATTCAGTTCTGCCAAAAGTGGAGGGGAGCTCGATGTCTGGAATATCAGACCGAAAGCGGAGAGGTCCGCTTGGACATGCCGTATCGGGGCTGGCTTCTCCGGGGGCCGCTTGCCCCGCAGTTTCTTATCTCTGCCCGGCCATGTTATCTGTCAGTGCAACACCAAAATTTCAGTGCATCGTTGCACCAATTGCTGAAGACCGGATTCGTCCCCCTGAAGCCGCTGGAACACGGTGTCGAAGTCGTGTTTTGCTGGCATCCTTGCCCCACCGCCCGCTGTTTCTGCTTCTTCGAGTCCCACAGTTTTCACGGGCGGGATCGACAAAAAAAAAAAAAAAGGAGTCAATGGAAGAATTTGGCGAGCTGTGACGTTAAGCAGCACTGCGATACTAAAAGAGCTTGGAGATCAAGGGTGCAGCAGAAAAAAGCTTGCGATGGGATTATTGATAAAGGATGCTGACGAAGATAGGAAAAAGCCACGGGAGAAATGCCGCTACGGAAACGAAATCCAGCAAAGCATGTCCTTCGACAAATTGCCAGTTTTCAGCCAACATACCAAAAAAACATTACCCCCCTGACGCTCGTTTCTTCATCAAAGTCGTTACGGCATAGTGGTACAGCTTGACGATAACGAAACAACGTCAAATTGACCGCTGCGAAGGGCGATCCCGGTTTTCCGCCATTCCCCGTAGACGCCCGCTTTTCCTCCCAATGTTCAACCCAATTTTTGGTGGTGATGTTCCGGAAGCCGATCAGGCGGTGGCGCTCCTCGCAGGGCTGGCGGTGCGCGAGACGCCTGTGCTGGAGAAGCCCCACGGGTCGCTCCTTTCGACCGTCTTGTCGCGCAGCCACTCGTGGTACCAATGAGCCTTGTGCTGGTCGGGGTTGCTATCGTACGGCATGCCGTGCCAGGACTGATGCATTTGCTCCTCGGAGGGAGAGGAGGACAAGTGCGAGTGCGACGACGACGCGAGGTCGGTGGCCGACAGCGAAGAGGAGGAGAGGTCCGCCGAGTTGGCGAGGTCTATTGCACGCTCAGCCTCATCTTCCTCCCACTCAATGACGACGTATTCGTCTTCGGTGTACGTATCTGAAGCCGCGTAGTCATGCTTCTCGGGCGGCGGGGTCGGAGGCGATTTGACGAGGGTCGGAGTATCTTTGCTTGCCTGCATGACTGGCGAATGGATGAGGATGAAACTTGCAGCTGTTGAGGGATTTGCAGCTGGGGGAATTCGCGAATAGCGCTCTGGGGAAGATCTCCCGGGGGTTTTATAGCTTGCTTGTGACGCGACGGTGTGGTGATAAGCCCCAATCCACCCGGCCCCGCACACCCTGCATCTTGGTGGTCTCGCCATCCGCACATGCCGCTGCGGAGAACAAACTCACACCCTGCATCGGCCTGTTTGTTGGGATGCTCGTCGCGGGAAAAGCTCCGTGGGCCAATATCTCAACAGAGCTGCGCGACCAATCCCCAGCGCTGAAGCTGCAGCAGCGAGATACGAGCGGCTTATCAATTAGACTCGATCGTCTCCCACATGCGCGTCATCACGCAAGAGCTGCAGGACGAGCCTGTGGCAGAGCGGGCAGTAATAATGGCCGCGGGACACCCAGCCGTCCAGGCAGCCCGTGTGAAATACATGAGAACAAGGCAGATCCCTGACCTCGTCCTTTTTCTCTACCATGTCCAGACAGATGGCGCTGCGAAAAACAATCAGCGATGGCCGCACCCCCTTCGCGTGGACCACTTACCACACTGCGTTGTCAAAGATATGCGGTGAAGCTTTCTGACGTTGCAGCTCCAGCCAGGCTCCGTAGGGCATGGACGGCGCGTTGTCATCCAGCAAGACCATGACATCTTGTGGAGAGTGGAGATCCTCCGAGACCGACTGCACCACGGGCACACTAGAGCGCAGCAACAGGCCGAGTAAGTAGGGGAAGCCGCAGGACGAGCAGAGAAAAGGCATGCTTGATGAGACACCCACAAAAGCACCGAAACGAAGAAGAGGAACACCAGCGCTGCGGGGATGACGGCCAGCAATATTCGAGCGAGAGGAAACTCGGCGTCCTCCATTTGCGCAGCGACGTATGTACCGAATGACGAGGGGAGACAGGAGAACGAAGCCTGCTCGCTCGCACAAGAATGCCGTCGCCACTTGTATAAGCAGCAACATGCGCCCAAGGGTCACGCGAACCGTGGATCACGCTACCATCGTGTCACATTTCGCATGCCTCGCGCATGCGACGGGAATGCGAGCGATGCAGCGCGAAAGTCGATCAGCAAAAAGGTAGGCCCCTCTGTCGAGCGTGTTTTAGAGCTGCCGGCTGCTGTTAATATAAGCACGGAGACTGCCTCGAAATAGGTGCAGCCCGTTCGTATTGAAACGCTCGAGCTGGCCTGCGACCGATCGCCAAACGGGCGTTGAGAGACATCACCCCGCACAAGCCGGTTCCCCCCGTGAATCCTTCTTTCGACGACGCTCTGCTCACTTCCCTCGCAAACTGCGATGTCGGACCTCCAAAGCCTGGAACTCCCGCCAGCGACATCATCAGAGAGAGCATTGAGTCTTGTCTCTGAAGGCGTGCGACAGCTTGACGCTGGCTGCCGTGCATCAGACGATCGCTACGGAGACACAAACTGATTGGACGACCCCGCACATTGCTCGATGCAAAGCATAATTTACCAGCATCATCGCTCAGGTACTCCTTGCAATGACCTGCTGCTGCTGAGCGAATTTCCAGCCCGACCGACGCATTTGTAGCCGAACTGAGGGGAATCGGACCATCCTCAGCTTACGCAAAAATCCTACCTTTGCTGCATCATGACTGCAGCCAGCCGCACCTAGCCGCTTGCGCGAGGCTCATCTCTGATCAACCCCTCACTGCAACATTCCAGACTCGTCCAATTGTCCGGATACCTGCCGCTGGCTATTCCTGAACAAGAGCCATGCTTCCCAAAGCTCAACACCAAAGGTGGAACGCAAATACACCTTCTCAACGCCTTTTCCTGAAAGCTTGATCACCGTTAGGTAAGGCGTTGCTATATTGGGATTTCGGGTCACAGCCAAGAACGCCGCACATGTCTTGTACAACCTCGTCCGACTTGTCGTATGATTGGCCGCCTTGCGCAGCTGCGCTCGCCTTCAGGACTCACGGGCTCTGTATCCTTCAGCTACCTTGTAAGGATCTCGATCAGGACGAAATCCATATGCGTTTCCGCTCTGGAACCCCCGGGAACATTGCGCGCAGCCGTCACCCGGCGAGCGACTGGCGTGAGCCTTCCACGACTGACTAATGGAATGTAACCGTTACCCAGCGCATGTTGTGTGCCGATCTGCAGGTACCAAGAGCCGACTTACTTCAATTTCTTCTGCTTCGCATCTTCAACCTTCGTACCGGTGGAGTCCGTCCTGGAACGACCTCATGCATCTTAGCCACCGTTTCGTGATGAGGGAAGTAAGGAACATACGACGATGTTGTTCTACCATGAGATGTCTCAAGATATGGTGGTACTGTAAGCTCCAAATATGTGAGCCATGATGACTCGTATTCAGAAGCATCCAAACTCCCCTCGGGAGCTGCCAAAGGACACGCCTGGACATGACTACAGAGCCAACAATCATCCCGGAACCATACAATAGCTTCCACAAGCTGATGCTGCTCCTCAACGAGAGAATCACGAAGGGTAACCTTTTTTTAACTGCCGTAGTAGATGGATGGAGGTTGCAGTTGGTGGCTCAGTACGAGCTGCCGTGCCAAGCTTCAAGGCAAGACCGCCCACTTCCTGTTCCGCTCTACCCCAAGTACTACTCCTCCCGAAAGGGGATGTCAATGGCATCATCTCGCCATCCGTACTCTTCAAGTCACAGACACAGGACATCACAGCAGGAGGAGAGAAAGGTATAAAAACGGATCCCAATCCACCACGACAGAGCTCTCCACCAACCACACCAACCACTCCCAATCCACACTCAACAATCACTTCTCTCTCTCCCCCTTTTCTCCAACCATGCAGCTCACCACCGCCCTTACTACCTTCATCCTCTCCGCCTCCGCCACCCCCCTCCTCCCCCGCGACTCCCCCCCTCCACCACCACCACCCACCTGGACACCCCCCGCCATGAACCTCACCACCATCAGCATCACAGCCCTCAGCCCGGGCAACCCGATCGACAACACGTACCTCTCCGCGCACCACACAGGCCTCTGGCTCAACTACACCGCCGCCGCCGACCCCTCGACCACCTGCGCCCTCGTCAACGACCGCGGCGTCGGCGCCACCGTCCCCGCGCGCCCCTGGGCCGTCTTCCTGCACAACAACGACACCACCACGCTCTCGCTGTACAACGGCCCCAACGAACCCGGCAGTAGCGGATCCTGGCAAACCGTCTTCGACGACCGCAGCGCCGGCCTCCTGCGCTACCGCGGCTTGCCCAACGAAGCGCCGCCGACGGACGCGTGGCCGGACGCGGTGAGCGGGTGGACGCAGAGCACGCCGACGGTGGGGGGTAGTGTGGAGTTGTTGTGGCAGGGGGCGAGGCTGTGGGCGTGTGATTTGGGGGGCGCGTGGAGGGTGAGTACGCAGGAGTGGAAGGTGTTTCCGATGGGGACGAGGGGGTGTGTGCGGTTTATCGCGAGGATCGTGAGGGAGGGCGGGGAGGAGCCGGCGGTGGGGTGTGTGTACTCGCCGGATTTTTGAGGGGGTGGTGGGCTTGGATGGAGGTGTGAGGTGGTGGTGCTCGGAGCAATGATGCTGGGTCCTTGGCGGGTGACGGGGATTTGCCGTGGAGCAGGGTCTCGGGTGGGTAGTGGAAGCAAGGAGGCGGCGCAGTTCCTTTCGTGGGTGGATGGATTGGTTTAGCTTGGTACAACAGGGTAAAGTCTGGCCTTTTGCTTATCTCTGCTTAACTGTTTGCATCTAGTCTACCGACAGTTTGGATCTAGTTGTTCTAGTGATTATTCTCGAATGCTGATCTCGACTACTTCAGCTGTGCCTGATCTCAGCTGTGCTTGTGATTAGCCACGCTGAACTTCAGTTGTTCTCGACTGTAGTTGTTATACTGGTAATCTAGTCGAAACTATTAATACGCTACTGTCTTGACGTGCACGTGTGAGAGACTAATGTCCGTATGAAGCGGTAGATAAGCGTTCACGTGGTGGAAGGTGGAAAATATAAAAGGATGCCCGACCTACCACTGTGACTTTTCAATCTCCTTTCAACAACAAGAGCAACCCCCAACCTTATGCTCAACAGCTGCTATTCTTTCTACTCTCACGAAACCATGCCGGCCACCATGGCGCTCGTCAACCGCCTCCTCAACGCACCCACTCAGTCTCCACCGGCGGCCCGCTCCAATAGGACCCCGCTCCTCCGTTCCCCGACCTGGCCCTCCCCTTCAGCCTCGCCGCCATCGCGCTCTGCAGCAAACCGGACCTCGCCTTCAAGAAGCTATGGCTCGATGATGAGACGCACTATTTCAGCTCAATATCCCAAAGAGCAATAAATTTCTGGTCCATGGAATACAGAAGTGCTCGGCCTTTTCACCAGCAGTAACGCGTGGACTGAGCATGTAAATCCTGGCTAGCCGAGATATAACCGGAGTGTTTGTTTGCAAAGTATCTAGAGAGAGGTTACATCAGTAGAGTAGAGATGAAGCGGTTTGACAGAGAACAGTGTATGTCTATAATATTGGTGGAATTACTTCATACAACGATTTTATGAGGCCCATAAGTGACTATCATCAAGTGCAGTATGCCATGAGATGGGCTGTAGAAGCTTACATGAAAGTCAAGCCGGTACGCATCACCATGGTAAGTTAACTCTAAAACAAAATGCCAAGATGAAATGGGGTCTGCTGGAAAAGAAGCTTAGGGCGGAGTCAAGGGACCTTGCCTGTGGCTCGTATCTCTGTATCAGTCAGACTAACCACGAAAGGATATATTACTGAAAGGGAATCGGCTTCTACTGAAGACGTTCAAGTGCGGCAAGGCCGTCCACTGGCAACAGTGGTTCCCCGACATCGAAGTCAAAAGGAAAGCGAGTAGGCGTCATCGGCTGCGGCTCGAGGGTGGTCCAGATTTACCACGGCGCTGGCGCTGCAGATCAAGTTCCTAACCAGTGTACAACGTCGCCAGCAGTATTCCGTCAATATCGGCACCAAGCCCGTCGTTTTCTGGGTGACAGCGGCTAGTAAGATCAGTTCAACCGCCCCATCGTCGACGTCCTCGATCTCAAGGAAACTCCCATCGTCGCCATCGTCCCCGACGGCATCAGGACAAGCGATAGTCCGCCACCCCCACAAGCACCATTCACGCCCTCAACCTCTTCATCCCCGCCACCGACGTCGATGCCATCGCCGGCTGCGGCGGGTTGACGATGCAACAGTACGGGCCGGAGCGCGGCGCCGTCAGTTACCTCGGCTTCTGAGCCGCGGGTTTTCCGAACCTGTTCATGATAGGAGGCCCGCAGGGCCCGTTTTGCAACTTCTCGCCGGTGGTGGAGAGTGGTACTGAGTTCACCACAATGGCTACTGGGAGGGAGGAAGGGGAGGGCAACAGGGAGGGCGATGGGGGGATAATGTTGTGGTGGAGGCGACGATCGACGCGGAGAGGGAGTAGGTGGAGTTTTGTGATCGGCTATGTGAGGGAAGTTTATTCAAGGCGACGGATTCGTGGACTTTTGGGAGTGATGTCGATGGGAAGGCGGTGGCGTGTAGTTTTTACTTTGCGGGCCTGAGGAGATTTCAGAAGACGGCGAAGGAGATAGTGGCGAGGTTTTAAGCCGTCAGCTGCACTTCTATTCATCAAACCACCGCTATCTCGACCGCCTTTCCGCCCGTCATTCGCCCAGTGCCTCACAGCTCTTTCAACAGCATCAGGAGGGTGCAAGATCAGGATTTGGTCCGATCGTCGGCCGGAGCGAGATCCAGGTCCAGCAGATGGATCGTCCCCAAGGGAGATCAACATCTTTCAAGCCAATCGGCAGTCTCTTCCCTCTCCTGTTGTCCCTGTCTGCCAAGCCCGCTTCAGGAGGAACGGTCAGCGCTCGGAATGTTAGGTGGGCTGTTGCCGCAGACCCCCGCAGGAACCCGCTTCCCGCTTACGCTTACGCCAAGCACCCACCCTCACCCCATCACCTCTTCCTCCTCCTTTTATGGTTTTCACACACGATTGGGAGTAGACTTGGTCATTGCACCTTAAAAAAACCAACTGCCAGAGGCTACATCAGCAAGGCATGCATTGACGTTTGTTCGAAACCTCTCTTCATATAAACCCTCCTTCAACTACGATAATTGACCGGTGTGGCGGAATAAGCACGCTGATATGGACGGGGACACTGTGCGTGCATCCTGGTGGATTTCTGGCCAGAATTTTCTACCGCCACCCCGGGGTTCCAGCGGCTCGGGCCGCCTGGAACACCTCGCATTCGCTTGTACTCTTGCCTGATCGGGCCAATGCATTACTGTGTATGATTATTTATGATTGTCCCACCCACGTTTTTGCGGAGGACGAAAACCCGCGACACAAAGAGCAGGTCTGTAACTCAAAAGAGTGGGTTCGCTGCCAGCACTTGGCTATTTTTACGAGTTTACCCCACTTCAGTTGCATGCTCGTGTAGGAACTCAGCCGCACAATGCAGGAATGGCTGGTGTTACACACCCAACCCAGGATCAGGCGAGCTAAGAACTGTGATTACACGTAAAAAACGCTCGTATGGTATGTCAGCTCACCGCGTAGCATTGACTGAGCGGGTTGCTCAGTATAAGTGATTGGCTGAGTCCAAGTGTGGAAGTGGTTGCGAAAATCACGTGACCTTGAGACCTCGTATACTTGGGACCGTCCGCCTCCGGTGGGGTTGTTCATCTTAACTTCCTCGCCTGATTAGGAACGAGGCTGACACACTTTATGCAGAATTCTCTCGGTCGCACCTTTGCGTCCACTGCTTTCCCCACCTATTTAGGCAAACATGTCGGATTCTTCGGCTGGATGCTTTGCTTATGACTTACGGAAACATACGAGAGGCTAGACGTGGTTTAGGACATACATCAGGGCTGAGATTGCCAAGCGTAACGAGGAGAAGGAGTTAGTTGGAGTTCCAGATTCAGTCCATACTCGGACCCGATGGGGGTCTCTAGGCCGATATATCCACTTGGCGAAGGAGGTAGACCGGAAACATCTTTTGTAAAGCTGCGAGTGGCGAGGCGCATAAGCTGAGGCTCAATACGAAAAAATTCGGCACGGCACTTCCGGCAACAGGAAGACATCTTCGCCCTAATTCCAGCCACTGTCTGAGTGTTCTCCACAAAATGTCACGCTTTTTCATCGCCACTGTGCAATAATTTTTTACTCATGCAAGCCTGACCGCGCTAGTGTTGAGGGACTTGAATCCTTTGATTCAGTGTGCGGAAGTTCCAACTTCCAAGATATCAAGCTTAGCATTGTAGGCATGAATATCGCTGTGCCATGAAAACTATAGTGAGGTATAACATTTATCATCAGACAGCATCAAGACAAAACCCCCCATACTACCACTCAGGTAAGGCATGCGCGTTGCTGCTTTACGTGTTGGTACACAGCGGGGAAAAGCCAAATATATAGGATGATTCATATCTACAGGATGTGATCACGCCGTGAAGTGTTCGCGGGGACATTTAGTTGTACAAATGGTTCATGACTTGATTGTAAGTAACATGGCAATGCAACCTCTAGGCCAGTCTCAACTGGTTCAAGGTAGCACTTCCGTATACCAGAGATCTGGGATGGTGAATCCGTCGGCGAAGGATTCTGTGGGGTGAGAAATTAATGACAACTGATGCCTTGGCCGGTATGGACTGCCGACTGACAATGCCAAGAGTACATTTGAAAGGTATAAAAGCTGACCTCCCGTAGACTTCATCCACATCCAGAGCACTCCTCGAAACAGCATCACCAACAGACATCTACATCGTCCTATCAATCCCCCACTTCAGGTCACCAGCCCCTTCATTCAGCTTCGTGTGTGGGACTAATTCTTTGTCAGACTCCAACCATGAAGTTCAACGCCATCCTCCTCCTCGCCGCGGCCGCCTTTAGCCCGGTCTTCTCTGCCGCCGTCTCCGATGCCGCCACTGAATGTGGCAGTCTCGGCGTCATGTCGCTCGACGGCGTCGCCGAGGGCGTCGATCCCGCCAGCGTCCGCAAGTGTGCCGAACATCCCCTCGGCAACACCCCGAACGTTGAGAGTTCATCTTCGTCTTTCGCGCCTGTGGACGACTCTAACGACACTACGACCGAACTCGGCCTCGAGAAGAGAGCTTGCTGGTGGGGCGCTGAATACGGCTGCACGGACGGATATTGCTGGAAGACCTGCGGCGCGGCTGGCAGTGGCAAGTGGTGCTGGACTGCTTCCAACTCTGACGGCTCCGGCCCGTGGTACACGTGCAGCACCTACAGGAACTGCAACATGGGTATGGCTTGCGGCACCGGCAAGAACTGCGACTCCTGTGGTTGCAGCTGCTGAGGAACGCCAAGCCACCTCAAGGACATCGACAACCCCGAGTCGGTCTACCCGGTAGTGTTAGTATTAGCACCATTTGAACCCTCGTTATCGGCCTGGTAGACTAATTCAATCATTCCCTACCTGATCCATTCGATAGGCATGTGTTTGTGGTCGTGATTCTTGAGAACTTGACTGTGTGCTCGGCGCTTTTCTTCTCGCGGCAGAGCTGGAAGACGAGTGAGAGGCGTACGAGGCACGGCTCGCGGAAAAGCTTTCCAATGCCTCCGACGTATATGAGCCAACTGGCGGTCCCTAGCACCAGGCTGGACATGGACTGGGCCAATTCCAATGTCAGGTATCATGCACACAGCTCTCATAAAAATATAGAGTCACATCACATAACCACATTCACTGTCAGCCTTGCACATTATGGAACGGATACCCCGATGGAAATATGTACAGCTTCCGCCGAGTAAGTTGTGGGTTTGGGGATTCACCCAACGAAATCATACACCACCACTTACATCAGCGCCGGTGAACCGCACTTCTTATTCTTTCTTCTTTCCAGCAAGAGGAAATGGAGGCATGCATCTTCTTAGTAGTAAAAGTGAATCGACAGACCATCAGACAAGCCTGAAAATACGTTGCGGTAAGTCAAGTACACGGGTGCAACTCAGGTATCCATTTGTGGAAAGCACTCAATTGAATAGTCCTCGCCAACAACGGCCATTCTGAGTGCCCAATAGATCCTCCAAGCACATGATACCCCTGAATCAAAGGGTCTCTACTGTTTCCACTTCAAACTGTCTTGGATCCTATGATGCGTAATCGAATGTTTTGAACGTCGTTCTGCTGTACCTGCCTCCCAGCCGTTCCGTCTCCATCTTCGCCATCAGAGGATTCCCCCACAAGGCCCAACATTTCCAGAAGCTGCTCGCCTCCGATAATGACTGTCTTGTGACCAACAGCTATAGTAAGTAGCGCGTAGACGAAATGATACTAGATTCGCTTCTGGTAGAGTGTGACGAGCACCAATGCGGATTAAAGAGGATCAGGGCCGGCTTTGTTTGTCCGTAAAAGTTTGATAATATTGGCAGCAGATTCGGTATCTTCGGAAAGCCAACGCCATTTGGTGTAAAAGGCTGGGTCTTTGATGCCAGTGTAAATGCCACTCCAAGGGATAGAGTATGTTGAGTCGAGGACATAAACATGGAAGTCGGTTCCCGGAGGATTCTGGTAAAAGGAGGTCCTCGAAGTCTAGAACAACCCGCCCGCTAGGAGCATCTCCGCAACCGTCATCCCACAACTTTAAAGCGATTCCTCATCTCGGCGAACGTTGACTCCCGAGATCCCGTCCCCGGAGGGAATCTCGTGAACAGGAGTGAGAGATGGCGCGGAGTATGTCTGAATCTGGATCAGAATGTTAGAAAGGTCCTTTCCGTGGTGGGACAGTCGTGGTACAGTGGAGCTTCAACCTCCGGAGCCTCGGCCAGTGGGTGAGCCGTAGGTAGGCGATCCCCCTCCAGAGCGGGCTGGCCCCTCGGTCGAATCCCCGAAGCCCCACTAACCTGGCGATCGCCTCTTCAAAGAGCATGCTAGGTATTCGGTGTGAGGGTTCACCGGTGAAAACTGGCTTGCCCATCCAACGGCTGCCTAGTATGCGAAAGAGTAGGCCCTTGGCGAATTCGCCTGGTGCCCGGCGATAGGACTCGCAGTGTTGATATATCCGCCTTCTTTCCTCCAATGGCAGAGCCAGCAATTTTGCTCTCATCATAGAGGAATACAAGTTGACAGCATCCAAACTCTTGGGTGTGCTGCTACTACCTCCGTCCATCTCTTCTCCGTTGCTATTTTCACTGATTGCTTGTCCTTCGCCGTCCTGGCGTCAAGACATGTTTTCAGCGATTACCCCCTATGTGAAATTAGTAGTTACTAAATCTGACCCCAATAAACTACACCTAACTCTCTACCAAAATTCACACTTGTTTCACTAAGTAGAACCGTAATAAAACTAATTTTTAAGTGTTTTCTCTATTATTATAATGGCAACTGGGCTCGTAGATGTTTATTACACTGAAAAATAAATACCTTAAAGCGAGAATTCTAACCCGCACGGTTTAAGGGTTATGTTTAGTCTATAGGGGTTTCGTCTAGGCTTTTCGGGCAAAATTGGGGTTGGATTCAGTAATTACCCCTATAAAAAATGGCCGTGCTTGAGCCGCGTTAGCTCTCTCTACAAAGTCGTTATTTCCCGCCTCCTTTTAGAGATCGACAGCGCGATAGTGGGTGATTTATTATTAGGCGAGGGTCACTGCGCTGTGACCGGCGAGCGCAAACAGAGAGAGGAAGAGTCTGGATGCTATCCAACTGCCTCCCTACGGGAGGCAAGTACTAAAACCAACCAAATGCCAAGACGATAGTGCACGAGCCAACATCGCCTCGCGCATTAGTGCTAGCTCAATACTCTCGGAGAGCAACCAACGGGACTATATATATTGCAGTGGCCTACAGATGCTCTCTTCTTGCATCACTCAACGCACCTCAATTCGAAAACATGTCTTCCTTCAACAACTTCTCGCGTGGCGCGATGGCCGCCGCACTTGCTGCCCTTATTTCTTCTTCCTCCGCGCAACTTACGACGGCCTGTAACCCAATGGACAGCACTCAGGCTCCCTGCCCGGAGAATGCTGGACTATGCCAGACGAGCGCTCATGTAACGGATTTTTCCAAGGGTGCTGATAGCCGTTGGGTGGTAGCGGATGGCACTGATCTCAAGTACACGAGTGATGGGGCCGACTTCACGATTTCGGGAAGATACCAAGCTCCGACTATTGAGACGGACTTCTACATCTTCTACGGCCGAGTCTCTGTTGCCATGAAGTCGTCCCCGGGAGTGGGTATTATCAGCTCTGTTACGCTGGCGAGCGATGATTTGGATGAAATTGATTGGGTAAGATGGCCCCATATATATTACAGGAACAGATGCTTACCTACTTGTAGGAATTCCTCGGCGGCAACAACACCATGGTTCATTCAGACTATTTCGGAAAGGGCAACGGAACCGTGTCTGATCGTGAAGGAGACCACGACGTGGCGACCCCGCACGATTCTTGGCATACCTACACTATCGACTGGACTGAGGACAAGATCGATTGGATCATCGACGACGTTACCGTCCGAACCATGCACTATGCCGACGCCCTTGATGGGCACAACTTTCCGCAAACACCTATGAAGGTTAGGATGGGCACCTGGGCTGGCGGTGACCCCGACAAGTCCTACTGGACACGACTTTGGGCTGGCGGCAACACTACCTACACCGAGGAGGCGGGTATGCCATGGACCATGACCGTCAAGGATGTCGAGATTACGAACTACAACCCCGCCGAACACTACAAGTACACCGACACTACTGGCGACTCGAGCAGTATCGCCAAGACTGGCACTGCGTGCAAGTAGTCCATCGGTTACCTGAGCTTATGCCTGTCTACCTAATATTTTCTCTCTTTAGATGTCTTACTTCAGTAATGTATATAGAACGCGGTTGAATGTATTTCACTTGGATGATGGGAAAACACGTACCATGTCACTGCATTTTCGATGATTGCACCGTGGATGACTCAGCTTAGTACTTCTTTGACAGAGAGCTCACCCAGGAAAACCCCAGCGGCAATAATGCCGGAGATCAAACTGATAGTGAGATGCATATGGAATCGCTAGGTGCCTACCTCGCTGCGTTGATTCTAGCAAGAGTGAATATTGAGCGAAAATCCCTGGAAATGGAGCTCTTTTTCATCTTAGAAGGTTCGGCGCATGTAGAGAAACGCAGCCTTGCAGGCAGGGTGGTCCATCGTCCGTCCATTTGGGCGCGCGGGATTCGACTGATGCTTTACAGTCAATCGTACGAGCCAATCCTGCTGGATTGAATGCACAGACAGCACTGGCCAGATATTGATCAAATATCGTGTGGGGTATGAATAAGCACTGGCCATGGTGTTGAACGCTTTACCCCTATTTACCAACACCCCCTCTTTTTCTCCACTCTCCTACCTTTTTTTGTAGTTCAATCAATCCGCCATTGCGTCTCAGTCGCGCGTGCGATTGGCTTACGTAGTTTCATCCTGGCTCAATCACACGCGCGATTGAGCAGGGACGGACGATGGACCACCCTGCTTGCGGGGCTCTATCTTTGATTTTCAGCAGCTAAACCACCTCGCAGGCTCTTCCAAGCGCTCGGGAAAGGCACGTCATACGGATACATAGTACGGCTACGGAAACTGAGACTTCTGTATCCTGCATTGATAGCCGCGATCCAGTCGTGCCGATCCATCTTACTCCTCTCATTGCTTTTTATTCCCGAGTTCATCCCCACAGCCTTTAGCCTGTACGACACTGCATGAGACACAGTAGTAGCATTCCATCAGACCTTGGGGATTTCATCCATAGCAGGCCCAAAGACAGCCTTGTTACCTCTATCCAAAGCCCAGAGTGGCGCGGATTGTGCGGGTATAACCTCTTAGGATTTGTAGTACATAGTACCGAGTCATCAAGAACGTGTAAAGATCCATCACATGTTTCGAATGTTCTAATCTCGCTGGCCTCGAGTCTTGTCACCGGCTGTTCCTAATGGCCTGAGAAAAGCGAAAGCACAAAATTAAAGAAAACCGGTTATTACCTCTCCAATTATTTTGACAGTGCTGCTAGCATTTTATATTATTAGAATAACAATTTCTCTAATTGTGGGATTGCGCCTCGCACAAAAGACGATTAATACACATTGCATATCTCGGGTGGCGATCATTGTTGCTGAGTTCAGCTGACAGGATGCTCGTGAAGGTGTGTCCACTTTAGCCTTGTGCACGCCATCCCATCAATTCCCTAATCCAATGCAACAGCAACACAAATCAGGTAGTAGCGTTACCGGTTCTGAGAAAGGTAAATCTCGATTGGACTACAACTGACTGGAGCCATACCTAAATTAAGAAAATCCCTTTGTTCGACGGTTACATTCGTGAAATTATGCAATGTAATGATTGTAGAGAAAAATAAACAAAACAAAACAAATGAAACAAAATCAAAACATCTGCTTTGTTTTAGGTTTGTCTATTTCATTCTTTCTCTTTCTTTTCTGGTTCTGAAAGGCTGAAACCCCTACGCTATAGGGAGTTAATTGCCAAAACACAAAAACAAAATCAGATATATCCGGATTGCTCTGTCCAAGGAAGAGGAAATGAAGAGAGTGGCTCGATATCCCAGTCTAAAGCTGAGAACGCATTTGCATAGACGTCCTGCTCGCTAAATGGAACTTCTTCTGAGAGATCTGGGAATGGCTCGGCACCGGAGGGAGGGTGGGAAAAGATGTTTTGAGAGGCTGGAGGCTGAGTAGTGAAGATTGCGGTATTGCTTTCTGGGCTGCGAGTATCTTCCAGACTCTCGGAGCTCTTATGGCCATTCGTGGGAATGTTTGTGTGCGAAATCAAAGACCTGTAGATATGTCCTAGGTGCTGAGTTCGGACTGTTGCTGATTGCAAGCCTTGCAGCTTTACCGCACTTTGCAGAGATGCGATCTGCTGTAGAACTGCATTCTCAAGCTCTGATACTCCTGCAACTTCTGGATCTGCTGGACATGCGTTGTGAATACAATCGACACCATTCTCGACTTCCAAGTCAGGAGTAGTCCCGGTATCTTGGGTAGGAAATTGAGCATTTGGAGGAGCTGAGGCTTCTCCGTCTTCGGCATAAACTGAATAGGTCAGCATTGAAACTCTATTAAGACACGAAAATAGAGCTCATACATGGGGTTTGTGGTGGCTTTGCGTTTTTGAAGAGATTTGCAAACAGGGAAAACCATAGCTTGGCTTGCCCCTCGCCTCTCATCATACCTGTTCATCTGCATACGTGGTTATGTATTTCTTGCTTGAAAAACTGTTGACATTTCAAGCAGCGACTGATCTTTTCTTGATGTGTTCTCCGGAGATGGCGACTGCAAAGTGATCAACAACAGATTCAACATCAGTTTTGAAAGTGGGGCTATAGGAAAAGGAAAACATACGTCAACTGGGCCATGTTCTGGAAGCCGCGCCCTTGGTATGCGCAGCCGCTCCTGCCCACACTTGGGTTCATTTCAGCAAATTTGTGGTGCGGGCAGGCAAAGAACCTCTCTTTGAAGTGCTTCCTCTGTTTGGAAGCCGCACTGATCGTCATGGCCACAGTGCCAAAGAGTTCCTTCTTTTGTTCCACAAGGTTGGCTGAGTAGTTGAAGTCGTTCAATCGGTTCGGTTTTCGTAGAATCGTTGTTCGTGCCGCAGGGGCAGCAAACCGATAAGACCGTTTTGCTATGTGAAGATCCAGGCCCATGTTTCTGGCCGGGACTAACCAATTTAGGGTTGGCAAAAGACATTTTAAGAGCAAGTACCGTTTCCAACGGCGCTTTTGATGATAGGTTTGTGTAAAGAGGGGGGCTGAAAATTTGATCTGATGTGAGTGCATACGGTCACAGTCAAAGGGATCCGGATGGCCAACTATATATAGGAGGACCATAAACCTACTCGCGTAGGTGCGCAGATGCGTAGCTGCGGGAGTGCGGGGACTCAGCCTTGCTGACATGCATAACTGTGGGTCAATCGGGGAAGGCAACACCATGGCCACGTCTCCAGTGCCCACTGCCTATGAGATAGCATCATATAGCTTGTCAAGTCATAGCGGTAACACTGCACCAATTTTCGGAATGCGCATGAATTAGGGAAACCTCGCTGTTGTACGTAAGGCTCGCAGGAGTTCGGAATTTCTCAAAAAAGAACTGCAAAGAACAATCTCGGCCGAAATGAACGAACAGTATTTGCGTGGTATTCCGATCAAATAAGCTAATTGCTTGATAGCGTTTAGAGGGTCTGAAAATCTCGATAGAGTCGTCGTGGAAGCTTTCTAGTAGCTGCATCACCACCGGGCAACGAAATATGCTAGGAGTTGTAATCACTTCCTACAAGAAATGGGTAAAAAAATAAGGGCGAAACTGCTTGTTGCTACTTTGAAGTTCAGGGACGTACACGATCGAACTCCGTTGTAAGTGGTGAGGAACATACTTCAGGCTGCAATGATATTTTTACTTCTGTTGCTCAAGTTGTCTAGACCGGCGATCGTGGTGACACTGGTGGACGCAAGGCTGCAACTAAGAACAAAATCAGCTGGACATAAATCACGATTCTCACAGGCCAACATGTGCGACCTATCCGTCCTCCCTCCTGATTGGCGATAAAAGCACGTTTCACGAGGGGGTGTGCACATTCACTTCGTAAGCGCACCGAATCAATTCTATTTGGCAAATGCAGGGACCTTAGCGCAGTCTCAAAACAAGGAAATAAGTAAGACACAAATCCTACATGACACGTACGTCTTGAGTGATTGTCCCATAACTGTAGCAGCTTGCAACCTTTCCTCCTCCTGGATGAGTCCAACTTATCGCACTCCTCTCAACCTTTTGCTTTACGAAAGTACCCGCTCATCGCAAGTCGAAACTTTGGATTCACGTACTTAGCCCACTCCTGATCGTATCTACTGCGAGACCGAACACTGTACACAAACCTTCACAACATGGCTCTATGCAACCACTGTCAGAATTTACTCTCCCGTATCGTTCTTGTGGGGGGAGAGTCAGGAGAGGAAGGCATACCGCACCATGCTAGCCTGGCGGCTTTACTGGACGCCGCGACTGCCTGTCGCTTATGCTACTTGCTTCAAAACCAACTCGATCTACATTGTCTTGATTGGTTAAGATACGAAAATCCTCACCTCTACGAGAGTTTCAAACAATCAGCCATCCATGTCGAAATTTGCAACCGTGGCACAAAGGGGATTTGGATAACTGCTTCTTTATCCGTCCGGGAAGACGAAAGAATTCCTAAAATATTCCAAGATCGTCTTGTATGTTCTATCACATTTGATCGGCCGCATGGGCCAAAGCGTTCTGACTCTATTAAGTACACTGTCGATGAAACCGTCAAGTGCAAAGTCCATCTGGTTGCAATAATGAAGAGCAATGGTGCGTTATTCATACCCGTTGCTCATACCCGATCTCATGAAAATTTTAGACACGCTTCTTGATAGGCCAGCATGGAACATTCGCAGAAACAATGGTTTCGATGCGCGACTTGCTATCGTACGGGGCTGGTTGGAGGCTTGTCTCCCTGACAAGGACAACAAGTTCGACTGCAGCAAGGAAGGGCCTCCAGTGAAACCTCCAATTCTGCCCAAGCGAGTCATTGATGTGGGGAGTGCACGATCACAAATAGCAAGGCTTGTTTGTAGAAGCTGTGAAAGGGCATTCTACACCACGCTAAGTTACTGCTGGGGAGGAAAGTTGAAATTGACCGCGCGCGGGAACACTATCGGAGAACTCCTTTCTGGATTCAGTATCTCAAGTCTTCCAAAGACCTACCAGGACGCCATTGAAATCACAAGGTCATTGGGAATTCGCTATATCTGGATCGATGCCCTCTGCATCATGCAAGATGATGAAACCGAGGTCCAGGAGGAGATAGCCAAGATGGCAGACATCTACCGAAATTCTCGGTTGACGATCGCAGCAAGTGGATCATCCAGCGCAGATGGCGGCTGCCTCTTTCCTCTAACAGCTCCTTTGGAAATCACAAGCGCTGGGACGGGCGTAGAATCGTCCAGCGCCTGCAAAGTGTGGATTCGTGGATCCTCTCGATTTGAGCGGACTGTAATCAATGCTGCTCTGAATACGAGAGCTTGGACTCTACAAGAAAACATCTTGTCCCCGAGAATCCTTTATTGCGCCGAAGACCAGCTATATTGGCAGTGTGAACATAAGGTGAAAAGCGAGGACGGCTTGATCGACGAGAGGGAGCCAGTTTCTGCTTCGTCTGTTCTCCCATACGGATTTAAATTCGGAGAGTCATCTACTTATCATTTCAGGCCAGAAGATATCTCAGGAATGGCTTTGAACAGAATGCCGGTCCAGGATTCCTTGATCAAAACTCGGTCTCCTCCTTTCGACCAATGGTATAGGATTGTCAACAATTTCACATCGCGTACCTTGACGTATCCACAGGACAGACTGCGAGCTCTAGCAGGCATAATCGACCTCATAGAGGGATGCCATTCTGGGAATGAGAACTTGGCAGGGCTGTGGCTTCGGGATCTCCACGTGGGTCTAGCGTGGAAATTCGACGGCGAAACAGAGAACCGGGATTATCCACAAATCGGCCTTCCTTCCTGGTCCTGGGCGTCATTCAACGGCCCTATTGCTTACGAAGATTATAGTGTACATACAGATAGGTCCGATTGGCATCCGGAGTTCGCAGTTCTTCAATACTCAATCGAATGGTCAGGCCAGCCAGTCAGCTCGCGTGTGTTGAAGGCAGACCTTAAACTGAAAGCTAGGGTAAGGCCGCTGCATATCACACAAAACTTTGACGGCTTAGCCATCTACATCGACCAGGAAAGCTGTGAGAGACCTGATAAGGCTTTCATAGCTACTTCTTCAACTGAAAGAGGAATCAAGATTGAGCTGGATCGAAATCTTGAGCTCTCCATCACAACAATCTACGCAATGTACCTCTTTCACGACGGGCCAGTGGGCTACTATCGGGACAACAGATTGGTACTGGGGTCATTTCATTTCTTACTATTGGCACCAACGGATGGAGAAGACGAGAAATTTTTCAGAGTTGGAGTGGGTCATGCGAGCCCAGGCCTTGGTCTGCGTCTCTTTGAAGGGCTGGATGAGCGGGAATTGACTCTTATCTAGAGTGGAGCATTTTTGTATCACATCAAACAGAAAACCGAGTAGCTAGAAGACAAGAGAACATGCTCGAGCACCCATTCCCTCCGGGCAACCACTTCAATCATATCAAGAGTTCCCCCACCTACTTGACCAGGCTTGATACCCCTCTGCTGTGCCACAATGGATGCCCCACCCCCCACTTTCCCATTCAGTCAGGCCACGCGGCGGAAGATTCCGCACCCGCGGTATTAACTCCGGGACGGCGAACCAGGTAATCCTGGAGTAAGTCCCGGCGCCCAGAACCTGGTTCTTACCCATCAATCTCCACTGTACAAACTTTCTCTAAATGCAGCCCTGCATGTGTCAAATCGCCGATGGCGGCATCCCTTCCTATAAGGGTCCCTCTAGCGCCAACAGCGCGCTCGGCATTAGTGCGAAAGCAGACCTCGTATTGCCCAGCTTCTCGGTGGTGGGAAAAAACGCAATCGACTCGCGGCTCCTCGCGCTAGCTAGTCAGACCCCTCTTGCATGCGTCAAAAAAGCGCTGCTGCTGCGCCTCTTACCTACACGCGCGCATACCCAGACGGTCGGCGACTTGCGTGAAACGCTAAGGTCGGGGACCCACATGCCGCAAGATAGTCGGGTTCTGAGTCTATCGGCCGGGCTTTGTGAGAGAGGACCCGAAACATCAGCCGGCAAACCTGATCTGCAACCACGAGGTGAGTGCCGGAAGGTTGCGGACCGATGAAGTTCGGATGTCAGCGTTTAGCTTCACGGCACTGTGGGTACTATACTTCGATTACTGAACGTAGCTGAGAAAACGACGATGCACGTCAGACTTTGCTGACTTGACTATGGGCAAGATGACTGACACTTCACGATTCTCAATGCCTAAGTAATTTAGAATTTTGGCCTATTTTTGATTTTCATTCCGATTATGTAATACTGTGCGAACGGCTTCTGCCAGTCCGTTCGCTTGATCAAAGCAGTCTGGCTTAACGATCACTCAGTAAGAGAGATGCATTTTGGCCTCAAAATGCAGTACTTCAAGCGGATAAAAGCCACTTAATCTACCAACCACGTCCAATAGAACCTCTATAAACTAAAAATATAGAAAATGGTAAAAATATCCCTCCATGTACCACGCAGCACAGCGGGCCGAATACGCACCAATCAGAACCCCCGCACGCCGCATCTACCCGGAGTGGGAATCCCATCTCCCGGGCTCACCAACGACATCCCATCATCTGCCGACATCAAAGTCTCCCAGAACTGCAGGCATAGTCGAGCTTGATTCAAATAAGTCGACCAAGTGCCGATGCTTATGAGCTTCAACGTTGTCCGGACCCCTGATCAGACCGGTCAGCCCTTCATACCCCTCATACCCTGTCCGAGCGCTCGAGTCTCCGGAATACTCAAGTGGTGGACAGGTACGTACATGGGATAGTCATGATGGTATTCGTGCAGACAAACTCCCTGTAATGACAGCCTGGCATTCCAAATAACTTTCTCATTTTAGTCTTTTCCTCAACTCCATACGACGTGTCACTTCACTGACGACATATGCCTCGGCTCGGCTATCATTGCAATATGCTCAACCACCTCCGACGGGAAGAAGCGGCGCAGGGCTGCCGCTCTTTTACTCGGCTCGGTACGGCTCGTAGGACACACGGACGGGTGCTTGGGAAAAAACTCGGCTCTCTTTCTGCCTTGGACAGCCGCGGTAGTAACTCCGCCCCGCCCCGCCGCCACCGCCACCGCCTACAATCCCGCCACCGGAGAGAGGGGTCCTAGCACTCCTCTCAGCCCAGAACGCCTCCTAGGTACTCCACTTCACGAACACGCAGAGTGCGTCCTGCAACTAGTCGTAGTCGCAGATAGCGGCATACCTTCCTACAATACAAGAGAGCGCCTTTAGCGCGCGCTTGCTTGGCAAGCTGTGCCACTCGTACTTAACTTTTCCGACAAACCGCGCGGCTCGTCCCATGCCGCAATGGTGTTCCGGCGCAAAGGGCTTCACGCTAGCTAGTCATACAGGGCAGCTGGTAAGCGCCGTGCTTCTCACTAAAGCGGCGTGCGTGCGCTTCTCTCAGCTGCTGTGCACGCACTAAAGGAATCGGAGCCCCACATGCCGTGTCGATACCTGGCTTAGCTCGGTTCGTCAGTTGGAACTTATTGGACATTGCATGTACGATCCCTGGTACGTGCTACTAGTCTCAATGATCGGCACGGGGAAGGGGGGACGAGGAGGAGGGGGAACGGGGGTGTGGTGTGGCACAGACAGACAAGATACCGGACGTGTACCCTGATCTGCGGAGAGCCGGAAGGTGGCGGGAAGTTAACGTTTTCGGTAAATCCAAACGTCTGTGAGTTTTTTTCGGTTGCGGGATCGGGAGACGCAAGGACACCGGTGAAAAACGTGCGTGTTGGCCTTGGGTGGTGTGGTTTTGAGTTTGCGGTTTGTTGGCGTTATCTTGCTATTTTAGGTAAAGAGGCAGAAGTGGGTTTGAATTGACTATCTGTCCAGGGTAGAGGCACGTGGGAACTATAGCAAAAGAGCAAGGCTGATAATGGGTGTAGATGAGACATGGTACAGAGCATGGTACTGAAGACACTTCGTCTATGTTAAACAGTATGTACTGGTGAAGATACGCAATGCTATTCCTTTTAAACTATTGGTGATCTAGAATGAGTAAATGTACTGGGATAGATACTTGGTGTTGATGGAAATGCACTTTCATGAGGTTATTCAGACAACAGGTTTTCTGTAGACATCGCGTTCAAGCCTGAGAAATTCGACGCATTGCTGTATAACAATTTATCTAGAGGTATATAGGTATAATAGTAAAACCAACAACAAATTTATCCCCTGATACTCATCTATATATCTAAGACGCTCATAGATCATAAAACATTACTAGGAGATTTCTCTGTAAACGCAGACGTAAACGACGCTCAAAGCAAACGCAAACAAACGCTCAAGTCAAGCAAAGCAGAAAAATCAAACACCAAAGCGCCAAGCATTCGCAAGAAACGCAACAGATGTCAAACAAATTAGTTCTCCGTCAACTTCCCATAAAACCACTCAACGAGGTGCACAACAGTGGGATGGTTCCACGTCAGCGTCGGCGGCACCTTGACGGGCGCCATAGCCGCCTGCAGCTTCTGGCGCAGCGCAACCGTCATCACGCTGTCGACACCCAAATCCGACACCGCAGCGCGCGGATCGATGTCTTCGATATCATTCATCATCAGCACCGCGCCGATACACTCACGGATCTTGACCGACAACCAAGCCTTGAGCTCCGGTCCGTCCTTAGGCCTTGCTTCCGCGTCTCCCTTCTTCTCCTCCGCGGCGGCGGCGGCAGCAGCGCCAATGTTGGTGACGCGCCTCGGCGCAATCTCCTCGACGAGCGGAATGGGAGCTGGCTCGCCGACCTCGAGCGGGCGGGCGCGCGTGATGACAGAGTGGGCGACGTCGAACTTGGCGACGTGCTCCCAGGCGCGGAAGCCCTCGTCGCGGGTGATGTCGGTGATGCCCTTGGAGTTGAGCTCGACGGTGAGGAAGTCGGTCGAGGTCGCCATGCCGAGGCCGCGCCAGGCGGTCCACTGGAAGGCGACGGCGTTGTCGCCGTGGGCGCGGCGGTGCGAGGCGAGGGCGTCGAGGAAGGCGTTGGCCGAGCCGTAAGGGGACTGGCCGGCGGTGCCGACGAGTTGGCCGATGGACGAGAAGAGGACGAAGAAGTCGAGGGTGGCGGGCGGGAAGGCCTTGTGCAGGGCGAGCGAGCCGGCGACCTTGGGCTGGAGGACGCGGGCGAAGGACGGCGCCGTCGTGTCGAGAATGAGGTTGTCTTCGAGGACGCCGGCGGCGTGGATGACGCCGAGGACGGGCGGCAGCGACAGGCGGTCCAGCGCGGCCGTGAGCTGCTCGTGGGCGTCGGCGGCGCCAATGTCGAGCGGCACCGCGTGGATCGAGGCACCCAGCTTCTCGAGGGCACGGATCTTCGCGACGACGGGCTTGAGGTTGTCAGGGATGGCGTTCCACTTGCTGCGCGGCGGCAGCGCGCGGCGAGAGACGACGACGATGCGGCGGGCGCCCTTCTCGACCAGGAAGTCCAGCACCTCCAGGCCAAGGTCGCCAAAGCCGCCAGTGACGACGTAGGTGCCCTCGGGCTTGGGCAGGAGCGTCTTGTTTGAGTCGGCTGGGTGACGCTGGTCGCGGGCAAGCGGCCTCATGCGGCCGACGCGCGGGATGCCGTCCTCCATGCGGATGATGTCGACATCACGCACGTACTTGATGGCCATGGTGGGGAAGACTGGGGCCTCGTTGTCGATCAAGGCGCCCCAGACGTCCGGGTGCTCCTGTGCGGCGATGCGGCCCAGGCCGTACAGCGCGCCGTGGGCAAGGGCGGTGTTGGATTCGCCCTTGTGCACGGCATCGGTGATGACGAAGAGCTTGGCCGCGGCGCCCGAGTTGACGAGCTGCTTGATCATGAGGACCGTCTCCCAGACGAAGCGGTTGGTCGCATCAGGAACCTCCTCCAGAGACTCGACCTTACTAGGGAGGTAGACGACGGCAGAGCCCTTCTTCTTGAGGATCTCGAGCGTCTGCGGCTGGCTCAGCTCCTCGGCAGCGTTGGCAAGAAGCACCTGCGGGACCTGGCCCTTCAGCTGGGCCGAGTACTGCTCCAGGAGAGCAGAGTCATCGGACACCAGCACGACGGAGTTCAGCTGCAGCGGCTTCTCGGCAAACTTGGGCGGGATCCAGGCAATCTGGTGGGCCAGGCTCTCGACGCCGCCGCCAATGCCCGAAGCGCCCTCGACATCCGAGAAGCGCATCGACTGGAACTTGGCAATCATCTCACCCTTCTCGTTGAGCACGCTGACGTGCGAGGCCGGGCTCTTGTCGTCGGCAGCCTCCTCGATGTAGAGGTAGCCGATCTTGGGCGGCGGGGCGTCCGACAGGAGGAAGACCTTGTCGATCTGAGAGACAATGCGCATGCGCGGGTCGTTGAAGAAGATGGTCGAGCCGACCGAGGTGGCGGCGTCGAGCAGCGGGGCCCACGATTGCGGGTCCCAGTCCATGCTGTCAGTGTCGGGGTTCATGTCGACACGCACAATCATCTCCTTCTCGTTGCCGTAGTGCTCGACGACGCCCCACGGGAAGGCGATGCCCGAGACGCCAATCTTCTGCAGGTAGTCCCAGGCGAAGCTGTTGGGCAGGATGGTGCCAATACGCTTCTTGATGCCCTCGATGTCGAAGACCTGGGTGGGTGCGGCCTTCTTGGGGGTGCTCCAGTGGGCGGAGCTGTGGGGAATCCATTGGTGCTCCAGGTCGTCAGTGGAGCCGTTCTTCTGCTCGAGGCGCGAGGCGACCTTGATCTCATCGCCCTGGACGACGATCTGCACCTCGCGGCGGTCGCTGCTCATGGACACGGGCACGCGCAGCTTGATCTCGCTCAGCTCGGTGCCGCCGGTGGCGTGGTGGAAGGTGTTGACGTAGACGGCAGCGGGGATGATCTCGGTGCCGTCGAGCGGGTGGGTGCCGGGGAAGGGCTTGGTCTTGTCATCGAGCTTGGTCGTGTACAGGACCGTGTCGGTGCCGGCGATGGGGGTGCGCTGGCCGAGCAGCGTGTGCTTCTCGACGTCGTGCTGGGTGCCCTCGCCAGTCGGGCCCGTCTCGACCTCACGCCAGTACGGCTTGTGAGCCCACGGGGTGCCGGGCACGCGCTGGCACCAGGCACGGCCGAACTGGGCCTTGAAGTCGACCTGCGAGCCCTTGCCCCAGAGCTGGGCAATAGCGTGCTGGATGCTGCGGGAGGCGGACGAGTTGCGCTTCATGGTGGAGATGATGGCAGACTCGGTCAGGTCGCGCTCGGCCAACGTCTCGTTGATCGAGTGGCTGACGATGGGGTGGGTCGAGACCTCGAGGAAGACGCGGAAGCCGTCCTCGATGGCGGCGTTGACGGCCGAGGTGAGCCAGACGGGGCTGATCATGTTGTTGACCCAGTAGTCGATGTTGCGCAGGCTGTCGGCGCGCGGGTACGTGTTGGACGTCGAGTACAGCGGCACCACGGGCGGGCGCGGGTTGAGGGCCTTGGACAGGGCCTCGGCGAGCGGGTCGGCCAGCTTCTCGAGCATGGGGCAGTGGAAGGCGATGTCGGTCTTGACCTGGAACGTCTTGATGCTGCGCGCCTTCAGGGCCTCGACGTACTCGGCAAGCGCGCCTGCCTCGCCGCTCACCACGCACGACGACGGCGACGAGTCGATGGCCGCCACAATGTCGCGCCTGTTGCCCAGCTCCGCCGCAACCTGTGCGAACGGCAGGTTCACCAGCGCCATGCCACCCAGGCCCTTGACCTGCGCGTACAGCCTGGCCCGGCGCGTCACGACCAGCGCACCCTCTTCGGCCGTCAAGCAGCCCGCCGCCACCGACGCCGCGATCTCGCCCACCGAGTGGCCGATGACGGCCGACGGCTCGACGCCCTTGGATCGCAGCACCTGGGCGAGGCCGACCTGGACGACGTAGGTGAGCACCTGGATGTGGTCCGAGTGCTCGAAGTCGCCGGTCCGCAGCACCTCGATGGCCGAGTAGCCGACCTCCTTCCGCACGATGTCGTCCAGCGGCGTGATGGTCTGCAGGAAGACGGGGTTCTGCAGCAGCTCCTTGCCCATGTCGGCCCACTGCGCGCCATGGCCCGAGAAGACCCAGACGGCGTCCTTCTTAGTAGCGTTATCGAAGACACGTCCGTCAGCAACCCACTCCGCCGATCCTCCCTTGGCGAAGGTGCGCAGAGACTCTACGGCCTCCTCGTGGCTGCCGACGACAAAGGTGGCGCGGTAGTGGTGGGGAGCGCGGCGGAGAGCGAGGGTTGCGGCGATGCCCTTGAGGTCCTCGTCCTTGCCGGCACCCTCGAGCCAGTCGGCCAGCGCCGTGGCCTGCGAAGTCAGCCTCTTCTCCTGCGGCGCCGAGATGACCAGCGTGACGGGCTCCGAGGCCGTCTCCTGGATCGGTGCAGCGCTGTTGTTGTTCGCCGGCGCTTGCTCGATGACGACGTGCGAGACGGAACCGCCATAGCCGTATGAGCATACGGCGGCGCGGCGGGGGGTACCCTGCGGCTCCGTCCACTTGGTGCGCTCGCGAACCACCTTCAGGCCAGACTTCTCCCAGTCAACACGCGTGTTGAGCTTCTGCAGACGCGTCTGCGGCGCGAGCTCACCCTTGTTGACAGCGAGCACAGCCTTGACGAGGGAAATGGCACCAGCGGCGGCCTCGAGATGGCCGACGTTGGGCTTGATGGAGCCGATGTGGGCGGGTGCGTCGACAGGGCGCCCCTTGCCGTAGACGGCCGAGATGGCCGACACCTCGGTCGGGTCACCCAGGGAAGTCGACGTCGCATGCGCCTCGATGTAGCCGACCGACAGCGGGTCGACGCCCGACCGCTCCAGCGCCTGCCGCGCCACCAGCTCCTGAGCCTTGGCGTTGGGCGCCATGATGCCGTTCGTCTTGCCGTCCTGCGCCAGCGCGCTGCCCTTCAGCACCGCCAGCACGTTGTCGTTGTCGGCGAGCGCGTCCGACAGGCGCTTCAGAACAAGCACCGCACCACCCTCACCGCGCGCGTAGCCGTGCGCATCGTCGTCGAACGAGAGGCAGACGCCGTCGGGAGAGAGCGCGCCCGCCTTGCCCAGCATGACGAACAGCGCCGGCGAGCACAGCACGTTGACACCACCGACGATGGCGACCTGCGACTCACCGTTGGCGATGGCCTGGCGACCCATGTGGACAGCTACCAGCGACGACGCGCACGCCGCGTCGACGGCCGAGCTGGGGCCCATCAGGTCGAAGTGGTACGATATCCGGTTGGGGATGCCGTGCGCGGTGGACCCGATGCCCATCCACGCCTCGATGTTGGGAATGTCCTCGAGCAGCAGCCGCGAGTAGTCGTCCGAGTCGACGCCCATGTACACGGCCGTGTCGGACCCGCCCAGCGTCTTGGGGTCGATGCCCGCGTTCTCGAGCGCCTCCCACGACAGCTCCAGGCCCAGCCGCTGGTGCGGGTCCATCTGCTCCGCCTCCTTCGGCGAGATGCCGAAGAAGGACGCGTCGAAGTTCTCCAGGTTCTCGATGAAGTAGCCGCGGTTGATGGCCTTGTCGATCTCCTTGGGGTTCCGCACGTCTCGCCGGTACCACGGCTCCCACCGCTTCTTGGGCACCTCGCCAGATGCGTCCTTCTTGTCCAGAAGGAACTGCCACAGCTTCTCGGGCGTGGTGTTGTCTCCCGCCGTGCGGCAGGCCATGCCGATGATGGCTACATCCTCGTAGGCGGGCTGGGGAGTATTAGCGGGTGTCGAACTGAAGAAATTGGGGTTGATCTGAGGAGGACTGGGAGAATTGAAGAGCTTGAGAAGAATGGTATTGAGACTGGAGAAGGACTAGGAAAATTAAAGAGGAATTCCAGCAATTGATGGTGAACTCTTGGGAACTGAAGAAGAATGCCGAGGCGGCTGAAAAGCACAGGGAGAGAAGATTGAAGAGAAGTGAAGAAACATTGAAGCACTCACAGATTTGGAGGGGGATGAGGGGTTGCTGAGCATCTCAAAGGAGCTCGAGTTGCTGGAAGACGGCACGGCGCCGTTCGAGGAGGTGGAAGTGTTGGCCATGATTCTGGCAAACGGGGTATCTCTTTTGGGTGTTGTTGTTTGGTTCCTCCTCTCTCAACGGCGCGCGCTTGTCCTGTCAGTGGCGGTCCCCGCTGGGCTCTTATCCTTATGAGAGAAAGCTCCCGCCGCTTCACGAAATGAGGCCACCCAGGACCGTTGTGATAAGACGTGGGGGATGGCCATTGGCCTCGGCCAGGCCCCCTTGGCCCGGCCCCGAGTGTGGGGCACTTTCTGAACGCTACGGGGAATTCGACGGACGCTTCCGTGTGGATTGATGATTGCGGCGTGGACGCTGGACACCGTCTTTTCGTCGTGTCTGTATTGAGCCAAGGCCATGGCGCGGCAAGCGAGACGGGCTTCGCGCTTATCTCGCCGCGCGCTGGGTGATGGGGCGGCGGAAGTGTGTCCGAGCTGCCCTCTAGCCTGCTTCCCGGATCGGCAGAGGCGGCGCCACATGGACGGGGGGCAACCCTGACTCGATGGGCAAGCGAGGCCGCCAGCCCGGGTCGACGGCCAACGTCCGGGAGCGCCATGAATCGGAGCCCAATACCAATCCTCGACGACCAGCGGCGGACCGTGCCGAACGCCAGCTCGCACGTGTTGCACACTAGCTAGTCATCGCCAAATGCCCTGACACGAGTCGGCCCTATTGGTCAGCGGCGCGCAGCCCCTATCCCGGGGTGCGCGCCTCCAAACAAATCCGACCCTGTCCCACCCGCAGCCCTCAACCCTTCACCGCGCGAGAAAATAAACAATGGCCACTGACGACATCCAAGTTGTGCCCGTCACGCAGTTGCCCGCCAACTCGTGGTTCGAGGGCTTCGCTCTCCGCCCCAATGGCAACATCCTCGCCACCCGCCTCGACGCCCCAGAGCTGTACACCTTCGACCCGGCCGATCCCACCGCGCGGCCGGAGCTGCTCCACACCTTCCCGGATGCAAATGGCCTGGTCAACCTGTGCCCCATTGGGGACCCCGACGACGATGAGTTCGCCGTGATAGCCGCCACAGTCGAGCTGCAGCAAGTCCAGTTCGACTCGGCCGTCATCTGGCGCGTGAAGCTCGACGCGGCCAACAAATGCACCATCACCGAGCTCGCCCGCGTCCCCGACTCGGGCTTCTGCATCGGCGTCATCCAGGTCGGCCCGCACACGCTGGCCATCGCCGACTCGCACAAGAACTGCATCTGGCGCCTCGACGTCCGGTCGGGCAAGAGCTCGGTGCTGGTGGCCGACGACACGATGAAGGCGGCCACCGAGGAGGACTACTTCGGCATCAACCGCCTGCGCATCTCGCACGGCCTGCTGTACTACACCAACACCAGCGCAGGCCTGCTGTGCCGCGTGCCCGTCGAGACGACCGATGCCGTGGACGAAGGCATCAAGACGACGGGCGGCGTCGAGATTGTCGCCAGCGACCTGCCCCACTGCGACGGCCTGGCGATCACCGAGGATGGTAGGTCCATCTTCACCGCCAACTATATGGCCGGCGTCGTGTGGAGGGTCGACCTCGAGGGTGACGACCGTAGCGTCACGTCCATCCTCACCCGCGGGCTCGCCAGCCCCACCAGCGTCGAGTTCGCTACCGTCGACGGCAAGCAGCGCCTGTACGTCACGTGCTGCGGCGGTGAGGCTACCAGCGTCGGCTGGGTCAACGAGGACGATCGCCTGTCGGAGCTCAGCAAGTTCAACCTCGAGATCGAGGTCACGGCCGAGGTGACGGTGACGGAGGAGGTCGTTGAGGCGAAGAACTAAAGGGAAAAGGAACCGGAAAGCAAGCCCGATGCTGCAAAACATACACATGGGAAAAAGCAACAAACGGCGTAGGCGTTCAACTATTGGGAAATTCATCGGAGGGAGGGATAGGAGGGAGGCGCGGCGAACTAGCAGTCCAGTCTCATAGAGCAAGATGTATACCACACCACACACACACACACACTATTACTACAAGCAACCAGGGCAACCAAAAATTCATTTTTCTTGCTATGGACACAACGTACACATGCCAGTCTTCCACGATGTGCGTTAGACCTCCAACACGTTCACTCCCTAACCTGTCAACACTTCACGCAATCCTCTCCCACTTTCCCATCCGGCCACCTCTCACCACGGGCAAAGGACAGACGGTGGCATCCGACCCGTGTCCCGATTCGCCCGATTTACGATGAGCCCGGTGCGCTCGGCCATCCGCCTACTCCCGGGGGAGGACAACTACTGGCCCGGCCGTTTCCCTTCGGCGGTAGCCGCGCGGGCTGTCCCTTCTTTCGTTCAACCAAGTCATGCCGCAGCAGCAAAATACGTACGAGCGTTGCGGCACAGCATTCGATTAAGTGTGGGGCCTCGCGGCCGTTTCCCGTTACACTCTGCGCAGATGAAAATTTTCGGCGCAGACCGGTGAAAAAAGTGGGAGAGTGGAAGGTATATGAGAGAGGCGTAGCAATATTGTAAGCGCTACCGTGCCTCTTGCATGACGCCACAACGTAGAAAATGGATGTTCCCGGCCGGGGATTGACCTGTGTGGTTCGCGGTAACTACTGATCACCAGCGCCTTGTGGGTGTGGGATGGGAGGCCTTTCTCCTCGGCCCGTTTTTTCCTTCTGCCTTGTGTGCCTGTGCCAAAAAACCCCCCCATAGAAATTTCCTGCACTCTGGATGGCTCCGTGCGTCCCCTGCGTCTTTCCCATCGGCCCACGGCTCCCCGAATGCCGTGGGCCGGGTGTCCAGTGTGTGATTGCGGCACAAACCACCGCACCGCCCACAACAAACCGTGCCACCCCTTCCCACCAGCCCCCCGTCCCTGCCCCCCGGTCACGTTCGTCTCGGCCCTCCCGTGTTCTGATAAGCTCAAGGTCCTGACCGCTGGTAGCGACGACCCATGTTTGAGAAGAGAGCAAAGCCCCACGCAGGGACCGAGCAGCGGCGTGGCTGCAGGGGCCGCGGCGGCACGGCTCGCCACTGAACGCGGGAGGTGTGACAGAGTGCTGGTTTTCCTCAGGCCCTCGTTCGCTGTGTTCCAGACAACCGCTGGACAGAGAAGGGACGTATACGCCACCCTTTGAGCCGCCGCTGCCGGAGGCGGACATGGCCGCTGCCCAATGCTCTTTATTTGCGTCAATGTCTTAGATGCTATACGCCTTTTTTACCCCGCTAATCGCGGAAACCAAACTTCGCTTGTTTGCTATTACAGACGACCGATATTCCTATGCCTCTACCTTTTTCGCGTGCTCGCCTGGTCGTTTATACGGTGCTCCCGACCAGGGTTTTGTGTTGCTGAGCACGGGCGTTCGCTCTCCGGTCGCCCGGGAAGGATTGAAAGATGTGGATCTTCCCCTATCACAACAGGCATCTTATCTCCGATCTTCTTCATCCTTCCTGCGGGGTGGTGAATCTTCACAAGCTCACATCCTTGCAGCGGGGAACGCGGTTCAGGCTGTCCGTCGGGCCTTGTTTTTAAGTGTTACTAGGGGGGTCCCACTTTCTTACGACGTCACGAAGGATTGTTGCGCCGCCGCTACTACAATAATGGAGGGTCACGACGCGGCGTGGGTGGTTGCATTATGAATAATGGTGTAAACGGGCTGGGCTAGGCCTTCTGTCATGAAACGGGCAGCCTTGGTGCCTTGTTCGCTCTAGATGCGCCTGTTCTCTGCTGCCTTGCCGCCGGAGTGGATAATGTGCCTGCAATGCTGCTCGTTTTCTCCGCTGATCGCCTCTGCAGGAACAGAAAACGGGCTGGGCCTCCACCCTGCTGCACGACGCACCGATCCTTTTGTCCTGCAGGGCGCTCGTAACGAGAGAGGGAACGAGCTCAAAAGTCGTCACGCCGCCTTCAGAAAAAAACAGAGCGTCGTCAATGCAGACGGAGGCTCCGCTGCAGCCCGAGTCGCGCTGCATATTACGACAGAAAGCGAGAAAAGCAGGGTCTCCAAGCACGCTCTGGCCCGCGGTTCCCCACAGGGCGCCAATAGTAATCGCTTATCACGCCTGTGCCGCGTTCATGCCTTTGTGTGGATGAGGCGAAGAAGAGCCGCCCGGGATTTCTTTTTCGATCGATATGCATATGCAGGTGGTCGGTCGATGGCCCCGGCTAAAAATTGACGCGCGATGAGGCTGTTAACTGCAAGGCGGTCTGCCTGTCGGTATTCAGACCGCCTGAGCTCCCCCCAACCACACGGTCCGCCTTTGAAACAGGGACTGACAAAAGGAGATGCTGGCATGATGATGGTTTCAGAGCTGGGGGTTTTGTCAACGGGGTGGTAGGGGCAAAAGGTCTCACGCGATATCATTGGGGGTTCCCCTGACTAATGCCTTTCATTGATTCTCCATCCAAATTGCCTATTGCACGCATGCGCAATCACCGATCCCATAACGCAAGAATCTCATGCGAGCCGAAAAGAGAGGCAGGGCCTTCTAGCGCGCTTCTTCTTTCGACAACGTCAACGTTTTCGCTGACCGCCTGGTAGGGCTCACAATTCTCGCGTGCGGCGTAGCCGTTGAGGGTGTCGCTATTGATCAGGGCGCAGCGCCCGTTAGTTCTTCGACTCCCCACAGATCTTCGTCCTCGCGGGCGGACGTTTCTCGGATGAGCTCATGCTCCGTTGTCTTGCATGGCTAGCGGCCACGTGAAAAAGTGGTGCCCGCGTTGGCGCCGGCGGCCCCACCTTTGAACGTCCACCATGTTCTGTGTCTGACTGACACCGGAGAGCAGCAATTGGGTAGTAGTATGGCACCTTTTCGACGTTTTTCCCGCTATCAGTCATAGTCGCGCTCCTCCCCCCTCTTTCGTAGTTATTGGATCTTGGCAAGTTGGGGGTTGCCGAGTTCCCTTCAGGCATTGATGGTCGTTAGCCTCGAGTCAGGAACCAGGCGAGTGCCACGCGTTGATTGACAAGCCCAACACGAGGTCTGCTAGCGCGTGTTGCTCATTCTCAGGACGGAAGAGGATGTGTTCGTTGTTCACGGATCGGGATCGGCTAGCCCGAAACGAGCTTCGGGAATGCATTGCTTTTTCCGTCTTCTCCTCACTTTAGGTGAAGATAAGCTATAGCTGAAGGATTGCACGACGATTACGGATCCTCCGGATGAGAGGCATGGCCATGATTATGGGATGCATCACATTCATTCCAAAATCAGCTTCACGATAGCCATTGCTGCCCCGCTGCTTTGCAATTTATGCTCTGATATTACGCAATCACTTGCTCGGGCAGCAGTTCCTTCGTTAGCAGGAGCTAGGCTTTAACAATCTTAAAAGCCCTTGAATCTTTCTGCATGCTGATTGCCAATAGTAGAGGTTCGCACGTGACGAGCGAAGTGGACAGTGCTGAGTACTAGGCACTACGCGACTTGACACTCCTTGTCAATCTATAAACTAGCTAAATTGCAACGACGTCGGATTCTAGTGTGAAGTAAAATATATCCCCTTCTCCCTTCTTTACTCGCGGCGGCACGGCGTTGAGCGAAAGCAGCAATTTCAGTGCTAGCTCAAGCCTCCGGGAGCCAGTGGTGTAGTTGACGCCACCACAAGTCGACGCTAGCCATGGAAGATTCCAGGAAGCCGTCGAATCCTGCCAATCATCAAACCCTGAAAATCGTCACAAAAAACGCCTCGGATCCTGCGAACGCGAAGATCCGAAAATCCGACCAAGCCGCCAAAAACGCCTCAAAATCCTCAAACACGAAGAAAAGGCCGATGGTGTGTAGCGTGATGGTGTGTAGACTACGCGGATCATCTCCGAGTTGAAATTAAGGACGAACGAACTACTGCGACGCGGCACATGGTGTCTTAGCTGGGGGGCAAACGGCGTAGGAACCCAACGAACTTTTTTTTCAAACACACAGGGCTCCCAATGAAATGAAGCTTTTCTTGGGCAGCTCGCAGGCTTACGCAACCGTGGCTTGAAGCCGGCCCATCGACGTCATGCTTTTTTCGGCGTAGCACAGAATCCTTCGCGGCTCCGCGGCTCCTGCAACAACCCCTGTGCGGATGGGGGCCGTGCGTGTTCGAAGACTAGGCCGTCGCCCACCTACTTTGCTCGCTAACCTGCTTTTAGTTCCCTCTTTTCAACTCCAGAGCTACAAGGCTGCGATGCGCCAAAACAACGACATAGGTCCTCAACTATGCTTACAAAATTCATTTCTATACATTTTGAAGATGAAAAACTATGGGTTCTGGAGGTATAGACTCTGTGATATGAATTGTAGCTATGAGCGGATTTGCGGAGCTTTTCCTTTCCGGCAGCATATTTAAACATGATTTTTCGACTTTGACAGTACATTTACACCAGTGCACGAGAAAAATTCAAACTGCATCTCTGCAATATCTTTTGAAAGCCGGGCAATAGACGTTTCTGATCTCTTAAAGAAATTTTGATATCTGCTCTAGCAAAGGTGCCCCAAAATGACTGACCAATACCGCACCGAGATCCAACAGGCAAGTCTTGCCAACGAGCCCTTCCCACCAGCAGCTCCATCACTCACTACACGCAGATGATGTTCGTCGCAGGCGAAAGCGGCGACATATCCCCCGAAACGACATCCATGGTCGAACGAATCGTCCAGCAGCAAGTCACTGAGCTCGTAAATGCTCCTTCTTTCTCTGCACAGAAGCAAACTCACCCCACCACGCTCACAACCCCCGCTAATCTTCTCCACCCCCGCACCCAGCTCTTCCGCGCCGACGCCCTCGCCGCCCGCCGCGGCAGCCGCATCATCTCCTCCGACGACCTCATCTTCCTCATCCGCGACGACAAGGACAAAGTGTCGCGCCTGCTGCACTTCCTCTCCTGGAAGGAACTGCGCAAGAATGCGAAGGACCGCGATGACAAGAGCGGCGGCGGTGACGTCGGCGACCTGGCCGACGACGCAGACGTGCTGCCACTAGACGGTGGCAGCGGCGGCGGCGGTGGTGGTGGTGACCCGGCATCCCGCAACAGCAGCAGCAACAGCAGTAACAACAAGACCAAATCAACCAAGATCCTCCTCCCGTGGGACGTCGCGAACCTGTACAACGAGCACCCGCCCGAGCTCGAAGCTGCGGACGAGCAGTCGCAGCAAGAGGACGCGGCAGCGGCGGCGACAGCGGCGGTAGAGGCGGACTCCGCACAACTCCGCCGCCTCCGCGCCGCCGACGAGCGCACGCAGGCCATGACGCGGGCCGAGTACGCCGTCTGGGCGGAGGCGCGGCAGGCGTCGTTCACGCGGCGCAGGAAAGCCAAGTTCCGCGAGTGGGCGGGGTTGGGCGTCGTCGCGGATGCGCGGGTGGGGGAGGATGTGATGGATATACTGGGGTTTCTGACGTTTCAGATGGTCGTGTCGTTGACGGAGAAGGCGTTGGGGGTTAAGGAGGTGGAGGAGGGGATGCGGGCCGGGGGACTGCAGGGCCGGGATGGGGCGAGGAGGGGGGCGGCGGCGGGTGGTGGGGATGAAGGAAGCTTGTTTGCGGCGAGGGGGGGAGAGGCGGTGGTGGTGGGAGTGAGGCATGTAGGCGAGGCGTTTCGGAGACTGCAGCGGGAGGGGGGGAAGGGTGTGGTTGGGGGGCAGAGGAGGAGGGGGCTGAGGTTGGTGAGTTGGGTCTTTCAGATGGCTTGGTGGTTGCGGAGATGCTGACTGGTTTTGTAGTTTTAGGAGATCGAGGACAGCTGGAAACAGCATGCTGAGCAGCAAAGGCAGCCTTTATATGGCGGTGGGAGTTGGATTGCTCCGGGTGAGTGCGGCGTGCGGGGGTTTTGATTGGTCGGGCGGGGTGGGTTTGCTCTGCCCAGAAGGGAAATTCTTCATGGACGGCCTTAACGAGATAGGAAGGAATGATCAGTCCTCTTCAATCCATCATACCATTCATTGAATCAGTTGTCAGTCAAAGAAAAGCGCCCTGCTTTCTTCTCCAAACGCAAGTAATCATCATCCCCCCAACAACAACCACCTGCTCTTCACTTCACTCCCTAAACGGATGCTTAAAACAAACCTTCCTAAAGCTCGCCCCCTTCTCACACCTCTCCTCCAACTCCCTCACCAGCTCCCCCACCGGCTTATCCACCACCTCCACCGTCGGAATCTTAAACGCCCCCCCATAATTCCCCACCGCCCACTCCAACGCCTCGAACACCCGCGCCGCCTCCTCCGGCCTCGGCGGCACCGTGACGACCTTCCCCTCCGCCCCCGGCGGGCTAAACGAAAACGGCAGCTCCAAACTCGCCAGGGGCATCAGCGCGCCAGGATAGATGGTCGAGCAGACCTTGATCACTTCCTCCCCCTCCTCCTCACCAGCACACGCAAACGCCCTCTCCCCCGTCCTCTGCCCCGGATCCCCCACCGCGTCGAAGATCCGCGTCAACCTTCCCCCCAGCACCTCCGCCGCAGCAGCCTCCCGTATCTTGTCCACGACATCCGCGTCGCGGTAGTCGAAGCACCGCGTCGCCCCCAACTCGCGCAGCGCCGCGTGGTTCGCCGCCGACGCGGTGGCGAAGATGTGCCGCACGCCGACGGCTTTGGCGAACTGGATCGCCATGAAGCCGAGCGACGACGCGCCGCCCCACACGAGGAGCGCGGGGAGAGCTTGGTCCCCAGAAGAAGACTCGCCGGGCAGCGGATACCGCAAATGATTAAACACCACATCCGCCGCCGTGCGCGTCGACACGGCCATGCACGCCGCGTCCTCGAGCGGCAAGCTCCCATCGTCCGGCAGCTTCCACGCCATGCCGTCCGGCACAATCGCATAGTCTTGATGGGTTCCGAAGTGGGGAGGGCGGCCGAGCGAGGAAGGGGTGCAGCCGGCGATGCGGTCGCCGACGCTGAAGCGCGAACCGGGGCCGGCGCCGACGACGGTGCCGCTGAAGTCGTAGCCCGCGACCGTGTCGCGGATGCCGAGTTGGCGGCCATGTTTGATGTCGGCTGGGTTGAGGCCGGAGAAGGCGATGCGGACGAGGGTTTGGGAGGGGCCGGGGGCGGGGGGGTCGGGAAGGTGGCGTGATTCGAGGGAGGCGGTGGTGGAGATCCAGATGGCGAGGTTTGGGGAGGTCATGGTGGTGTGGCTGGTGGTGGGTGGCTGATTGAGACGTGTGAAGGAGAAGTTTATGCGAGATTGAGTTAGGCCAAGGCAGCAGGAGGATTTCGTGCATCATATAGCTCGTAGCATCCGATGTGGTCCACCATTTCCTCTTTGGTTATCGGTTCTCTCGGCCGAGTCACCTCCGCAGTAACGCACCATATGTACCTATAGCTTATGAAATCCGCTTCCTCTGTCTCAGATTCCGGTCTTTCTGTTTCATAATCCTCCAGCCTTCGGTGTTGGGCGTACGTATCTCACAAACAAGGTGGTTGTCGGAATCTCGCCGGGTGGGGCTTTGGTGACGGATTGAAAGGTATATTTGCCAAAGCTCCTAACCACCCCAGTAGCCCCGAAAAGAAGAAAGAAGTCCCCTATAGAAGCCCGCCGCTCCTAGGAGATAGCCTCTCCATCATCACGCCGCCGCCTCCTCCCCCCGCATCAACCCCATCTTCTCATCCAAACTCTTGACGCAGGGCGAAAAGAACATCTCCCCACTCCAAGCCCTCTTCACCGTCCCCGCCGCGACACCCACCCACAACAATGCCACCACAACCGACAGCCCCGTCCCCACCACGCGGAAAAACGGCGACGGCAATTCGTTCCCCATCGTCACCGTGGAGACGGCGTAGACGCCAAGCGGGAAAGTGAAGCCCCACCACCCCATGTTGAACGGGAAGCGCTTGCACCGCGAAATCGTCGAGACGGCGAAGAACAGCCACACCAGCCCGAACCCCCACATCACGACCGCCGCCAGCCACCCGCACACGTAGAGCACCTCGCCCGCGCGCGCCGCGAGGTCGGCTGACCCGCCCCCGAGCGTGCCCGTGATGGGGAAGAGCGTCCGCGCCACCTTCCCCAACTGCATCACCCCAAACCCGCCCTGCCCCAGCGGGCCCAGCGGCAGGAAGACCGACACGACGACCTCGCGCGCGGGGAGCTTGTGCACGGCCAGCCGGTGGAAGTAGATGACCAGCACGGCCAGCGCGAGCGGCACGCCCGTGCCCCAGAGGACGTAGGATGCGAGGACGGTCGTCGCGGCGTGGGCTGGGTTGATCGGGAGGAGCGCTTCGGCGACGACGCCGCCGGTGGCTGCTGCTACGATGGGCGAGACGATGGGGAGGAGCCACGCGGCTGTCATGCTGGCCAGCTCGGTGCCGGCGTGGAGGGACATCAGGGCGAAGGGGAGGAAGGTGCAGGTGGCGAGGGAGAGGAAGGCGTCGAGCCACCAGAGGGCCCAGGCCTGGAGGCGGGTTAGTTGGGGAGAGGGGGAGGGGGAGGAAGAGGAGGCGTACCAGGCGCGCGAAGCTGGGGCCCCAGGCGGGGACGCAGACGTAGACGGTCATGTTGATGAGGGTGGCCAGGCCCATGGGGAAGGTGCCGAGGAAGAGGCTCTGGGCTGGGTGGTTGATCATGGCGGTCCAGATGCGCGGGTAGAGGGTGTAGCGCAGCGTCGAGATGGCCAGGAAGACGGCGAAGAGCAGGACGTTGGTCGCGAAGAGGCTGACTGAGAGCCAGTACAGCCAGGTGCCGTTGTAGGGCAGGTTGTGCAGCAGGATCGACACGATGCCCGTTCCCATGTTTACCGAGAACCAGCTGCGCGCAAGTGAGAAAGTCAGCAAGATTGTTAGCAGAGAGGTGAGTGAATTGACTTACGACGGGGTGAAGTTGCGCACGATGCGCCGCCAGCCGTGCTGGTACTTGGTGTTGGGGCATTGCCGCGCGATTTCTGCGTCGGTGCAGCTCACCTCGACTGACGGATCCATGGCTTGCGGTTTGGTGCGGAAGGCGAGGCTGAAAGGCTGGAAAAGCTTTATAGCGCTGGTTCCAGTCATCGTGGCGACCTCGCATGACCCTCGGGCGATCCCGCGAGATGGCGTAAGCAGCATGTTAGTCGGGAACTTCGGGAAGCTCTTGCTGAGCAGGACCTTTTTGACTCATCAAGCTAGCGTACTCTACCGCGCCTTCCTCTTTTTGGATTATGTTTTTCCCTGTGTTAGCCTGCCTACTTCGCAGAACATGTTGTCGGGCAATTCATCGTCTGTGTGAGCCGCAATAGATGACTCATGCTCAATGGATGACATAAGTCTGATTTTGCACCCAGACGAACTCGTGTACTCACAAAATTACACATCACAGACTTTGCATGCAATCTATATGTTCGGAGAGGTCGTTGATCTTCTTTGAGTAAGGTTTGAGTACTTTTGATATACGTCGACGTCATACCACCACGCATTCTGGGGATATTCACCAAACCAACCCGACATGAAAATTTTTGCCGCTTTTCTATTTCTCTAATTTGTTTGGGCTTAGCCGATGATAATAGTACCATGTCAGCTTTCGTGCCGCTGCCTCTCACAGCGTTCGCTACCGCCATCTTCGCGCCAGCTTTCGGTTGCAGGGTCCACATGCCGATCCAAATTGATGCATATTCCGTTCTAAATATTCAGTATCTCGTGGTAGGCATGATTTCATAAATGGCTACCATGGTTGAGCTGCAGTTCACGTTTTCCCGCCCGTTGTATCGTTCAGGGACCCCACACTGAAATATAAAAGCCTCCCTTGCCTCCAAAAAAATCTGCATACCGCGTTCCACTACTCAAAAGTTTCTCTTGCAGCGTTCAACTACAGCCCTTTCCTTCCCAAAATGGACCGCTCAGACTCTTCCACCACGGTCAGCTCGCACCTGCGTTACGGCGACGTTTTTACTACGGGACGCACGGCGACCGTGTGGAACGTCACCGATATGGACAGCAACCTTGCCTATCTTGTCCAGATGGTAACACCCCTGCCCATATTGCCTTAACCACTTAGGGCTCACTTATTATCCTAGTTTCACAAGAAACAAGCATTCGCCAATGGGAAGTCCGCCCACGAGCGTATGGAAGAAATCCCTGCTCTTCGCGGCCGCGTCCCACGCTACTACGGAGTTCCACCAATGCCGCATTCCATCATACTCGGGACGTACAACGGGAGAAAGCTCAGGGACATTATTTGGGGCCTCACAAATGAAGCGCGTAATGCCATTAAGGACCAAATAACCGAGACGCTTCGGATACTCCACGAAGCTGGCATCTCCCACCGCAACGTTACTTCGAGGAACATCATCATCTCCGACGGCCATGCGAGGTTGGTTGGCTTTAGCCATGCCTCCCTAGAAGAAGCCGTTGAAGAAGAGTTTATATGGGATGACTGCAAAGAAGCGGATAACGACAATGTGATGGAGATGTTCTACGAGGTCGAATCGATTAAGGTATACTATTAAGGAGAATTCAGAGATGATAACTAACCGATTTTAGGCTTACGAAGAGGCTACCCGTCTTCTCGAAAGCGTGCGCAACGGCGAAGATGTTGCCACGCCACAGCCCCGTCTAGCACGCCTTCTCAACGTTGCCCACGAACGAGAAAAGCTCGCCAGATCCATCATGGACGTCTACAAGCACCCTGAGCCCGTACTGGCTCTTGCGCTTGCCGCCCGCCTGGCCAGACACGACCCTGATGAAGCCATCGATATCCTTAAGCAGGCGGAAGCCCGTTGCAACGACTCATCTATTCCTGTCGGCGAACGGCCTGTGGAGCTGATCTTGCAGATGAAGTTGAATGCTGCTCGATACTTGATCGACTCCGAGCAAAGTTACGACGACACCGCCATGCCACCGTCCGAACGCCTCTGCACAGAAGCGGTCTGGTACTACTTCTGGCAGATACCTGAGTCTAGCGCTGCCGACGACACCGTTATGAAGCTGTACTACGAGCTCGCAGAACACTTGCATAGCCTCGAACTCTATGGCCACGCGATGGACATCTGTATTCGGGCGCTGGAAGGGGCTAGGAACGTTGACTTTACAAAGGCAGTCTCACCACATGTCTTAGAAGAGTTTGGTGACCTTATCAATGAGGTGAAGTCGGCACTCGTGCTTTACATCAACAATATCAAGGAGGACATGCAGAGAGGGGGAGAAGAAGAGCATTCGTGGACGCCCTGGGCCGAGCTGCCGAGACTTGAGAAGGAGTGCCGCCGCGCAAGAGAAGCGGGACGTCTCTGTAACCAGGTATGGCAGTTGAACGTCCCAGAGGATTCTGACATGGCCCGGGATCTCCCCGTAGACTGGACGTCGGAGGACGCTGCCTGGGCGAGAGAAGACTTGCTTAATTTCGTACCGTCCGGAAGATAGTCTCAACAGCCCGTATATGTTGACATGTCTCTCTACTCTACAGAAAAAGATTGAATAATACTTTGGGCGGTGCGGTCGCATAAGGAGTTTTAAAGCTTTCTTCATCTTACTAGATAAACTCTGTAAAAGCTGTCGTCACTTGTGCAATATGGACAAATTATATAACAAACTTTTTGCTATACTTGTGGGGATTCCGAATGGTGACCAGAAACGAGACATGACTAGATTCGGCTTAAGTCTGCGCTCTAGTCTTGCCTACTGGAGAGGTCTTCCAGAAGGTGCACGTTAAGTTAAGAAAATTTGGGGATGATTCCCATTGTCGTCATGGGCTCCGGCTCTCTATGAGGACTTAATCGACATGTGTGGGTACTTGAAGCAATCGTCCGGAGGCGTACGTATAGTTATTAATTCGACATGTACGTCCGGACGATAGCTTCAAGTACCCACGATATGTCGAAATATTATCCCTCCGTGCTCCTTATCACTTGAAAGGAACATTATGTTGGCAGGTGTCATCGCCTGGGGGAGAATTTTGTGTTTTCTTTTTGGATAGTTTAATACAAAACCAGTTCATCTCCTCATATTTGGTGCCGCAGCCGCTCACAGTGTTCATTATTGCCATGTTTACTGCCGCGAAGTTCGCGCTGGCTTTCGGCTGCAAAATCTATCTGCCGACCCGAACTGAAGTCTTCAATATTTAATGACATGACGTCATGGATGGCTACCACGGTTGAGCCGCAGCTCACTTCTGCCTTGTGCACGTGCCCACACCTGAGTATTAAACCCTCTCGCTGCCAGACATTCCACCTGGTGCGTTTCACCACTCCAACATTCCGCTTGTCGCGCTCAAGCACCACCCGCAATAGGCGACTCGAACCCTCCAATAATGGACCTCTCGAAGGTACGTATCGGCAACCTCATTGCCGAAGGAGAGTCGGCGACCGTGTGGAACGCCTCAATCACCAAAAGGGACAGCGAAGGCAACGGCACCAACAAAGCCTGCATTCTTAAGATGGTAACACTCTCTGCTGGCTCACCTTAACTAGGCCATTTGGCGCTCACTGATTGTTCCAGTTCAAAAGCAATGAAGCATTCATCAACGAGACAGCCGCCCATGGACGCATAACAGAAATCTCTGCTCTCGAAGACCGCGTCCCGCACTATTACGGACTTGTCCCACACTTACCGCGTTCCATCCTCCTCGGCAAACACGACGGGGAAATTCTCCAGCGCCATATCTGGAACATCCGACAGGGGTTCCGTGATCTCGTCAAATCGAAAGTCACCGAGACGCTGAAAATGCTCCACGAATGTGGCGTGTCCCATGGCGACATTACTACAAAGAACATCATGTTCCAGACCGACGCTAACGTGAAGCTGGTGCACTTCTCTCATGCCGACTTGAAGGAAGACGTTGAGGAAGAGTTCATATGGCGCAACTGTATGTCCATGGATAAGTGTGACGTGTCGGAGATATTCCACGAGGTTGAATCGGCTAAGGTACGTTATGATATAAGGATTTAGGATATTTTAACTAATAGATTACAGGCTCACGAAGAGGCTACTCACCTTCTTAACAGCGTGCGCAACGGCACCGCGATTGTAGCGCCGCAAGAACGTCTGGCTATCCTTCTAGACCATATGGGATGCCCAGAAGAGGAAGTTCTTGATTTCATCATGGACGTCTTTGAGCGCCCTAAGCCCATCTTGGCTCTTCCGCTCGCCGAATGCCTTGCCAGCGACTACCACCACTACACGAAAGCCATAGAGATTCTCACGGAGGCGGCATCCCGTTTTGACACCCCATCACTTCCCATCAGCCAAGAGAACACCGCTTTCACCATGAGGATGAAGATAGCTGCCGCTCGACACGTGGCCAGAATCGAGGGGAGTTACATGGACGACGCCCTGCCGCCCTCACACGACCGTTACGAAGATGTGATCCGTTTCTACCTCCGTTTCGTCGACGGAGCTAAGCCTGCTGACAAGGTCGTCCTGGAGCTACGCTACGAGCTCGCGAAGCACTTGCATAGCTGCTACCTCAGACACGTAGGCCACGCAATGGACGTCTGCGTTCGGGCTCTGGAAGAGGCCAAATGGTCAGGCGGGGAAGTCTTACTGGGTCACTTGAAGAACTATTGCAAGCTTATCGAAGCCGCGAAGGAGCATCTTGCGCTTGATATTCATTCCAACAGGAAGCACATGTGGGAAGGGAAGGAGCATGGGTGGGCACGCTGGGCAAGGCTGCCGATGCTTGAGCAGGCGTTCCACCGTGCAACAGAAGCGAGACGCCTCTGCAACCACCTATGGGCGGAAAGGCAGGTGGAGGGGGATCCCAGAACGATCTGGGCTCTCCCAGTAGACTGGATGTTGGAGGATTATGCCTGAACGATTGCAGGTCTCCAGTGTGGTCCAGGTGCGAAGGCAACGGGAATGTAGTAGCATCCGGGGTCTTCAACAGATAGCTTAGATCAATGAGTGATATTCTCTTTCTTTCCATTGAGCTCGGATTCGTTTTTTGCTCGTGCCATGAGTAGTTGAAGCTATCGTCGGGATGTAAATGTATATTTATTAATTCGACATGAACATCCCGACGATAGCTTCAACTCCCCATGGAATGAGAAAAATAAACGGTTTGGCGTGCGCAAGTTCAGCAGAGATAGTTCGCCTGTTTGCTAGAAAGCATCTTTGGTGTTCTTTACAATTCCTCAGTGTGAAATCTATTATTCAAGGTCAGAATAGGAAGCTGCCCTGTGACATCATCCACTTTGAAGTCCGTGCTCCACCAGGCGCGCTTTTATATATTCACCCGCCTCGTCCTTCCTACTAACCCTCCTCGCCGTTCCTACTCGCACCTGAGCCTGGTGACATCCGCTTTGAAGTCTCCATCAGGTACGCCCCCACATTCGCCCGCCTCGCCCTTCCTACTCCACCGCCTTGCTGTTCCTACACCCTCGCCGTTCCTACTCACCCGACTCGCCGTTCCTCCTCACCCGACCTCCCGTTCCTCGTCACCCGTGTCGCCGTTCCTACTCACACCTGTGTCTTAGCCTCAGCGTCCGTTTCGGGCACCCGACAGCATAATGCGTCGCGAGACTCTGATCGCCTTCCTCACCCAGCCCAACCCGTTTCTTGACATTCGCATCTCCAAGCCCCCCGGGGTCATGGATAAGGACCGGCCTTACATCTCCACGGCAACGGAGTGGAAGTTGACCTTCGCCTACATCAAGCACACCTTCGGCTTCCTCCTGTACAAGGAGTTTGACTTCCCCGATCTCTTCACGGACCTCAGCGACACGCAGAAGATAGTCTTCGACGAGGACACCTTCAGGCGCCTGGTCACCCAGTGGAACATCAAAATTGTCGGCACTGCCCTGCGCGTCGTCACCAAGGCCCTGGCCCACGTGCCCGAGTTTCCCAAGCTCTGCCTCACCTCCGGCTCCTCCGGACTCTCTAACAACGAGATTGGAGAGCCACACTTCGCCGTCCTCCCAGCCGAGGCTCCCGCTGCCGGAGAGCAGAAGCACACGTGCCTCGCCCCCGGCGTCGCCAAGGTCACCCGCCAGCTGTACAATTCCTCCTTCCCCGTCGACGACGTGAGCAACATCTGGGCGAAGAAATACCTGGCCGAGATGTCACACTACGCGAACACGCGCGGCGCTAGATACTGCTGGTGCATCACGCCCGTCCAGCTCATGGTCTGTCGTCGCCGAGCCTCGGATACTCAGGGCCAGATCGTCCCCGAGGTCGCGACCTTCTCCTGGGTTCCGGGACCGCACCAAGGCATCTCGGTCAACTTGGCTCTCTTCTTCGTCGTGCTTACTGCGGGCCTCGGCAACGACGTGCGCTCCAGCTACAAGGACATCAGCATCGAGCACCGGGAGAAGCTTCAGAAGATCAAGGCTGCTGTGGGCGCCCTCTGATCATCCGTGTTAGATAGCATCAGACAATGGGAGGGGGGAGGGTTTTGCTTTTCACTCGGTACTACAGCCAAACAAATTGATTGACTACCATTGGCATTTGCCTACTCTCTAGACTGCTTGCAAAATAGAGGTGACTACACACACACACACACAAACATCATCAATTACTGCACATGCCACAAACTAAAATCCTGCATCGGATCCGTCCACTCAGTCCCCGGCGGAAACGTAAACTGCAGCAGCTCCTCCTCGGTCGCGAACGGCTGCGGCAGCACCATCATCGACGACGGACTATCATCAAACCCGCCTCCTCCTCCAATCATCCCAGCGTCCAAAGCAACAGCATCAGCAGCAGCACTAGTATCCTGCAGCACCACCCCATCCATCGGCCCAGCCCCAGCCCCAGCACCAACCTCCCGACCCTGTCCCCCCGTCCCCTCCCCCACCCCTTCCGTCGGCCGCTCAAGCCTTTCGATGTACTTCTTAATAACCGCCCACGGCCTACTACTACTCCCCTGCGGGCCTGCTCCACCGCCGTCACCATCATGCAGGCGCACGAGCTGCTTCAACGCTTCGATGGCGCGGCTTCGGATGGCGCCGTCCAGCTCGGGCGACGTAAAACGCAGCTCCTGCAGCTCGGAGAGCACGAGGAAGGTGCACTGGAAGGCCGAGTGCGCCTCCAGAAACCACTTGAAGCCCTGGATGGTGGGGTCGGCGGTGGTGGTGTTGAGGCTTTCGAGGAGGGAGACGGATTCGTGGAGGACTCTGTGCGTGAGTGCAAAAGGGCTTGTTAGCTGGAGGTGGACAGGGGGGCGGGGGGTAGGTGGAAAATTGGGCGGTGGTTTGGTCGGCGGGGGGGCCTCTGGGGGTGCCTGCGGGTGGTGGTTATTGCTTACCTGCGGCGCGCGTCGTCAGTCATGACCTTCTTCCGGAAGTCCTTCGGCACGCTGCACCAGAAGGTGAGCCAGCACTTCCACTCCATGCTGCGCGACGTCATCACGCACAGCTTCTGCAGCGGCGTCGGGTCGTCGTACAAGAAGCGGAAGAGCGTCGCGTTCTGCTCGCGCGTCCTGTCGACCAGCGCGCCCGTCTCGCGGTGCAGCTTCTCAAACTCGGCGAACTTCTCCGCATCGCCGCCTACCTGCGCCTCGTCCGCTGCCACCGCTCCTCCTCCTCCTCCCCCACTCGCCGTCCCCCCCTTCGTCCTCCGAAACAACCCCTGCACATTCGCCGCCACCACCTTCGCGCACTGCACCCACCTCGACCTGCCCACCAAAAACGTCGTATCCGTAAACCGCCCCCTCTCCACCTCCATCATCCTCCGCGCATCCAACAACCCCGGGCCCTGCCGCAGTTCCGACAACTCCTCGTCATCCACGTTCATCGGCACGCGCGTCGTCAGCGCATCGTCGATCTGCTGCACCGCCGCCGACAACGAGACCATGCCCTTCAGCTCCGCGGCGCGCCACTCCAGGTAGCACAGCTGGTGCCAGATGCGCCGCCGGAGCTCGACGGCGACTTCGGAGGGGATGGGGGAGAAGAGCGTGGGTTCGCGGTGGAGCCCCTGGGCGATGGCCATGCGCGTGGCGACGCTGAGGAGGGGCCAGGTGCGGCCGATTGTTACGTCGCGGAGTTGGCAGCTCTGTTTGGGGTAGGAGGCGGGATGTTAGTGGACGTACGTGGGGCGGCGGCGCGGGCTGGGATGGGGAAATGGAGGGGCGAGGGAGGACAGAGGCGGGAGGGCAATGGCGGGAGGATGGAATAGAGACAAGAGAGACAGAGAGAGACGGACCAGGAGGAGGACGTAGGCCTGCAGCACCTCGAGGCTGGATGACCCGCAGAAGTCGGCAGCGAGGAGGGACAGCTCGAGGCCCTTCCGGTACGTGGCCATCTCGCGGCGCTTCTCCTCGGCGTAGCCCGAGGCGACGGCCTGGCTGTGGGCGGCGGTGTAGAAGATGGCGAAGGCCAGGGAGCGGAACTGGAGTAAGCCGTCATGGCTGAGCTTCTCCTCGAGGCTGGATGGGAATTGCAATGCAACTAGTCAGCTTGACAAGCGGATATCCCTCGGTGCTGGAAGAAGGGAGAGATCGCGGGACTTACTGCTCCTCGGAGCCGTCCAGCGCCGGCCAGCGCGGATTCACGTACTCCTGGACGAACAGGGCGAAGCGCTTGTCGAGCGAAGGCTTGTGCACCACGCGCGTGATGGGGTCGATGTAGAGGTAGAAGATGCGGAGCAGGTCGTAGCAGGCCGCGGTGTCGGAGGGTAGGAACTGCGCGATGTGCCCGCCGGCAGCGGCGAAGACGTCGGGCGTCGACGGCTCCTTGTCCGTGCTGAGGATCTCGCGGATGTCTTGCAGCTGTTTTCGGCCAGTCGTCAGCGATTTCCGGGATTTGCTGGCTATATGAATTGGGGCGGGATGTTGTTGTTTTCTATTGGATGTGCTTCCATCATACCTCGGTGGCCAGCAAGGACCAATGATGCGAAGAGACAAATTGCGACCCGCCTTGGCCCAGCAGCAGCGTCCCGTCGTCGTCCTTCTCGGCCCTGATCGGCTCTGCTGCTGGCGAAGGCTGCTCGGGGGACGCGCGCGTGCTCACGTGCCGGCTGTTCTGCTGGCTGTCGACAGCTTCTTCAAGCTGCTGCTGCTGCTGCTGGGCAACCGGGACAGGGGTCCGATGCGATGCCGAGGGCGGGGCGGCGGCGGCGGCAGTGCTGCTGGCGTGGATGACGCGCTCGAGCAGGCTCTCCAGGCGTTCGAGGCGGGTGTCAATGCCATCATAGCTGGTAGGCGACCACCGCGCTGACGTCGATGAGCGTTGGCGACGCTGCACACCAGAGGTAGTAGCAGTCGTGGTCGTAGTGGTGGAAGGGCTGTCGTTGCGGACGCCACGGCGGCGGGAGCTGCCGGGAGGGGGCGCGGCAGCGTGGATGCCGAGCTGCCTGACGGAGCTCTCGTTGTAGAGGCACGGGCGGCCTGCGGTCCGGCATGCCGAGCAGATGGGATGGTTGCGGTCGCATTTGACTTTGCGGCGGCGGCAGGTGTCGCACGACGTGATGGCCCGGCGCCGCGTGCGTGGCGACGACGAGGCGCGGAAGACGGAGGAGAGCTCGTCCATGGGAGCAAGGGACTATTGATCGCCAAGTATTAAAGCAGAGTCGTGGCGGCCGTCCTGGGCCGGCCGTGGCAACTCTCATCCCCAACCGGCAGCAGCGAAAAAGCACGCAAGCTTTCCAAGGGCATCCGAGGCGCCCGATTGTGTGGGTGCGGAGTCCTGCCGAGGCTCAGGGTTTCAGGAAGAACTTTTGCAGACATGTCCAGGCCGTTTCCGGTCACTGCAGTGTCCAAGGAATTCTCTGATGTCGCCATTACTTCATTAAGACTATAATCTATCCAATGCTGTGGTCCATGACTCCTTTTCCCTCTGTAGACCATTCTAATAATAATTATACCTGCGAAGAGATGTAGTGCGAGGATTAAAAATAGGTGCTCCAGTCGGACCGAACAGATCTCGCTGTACCTACCCGGCGTGATTACTATTAACGCCGGTCGAAAAACTCCTGGCCGGCAGAACATTCTCCCCAGATTTCACTTCGCCTCCACCAAACAAACACACCTACCTTCTCTCAAGTCTTGCACCGAATCGCCTCAAACCCCACCGTCCACTTCACACTCCCCATCACAACCACCAACCCCCCCAACCCCACCGCCAAACTAACCGCCCCATACACATACGCATGCCCGCGCCTCAGCGTCTTCAGCTCCAACACCCACGTACTCACCGTCGTCAAGCACCCGCAAAACCCATCCATCACCCCCTGCAGCACCTGGCACCCGATGACCCCACCACTACCGACCTTGCTGTGCTGCAAATCGTAGCACATCCCCAGCACCACCGTCCCCACCACATTCGCCGCGAACGTCCCGAGCGGGAAGCGCGGCACCCGCGCGTTCAGCCACTGCGACAGGTAGAACCGCAGCACGCACCCCGCCGGCGCGAAGACGAGCGCGAAAACCGCTTGGCCGCGCCACTGCGCGTGGCTGTGTGGCGGCCAGATGGCCATGAGGACGGCGCCGAGCCAGAGGGGCCAGGCTAGGATGGCGATGAGCGGGTCGAGGAGGGCGCGGATGGGGCGGCGGCGGCGGGTGGTGGTGGTGGCGTTGTTGCGCTGCTGCTGCTTCTCCGCGCGTGGGTGGGTGATGATGTGCTCGGACAGCAGCGCCAGGTGCGCGCCGAAGCTCAGCGCGGCGAGGCTGGCGGCCACGACGAGGATGAGGACGGCGAGGACGGCGGCGAGGCTGTAGCCGGCGTTGCGGGGGCGAGGGTTCACGGTCGTAGTTTTGGTGGAGGTGGGCGCGGTGTTGAGGTCGTTGGAGAGGGCGAGGAAGGCGTCGCGCATGAAGGAGGAGAAGGTCGTGAAGCTGCCGCAGAAGCCGACGCTGAGGCCGATGTAGAGGGGGATGGTCTTTTTGATGGCCATGTGTTCTTTTTGAAGCTGATCTAATGCCTGGATGTCGGGCTTGTTGGGGGATTGGGCGCCGTTGGAGGAGGATCCGCCGCCGTTGCTGTTGGAGGAGGAGGCGTCGTGCCGCTTCTGGAAGCGCTGTGTTGTGATGGCGAGGTCGCGTTGGAACAGCGTCCGGTCTTCGGCTAGGAAGCCCATGACAAGTGTGCCGGCGACGTTGGCCCAGATCTCGCCGAGGGCGACGGGCGCGCCTGGGTAGATGGTGATGGCTTGCAGGCCGAGGCGTGCCAGCGTGCCGAGAATGGAGAAGAAGACTAGGTACGAGTGGATGTAGATTTTAGGGAGGTTGATCTTCGCCGCGGCAGAGCTGGGCTTAGCTGATGATTCTCTGGCTTCGTGTTGCTGATGGGATTCCCGTCGAATTGCCCCTTCGAGATCCTGGCTGTGCCGTGAGGATGCTGGTCCATTCTTGAGCGGCGACGGTACAGCCAACTCATCCAGCCGCCCCACGCCCGGTTCTGAAATGCTCTGGCTATGCTCCAGGGATGGGCCGGCCTCGTGCGTCGGCACAGGGTTGGGCGCCTCGAGTTCGTCCAGCCCTTGGAGCGTGGCATCGCTTTCCCCCTCCTCCGCCCTCGCGTTCCGGACCGGCAGGGGGTCCACCTGTCTGCCAGATGACATGGGGAATGTGTGACGAGATGAAAGCTTGGCGCGCGTGGATTCTTAGATGCGATGCAGGACGGGATCGTTGGGGTAAAACAAGCCTTTAGCCACGCACGTCAGTGGGTCGCTGCACATCTTGGCGCGAATTCTTAGCGCTGCCGGCCGGAATGACTAAGCTGTGCTTTTTAGCGTGCTCTACTCACTGCACTACAGACCTATTGTAGCCGAAGGCAAGCGCGAAGAATGGAGGGGCCTTGGGGTAAGGGATAACTACGGTTCTCTAGCATGGATGATTTTCTTCTATAATATAATCCCATTAGTAAACGTATTCTTTCCCCTAAGGGTTCGCACTGCCGAGCCTATGGTGCGGGGTGTTGGCCATCTCGAGATGAAAATCCCGTGAACCGCACTCCACCACCTTCCTCGCGAGGATCAAGGGGGAAAATTCCTGAAAAAGGGTTTTGCGAAGCTTGCCTGCTGGTCTCTGACCCATGGGTCCAGTCTTTATTTTTTTTTTTTCTTATTTGGTTGCCTCTTCTGTTCTGGAGAAGCTATCTTTGGGTTGTCGAGCATGAAAACTCACTCCATCCCATCACAGCTATATATGCCAAAACAATATTACTGTATCAAAACTTCTAATAATTTCGTGTAGGGGGCATTGATTAAGGCGATTGTGGGAAGCGTAGTATGCCCGGATGGTCACCAGGGTGTGCACCCCAGCAAACCTGACTCAATGATCGACAAAGTGGATACTTACACGAGGTTCCACGTGAACAAAAACACGCCGGCTATTGTAATAATAAAGGCTGTCTCAAAGCGTGCCCGAGGCTTGACGAGATGTCCACGCATCTCACTTAACATTGCTGCAGAAACGAACTGGACGCGTAAATAGCCAACAACATTATACAAACATTCTTGATGAATGAGCGTCCTGTGCCCTAGGGGCGGCATTTTGCTTTCACACGTGATCCGATCTCAAATGTCAACGAGAGTTGTCGGGTACTTTTTCAGAGTGTTGGCACTGACAAAAGCATCATCACTAAAACATGTCAATATAGTTGTGTGAGAAACCAATGTTGGATACTATCAGCGACTACACACGTGATGATGAGCTGTTCCCCTGGCAGCCTGCTGCCTGCGATTACTCAGCCGTCTGAGCAGTTGCCTGTCGCCAGCGGTGAGGCTTCGTGTGCGGGGTCACTTGCTCGCGAAAACTCTCACACATGAGGAATCCGCCCGTCATCCTACCTACGCGCTTCTATGTGAAACCCAATTGTATATCAATCGTACAACACCGTCACTTGTCCCTTTTCCAGTTTTCTGGTCAGGAGTGCGTTCTGCAGTGCAATCTCCGTGGTCATCCATGAAGGAGCAGAGTTGCACTGTGATTTCAGTGCCTCCCTCGAACAATTCCCGCGCGACTCCCGGTCCACCTGATGGTGGTGACTCACCAACCGCCACTAGGGACGAAAAGGGCAAAAGATCCTCGATACTGCCGTCTATCACTCATTTGGGTCAGCAATTAAACAACCTGTCGCCATAAAAAAGGGCTACCCGTGAGCCTTCGAGAGGGCATGAATCCAGATTCGTTTGAGGAATTCGCCCAGTATTTCTGCTGGCGGATGGCACCAAAGTTGTTGGAGCTACCAGAATACAATAGCCTTCCAGAGCCCGATACCAATCCAGTCAGTCCAACAACTTGTTAACTATTCAATGTTGTATCTAATGATTACAGTGTCTATCATGTATCCAACAATGGATCCGTGCTATAGTCGAGCTCCTTGGCTGGGCAGACAATGGCATGAAGGACGTCAGCCAAGAGTTCAAAGACTTTTACTGTAATCCCGCACTATGAGGACCCTCCGGCTTTAATTGCATGTCACTAAGAGCACATTATACAGATGGTCTTCTTTACTTCCAAAACGTCTATGATTCCGCCGCCAGCAGCACCTCTCACCACCATCACAGGCTCCAAAAGCAATTGCTCGAGTTCACATTCGAAGTGTACGGTTCTAATCCAAGGGGTCTTCCGAAAATCATCGACGAAATGCTCAGACATTGGGAATTGCTTCCTCAAGCAGTCCGAGAAGACCCCCAAGCCAACCTCTGGAACATTATTGAAGACAGGGGCGCACCCGCCCATTTCGCTGTAGCGACACTACAAAATAAACTGCGCCGCGGATTATCAGATGTAAAACGGCAAGCAGAAGGGACCTCATTCACTCGGGCCAAGACGTATTGTGTGTCACTCCAAAGACCATATCCTTGCAAACGAGCTCACAGATCCGTAGATGATAAGCTTGGCGACCCCTTTCAAGTTTCACACGAGCACATGCCAATTCGGCCAATGTTTTGGGGGCTTAACGTACTCGCCTATTCTGCATATGAAATACGCCGCAGACTGTTTCGAGGTGAGCAAAATATGGCAGATGTTGGCTCTACGGTCTCGCATGACGGCAATACCGCTCAGGATGACTCTACGGTCTCGTCCAAAGCTGCATCCACCGAGAACAAGATTCACCTATATGTTGGACCTTCGGGATGTGGAAAGACCCACAAACTACGCCAATTACTCAAAAGACATTGGGGTCTTTACTTGGTCGCTGGGAATCTCTCTCCAAGGCCTCAGAGTGATGGCCAGCAGCCCCACGAGGACCAAGCGTTCCTTGATCAGTTAGGTTGTCAAGCTCGTCGTTCTGGTGGATCACGCGACACACATACATGGTACAACGATCTCAAGATGATGGTAGGGATTGTCCAATATAAGCTCAGTTGCGAATTCCTTGCGGGGGACCGATTTAAAAAACTCCTTCATATTCGATTCCGTATCCTAGAGGACTTTTTGCAACTATACCCCGAACGTCGCACTCCCGCTGCGTGGCTCAATTTTCAAACGACGTTGGAACCTTCAGGCCGCGACATCTTCAATGATCTTTTCCGCATATCACGATTTGTCGTTGCACCAGAGTTGGTGGATGCTATGCGCATCAATCCTTCTAGGAAGTCGGACGAAGCTTTCCACCACGGATTTGAGCTTACACCAAGTCTTGCATCAAATCCTCTCATCTGTATTGATGAGGCTCAATGCGATCTAGTGGAGCGATTCCCTAGTTTCTGCCCGTACATGGACAGCAACAAGTTCTTGTACTTGTGGTTTTTCCCATTCAGTTCCATGGTTGAGATAGCAACATACACAGTTTTCCAGATTCTCGATACTAATAGTTGTCAAATGGCTATTTCAGGAACAGCACTGCGGATAGAGCCCACTATAAACTCTCTGATGCAGTCGATGAATAAGTTAGAAGCCACCCATCGGCTTAGAGAGTTGTGGAGAAGAGATCCGACTTGCACCGATTCCAGCAACCTTGGCGAAATGCGTAAACAGTTTCTGCGTCTCAATTTTACCGAACATCGATTTCAGATGCCGCAGATGTCTTTGGAAAGCAAATTTGAGCTTGTTCAAGAAGACTCTCAATTCGAAGGTCTTCTAATGGGGAGGATTGCAGGCTGCAAAGCGGAGCTTCGGGAAATGATCATCGAGCATTCCAAGCTGATCACAGAGCATTCCCGGCCTCTACGTGGCAGATACCAGTGGTCCGTCAGCTATGTGGAAAAGATCAAAGAAAAGGCGGAGACCGATTCCCAGGTTTCCGGAGAAGAAGTTGCAAGATGCTGTCGACGAATCTACAATATGGCGAAAGATGGGCTGAAGAGAAGATTGAAGGAGATTGACGAAAGATTCTGGCAAGAGCTATCGAACGCAATTCGGACTCGGTCTTATCAAAACCGCCCAACTGAGACTGAAGAAAGATTCCGGAATGATCTATCGAACGCAATTCGGACTCGATCTCATCAAAATCGCTTCACTGAGGCTCAACACACATTCTGGGAAGAGCTATCGAAAGCAGTTCTGACTCAGTCTTATCAACACCGCCCAACTCTTTCCGATCCAGCTGAGCTTCGCGAGCATCACGATAGACTTACGGAGCCAGTGAATGAACTTTGTTGGCTTGCAATTCGTAGCGACCTTTTAGGGGAGAGTTCCATCTTCCAGTCGACAAAGAGTGTAGACTTAGTCGAGCAGGGTTTTGCATTTGTAGAGAGGAAACGCCATGATAACACGAACGCTGCAGAACAGATAGGTCAAGAACGTACAGATGTGTCAGAAAAGGTAGTTCTGAAAGAGAGAATTGCCGTAGAAGCAGCAGTTGAGTATTTCCAAGCCGAAAGAGCGAATGGCAGGCCTAGCAGGTACGACGAGGCTCTGAAAAGGTCATTCTACCAGGAACAAGGCAACATCAGTGCTCTTGGAAGAAAGGCGGAGCTGTTTTTTGCTTGGGTATGTAAGCTTCTTTGATATTTGAGTATGGCTAACACGTGATGAAGCATCTGAGGAAAGTACTCCGAGCGCCTGAGCAACATGTGGATGCAATTCTTCCAACATTTTCCAAAAGCCAACGGATGGAGGCACTTAAGCTCCTTGTTGGGCAGTCGGAGAACATTGATAAGCTACTTCAGCCAAGGAAACATGGTCGAGCTGCTGATGCTCGCTTCGAGACCCGGTTCGGGTGTGACCCTGACAAAATGTGCCTGATTGAGGGTTCTCAGACTGCGTTTGAAGAGAAGAGTGATAGTGGTCGTTCAGAAACAATGTGGGGTTGGTTGGAAACGATTCGCATAGGCAGTTCGAAGGGGTCCCCAAAATCCACATTCTGGTTTCCGAGTACCATGGCAGGTCCCGATGTTCTTTTTGCTCTCAGAAGAACTCCAATTCATCAACGCAGCAGCCTTCAAAGCATGAGACCAGATGCCTCGGGCTTCAGAAAGCGACCCAGAGAGTCCGGATGGCAGCCGGGCACAATAGATGATTCTATTGTCTTATGCGCAGTACAGGTAAGCGCGCCGATCCATAGAAGTAAGGGATTTAGGGCTGATCAGCTGGTCCTCTGCACAACAGATTAAAAGGCAATCGATCGATCACGATATCCCAGGAGCAATCCTAAGCACTAGCCCAAATCATTGGTTTCGTAGTGTACCAAATCCCGAGGAGGCCAAAAGTATCCTTCATGAGCTCAAAGAGTGGCAAAAAAAGGGGCATCCCATCATTCGGATCCTTGTGACTGCCTTGACAGACCCACCGGGGAATGACCCCAGGAGAAAGAAGCCAATGCAGTATCTCAAGGAAGAAAATACCAAGCCAACCACCCGCGATCGGTTCAAGAGAAAGTTTCCAAAGACTGAAGATCAATCTTCGAACCCTCGGACCGAAAACAATTCTGAGGATTTTGAAGCTTCTGAGATTCCTCTGCATCAGCAATACTTCAACTGGATTGGTGCTGAGCACGATGGAAATCTTTTTGGGACTGCTTTCAGGGAGTTCAATAGAGCCGAGAGGAACGTGTAGGGTCGAAGTATTCCCTAGTAGCTTAGATTTCTCAAATTTCATATGACGTTCCTACAGAGGCGTGCTGCATCCGATGGCTAGCGTAGTTATCCCCCCTGCTCTGCTTTAGAAATATTAAAATATGTGGGTAGTTGAAGCTATCGTCCGGACGCGTAGGATGACATGAATGCTGAATCGTGGCCCAATCGGCCTGCACACCGAACGAACTTGATCGCGATAATCACTCGCTTGAAGAGGCAAGGCTCTGCAAGCTTCACTCGTGCCGATTGGACGGGCATGCACAACAAGGCAAGGAGGGGTCAACCAAAAAAAGCTCAGCAGGTTCCTTTTTTAGGGGTTTGGCCCCGTGACGTAATTTGGGGGCCATGCTTCTGACCCAGAAAACTCCATTTGGATATGAATAGATCTTGGCGTCAGCTCAATGGGCAAGCATTTGTGGGGCAAAGCATGTAGGATGGGCTTGGCCGTAAGGCACCCCGCAAAATCAGAGGTCAACGGCATAACACTGTTCCGCCAGACATACGCCGCCCCTAAAGTTGTGATTCACAAGAACACCCCTCTGTACCTGCGCCTCGGCTCTCCGGAATCAATCCGACCTCACGACCGCCGATGAGTGACGCAACATCTCCACGTTCTCTACGTAAAGACCACCTGAGCTGAGGCTCAACATCATGCAGAAACGCAGGTCACACACAAAATCACGTCGGGGATGCATGAGCTGCAAGAAGAAGCACATCAGGGTAGGGATTTGGCTGCCAAACTTCCCTTTACAGCATTTAGACGCAGCCATTTAGCCAAGAACCATCACTAACAACGCCGAAGTGTGACGAACTCGGCCCTCCCTGCGCGAACTGCATGGCGCGGTCGACGCACTGCGTCTACCCAGCCACAGCGAAAGACCGCAGCACAACCAACTCCACCACGCCCTCCACATCCACCTCCCAATCCAACAACCTCCCTCACCTCCCCCACGCCCCGTCCCCGTCCCTCCCGACCGGATCATCCTCCAACTCCCGCCGCCTCCTCGAGCTCGAACTCATGCACCGCTGGACCACACGCACCTACATCAGCCTCTGCAGCATCCCGCCCGACACGCAAATATTCCAACTCGGCCTCCCGCAAAAAGCCCTCCAATACGACTGGCTCCTCAACAGCATCCTCGCCCTCTCCGCCCTCGACCTATCCTGCACGACTCCCCGCACCGCCCCCGCCGCCACAACTTACGCCCGCGCCGCCATCGAGTACTACGACGCCTCCGTCCGCTCGTACCGGTCCGCCGTCGCGGACATGACGGTCGAAAACCACGACAGCCTGTTCTCGGTCGGGTACGTCGTCGCGGTGTACGCGGCCGCGAGCATGCGCGTGCCGCGCGAAGACGGCAGCTTGCCGAGCGTGCTGGCGCAGGCGCCGCAGTTCTTCGACTTGCTGGCGGGGACGTCGATGATTAGCAGGCGCTGCATGGAGTGGTTGATGCAGTCGATGGAGTCGGTGCGGATAATAAAGTTGATGGAGCCGGCGACGGAGGCGGATTTGGATGGCGGGGCGCGGGCGGCGTTGGCGAGGTTGGGGGTTGCGAGGGATGGGATGTATCCGCCGCTCATGCCGATGGATTTTGCAGGGGCGGCGGCTGGGATTGCTGGAGGGGAGGGGGAGGACGTCGTTGTGGTGGGAGAAGCTGAGCGGCTGTTTGAGCCGAATCCGGAGCGGGAGATGTATGCGAGGCTGATCCCGCAGATCGCACGGTGCTTCGCTGAGGATGCTAGAGGTATCGTTGATGGTATTTGCTTGGCTTTTCCGGCGATTGCTGGCCCTGAGTTCAAGTTTGCCATCGAGAGGTCCGAGCCTATGGCGCTGCTTGTTCTCATGTACTGGGCGGTCTGTCTTGAATATCATGGCATGAAGATGTGGTGGGCGAATGGGCTCGGAACACGGCTGATCGTGGAAATAACGGAGGTGTTGGAGCGATCGGAAGCCTATTTGATGCCGGAGTTTTGGGAGGCAGTGGACTGGGCGAGACGCCGGGTGGGGTTGCCGGGACTGCTGCACATTAGTTGTTCCCAAGTGGACGTGGTTGAGCTAGATGATGGGGCAGATTATGCGCATTTGTAGAGAAATATATGACAGTCTATATGCAGAGTGTATATGTATATACCAGGGATGAGTTGCAGGGGAGCATGTGATGCAAGAGAAATGCAGGATCTTGATTGACGGGAAAGCAAGAAGGAAGACAGCAAAACAGAGAAAATGATCAAAGCGTAAAAGATGAAGGGGATGCAATATACAAATGGGCAACATAATGCTTCAGGTGTCTAAGACTGCAGAAACTTCAAGCAAGATCAGCGGGAAAGTAGTCTTGCCAGGTCGAATTCGAGAACAGAGGCTCGTCGACCTCGCACACAGTTCCGGGTTCAGGCAGCGTGCCTTCCATGAGATATGCCTGAATGACTTTGACTGTGCAGGAGGACACTTGCTTAAGCGAGCTGTGCTGTATCAAGGAGATCTATTAGCGGACATAAGCAACTTCAAGGGATTGTATGCACATACACCAAAGCTGTTTTGCTTGAGGGCCACGGCACCTGGAAGGCTCTGGCTGGCGTTGACCGCACCAGCCCAGGACGTGATCGGGTCGTAGGTAGTGCCAATAGCCAGGACCGGATGCCTCATCGGCACGTTGAAGTCTCCCAGGTATCGCTCCTTGGCCGCAATATGCCACTTGTCGCACTGCATGGTGAAGTGAGTAAAAATATCGCCTCCGAGTCTGCTGATCGCCCATTGCTCGTATACCGCTGGGAGGCTGTCTTCCAATTGAGGCTCTCGTCTTGTCTTGTCGCTGCACGTGATTCCGATCCTCGTCTCGGTGGACATCATGCCGGTGGGTGGAGCAAGGGCGACAATTGCTGCAGAATCTTCGGCTGTCAAGTTCCCTGTCATCAAGCCGTCGATGAGCCTGGCTGTCAAGGCAAACAGGCGAGGCTCGTAGAGCAACCCAAAGACCAACCCTCTCACGGAGCTGAACGTGAACGAGAAGTCCGGGTAGGATATGGGATGGTACTTTAGGTCTTCCACCCACTCGTAGAATTCCTTCTCCATCATGGCAGCTGTCTTGTTGGGCCGAGTCAAAGCACACTTATCGCCGGCTTCGAAACAGGCCTCCAGGAATGCGGTGAAAGCCTTATCAAGGTCATTCATCGACTCGATTTCGCTACAAAAGCTGTTAGTTCAGGCATCCTAATTCTGGGTTACACAGGGGAAAAGCATACTGATAGTGCCAGTAATTGTGTGGGTTCAGAACGGCATCGATGATGATTCGGTCAACTCTGTCGGGGAACATGGCAGCTACGGTTGCTCCCAGGGCCGAGCCGTACGAGAGCCCTGAAAGTGTGTTAGCAAAGCCAGGAAGCGGATTCCTCGGAAGCGTTTCTTACCCCAAAATCTCAAAAGACCGTCCTCACCAAGAGCGTCGACGACAGAGATCAAGTCTCTGGCGATGTACGCCGTTCCAATTTTGTCGCCAATGCTGGCGGCGTAGGTGCTGTTCTTGCACTTGTCGACGTAGTTCTGCGTGATGGCCCACAGCTCACCAAGGGCGGTGTCGGAGGAATTGCCGCTAACGGCTTTGTTCGCATAATCCCAGATGAGCTTCTCACTCTCATCACTATGGCATGTGAATGGAATGGTATCCAGGGTTGCCCTATCCCGATATCCATGTAAGCATCCGTAGGGAGAGTCTTCCCAAAGACACGCTGTCTTACCTCGTGTCAAACGCGACGAGGTCGTAGTGACCGCCGGAGTACCTGAAAGCAAATGTTAAATCACTGGTGGTGATGCTGGTTGACGGTCCGACTTACGCCATTAGTTGAGCACCCAGTCCAGCGAGATCCTCACGTCCATGAGCTCCAGGACCGCCAAAATTGAACTGTATGCTTCCTCGTGAGGGTTGCTTTGTAGCAGCTATCTTAGCTAGTTTGAGGTCGAGCTTTTCGGTGGAGTTCGGCTCGAGATAGTCCAAGGGAACAGGGAGAGTTGCGCAGAGCATGGGCATTGTCTGAGCCTCGGAGATGTTGCATGGGCTCCATTGAAGGCTCTGGCTCTGGTTCGTAGGAGCATAAGGACCCTGAGGTGCCCCGAAGGCGACGCTGGTCAGAAGTGGTAGGAACTGAAGATAACGAGAAAATATGGGAGACATGGTGAATGGTGGTAAAGACCGTCGATGTGATGATGAAGGCAGAACAAGGGCAGGTCTCGTACTTAAATACTCTGAATAATCTGTTGTACATCAGCTCCGCACTGACCTTTACACAGAAACATGGACGAACATGATGATCAGAGCAGAGGCGGTGCACACCAAATGCCATTAAAGGCACACCAAGGCGAAAATGACGTCGAACGCCAAGGACGAGCATTCCCCTAGCGTGCAATTCCAACCTGCCCAGTCTCTCGTACCTCTGTACAATATAGTAATTCTCTTGGTAGCAGGCTGTGTATTCGTGGCCAGCAAATTGGAAGCGTGGAATTTTTGAGCCATGCGTGCGCTAAACCCCGAAGTGGTCGCTCAGGTAGCCATCATTTACGCGTATCGCGGTCTGTCAGCCTTGCGAGAGCACAATTAGCTGAAAGGGGCTAGATCCAAGACTGTCAGATCTGTGGTGGCTCATGCTGAATCACACTTTGCGCGGATACGCGTATTCCTTTGGTTCATCCTTCCCGTAAGCGACCAATCAGGTAGCGAGCCGATGGACTGCCAAGCATCACAGCCGCATGATCTACACGCGGACTGCAGGAAGAGCACAGGGCAGGCTTTCAGCAAGGCTCATGTGTATTTCAAAAACATACGTAAGAGAAAGTCAGTTGCTCAGAGTCTCTTTTGGTTTTCGCCTGGTACCCGACGTTGCGCTCCGTACGTGCACTACTTTGTATGCAGACGCCATTCAACTGAACATCTAGCTTGCAATACAAAGCTCAAAAGAAAGACCTCAGACGCTACCAAACCTTCGAAAAATAACATATGTGAGTAGTTGAAGCTATCGCCCGGATGCGAATGTGGAATTAAAATAAAACATTTACGTCCCGACGATAACATCAACTACCCGTGACAGGCAAATTAAAGCTATCCGACGGCTGGAATACCACCTTGTAGAATGGAAAAAAGCTGACGTGAGCTTTTGAGTCATATGAGGCCTTTCTGTTGTGTAACATTGAAAATAGCTTGTGATTGGCGTTCTATGCCTTGCGATTTTATCTGCGGGCAGAAAGCGGGGTATCGTTAGATTCACAGCTCGCTGTGAGCTCTCACCTTTCAACTTTCACAGAGCTTCAAACATACCAACTCTTCAGAAGCGGCCCTTGCCTCTACTAAGTCTTCTTCTCGAATATACTCTCCATCCCTGAGCACGAGTCCAAAGGAACGCACAAGCTACCGAAGATGAGCACGACCTTGTGTCAGCAGTGCCAGGCAATCGGCCTTGACGACGAAAAGCTGGGCGGAACTACGTTTACGCCCGAGGACGGAGAACCGTTTTTGTACTTCGGAAGAGATGTAGAAGGTAGTCAAGGCCACTTCTCGATCAAAATACCCGGCTTCCGCGCAGATGAATTTCCAGACCTACCTAGAATGCAACTGTCGGCTGCCAACGGATGCTCGCTTTGTGGTCTACTCAGGTCGGCAGTTCTGAATGAGTTCCCGCCACAAGAAGTCAACAGAGAAGGCCCAGATACGACAGTCAAGATACTCGTCTTGAAGAACTTTGTATACCAGTGGCACTCAATCGAGGAATTCCGTTACCAAAAACAGTCTCTGGCATGTTTGGCATTCCTCAGTGTGAATGCTGTTGTTCAAGGTCGGGATGGTGAGCTGTCTCGTCACATCTACTTTGAAGTTTGTGCTCCATCAGGTACGCGATTTTTATTGCCTTTCCGACAGTTCGTGGTATTGAAACTCAGGTAACTCATCCCTTGTAGGACCATTGGCGACTTGGTTGAGGATACCTTGGAACGTCGCCGATGAGAACGCTTTGTCACCAGGCTGGATCAGAGATATCAAGTCATGGATCTCAGACTGCGAGCAAAATTGTCATCACACAGGTATCACAGAAACATTGCCAACAAGGCTTATCGACGTTGGATCCGCGGATGGAAGAGACCAAATGCGGTTGATTCTGTCGACTGACATTCAAACAATTCATCATGGCGCAGAACCTTGCAAGTATGCGACGCTCAGTTATTGTTGGGGAGACCGGACCGGCAAGCCATTTTTCACCACAGAGAAAAGCACACTACAACAACTGCTTCAATCGATACCAATGGAATGCATTCCCTGTACATTTCGCGACGCGGTTGTAGTCACTCGCAGTCTTGGTATCCGATATCTCTGGATCGATGCCCTCTGTATTGTGCAGGATGACTCCGATGATTGGGCTAAAGAGTCGGCTATCATGGGCAAAATTTACACCAATTCGTACGTTACCTTGATCGCTCTGCAAGGAGGATCTTGTCATGATGGATTTTTGGATCGCACAACTGCAAGAAAGGTGCCCATTTACTACAAGTCGTCTTTAAAACCACACGTCAACGGCATCTATTGGTTGCGCCAGGTGTCCGGTAGCTACGCCCGTAGGCGAGGAACGATGGGCAGATTTACGGCGATCTCGTACGATATAAGAAATTCACGATGGAGTTTACGCGGCTGGACGTTACAGGAAGACCATCTCTCAACCCGCAAACTCATGTTTGGTGCAGAAGGGATGTATTATGAATGCGGAGAAACATTTTGGGCCGAAAATCCGGATAGGCGCTGGACCCTGGAATCCTGGAGCAGAGACTTCTTAGACACATTAGCTAAAGACTTGGGCCCAAAGCACGTCCATTCTACATGGTATAATGTGGTGGGAGACTACAGCGGCCGAGATTTGACTTATTCTACAGACAGACTTCCCGCTATCTCCGGCCTCGTCGAGAAAATTCATGAAAAAATTGCTGGAAATTATTTGGCGGGTCTTTGGCGATCGGACCTATTCGATGGATTGCTATGGTTTAGAGATCCATGGAACCGGCCAGTCACGAGTAGAGCAACCTTTATAAACAGTTTGGTTCATCCAAAACACTACATAGCGCCAACTTGGAGTTGGGCTCGCTCACAAAACAACGTCAATTTTGTTTGCTGTACTTCATCGCATCCAAAAAATGACTCAGAGATCGACATTGTGGAGGCGAGGACTGCTCTCACTGGACCGAATCCATTTGGCGGTGTTCAGGACGGCCATCTCCTTCTCCGAGGGAAGACCTTCGGCCTTCATGGGGCGCGGATCTTTGGTGTTCAGGGAATTGAAGTGGATCCTTTTGACTGGTTGCGAGGCAACATATGGCATGAAGCTATCAGCCACAACGGTTTCGAAATCGCACGCTGTGCTCTTGATTGGCAACCATCTAAGCCTGTGAAGTGCTTCGAGCTTTGCGAGGCTCCCTGGGACCAGTTGATGATGCTGATCACAGCAAGCAATTCGATAAACGCCAATGACGAAGGAGACAAAAAAGATGATGAAGCAAAGGAAGATGAAAGCGACAGGAGCAATGAGGGCTACAAGAACGATGATGATGAAGACAAAGACGGGGAAGAAGACGAGAAGAGGAACAGTTTTGAAGAGATCAGGAATTATTTCGGCTTGCTACTTCTCCCGACGACTAGGAAGGCTGATAGTTGGATTCGGGTAGGTGTCTGTATGCTGCGGAGTGACATACATGGCAGAACTGTTCTCGACAATTGTTCTGAGAAAATTGTTAAACTCGTGTAGTGGCACATCTTCTAAGACATACATTTTTTGAACAGTATAAGCTCTCTTTATTTCATTTCAAAATACATATTGGCAGGATGTATCTCACAAAGACACGGCAGGGATGATCAATGTGGTTTAAGTCCATGTGGCATATGCAGTGATTTTATTTCTCCTACGATCGTTGGCATCATTTTTGCAAGTAGTTGAGATCAGAAAGGAAGCTGACATGAGCGTCTGAGTCAGCTCGGTTAGTCGGCATTGTGATTTTCGCAGCCCACGAGGCACCAACCCCCGTCGCCTACAGAGCATCTCTTCGCCCAGTATTGTCCACGGGCGCGTCCACCGTGACATCTACCATCACACAACTTAAAACCGATAAGGGTGCATTCTTTCGGCACTTTCGCATTCGGCTTTCCCACGTCTCCTCGTTGTTCTGCTGTTACCGCGGCCCGCGAGTTCGATTCCTGCCCGGCACCAAGCGCGTTTGCCCTCTCGGCCCCGTACGACACTTCTGCCCGCATTCCATTATCAATCTCACTCACTCCTTGGTCCAGCCCTCCATGGAACAAGAGATCAACCAAGCATTGCCTAGTCAACATATCCGCGTTATCTTCGTTGAGCCCGGGAATTGGGATGAAGAGCTCCGTTGTAGCTTGCACACTGTGCCACTCGAAGGAAAGGGGGCGGTCTACTACGAAGCGCTCTCATATTGATGGGGCAACAGTAGATTAACTTCAACCCTAATTACACCGTGCGGAAAGTTGCCCATCACGAAGACGTGTGATGAAGCAATTCGAAGACTTCGCTGGAGAACTCATACAAGGTTTGTCTTCTCAGGCACCCTACAAACCTATGCTCGCCTAACACGCAAGTTGCGATAGAGTGTTGTGGATTGACCAGATATCGATCAACCAATCAGACAACAACGAAAAAGCCGATCAAATTCGACTTATGACAGACATCTACCAACGGGCGGGTCGCGTGATCATATATTTAGGGGAGCCAGAAAACAAGATATTGGGCAAAACAGCTGGCGGTACGTTTACCAATCGTAGCTACTACGAGACCTTCGACGAATATGAATGTTTCGATGCACTGTCTGGCTACGATATCGAGAGGAGCATGAGGAATCGTATTTGGGGACTTGTTTCCTCACGTCCATGGTTTGAAAGAGCATGGGTTCTGCAAGAGGTTGATTTGGCAAAATCCGCGGCTGTGGTCTGCGGAAATAAATGGGTCTCGTGGGCTCAAGTGCGATCTTGGATGGCAACGGAAGGTGTTTCCTCTCGGAACTCTACGTTGGCTTCGATCTCTACCTATGGTCCGGGCTCTCCAAGAAGGACCACATCCTTGCTGCACCATCTTCACAGAACAAGGGATAGAAAGGCTACAGACCCCCGCGACAAGATATTCTCTCTTATGGGAATTCTCAATCCTGGGGAGAGGCATGCTTTCGCCGACTTAGTGAGCTACGACCATTCGACGGAGGAAATCTATTTCCAAACCGCTAAAAGATTGATCGAAACATCTCGATCTTTGGAAATCCTAAGCGCCTGCGGAGAATTCAGGGGAGCCTCCAAAGCTTCCTGGGTTCCTGACTGGGAGCCTCTGAGGCTTGAGTCTCTTCAACTCGATGCTTCGGGCGCTCACCCATACATGTATGACGCCGGTGGAAGTCCTGCTTACACAGACTTTGAGGAAAACTGTATGGTTACTCGAGGTATCCAAGTTGACGTCGTGCAGGAGATTGTTGATCTTGAAGATATCAGCGCGACAAGCGAGCTATCAGACCGTGTGGAAAGAAACTGCGCTATAAAATCGACTTGTCAAGTCCACGGCCGCTTGCACAGTCTCTTTGGGTTGCTGGATACGATCCTCCACGGAAGCGCTTCCAACGTGGTTGAGGCTGGCACTCCGCCCGAAGAGTTCGGGTACTCGGTTTCCTCGTCTCAGTTCACAAAGTCCAGGAACTTAATGGCCACGACTCGAGGATATATTGGCCTCGTTCCGAACGATGCACAGACTGGTGATGTTATCTGTGTTTTACTCGGAGGGCCGACACCATATTTGCTTCGACCTGTTGATGACAGCAATTACATCCTCGTGGGCGAGTGCTACGTCTGCGGTCTTATGAATGGCCAGGCACTTGTCCACCTCAGACATGAGTTGGATAAGCTGGGGCATGTTTCCGAAATGCACTGTCATGCGCCTTGTACCGGCAGTCCACTACAGACATTTAGGATCGTCTAGTGTACACTATACTGCAATACATGGTGAGAATCAATGGAATTGGATGAGTGGCATGAGGACAGAGATGGAACTCACCGGGAGACGACTATATGTCCTGCTCAGCTGACTAAGCTGAAACCAAGCGGCTACAGTATGATAGTGCAAAGCAGGCGTGGGGGCGGTTTTCTCGGTTAAATTCATCCCACAGTTCCTTTTATTTCTCATTTGTCTCAGTCTGACTGTCGTCTGAAAACGGAAGTACATTGCACATCACCAGCATGGAAAGAGCAGCGGATTCGTTTTCACTAGCCGCAGACATGTCCTGCGGTCCATCTCCGGCCCAGCCAAACAACACCGAGTGCCAACCCACAGGCTTGTGCACGCACTGCCGAGTCCTTCAACTCCACGACATAGATCCGGATCAGATTTCAGCATCCCAGAAATACGAATTGAAATATGAGAGGCACGACAGCATACCAGGGCTGCCTCTCATTGCTCAGTCAGCAGCCGCTGGCTGTGGCGTGTGCCGCATGCTCCACGGCGAGATCATCGATGCATTGGCCCATCTCGATGAGCCTGGTCCCGTCAAGATATGCCGGGTAGTGGTCGAATTCTACGAAAACCAGATGGCGTTTGAGATCGAGTCCCCGTGTGGTACTACGCGTGTCTCGTTTTTCACCGCTGCCGACTCAGGTTGGTTTCCCGTTGCTCTGGACCCTGTACTATCTATTTGTCGCTCATGCCGTAGATAGCTAAAGCTATCGTCCGAGCGAGAATGTAGAATTAAGACGCTAACAGCAACAACAGGTCTCCGCGGCGCTGAAAAACTAGGCATAACCCAAAAGCACGTTCCAGAAGACCTCTTCTCCTCAGCAGGCCTCACCAACGTCCGCGCCTTCATCAACCAAGCCCTCGAATGGTCCCCTCCCCCCACCGCGATACCCACACTCCCAACCCGCCTCATCGACGTCGGCGGCCGCCCCGACCAGGAAGACCCACGCCTCGTCATCCCAAGCGAGCACCCACCGCTCCGGGACTCCGCTCCCACCGATGTCGCGCAGCGGCGCTACATCGCCCTCAGCTACTGCTGGGGCACGCCGCATGCTGGCGGCGGCCAGTCGCTGCTGCTCAAAACCGAGACAGCCAACCTCGCCGAATTCCAGCACCGCATCCCGCTCGACCTCTTCCCGCCCGCCCTCCGCGACGCCATCCTCCTCACGCGCCGCGTCTGCGGCGGCGTTGTGCGCTACATCTGGATCGACGCCCTCTGCATCGTGCAAGACGACCGCCACGACTGGGAGCGCGAGGCCGCCCGCATGGCCGCCGTGTATCAAAACGCGCATCTGACCTTCTGCTCGACGCAGGGGTCCTGCGGCGATGGCTTCGCGCAGCGGCCCAACGAGACGGCCGAAGTGCCCTTCTCGCAGCACCTCGCGGAGGGTGCCGGGGTCCAGGGTTCGTACCACCTGACCAGGTGGATGGCCGAGAACTTCGAGTGGGACTCGCGCGGCTGGACGATGCAGGAAATCTACTTCTCCGCCCGCGCGCTGCTCTTCAGCAAGATGCAGACGTACCTGTGGGACACGCACAGCGCCGCCGAGGCGGACGAAGACGGCGTGCGTGTGCCTGGCGAAGCCGTCTTCCAACCGGAAAGCCAGCGCCAGTGGTGGGCGGAGCAGGTCATTGACGGGCGCAGCTGGCGCCTGGACGACGACGAGGACGACAGCACAAACCCTGACCTGGCTCGCCGCCGCCTCTACGAGAACTGGTACGGCAAGATGATCGCGTACTCCCGCCGCGCCCTGACTTTCCCTGCCGACCGCCTTCCCGCCATATCCGCGCTCGCCTCGCGCATGCAGGCCAAGTTCGACGCTCTCCTTCTGCCCTCAGGCCAGCACGAATCCTACGTCGCCGGCCTCTGGGCCCGCGATCTCCCAGGCGGCCTGCTCTGGTCCGTCCCCGTCTTCGACGCCGACCCGGCGCCCAGCTTTGCCGACTACTTGGCCCAACGCACCGATCCTGAGCTGTTCGTCGCGCCGTCGTGGAGCTGGGCGTGTCAGGACGAGACGGCGTTTTTCTACGGGTACGGCGCGGACTTTGTGGCGCTGGGCACCGTCGAGCATGTTGAGGTAAAGCCCGCTGGGCTGGATGCGTTTGGGAGGGTTAGGGGCGGGGAGGTTGTGGTGGGCGGGTGGATGGCGAGGGTGCCGTGGGGGTATTTTGAGGTTAATCAGGTCGATAGGGAGGGGATGAACTACGAAGCTGTGAGACGGGATGGTGGGGTGAGGACGGGGCCGGGGGGGATAACGTTGATGGCGCCGGGGGGTGGAGAGGCGGAGGTGGAGTTTGATTGGTGGGTGGAGGATGAGAGGCATGCGGAGTATTGGCCGAGCGGGAGTTTCGTGGTTATGATTATCGGGATGAGCGTGTATCCAGAGGAGTTGGTGCCGGCGAGCCCAGAGGAGGGGTGGGAATTGTTTAGGAAGGCGGCGGAGGTGAAGGGGGAGCCGGGGGACCGGGTCGTCGTGCAGGAGGATGGCGAGGTTGCGAGGTTTGACTCGATTTTCGTCCTTGGGATTGTGTTGCATGAGACGGAAGAGCCTGGGGTGTATTTAAGGGCGGGGTATTTGAGGGGCTCTGCCTTTGAAGATACGCTTGCGGAACTCAGAGATGCGGAATATCGCACGGTTAAAATTATATAATGTAGATGGCAGAAATGTGAGCTAGGAATCATGATCATATGCCAGTAACAGCGCTGGTCCAGACACTACGGAGAAATACGGTCGATCCTGTTATTTAATACTACAAGTAATACGCATAGAATGATGAGCGACGATGCGTGGGCGAGGATTGTCCTTCAAATCAAGATGCCACTTTAGTGCCCAGGACCGTATACCTTTTGCAACGTGTATAATGCTCAATGGGTCTTGGAAAAATGATGCATGTTGATGTACGCGTTTTATTTTCCAACTGAAACCTCTTGAATAGCAAGTATGGAGCAAGAAAAGGGCTATAAGATAATTGAGTCACTTCTTTCGTCCTCAGGAGTTACCAGAAAATCAGCTACAGCTGGCATAGCTGAATAAACGGAAAATATAGTATCAAATTCGAAATGCTAGAAATAAGGCGAGCCAACAGAGATTGAAGAGACCAAACTCAACCAAGTCGAACCTCTTCCCATTCGGCATTCGCGGCGTGGAACGCGTCGATATGGATTTTTCCAATGCCGATTCTATATGCAATACCCTCCCTCATCTCCACAAGTAGAATCCTGTAAAGAGGATAGAACTTATCCTGAAACCGTCTACGGTCCCAATAATCCATCAGTTCATACTCTTCAATTTGCTTTTCGATATCGTTTGGCTGAGCAATGTTCCTAAAGTACTTAGGATCCCATTCTAACGGAGCTATATTCCGTAGATCAATTCCCAGCTGTTGTTCACATTTCTCTATATCCTCTTCACTGCATCTTGCTAGTGCCACGAGGCGCAGATCGGCTTCGTTGGCGGGCAAGCAGTCTAAAAGTATCGACCCTGCTAGATACTGACTTGAATCGAGAATATGTCTTAATTTGGTAAAACACATCCTTTGTAGATCGTCCAAGAAAAGACCAGGTATGGTTGAGGAGGCGGAGATATGAACGGTAAATGCCGAAAAATGGAGAATGTTCGACTCATCCAGGAATGATGGTTTGTGGTGTCCATCATCACGAGGTTCGAGGTCAATTGGATGCTGAAAGAAGGTGTTTGGTCTTGAGTCATGCGTGTAAGCATGGTATTTCCAATCCGGTAGAAACCTGTATTTCCATCCCTTCTCCCGCCAGTTTGCGCATCTATAATCTTGGAGTGTGAGCTGAGAGCAGTTGTTGACAGCTGACGTAGGAGCGCAACGCCATAGGACGGCCGAGATTAGCGGTGCGTTTGCCATCCGATCATACCTTATGTCTCCCCTCCACCCAGCCCAGCTCCAGGTAGGCAGCCGACCAGGGTGTCTTCTTCTCATTATTTCTGACCAATTGCTCTCATATACAGGAATAATATAGCGATGGTCACTGCTTCCCCATAAAAGAGCCTCCTCAATTTCGACATCTGGGAGATTGAACAGAGACTTTGCCTCTGTATTCTTGTACAGAGCCTTGAAGATAGCATCGAAGGCTGGTACAACATCCATATCGTATGATAGGACACGTTGTGTGAACCTCCCCACCGAAGTGTCGTAGAGATACGAAATTGGTGTCTCAGCAGCTTCTGGACGACGAATTTGCATGCGTTTTTTGTTTGGCATGGTCCAGTCACTCCTCCTTGGACTGTGTGAGTGTGTTTCTTCAAGATATACTGTATGATTACAGATAAATTGAAGTTGCTGATAAGTGACCAAGAGCAGCCGTTTCGATAGAAGCATTTCCTGATAGGTCCATCCTCGTTGGAACCAAGCGCAACTGTGATACCCCTCCCAGGGATATTCCAATGAGCCTGGTCTGGTACATAGCTGCATGCCCTGTACAGTCGCAATCCTCTGGAAGCTTACTCTTGGGCGACTCATGCCACACAGTCCACTACCCGCGTGGTCTCCACAGGCATCGACAATAGTAATGGCTGCGGCGCCATATATGGTGCCCATTCTGCTGATGAAATAGATTTTATCTGCTTCATCGTCTTGGAGGATACAAAGTGAGTCCACCCATAGGTAATCCAGTCCGATATGGCCCGCTAAGTCTATGGCATCCGCGATGGTCCGAGGCAAGAAACCTTGCTTCGAGTGAAAAGCCCCCTTGGTTTCGAACTCCCGCTGTGTACTCGTGCAGTACATCCTCTGGGGACTCTTCCCCCAGACATAGCTGAGTGCAGCGTAGCGAACGGGCGCAATAGGGCGCACTATGCACCTCTGGTTCAAGTCGATTAAAGCCAAGTTGTGGACCCAAGGTGCATCCTCATCACTACAGTGCTCTTGCTCGCATTTTTCCAGCCATTGTCGGGCTACGTTTTGTTGCTGCTGCTTTATGTAGGGACTGATTTGCCGTCCTCGCATTGGGCGCGAGTCGTCGAGGGCCTGAATATCCATCTCCGGCTCTATCGTGTGGATAGATAGGTACCTCACCTGAGTTTCGGGGTGATTGCAGTCAAATTCGGAAGTTTGAGAAAAGCATGTGCTCTCAATACTGATGATTCCGGAGGGTGACTCAGTTTTCCAGTAACTCGAGGCCAGAAGCCTGCAAAACGAACAATTCGTTTGCTTCGTAACATGTTTCACCGTTCCAGTATTGATCTCTCTCCGTCGACGGGATCTTGGTTTAGGTGCGTTGTTTTCAAAAAGCCAACGAAAGTTAATGTGACAGCAGAGGTCACAGAGGTAGTCTGGGTCCGATGGCGACCTTGGTGGTGGGTCTTCAATCCACCAGGGTTCTGGAGGGGACCCGGGCTTAAGTACACTCCAACCGTAGTCGTCATCCCAAACATGGCCTGCATACTTTTGTGCCCAGTATGGATATCCATCGTCGTCTTCGCTTGACCAGTCTTCGAATTGCACTTGGTCTTGAATTCCATCGTGATCCGTCTGTGGAGATTCGTTCGCACCTCCGTCTAAGCGGGTAGAGTTGTTTGGTCCTTGATCCATGCACGGGGAATTATTGAAACTTTTGTCCATGTGAGGCGATGTGTTCGTATCCTCACCCATGTCTCGGCACTCGTTCTCGTTTCCGGGCTTCGGGCCGATTCTAGCTTGATGAATGGAAGAGGACGCCATAGCTACTGTGCGTCATCCTTGGGGATGAGGGTATTCTGGATGTGATAGTCTTTGCGCAAAGATGAAAAGGTCGCTAGAGAAATGCTTTGAGTGAGATGCGGAGTTCAGCCTCGGGCGAGGTCGGCGGAAGTTCTTATGCTGGCCCCACCAGCTGTGTAAGCAGGCGATGAAAAGTGCTTGCTCATGCAGCCAGCCCGCCAATCGGTTTTAATGATAACCGATAAAGATATTGACGCCTGTAATGACGTCAGTGGCTCTCAGCAGTACCCGTCTAGCCTCCCTGCGTATCAGGACCGGCACGGAATAGAATTTGAAGTGCATGTATTGATGTCACGGAGGACCTCTCCCACTGAGGACAAAACCTTACGAGATTTGGTAACTATTTGCTTACTTGAAGCTACGGGGAAGCAAGAACTCGCGTCTGCTGAGTACCAGCGAGGGTGACAGTGGATTAAGCCAGAATAAATGCTCGATACGTAGAGTTAAACTTGATCACATGGATTAAGGGTACATTAAGGCTAGTCGCGCACATCAAAAGCAGAAACTAACGTCTTACGGCAGACCCTGGCCCTTCGCAATGTACTCCACCTCACCAAGACCCTCATACCCGTCCTCCGCTCCCGAAGACACGCCACCCTGAGCCAACGCAATCTGACCCAACTCATCATTCACCGCCAAAAACGCCGCCGACGAGAAGGGGCTCGCCAGCACGCAGCTATCCGCATTGCTCAGCTCCATGCTCAGCCCGCAGATATTCGTATTGTTATAGAAATCCGCATTCCCGCGCGCCCAGTTCCTCAACGGGACATCAATCGTCACGCTCTCCCCCGCCTGCACGCCGCCAAACGTCAACGACACCGCCTTATCCCCCGGAATCGACTCGCACGTCCCATTCCACGCCGGGCGGCCATTGAAGATCACCACCTCCCCCTCCATCGCCGCGAGGAAGTCGTCCTGGTCCAGCGGCAGGTAGTCCTGGCCCGACCCGCTGTCCAGCAGGCACGTCGTCGTCGTCGTGTTGTAGTAGCCCGTATACAACTTCACCTCGCGCTCGCCGACGCGCCACACCGGCCGGTCGACGTAGTACCCCACCGACCCGTCCGGCTCCCGCTTCGGCACCTGCACCAGCGTCCCCGCGTACTTGCCGGCGTCGGCAGCCGGGATGGCGCCCAGCAGCATGGTCCCGCGGTAGTCGTCGCGCACGCCGGCGGGCGGCGCGTCGAACCACATGGAGAGGGTGGAGCTGGATATGGCGCCGGCGTCCAGCAGGTTCTGCCGGAAAGAGGGCCCCTGGTTCGTGCCGCTGCCCGCCTGCGCGATGCCGAGGATGCTGCTGTCGTAGTCGACGCCGGTGCATTGGTCGGCGCGGATCTTGATGAGGGTGCGGTTCGTGATGGCGACTTGGGTGTTGGCCAGGGAGGGGAAGAGGGCGGAGGAGGAAGAGGAGGAGGCGGGGGAGAAGCTGATGGTGTCGTTGACCGAGTAGTATGACGTCAGGATCTTGCCGTTGCCGCCGTAGGCGAAGCCCCGCGTTTGGTTGTGGAAGCCCTGCGCGGTGGATGAGGCGTAGGGGTTGTAGGACGGCTCCGGGGTCAGGTGGCAGGGGCCTTCGACGCCGAGGTAGGGGCTGCCGTAGAAGATGGTGGCGTTGGGGCCGTAGACCTGGGGTTCGGAGTGTTAGCGGGGGGCGGGAGGGGATTGTAGCGGAGTGTTTGCGGCGCGTACCCAGTAGTCGGCGCTGCCGAGGTCGACGACCGTCTCAATGGGCGTCTGCTCGGGCGTGCCGAAGTAGATGTCGGCGTAGACCTTGGGGTAGCCGTTGTACGGATACTTCAGCGGCATGAAGACCGGCTTGCCATCCTGACGCTTGGTCGGCTGGGCGACCGACGAAGCGGCGAGAAGCGACAGGAGAATCGGGAGCATTTTGGTGTTTGGAGATTCGCTGTCTGAGAAGCGCAGTCCAGGAAACGCAGCACTCAACGACGAAGCGGCGCCTGGGCTTTTTATCTCCGGCACCGGATGGAGCTTTACCTACATGGTCGTTCAAACTCCTCGATGAGAAGTCAAGCGAGCCAATTATTCCTCGACGTTCGGCGTAGCGGTATCAGCAGTTTGATGTTAAATACGAGGATCGAACCAGGCGATTGTGAATACGGACGAGATGGAACGGTGTTTCTAGCTCTTTCAAGAAGGTCTGCACCGATCTTTGCCCGACGTGCGCAACTTATCCCCGTATACCGTTGTGCCGATGCCGAGCCGCTTCTAATAATAGCCACCATCGTCGTATCGAAACTGTGCAGCGCTGTGATGGTTGCGTGATGCGACTGTGCGTGGAGTCGCTGAAGGCATCTCAATTGCTGGGTTGGAGGCATAGCTGATAGAGAAAGGAAGGAGAGCTGATGGAATGGCGCGGAAAGTAGATAAGCGATTTGTTCGGTGGTGGAGTGAACTTGTTACTGTTGGTGTTAAGCTTAAATCCATCGTCAGCAGCCAAGATTAGCTTCCGCATCAGCCAGCACGCCACTGCCATCACCTTCTGCCCTGCTGCAGATACCACACCTGAGAGATGTCCTCCAGTCGTGTTTCAAGACGGAAGACTCTCTCGGAAGCTTGCCTGGTGCTTATGCAAGGCAAAGGAGATAGCAGAGGAGTAATGGATTCAACATGATGAGACCCAATGAGGTGGCCGGGGATGGTCATCATGTGTGATGTGTCCGGGCAAAAGCGAGGAAACTATAGGGAGATATATTTTGTTGGTGAATCATTTGATGCGACTGCAAGCGAGTTCGTGACTCAGGTCATGATGACAAACGAAACATTTTGACAGGCGCCCGGATTTCTTGGCAATCCGGGGCGGAAATGAGGGAGAAAGCGGTGCAGCGCGGGACGAGAAGCGGCGCAACGCGGGACAAGAAGCAGCGGACTAGCGGAGCGCTACTCGAAAAACTTTCAGTGTGCGGGCATGTGGAAAACTTGGCTCTTCTTCCAAGCAACTCCTTGACCTTCTTCGTACATCAGGCAAGAATCACCCCAGGTCTCGATACTCCTCTGGTGATGACCATCTTTTTGCCACCCAATGGCCGGCTGACCGCGGACGAGGAGTTTGTCGATTCTACACGATGGAGGCTGGAACTGCACGGGGTCGTGAGGCTGAAGGCACCGGTGAGGAATCACTTTCGTGATGACCGCGGGTAGATCGGAGGACTGACGTTAAAGAAACAACAGCACAGGCGAGGCCGGCACGCACTTCTCCGAGCCGGGCACAGTTCCCCGGAACAGATCGGCTGGTGTGGTGAAGATTGGGTGAGGTTGGATGAGCGCTGGGTGAACATCCGACGCCAAGATCGGTAAACCCGTAGCTCCTACCCGACGTTTCGCCGCCGGTAGTTGGAGGGCGGCAGCTGGAGTGACTCGCGGGGCCCCACAACGTCCCGGCACCACTGCGGGATCCTCCTGGTGGCCTCAAGTCCACGCGGCCCGTCACTACTGTCTCCTTATAAGTCAACTGTGGTCAACTGACTTTTAGCTTCCGGTACTCTATCTTTACCAACCCTTGATGCGGTTTCATTCAAATAGCCAGCTGCCGTGCTTCGCTATGAGAACAGTACAGTGTAAAGAGATGGGCACCAAACCACTACCGCCGCTCTTTGGGCATGTCCACACGATGCCAAGCAGCTAGCTTGCGGAGAAGCGGGCTCGATTATCGGAATCTCCTCGGTGGGGAACCTCCAGTAGGAACAACTCCCAGCGCGAAATCCGCCCCCGATCATGTGGTACCTCTTGGCAGTCCTCCTGCACCCCATTCCCCGCCATTACCGACCAGCGGGAAGATCTTCCCGCGCCCTGTCCGCCTGTTTCTCTCTGGCATTTGCCGACGGCAGTCCCCAAATGGTTCCTTTCTCCGCCGAGACAAATTGACGAAGACCCGTCGTAGTGGCACCGTATACGATCTCTGCCGGGGCCATGGGAGCAAAATTCGCGGGCCGACATGATATCATTATGTATCGCCAAGATGGGGGTTCGGGTACTTAAGTAGAGCCGTCGGGATGGGATGAAGGTACAGCCTCCAGAAAATCATTTCCGCCTCTACCTCCTGCCTTCAACATGTTGGCTTCCCTCCTCCACGCCTCCAGTGCCCGGCCGCAAGGCTCATGGGCTTCAGTCTTTGTTGCAGCACTGGCCTCAACATCCCTTGTCTCAGCTAGGGCGTTGCCTCGCTCGGATAATTCAAGTGATGCTGTCCCAGCCTACCGCAACCCCACCCTCTGCGTGGACGAGCGCCTGGATGACTTGCTCGAGCGGATGACGCTGGAAGAAAAGGTCGGCCAGCTGTTCATCAAGCAAATCCCCATGGGCGCCAACGGCACCATCGACACGACAACCTTCACCGACAACTACACCACAGGCGGCCTCATCAGCGAGAAGCTTATGACGCACTTCAACATCGTGTCCAGCGGCAAGCCTAGCGAACTTGCCAACTGGCACAACGCCATTCAGGAGCTTGCTCTGCAGACCCGGCTCGGAATTCCCATCACTGTTGCCACGGACCCTCGTCACTCGTTCGCCGAGACAGCCGGTTCCGCCGTCGGCGTCGGCTCGTTCTCGCAGTGGCCTGAGACACTGGGCTTGGCCGCGCTGCGTAGTCCAGAGATGGTGCAGCGCTTCGCAGAGATTGCACGCGAGGAGTACATGGCCGTCGGCATCCGTGAGGCGCTGAGCCCGCAGATCGATGTGACGACGGAGCCGCGGTGGGCGCGTACGGGACAGACGTACGGCGAGGACGCGAATCTGACCAGCTCGCTCGTCGTTGCATACCTCAAGGGCTTCCAGGGTGAGACTCTTGGCCACCACTCCGTCACGACCGTCACCAAGCACTTCCCCGGCGGCGGCCCTGGCCTGAAGGGCAACGACTCGCATTTCCCCACGGGCAAGAACAACGTCTACCCCGGCGGCTACCTGGACTACCACCTGCAGCCGTTCAAGGCCGCCATCGCCGCCGGCGCCAGGCAGATGATGCCCGCGTATTCCCGGCCGATCGGAACCAAGTACGAGGAGGTCGGCATGGGCTTCAACAAGGGCATCGTCACGGACCTGCTGCGCAACGAGCTCGGCTTCGACGGCATCGTGGTCAGCGACTGGGGCCTCGTCACGGACTTTGTGGCCCGCGGCGAGGAGATGGAGGCCATCTCGTGGGGCGTCGAGGACCTGAGCGAGCTGGCCAAGGTCGAGAAGATCCTCAACGCCGGCGTCGACCAGCTGGGCGGCGAGATCCGCACCGAGCTCGTCATCCAGCTCGTCAACGAGGGCGCCATCCCGGAGTCGCGCATCGACGAGTCGGCGCGCCGCCTGCTGAAGGAGAAGTTCCTGCTCGGCCTCTTCGACAACCCCTTCGTCGACCCCGAGTCCGCCGACCGCGTCGTCGGCAACGACTACTTCCGCCGCGTCGGCAACGAGACCCAGCGCCGCGCCTACACGCTCCTCAAGAACCCCGACGACCTCCTGCCCCTGCCGCTCGACACGGCGACCAAGTTCTACGTCAGCGGCCTCAACGCGTCCTACCTCCTCGACCGCAACCTCACCGTCGTCGACTCGCCCGAGGAGGCCGACTTCGCCTTCCTCCGCCTGTCTACCCCCTACGAGGCCCGCGGCGGCGGCTTCGAGCGCAACTACCACCAGGGCCGCCTGGACTTCAACGAGACGGAGAAGGCGCGCCACGCCGCCATCATGGCCGCCGCGCCCACCATCGTCGACATCTACCTGGACCGCCCGGCCGTCATCCCCGAGCTGGCCGAGGGCTCTGCGGCGCTGATGGGCAACTACGGCGCCAGCACGGATGCTTTCTTGGATATCGTGTTCGGCACTGATGGCTGGAAGCCTGAGGGCAAGCTGCCGTTTGACCTGCCCAGGTCTATGGAGGCGGTTGACAAGCAGTTGGAGGATGTGCCGTTCGATACCGAGAACCCTGTCTACAAGTACGGCCACGGGCTGAGCTACGCCGAGAAGTGTTAAGATCGGGAAGAATGTTCGACGACGCTGTTATGTTTTGACGAGATCAAGTAAATAGTTTTTCAATGTAATCTGTAATTTCTGATCAGCCACCCGCCACTTCTTTCACTCGTTTCTGTCTGCCGAGCCCCAAATTAGGAAGATGACAATAGTGATATTATTCTAGCTATCTACCAGTCCTCTACAGACCTGGTTATTATTTGCTCGGTGCCCTCTGGAAGCTTGCCTGCTTGCGCTCGGCTTCTACACCAACGTCGGCGTCGGGCTACACGTCGCGACCTTCAACCCATCCGTAAACCTGCTCAACCCATCGGGACCCAGCTTATCCACCGTCGCACTCGCCGGCAACTGCCCCACAAACGCGTTGAAATTGTATATCCCACACACACACTCCGCACTCACCTCCTTCGGGCTCGCCCCGCTCAACACCGTGCTGCCGCCCCTCTTCAGCGCAAAACTCTGCTTCCCCGTCCCGAGCGGGAACTCGAACACACTCACACCCGCACCCGCCTCGGCGGTCTTCACCCCGTTCCCGCCCGACGTCACCTCGATCGTGGCGCCCGACGTCAGCAGCGCCGCGACGAAGACCGAGTCGGCGACTTGGTCGGCGCCGGCGGGCGCGGACCCGACGTTGTCGGTGGAAGCGCAGTTGAGGCCCTTGGGCTGCGGGCGGTACCAGTAGACCAGCTTGTCGCCGCCGGTGGCGCTGACGTGTGAGGCCGAGACGGAGGTGGCGCCGGCCTTGTAGGCGGCGATGAAGGGCGCGGCGAGGGTGGACCAGCCGTTGTGAGGCATGTCGTTGGTCCACTTCGAGTTGCCGTCGTCGTAGTGCTTGGAGGCGAGGGGGCCGATGTAGTGGGATTCGCCGTAGTCTGTTGGGGGGAGGAAGTGTGAGTATGGGGGTGGAGGAGAGGGGGAGGAGGGGGGGGAGAAGCGTACCGTTCCAGCTTACGATTTCGACGAAGCGAGAGCCGAACTGGAGGATTTCGTTCCAGCGGGTGACGTAGAAGTCGTCGGTGGGGAAGAGCTGTTGTTGTTGTTAGTGGTGGTGTTCGTATGCGAGGCACGGGAGCAGAGGGACTTACCCAGTTCTTGCCGCCGAAGTCCGCGTTGTTCTGGAAGTGCGTGAAGAACCAGGGAGAGACGGCTGCATCGTTGGTCAGTATCTGCCTCACGTTTTCAAGACATGTTGACTTACGAGCAATGTACTTCGACTTGTCACCAAGCTTGTTGGTGTAGTCGTTGTCGGCATACGTGGGCAGGTAGGTGTTTGATGCGCTCGGAGGGTTGTTGGAACCGTCGGATGGCCAGCCGTACCTTGTAATCATCAGCAATTGCAGGCGTCAACATGGAGGCAGAGAAACATACCAGCTGAAAGCGCCGTCCAAGGCACCAAAGTCCGCACCGGAACCGGGGTTGAAGTTGGGAGCGAAGTACAGGGACATTCCCGAAGCGCTCCTCACCGCGGCGACATCCAGACCATCACCAACGAACGAGGACACAAACACCTTACCATCAACCTTCAGCTGGGCCGCATGGTTCCCGAACTGAGCAATCTTGGCGCCCACGCCGGCGGCGTCCGAGGTCGACCACTGGCCGCTGTTGAAGTCGAACGAGAGGAAGACCTTCATGTCGTTGCTGGCGGCCGAGTCGTATGCGTACTGCAGCTGCTGCGTGTAGTCGGCCGGCGCCTTGTCCGGGCCGAAGTTGAGCGCGAAGGCGTCGATGCCCAGGGCTTTGGCGCCCTGCATGTCGGCGTCGTAGTCGGCGGCGCTGGTGCGGTCGGTGACGATGCCGATCTGTTTAGCAGGAGTCAGCATTGGAGATGCGGTGAGAAGAGGGGTGGCGGTCTGGCTGTACCATGAAGTGAGCGAAGACATATCTGTTGGACGACTGCCTCTCCGAGAGCGTCTTCGTGGGTGCGTCGGTGGGTGCGGCGGTGGCGGCGGATGCGAGGCAAAGCCCGGCGGCCAGGGCCTGCAGGAACTTGGGAGCCCAGTACATGTTCAGTGGTTGTAGCGGGCACTGAGCTGTGTGGTGGTGAGTAGCGGTCGAGGGGGAACCTGTCAGCTTTTTAAAGCCAGTTCCTGGGAGGGAACATCGGCCCCCGGTGGAGACCAATCGTATTGAGGACCAACTGCATCGACGTCTACATAGGGCTGATTAGGGCATGTTGACCCCGTATTCGAACGTCGGTTGCCATTTTAACGTATTTTGGCCCCAGTTTCCAGGGGTATCAGGCGTGCCTGCCGGCCGCTTTTCCGCTACGGGCGATCTCGACGGGTACCTTTTGGGGGCGGAATCCTCGCTTGGATCACCAGCCCTATGGAGTTGCCTGCGATCCGAGTAACGACCACTGGATCGATCGGGAACATGGAAAATTCTATCATTTCGCGAATGTTCTCCAAGACCGCGGTAGTGCTTACATGTCGAAAATGATGCGTGCATGCACCAAAGGATTTCTTCAAGCCCACGGCGCTCAGGCATTACCAACGTCACCATGTTCCAGCCTTGCGCTACTACACTAAACAACACACGACATCTGCCCTATTATTGTCCTCCTACTATATAATGTTTCTTTTTATTGGTGCCTTTTGCTCGCTGCTGGAGTCATGGACCTCCCTTGTTTGGCGATTCATGCATCTCAGCCGTGGTTTCAACTGATCTATAAATAGTCCACATCCCGCTCCACTTGGAAATTCACGAAGCACGAGAACAGTCTCCCCACCATGAAAGGCTTGAAGGAATAAAATACGAATATATCATAAATCCTTCGTCCACGATTGTTATTTGATCAGGTGTGCAGTGGAGCATTAGGGCTTGTCACGAGAACCAAAGAGCTTTTGGGGTCATTGCTCGAAATTAATTGAGGTTTACTACTATTAAAGACCTCTCGGTCCATTATTCTCTCTCGCATAGCTGTCATCAGAGAACGGGAAGGAAAAGAAAGCAGTCGCTACAGCAGATGGATATAACCCAACAAAGACGAAGAAAAGCCCGACGCCAGTGTATGCTCCCATCTTATTCCCAGAACGCAGTCCTTCAAAACTCCATCAGTTCACAACCGGCCCTGCGCTTTTCTCTTGTATGACAGCCTTCGGAGGAGCCGTGGGATGCGGCGGTAGCGGGAAGCAGAGCTGCGGCGGGCCGTCGTGAGGCTTGTGGACAACCCGCTGGCCGCAGCTCTGGCAGAAATGGTCGGTATCGTAGTACATTTTGCAGCAGTAGGGGATGCATGCACCAATGACGCCGAGCAGCAAGCAGCAAAGGAGCGCAGTAGTTCCCGTCTGGCTGGACGACTGCTGGCTTATGCGCGTCATGGTCCGTTGGTGGCAGTGCGGGCAGTCGATGCACCTGGGTGATTCGTCTAATTGGTCGAGGGTGACGGGGTTTTGTAGCAGCCGTGGGTTGATGGGGACGGGCTTTTGTGTTGCCTTCCTGAATTACCTTTGCGTGAGCACTCGACAATAGCAATGACGTGAGACAAAGCTGTGATTTGGACTTACGGTGCAGCCGAGTTCCCCAGGTCTTTCTCCATCGACACAGTGCGGCTTGTCTCGAGGTCTTGCATCGTAGTGGGGACAGTAAGGTTACTGTTATCAACTGCCGGTGCATTAGCAAAAATTGGAAATTGCTGGAGCATGGACATGAGGGCTCTCTTACCAGTGCTCCCGTACGCGGGAGGAGCCACCGGAGCTTCTTGGTTCGCCATGACTAATGCAATACGACTGGGACCACAACAGATTTCCAAGTGCGAAGGTCGCGAAAAATAAAATAAGAGCTTGATGAGTGGAGTTGTTCCTGGCGCGGAAAAAGCAAACTACAGCCGTCTTGCGCAGGGTTTTATAGAAAACGCACTTTTAGCCCAGCGTTGAATTTGGCTGGTGATACCGGGGTAGAGTCATAGTCTGGACCGGTGGAAGGATCATACACTTTGGCCCCCAGGAACAAGATCCCGGTCGGCGCCGAGTACGCTACTTCAGCCACACCCAATTGCTATTCGCTTGAAAGGCCACGGGGTGGTGCGATTCAATATATGCCCGACCAGATGCACACAGCCGTCATACTACGCCGGCGTAAATACGGCTGTTCCTGCACACCGATACACCTGCATTGGTGTAACGGTCGCTTCCCGTCGCTCGTGTTGCTATAAGTAGCCCTGCAGGATCTAATCTGGTCACCGTCTTCATACGCCACAAGGCGACAACCGCGGCTTTTCAAATGGTGTGGCTTTTGAAAAGCTGGGCGTTGGCCAGCACTGGAGAAAAGTGATGCAGGGTAACGTTCGGCCGAAACCTTATCGCAGATAGCAGCACTGACAAAGTAGTTTTTCCCTCCGCGCCTCCACGATTCACGATGCTGTGGTCTTTGCTCAAATAAACTTATCCGCGAGTAACGTACCGAGATCGGGAGCAAAATGACTACTCGGGCCGTGAAAGCTTAAGCTTGACCTCAAAGATCTCGACATGAGGACGAAAAAAAATACTGGGGCATAGGGCTGCGAGCATCGACAATGCTTGACGTTGATCATGGCGCAGCATTAGCGAAACCCCTATTGGTCATGTCTCAATGATCATCACGCAAAGCAAGTTGGGAACAGATGGACTTGGGAATGAGCTCGCCAAAGCAACAACAGAGCTCCGCACGAAGGATATATGACTATAACTTCTCAAAATATGTACAGCAAGACACACATAACAAAGAGAAGGACCCAAAGCGCAGTCTCTTCTCCCCTCAACAACCATACATCCACTCCACAACACCCCCCACTTTCCCTCTACACTCACTCGCTCACTCACGCAGCAAAACATTTACTGGGCACCAACGACCTTGCCGTTCTTGCAGACCATGCCGGCAGCGACGTCCTGGAAGTAGACGTAGCCGCGGTTGCACAGACCGTACTGCGACTCGCCGTTGCAGATGACCTGGCCGTCGTTGGCGTCGGTGCAAGAGGAGTTGGCCTCACCAACACCAGCGACCTGAGTGGCGGCAGGAGCGGCAGCGGCGGCCGAGGTCTGGACCTTGGTGACGAGGGTGGTGGCCTGGACGGCGGAGGTAGCGACCTCCTGGGCGGCGGAGGTGACGGCGGCGGGAGCGGCGGCGACGGCGGGAGCGGACGAGGGGGCCTCGGCGAAGATGCCGGCGGCGGAGGAGGTCTTGGCGACAGTGGTGGAGGAGGAAGCAGAGGAGGAGGACTGCTGCGAGGAGGAGGAGGAGGAGCCGGAAGAGGAGGCGCCAGACTTGCTGCTGCTGCCGGCGCACTGGCCCTGCGGCTTGGCCAGGCCGCCGTACAGGACGTCGGAGCCGCCGGTGGCGAGGCTCGTGCCCGGGTTGGGGAACTCGAGGACGTGCTCGCCCTGGGTGAGGCACTGCGGCAGCTGGCCCTGGGCGAGCAGGCTGGCCTGGGTGACGGTGCTCTGCAGGAACGAGTTGACCGAGCTGAGGCCGGCGTCGAAGGTGCTGTAGCCCAGGTTGGCGACGAAGATGTCGGGGAGCTCGTCGAAGGCAGAGGTGTCGTCAGAGGCGCCCGAGATGGTGACGGGCGCGCAGTTCATGTACATCTCGGGCGCGTAGCTGGAGACGGGGAACCAGGTCCAGGCCAGGATGGCCTCGCCGTTGACCAGGTCCTTGGGGATCGAGTACTGGAAGCTCGACGTCTTCTGGTTGTAGCCGGGGCAGCCGCCCTGGATCGAGTGGAAGACCTTGAACACGGACTTGGCGGTGGGAGCCTTGTCGTAGGTGATGGACAGCTGGCACGAACCACCGTCGTGCACGGCGGCGCCCTGGGTGCTGCCAATGGCGGCAATCTCAGCGTCGTTGCCGGGGTAGAAGTCCAGAGTGTACTGCTGGCCGACGGCGAGCTCAGTGCGCTCCGTCGCCGAGTAGGTCTGGAACTTGCAGGGGTACTGCTCCGGGGTGAGCGGGCTGCGGTCCTGCTGCAGCGAGATGGTGTCGAAGGGCACGGGGTGCTTCATGCTGATGTGGGCGCTGGCCAGCGGCAGGGCAGCGAGGGCAGCAACGCCCATTCCGCGGAGCATAGGAGCCATGGTGTAAGATTAACTTAAAGAGTGTGGTGTTTGTAATGAGGGACTGGCCTGGCTCGGCTAGCAGGTAACGAGTGTAGTATTAACCAAAGGAATGGAGGTGTTGGGTGCGAGGGGAATCATCGGACCATGACACACCAAGCACTTAAGTACCCAAGGGAACTGGGGCCCTCACAGTAAAATGAGATTGGCGGTTGGGGACCTCGCCAAATGAGCGCGGCTCTGCAGCGCGGATGGAGATCTTCACTTAGCTCTTGCTCTGCCACACCCGGCCCAGAGAGCCCCTCGCCCTAGCCCGCCGGGGCCAAACCAACGCCCACCAGAACCAGGAGCCATCTCCGAACCGGTGGATCGCACGCTCGATGGGTGCCACGCTGCGCGCGAAGAGGCAGCGACTTCCAAATTGGCAGCCTGCGCGGCCACTGGGCTCAAGGGCCATAAGGAACCCGCACGGCCGCCGCATTGCTCCAAGCATCGGTCGTCAGGGTCCTAATGCATACTAAGTACCGGCATTGAAAACACTGGTGGATGATCAGGAGCACGATCGGCATCGGGCCGTATGCGCACGGGGAAGTCGGTGAAAATTCACACCCTCAGCCCTGTGAGGGGGCGCAGCTACAAAAGGGTGCGCCACAAAGGATGCGGAGAAGGATCCCGTGCCGCAGAGCCTAGCGTTCGACCGTGGTGAAGCATCTATTCGATGTTGATTGAAAAGGCCGTCGCGCTGATGTCTGCACGGATGCGGTCCTCTGTGTCCTTTAGCTCCTCCGTGACGTGCGCCGAGAGCTCTTCTTTGATTCCCATTAGCTGGTCATCGATTCGCAGGTCTATTTGCTCAACCGTGGTCTCAGCCACATCCTCTTGAAAGTCTCCCATCTCTTGTCTAAAGTCTTCTATTCGGTCATCCACATCTTCTCTGAGCCTATTCATTTCCTCGCTTATGCGCGCATCCAAATGCGACAGCAGGCGCTTCTCCACCTCTTCCAGCCGGCTGTCCAAGTCGGCGGCGAACTTGGCTTTGACGGCCTTCTCGACCTCGTGCTGAATCTCTTTGGACATCTGCGCCCGTTCTTCTGCTAAGATACGCCGGATCAAACTTTCACTGGTGGATTCGGCAGAGCCTTCTCTACGACGCTTCTTTCTGGAATTGGATAATTCTAAACCAATTAGATGTGCAGGGCATGAGGGCTCGCTCATCAGCTTACCATGCTCTGGGGGGCTTAGTGCAAGTTCGTCATAGGAGGGAGGGCTGTCACCGCGCCCATTGCCATTGGGAAGGATAGCCGACGCCTCAACAATCTTGCCCCCTTTCCCGGCGTAGAGCGCTGATAGGTTGGTAAAGTTGGGAAGTGACCGCCAAAGCTCGGGCCCAGCAATACTTGAGAGAGATGCAATCTGTTGCTTGGACAAATGCTTGGAAGGAAGGAAAAGAGTGAATTCATTGATCGTCGCAATGGCTTGCAACGCTTCCAAAGCATCTCCAGAGGATTTATTCTTAGGTACAAGGGGCAGGTCGGGGACTACAGCCACAGGAGAACGTTGCATCTTGAAGCACAGACCGACAACGTCGGCGGCGAGCGCAGCGGTAACGCTTTCGGGAATGGTAGGCGCCTCGTTCACGGAAAGGATTTGTTCCGGGTGCACAAAGGCGAAGACGGCCGTCTTGCGCGAAGGGAGCGCTTTCAACATCAAGGGGAGGCGCAGCCTGCAGAAAGCCATGGTTGCGGGAGCATCGAGGGCAAGCGTGCAGGTGATGCGGCTGGTCAGGCGCGAATCGCCGTCTTTGTCGCACGGCCAGGCGACGATGGCCGGAGCTTCCAGAACCTCGAAAGCATTGGGCGGCGACGACATTGCCTGGCGACAGCGGTCAGCGGGCTTGGAAACACATACCTGGAAAGCGGAAACCCCTCAGCAGCAATCATGCAGAGGATTCCCACCCAACCCAGGCTTTGTGGCTGGAGCAGCCTTGACTCCCACAACAGGAGGTCCCCGCACGTATAACACGATAGGATACGAGTGACGCCAGTTGCGCGGACGGCGGCTGGCAGCGATGCAACAGCCCCTTAACAGACCCCATCTCTTCCCCCAAAGGGACCCGGGCACGGACGTCTGGGGGGTAGAGAATGGATGGCGGCCTGCCCGCGCGATGACAGACGTCCTCGCACACTATTGAGTCGGTGCGCGGCTACCCGCTGGAAGCGGATACCTTAGAACTGACCCTGTTGTATGGTATGCCCCAAGAGCGACGCGTCGGACGAAGGGGGCACACGCGCGCGCGCGCGTGCGAAGGACGGAGCGTGCGGCCTGTGCGGGAATAGACGCGATAGTTCGTGGCAATGATCGATGCGACCGCGGAAACGAGCGTGTGATGATGGTAATGCGGACGATGAACGTACGAGGGAGCGGCGGTGACGAGGAGGCGGGCACTTGGCAGCCTGGTCGGAAAAGGAGAAAGTGTTTTTCCCCGACGGCTGAGCGCTGCCAGCTTCGGCTCACTCCGACCCCAGCCCAGGCCCCCCGCTCCTTTCTCCCTTTGTACTCAAACTCCGCTTCCTTCGTCCAACACCACGCCCCGTGAAATTTCCCGTCTTCTATTCGAGACTGTTGGAGATCCTGCTCTCACCATTCTTCCGTCCTTCTCAGGCACATGATGGAAACAATCGCCGGGAAGTTTTAGCGTGCAAACACTAAATCCTCAACAATCCCCTCGTTTCACCATCAAGCCGAAGAGAATGAAGGGCCCCATGGAAGAAACAATTGACAAGTCCTCTTTTCTGTCTACAGCTACCTTTGAACGTTTGCCAAGCCATGCAGTTTTGTACCTTTGAGCTGACGGCCCGATATCTGGAACCGAGTGCCTAGCGCCCGCCCGAAACCGTACGCATATATAAACATACATCGCTTATCCTGCAAGAGGCGAAAGTCGGAGAAAGTAGGATGTCTAAAGGACACAATGCGAAACTGGGCGTCCACTCGGTTAAGGCTCAAATGCGTAGTACAGGAACCGTGAGAGTACTTCGCCAGGCTTTGCTGTTTTGGTCCTCCGGAAACAAATAAACAAGCATTGGGAAGCCTGATCGCAATGCGTTTCCCCGCACAGCCACTGGGCTTTTCATTCGCCTTCTTATATGCCCCGATACCAGAACACCGTCCCATATCACCGATTTGCAGCACCGTTTCCTCAAACAACGATTCTATGAAGACGGACGCGACTAACCAATACCAACACCTCCATCTACAGCTGGACATTTTTCTTAGACCTCTTCTGTTCCTGTTCTTGCTGCTGGTTGGTCTGCCTGCCCATTTGATGGTTCATGCGTAAGGGTCCGAAACGAAACCAACTGCCAGACCACCCAAAGCACAAAGACGCAAAACAGCAGCAACGGTTGTCCGCCCGTGGCTATAATAACCACATAGCCGATATAACGGAATGCCTGCGTCACCCACTCGGGCTTATCCGAAGCCTGCAGGCTGACTTGCATGGCGGTGAGGACCAGACCGGTGTAGATGACGTACGCGGCCACAAACGTCTTGTGGCGTTCGAACAAGGCCTCAAGCCGGCTCCAGCTGGGCGCACGGAAGTTGTAGCCATACCCGTTGAGCCATGTGATCATGTTGACCCGTTGCAGTCTCAAGTCTCCATACTTGTATCTGCGGTGGCATTTCTCGACCGCGTCTAATTCTTTCTGTTCCAGTTTTTTGTCCTTGTCTTTCCTACTCTTCGCGTATTCCGTGCACGAGTTCGTGATGAGTTTCTGCCCATGAAAGCTTCGCAATCTGTTCTGCACCCGTTGGACCCGATCATCCGGGTCTATGTGGAGGTTTTTTCGGGCGTACTTCCTGTATTCCGAGTCTCCTCTGAAAACTTCCATCAAGTCGCACCACTCTCTCCAGCCTTTCTCGTTATTTGCAAACGACCAGGGCAGGAGGTTGTTCTCGACGGCAATCCGATAGTCCAACTCTGAATGAATCAGTCTCGTGTAGGAGTAGAGAAGGCCTCTTGCTTTCGTGTTTTCTTCATCTCTACTTCGGAGAATCTTAACAACCGATCTCCTTGCCAGCGCGGACGGGAGAGGCTTAATAAAATGCGTGGGAGGACTTGAAGTCCACATCAAATGCAGGGCTGGATCGTCCACACGCAGTATCGGGCGCCGGGAAAGAGAAAGCGTGGATAGCGTCTTGTAGTTTCCTTTGAATCCAGCCCACCTGAGCCGACTGTACACCCATTCCTCATCGAAAAGGTGGAATAGGGGAGTGTCCAATTCGTCTTCCAAGTTCCTTAGTGTTTCTTCGGCATTTGGATGTGAATCCTGAAATTTGTCGTCAAAAGTTGCAATATTTGACGGCGTTGTGCTTGTGCTTCCATTCACCTGGGAAAATTCCGGTGTTGGATGGGGCGTTGTGGTGCCTTGGGCGTTGTGCGTCTGAGTTGTTGCGGAAGGAGCCGAGCCTAGACCGTTATTCGACGAAGGTATAGCTCCTACCCCTCGTCCAGGGTCCAAGGTCAATTGAGATCCTTGCGGATGTGACATTGTAATTAAGGCAGCGGTGTGAAGAATGAGATTGCAGCCTTAGAAGTCGTGAGGTCTGAGCCAAAGGGGGGAGCCTTTTAATGGCTGGATTCAGCCTCGCGGAGCCTCCACATGAACTAGAGCTGATGTCGATCGCGGTTAACGTACAGCTGCGGCGGGTAAGCGTGGCGTATCGCCATTGGCGTGCAGCTTGCCGCCCCGCCTGTGGACTCGCAATCCGAAAAAGTGAACACATGCTGCAGTTCTCGTCCTTCTCGCTAAGAAATAACGAAAATGCGATGTCGAGTCTAAACTTGTAGGGCGGAGTAGGTGGCGTGGGTGGGGCAATACCGTGCCGGGCGCTTATTCCCAGCGCCTAGCTAGGCTGTGTTTCAGCCCTCACACGCAACGAGAATCAAAAGTCTCAGAGTTACCCTGCAGCCTGCAAGGCATTCTCGAGGTGGCAATACGCCGCCTTGATTTTTGTATAAGCGATGCTAGCTTTTGTTCCGCTTTATATCCAGCAGGCGTTCCATTGTAGGCAAGAAGATTGTGGCGCACACATTACGTTTTCATATCAGGCCGGCGGCTACATCTTTCAGCCTCAACCTCAAATCCCACTTTCGCCACTTCTTAACACCATATCAATTCTTTACCTGATCCGGAGAATATGCTGCCTCCTCCACAACATGCTGCCATCTCCTCATTCAAAGCCGACATCAGCCATGCCGAAGGGGGCGGTGCAGCCTCTATCGATAGCTCACAAGCATCGAGCCTTACAGACTTACTGCCAGCAGTCTTCAGATCCCGAGATACCAATATGATTACTCCGCCCAGAAAAATCAACGACTTTCTTGAGGCGGACCTCTCAGTCCCAAAGCTGAACGATATCCATTCATGGCTCCTGATCGTCGGACGGCCCGTTCCGCCTCGTCCGCTGAATCATCAGATCTTGATCGGCCGCAATATAGTGGTCACGGAGCAAGCTGAGCTGCATCTCGTCTGGGCCAAGCACCGCATCTTCATCAAGCCTCTTCCAAGATACTTGCTTGATCTTAGCTTCTGGAACGATTATCTGGTCTGCCCTGCGAAATCCCCAGAGAGCGGTTCGTCCTCGCGAAACATATGGAAATGCGAAAACAACCCGGAATGCCATCGCAGGGAGAAACTGGCTGCTCTAGCACGTGGTTTTCTCTTCTCGTACACGGCGCTCGTGCAGCACGAGAGCGACTTCCGAATCGCCATCGATCAGGGTCTCCTTCCAAGTACGGTTACGTGGGAGAGCTGGAAGATGGTTGCTGCAGATGTGCTGGAGAACCACACGTATGCTGCGGTGAATCCGCGCTATTGGTACGGCGAGCTCCGACTGACCAGGCTGAACAAAATCTATCGCTTCCGGTACGGGAAGATCTTCCGTGCCTATTCCACCGTAGGATTCTACAACTCGTCAGGCGACTTTTTCGCCGACAACTTGGGCAAGCTTGCCGTATTCCTTGGATATGTTGTCATGGTTCTCACAGCCATGCAGGTTGGGCTCGCTACTGATAAACTTCAGCCGGATGTTGCGTTCCAAAGAGCAAGCTACGGGTTCACCGTGTTTTCTATCCTTGCTCCTATCCTAGCTCTAGGCATCATCATCGCAGTGTTTGCATGCTTGTCTTTCACCAACTGGACAGAAACGTGCGATTTCCAAAAGAAAAGGTTTCGAGACATGGGCGTGAGCAACAAGGTTAAGCCGGTACTGAACACGGATTAACAGGAAAGAGCGCTCCAGATACGAGCCTCAAGTCTCCAGGAAAATTCAAGAATAGGGAAGGCGTCTGTGAAATTTATTATTGTACTGATATTGTATATATTTCCATTTTCATTGTACCGGAGCTCTCTTATATTACACGACTTCATGTAGGCTCTATAAATAAATGTATCACACACGTAGTAAATTTCATCATTCATTGTTGTTATCGCCGAACGTATTACATTACTTTTCATTCAACACCAAGGTAAAACCTGACCAACAACGTCATTCATTAATGATACTTTATAACATAATTCCAGCCATTTGCTATGCGTAAATTAAAAACACGTAGTTTTACTACATTGTTGGAGGAACTAGTAATATTTAATTTATTTATGTTATCTGTACTGTTGAGCAACACGGTATCGAGTATTCCATTTTAAATATTAATTTTCACTCAAATACATCTTGTAGAGGTAACTCAAGCCTTGATTTTATTATCTTATTGTTTAAAGATATGGTTCTTTTTCTATGGTGATGAAGAAGCCTTCAGTTCCTGTAATACCTTGGTATCCGACTTCCACATAAGCGGTAGCCAAAGAGGGTATTTGAAGATGCGCAGCATTCGTTGCGGCTCCACAATAACATGAAGATGAAGATGGTGAACTGAGATAATATCTGGCCAGAAGATAGACCCGAGAAGTGCTCGTCTTCCTCTATGGTAGCCCGCATGGATGGACTCTGGTGATGCTTGTGGACAGTATTTACCCAAAAGAATATGTTTGACTCTGTCCAAGTGCTCGACTGCAAACAGTTGTGAGTTTTCGATTCGGACCTACGGGGTAGAAAAGTACGTACGCAAGGCAATGTGCTGAGGTGTCAGCGCCTCAATATCCCGTAGATGTACCTTGGGAATAAGCAGCCAGTGCATCTTTCCCGCGAAGCGAGCATTATCAAATGCTAACACATGTTCATCCTACATTTTCTATGGTGAGCCAGCATAGGAGAGGAGATGCAGATGGATGAAACATACCTCGTAGACGATGTTTTGAAAGTTGTCGCGGTCGCAAAAGTGACAGATCTCTTGTTTCTTTTCTGTCCATTCCAAGCCTGCGATATATCGGCCGACACGGCACACCATGTTGGCTATGTCGAAAAGGGTCCGAAATAACACACTGGATGATAGTTGAAGGATTTGACACATCGTCTTCACTGCAGTCCTGTTAGTGCATGCCAGATGAGATACACGGCAGCGTGACCTTAGAAAGAGTTTTTATTGCTATGTTGAGGACAGGCAGCCATGGTGGTAGTGGAGATGAGGCAGAGTCAGAATAACGCTCTGGAGTTGTGGGGTGGGGGTCGGTGGGGCTGTGTAAGACGGCGCTCTCCAATCAAATCAAGAGGCGTTTTCATCTGCACTGCCCACGCAGTCGGTGTACCTTCATTCCGCCTAGGGCAAATAAATGTGTGGCACATGTTTCTCCCCAGGCAGACTGCAAAGTAACCATCAAAGATGTGGCGGTCAGACTACGGAAATCGTGTAGGCAACAATACATTTACAAGCGCGCCTTGAGCCTCTCCTCGCCGTTGCCCTTCGCCTCCGCCTCCGCCCTCTCAGTCTCACTCTTCCACCAATTCAATCGGATACCGAGCACTTCCTCAAACGTCTTCAACCACTGCTTATCGAACTTCGGCAGGACTCTTCCGGTCGTGCCAGGCGCAGGGTCACCGGCGATAGCACGCAGATCCTCAAAGTAGGCTTCCCAATCAGGCGCTAGCGTGTAGAACGGCTTTCCCTCGCCACGCTCCTTGAGGCGGTCACGCTCCCATTGGAGCATTGCTTCTTTTGATGGCAACGCTGCACGCCCGGCCAATACGCGTGCTGCAGCAACAGCCTGGTACTCGAATGCGCGGAAGGTGAAGCCACCAGTGACCTGCAAACGACAGTTCTGGTTAGCGGTGGACATTCCTCATGATAATTCATCCCTTGCACTTACCGCACCGATGAAGATGAGAGTCGGATCAGCGATGCTGAATACATGCAAATACAGTCCAGGAATGCGCCGGTTGGGAATCTTGATATTTGGCAAGAAAGGTAGCGTGAAGTTGTATCCGGTCGCGAAGACAATGTGATCGACATCCGTCAACGACGTACCGTCATTGAAGTAGATGCGGCCTGAATCAGGATCAAAGCGTATGATTTCTTTCTTGATTGAGATGCGTGGGTGTGTGAAGGGAACCCATCCGACAGTTGGAAGAGGCTGTCTGAGCGAAGCATACACTGGCTGCTTCACGACGTCTTTGATATCTTGGAGAACGTCAATCGCGGAGATGGACCCTCCGACAACTACGACGCGCTGCAAAATTCCTTCAGTCAGGCACGATTGTAAGGAGGAAAGGGCTGTGTCATGCAACACTTACTTTGTCTCTGAAAAGCTCAGGAGAGCGGTAGTGTTTGCTGTGGTGAATGCGGCCCGGGAATCGTTGATCATACTCAATGAGCCCGGGAATAGTGGGTATGAACGGTACATAATAATGCCCCGAAGCAACCACCAGCGCATCGAACGTCTCTTGCCACCAGATGTCCCGGTCTCTTCCTGGGATTTCTTTCCGTAGCGTCAGGATCCATTCCTCTCCCCTCTTCTCGGCGAGCTCCACTGTCGTGCTGAATTCGATGAGCTTTGTGTGGCCTGCCTGGACAAACAGGCTCTCTACCCAGTCTCTGATCACCTTGCGATGACGAAATGGAGCATCTGGTCCAAAGCGTGAGAGGCTCTGCTCCGAAATGATGTTGGGAAACGGCTCCTGGGTGTAGCTCATAACAGATGGCGGTATGTTGCTATGAAGATGATCCCATACGGCAGTGTCTGTGTACCGATGATGGTGATGATTTACAGCCTCAGACTTTGGCGTCTCCGCTGGAAATTGAGATGGGATTGGTACTGGAACGTCGGCAACGCCGTCTACCAGATCCCGCAGTGACGGAATTTTTGGAGACTGCTCAGGGTTGAACACCCTACGCAAAGGAGATGAGTATTGTATAAACCAGTAGTTGGGAGTGCATCTTACCATGTTCCTCCGGTGATGGGCTTTCTTTCAAAGACGCGAATCGTGCTAAAAGCTTGCTCCTTCACAAGTGCATCGACAGCAATAGCTCCGGCAGGACCAGCGCCGATCACTGCTACTCTTTTTACTTGTTCAGGCATGATCGTGCACAGGTGTTGCTTGAACAGCGGATCCGCAGGAAATTCTCCGTTTGCTTTGAGACTGTTTTGGCTTCATGCTGTTGGAATAAATACCACCCAAACTCGGAAGACGCCCAAGCGAACCGATAACATTATTGAGTACCACAATGACGACTCTAATCAGTATCGTTTTATCGCTGCGGAAGGGCCCATTGTTTTCCTTGTGCAACACTCAGACCGGGCAATGGTTGGCCGGGCTCAGCGCTTAGCTTTATATTCCCCGCAATGACGCAATCGCCGCTATCTGTCGACCCTTCCGGCGACACAACAATCAAGGACTTCCAGCAGCGCTCCCTATGCTGTTTCCCGGAGTTACTTTCACTTGCATTAGCTCAATTCATTTCATAGGTACAGCGGGAAAAGCTAGGGCACGATTATCTCCGCGCTCCGAGAGTTGCTGCTGACGTGATTTCGGAGCGTCTCCTCGTAACGAGTAGGTCGAAAATCTTGCTGCTACAAGCATTTACCATGCATTTTGTGTAGTCGTTGTTGTTCCTTGGGATAAAACTTGAGCTCATAAGGTCCGACATCGAAAGTACAGGTGTGAATATAACCAGCATGGTCTTTTGGTCTTTAATAGTGCGGAATAATTTCATTTGTAAAGTCAACCTTGAAAGAATGCCTCAAGACTAACATAGATATTATAGAGGCCTTTGTTTCTGTTGTTTTAGATCAGGATATGCCCGTCAAATGATAGAGTGGGGGTTCACGAACCTTTGGTTCATGCAAACTGAATGGTGGAGCTGTCTCTGGGACTTTGCTTTTACAACCTCACACCAGACTTCATCGCATCTTCAATCCAAGAATACGAGTCGCCAAGGTAGTTCCTGGCACGGAGATCCCCTGATCTAGCGTGCCCCTCGAAGTTCTCCGCGCGAGCGCACCTGCCACAGAGTCGTCCGAGTTCTCCGCTCGCCTTTTCATCGACGACTTCCTGGTACGTCTGAGTCCTGAGGTATTTCCCAACCCATAGGCCACCAGTGTACCGTCCCGCCTTCCGTGTTGGCAAGACATGGTTGGTGCCAATGCACTGTATTCGGTCAGCCTCCAAGTCGTTGCATCAATTGCATTCAAACTCACCTTGTCTCCATATGAAACGCATGTCTTATCTCCCAAGAACAAAGCCCCGTAATTAGTCATCTTCTCAAGTGCCTCCCTCGGATTCCGCGTCAGAATCTGCACATGCTCGCTGGCATAGCTGTCGGCAACCTCATATGCCTTGTCAAGCGAATCAACAACCACGACCTCGCCCCAATCCCTCCACGAAGTGCCAGCCAGATCCGCCGTAGGCATCTTCTTCAGAATCTCATCAACATACGCCATCGTCTCGCGGCCCAACGCCTCACTCGTCGTGACGAGTATCGCCGGCGTATCGGGCCCATGCTCCGCCTGCGACAACAAGTCCGTCGCCACCGTGAACGCGTCCGCCGCATCGTCCGCGACGATCAAGACCTCCGTCGGCCCCGCGAGCAGGTCGATTCCGACCTCGCCGAACAGCTGGCGCTTGGCCTCGGCCACGAAGGCGTTGCCCGGCCCGGCGATGAAGTCGACTCTCCGCACCGACTCGGTGCCGATGGCCATGGCGGCGATGGCCTGCGTGCCGCCGACGATGAAGATCTCGTCCGCACCGGCGAGGTGCGCGGCGGCGACGGTGGCGTGCGGGATCTCGCCGCCGATGGGCGGTGTGCAGGCGATGACGTTCTTGACGCCGGCGACTTTGGCTGTGAGAATGGTCATGTGGGCTGAAGCGAGAAGAGGATAGCGGCCGCCGGGGATGTAACTGAAAGTTGTTAATAAATCATCATTTATCGATGAGTAGCAAGGGGGCCAATGCTTACGCCCCAGCAGATATGATGGGGTTGTTCTTCTGGCCCAGAAACACGCCCGGTTGGATCTCGACTTCGAAATCCTTGATGCTCGCCCGCTGCGCTTCCGCAAAACGACGGACGTTGCTTTGCGCTTGCTTGATGTCCTCGATTGTTTGCTTGGGTACTTTTGAGATACTATCCTGGATTTGTTCTGCTGATAGTTTGAAGGATGCGGGAGACCACTTGTCGAACTTTTCTGAATATGCCCGCAATGCTTTGTCGCCGTTTCTCCGGATATCATCAATAACGCCGTGGACGATCTGTGATACGCGTTCCGAAGAAGCAGGCGTCGCCGTCAAGACAGCAGATTTCAGGTGTTTGACGCTCATTTTTGTTGTGGCGCAGGTGTTGAATTCCGTGAAGAGGAGAGTCGCTCTCTTTCGAATGGCTGACTTTGCCGAGAGAAAGACTTGAGATGTACAATTCCAATAGGGATATATGCCATACTATATGTATTCTACGCTGCGGGGATGTCATGAAGTTTGGTTTTCTTAGCCGAAGACTTTCGGCTACGGGACGCATGGCGCTTCTCGGCCCCACGCCGTGGCCGATTTGCGGGCCATCACTGAGAGATGCCTGCTGCCATTCTCGGCCCCACACTGTTGGCAACATTTGCCAGTTTGTCCACAATGCAACAAAGTCAGACATTGTGTTGCCCGTCCCGAGCTCAGAAATACTAGTGGGTAATTCGCTTGGTCCGCAATTCGGGTAGATTCGTTGATGTCTGCTTCGGGCCAAAACCGTAGGACATTCCATTCTCTCGTAGCCCCGGTTTACCTCGGCTAATAGATCCTTCAAGGAGCCGCATATAAATTCTGCTCGATGCCTTAAGAGCCTTTGCGTCTTAAAGTGCATACCCTGCAACTCGCTCTTATTTCCTCGTTGAGCCATCTTCTACATAGGAACACAACCTCGACTCGTCCATAGCATTTGCTTCGAAACGTCAACGTCCATTAGACCTGCAACCTCCCCAACCTTTTCCCATCATGAATTTGTACACTGCTACTCACTCATCCGGCTTGACGACCGCACACACCTGATCATGCCGACTGCCTCCTCATAAGCCGAGAGAGGAAATGTAGTAGGATGCGCGATTCCACTACGCAAACACTTTTCAGGCTCTGTAGTAACCTCTTCATCATAGTCCAGCTGTGCGGAGCCAGTCATCCAATTGACGAGAGTACCGGCAAATGAGACTCCTGTTAGTATCGGAATGGTAGGAAATGGCTTGTCACTTCCTGATTTCCTGGCTGGGTGCCGTCGATGATCACTCCCTCCTGGACTGCCGCTATGTCAGCATTGAACCCATCAACTTGCAACCTCAAGATTCTGTTCTCCTGCGAATCCAGGGTTTGCTCTGCCCGTCCCACATGGCCCAGCCACACCAGTGCATGCAGATTGTGTTTCGAAGGTTCCATTTGTGATCAGTCTAGTGTTCAAATTGCGGCAGGCGGGTTGCATGGTTGTGGTTGGGTTGGAATGATGCTTAAATGAGCGTCAGGAAAGCCGGCATTTGTCAGGAATTCGAACCGCGACAGGGCGTATTTGGTGCGCCATCTCTTTGAAGGCTTCTTGTATAGAAAATGTTTGTGCGGTGATGGGTCTTGTAGCAGTGTCAAGGCCGAGTGCAGTCCCTATTTATGTTTTTCTCAGCTTAAGTAGCTTGGTATCCACCCGTTCTTCGCAGCGACAAGGGGGAATATGCTTACAGGAATGTTGATCCAGTATTGGTGAGTCCACGTGATCCTTTGTTTGTCGCTGATTCTTGATTTGGGCTTCGTGGGGTGTGGAGCTGGAGGGCCTCAAGCCTGTTCTTCCGTTAACCGTGCCTGGGCCATAATATACCTTTCTATTTTTTCACTTTTGTTTTGAATGGAGCGGCAAAGCATCCGTCCAGATGCCGTAACTCGAAGGGAATGTCGTTTGCGCGGGGCGATCCATTGGTGAAACTGGACCCTCTCTAAGCTGGCGCACCTCTGGGGAACGACGCCTGGGATTGCACGAAGATTTTCATATTACAAGAACGTACACGCATTTCCCGGCTAACTTAAACCCGAGATGTGCACTGCTAACAAAGCAAGGGGAGCAAGGAACAGACTAGCGCCAGTCTGGCGATTGGTTCGCCTCACCAGCACCGGATCTTCGTAGAATGCGAGCGTGTCCAACAATGGTTTGTTTCTGCGTTCCGTTGTGTGGCCGCCAGCACGCTTCTACCGTCAGACTCTCTTACAACGAAATCTTGAGATCTAATGTTTACCCAAGGTGGCGCCGTGGGGCCAAATATGCATGCACCCCCTGCGACAACACTAGTGTGGCAAGATTCCAACAGATTCCGTGGGTGCTGACGTTGAGAAATGGAATTTTCGAGTCGCTTTGCTAACGTGCGGAGTGGCTGACAATAGAAGGTTATAAACGGCTGCCAGTCGTTGTCCAGCAGAACACCAATCCACCCCACTCCGCCAACGAGTCACCCGCCTGCACTGGTCTTCACTGGTCTGGTAACTGCAATGTGGTGCCAATTTCTTCTTCCGATCCTCATCGGGTCGGCAGTAGGGTCCACTGTGTGCTGCACCTCGCAGGATCCTCGCCATCCCCCGGGCTGCGACACTCAGTGCTCCCATTCCGGTGATGGTTACGGCTCCGGCTCCAAAGCCGGTCACGGTTCCCGCCCGAATAAGGGTCACAGGCCCGTCAAGGGTCACGGCCCCAGCCGTGGTAGACCTCACAGCCCCCCCAATTGGGGTAGCCACCCTCCCAACTGGGGCAACCAAGCAGGCCCCCCAGATTGGAGCCATCCAGGCCCTTACGCGACCTTGACACCCAGCTTTCCGCCCGGCTGGGACAGCTCGGACATGTCACACCTGACTCCCAGTTTCAACAACCACCTCTACTATTCGCAGAATGGGGAACAGGGTATGTGGGAGCACGTACACCAGGCTGTAAACCGCTAACAATCAGCAGATGACAGCCTCAAGCGTCTCTTCGCCTTGATCGACGCGACGACCTACCTTCCAAGTGTTGTGCTGGACAACTCTCAGTACATCACGAATCTTCGGTGCATAAGGGGCGGATTCAGCCTGGACTTCACTACCTACTCGGCCCTACGTCATGCTCAGAAATACTGGCGCGGTACATTCATTGCCATCACTTCGCAGTTGGACTGCGATGGCGATCCATTTGACCCGCAGAACGCCTTCTGGCGCGTGCACTCGGTTTACTTCCCCAAGGCTAACTTCCCCCGTCAATTCGGCCCTCCAGGTCCTGGCGGCCCCGGCGGTCCCGGTGGTCCTGGTAGTGGTCCTGGTCCATGGACTGCTATGATGCGTGCCTCGGAGATGGACATCGCAGACGCCATGAAAGATGTCGTGATGACCTGGGGTACCACAGACGACGGCTCAAGTGGCCCTGGAAGTGGCAACCCGGACAACACCACCACGAGCAGCGCGAGCTGGAGTTCCACGAGCACTACGACTGGTACATGGAGCACGAATACCTCAACAACCACCGATACCTCAAGCTGGACCACGACCACGACCACCGATACCTGGACCTGGACCACCCCCACTGGCACCCCCAGCTGGAGCTGGTCGGCCTGCGGCGCTGCGCCGTCTGCATCTGTGTCTGGACAGCCGGCGGCAGCTTGCGGGGACAACTTTGATCAAATGCTGGACGCCCAGCAGGGCTTCCGCAGCTTCAACGATGCCGACTTCCCTGCCGCCATGCGGGCTTTCGCAGCTGGGCTTGATAACTTTAACCCCAACTCGTTTTCGACCGACGCGATTGCATACGGTCCTGATGTTGGCAACCCTCCATCGAGGCGTCTCTTCCATCGCATTGTTTCTGTTATAAAAAGGCTCGTCAAACGGGACTTGAATCCTTTGGCATTGCTGCAGATAGCCTGCTACAAGATTGCCGACCATGCCAAGTCAGCCAACGTGGATATGACTTCAGTAATCGCCAACGCTTCGCAAGTCAAAGGCCAATTCACCAACGACCAAGTCAGCCCCAACATGACCGGCATGATGGACACGAACGTCCCCGTCAACCTCGGCCGCAGTGATACACAGGACTCGCAGTACTGGGGGCCTGGTTACCAGCTGACTCCTCCCGACGGGTCTGATCCCGGCGCTGAGCTGTGGTGCATTAAATGTCAAATGACCGGAAATGTGCACATTTCAGGATCAGTCCGCCTTGCTCTCGGTAGGCCACAAGCCATCCTTGGTTTGAAGTTGTTCTAACAATGTTTTAGACTCTAAAACTCTCACCCAGGGCGTCATAACCTTGTTCGGAAAGATGTCGAGCAACATGGGTCTCGGTATCAACTCAGACGGACAGTATGACGCTAACTTTGAGAGAACACTGTCAGTGTTTGTCCCGCCGGGTTTCAAAATCGCCAAGATCGTCAGTCTTGGTATGGTGATGAGTATGGGTGCGAGTATCGACATGACCGGCCAAGGCTCAGGACAGCAATTCTACTCCTCCTCCGGCCAAACCGACAGCTACTCGATACGCCTCGATTTGGTGGATAATAGTCAATCGTCAGCCACGTGGCAGACCGACTACGCCCCGAACATCCTAGCAGCGGGCCAAATGTCAGGATCAGGGACTTTCAGTTTGCCATTTACGCTTGCCGTCACAGTAGATCTCCCTGCGATAGGTTGGCGCAACACTATGTCCATTGCCAACGAGCCCGAAATCACTGGCTCGATCGAGTACTCCACCCAATCTGACGATCCGAGCCAGTGCCCCAATGGGTTCGCATATAATCTTACCCTGGCAAATGCGGTGTCCGGAAGCTTTTCTGGAGGCGATCCGATGCAACTTTCCGAGGAGCAGGGCCCGTCCAAGAGCGGCTGCTACCAGTAAGTATCCATCTGCAAAAGGATAAGCCGGGTCATCCTAGCTAACGAGGGACAGGATGAATTCGACGGATACGACTGACAATACAGACTCGACGGATACGACTGACAATACGGATTCGACTGATACGACGGACAATACGGATTCGACTGATTCGACGGACAACACTGATTCAACTGATTCTACGGACAACACTGATTCGACGAGTTCATCAAGCACGCCGAGTCTTCAGAAGAGACAGGATAACCCACCAGCAGAAGAACCGGCCTCCCCAACTGATGCCGGTATGTCAATGTCGTCTTCATGTTCCCATGAATCATGAAATTTACTTCCACCGGTTCTCCTTAACCCAGTAGCCCCCGAACTCTTCCTCTTTAGCCGTCGATGCACCAAGCACATCTTCAAACTTTAACCAGCTCTTTTAAATAATCTGTCGTAGACTTTTCAGCCTTGGTTTCTACAATACCGAATACTACTTATCATCTCAATGATAGAAACTAACACTGATATAGGTGCATCAACACCCGACTCCTCGACCCCAAGTGAGTCCACGCCATCGGCAGCAGCCGACCCCGCAGACCCATCAGCAGCCGACCCTGCAGGTGCAGCTGGCCCTGCCTCAACTCCGGACTCCTCCACCCCGGGCGAATCCACACCCCCGGCAGAAGCCGACCCCGCAGACTCATCAGCAGCCGACCCTGCAGGTGCAGCTGGGCCTGCTTCATCAACACCCGACTCCGCAACTACACCGGCAAATGAGGCTGTACCCGCAGGTGACTCCACATCTCCATCAGCAATGGAAGTCGCGGCCACAACCTCGTCATCGGACACGCCCGTGGCCGCATTTGGTCCCACAGGTGAATCAACAACGCCTGCTGAGACTCCAACCGGAGCCGTCGCAATGCCGACCGACAGCCCGTCTTCGGCCGAGCCCGTCGCTTTCCAGACCATGCCTACCGATAGCTCGTCTCCTACTGATTTCAATGCTGTGGCGGCCACGGCGACCGATAGCTCGTCTTCTCCTGATGCAAACGCTGTGGAGGCTGCGCCTACTGATAGCACGACTTCTGACTTCTTCGCCCTGGCACCCACGACAACCGACAGCTCGTCCTCTGAACCCTTCGCTTTGGAGTCCTCGCCAACCGATAGCACGACTTCTAGCGATGCCAATCTTTTCGAGGCCGCGCCTACCGACAGCACAACTTCTGAGCCCTTTGCTTTGGAGGCCTCGCCGGCGGATAGCTCGTCTTGGACTGGGTCTTGGACTGAAACCACAACTGACAACGCCGCCTCTCCGACTGTTATGCCTGCTCTGGATGCAACGTCTTCATCTGAAGAAGCTTCTCTGGGTGCAACATCTTCAACTGAATCTCCTAGCCAGAATGTGGCGTTTCCGTCGGAAACCCCCGCGGAACAACCAACTGACACTAGTTCTTCGCTTGACCTCGGTCTCCAGCAGACCGCTCCCACGGATACGCCAACGTCAACCCCAGCTGACGCCGTGGCCCAGGATTTGTCTACCACGACAACCGAGTCCACATCTTCTACACCTGTGGAGATTGCCGATATCAGTACATCAGCTGAAGCCCCTGAGGACTCGTTGACAATGTCCGTGTCTCCTGATGCCTTTACAAGCGAACCTACATCCACTTCGATTTCGACGTCCACGTCAACCTCAACATCAACATCCTCGACCACGTCAACTACGTCAACATCGTCCACGCCGATCTCGCAGCCCACGGGTGATTCGACTCCCTCGAACAACTTTGACGGCGGCGTTCTCAACCAAACCGCAATGAACGAGCTGAGCAACCAAGCTGTTGACAACACGGGATTGGACTACAAGAACCAAAACGGCATGCTCTACACCCGAATCACCGATTTCACGAACTCGTGGCATCTTTCCGTAGACGATCTCGGCAGCTTCAGCCTCCAGCAAGTCGGCGACGCTGATGGCGGCGAGATGTTCGGCTCATTCGCTGGTGTTATAGGAACTGATGCCCAGAATCGCGTCATGTGGTACTATCCCGGCCAAATGAATGACCTCGGCGTGTCCCGCTTCCGCATTGGCGCGACGACGGCGATCCCCTCGAACGGAGTCCTTGTCGCGCTGGTGCAGGTCGGCAGCCCCAAAGCCGTGGCAGCCATGGACACGCAAGGAAATCTCGCCTACTTGGTGGCCTGCAACTACAACGGGAATACGAACAAGGTGTTCCTGTCAAGTGACACAGTCAACGGGCCGCGCAAGCTGGAGGACGAAAGCTTACAGAACACAGTCACCGGTGGAGTTACCCGCGACTGCGCGCCTATGGCACTTTACGTGGAGACCGGAACTACGAATGCGGGAGATTAGCCTGACAGTTCAGGTGCCTCGTTTGGATAACTCGACTTGACTTTTTTCTTTGTAATTGGCTATTCGCATTCTGGTCTGCAGGGAGACCTTTTGTTCTTTGAATCACGCGTTTTCGCCCGGCTGTCACTATCTATTTAATCTCATTGATTTCGGTTGCACAGATAAGAATACTTCCCGCTGATCAGTGGTCAAGAGAGCCTATTATTACTTCGCTGACCCCTCCGTAATTGTATTCTCCAGTCCCCTTGTAAGCTTAGTAAGAATGACATGAGTAGAACTTTAACAAAGGGCTCCCCTCATTCGTCGTGATACCCAGAGGTCGCCATCGTTCAAATGTTAACCAGTGATAAGCCCAAAGCGCCCCTTCCCAGGTGTCACGCGGTATGTCCAGGTAGTCCCTTCATATTCAGCCCTCGGCTTGAACTTCACCGGCACATCTTCAGTTGGCGTGTAGAAAGAGGCAGCAGCCGATTTTGCGTCAAACTTGGGGCATTTCCAACTTCCGCCTTCCGGCAAGACGTCGTACCGAAGCAAGAGCATGGCTGCAAGAGACAAGACTTCACCCGTCGCAAAATGCCTGCCTGGACAAAGGGTCGGCGAAATTCCGAATGCCAGAAAGCCCGTCATCCTTCTCGACTCCTTCTGCTCACCACCTTTGATGAAACGCCTCGGTTCGAACTCCTCAGATTTGTGGCCCCAGATCGACTCATTTCGGTGGAACACAGGGCTCGGCATCTGAACAATGGAACCCGCCTTGAGCAGGTACTGATCATTGAGATGGACATCGTTGTAAACCATGCGCAACGGCATGGCCTTGGACCGGATCCGCAGCGTTTCTTGGAACGTCGAAATCAGCAGTTCGCAATTGTCCCGGATATCGCAAAGGTCGATGGTGTGGACGCCGTTGCCATCCACATGTAGGGCTTTCTCGCGAACCTCCGAGCGGATCTGAGCGAGAAGTTCAGGGCGCGAGCAGATCTCAAATAGCGTCCAGAAGGTCGCGGGAACGGTGTTGGAAAGCAGGCCCAGCGCCAAGCCCGCCTCCAGCCTGGCGGTGTCCTGCAGATTTGCTCCGGCCTTTTGCTGCTCTCTCCACCGCGCTTTGGCCATTTCGGATCCATCCTCCAGACCGTCTTCGTTGTAGTACTTGACGAAAGCCTCTACGAGTGATTCTCTTGCGTTCCACACTTGTTTGGCAGTTAGTTTTGGCATTATGCCAAACAGAAGCTTGTCAAGGTTCGTCTCCATGGTCCTGCCCTACAGTCAATACAAGCAATAGAGTTGAATGAGTAAACAGCATACCAAAACGCATCTTCAAGCTCACGCGATCTGTATGGATTCTTCTTACCCCATGCCGATTCTGTGGCGGCGACAGTGATGACATGCCTCGTCCATGAGAAGAGGTCGAACGAACCCCGTGCAGAAGCGAGCTCATCCACCGAGGCCTTGAGGAAAGTGATCATCTTTGCATTCATGTCATCCAAGCCAGCGCCGAGGAGAGCAGGGTTCATGGCGTGAGTGACTTTCATCCCCAGCCCACCGCCGCCTTTTTGCTCTTCTCGCAGCAGGTTCATTCCCGGTCCTTTGATACCGAGCATTCCGCTGGCGGAGAGATTGATGAAGTACTCGAAGGACAGCGAACGATGGTTGCGCTGGACGCCGCTGATTAAAGTGGGGGAGGCAACCACGTAGAATTTAGCAACAAGCAAGTTAACGGTGAAGATGGGAACATCTGGACGCGCGGCGCTATGTGGAAATATTAGAAGCGTCATCTGGTTGTGAGAGAAGATCTCACACACCTCAACATGTTCAGGTAGGGCTGGCCATAGCGGATGAAGCCGATGATATGCCCAATCACCGGAATCTTCGGGTGAACAAGAGGAGGCTCTCTGGGGTCTTTAGAGCCAATCCAATGCGAAATGGCAATGGCTCCGGTACAGAGCAGTGCGAACAGCAGAACGAGAGTGCTGCTCTCCATGATGTTGGCGCAGTGTCGAAAAGATGGGACAAAGGACAACAAAGCTGATGATCGCGTCCCCTTTTTACCCATGCTTTTCTCAGTAGGATTCACTAGCCAGGATTGTACGACACGCTCGCTTAAAATGACCAATCATGCGTGCTGCCGTACGGGGCGAACAACACACTTTGTTTCGGGCCTTATTTTACTTTGTGTCGGAGATCCTCAACGTCCGATTGAATGGCTGGTTGCGTAGACTTTACGATACAGCTTCCAACTTAGCTCACCAACAGCAATGGAGTCTCCCACGCCGAACTCGAACGAGGTTTTGCAACTAATGTCAGAACAAAGTAAAGGGACAATAAAGACGGGCGGTCATCTTGCATGTGGTTTTCAGCCACAGTCACCTCACAGCTGAGTTTCCATACACAGCGAACATGCTTTGATAGTTAAACCAATAGTTAGAGATCACAGACTGCAGTGGAAGGTGTCTCGTAGACGCCGATGAAGGAGATCCAGCGCAGCATAAAGCTTTCATTCAAATTATCGAGTTTAAGAAGGGGCGCGGTTCTCAAACGCGAGGGTTGTATGTTGGTGGGCCATGTCCGAACACTTCGGAGCTTACTAAGAAAGCCTCCGAATCACGTTACCCCGAAACTGCCTGATCCGGCAACGCAGCCTCCGGGGCAAGTGAGATGGCATATTTCTCATAGCTACATAAGCACTCCTCTGGATGCAGCGTCAACTTGCAGATCACTCCGTTCGTTTACTCCCCACCACCACTCCCACTCGTACACCGCTGCAGCTACACCCAACAGCATATCGGCTTTTCTCCCACAACAACAGTAGGCCTGTGTGCAACGCCTACGCAATTTTCCACTTCTTTCTGCTCTTTTTCTATCTTTATCGCAGGCAATAAAATCTACTTGCTTCAGCCTTACTCAACCTGGCGACCCCACAATGGAACGCAAAGACGACCTCAACAACAACCACGCACATGGCGAGCCAGACTCGATAAGTGACGATGACAAGTCGATCTCGCGGCAAAGCGGAGATACGAGTGGCTATGCTATCCTTGACGATTCCACAAAGGAAGAAGAAAGCCACGGGGCGTCGCCGAAGCAGCAGAAATACGGATGGAGATTCTGGGCCGTCTTTTTCGGGCTGGCCGTCACCGCCCTCATCAGCGGGATGGAGGGTGTCATTCTGTCCACAGCGCTGCCGACCATCTCGCGCGACCTTGGTCCCGGAGAAAACTATTCGTGGGTCGTCAACGCCTACTTCCTCACCAGGTAAGCTCCACTGAAACCTCTCGTCTGGACTTTTTATCTGACCATTCATACGACAGTGCTGCGGTCCAGCCGCTATACGGACAGCTGGCAGACATTTTTGGGCGGAGATGGAACATGCTGGGCGCCGTTGCAATCTTTGCGCTGGGCAGCGGCATCTGCGGCGGCGCAACGAGCTCCGACATGCTGATTGCAGGCCGCGCCGTCCAAGGCATCGGTGCGGGCGGGCTCAACATGCTCATCGACGTGATTATCTGCGATCTGGTGCCTCTGCGCGAGCGCGGCACGTACGTTGGACTGCTCTTCATGATCGTCACCGTTGGCTCTGCTTGCGGGCCAGTCGTTGGCGGCGCCATCGTCGACAACACATCCTGGCGCTGGGTCTTCTACTTCAACCTGCCCTTCTGCGGCCTCGCCCTGCTCCTCCTCTGGGCCTTCCTCCGCACAGCCTTCAAAAACGAAGCCTCCCTCGCCGCCAAGCTCAAACGCATCGACTACATCGGCAACGCCATCATCATGGGCGCCACCGTGGCCATGCTCTTCGCCGTCACCTACGGCGGCACTCGCTACGCCTGGTCCTCGCCGCACACCCTCACCCCGCTCATCCTCGGCCTCCTGGGCCTCATCGTCCTCGCCCCGCTCTTCGAATGCTCCCGCTTCGCCACCAACCCGGTCATCCCACCCCGCCTCTTCGCCAACAACCGCACCGCCTGCCTCGCCTACTTCGTCACCTTCCAGCACGCCATCGTCACGTACTGGGTCACCTTCTTCCTGCCCGTCTACTTCCAATCCGTGCTGCGCGCCGCGCCCACGCGCGCCGGCGTCATGATGCTGCCGACCGTCACGCTCTTCGCGCCCTGTGCCGCCGTCGCCGGCGGTGTCGTCTCCAAGACCGGCCGCTACAAGCCCCTCGCCGTCGCCGGCCTGCTCGTCGTCACCGTGTCGGTCGGCTGCCTGACGCTGCTCGACGCGCAAACTCACACGGCCGTCTGGGTCGTCCTGCAGGGGCTGGTCGCCGCGGGCTTGGGTGCTGTTATTAGCACGCTGCTGCCGGCGGTGCAGGCGGGCGTGCCGGAGACGGAGGCTGCGGCGACGACGGCGACGCTCGCGTTCGTGCGCAGTATTGCCACGGTTTGGGGCATCGCCGTGCCCGCGGCGATTTTTAACAACCGTTTCGATCAGCTGCTGCCGGGTATTGGTGATGCGGGCGTCAGGGCGCTGCTGGCGAATGGGAAGGCGTATGAGCGCGCGTCGAGGGAGTTTATTAATGGCTTTCAGGAGCCGCTGAGGAGTCAGATTGTTGGGGTTTATGCAAAGAGCTTGAGTAGGAGCTGGGCGATTGCTGTCGTGTTTGCGGGTACGGCGCTGGTTGCGGCGTGCTTTGAGAAGGAGCTCAAGCTTAGAACGGAGCTGGAGAATGAGCATGGGCTCGAGAAGAAGGCGGACAGTGTGAATGCCGAGGAAAACGGCACTGTGCACAAAGGCTGACCGAGAGGATTCTTACTTACGGAGATAGAGCTAGTCACTTTTAGAAACTTGGGGATGTACAGGGCTTTGGATTGGCAGGTCGGAGTTCGGAGGTGTGTGCGCAAAAACCCTCCGAAGGGGCTCGCCCTGACACTTCTCGGCCAGAGCTGCAGCAACGCACGCAATTCTCTCGTCAGCTCGAATGTTAGCGAATATTTATTAAGTTATTTCCCCAAATATGTCTTGTTTGATGAGAAACAATATCGCGTTACTCGAGGGTGAACTTGTTTGCCATGGCCCTGACAATTGCCAGCTGCAGTTCTAGTGTCTTTTGCTTTTTGTGTACAAAGCATCGTAGCAATATTCGTGCTTCGGTAGAGTTCGAGGGTAGTCTTTGTAGCGTTTGTCAGGTTACTGCTTGTACGCTTCAAGCTTCCAGTTAAGACGTTGGCTGCTGAAGGTCTCTACATCACTTCGTAGACCAACAGGCTATAAAGGCCGAGTGCCCGAAGAAAAGGGTTAGGAATTGAGGAATTTGATTGAAAAGAGACCTTCAAAAATAAAAACGAAGATATTAGGGAAGAGGATGTGGAACCATCACGGGAGGTATTCACCATGGTGGGGGCTGTCGCCGGGTATTTTCGGAGTGAAATGTCATGCGGCGCCAGGCCAGTCAGCCTAGGGGGCGCCGGCGTAGCTGGACGTCATCTCTCCCTACATCAACGCAATACAGCCATGTCTGCTTCCCTTCGTAGCAGCTCCGACGACGGATCATCGCGTCGATCGGCATGCGACCGCTGCCGGGGGCACAAGCTCCGATGCGAACGCGACGCTCAGCAGAGTGTTTGTCGGCGATGCCTCAAAGCTCGCGCCCGTTGCACCACCGGCAATGCTCTGCCTACAGGCCGCCCTCCGCTGTCACGACCGCAAAACGCCGACTGCCAGACGCCGCAGCATCAAAACAACCAGCAAACCCAACCTCCCTCGATGCAATTGCAGCCCACGCCCCCGTCAGGTAGTCCCAGCGAATCCGACTGCTTTCCCGGACCTTGGACGTCAGCCATGCAGCCTCAGACGGCGCCTTCGCCTCTGAGCATCTTCGACGCGCCATTCCTCGACGGCGACTTCGACTTCCAAGCATTTCTGCCGCCCATGCCACAGCAGCAGCAGCCCGTCGACACATCCATGCACGACGCGCATCATCATCATCATCCCCAGCCTCCGCCCTCCGACAGGCGCCAAGAATGCCTCCAGAAGCTCGCAGACCTGCACTCGGCGCTGATGGCCGACCTCAACACGGTGCGCGCCTCCAGAGTGGCAACCGAGTCCTCCATCACCACCCTCCGCGCCGACGCCGCCGCCCACGAGAACTGCAGCTGCAACGTCCCCATCGGCCGCATGCTCACCACCTCCGCCCAGCTGCTCGAGATCCTGCATTACTTCCTCCCCTCCCCCGCATCCTCATCCCCCTCTTCATCTCCCCCTCCTCCTCCACCCGCCTCATCCACCTCCCCAGAAGACTCAGAGCTGCTGCTACTGCGCCCCGACATCCCCACCACCCTCTCCATCCTCGCCTGCTACGCCGCCCTGCGCCGCATCTACCGCACCATCTTCGCCACCATCGACGCCTCGCTGCAGAACTTCCCGCCGCCGCTGCGCTCGTCCGCCCTCCCACCGCTTTTCCCTGGACTGGCGCTCGGCGGCTTCCAGCTCGGCGGGAACGTCGGGTTGCAGGTGCTGATCGTCGCACAGCTGAGCGAGAGCATGATGGCTAAGATTGATGCGGCGTTGGGAGTGGGTGGTGATGGTGGAGGAGGAGGAGGTGGTGGGCTTGTCGGGAGGCAGCCGGCGGCGAAGGGGGTGTTGGAGGCGGTGGTGAGGGAGGAGGAGGCGGAGGGCGCGGAGGAGGGGATTCCGGGGGGTGAGAGGCCGCTGAGGGAGATTATTGGGTGTGTGAAGCGCGCGTGTTGAGCTGTGGAGGGAGAGAAAGACAGAAAGAGTAAATGGCTGGCTTTGCCTTTCGTGAGGTTTGCGAGGAATCAACCTTTGTGGTAATGGCTTCTGGCAGATCGGAGGAGGTTTTGGGATCCACCATGGCTACTAATGACAAAGCCGTCCGCGTCCATGTCGACCAGTGTGGAGTCTTTCCTCGTTGATGTTCCTCATCTCTCACATTCAACCACGGATATGCTGCGCATTCAGTCAGCTCGCAGACCTTTCTACGGACGAGGGCACCACAAGCATCTCGCAGAGATGAACCGGGAAAATTACTTCAGACTACGGCTCACGCTCCCTGACACCAGTACACCATAGTCTATGAGCCGCGCGACCTCTTCAACCAGCAAGATTGCGACATCGGCAGGAAACAAGGCGAACGGGCGTCTCAAGGGTCAAGGCGGAAAAACACAGGCGTAGACCTGGGGGCCGAGGATGCAATACGAAGTAAAGCACAAAAGGCAAGATTTAGACTATTCGCATAACGAAGTTGGAGATTCAAACAGAACACTTGCCAGGAAGATTCGAGAATGTATTCAGGGAATAGGGAACCAAAAGGATTGTAAGGATGAAAACAACTGCTTTCAATCCAAACGGTGATTATCTACAGCTGCTGTATATCCAGTAAAGTCAGCCACGAGGCTCTGATTAACAAACCCAACCGCCATCAACGTTGTACACAGCTCCAGTCACGAACGAGGCCTCATCGCTTAGCAGGAATGCAATAACATGTGCCACCTCGATCGGCTCAGCCCGCCTCTTCTGGGCCGTCACCTGAAGACCGCGCTTTACGTCCTCCGGATCTTCACCTTGTGACATGGGCGTGTTTACAGAACCTTATTGTTAATTGTTAGTCGTGGCGATTTCTAAAGACAAATCAAGTAGGTTCATACCGGGGGAAACACAATTCACTCTAATGTGCTGATTCTCTTTTGCCGCTGTCCTCGACAGTCCAATAACAGCAGCTTTGCTAGCACAATAAGCAGCATTTCCGGGCGCACCGAACTGTCCAAAGACGCTTGCTGCAGATACCTATTGGATGTGGTAAGCTTTTGACCCTGATAACATAAAGATTTCGCAACAGGAAACACCCACAATGCTGGCACCAGCAGTCATGGCCTTCAGCTCGGCCCTCAGACAGTTGAAAACTCCCTTGGTATTGACAGCAAAAGAAAAGTCCCAATCTGAGTCTGTTACTTCCGTAGTTGGGACGGCCTTGGCAATTACACCGGCCATGTTCACGGCGCCATCAAGCTGGCCCAGTTTCCGAACGGTAGATTCGATCCAGGAGTTGACAGCCTCACTGTTCCGCACATCGACAACGGTATACATGTGCTTCTCACTGTCCTTTAGCGACTTGACTGCTGCAATCATTGCGTCCTCGTTGATGTCAGCGAGGGAGATGGCTGCGCCGCGTTCCGCCAGTAATTTGGCCGTGGCCAAACCCATCCCCGAGGCCGCCCCCGTGATTGCGATCTAACCAGATTACTATGTGATGATTTCTCCATCCGTCGAACAATGGATACTTACAACTTTTCCGGCGAATGAAGTCATGGTCAAGTGCAGATTCAAACGGCGGCTGGGAGATTGTAGCTTGGATTTCGAAATGTATAATCTCTGCAGGCAATATCGGTGCGTGAAAAAGCCAGGCAATGTTAGGCTAAGTCAATGGTGCTCTTATGCTCTTATGCTGGCAAGATCTGGGAAAGAGCCTTCCCAGCTGGATCCCCGCACCTTGGATTCCAGATAGGAAAGTATAACCCAGCACGTGACCTCGGCTTCTCACACAATGACTAGTATTCGCACCAAGACATTGAACGTTGATAGCTCTAAAACACTTTTCACAGTTTATTCCCGAGTTCAGTTACGCAATTCATATAATTATTGCCCATAAGAGCAGTTGAAAGTAGAGAATGACAGCCTATACATCCTTCATGAGATCAAGCCATGCAACATTTCTACCGTCAGCACGTTTCTTCTCCATCCAACACCGCTCAATCTTCGCCATTGTAGAGTTAAAAGAACGGAGACCACTCCGCTGCGCACAGCCTTGGAACCAACTGGAGAATGAAGCTTGCAGCTCTGCGTCCTCGGCCTCGCATGCTGCAATGAAAGCAGGCCACATAAGTATAGCAGAACCGTGAATGTTGGCCGGATCAGCAGACTCAAACCCCAGTAAACAATCTCGGACAGCGACAACCTTGTGATGCAATAGTGATGCGTCCAAATCGTAGATTCGTCGGTAGAAGTAGATGGCCAATGAATGTTGCATTGCGTCCAGCATGTTGTCCAAAACGCCTTGAGGGCATTGCTGTTGCACCTTGGAGCAACTGTCTGCGGATAGCTGCTTCACGCGGCTTATGCACACCTCTAACGCTTTTGCTCGGCGAACAAAGTCCTTGAGAGGGAGCGTATTACTGCCACCCTGATCCGCGCTTTCTTTTTCTCTTCCGAGACGGATTATCAGAGACAGCAGCAAGAGGTATGCTTCAGGTACACCGAAGATCTCAGGATAGAGCGTCTGGGACCAAGACCCAGGTAGTTGTAGGTGCAAATCGTTCTCGCTCTCTTCGCGGCCCTTCACCCTCCTCATCTCCTGCTCGAGATTTTCCCAGTGGCTCAACGAGAAGGATAGCCCATCTCTACTGTAAGCCGCAGTCCCGCTTGACTCAATGGCTTTGCGAACATGGTGGCGGTAGCTTGAATCAAAGCCGTCCAGGAAGGTGCTTTCATGGAACATGCGCTCGTATGCATAGCAGTGATGAAGGAGCCGAACTTTCCTGGATTTCTCCCGACCAAGCCCTTTCACTCGTATGAACTTCTCCGCCTCCAGGAGGTGGCGTTCTGTTTGCTTTTGGTTTCCCGCGAACATGCTTATGTGTACCATCGTTAGAATGGCCATGAGAACGGACTTGTACTTGGCCGTCTTTGGAACATCGTATGCTGTCTTGAGCATCCGACGCATTTGTTTTTGGGCTTGCTCTCCGTAGAATTTGCCTTGTTCAAGCCACATTTCAGACTGGGAAATGCCGCCGAGGCTGAACGCTCCGATAGCCAGCGTGCCAAAGAACAAGCAAAGGTCCGCATGGTCCAACTGCTCTCCCAGCGTGAGAGCCGCCAAGCAGCTCTTGGCATGAGGGATGAAGAGGATGTGCCAGGGTGTTTTGCTGTGCCGGAATGGAGATAGTGATCTCAGGACGACTGTAGAGTAATGTTTGAGGAGGAATACAGCGTCGTGTGGGACATTGCTATCGAGGGTGGGGCTATTGGGAATTAAGTCATGAGGTATTGAATCATGGTACGGATGTTCTGGTATGAAATCCGGGAATTGGAAGTCTTGTGGCACGAGCGCATTCATCGGGCTCTTCTGACGCTGCCGAATGTCTTCTGCAGTGAGATCAAGGAAGGACTCATCAATATGCCCCGGGCCGTCTGCAAAGTCGTTCAAGTCCATCATGGATGAAGGCAAGTTCTGGTCGAACAGGTCAAAAATCCCTTGAACGAATTCCTGCGTTCTTGGCGTCGACGCCAACGGCTCGTCTGCTGTACAAGGGTATTCGTCCTCAGGTGAAACTTCACCCTCAGGGGGACTGATATCGTCGGGCAACTCCGAGATCGGGTCAACATGGAGGTCAACTTTCCTCAGGACTTGTCTGAATGCGCCGAAAGGACCATGGCAGATTTGTATATCCTGAGATGCAGGAGCTCCCTCGCACTCCTCGTCAATCTGGGTGATGCTCCATGTTGCTGATCTCGGCCCAACTTTGGACACGAGCCACTCGCTCATGCTCTGGCGCTCCTTTACCGTCAGCAACGGTCGCCGCACGCGGGCGGCTCCGGCTACGGAAGAATCCTCGAAATCGAAGAAGATATTCTTCTCGTAGCCCCCGCATGATAACCCTGCAATTTTGCACGCGGAACAAGTTGGTCGTGCTTCATCACACTTCATGTGACGGTTCCGGCACTTTGCATGGCGGTTAGCAGAAAACAGCAAGTGTTCAGGAAGCCAAGCTAACCGTGGCGCATCCACCAAATGATCGGCTCCGTTTATTGCTGACGTCTGCAAAGGCTGCGGTGGCCATTGCGATCCTGGGCGAACGGTTCTCTTGGGGATACTTGCTTGACGACACATTCAAGTAGGTGAACGAGGAGCGGGGTTGATAAGCCAGATGGAGCAGCAAGCAAGTCAACGCCGTGGGGCGCAGCCGGCTATTGGTATCGGCCCGATTGTGCAGCAACGCTTACTGCTCTAGGAACCAAGCGATCCCGTGCAGGGAAAACTTTCCTATTTGCTTTCCGGGAGCACAAACCACCACGACGCGTACACTCCAGCAACGTCATATGATTTGCTGCAGCCAGCAGAGCCGTATCGCGATGTAATACCAAGCCCTGGCAGATGCAATGCTGAGCCTATCTCCCGCCTCCGCATTTCGCCTCTCTGGCGTGCGGGGATAGCCGGAGCCGCGGGTGCAAGCTGAGCAGGGAAGCATGGCTTGGGCTCTTGATACCTTGGCTGCAAGCAGCCTGATAACTACGACCAGACAGACGTGCACCTTGAAGCTGAATTTCAATCATCTTCGCTTCGATCAATCATCCATCGTTGCCTTCATCTCCGCCTTCAGATATGGCCGAACCAGACGCTGCATCACTCACGCCTCATGCCAAGGACAACACCAAAAAGGAGCCGGATCATGATCTCTCCAAAGTCGAAAGCTGCGCAATCGGTGACTCCCGACCGATCGAGCAGGCGGGTACCAAACGCAACATCAAGTCACGCCATGCTCAGATGATTGCCATCGGTGGCAGCATTGGGACCGGTCTCTTCGTCGGGACGGGCCAAGCCCTGGCCATTGGTGGTCCTGGAACTGTCCTCATCGCATATTGTCTGACCGCCATCTTGGTATACGCTGTAGTCACAGCGGTGATCGAAGTCGGAGCGTACTTACCGCTGTCCGGCAGCTCGACGGCCTACTTCTGCAGTCGCTTTGTGTCACCTTCGCTCGGTTTCGCCTTGGGATGGCTTTACTTCTACTCGTTCGGTATCATCGTCGCATACGAGATCACGGCTGCTGCAATCGTCATCGACTACTGGCCAAACAACATACATATTGCAGTGTGGATCACGATTATGATCGTCGTCATCGTGGCGTTGAACCTTTCTCCTGTTGGCATCTATGCAGAGACGGAGTTTTGGTTCGCCAGCCTCAAAGTCATCATGATCCTCGGTCTACTCTTTCTATCACTTATCCTCTTTCTGGGAGGCGGACCGACTCACGATCGCCTTGGGTTTCGATACTGGAAGGACGGAGCCGCAGTCAAGCCATACATCACGACTGGGGATGGAGGACGATTCACCTCCTTCCTCTACGTCTGGGTCTTCTCTGGCTTCTCGTTTTACTTTGGCCCTGAGCTCATCATTTTCACGAGCGGTGAAATGAAGAACCCGCGGAAGAACCTTCCCATTGCAAGCCGGCATTACTTCTGGCGCCTCATTACCTTCTACGTCCTCGGAGTTTTGGCGATCGGAGTTACTTGCGACTCGGCCTCCAAGGGGCTCACTTCTGGCTCTGGCAACGCTGATGCCTCACCTTGGGTCATCGCAATTCAAAACGCTGGGATCTCTGTGCTCCCTTCCATCATCAATGCCGGCATTTTGTGCAGTGCCTGGTCCGCCGGTAACGCCTATCTCTACATGGCGAGTCGCTCAATCTATTCCCTCGCCCTCTCCGGCAGCGCCCCGCGGATCTTCGCACGGTGCAATCGCTGGGGACTGCCTATATACTCTGTCGCCGCAGCCAGTTGTTTCACGCCGTTGGCTTATCTCAGCTGCGGATCTCAGGCAGGCGTCGTCTTTAACTGGCTCATCAGCCTCACCAACACTGCTGGGTATACGTCGTGGATCGTTTGTGCCATAGTGTTCTTGCGTTTCCGCAAGGCCTGCGATGTTCAAGGCATCATAGCGCCCTACCGCTCCAGAGTCCAGCCGTACATGGCATGGGTCAGTGCGATTGTGTTCACGATCTTGCTTCTGTGCAATGGCTTCACGCTCTTTTATCCTGGACAGTTCACTGCCAGCGGGTTTCTCACGACTTATATCGGCATCCCCCTTTTTCTTGTACTCTGGATCGGTCACAAGTGCATTCGCGGATTGAAGGATCCATGGATGTGGAGCCCAGCTGAGGTTGATCTCACTACTGGTCTCAGAGAGGTCGAAGCCGATGCCGAGATGTGGACAATGATGGACGAGGCGGATAAGGAAAAGAAGGGAGAGGCTAACAAATGGTTGAAGCAAGTATCTAAGCTCTGGGAATGATGGGTGATTCTTGTCGGGATTTAAGCAAATAAATTTATCGTATTTGCTGTGCAAATGAACTCTGAAATTAAAATCGCAATTGTTATGTGTCGAAAACCGAAATCAATGCTGCAAAGATGCAAAGCCGCTCAAATGCTTTGATCACTCATTGCCGCATTTCCACGGTTGGATGACCGTGATGGTTAGCACTGGTTATGCAGCGTTTGCCTGAAAGGTATCCTTCACGTCGCTGCAGAACCCTCAGTTCGATTAATCAACTCATGTCCTACCTCTTCGGTTTCAGCTTCTGATAGGGCGGATTGCGGCCCGTTGTATCTCATCACTCTTCCACGTCTCCTTATAGCATTACGCTAATCACGCCGATATGTGAGTCTTATCATGGTGGTGGCAAGAAATCCGGATATCCAAAGTGGAAAGTTCAACCGGAGCCGAGAGCGAAATCCGGGCTGTGGCAAAAATGCCGAGGAACAATCACCACGTGAACCCTTCCAAGTTCTGTAAAGCTCGCATTCACTCATCAATTTGGTGGCAAGGATTCCGTTGACTACTAGCGATAATTGGCAGGACACACATTCCACTTATCGATAGCCTCACGTACCCCGCATTTGGCATTTTCGTGGGCTGATATCATCGGAATGGGCTCGGGACCCTCCCCGATCGTAGTGCACTTCATTACGCTAGGAAAGTCGAGTAGAAACCTTCTTGCACCGAGAACCTGGCTTACTATTTGGCTATTCCATGCATTTCTGACCATTCGTCCTTATATGCAGCATTGCACCGGCTTTGTCCGTCTCAGCTCAAGTCCATCTCCAAGTTTGCAGCAGACTAATTAGCACCCCCGTTGAACCGACCGACATTGCAAGCATGGGTTCTCTTCCACCTCAAACCGAAGAAACATTCGACGTCCTCATTGTGGGTGCGGGCTTGTCCGGCCTGTGCAGTCTCATCCACCTCCGAAAACGCTTTCCCGACTGGCGCATCAAAATCATTGAAGCCGGTGCGGACGTCGGAGGAACCTGGTATTTCAACTGCTACCCTGGCTGTAGATTCGACTCGGAATCCCTCTCATATCAATACTCATTCGACAAAGAGCTCTTGCAGGAGTGGCACTGGAAGGAAGCCTTCTCTCCCCAGGCAGAGACATTCAAGTACATTCAGCGCGTCGCTGAGAAGCATGATTGCCGCAAGGACATTCAGTTCAACACGCGGATCAAATCTGCTTACTGGAACGACGAACAGCGGACTTGGACTTTCGCGGACGAAACAGGAAACCAGTACACGACTCGGTTCTTCGTGAGCTGCATGGGCTTCCTCTCATCACCGACTTTGCCCGCCATCCCGGGAGTTGAGAGTTTCAAGGGCCAAGCTTTCCACACATCGCGCTGGCCGAGGGAAGTCGACATCAACAGAGACTTCGTCAACAAGCGGGTCGGCGTCATCGGCACCGGTGCTACTGGCATCCAGACGATCACCGCCGTGTCGAAAGTAGAAGGCATCAAGTCACTCAGCGTTTTCCAACGGACCGCCAACTGGTCCGCTCCTCTCCGAAACTTCGAGATCAGCCCTGAGCAGATGTCCAAGTACAAAGCAGACTACGCCAACATCTTCCAGGGCTGTGCGGACACACCCACCGGCTTCATGCACAAGGCCGATCCCCGCAAGTCGGCTGACGTCACTCAGGAAGAGCGGCTGGCGCTGTGGGACAAGCTGTATGCTGAACCTGGGTTCGGAAAATGGCTAGGAGTTTTCAAAGACACGTACACAGACCGACAGGCAAACGAGTTGTACTCCAAGTACATGGCGGACAAGATCCGCGAGCGCGTCCACGATCCCGAGGTGGCGGAGAGCCTGATCCCGAAGAACCACGGCTTCGGCACACGAAGGGTGCCGCTGGAGAGCGGCTACTTCGACGCGTACAACCTGCCGCACGTGCACCTCGTTGATCTGCAGAAGACGCCCATCTCTCGCATCACCGAGACCGGCATCGAGACCGCGGATGGCAAGCACCACGACCTGGACGTCCTGATCTACGCGACTGGATTTGATGCCATAACCGGTGCGTTCAGTGCCATTGAGTGGCACGCAAAGGACGGCCGGCCTCTTATTGCGAGTAGCGACAGCAAAGAAGGGCAGCGGGCCATCTGGGTCGATCAGCGACCTGCAACGTTCCTTGGCATGACGGTGCCGGCCATGCCGAACACGTTCATGGTGCTGGGGCCGCATCAGCTATTTGGGAATGCCACGAGGAATATCGAGCATGCGGTGGGAGTCATCTCGGACTTGCTACAGTACTGCAAGGACAACAACATCACCTATGTGGAGCCAACCCAGGAGGCTGTGAAGGCATGGACGGAGCATGTTGTTGAGTGCAGCAAGGGGTCTTTGATAAATGAGGTTGACAGTTGGATGACGGGGGTGAACAAGAACGTCAAGGGGAAGCTTGTCCGGAGCGTGGCAAGATACGCGGGAACTGCGCAGGAGTTTCGACGACGTTGTCAAGAGTGCAAGAAGTCGGGTTACCAAGGCTTGATTCTTGCATAAGTTTACCGGCAATTCTACATTTCTCAACTTAGCTATGTACCTATAGATCAGCCTTCAACGAATTAGGTGGTACAGCAAGCTGCTAAAAGATCTGTAGTACAATGTTTGTCTTATCTTCTTTCTTTGTTGGATGTCCTCTTACTCTTCCGCCAAATAAACTGAAATAATCTAAACAATAGTGAGGTAAAGAGTCCACAGCGCGATGATTAACGCTGTTGCTATGTGAAACGGGCGAGTAGGTGTAACTTTCAGGCAGGACGCCAAAACTGCGTGGCGTAGCTTATTCTACGAGTAATACTGCGTGTCTCCACTTCTACGTTGTTGTGGAGCCTTTTTGTGGAAGAACAGCGGTGAATATGTTTCAAGCATGAATAAAGTGTAATATAGAACTGTTTTTCGGCGCGATGCCACGTAAAAGACAACCTTCGATCCTTTCTAATTTAGCGTGCATAGACCATGTTATGACTCAACAGTGAAGGATTGGGGGCGAAGTCGACCCGCTAAATATAGGTAACGCCACCAGGCAACCTCGACTTCACATGTTCCACGTATCGTTTCGTATTGGTGAACATGGCTCCTCTCTTTCCAGCGTCTGATGAGTTCAAGGCCGCGTTGGCCGCTCGCCATGTCGCCGCTCAGCCGGTAAGTCGAATCGAATAGCAGAACCAGAAGTCTGTGCAAAGCCGGCAGCTCGGAATCAGAAGAAATATTAACGTCAATAGTACGACGGCCCACCCTTTCCCTTCCTGCAGCTCCCCCGCGAGATCCGCGATGTGATCTACGAGTACGCGCTCGTTATGCCGCGCAACACGCCGCAGGACCCCGATCTCTGGTGCGACGGAAAGAAACAGAACAATGCCTTCGAGCCCGCCCTCGGAAACACCGTTCCCATCCGCCTGACCCTCATCGCCGACTTCCGGGGCCTCTCCGAATGGACCACCATTACCACCGACGACGGCGATGAGGACAACGGCGCGAGACGGCGGCCGCCGCCGCGCCTCAGCACCCACCCGCCCTGCTTCCACCGCCCCAACCACATCCCCCTCGCAACGGGCCTCCTCACTGCCTCCAGGCAGCTCGCGGCCGAAGCCCTCCCTGTGGTCTACAGCCTAAACGCCTTTGCCGGCTGCCCCCGTACCATCCACCATTTCCTGACCACTATATCTCCGCGCGCGGTGCCCCTCATCCGCACCCTCCACGTCTGGGTAAGCTCACAGAAAAGAGATTAAACCCCCCCCTCCCCCGAACACACTCACTGACAAGCACGCACACGCATGCAGGGCCTCGAGCCCCCCAGCCCCCCTCTGCACCTCAACCCCACCATGGCCTTCTACCCGCGCTTCAACTACCATGCCCTGCCCCCACCGCCCGACGACGGCGGCCTCCCGAAGCGCCGGTGCGGCACGACGTGGAACGCCGGGTACCGCGCCGGCGATGAGCCGCGCGTGTTGGAGTTGAGCCCCGCGGCGACGGGCGTCCGGGAGCTGGGCCTGGTCTTTTGCGAGGAGCGGCTGGTCGGCGGGAGGAGGGCGGCGCGCGAGGAGGACGGCGGCTCCGCTTACGCCGTGGATGCGCGCGAGGCGGCGGAGGTGGTGTGCGGGTATGCGGGCGCATGGGTCGAGGCGTGGGTGGGAAGGGAGATGGAAGAGGGGAAGCGGGAAGAGGCGGTGGTGGTGGAGGAGTGCGTGGGGAGGGTGGTTAGGGTGGTTGCGGGGCCGGATGGCTACAGAAGCTCAGAGATTGATGAGGGAGTGTTTCGGAGGGAGTTGGGGGCGTTGGTGCGGAGAAGGTTGGCAGAGAGGAGGAGTAGGTAGTTGGGGGTGTGAGGTGGGAGTTTTCGTGGGATGGAGAGGGCAGTAGCACTGGACATGGCGGATGATGGATGAGTTACTTATTCACTTGGATAATAAAGAAGTAAATGTCTTCAAAGCTTAATCTAGAGTTATTTTACTCTGTATGGTTTAGCATCTTTACTAATCGTTAAAGGAAAGAATTGTAGCCAGTTCTATATTCTAAATCGACTTTGATTTCGATTTAAGTATTTATGTTTTTATAATTTGTGTTTACATAGCTAACATCGAGGATTTTACCACGACTAAACACAGTTTAATGGGCGTTACCTTCTCTAAAACCGTCATCTCGGGGTATTGAATCACCAGGAACAAATAAGGATGCTGTTGGAATGTCGCTTCCACGCGATGATGAGGACCATACGACTTTCGCCCAGCAGTACTTTAAAGTCATCCAACCTGTCAGCGCGTATAGTGCTTAGAGCCCGAGATTTCTGCATCCTCAAGGGCATAGTCCTGATATCAAAGAAGACAGGAGTGGGCATGGCAGACTCACAGGAAGGGACGTCTAGTGGCGATGATCTTTAAGCTGTTCCATGAGGAATAACATGACTACTAAATCATCTATAAGACGGAGACTACTAATAAAAACCTCATTCCCACCCTTGTGCGATTGCTTTCATACAATTTTGACCTCTCGGCGATGGAATCCTCTTATCAACCGATCGAAGTCCGAGTCTCGATATTCGAAGAACCCCATCCGTTGAAAGTTGCCATCGGGCAAGGATTCTAAGGCAACACCTCGAACATAGAAGCTATACTTGCTACGCATGCTCCCGCCAGTCTTCTCAGCTTCACCCTCACCGTCAACTCCCAACAAGCACAATTTTTGACCGTCCTGGGGTAGATCCGTGATCGAGTCTGGCCAAAAATCCACAAAGCTGGGCTCCGGTGATGTGGAAAGGTCAAGCCTGAACATGTCTCCAAAATCTGTATGTGACGTCGGTTTGAAATTACCTTGGATAGTCTTCATCATACCCGTGGCTTTGATGAAGCCGCCAGTGACGCCGCCAAATGGTTTGTTGGGTGAGGCGAGAGTGACAGCCGCGTCGACAATGTCAAGCTTCATGATCGATTCAATGCTCCTTGTATGCCCTAGGACCGCACATTCGACGCTCCCTCCCTCTTCAGCGAGATCAGTATACTTGATCTCCCCTTCGATGGCCGCCCAGCTCCAGGATGGAGCTCTGTATCCTATAGGGCGGTCCTGTAGTCCACTATCCCCATCTCCCTGTTGCAGCCTGACAACCCTCCTCCATAACAATCCGGCTGGTATGAACATCCTCCATAGCCCTGCGAGGTATTGGTCTTCGAGGGCCTTTTGTTGGTAATCGGCAAGCCCGCCGATGGCGCGCAGCTTGTCGTGCGGCTTTGTCAGCTTCCGCATCATGTACCACTGCACTGTGAATGTCCAGGACCTGTGTTCGCTATCCTTCGTCCTATACACCTTGCAGGTGGTGTCCGTGGCATGGTCGATGGGGAGATTTCTAGAAACGTGAGCCGGGCTGATGCCGTCATTGACAACATCGCTAGACTCAATAGTATTGCACTCCCATGCGATGCGGTCGGCAAAGAAAAAGAGTTTCTTCCTTGACAACATTCGCTCCTCCAGAGTCCACCTGATGCAGTCATTCGTACGTTATGGAGATGTCCTTTGTGGCATGAGGGGAAAACTTACGCTCGTTTGCTAATTGGCTGGTCCGCCATGCGTTGCTTAATGTTTCGACAGACGTGGATTGTTCCATTGGGTTGATCAGGACCACCACGTTGCCATCCCCAGCTGAATTCGGCCTCCCTGTGCTCCTCGGGCATTCCCAAAAAGCCAACGGATGCGTTTTCTCCATATGCGGCGATGATTGTAAGGGAAGCGTTCTCGAAGACGGAACGGAGCTGTGATGTTTGCGTTTCTTTGTCCTGGTTCGAGTCTTGTATGATGCACAGAGCGTCTACCCACAGGTATCGAAACCCAAGCCGTCTCGTAGTAGACACAGCATCTTTGATTGTCTGCGCAGCTGAGTGAATTGGGATATTCTTGCAGTGCTCTTCGTAGTTTGCCTTTGTTGTTGTCAGGGTATTCCACCGCTCCTCACCCCAGCAATAGCTCAGCGCAACATATTGATCCAACGTATTGCCGGGCTCTACAAGCCTGGCTTTTGGCTCTGCCTGCCCATTCGCGGTAGCAGCTACGTCTACAATCCGACTGGGTAGCGGCACGATGGGCTGATGGTTTCGTCTGCATCTGTTCATGTTGACGTGTGGTTTCTTGTCGCCTGCAAAATCAAGACCGTGGTCGTCCGACTCACATTCTCTCATCCAACTCTGGATTTGTGAGAAGGCTTTGTCCGATGTTTTGTCGGTTCTGTTTGGCCTATTTGAGATCCATTGTGCGGCGGGATCATCTAGGTTGTTGTTAGCATGACTTCGCCCATATTTGATTATATGGGTCAAACCAGCGTCCGCAAACACGTCAAACAACTCATCACCAACCCTAATTTGATACCAATCATCGACGTTGGATTTAGAATTTGCGACAATGTTGAAAGATTTGCGGATTTTCTCTTCATCCTCTTCGTTATCACCAGCTTCATTTGGGGTCGAGATGCCTTTCTTATTGCGAACACTAGGCGAGGGTACTCGCTTAGACATTCGCTCTTCATACAGTCTCAAATGAATCTTGCAGAAGCCACACCCATCTTGAACGCTCTCTCTCAATGCCCTTGCTGATACGTAGCTCCAGTTGGATTCGATCCACATTTGATTGTCGAATTGGATTGCAGTGTTTGACAGGCATTCAAGACAATGTTTGCACACGTCTTTGCCAAGCTTCGTTGAAGTAGACGAGGTGGCTGCCTTTGAATTCCTGGAAGTGTCTAGACTTCGGAAAGAACTATTTTGGGACGGTGGATTGAGCATAGTCTTTACGATGAGTCCATCTGGAATCTCAGTGGCAACATCTGGCGCAAAACGTAGCCGGCGTTGCTTCTTTTTACCTCGTACTTCTTCTCGTCGATTTGAAGAATCCATATGAATCACAATGAAATGGATAAACGAGTATGAGAGGTACGCAGAATGGTGGGAGTAGTCAGCAATCGTATATCGAAGAAGTCTGTTTGCAAAAGTGCTTGGACGAGGAAAGGTAGGATGTAAGAAGGAGCGAGACGCTGCGGGAGTGCTCTTATTTATGTTAGCAGTGCCACGTCATCTTGCGCGTTTTGTGGCTGAGCCCAGCCTTGCTGTCTTCTCAACGAGTGACTGAAAAGCGAAAACAATCCGAGTAGGTTTGAGATTCTATAATTGTAGTCGGTCACAGCTTATCTCGTAGAAAAGCTATTATAATTTAGGAACTTTGGCAGCTCTAGAGTGCTTTTACCTTTGATGTTGCTCTCGTTCGTGAAAACAAGGCTGGTGTGCTTCGACCGCCGCAGGGCGACAGCGGCATATCAGCCGCACCACATGGCTTATTTTGGACTAGCGTCCGGTGACGGATGCAGGCTGTTGCAGATTAATTCAGCTCACAGGCAGCAGCTCCTAAAAGAGTAGATTCAGCCTTGTACTATTGGTGCGCTCGTAACATCCATAATCCGTTATCCATCAATGAGACTGCCCAATCCTCAGCCCAAAATACTCCCCATCCACCATCGTGTAACATTTATGATACGCGGCAACGACGGCCCTAAGAATTTATTTCTAGACTTGTTAATTCCATATTCACTTAGATAATAAAGAAGTAAATGACTCCAAAGCAGTCATTTTACTAAGGATAAGGCCAAGGCTTAGCTTGCACTACCCCGCAGTAAGCTGAGCCGGGAAACTCGCGTGCGGCCAGGGTTGGAATGGCGTATACGATGCATTCATGATTAGTAAAAACTATGTAAAAGTGTATTTGAAAGTTTGGGGGCGGAACTGAGAGAAGTACAACTGGCCGAGCCCGAGCAGTTCAGTTCCTATGTATAAGGCGCGCGGGGCGAGAAATTCTAAACATTTTCCAACCTTGGCGCTTTCTAATGCCATTCGAAGTAATTTACTTTCTTGGCGATTTTGGCTTCTACGCAAATGTTGCATAAGCTGCACCGGACTTAATCATACGAAAGGCCGCGCCCGTCTTACATACTCTCGGCCCTTCCGCACTTCCGAGTGCCGATGTCATCATTCACGACAGGACCGGAACAACTATCACACCATCCTCTTTAATTCTCTAACGACAGAACGGGACAATTATTATACCGTCTTCTCTATCTATAGAAGACTTAAATACGATGTAAAGTCGGCAGGAGCTCGAGCTTTGTCCACAACACCCTTACAACCGGTCCTCCTCGTGGGTATCTGAGCAACAAACAACATAACCTTCGTCGCCTTAGCACGCATCACTATGTCCAACAAAGCAGCAGTAGTTGAGCAGATCGGCTCTCCTGTAGTCATCAAGACTGTGGAAAAGTATGCTCCCGGCCCGGATGAAATTCTTGTCAAGAACGGAGTGATCAGCTTCAATCCCCTTGAGGTCAAGATGCAGAAGTAAGTGCGAGCGGCACACTGTTGCTTAAGTACATTGACTGACATATGTAGATTTGGCGCCATCCCTTATAGCGTTCCAGCTATCCTCGGTTTCTCTTCCGCCGGCACAGTCGAAGCCGTCGGCACCAACGTTAGCTACGTGAAGCCAGGCGACCGTGTGGCGGTTCTGGCGCCATTCGATCTCACGGACCTCCGGACTGGACACTTTCAGGAGTACTACATCGCCTTTCCACGATACACGTCCAAGATACCCGACAGCGTCTCGCTCGAAGACGCCTCCTCGGTCCCCTCCAACCTCGTCACCGTCGTTGCCGTGTTCGATGCCATGCTGGGCCCCGAGAGACCCAGCCCCGACGGGAAGCGAGCCGCGCCAAAGGGCAAAAAGCTGCTCGTTTACGGCGGCAGTTCGAGCGTCGGTGGCTACGCAATCAAGTACGCCTCGGACCTGGGCTACGAAGTCATCACTACCTCTTCACCTCAGAACCAGGAATTCGTCACTTCGTTGGGCGCAAGCAGCGTCGTAGACCACAGGCAGCCCGCCGAGAAGATTGTCGCGGATCTCAAGGCGCTCGGCCCCTTTGACGCTGTGTTTGACGCCATCGGCACCCCCGAGCCGACCGCAATCATCGGTCAAGTCCTTGCTGAGACGGGCGGTGGCACCATCTTCACTACGCTACCGCAGCTTGGAGACACGGCTGCGTATGCAAAGCCGGACAGTGTGAACCGTGTGTATGACTCGTGGCCGCAGGTACTGGACAGGGAGGAGCAGAAGGCCCTTTTGGAATGGACGTATCACGTGTACATCCCAGAGGGATTACGGAGCGGCGCCATCATACCCACTCGAAACTTCGAGGTACCGGGAGGCATCGACGGTATTCAGGAGATTCTGGACAAGTCTCTCGTGGGGGGCGTGAGTGGAAAGAGACTGATTACACATGTGTAAATTTGTTGTAACGGCGGGCCTCTATCTTAATGGATAATAAATCCCTTGAAATATTCCTCTAGTTGCTTTGCCGCTTCCGCATGCAAGTGTAACGCTGTCCCGATCCACCCATCCGGCCGTAGCACGTAGACCGCCCCTCGTTGCACATCGACACGGTATCGTGTATGAGCCGCCTTTTCCGGTGAGTCAAAGTAGACCTTGCTGCTGACACTGGGCATCTCAGCGCCTGGAGGACTGCGTCCGCCGAGCAGCTCCCATACTGACGGGCTGGGCTGTATGGGAATGGTGAGGTAGGCAACTGGCACTTCATTGTTGTTTCGCTGTGAAGGAAAGAACAACGTGGATGCTTCGAGCGCGTTGCAGAAAGCGTGATAAGCTGCAATGGTTGAGGATGAGGCCTCACCAACGAAGACGAGAATATAAAAGACGGCTCGATTCGGCGTCTCACGGTGCAACCGCGTCGGCTCGAGGGTACCTGGTTTGCGGAGGGAGACGTCTGGGGCACGGTGGCCCGAGGGGAGAAGAGATGGCACCGTGTGGTCTTGAGTCACATTGAGCATGCCGTCCGGCTCATATAATATGCCCAAGCCGGAGCTGAAGGTCGCGGCTTCTGCCATGACCTCCCCAAGAACGATGTTTGGATCTGCAGCGGAATCACCAGTCCAGCCCTCAGGCAGCTGCATTGTCATGAGGCGGGCGATGTCCTTGTCGTAGGCAAGAAGCTTCAGGACGTTCGGGCGGCGCTCGGTCTCGTAAGTTTGCAGCAGCTTTGCATCGGCGAGTTGCCGCAGCACGAGAGAGAGTTTCCAAGCCAGATTGACGGCGTCGTGGATCCCAGTATTCATTCCCTGGGCCGCCCCCGAGCTATGTGTGTGGCAGCTATCCCCCGCCAGGAACACGCACTCATGAGTAAAGAATCTTCGAGCTACGCGCTGCCCGACCGAGTAGATGGTCCACCAGTCGACGCGAGTGAAAGACAACTCGAACGGCTTAACGGCGGCGATGGCCTCTGCCACAGCCGCGGCTTCGTCAAAGACAGCGTAGCCTTTCTGGCGATCCGGGGTAAAGGCGTAGCCAACGCGCGTCGCGCCGTGGTCTAACGCTGCCCAGAGAACGTTGCCGTGCGTGGGACTCTCGATAGCGCAGTAGGACCGCGGCTTGGGAAGGTTGGTCGAAACGTGCCCGTCGATGCGCACCCAACGGTCGTTCGTCAAGCTGCCGTCGAAGGGGATATCAAGCAGCTGCCGCACAGTTGACCGCCCGCCGTCGGCACCAATCAAGTACTTGCACTTGACTGTCGTTGTCAGCTGCGGTGAGCCGTGTTCCAGCGTGGCCGAGATGCGGTAACCGCTCGGTGGAATGGACTCGTCGATTTGCAAGCCAACAAGCGTGACCGGAGCGTCCAGCTCAACGTCCAGCTCGCGTAGAGCCTTGCGGAAGATTTCCTCCTGGTACTTCTGGCGTAGCACTAGTGAGAAGTCCCACGCAGTGTCCTTCATCTGCTCCATGAAGGCCCAGCCGCGACCGTCCACTTCATTACCGCCTGCGTCATAAGATACAGTGTCGCGGCAGGCAAAGCAGTGTTGAGCAAGCTGGTCGGCGAGACCCAGCTGATCTAGCATCTCCGAGGTACGCGGGAACAGCGTGATGGCCCGGCCGTACTGGTCTTGTGCTGATTTGGGGTGCTTCTCAATAATCTTGATTGACTTTTTGGGAGAAGGGAGAGTGAGCGCGAGCTGGTACGCGCTGATAAGACCTGAAAGTGTGTTTTGTCAGGGAAAACGGGGGTAGACGCTGAAGTTCAGTGGCAATTACCTACGGGTCCGCCTCCCACGATGAGAACGTCGACATGTTCAATCTTATCTTCAATGCTGTCCATCGCGGCGTTATGTCGGAAAGTAAGGCTAGCTAAAATTAAAAAAGCTATGCGTAGATTTGAGGAAGTGACAGTGTTCTCCAGCTGAATGGCTGGAGGTGGTGGCGAGGGATGGGATGTGTAGATAAAGACGATGTGCGGAACAAATTGATAAGCACTGTGCAACGACGGAAGAGGGCTAGAGTGGGTGATGTCGGGTGGGCTGCATAAGAGGTGGGGTTATGCGTCTCTGGCTCGGACAGCCCCCACTTCTTTCCGATCTCGACTTTATCTCGCTTCGACTGCCCCCGGTGGAGGAGGAGAGTCGTGTTTAGAAGAGCACGATAGAGGCAGCGGGTATTTAATGCCGCATGCAGCTAGAGATTGGAGAGTAAGAGTAATGAGGTCTGATATTAGATATAACATCTTCTTGCTATTTTTAGAAGGCGACCTCGGGAATCCTCTCTTTGCACAGAATGACTGCTTCAGGGTCTGGCATAAAATCCGTGTCGCTCATGCTCTTCGGTTGCTCCGTCTGCCCGTCCTTGAACTTCCAGTCATACTTGAGGAGTAAATGTACCATGAGTATCTTGATCTCGTTGCTAGCGAAAAACCTGCCCGGGCATGCGTGCTGTCCGTGGCCGAAGGCGTAGTGATCCGGGCTTGTGGAAACGAACTGCCACTTACCCTCGTTCCCTTGCTGTTCGCGCATGCGCAAGAATCGGTGGCCATCGAATCTACTCGCATCGGGACCCCAGTTCGCAGGGTCGCTCATGTGGAATTGGGGCACTGCAATCACTGAACCTTTTGGGAGATGTGTTCCGTCGGAGAGTGTGACCTTATTGTGGACGTAGCGCATCAAGGAGACTTCTAGAATTAGTCGTTCTGCATCAAAGCTGTTCCGAAGTGGTACATACGTGCGTTGACACTGGTAAGTCGCTGGCTTTCCTTCATGCAGCTGTCCAACAGTTTGAGTTTGTACAAGCTGACCTTTGATAGGGAGCCATGTTCCTGTAGAACTTCGACCATTTCCTGGCGTAGCATGTCGAAATAGGAAGGGTTCTCAAGTAGGTGGTACATGAGAGCCATCAGGGTCGAGCTTGTGCTGTGCATCGATGCCAAGCTGATCATCAGCTGTCCGTAGACTACATTGTACGGTCGATCTCCGGCAGTTTCATCAAGCCAACCAAGCGCGTCTTTGAACTCTGGCGGCGGATTGCCGGACTGTATAGCTTCAAGACGTGCACGACGCCGAATAGCCACATGTGGACTGAGGAGACGGTTCGCCTGTTCATTAAGCTCGCGCATCAGGCGCATCTCGGGAATAAATCGATGGACGAATGGGCGAAGAATAAGTGGCCACGCGCGCATCGCTCGGATCGCACTCATCACCTTTATCGTATACAGGATGGATATATCAAGCCATTCCTGGCTACGGCAAAGGGACTCGCCGACAAAGATCCTCGCAGTCAAGCGCGATACCAATGCCAAAGAGAGATGGTGGAACTTAATTTCCGTCCAATCTGCAACACTTATGAGTATCTCCAATATCTCCTGGAAATGAGATGCACACCTTTGCTTTTGGGAAGTAATTCGGCTGCAGCCTCACTCATTTCTTCAGCCATAATCGGAGTCAGGGAGCCTGTGTCGCAGAGAGGGTCAGCTTCGGGCTCTAAATTTCTCTGATCCCTTAAGAGAACACACCGACTGTTGAGACTATCTTCTTTTTGACTGTTTCCTCGAATATGCCATGATCCAAGCCTTGCCATGATTCAAGGCCGGGATATTTCAGCCCAAAGTCCTAACAATTTGGAGACCTTCGTAAGCGAAGCTCAATGCTGGGTTAGGCCGGTGGAGACTTACATGCTTCAAGAAGTCAATAAAGCTCAAGTTTTGATTGTTGCGGATTTCGTTTATCATTGCCGGTGGCAGAATGATGATAGGCCCATTCGAACCGATCACCTGAAACGCCTTGCCTTTGCACTGCAATCTCCTTTAGCAAGAGTACCTAGATAGTCCATTGCGTATGTAGACTGCAAAGAAGATGTCTCTACTTACATCTTGGAAAGCTTTCTTCATAAGTTGAACGCCATGCTCAACGTAACGCTTCTTCGCCTGGGAATTCCAGATCTCGCCCGCCTCTTTGCCAACCAGCTTGAGACCCGGATAAGGTCTGGCATCACTGAGGGCAACAGAGATAATCGTAAGGATAATGGCGACCGCAGTCCATAGAATAGGCCCGAATTGAGAGGCACCGACGGCCACGGAAGGAACTATTTCGATAGTCATTTGCCGCACTCACGAATCGATCGAGAGGTATGTGTTGGTAGTACGGAAGGAAGATTCAGCCATTCAAATATGCTGCCAATGTCACTTACCAAGCACTATTTAGCCGGCTACTCGTTAACATGTGGGGCGATGGCTCACCTTGTCTATAGTACTCGGATCTCCGACTCTCCGAGTGTCCGTCTTCTCGTTGCCCGTGGCGTTTGGACTCCGCACTCGATATGCCACAGCAAGAACTTCGCGCCGTGGTTTCGCTTCTACGCATGCCTCCCAACCTTTCCACTCGGAAGACGGGACGGCAAGACTCCGCCTATTACCGCCTACATGTAGCTGTTGCCGTTGGACTCGGAAATGCGGCGCAGCCACCTCCGCCGCCCGAACACTTCCTGAAGGAGCTTAGTACCACATGTTTAAGTGTGCGTGCTGCTACATGATTCGGCCCGGATACTGGGACTGCCGGACTTGGCCTGTTGCTCCGTTGTGCTTCCGGTCCATTACAGGCTCGAGTGGAAAAGTTAATCATCAAAACCTATTAGTCGGGTAAATCTAGATTACCTTGTTGAAGGCAGAGATGTGGCTATTGAAATATATGCTATATAAAGAACCTTTTCCGACCTTTCTCTATTATAACACTACTTAACAGTATTACGAAAGAAAAGTATACCGAGGCGTACCGAGGTATACCGAGATGTACCGAGATAGCTAAGAAACGAGATCTACTTTTATAGAAATACAAAAGAGTATTACATAAATTCTACAGTTCCCGGCTTTTATAGCTTCCGTAGCGTCCTAACTCCGTCTATCTCCATCGACCTACCGTTTTAAGAAATATCTTTATACTTTCTCCGCTCTAGAGTCGTAGAGTAGAGATTCAGCATCCAGATATAAATACATTAGTAGACGAAGCGAACCTCTTCGTAAGACCCAGTCTTGTACCGGCTTCCAGGCAATACTCTTCCTTTATCCTTAGGCACATCTTCAGCTATCACAATGGCATCCGGCGCGACAATGATGCGCGGCGTTATATACGAGGCACCCTACCAAGTCACGGTCACCGACCTGCCAATTCCAACACTTGAGGCCAGAACAGATGCGATTGTCCGCATGACCCACGCTGCCATCTGTGGATCAGACCTGCATACGTACCATGGCCTCCAGGGCGTCACCGCGCCCTGGGGCTTAGGCCATGAGGGCATAGGTTACATTGCGGAGCTTGGAGACGCCGTGTCCTCGCTGTCCGTGGGTGACTATGTCGTCATCCCCGACAACCTGTCCAACGGACATCTAAACATGGAGGAGCCTGCACCCTCAGAGATGGTGGGCTTCGGCGGAGTAGGTGGTGGGTTGGGCGGCCTGCAGGGTAAGCATCTATCCAACACTCAAGCGAACCACTGAAACAAACGTATCTTGCAGCCGAGTACGCCCGCGTTCCGCATGCCGACCAGAATCTCATCCCCGTCCCCCTAACGCGCAACGCCACCAACGCCACCCTCGAGCAATCGTATGTAACCACCTCCGACATCTTCGCCACCGCCTGGACGGGTCTCGACTTTGCCGGATTTCAACCTGGTGATAGTATCGCAATCTTTGGTGCTGGTCCTGTCGGCCTTCTCGCCGCCTACTCGGCCATTCTTCGTGGTGCCTCCCACGTCTACTCTATCGACCACGTGCCAGCGCGTCTCGAGCGTGCCGCCTCAATTGGTGCTATTCCAATCAACTTCAACGAGTCTGATCCGGTGGCGCAGATTCTAGAGTACGAGCCGGCTGGGGTGCGTCGAGCTCTCGATTGTGTGGGATACTCGGCCATCAATGCGGCGGGCGAAAACGAGCCGGACATCGTGATCCGACAGATGATCGCGGTTACAGGATCGCGTGGTGGTATCGGCCAGGTCGGCGTGTTCATGGTACAGAACGAAACGGAGGCTGCGCCCTTCGCCGGCACCATCAGTCCGCAGATCTCATTTCCCGTGTCTGATTTCTGGACGAAGGCGCTGAGCTTTCAGAGTGGCGCCGTGCGTCCGCTAGAGGTGGCACCGGAACTGGTAGAGCTGATTTCCAGCGGGAGGGCTGATCCGAGCTTTATTACTACCGCGGTCATCGGAATTGAGCAAGTGCCAGAATACTATCAGCGGTTCGATCAGCATGAGGAAATCAAGGTTTACATCCAGTTTCCCTGACTGCAGTCATGGATTAGTTCCTGGGGAAACGACATCAAGTCAGATCCGAAGGTGTTGGGCGTGGAAACAGTTAAGAACTTGTACATGGTAGTATATACTTGGCATAATATGATGTATGTAGGCGGACCCGGTGGGATCGGGGTGCCGGATCGCGGATGCATAGTGGTAGGCAGAAAACCATGGCGAAATTCGACGTACTCCGACATTTCCGTACGCTATGAAATTTAATGAGCTATGTGTAGAGTGTGCAAGCATTTATCGATAATTAAAATGCCATATCACCGCTTATAGCTTCCTCCATCTTTCCTCCTACTTTTGTCCGCCCATCACCTCCACGGCACCATCGCCTCTAAATTCCAATAGCCCCCGTCCCCATCCTCATCCGCCTCTTCGCTATCGATTTCGCACATGTTCCACTCTATCCCCCACGCCTCGACAATCTCGTCTGTCCACGGCACGGGCGGCCGACTCGTCCACTCGAGCCTAAAATTCCCCTCGCCCTTCCAGTCCTGGCCAAAGAACAGCTCGACCGCGAGGCCGCACTTGTCGGGCAGCTCGATGCGCAGCTCGCGCAGGCGCGGCATGCCGCCGCCGCCACCGCCCCGGAACGCCGCCCGGCCCGCCGCAGTGACCAGTTGGTGCAGGCCGCGCTCGGGCCGCGGGACGAGACGCGTGATGCTCTCGATGGGGCGGGCTGGCGTGTGGTTGGCGGCGTTGTAGGCGATTTCCGAGGGTGTGGGGTCGGCGTAGAAGGTGCCTGGGGTCGTCGTCGTCGTTAGTATGCTGATGGAAAGCGGGTGTAGGGTAATACACATACCGTAGGAATCCACCGGCTCTAGGATCAGCTCGAGCACTTCTAGGTGCGGCCATGATGGTGGCTGCTGCTGCTGCTGCTGCTGCTCGACGTCTGCTGGCCAGAAGATGGCGGGGGAGACGCGGACGGCATCGAGACTGAGGTGGCGCAGGCGCGTCGACAGGTCGCGGATGCCGATGCAGAGGGTGTCGGGGGTGTGGGGCGTGACGGCGGGATGCTCGTCGAAGCCGTGGGAGACGTCGGCAAAGACGGCGTTTAGTTCGAGGCAGGAGGCTGGAATCTGGCTGATGCATGTGCCGAGGTCTATGGGAGAACTGGTTAGTGGGTTTTGGTCGAGCGGATGATGGAGATATGTCTACCTTTACGGTACTGGCGACGTTGTTCTGGATCCTCAATCGTGTTATCGAAGCGGAGGTCTGCACGTGTGAGACTTTTCATTGAAGCCATTATCTGTAGTAGGGATGATGGCCAGATGCGCAGGCCTCTGCGGAATTCGAAGCCGCTGACACAGTTCAGTTGTGGCAGCGTATTACCAATCAAGTGAAGGTGCGACTCTCTTCCTGGATGGTGCTCGCTGTCGGATACCGGTGGCGATACGGACAAGGAGTCGAATTCGAGAATAAATTTTCTTTGTCCAGGTTTCTCTAAGCCCTCCAGCACCTCCCAGAATTGACGGATAGATTGCGAGAAGTGCTGATTATTCGCCGCTCCACCCGCTTCGGACCGTGCCTCGTCGGAATTAAGAGGAAACTCGTGGCTAGCGAGGAAGGAAACTCGGCGAAGAATCGCACGACGCCGATCTGGGTCACGATTCATCATCTGCTTAAAGCGTGCTGGAGTGGTCGAGTGGGCAGGGTGATTGCCTTGCTCGCCTGGCGACAAGCAGGGCGCGGTAAGGGCTTCTGAGTATACGTGGACATGCTGAAACGTCTCACGCTCAATAATGGCGTTGAATGTCCGGTTGATTCCTGCGTACTGCGAGAGCTTGGGCTGATGCCATAACGGAGTATTTTTAGGATGGTCTTGACGGTGAAGCTGCTGCAGTTGTTTCACGATTAGGAAAAGAACGTCCTCGGGAAGCTGTGGCATGGTGGGGAATGAGGAGTTTGGCGGGCAAAGAGCGGACGCGGGCGAACGAGTGCATTAAGTATCGCGGATAGTCCTTAAGCGAATCACGAGCTTGGACCATGGATCGACCATTGGCATTAACCCCGTCGGCCCCCACCTTCTTTACACGGAGTAATTAAGCTACACAAAACGCGCACTTTGGTGAATCAATCCTGACCCCAGACCAATCACAAGCCCAGTCTCTTAAGAAGAAACACCGCTAGAAAACTGTAAGTAATTGCTGATTTGCAGAGCAATGGGTACTTACACGCAATAGACATAACCGCTTTGCAGATACTGGCAGTCATCACCCACACCGGGGTTCCACTTGTAGAACTCGTCGAGCGTGATGTTGTTGTCTTGAGCCAGGTCATAGCAGTATTTCCCTACAAAAATCAGCACCCAACAACAGCTTTTCTCTGGCATGATTCGAATACTCACCATCCTCGCGCTCCGCATACTTGTTGCACTTGCAAGGTGTCCCAGTCATCGTCGCGCCAGGCGGCTTGACGGTTGTGCCGGTGCAAGTAGCCGTCGCGGCAGTCGTGGTCGGCGTGGTGTTCGGCGTCGTCGTCGCGCTGGGCGTTTGGGAAGCAACGGGCAGAGTCACGGCCGCCTGCTGAGCCTCCTCCCAGTTCTCGCCCCTGCAGCCAAGTCAGAAAGAGCAGGCACGACGCAAGTGGAGATGCATACATGACACAGTAGGAAGTCTCCATCCAAAGGTTCGAGCAATCGTCTTTGACCCTGCTTATTGTCAGCCTCGCTAACCCACGACCAGGGACGGACTTACGCAGGGTTCCACTGGTAAAAGTATTTGATCGTGATGCTGCTCGAATCCAGGACGTACTGGCAATCCTCGCCTGCGTAGACATCAGCCGCTGTCGTGAAATCCACGCGCGGCACTCACCATCGGCCGTCTCCCACCAGTCATAGCACTTCTCAGTGCTGTTCGCAGCCGCGTTGTCAGGCTTGCTGGCGTACGCGGGCGTGAAGGGCGACAGATCCGCGTAGCCGTTGCCGAGCAGCGCGCAGTACCTGGTCTCGTTTTTCAGGATGCAGTTGTATGTGTCCAGGCTCGGGTTCCATTGCAGCTGCAGAAAACCCCTGTCAGTTTGGCTGGATGGGAAGGGGGAAGGCAGTACTCACGAAGATCGACTGCTGCACGAAGTACTCGTCTGTGATGATGTTGCAGCTCACGTCGCCGCGGGCGTTGTCGTCGTACGTCAGGCAGTCTGCCCGCGTTCCGTTGGCGAGCGGGAAGCCGGTGTTTGCGGGGCTTGAGACGACGGGCTGGGTTGCGGTGGGCAGGTCGTCGAGGTTGACCCAGGAGCCGAATGAGATGGTCGACGTCGCGGGAATTGTGGGGGCTGAGGAGCCGTCGGTGGCTGTTGCTGTTGTGTAGCCTGGGTAGGTGGATATGTCGCCGACAGCCGAGACCTTGGACTCGCTTTAGCAGATGGTTGAGCAACTGGCGCTGCACGTACTCACGCAGTAGGATTTCTCAAGCTCCAGATTAGTGCAGTTGGAGTTTACCTCCGGGTTTAGGAAGTAGAAATCAGAGCTGTGGCCTTGCATCAGACAGCTTTCTACTCGGCGGACGACGAAAACTTACAGAGTGATACTGTACCTCATCGTCAGGTATGCGCAGTAATCTCCTTCGACAACTTCATGCCAGCGTGAACAGCGCTCGTTGCTTCCCGGCGCAGCATCGGTAGGCACGGCAACTGGAGTTGTCGTCGTGCTGACAGGCCGACTGGTGGTGTCGCCCGATCCAACCTTGCCGTACGGGCTCCCAATGCAGATGTAGTGCCCGACAGTTTGATCGATGTTGCTGCACTTCGTATTCAGCTGCGGGTTGTAGGTCTTCAGTTGGGTTTGGGTGATGTTGTGCGCTTCAGCAATGCCGCTGCAGGTATCGTTCGCGGAAACCTGATAGGTCTCGCATGAAGACTCCACGCAGAGCGTGCCGTTGCTTGGGAAGTTGGCGCAGCCACCATCGAGGCCGTTGCTGGCCAGGAGGTTCCACGTGGAAATCGAGTTGTCTGCTGCTATCGAGTCGCACGTGTCACCATTCTGGATGGGAACAGATTTCCCGGTGCAGGTGGGAGTTGTGGCTGGTGCCGATGTGCTTTGCTGATATTAGTGAATCATCAGAGGCGGAGGCTGTTAGATTGGCACCTACCTGCTGACGATGACACTGGGCGGGCTCGTAGCTGGCATGTCGGTGACCTTGCAGCTCGAAGTAAGGGAGGCATAGGTAGCTGCGAGATCCTCATCGTATCTCCAAGGGTCTTTCAGCTCCGTCTGGAGCACTTTGAGCTCGCACTCATCACAGGTCAGGCTACCGCTGGACCCGGCGTCGCCTGTGAGAAACTTGATGTAGCAAAAGTTTCCGTCGCTACGGTGATCAGCAGATGAAAAAAGCTGGCTGGACTAGCAGAAGATGGTACCTGTCGGTCAAACAGCGCTGCCAGTAGTTGTTGAAATAGTAATCAGCAAAGGCTATGGGTTTCAAGGCCAAAGAATTGACCCCCATGTCAGAATCGGAATAAGTCTCATTCCCACAAGCAGATTCCACGTCGACGCGATACTGCTGGATAGACTGCGTGCAGTTATCAGTGCAAAGAGAGGAAAGAGTGTCGGTGGTGAAGTTGGAGGAAGCCTCGTAGACAGTGTCGTCTGTTTCGAGGTAGGGACAGGAGAGGCTCGCAGCCAAGGCTCCCGCACAGCCCGACGAAAGAGAGTCAAACGTGCCCAGAGGGAACAGCTGGATGGAATCAGCCATGGCGGAGAAAATGAGTGACTCCGATGCAGCGCGAGAGCATTGTTGGGCATCCTGAACATAAGGCAAGAGATGGAATCGGCTGCAAAACGGCATGCAACCATCGCCACAAGAAACCTTCCTAACCGAGAAAAAGCCAAGCCCATAGACAAGAATCCTTTGAGGCTTGTGACCCACAGCAGGCAGCAATGGGCTGAGTGCGGCTGACCCGGAAATGAAGCTTATTTTGAAACCGGCCCCCAATTGGCCCTATGCGTTACCGGCCCGGGCCGGGGTGCACCCGCCACCAGATGGTACAGGGGGGTAAGCGTGAATTTGTTTTCCCTCATGTCATGGGTAGTTGAAGCTATTGTCCGGACGTAAATTAAAAATTTTAATTCTACATTTACGTCCGGATGGTAGCTTCAAGTGCCCATATGTGTTATTTCAACGAAGAAAAATAAAAACAAAAAGCGGAGGCATAATTACGCTGTGTTTTAGGGCTCTGCTTTTTTTCACGCTAGTTAGGTAGGTATCGGCTGTGGTACCTCTGTGGTACCTCCGTATGCAGGGCTTTAGCCTGCCAGATGCAGACCAGCAGATCAAGATCGCTCTTTAGCCTATGAAGAAGCAATATCGCCAATTGTGCTTGTCAGCATTACGGCACGCCCCAATGGTCTCCTGCGACCCCTGGAAGGGTCTGCTGACCGTGCTGTGCCGCAGCGGCAAGCTCCAGCCGCCCGGCGCGGCAGCACAAATCAGGCATGCTAAGCGGAGCGCTTCAGTCAGAAGACGATCACCACCGTCTCCGTGCAGATCTTGAACAGGCGGTTTCGGAGATAGGTCAGGGCGGTTTCGCATCACACCCCGATGCAAATGTACTTGCCCTAGGGTCTGTATGTGGAAGTTGTACTGTGTGGGGTCCCCATCAATGCTTTTTCTTTGCCTGCTTCCGTCCGCACACATGATATTGTCAAGTGGACCCTCTGCGTGAAAACGGCACTGCGGCACCAGCATCTCGCCACTCCGTATATGTGCCAAGACACCCTTTTCAGGTGCTGGAGTGCTCCAGGCTGCATGCCGAAGGAACAGGCTCCACACCACAGAGGACGGAGTAATTTCAGAAGCTTGTTAGTTCGACATCGATAAAAATTCATGGCAACCTTCCTCTTTGGGCTTCGATCAGAGTTGTTGCTGTAGCCGGTTTGCTTAAAGCACTGGGCTGCGTCTGTGTGCTCAGAACTTCACACTCGTACGCTCATTCGATCATCACTTGCCATGGCGCGCATCCAGCGTTGCCTCCTTCCCATCCTTCTTGCACTCACCCAATGTCTCGCATACATTCATTCACCAGAGACTTTCTCTGACAACTCCTCCATTTCCTTTCCGTTGAACCACACAAACAGCCTGTTCCGGCGGGCATCTGAAGATTACACCTGCTCTGCCGATAGGCCTTGCTCCAACAAAGCCTGCTGTGGTGAGAGGTAAGTGCCGTGCGATATGGGCAGTTGAAGTTACCGTCCGGACGTAAATGTAAAATTCTTTATTCGACACTTACGTCCGGACGATAGCTTCAACTACCCATGATACCTAGTGTGATTGGACATTGCTAACAGTACGCCACAGCAATGTCTGCGGATACGGGCCTACGTACTGCGGTGATGGATGCCAGTCCCACTGCGATGCCAAGGCAGAGTGCGGCCAGTACGCCGAGGTGCCTGGCACTACTTGCCCGCTCAACGTATGCTGCTCCGAGTTCGGATTCTGCGGCACGACTGCCGATTTCTGCGGCAACAACTGCCAGTCCAACTGCGGCTCGCCCGAGCGGCCGAACGGCGGAGGCGACGTGCGTGACCGCATCATCGGCTACTACGAGTCGTGGGCCAGTTCCAAGGAGCCTTGCGGCGCCATGACCCCTGAGCAGATTCCGGTTGACGGGCTCACTCATGTCAACTTTGCGTTTGCCTACATTGATCCCCACACTGGCGACATCGTCCCTATGGATAATGCCGGAGATGGGGATGAGATGTTCTCGCGGGTGACCGATATCAAGCTTCGCAAGCCAGGCATCAAGGTCTGGGTAAGCATTGGAGGATGGACTTTTAATGACGCAGGCGATTACCAGAGCATCTTTGGGGATATTGCCGCTTCAACAGTTCAGAGCAGGGAATTTGCTGGCAAGCTCATCGCCTTTTGTGAGTCTATCCGCCACGACTCCTGTTGATTAATTGCTTACGCGAACCCATTTCAGGCGGAAAATACGGCTTCGATGGCGTCGACATCGACTGGGAGTACCCCGGCGCCGATGATCGGGGCGGCAAAAAGGAAGACAAAGACAACTTTCCCAAAATGCTAAGCATTATCAAGTCGTCTTTTGGCCGTAGCCCTCGCCCGCTGGGGATTTCTATCACTCTTCCCACTTCCTACTGGTACCTAAGATGGTTTGACCTTCCAGAATTGGCTAAGTCGGTCGACTGGTTCAACCTAATGTCGGTAAGTAGCACGAGTCACCCTCGGACAGTTCTCAGCTAAGACGTAGTAGTACGACCTGCATGGAGTTTGGGACCGTGGCACGCCTATTGGATCCTATATCTGGCCGCACACCAACCTCACAGAGGTAGACGAGGCGCTAGACCTTTTCTGGAGGAACGACATCAGCCCGTCTATCATCAACCTGGGGCTCGGCTTCTACGGCCGCACCTTTAAGCTCGAGACACCGCTCTGTTCCAAGCCCGGGTGCAAGTTTGGAGGACCCGCAGGCAGAGGATTGTGCACACAGGAGGCTGGCATCCTGTCCTACAGAGAGATCCGAGAGATTATCAAAGAGGTGTCGATCTACGGCGGCGTCACATACGATGAGGAAGCGGCAGTCAACTACTTTACCTACGGCAGAAATCAGGGCAACTCCTGGGTCTCTTTTGACGACAAGCGCTCGTTCCAAGCCAAGATCGACTTTGCCAACAAGAGAGGTCTTGCCGGCCTGTTTATCTGGGCCATTGACCAGGACGACGACAACCTCGACGCACTACGTGCCGTCACCGGCAAGGACCTGGAGATGTCGCCTGCGCTCAGCGACGTCGAGGACCGCTTCGACATTAGCAAATGCTACATCACCGAATGCGGCGGCAAGTGCGAGTCCGACGAAACCACCATGGTCCATACGAACCTCGACGAGAGCAACAAGGGATGCAGCGGCAGCAAGCACGACCAGCGCGCATGTAAGTCTCTCCCTTCTCCAAGTCACCCCTGATGCTGACATCGAACAAACAGTCTGCTGCCCCGCCCTGACTGCCCCCGACCCAAAGACCTGCAACTGGCGCGGCAGCGGCCCGTTCTGCAGAGACGGCCACTGCAAAGAAGACACAGAAGTGACCATGCTCATCGACGACTACGGTGGCGCGTCGGGCTGCTACTTTGGCGGCCGCAAGAGCTGGTGCTGCCCTACGACCGTCGGCCAGGAGCAGATCAAGCAGTGCAAGTTCGACGTCACGGGCAAGTGCTCCGACGCTTCCCGGCCGCAGAACCTGACCACCGTGACTTTCGGCATTCCTGCTGGCGGCGGTGCTGGTGGGCCCGGCGTCATCATTAAGAAGGTCGAGCCGCTGTGCTGCCCTGAGAAGCCGGAGTTCGAGAACTGCGCCTGGCACGGAAAGGATGGTGCCTGTGACGGCAACCGCTGCCCTGTGGGCCAGGTCATGGTTGCGAGTACCTCGGCGAGCCACGGCGGACCGGGTGATGGCAAGAATGGCTGCTCGCTCGGCCGCAAGGCCGTCTTCTGCTGTGATCCTCCTGCGGACGGTAGCGAGTTCCTCCCTGTTGCCCTGGAGAACCTGTTCCCGGATGCAGACACCTTCGATGATTCTTGGTGAGTTGGTCCTGCTATTAGTTCTGTCAGCGGCGGAATGCTGACAACTTCCCCCTGAACAGGACGCCTATATTCGATGAAGCCATCGGCTACAGCCCGTACCAGAAGCCCCACCATGACCCCGTCAAGCAGGATCCTAATGAGGAGAGTTTCGCCTGGATCGTGATTGTCGGTGACGAAGAAGACGTCCAGACCTTCGACAAGCGCGACGGTTCGCACTTGGAACTCTACAATTGCCCCAACCCAGATGGAGATGACTACTCGGTCCAGCGGCTCAACGCCGTGTGTATGAACCACGGCGAGAGTAGCAACTGCGAAGACATCACCAAGGGAGGTGTCAAGGGTACTATCGTTCGGCTGCCAGATGGCTGCGGTCCGGATAAGTATGTGCGAGCAGTCAGCTTCAAGGAGACCGATAACACTACTTCAATGCCACAGGAGCTGCGGAAGAGGTCAACTGGCGAGCCACACGGAAAGGTCTACGAGTTCCGCTACGATTACAACTTTAAGAACCTGCGGCGGGCAGCCGGAACTGTGCACTTCCGCGCCGACGTCTCCAATCATCCGGGCTACTGGGACGAGATCGTGGCTGCTGACAATGATTCGCCGGTCAAGAAGCGGAACCAGCACAACTGGCGGGAGATGGACAAGGTGAGAGGAAGCATCTTTTCTAAAGAACTTTACAAGCTAACAGCATGACAGCGGTGGGTAAAAGAAAACGAGCCTGACAGCTGGCGCAAGCGGTTCCTGCAACTCCTCACCAGAAAAGATGTCGGGACTCTGAAGGAGTACTCTTTCAAGCAGAACCTATACCGAACGACCAGGGTCTGCTCAGACAACCTGGCGGCTTGGCTGACAATGGATGCTGAAGGAGACCTCACAACCACCATGGACTTCGGCCAGACCATCGTCGGCACGCTGAACAACTTCCAGTTCGCGCAGGCCTTTGCTTTCATGCGGCAGTCAGACTTCAAAGTCCACATCACCGCCGGCCTCTCCGCCGAGGCGCGGGCCCGCATGCAGACGCCCCTGACGTCGCTGGATGGCAGCAGCCTGTCGACATTCGGCTCCAACTACAACATCAAGGGCATCCTGAAGATCAACCCGTACCTGGACGTGCGCGCGCAGATCCAAGCCGAGGCAATAGTCTCGCTCCAGGGCGTCGTAGACGTGACAGTGGCAACGCCCATGTTCCACTACATGTTCCCCGAAGAGCTCGAGACGGTGCCGACGACGCCGATCACCGGCTGGAACATCTCGACGAGGCATTCCAACCTCAACAGCCCAGGCAAGCTCAGCGTCGACGTCGGGGGCGCGGTGACTATCTCCGTCGTGCCCGTGCTTGGTATTACTACCGAAATCGATTACGGCAAACGGTCGTCCATTACCAAGGTCGAGGCCGCCTTCCGCGGCGACGTCAAGTTCAAGATGAGCGCCACCGTGGGCACGGACTGCAAGGGTTTCCGCATTGGTGTCGATGCGGGTTTTGCTGGCAAGTTGAACGTCAGTGGCGCCGCAGTTTTTCCCAAGTGGCTTGACGGGTCCTACGATCTGGTCAACAAATACGGCACAGTGCTAGACGACGTCTGCATTCCTTATGGAGGCGGCATCTCGCCGGGTAAGCGTGGAATAGAGATGGTCTCCTCCACGGGACTGGAGCTGGACATGGACAGCTCTTCTACACCGCACTTTGTCTCTACCGAGCTACAGCGTAGAGCCTTCCTTGCTGATGAGGGCGCTGGTTCTGTCTTCCCCGATCCCAATGGTGAGAACATCTACTGTCCGCGCAGCAACGGCGGCCAAGGCAAGTGTCGGGGCAGGCACACGTTTGTCGACGAGCTGGAGAACCCAGACGACTACGCGCTGCGAAAGCGGGGCGTGCTGGTCAAGCGCGACGGCAACAAGTATTTTTGCGGGACTGACGGCGTACCGGGGCTGAATGGGCCGAAAGAGATGAAGTTGATCCTGCCGACGCACATGGGCACGACGCCGTGGCTGCAAACCTGGCCGAAGGTGCCCACGTTCGCGCCCAAGAACCCAGACTCGTGCGACTTCGAGTTCGGGCAGATTGACACCCCAACCCCTGACGAGGTCACGCGCGTCGAGGGGACGAACCAGGCGTCGCTGCAGGTCGAGCACATCCTCGAGACGCAGACGTTCAAGCACTTCGGAAACCACCTCGCCGAGAAGTTCTCGAACTGTGACAGGTTTCGCCAAAACCCGACTCGCAAGCTTTACGACGACCCGCGCGGCAAGGTGGACGACAACGGAGATCCCGTGCAGATTAGCTGGTGCGAGTACTGGGCAATCTGGTGGGACAAGATGGACGCGAAGAGTGCCGAGAAGGCTAACACGCTGCTCGGCTCCGTGCTGCCGGGAGCGAAGAACTGGGGATGGAGCGAGCTGGTGCTGGTCGATTTCTACGTCAACCAGCTCAAAGCCCAAGCGTTCTCTCCCGGCACGGCCTTCTCCGATCAGGGCAACCTCAAGGACTGGCAAAAGGACCCCCCGGACGACTCGGAGATGCCAGACCCTATCAGCTACCCAGACGGCGCCACTGAGGAGGAGAAGATAGAGATCGAGAAGGAGTGGAAGAAGGAAGAGAAGAAGCGCCCCCACCACTGGGGCGACATCCTCGACTTCGTCCGCGAGATCATCATGCTGTACAAGTACATGTCGGAGCCCTCAATCCAGCAGCGTCTCGTGCGCTCCGCCTGCCGCTACGCGCATCGGCTCGATTGGATCAACAAAACCTACATCAATCAGAAAATCCGGCACCTCCAGGTCAGGGGCAAGGACTACGTCACCATGGACTACAACCTGGATCTCAACAAACCACTATCAGATTTCTGGTGGGAATGGCTGGTGGACACGCACTTCCAAGATGCTGAGAACAAGGCTAAGAACGTCATCACCGAGTGGACACTGAAGGTGTGGAAGGAAAACAGGGACCCGGACCTGTTTCCCGACCGCAGCCAGCTGCCAGACGGCCACAGCTTCGGCAACAACCGTGAGATCATCGACCGCGCTCAGGAGACTTACGACGAGGTCAACTCCATGTCCACGTGGAATATCGGGTGGATCAACAGCGCTGATTGCGGTGGCACTTACCAAGATCCCCCGAATGTCGACGATTGGTACGACACATGGCCGGCCGCTTTTCAAAAGCCTATTGGCTCTGATTAGGCTAATTGTGCTTGTATACTGCTTACCAGTCTGCTACGTAGCTATCTATAATAAAAATAAGATTGCTGATTAGTATTCAATTTTCGGCTTTTGTAAAAATAAGAAAATTATTAGTTTACTATTTTTTTTCTTTAAGAAAAAAGAATATGCTATAACCGTAGTAGTTTTAATAATAGTAGAGACATACTCTATCTAAAACTTCTATGTTCTATTTTAGTCACGGTTACTGAGTTAGGGGCCAGATCGTCTACGTCATCGCTTGCGGATGGTGGCTGTAAAAGCCACGGGACAACCTATCACATGCTAGAGGGATTTTAACGTGCAAGCCAAGACCACCTACATGAAGCATAGCGCAGGCGGCATACTTGCATCGGAAGGATGGCTAGATAGCTCATTCATTTGCGCGGGCTGCAAGACCAAGCAGGCCATGCGTTGCTTTTCAAGGAGAAGGAGGGAGAAAAATCGAAAGTCTAAGCTCAAACCAGCAACTGAGTGCCGTCCATAATAGCCTTGCAGGCAGAGCACCAGACCGCATGCGTGCTGGCCTTGGCAAACATCATCCCAACAAGAATTAATGTGCTAGTAGGCGACGGAACGGGGCAATTCACAGTCGTACTACCCCGGTCTTGCCATATCATTCGGCTGCCGCATGTGGGCACGGTCTCCAGTTGCTGCTGAAATCGTCGCCATCGCATCAACTAGGCTGTACTCTGTCAATTGCACAGCTTTGCCTCAGCCTTGGTAGTCCCGGGAGATAAGCAGTGGTGCGGGGCTGATTGCTTGGTGAGTGCGGCTGTGCCGTTCGTCCCGGTAAACTCAGCCTTGTGCCTCCCGCCTCGCTCATTTAATCCCGCAAACACACAAGGCTGAACGCCATGTTGGAATATGATTTTATTATAACATGACAGATGATAGGACTTGCAGCCTTCCACCTCACGACATTGTTCGTTCTAATAAATCTTCTCGCATTCAACAGGTGCTGATCAAATTTTCGAACGTATAGCCACACCGAGGGAATGGAATAGTATGAGAACATTTTTGATAGCCTTGCGACATGAATATGTATGTAGATGACTAAATGTCACGTAAATGCGATATTTCTTGGCACCCGTTTGCCTGACAAGGGTCACCAGGCTGAGGATCAGTAGGCTGCCCATTCCCTAAATGACACGTAACCACACCTCAGCTACCGGAAGCTCCGTTGAATGAAGAGATCCAGCATGTTTTACATGTGTTGCTACGTGGTTGGACCCATTGTGCCATCGCTAACCACCACGAATATTCCACAGCCTTGGTAATCATTTCAGTTGGCTATTGAGTGCGCAACGACGGAAGATCATAACTCTGATCTGTTACTATGCTATAAGCACTAAGCCTCCCTGGGACCGACAGCCTCACGTACCGGGCAATATCAACTGGAGCCCTGCGATTGCTGGTCTTGACCGCCAGCACCACGTCACCCTCAGTAGTCCTTTCCTGCTTCCTCCACGGACCAGGACAGGTATAAGACCAGCAATACTGCCACCGTCCAGTCTTCTGAGACAGCAACCCAGAAAGCGCCTCAAATCAGTTGAAAGACGGTAAGCGCACTCGAAGATCAAATGGCCGGGAGAGAAATCACTTACATGTGAAAGTTCTTCACCTGTGTAATCGCCACAGCGCTTTCGACACTATCCCAACTCTCTACAGCAAATAGTCCCAGTAAAAATGGTATGAATGTACTCCATCTGTTTAATTGACTTGACTAATATAATCAGTTGTTCCAAGTCGGTGACGTAGTTATCGCATATGGGCAGACAGTTACAGTAATTACTGTCCACGAAGGCGGCACGCTTCACCTCAGTAATGGAACAACGGTCCATGGAGACCAAGTGCAAAAAATATCGGGGTAAGAGTGAGAATGGATGGTGAAATGGAAGTCATGTTAGGCGGACTCGCAAACGTGATGACTCAAGGCGACGTGTCCTCTGCAGTTGCGGTGTGTTATTTCAGCCGTGGGCGTATTTAGTGCATCTCTTTGGTTAGCTCAATACCACACCTACCAGACTATTTAATGTTGCGCTCAGGATTACAAATTGCAATAGCCGTGTTGGAAGAGATGATCTGCGTGATCGCTTGCGGAAGGCAGGTATGACACGGATGAGGCAGCCAATTGTATACTAGACGAACTAGACGAACCGCTTAGACAAGCAGCTCAGGAGGACCTACATCAGGTGGAATGCAGGCCAGAACGATTCCTACATCTGGAAGGATTTCGCACCAGCTCTATCGCCCTACAGCTATACGATTGTGTAGATCCTTTTTGTTTTTCCAGAGAAAAAGGAGAGAAAAAGCAGGACGCGAGCACGTCGAAGATTACATAGTACTTTTTTTTTTAAAGCCTTCGCATGGCTTCGCTTACCTTTAGAGTATTCTCGAAATTACCTCGTCGGGCCTAGGTTTTTATAACGATAGGCTCCTTCCACTTAGCTTCATCGAATTCCCAAGCGTCGTCAGCTGCCACACTCGTACTGCCTCAACGTCATTCCTGACAAGGACAGCCAAGTGATGTTGTTGCAGACACTTTTGGACTGCAACCATCTGAACTTCAATCTGGGTGTTCACGTCATCGGCAAAAATGTCTCGGTTCTGACACACTCTCTTCACAGCTTTCATTTACAGTCAACTCAGAGTAGCAATTCTATATGTTACTAGAAACACCTTTTACTCTATGAACCCCCTCTCAGGCTCATACACAACCCTCGGCCACGCCGCCGGCTGACACTCTAGTGCATCCAACTCGGGCGGGAAACTCTTCAACCCCAACAACCACGCGGCGGGGTCCTTCCAGCCGGGCTTCAAGCACGCCTGCTCGCGGCGCAGGCGGGCGTGCACCCAGGCGTCGCCCCACCAAGCAGGCATGGGGGCGCCCGGCCCGGCCACCCACTCGCCGGCCTTCTCGTCCAGGCGCACGCTCTGCTCGGCCAGGTGCAGCAGCGCGAAGCACGTCAGGTCGGGGCGGACGGGGTGTAGGAGGAGGTGCTGGTGCTGGTGGTGCGGGCTCTGCTGCTTGGTGTCGGCGTCGGCGTCGGCGGTGGTGGCCGCAGGGGGTTGCAGCAACAGGTAGTTCAGCGACACGACCATGCTGGCGTAGCTGGCGCGGTACAGTTGGTTGAGCTGCTCGTTGGTCGCCGCCGCCCTGCTGCTGCTGCTGCGCCCCGACATGCACAGGTTCACGTCCAGGTCCTGCTGCTCGAGCCCGCGCTCCAGCCAGACGCGCAGCGGGCGCGGCGGGACGTCGAGCAGCACGAGGGCCAGCTCGGTGGCGGCGTCGCGGAAGGCGTCGGGGAGGGTTCCGAACTGGCCGTCGACGGCGTGGGCGTAGTAGCTCCGCATGACCTTGCTCGGGCGCGGGGCCCAGGCCGACCCGCTCTCGAGCGCGTGCTGGACGCGCGTGTGCGGCTGGGTGCGACCGATGCCGCGGCGTGTCTTCCACGCGTCCGAGGCGTCGAAGACGAGCGTGTGCGGCCGCAGCCCCTTGTTGCGGCCCAGGATGCCGAGGGCGAGCGTCAGCCCTTCGCCGTTGTACTCGTCGACGGTGAGCGGCCGCGACGCGAGCAGCCCTTTCGGCATGGCGTGGATGGCCCGCGACACGCGCCGCCGGAAGCCCTGCGCTTCGCCCCATTGGAGCGAGACGTTGCCGGTGGTGGTGCCGTCGTCGTAGACGCAGCGGGCGTGCGCGTCGGGCGCGGCGTACTTGGCCGCGTCTTGGTCGGCGAACTTGTCGAGGAGGGCGGTGGGGTCCTCCCACAGGCCGGGCGGCGGGAACAGTGACAAGCCCCAGTCGTCGGACGGCGCCGAGACGATCTTACGTTCGGGGAGCGCCTGGGATAGGCGCTTCCATTGGGCCGCATCGCCGCAGAGGGCGCGGGAGCTGGCTTTGATGGACGTGCGGCTCGGGCCGGTCCACGCGCGCCACCGGTTCTCGATAAAGGCCCGGTTGCGCCAGGCGGGCACGGCGTACCGCACGATGGCGATGGTCGTGGCCGTCGACAGGGCGAGCACCCCGAGCGAGTCCTGCGTGTTGCCGGCCAGAAACGTGAGGATGATCAGCACGAACGAGACGCTGAGCACCGACGACACGACCGTCCACCATATATGTTCGTAGCGCGCAAGCCGGAACCTTGGCCGCAGCTGTCAGCACCGCACGAGCTTGTCCGCAGCTTGAAGCCTCACCGGAATGTCCAGAGCCCTTGGTCCTCGGAGATCTGGATGACGGTCGTGATCAGGCCTTGGACCAGCGACGTGAAGACGGCGAGCGATATCGACGTCCAGAGCAAGGCTACGCGGCCCGTTCCGGAGGCGATCTTCAGTTGGGGGCCGGCCGTCGTTGCGCCATCGTCGTCCTGCGCAGCCATCGGGGCCGCAACTACAGGAGAGAGTATGGCCAGTATGGCCCAAAGCGTGTTTTCAGCTCCCATAGCGCGCTGTTGGGAGTGCAATAGGCAGATGAGCTATGTTGTGCTACCTGACGAGGCTGCAGCCGTCTATTAGTACGTCGCCGCATTGGCCCAAACTCGGCTTGGCGTTTTCAGCCTTGCTGCAGGGGCGTTGCCTTTCTATATTATTGGGGCGTAGGGTCAAGAGCTCTACCGAATCAGGCATCGATGCAGTGACAGGGATCGGAAAACCTATGCTTATTGGGCCACTATCTGATTCACGGCCCCCAATTCTTGAAGTCGCTCTGCCTTGCTCTCAGCCTCGCTGTAACACCTTCCCAATGTCAATAGCTCAAACGGGATCTAACGTCACGCATGCCCGACTCGATACGCAAAGCCTTTCCCAGATGCGAGCTTCATGATATACTAAGTGCTGATTTATTTCCGAATCTACGAGAAGGATTAGACCTAGGAAATCCTACGGCGCCACAGCCGCGCCCACTTTAAACCCAACTTCAACGACATGAGAGAGCTGATCCACATATCAGACCGAAAGTTCCCTCGTTGTGCGGCATAAGTGTTGTTGTGGAGTATACCCGCGAGTGACCCGAGGGATTTTTGTAACATTAAACCCTTTGAAGTGTTGAGTGTACTTGAAAATGTAGACAATAAGTGCTGGAAGAGGCCCAGCCGTCCGACTTTGGATCAAGACTGCACTGCCGTTGGCCCCCACACCCAAACACTGATCGGCGTGCGGCGAAGCATCGACGTCATGCGCCCCGGTAGCTGCCTAAATGTGAGCATCCAAATCCTGTGAATTTACCACGTTCTCATCAATCGCACTTCTCTATTATTATACGTTTGCCTCTATGTCGAAAGCTTGGTTCGAGGCCAAATGCGCCGTTCGATTCGGAGCGCTCCCTTCCCACGCCAGACCCATCCACGAACTCTTCACCGGGGCCAGATCAAGCTCTGCAGCAGCCGAGCAGCTCGCATCCAGCAACCTCAAGCACCACGATGACACAGACTGGCGCCTGTGGCAGCTTATCTTCGACGCCGCCGAAGAGCTGCCACAACACCACGGCGCCATCATCGACCTCGTGCTCGCGCTGCAAACGGAACGCGATACCCATAGACCGGACGACGCCGGACTCGAGGCGTGGATGATGAGCTTTGGCGGAAATTACCGGGATCGTCTGGATCTGCTGTGGGCGTGGCGCGGCGGTGGCTGGAAGAAGGAGCCAGCGCCGATTGTGTCCGACACGAGGGAGCGCCTCGCCAACTTCATCGTCTGGTCGGCGTGTCTGTTGGAGTCAGCATTCAGACAGCGGTTTCAGATGAAGGCGTTGGCATGGTGTGATGTAGCCAAGGTCCTTGAGGCTGAATCGGAGAGCTATGGCGGCGAGCTGGGGTTGGATGTGGCAGTTGTGGCACAGTGGATCTTGCATGCTCCGTCTCTGCGGACAACTGAGGGGGAGGAGTCAGATCGTGGAGCTAAGTGCCTGCATGCTCAGAAGGGCCTCTGGAAGGGCGGTGCAGGATTCACGTTGGAGAGGTGGGGTTTCTGGAAAAGCAGGTTGAACAACTGTGTTCAGGCGGGAATTTTGCCGGATGAGACGGCGGAGGCGGTAAAAGCAGCAGTGGCGAAGATGAGCCAATCATAATCTGTCGAACAACTGAACCCGAGCTGGCGTTGAGGGGAGAGTTATTTCTTATGTTGCAATTGGTGATGATCGTGAAATGCGCGCGAATTGACATTGCGATTCAGAGGGAGGATCGTTGGGGGCGAGTCCTTGTCTCGTGTTGCGTTGCGTTGACTTGCTTGCCTTGCCTTGCATGCCTGCAGTCGCTCTGATGGCCGGAAGCAGCCGTGCCTCTTGAAAAGTCTTCTTGGTATAGGTAGCAGATCCGGAAAAACAGCACTGCATATAGATCCTTTCCATTTTCTGTTGAGATACTTTCCCCGTCTTCTTAGTCTTTTTTATCGAAAGTAATGCCGATCACCAGCATTGACGGTACGTATGTGAGAGCAATGAGCGGCAGAATTTTGGTGAGGCGAGAAGGCGGTAAGACCGTGGGTGGATTAAACCTAAAGTAGAAAGACCCCTGCACAGTATGTTTGAAGGGCAGGGTGGATTTGAGTATATGTATGTCTTAGACAATAAAAATCAAAAAGTGGTGGCGGGGATGCGGGGAGAAAGGTGAAACGGATGCGCGGAGGCTGGGAGAACTGGAGCTTAAAACCCGTGCGTTTGGAAACTGCGGAGACGCGCTTGCCACATCAATGCTAGTCTTTCCAGCAAAGCGCGCATAAAGAGCAGCTGTTCTCGCTTTGCCCCCGCTGCAATCCAGGCCTGCGCTTCTCATCGCGCCCGTCCTGATCCTTTGCCATCCGCCATGGCTTTTTCCAACCGCCGCGAGATGACGCTGAAATCGTTCAATGGGGACAGTGTCCTTCGCGCGTCCGCCCCTCGGTCCTCTCCGGCCCACATCGTGCGCCCGCGGACGATGCTGATGTGTGTCGTGGCCTTTCTGATGCTTATATCCCTCAGCTGGAAGACTTCTGGTTAGTGGACCCATGCCCGCCCGGTTCTGAGAGCCAATTGCTGCGAGCACCAAGAGATGAGCCGTGTCGTCATCGATCTGGAGATGAGGCATCAATGATTGGCACGCGTATGTGTGTCCGCACGGATGCTTCCCGTCTTGATGCAATTTCGTCTGCGGAGTTGCTATATCGGGAAAACCGGATGGATATCTTTTCAGCTTGTGGTACACCTCTAATACGGATAGAGTAGACTCCGCCCAGCATCCCCGCCCGAATCATCTTGCTCGGCGTTCTATGTCCCAGATACCAATTAGCGCCGTCGACTCAACTCCCCCAGTTGAGCCTCGGGATGATGACTTCTGCACCACCCAGGCTTGCAAGGACTTCGCGAAGTCGATTAATCAGAACCTCGCCAAAAACTACACTGACATTGACCCTTGCTCTGACTTTGCCCAATTCGTCTGCGGAGGATGGGAAGAGACTCACACTTACAGGCCTGACCAGAGTGGTAAGTATCCACACATTAACGACACTCATGCAGCTGCCTGACTGGGGTTACAGGCGTCAACACCTTCTCCGTCCTTAATGATGAGAATACCGAAATTTTACGGACTCTCCTCGAAAATCCGTACCCGGACAACAGCTCGTACTCGGGTGCCAACGAGACAGCCCACCGTGAGAACTTCGAGAAGATGCAGGCCGCATTCAACGTTTGCATGGACCAAGACACCATTAAGAAAGCCGGTGTCAAGCCTTTGCAAACCCTGCTGAACGAGTTACCCAGTTCGCAGCAGTACGGATCTGATGACAGCATCACCAACACCCTCATCTGGCTTCAGAAGTATGGCGTGGATGCCCTCGTAAGCAGTGGAACTGGCGTAAGCTTCCGAGTCATGCACGTTGCATGTGACATGAGTTAATACTTTACAGGCCGACGACAAGACCCCACAAGTTGTGACAATCTTTGTGGGTGGCGGAGTCTACGGGCTGCCGTCCAAAGAGTACTACAACAGGTCCCAAATAGTTGCCAACTACACCAAGACCATTGCAGACATGTTTGCCATCGTCAACGAGGATAGCAACTCAGCCACCTACGAAGATCTCGCGTCCAAGATTGTCGACCTAGAGGGGAAGCTTGCACATGCACAGCCTGACCCTGACCAGGAGAACGACGTGACGGTCAGTACTTTCCAGCCTTGTACCACACCTGCTCTTTACTCACTGGATCCAAGTACAACTACAATCCTAAGCCTTTCTCCGAGGTAGACGAGTTGGTTTCGCAGATCTCATTCTCAAAGCTGCTCAATGCCTTCATCCCGAAAGGATTCAAGCCGGACCAGGTGATCGTATCGACGCCAGACTATTTCCCGCAGCTCTCCGACATTCTCAGCAACACGAGCTCGGACGCCCTCAAAGGCTACTTCCAGTGGTCTCTTATTAACTCGTGGGCGGGTCGACTACATAGTGACTACAACAAGCCCATCAGGATCCTCGAAAACCAGCTTTCTGGCCGTCCTGAGGATGCCGAGCCTGAGAGGTGGAGAACATGCCTGAACGAAGTTGACAGCAATCTGGGCTGGATTGAAAGCGGCTTCTTTATTGAGCGTAGATTCTCTCCGGAGGCCAAGAAGTTCGGCGAGAAAATCGTTGACGACATCAAGGCTATCTACACCGAAAGATTGAGTACCTACGCGTGGATGTCAAAGGATGTTCAGGAGAAGGCCAAAAAGAAAGGTACGTGTGCTGGACACAATCTCTTATACCACATTCCAGAAGTTGACACCTGGACGCAGTCGCAAACATTGTCAAGAAGGTCGGATACCCCACAGCCTCGCCCAGCGTGCTGGACCCGCTGGATGTCAGGAACTACTACACCAACGTATCTATCAGCGGCGACTTTTTTGACAACGGCCTCGTGTTCAACGAGTTCGGCCAAAACCGATCATGGAACGCCTTGCTAAAGCCTGACGACAAGTTGAAGTGGGAGATGACGACGCCGACCGTCAATGCTTACTACAGCCCCACTGGCAACGAAATCGTCTTTCCCGCCGGCATCATGCAGAACCCCTTCTTCAACAGCGACGTCCCTGAATACATTTCTTACGGCTCGTTTGGGTGAGTGACTCTACTTCCCACCTACTTGCGAAGTTGTCGAACTGACCGAATGTCCAAACAGCGTCGTCGCGGGCCACGAGTTAACGCATGGCTTCGACAACTCGGGCAGCCAGTACGACGAGAACGGCGCATACCGGGACTGGTGGGACAACAGCACGCGTGCCAACTTTGACAACCGCACCAAGTGCTTTGTTGACCAGTACTCGTCGTACACGATCCCAGGGCTTGAAGACGGCGAGACGGTCCACGTCAACGGCAAGCTGACGCTCGGCGAGAACATTGCCGACTCAGGCGGCGTGTCGGCCGCCTACGCCGCGTGGACCAAGCGTAACGCTGCCGCCCCGAACCAGCTGCTGCCGGACCTGCCCAAGATCATTTCGACGCCGGAGAAGCTGTTTTTCTTGTCGTTTGGGACCACATGGTGCCAGAACATCCGCCGCGAGGCAGCAGTGCAGCGTGTCTACACAGACCCGCATGCGCCCAACATCTACCGCATCATTGGATCGGTGGCCAACTCACGCGCTTTCAAGGAGGCGTACAACTGCCCCGTCCAGAAGCCGGATTGCGAACTCTGGTAGTCACGCAGTCTTTTTTCGGCATCCGCTGTGGCAGAACAGAGCGTCACAGTGCCAATGCTTGTGCATGTACAAGGATGAAGTGCTTTGATCGAATATATTATTGGAGGAGCAGATGAAACGACAAAATGAGACTGTTAAGACGGATAAAAGCTATGGGTTGGGGCGGTAGATCTTTCAAATGCAGAGTACCATGATTTTGCAAGTGCAGAGGAGCATAAATGATTGAGCTGTCCACGTTGTCCGTTTTCCCTTTGCTCGTCCAACGATACAGATCTACAGGTTTGCGAAACCACATCTTGCCCTTGGCCTTGTTCAACACTCCCAACACCACCTGCACATAGGGCTTTTGGCAGAATGTTCAGTTCCGCGCTGCATTTTCCGCGCCCCTGCAAAACACGAACAATTACGTATACGACAAGAACTACCCTCCTCCTCTAGTCTTCTCCTCCTTCTCATCCCTCGCCACGGCCGGTAGTAGTGTATTCATCTGCCAATTATTGAGACCTCAGATCATTTAAGATAGCTGTAAATGGCGCTAACCTTTCAACTCCCGCCTCTTTATTAACACGAATAGTACTCGAGAGTCGCGAATTTTCCTAGTCGTAGAAGCACCATCTTAAAACACACTGAAACCGTTATGAGTGCTTCAGATCTATCCTGCTCAACGAGTCAAAACCGGAGCAGGAACATCTCTCCGCAGCAAGTCAGTGTCGGATATACTACGCCTCTGTTACATCGTGATGCTTCTTGTTACTGGGAAAAGGCTGCTGATGAAGCATGCGGGGACTGTTTTGCTTTAGCCCCAGGCTTCTCTCAGACCTCGATGATTGTTAATTTGCATATTACGGTGGTTGGGTCTTGGCGGTCTGACACCATACCAGCCGCAAAACGCGTTTCAGGTAAGCTGCACCAGCCAACCATGGATAGCGTCATACCGACGAGTTAAGAATTCGCGGCCCGACCGCTATGAAACAGTTTGACTCGGCGTCTTTTACACATTCTTGGCAATGTCGTCCGGCTCATGGTTTCATCCCCGTCAAGTAAACCACGCCCCTTGAACGGCCGGCAGCCGCCATTGGGGAGCCATAGGCTTTCTCTGGCGGTTTGGAGCGCCAGATGAGTCTCATTGTGTGTTTTTACGGCGATTTGGCCTAGTGAGTCTACGACGCTCAGTCTCACAAGTGATACATTTACTAACCGTGGGCTGAAGAGCCCTGTACTTCAATTGCTGTATAAATTCCAAACGTGCACGCCAAGAGTACTTGGCTATCAACATATACTTTCTAATTTCTTAGCTTTTGTCGTGCAGGCACGTCATTGGCTCTTCAATTCCCCAAATTTGTGGCAGGCTCCATACACACGCATACACTTTATTCTCAAACGCTACAATTAGCAATCAACCATGCACTTCCACTCCATCTATACTCTACTCGTCGGAGTGCTTGCTCTAGGGTGCGCGGCAAAGGACCACCACGATCATTCCAATAGCACTGACCACGCATTCAACGCGACGGTCCACGCCTGCCACCAAATGGCCAAACTGGCGGTCCTCTCCGAAATTGCAGCAAACCAGACGGAGGCCGACAAGTTTCTCAGCCACCACGACGACCAGGCCAAGGCCAAGGCCAAACTGGATGGCGCCGCCGCCCAGCTCAAGGCAATGTCGGCCAACACCACGCTCGTCGCGACATGCCAGATCGTCAACGCGCATGACGAGCTGAAGAGTTCCTGCAAAGAGGTAAGTGCAGAAAAAACAACATCCGTAACCGTACTTCCCATCCATCTGCTAACACGACCACCGCATAAGATGAAACACCTCCAGAAATTCGCCGACGCCGCCACCAACGCCACACTCAAGCAGGAGTTCCTCGACAAAGCCAAAAATGACACCAAGATCGAGGATAAGATCGCTGCGGCGGCATCGAAGCTGCAGAGCATGCAGTCAAATACTACGCTCGTTGACCAGTGCGCTCAGCTCGCGGAAGAGAAACAAGCGGATAGCGCGCAGAAAGCTGCGTCAACATCGGCGGCTGCGGCGTCTCCAACTGCTTCATCTACGTCGATGGGTGAGCGTGTGGCTGCTGGGAAGGTTTGGATGGGGCTTGCTGCCGCCGTGGCGCTGGGGGCCGTGTCTATCTTGTAGTGTCGCAGTTGGTGACCATCGTGGAAAGCGTGTGGATGAGCATGGTGAACGAGAGAGAGGGGCCCGTGTAGAGCAGCTGAGATAGGTGGCGATAAGGTTCACTTAACAGAATGTTGTGATTTAACTAAACAGCAAAAATCGAAATGAATCTATATGAGCATGATACTTGACTTCAAGGGAGGAAATCTATCAGGTCGCGTTCTAGTGCTCCACACACCAATACGTGTAAAAGATGCACCAGAAAGTGATAGAACAAGACCCCAAAAGTTGATTCCGCCCTGGAAGGCCATCATATCAGATGACAAAACCGGTAGAAGTCTGACCAGTCCGCAGTCCAGCGCGCGAACTTCAGATTCAACATCTGGCAGGAACAATGCTGAGAAGCCGTCATCGTCAGCGCCGTTGGTTGCATGTAGCACCCAGCCTATCCCTCCAAAAAGGGTACGCTGGCGGTTGTCCATATGCGAGCACGGGTACAGGTAGCCGTCCAGGCACAACCTACTGCCCTCAAAGACCTGTCCCGTCGCTGAGATATCTTCCACGTGGCTATTCACGTGAGCTTGCACGTTGGAAATCCAGGTCTTTGGGCTTGAGCCTTTGTAATCCCCATTACCCCATCTATCATTGCTGATGACGGCATTCAAACAGCCCCAAGACCATGATGGCGCCTGGTAAGTTTCTTGACGCAACGCGCTCTCCGGGTGCTTCGTACTCCAAAGAAGATCCAGCGCGATAGTCTCCTCCCAGAGGCCGGCAAGGTAGGTGAAGCGCGAGTGGTCTTTGACTCGCTGTGCGATGGCAGAGATGGCAATGAGCCTGTCTTTGCTAAACGTCAAGTTGAGCTCTGTATACTGTCGTACCACCGAGAGCCAAAACTCGCTGAACTCTATTTTTGGCCTCTCATTCTTCTGCGGTGCGACCATGTTGTCAGCAGCCCGGAGCACAGCGTTGAGAAGCCGGCGACCGGGGATGAAGACCTCCGCGTCGTGCCTATGTTGCGGCTTGTTGCCATAGTAATTCAAGCTGGAGGGGGTGCCGATGTTCATGGGTCGCCCAGTAAGTGCAAATGACGGCGTGACTCCGCCTGGCACTACCTCTGATGCATCTCCAGCCCGACAGCTCCAAGCAATACCATTTTTGCAGAAGAGAAGAACCCGCGGCGATAGCATTGTTTCCTGAAATACCCAGCCCCGGGTAAGAAGGACGGAACTTTCGACCAGAGCGGGCATTTGTCTAGCGGCATTCCAAGGTGGCACCACATAAATGTCCTTGGTGGGATCATCAGATCGGACATGGAGAGCTGTCTGGACAAGTGGATCTCGAACGTTAAAGCATCCAAAAAAGGGATCTGATGCGGCTGCCGCGGCAATTGTCACGTACGAATTCTCGTAGACAGTAGCCATCCTTGATGCCTCCTTTCGCCAATCTTCTGCAGAGTCTTGCATGATACACAAAGAGTCGATCCAGAGGTACTCCAGACCAAGTGACCTCGTGATGGTGACTGCATCTCGGAAGTTACTTGGAAGGCTTGCTGTAGTAATGCCTGTTTTGAGGGAGCTCTCACTACTCGACGTCAGCTGCGGGATGCTTGTGGCGCCTCCCCAGCAGTGACTGAGAGTAATATATTCGAGCTCGGCTTCTTGAGCACTTGTGTCGTGTAGATAAATTGTGTCTACGTTGCTGTAGTCCAACCTCATGAGGCGGGTGGGATTGAATCCGTTCCGAGCTGTAGCAGGTCTGCATATGGAGTGCTTCGCCCGACATTCGCTGATCCATTGGCTAGCAAGGACCCCATGTGCATGAGAGGATGTATGCTCCGCGCGTTGAATGCTGGATAGCATCTCGGTATTTTGGATACCTTGGCCATTGAATATTGGTTCTTTCTTGTGAACGAGGTTGTTGAACTCGCTGGAGTTGTAAACCCGTGGCCATATGAAATTGCACGCCGGGGTCAATCGACGGAACCGGATTTCAACTTTGCAGTCACCCTCTGGCGGTACCTCCGACGAAAGATACTCTTTCAAGATGATGCAAAAATGACACCGCAGAGAGATGGATTCCTTGAATTGAGATATCGTCGAGTGAAGCGGGATACGAAGGCTATCGCCATTTATCTCGACACTTGGCCTCGAGGAATCTTGCAAGCAATATTCGGCGTGTAGCCCACAAGCACCCAAGGTTTCCAGTGGTAGTGCTTGGATGTGATTGAAGGCCCACTGGCACTGTTTGCAAAGAGAGTGGAAAGATGTCTTTGAGGTCGCCATGGCATCTTCTGCCAAAACCTGCGCTGGGAGCAAGCTTTCCATTGTCAGAAGGATGAGGAAGTAATGAGATTCGTGGCGTGACCTTAAAAAGAGGATTCAAGTTGTACCCCGCACTTTGTGCGACATGGGGGCCAAAAGAAATCCCTCGGAAATGGCGCGAGAGCGGAGGTCATGGAGATAATAATCTTGCGGAAATAAGTGGAAAATAATTTATCTCGTTGCTCTCGCCAAAGAACAATAGATCAAATAGATCCAGGAGGGGCATTTGCTCTGCCTACTGGAAGACTGCTGGCAACTAGAGACTGATAGTTCAGTAATTCTCAAAGTAAATCAGTCCCTTCTCCAATCAGCCGTCGCGCCGCTACACGGAGTGTCAATACTCGAGAAGTGGTCTGAAAGGAGATGGCTCGTCTTTTACCTTCTTTCCTTTTCTTTTCTTGCAATTAGTCTAGTCTCCTCGAATGATACTTTCATTTTATCTATAACATGTAGCAATGCGCGTGAGAGAAGGGATGCTTTTCGGTATACAGCGTGCTTAGTCTTATTAAATATCTAATCTTGTGCGAGAGAACGGCCACTTTCATCCCGGGTAACTACCAATTGATGATCCGTATCTAAAGCCTTGTCCATGGTAAACCCTTTGATAAGTAGACTCATAAGCCCGGCCACGCCAGCAACGGCAGTGAGCAGTTCAAATACATTCTTAAAGCCTTCTGAGTAAGATTCAACATATCGCTGATACTCACTCGACGACTCGGGCATCGTGTTAAGCACCGTCACAAAGCCCTCAGCGTCATGAGCAACGGCTTCAGGCAGGCCGCGGTCGGCGAGATGGACCTGCAGCATGTTCTGGAAGACGGCACCGCCGATGGCGACGCCGATGCTCATGCCAAAGGTGCGGAAGAAGGTGTACATGGCGGCGGCGTAGGCCACGTTGCGCGTCTCGGCCATGGCCTGGATGGCAAAGTTCAGCGACATGAGGATCAGGCCGTGGCCGATGCCGACGAGGATGAAGATCAGCACCCAGCCATAGGTCGGGATGTCGGGGTCCAGCAAGATCAGCGTGCCCGTGCCGGCGCACGTTACCGCCCAGCCTGACCACACGGCCCAGCGGTACCGCCCCCATCGTGTCATCAGACGGCCGACGATGACACTGACGGGGAGCAGAGCACCTATCAGCGGCATGAGCGCCACTCCAGTCAGGATCGCACCAAAGCCCTTGACTGATTCGAGATACAGGGGGATGTAGTAGAGCTCGCAGAACATCTGGGAATATTATTGGCCAGCGTGTTTGATAGCCTGGAAAGGTGACTCACCAGAAGGCCCTGGAGAACTGCTCCAGTATAGGCCATGGCAGCAGAGCGGCCCTTCAATAGCTCCAACCTCAGAAACGGAGCGGATGTTCCGTAGGCTTCCCAAACGATGGTGCACCCAGCTCCAACGACGCCGACGATGATGGGTAGAAGCGTGCGCCAGCTCGACCATGCATACTGCGTGCCGCCCCAGGACACGCCGATCAAAAAGCTACAAGAGGATCCTATGAACAGAACGCCTCCAAGCCAGTCCATGTTTAGCAATCGATGCTTTAGAGATAGACGCTCGGCGCGTAGGCGCATTACGAGGGGAACGGTTAAGAAACCGATGGCGCAGAAAGGGAAGTTGATGTAGAAGATCCAGCGCCACGTCGAACGGTCGACGAAGACACCGCCGAGAAGTGGACCGAGAATGGTGCCCAGTGCCCATGAGAGCTGATTGATGCCGACGTATGTTGGGCGTTGACGCAAGGGGACGATGTCGGTGACGATGACGAGGCCGAGAGAGAGCAAGCCGCTGCCGCCAATGCCCTGGATCGAGCGGCCGGCGAGCATCTCCCTGAAGTTGTTTGCAAGGCAGCAGATGAGCGTGCCCACGGTGAAGAAAGCCAGGGACAGGAGGTATATGTTGCGGCGACCGAACACATCGGATAGGGCAACGACGAATGGTTGGAAGACGGCTTCGGTCAAGAGATATGATGTTCCCGTCCAGAATGTATCGACGGCAGTTCCATTCAGTGCGCGAGCAAGAGACTACAAAAAGGGTTTCAGTAATTTGGATCAAGTGGAATGGGAGGCATACTCACGGGAAGCGCTGTTACAAGGATAGTAGCATCAATAGACACCATTAATGATACAAAGGCCAGGACTATTATTATCATCCACTCTGCTCTGCCAGCTTTCCAGTCATCGCCTGAAGGTGCGACATTGCTCTCGTGTGTGGGAGTGGTGGCAGTAGAGGGATCCGGATCAGCCTTCGGCTCAGACGACATGGCGAAATGTGCGAAAATGCGGGAGTGACTGAGGTGGCAGAGGAGTCGAAGTTTGGGGCGAAATTAGAGGGAGGGCATTGCGGCACGGTCGGATCATCGCCAGGCTGCAGTATAAAAGACGGGATTGCCGACCGCCGCTCCCACAACACCCACACATCCAAAATTGTCAGCCATGGAGCGTCTTTGCCCTGGAATTGAGCTCTATCAGCCCATTGTCACAACCGTCAACCCCCAGGAAAATCCTGATGGATCCCAGGCGCAACCCCAACTCATCATCCTGGCCACATGGATGGCTGCAAAGCCCGAGCACACTGCCAAGTACGTCTCCGGATACCAGGCAATCTACCCAACTGCTCGGATCCTGGTCGTCCGCAGCACCATCAAGGACATGTTGTTCCGCACGTACCCCAAGCGGCGCAGCCGGCTGCAGTCGGCCATCGAGGCCATGGCCACCCCGGCCGAGTCCTCGACTTCGACGGAACCCCCACGGATCCTCCTGCACGTCTTTTCCAACGGCGGAGCCTCGCAGACGCGGGTGCTGCTGCGCGCCCACCTGGACCTGACGGCCAAGGCACTCCCGCTGCACGCCACTGTTCTAGACTCCTGCCCCGGACGAGGCTCCGTCCGGCGCTCGTACGCGGCGCTGGCCTCGTCGCTGCCCGCCCACTTGCGCTGGCTGCTGTCGCCGGCCATCGTGGTGGTGCTGGGCCTCTACTGGCTGTGTTTCCGCCCGTGGGGCGTCGCGGATCCCATCGAGCGGCTGCGCGTCGCCCTCAACTCGCCCGAGCTGGTGCGCGAGACGCATCGTTGCTACGTCTATAGCGACGCTGACCCCATGGTTGCCTGGCAGGATGTCGAGGCCCATGCCCGCGACGCCGAGGCTGCAGGATTCAGCACGCGCAGGGAGAAGTTTGCCGGGACGGGCCACTGCGCCCATGCCAAGGGCGAGGGCGCCGCCCGCTACTGGCATGTCGTGCAGGAGACGTGGGCGGGCGAGACGGGCGGCTTGGCTCGCATGCAGGTCAGTTGAGATTGACAACACGATGGTGCGGCTGATGAGAGATGACGGCGCCGGGAGAGCGGGCGGGAGGGACTGCGGGAGGCTGCCGACAATTCGCGAACATGGGGTGCGCGGAGAAAGGTCCGAAAAGAGGAAGTGACGCGATTAGGCAGCTGAATACGATAAAGTTCAACCAGGAATCCGCTACACGAAGCAGCAGAATTAAGTGCTTACTGGACGTTCGGTCACCGACGCTTAGCGAACGTCCACCAACACGCCAGAAAAACATCTTATCACGACTGCCATGCATTCATACAGACGCAGGTGCATTGCATTTCCACCAACAAAGCCACCCGGATGAACGCTTCCACTCCCCATCAGTTTAATTTATTTGCCGGCTGCGATACCACCTGTACGGTACGTACCCACCTTTCCTGCAAACAGCAATTGGTCTTCCAGCCCTAGCTGCCTTTCAGTATCTACAGGCTCTTTCGGAACCGCAGCATTACCGCTTCGGCGGGCTTGGTGTTGAGCGCGATTTTGACCTTCATCCGGTCCTCCGCCTTCCTCCCCACCAGCTCGAACTGCTCGAATGTCTGACAGAGCCGGCACACTGTATACTCCATCATCGTCCACGCGAAGTTGCGCCCCAGGCATATGCGCGGCCCGTGGTTGAACGGCAGGAACTCCCACAGTGCCGGCGTCCAGCTGTTCCAGCGGTCCGGATCAAATTCGTCAGCCGTTGGCCCGACAATGTCGGGGCGGCACTGGATCCCCGAATATGACATGACTGAGGACTTGTCGGAATTAATTCAGACATAGTATCCAGGGGCTACTTACTGACGTGGGTCCCTTGAAGGACCGCGACAGGCTCTTGCCCATCCTTTCCTCCGCCACGTGGGAGAGAAGTGTCCGCTTTAGCGGTGCGGATATTAAATCCGACTGCAAGATGTCATGACGTCGATTAGCGGAATCCTTTCGATATTAGATGATGCGGCTTACGCGGCGTATGCAGTCTAAGCGCCTCCTTGATAACGTTTTGCAGCAGAGTTACCGACTTCAACTGCTTTGGCGTTGGAAGGCTATCGAAACCAATACTGCGCCGAATCAGCATCACTCAGCGCCACTTCGACCAGAACCGAAACAGGGATAACTGACGTCTGGTGGATCTCTTGACGCAGGCGTTGCATTATCTCGGGATGTCGGGCCAGGTCGTACATGATCCAGACGAGAACTATGGCGCCGGGGTCCTGGTAACGGTACGTATGGTCAGCAAATCCTTGCAACGCTAATCGTTCGACAGCCAGGCTGCCACACTTACCTTTCCTCCGATAAGAATGGCGAGCATTTGGTCTTTCACGCGCTGCAGCGACACAGTAAGCAACTGTCTCCACTTTCTTGACCTTCTCGACGGCCACTTACGCTTTTGTCCGTCCCTTGAGCCAGAAGAGATACCAGCATGGTCGAACGGGCCCGCATGCCCTCCTCACTTTGGAAGTCCTCTCGACCGACAGCCCTGTTAATGACCACATCGAGATAGTCATCTAGAACCTTGGAGGCTGCGGCATTTCCGGGCAGCAGCGCGCCCAGTCGCCTTCGAAAGGCTTGTCAACGTTTTTCCTATCGTTTCCGCTTTGGAGAATGCAGCTTACCCAAGCAGACTCTTTCGGGTATTCCACTCGTACATCTCCTCAACCGCGTCCCTCAGGGGCTGCTCGGCTGTCAACTGCGTGCCAGCTGATTCCCCGAAGAACACATCCGAGACCAGGTCCAGGACGAACCTGTCCATGTCCTCGAGGCAGTCGTGCACGCAGTCATCGGAGAGTTTGTCCAGAAGGATTTTGACGTGCGTCTCGGTCACGTCAAGATCCGACGGCCTGGACTTGGCCGTCTGTTGCTGCAGTCAGAATCCTTTCTGGAGTGCAGCCGCTTCCACTCACATAGTTTCGCAAGTAATCTTTGTTCGAATGCCAGAGAGCTCCATCAGCTGCTTCTCCGTTAGTATAGTGAGTACTGATTCTTGGGGAACTCATACTTGCAAACACCGAGTCTTTCATGAGGTCATGCCAAATGTGGTGGAAATCTTCACCTTTTCCGAATTGAGAGAACTGTGGACAGAGTCAGTCGTGATCATCCTAAATCCATGTATGGGAGCAACCTTGGTCGAGAGGACGGCTTTGGTATTTTCAGTATCGGCTGTCAGGATGATCTGCGCACTGAGCAGATCCATGGATATGGTGCGTCCAGGAATGTCGAGCAGCTCTCGCGTCCACTCGGAAAACTCATGGCGCGTGATTTTGCGAAGTGCCGTGATTAGAAGATCAACACCTGTGCAGCGTCAGCTCTGAACTAGGTTAATTCTACATGCGGGCGGCATTTGTTACCAAAGGGAAGGCTATGGGGAGGCGAAGGGGCAGCAACGCCCAGCGCACGAACTTTTCGTTTGGTTCTTACCGACTTCAGGAGCCGGAAAAGAACAAACAGGACAATCGTCACGCCGTAGGTGAGCGTTCGATAGTCAAGTTTGCGGATAAAGCCATCCATTGAGAAGTTGGTAAAGAGCATTTTCGCTTGTTGAGATTGCTTGATGAGAGAATACTTGAGGAAGAAGGCAGAACAAAGATGGAGGAATGTCGAGATGATGTGTTCCCTGGAGGGTGACTTCGCGGAAAGCCGCTCGTGTCCGGAGTGCTTCGGCAACGACTCGTGGCTCCTCTGCAGGAACCAAAAATACAACCCGTGCCGCATTGGCACGATGTGAAATACTTGTGGGGCAACGAGGAGGCGCAACTCCGCCAACGCGTTACTACCTCATTCAGCCCTCATGCCCGTGGCCAAGTCGCCACACTTAGCCGGGGACTTGATCCTGATAAGCCCCCACGTAGCTGACTGCCTGTGAGGATCTCCATCGCCTGAAATGGCGGGCTCAGGTCCAGGAATCGACAGACGTATGCATTTGTCTGAGGTCCAGAGCGGAGGAAATCTCTTTGCCGCGTCGTTGCCTAGTGCTTACAATTCAACTCTCTACGTGTTGGTGGTCACGCAATCTGTGTTTCGAGTGGGTTGAATTGTCCAAAGTGGCGGAATATTGGCGGCCAGGTTTCCCAAAAGGGACGAGCTGTGATATCTCGGTCTGATCTTCGTCCGTCTTGAGCAGATAATCTGAATCGTGTGCATGTCTCTAAAGGATGTGACCGTGATATAAGTACACAGCTAGATTGTTGAGGATTTAGCACTGTCCCATACCCCAATCCGCCTCTGCTCAGTTTTTCTTTGCTACCTCTTCTTACTTCTTTTGAAAATGGTCACGGAGGCTCTCTCATCAGGAGGCATGGCTGATGGGCAAGAACCTGCTTCCTGGAGCGGCACAAACGGTGTCCGTACCCCGTCAAGTGGAAGTGAGTATGCCAACCCTCACGGCCCTCAGCCCATTGCCATTGTGGGCATGGGCATGAGACTCCCGGGCGGCATTCATTCCAGTGACGACTTCTGGAAGCTCTTGGTGGAGAAGGGAGACGGCCGATGCAGAGTGCCGGGAAACCGGTACAACATCGATGCTTTCCAGAGCTCGAAAGGCACTCGGGGAACCGTAAAGTCACAGTACGGCTACTTTTTACAGGATTCCGAGTTCGAGCGGTTCGACGCGGCATTCTTCTCCATGAACCAGACGGAGGTCGAGAAGCTCGACCCCCAACAGCGAATGCTGCTGGAAGTGGTGTGGGAGTGCATGGAGAGCGGCGGCCAGCGCGAATGGCGTGGCCGCAACATCGGTTGTTATGTGGGTGTCTTTGGAGAAGACTGGCTCGACCTATCTGCCAAAGACCCCCAGCACTTGGGCATGTACCGCATCACAGGCTCTGGAGATTTTGCCCTCTCCAACCGTGTGTCTTATGAGTACGACCTGAAGGGCCCAAGGTGAGCACCCGAGCACATCTCTAAATCGAACCTTGCTAACCGCTATCAGTATGACAATCAGGACAGGGTGCTCATCCTCGTTGATCGGCTTGCATGAGGCTTGTCAAGCAATCTACTCCGGGGAGTGCGAGTCTGCCGTAGTTGCCGGTACCAATCTGATCATCACTCCGTCGATGACGATTTCGATGACCGAGCAGGGAGTACTGTCTCCGACGGGCTCTTGCAAGTCGTTCGACGCTCGCGCTGACGGGTACGCCCGTGGAGAAGCGATCAACGCCATATACATCAAGAAGCTGGACGACGCACTGCGAGACGGAGACCCAATCCGGGCGGTGATTCGCGCCACAGCAACCAACTGCGACGGCAAAACGCCCGGAATTGCCAATCCCAGTGCTGAGAGCCATGAAGCCATGATCAGGCGAGCGTACCAGGTGGCTGGAATAACGGACATCTCGAAGACCGGGTTTGTGGAGTGCCACGGTACAGGCACGGCCATCGGTGACCCTCTTGAAGTCACCGCAGTGGGCAACGTGTTCGGCGGGAAAGGCGTCTTGATCGGTTCGGTATGTTCAGTCCTTCTCCTTAGTGTACGTATGCTGAGTCTTCTGTAGGTCAAACCAAATGTCGGTCATTCCGAAGGTGCATCCGGAATCACTAGCTTGATCAAGGCAACTCTAGCCCTCGAGCATGGCATTATCCCCCCAAATATCAACTTTGAGACGCCAAACCCTAAGAGTACGGCCTATATCCTTTGTATAGTGATACTTACTAACGATTCACAGTACCGTGGGCGAAGAGCAAAATTGCCGTTCCGGTTCAGCCTACGACATGGCCGACCGACCGCCTACCCAGGGCCTCCGTGAATAGCTTTGGGATCGGAGGCGCAAACGCACACGTGAGATAGAAGGCTATATTAAGCAAAGGAATACGCTGACAGTTGATATGCAGGTCATTCTGGAGTCTGCAGAATCCTTCAAGCCGAGAGCAGGCCGAGAAAGCCAGTCAAGCAGTGCCCGCCCACACCTCCTGACCTTCTCCGCGGATCATCCAGACTCGCTTCGTGAATCTGTCACGCAAATCGAAGCTTATTACCAAAAAGACCCTTCTCGACTTGCAGACGTGGCACACACGTTGGGAGCGCGGAGAGATCATTTAGCGTGGCGGGCCTATGCTGTCAGTGAAGAAGGCGGCCCAATCCACGTTTCGCAGTTTGTCAAGACGAAATCCGCGCCGCAGCTCAACTTCGTCTTCACTGGGCAAGGCGCACAATGGGCAGGAATGGGGCAGACACTTTTCAACGACTTCCCGCAATTCCGGGAGGATATTCGAATGATGGATAATGCTTTGCAGAAAACACGCCACGCTCCGCTGTGGACTCTTGAAGGTAAGTGCTGATGTACACCAACTCAAACTCGACTGCGTAGCTGATTCTCTATCTTAGAGGAGCTTTTCAGACCTGCCAAGCAAGCCCGTGTCGACCGAGCCGAATTTTCCCAGCCCATCTGCACAGCTGTGCAAGTCGGACTGGTAAATCTGCTCAGGTCCTGGGGTATCACACCTGCTGCAGTCGTCGGCCACTCCAGCGGAGAGATTGCCGCAGCGTACGCGGTGAACGCCATCACCTCGGACGCCGCAATCCAGATAGCCTACTACCGAGGTCAGGTCACCAAGCAGCAGCTTTCCCCAGGAGGCATGGCTGCCGTTGGATTGGGCCGCAGTGAGATGACGCCCCTTCTCCGTGAAGGGGTTGTTATTGCTTGTGAAAACAGCCCCAGCAGTGTCACTATCTCGGGTGACGAAGACCAACTGGAGGCTTGCATTGAGGGCATCAAATCAGCCAAGCCCGATACGTTTGTTCGGCGCCTGAAGGTCGACATGGCATACCACTCGCACCATATGCGTGCTGTCGGTAACCTGTACCAGTCTGTCATGGAAGGCCTGGTGAATGATGTCCAGCCTTCAGCTCCCCTCTTCTCCAGCGTCTCGGGCAAGAAGATTGTTGAGTCAGGACACCTAGGACCTTCTTATTGGCGAGCAAACCTTGAGTCTCCGGTCCTTTTCTACACGGCGGTGCAGTCGATGCTGGAAGAATCTGGCAAAGAGGCCGTGTTCCTCGAGGTCGGGCCCCACGCAGCATTGTCCGGACCTCTGAGGTCAATCTTCAAGGCGCACAGGCCGGAAGCTGTGCCTGTGTACATGGCATGCATGGCCAGAGGCGAGAACAACACGCAAACCTTGCTTGATACAGTCGGTCGATTATTCCAACAAGCCGTGCCGGTCCGCTTTGAAGGCATGTCGGCCGGCAACAAGGTGTTGACTGACCTACCAAAGTACCCTTGGCGTCACGATAAGGAGTACTGGTGCGAAAGTCGCGTGGCAAGGCAGTGGCGCCTGCGCCCCTTTGCGCCGCATGAACTCTTGGGTACTAGAACCCTCGAGTCCAACGAGCTCGATCCCACTTGGAGAAACATGATTAGTCTGGACGACATTCCCTGGGCCCGGGACCACAAGATCCGCGAAGATGTCGTCTTCCCCGCGGCCTGCTACATAGCCATGGCCGGGGAAGCCATTCGTCAGACAGCAGATGCGTCAGACTTCTCGATTCGCAGGATGGACATCAAGGTTGCCCTAGTCCTGACGGAGTCGAATCCTGTTGAAGTCATGACGCGTCTCAGCCCTGTGCGCCTCACAACCTCGCTGAACTCAGTCTGGTATGAGTTCTCCGTCGTCTCGTACAATGGTGTGTCCTGGACCAAGCACTGCGAAGGACAGGTCCGAAAGGGCTCGGAGCAGCCGCCGTCGCATGCGGCGGTCCACACGTACCCGCGAGCAGTCTCTTCCGACTCCTGGTACTACGCGATGCGGCGGGTTGGCCTGAACTACGGCCGAGAGTTCCAGGGCCTCAGCAACATCTCGGCCAACCCGGGAAAGAAGGAGGCGTCGGCAAGTGTTTCTGACCGCTCCGATGGAGAGGCCAACTACCAGCTGCATCCCACCACCATCGACTTTTGTCTTCAGCTTTTCACTGCTGCCATGACTGATGGCATTGGGAGGCACCTGACCAAGCTCTGCGTCCCTACTAGCATTGAGGAGCTTTACGTGTCCAGGGGCAGCCCTGACATGCGCGTTGCCGTCTCCGTCTCGGGCTCTGGCAACGGGGCTATCAGCGGCAACGGCGTGATCGTGGCAGGCACGCAGCCGGTCATGCGGTTGACAGGTGGCCGTTTCTCGCCGCTGGAAGACGAAGTAGCAGATGGTAGCAGCGACACGGTGGCCGGCGCTGAGATGCATTGGAAGCCCAGCATCGACTTCATTGCGGCGGAGGAACTTATTCGCCCGCTTCGCGGGTTCCGAGAGGATACTTTGAAGCTCGAGAGGTTTTCGCTGCTCTGCCTTCTCGAGGTTTGCGATCGGATCTCGTCCCTTGATGCCAGCAGTGCGCACTTGAAGAAATACAAGTCGTGGATCTCGACCCAGAAACTTCGGGCTGAGCGCGGACAGTACGAGCTGGTCGAAGACGCCGTGACGCTGGCTTCTATGAACCGCGCAGAGCGGCTGCGCCTCCTGAAGGCAGCCAAGCAAGAAGTGGAAGACTCGGCCGGGTCCTTGGTCGGCAGAGTCGTTGAAAAGATTGTCGAGCATGCAGAGGCCATCTTCGGCGACAACAAAGAAGCGCTCGAGGTGCTGATGCAGGACGGCGGCCTCGAAGATATCTACAGATTCATGCAGGACATATGGGATTGCCAAGAGTACTTCGAGCTCTTGTCTCACGCGAACCCAACCATGCGGGTGCTCGAGATTGGAGCTGGCACGGGTGGAACCACCAGCACCGTCCTCAGGGACCTCACGCAGTCCGGCGAGCGGAAGTACTCCCAATACGACTACACTGACATATCCTCGGGCTTCTTTGCGACGGCGTCCGAGAAGTTCCAGGATTACGAGAACATCGAGTACAAAGTACTCGACATCACCAAGGATCCGCTGGCCCAGGGCTTCGAGGCTGCCTCGTACGATTTGGTCATCGCCGCCAATGTAGGTTTACCAGCACTATCTCAGTACTCATTCTGACTCCTCCCAGGTTCTTCATGCGACGCCAAACATCAGCGAGACACTCTGCAACGTCAGGAAGCTTCTGAAGAACGGTGGCCGGCTTTTCCTCCAAGAGCTCTCGCCAGGTAAGTCCAACGCACAGATGCATCCAAACGACTGTTGTGCTGATGTTGAGCAGTATGGAGGGTTTTCAACTTGATCATGGTAAGACAGCACAACCCCGTCCAAGCCCCTCTCATCACTGACAAAACATCAGGGCCTCCTTCCAGGATGGTGGCTCGGTGAAGCCGACGGCCGCCCGCAAGAGCCCTACATGGCACCCTCCCGCTGGGACGCCGAACTGCGTAACGCGGGCTTCGCGGGCGCTCAGTCGGTCGTCTACGACGACGAGCAGCCCTACCAAATCAACTTCACGCTCGTCACCACGAGCACCGCCTCGCCGACGCCTCCCTCGCGCAGCCGCCAAGTGACGCTGCTGCACGCGCCCGGCCAAGACGCCGCCGTCGAGCGCCTCAGCGCCTCTCTCCTCGCCGCCGGCATCACCGCCGTGCCCCAGACCCTCGCTGACGCCCCGCATGCCGACGGCCGGGACGTCCTCGCCATCCTCGACCTGGCCGCGCCCTTCTTCGCCGACATCGCCGCCCCCGCCCTCGCCGCCTTCCAGGCCTACCTGGCCGCGCTCGGCACCGCGGCAGGCAGCCCCGGAGTCCTGTGGGTGACGCGCCCCGCGCAGGCCGGCTGCCGCGACGCACGCTATGGCCAGAGCATCGGCGTCGCGCGCACTGTGCGGTCGGAGCTGTCGCTGGCGTTCGGCACGCTCGAGGTCGCTGCGGACGGCGTTAACGACGAAGATGGCGCCATCGTCCGCGTCTTCGAGCACTTTGCCGCCGCCAGGAGGGCCGCCGCCGCCGCCGCCGACGCCGTGCTTGACCCGGACTACGAATACGCCTTCTTCGGCGGCCGCGTCCACGTGCCGCGGTTCCGCTGGGTCGGCGTGGCGGATCGGCTGTGCGCGGCCGTGCAGGATGCGCCGAAGAAGCTGGACATCGGCCGCATGGGCCAGCTGCGGACGCTGCAGTGGGTTGAGGACAAGCGGGAGGAGAGCCTGGGGGAGGACGAGGTTGAGGTTGAGCCGAGGGCGGTGGGCATGAATTTCAAGGTATGGAGCACTGAACAGTCGTGAGGAGAGCTGAACTGACTCTGACAGGACGTGCTCGTGGCCATGGGCATCGTCAAAGGAACCAAGCCCGGACTCGGCCTCGAGGGGACCGGAGTCATCCGGAAGGTGGGCTCCGGTGTCGAAGACCTCAAGGTCGGCGACAGGGTGCTGGTGTTCGACCATGGCTGCTTCGCCACGCGCCTGGTCATCTCGGCCAACCTGTGCGCTAAGATGCCGGATAGTCTGAGTTTTGAGGATGGTGCCACTATGCCTTGCGTCTACAGCACCGCCATCTACGCGTTGATGACACTTGGACACCTTGAGAAAGGACAGACCGTCTTGATCCACTCCGCATGCGGAGGTGTGGGACTCGCCGCTATTCAGCTGTGCCGGATGATCGGTGCTGAGGTAAGATATATCCTTGATCAGCTGCCTGCACGAGGCTGATAACATGTAGATTTTTGTGACCGTCGGCAACGAGGAAAAGGCAAGGTATCTGAGGGAGACGTTTGGCATTTCTCAAGACCGCATCTTCAACTCAAGAGATGCTTCCTTCCTCGGAGGTGTGCTCGCCGCCACGGGTGGACGCGGTGTCGATCTTGTGTTGAACTCTCTCTCCGGAGAGCTCCTGCATGCCTCCTGGAAATGCGTTGCCGAGTTCGGAAAGATGCTGGAGATTGGAAAACGAGACTTCGTGGGCCACGGCATGCTGAACATGGATCTCTTCGAGGCCAATCGAACTTTCGTCGGAATCGATCTGGCTCAGCTTGCTGTCGAGAGACCACAAGTGTGCAGAAGGTAAGGCATCGGAGAAAATGGCCGATTGTGACAATGAGCTGACCGTAATACAGGCTGCTCGATCAGTGCATGGACTTTTACCGCCGCGGTTCGATTCAACCTATCAGGCCGGTCAGGACTTTTGCAGCCTCGGAGATTATCGAGACATTCCGCTACATGCAAAAAGGGCAGCATATTGGTAAGCTTGTAGTAACAATGCCTGAGCAACAAACAGACGTCGAAACCGTGCCTACTCGGTCCGCATTCAAACTCCGTTCAGACGCAAGTTACCTCCTTTGCGGAGGCCTGGGCGGTTTGGGTCGGGCCGTGTCCAACTGGATGGTGGAAAATGGAGCCAGGCATATCATCTACCTGTCGCGGACGGCAGGCGACACAGCTGAAGATAAGGCTTTCTTCAGTGAGCTTCACGCCCAAGGCTGCCGCATTCAGGCCATTCGAGGCAGCGTAGCTCATCTGAAAGATGTCGAGCGTGCTGTTCGGGAAGCTGGAAAGCCAATCGCAGGAGTCATGCACATGTCTATGGTTTTGACGGTAAGTCCACAAGGCGAAACTGATAGCATCCAGCTGACGGGCATACGCAGGACCGCGCCCTCTTACAGTTCACCCATGAAGAGTGGAATGCTGCTATTGAGCCAAAGGTTCGAGGAGCAGAAAATTTGCACCACGCCCTTTCCGAGGCGACACTGGACTTCTTCATCGTCTTCAGTTCCATATCCTGCATTGTGGGACAGATCGGTCAGGCAAACTATGCAGCTGCCAACGCTTTCCTCTCCGCATTCACGCAATACCGCCACTTGCTCGGACTTCCAGCCAGCGTTCTCAACGTCGGAGTGATGGAGGACGTAGGCTATGTCAGTCAGAACGCCGGAGTCCTTGATCAGCTGAAGGCACTGTGCAACCACACCTTGCAAGAACAGGATCTGCTCGATGCGCTGGAATACCAGATGCAGCGGCAAATGTCCCCAGCCCCATCTCCCAAGGGCTTCATGAGCCCTGCAGAGCTGGTTATCGGCCTTCGCTCTACCCGCCCGCTCACGGAGCCGAACAACCGAGCCATCTGGAAGCGAGATGTTCGCATGGCACAGTACCGCAACACGGAGACGGCGACTCAAGGCTCGACCACGGCGGGTGGCGCAGACCTGAAGAGGTTTCTTGCTGAAGTGGCCACCATGCCGGCCATGCTCGACGTGCCCGCAAATGTGGACATACTCGCTCAGGAAATCGGCACCCGCATCTACAGTCTGATGTTGAAGCCAGAAGAAGAGTTGGACGTCGACTTGTCTTTGACTGCGCTTGGAATCGATTCGTTGGTGGCCATAGAGATCAAAAACTGGTGGCGCCAGAGCCTGGGATTGGAAATCAGCGTTCTGGAGATTTCAAACTCGGGCTCGATCCGTCAACTGGCAAAGACTGCTGCTGAAGGCTTGAAGAACAAATTCCGGCCCGCTGTCCAGAGCGATGGGGACACGTATCTTCTTATGAAAGCACCTTGAGTTTATAGATAGGTTTCAGTATTAGTAAGGGTTCTTAGAGGGAAGAGGACAGTAGACAATTTCGCCGACAGACGCACAATATTTTCATTGGATTCAATTCAGCACAAGGCAGAATTATATTTTATCAATAGTTGAATGAGCGCTGGGACCTTCTCTCGACGGGCCCCTTACTACCAAGGCCGGGCAGACTTTTCCACGACGAAAATGAGGATACCTCTTTCTCGACCTCCACACAGCAACAGAGACGCCTCCAATCGTCAAAGGAGGCTCACCCGGCTTTCCCCTACGGCGTCAAGTTGATGATGCCTATAGGAGCTATTTGTCTTATGTACGCGCCTCTCATCAATCTCCAAAGGAATTATGTCTTCATCTTCTGTTCCAATGCCCTCAACCGCAACTTCATCATCCTCCTTCTCATCTTCCCTGTTCACCAAGCTTCTCCCCTCCTCACTCTCCATGGCGATGACAACCTCTAACCCGGGCCCTACCGCCCTCAACCTGGGATGTTCCAAATCCCCCACATCCAGCACCGCCAACATCTCCCCCCTCCCCGTCGTCGGCACAGCCTCGAGACATCTCCTCCACGACCCGACGCCCAGCTCCTCGTGCGCCAGCCGCTGCAGCTGGAGCGTTTCGTTGCTCGCCCACTCCAGGCGGGCGTACGGGTCCAAGTTGCGGCGCCGCTGGAAGTAGCTGACGACCGGCTCGAGGACGTAGGAAAGGACGATGATGGCGCTGCCGATGGCGAGCGTCAGCGACAGGCCGAGGATGGAAAAGTGGAGGTAGGCGCGGCTGAAAACTTTCTTCGGGGAGGGGTCAGCCGTGGAAACTTCGCTTTTGGGAAGCAGAGAGTCGGAGCGCGTGGGCCAACGTACCTGGCTGCGACAGAGCCTGCGCTCTTGCGCGTTGCGCGGGGGCTGGCGGTACCGCAGCACGTCCGGGTCGGACGGCCCGTCCGCGAAGAGCACGGCCATGCTTTGGAGGTTGGACAGGGAGACGTTGTGCTGGTACTCGAGGTCCTGCTGCCACTGGTCCGCGGCGAGCGGGCCCTGGAAGCCGGACTATTTGCAGAAGCGGGACAACAGCGAGGACGCGGACAGGGTGCCTTGGACGGCGGCGATGTCGGCGCTGCTGTCGACGAGGAGCCAGATCCAGCGGTAGATGCGCTTTTGCTGTTCGTCCGGCCAGAGCGCTTCGCCGAGCCGGAAGGAATCGAGACTGCTGGCCATAGGCGCGCATCGGGCGCCGCCGTCGAGGTTGGGGTTGCAGTACTGTTGCTGGGCGATGCAGACGAGGGGAGATGCGGGCTCGTCGGCCATGATGGCGTCGATTGTGGCCCCGCTTCCTTCGCCGGTGTCCGCTCCAAGCTTCGCGATGTGTCGATGGGCGGAGTACAACGGGTCGTCGACTTCCTCGGCAAACAAGATCCAGTTCGGGGAGAGGAAGGTCAGGGTCACATCGGCATCGGGCATCATGAGGGATGGAATAGGTGTCCAGGTTCCCCATGTGGTGTTGATCTGTCCGTTTTGGGTCCTGTATTGATTGCCACTTGATTGCGTGGGTCAGATCGTCCAGACGTTTGGAAGCGGTGCGCCACCTATCCTAAGGAGTAATCACTTTTCTCACCAGATATAAATGATGACTTTTTCCACTCCGAAAATGAAAATTCTGGATAGACATATGTGGGTGCATTTGGCTCAGATGACTGTGCAGTATTCGGACCATAGAAATATCGCGTGTAGTTTGCTTCAGCGCCCTCAACCTGAACCGAATTTTTATACCCTTCTGTGACCAAGGGTGCGCAGGTGGTGACTCGCCGGAACTGCACTCGATCTTTTTCCGGGGCATTGATTCCGAGGTCGAAGTGGCTGTCCAGATAGCCTGTGTCGAGTATGATGTTACCCTCTGCAAGCTTACAAATGCTGGGGTCTTTTTGAAAAGGACATGATGCGTTACGCGTCACCGTGACGGGAAGGCGCCGCTTGACGTACTGCTCACAGCGCGCGCTCGTCTCGTCGGGATAACACTGTTGTGCATAACTTGCATCTGACGATAAAACCTCGGCCTGATAAGGGTAGAGATATCGATAGAGGTCGTTCCTATTCGCGCCATTAGGAACGTCGAGAGATCCGCACAAAGGACTGGAAAGTAAAACATGATTCCTGGGGGCGCCAGCAATTTTGGAACAAAATATATTACCGGCCGCGAAGACTAGTGTGATACAAATCGCTATCACCATTAGAGATAGCAATCGTCGATATGGTCGTGCAGCTGTCTTATCTCTTGCCCAGGCCCATAAAGCCAGAGCAGAAATACAGAGTCAGTATGTTCCGTTCGCCGCGTTTCTGAGAATTGCCTGACGTTGATGATGAAGGGCGTCTTTGGACGCCTTGGAGGAAAAGTAATGGTGCATTCCATAGCAAGCGATCCTCCAGAATTGGGTCCCAACCACGCTTATGAAGAGGGTAGCTTTCACTCATGGAAACAGTAAAGCGACACTTGACGAATAGTTTAACAATCATATATTAAGATCTCAGCTAATTTACAGATATCGTCGAAAGGACTACACCTTGGCAACAGGATTTGTTTTCTGGCGAAGAATCCGGAAGCGACGCTCAGCAAAGCGTGGTCCTCCTTGCTGCACCCGCTGTCTGATCCCTGGACTATGTCGATTGCGAGCAAGCACAAAGCGAGCTTCGTGACGTAGGTGTGGTTGCTGTTTTAGGTACCGTCAGCACAGAAGGAATCGGCCCAAAATAGTAGGGATGCGCGCTTACACATCTTGTAAAAAGCTATCCGAGGAAATGGTATTGGATGACGTGATAACTTCCCTGAGAGATTCCCTGCGCAGAGTCTTGCTCTGCTCGCAGCCTGCAGATAAGCAGCTATCCAGAGACAGGCTTAGGCTTCCCAGATGCAGCAGTGCCTCGTGGTAGTGGTTGAACATCTGCCGCCTGATCCGCACACCTGCCTCATCGGGCGCGGAAGAGATAACGGGGCCTGTGTCGGTTGACGCATACCACTCCTTCAGCGCCGCTGACAGTGCCAACGTTGCACCAGAACTGTCCATGGTTGCGTTTCCCTTCAAGCTCCCGCGCAGCTGCAGGATATTTGAGCAAATCCTGGCGTATTTGGACCGGATCTCCAGCCAGTCTGCTGATGGTATGGGCGTAGTAGTTTCTGTCGCCCTACATTTTGGAATGATGGCTGTCGGAAGGAAATCATCGCCGAGAATCTGTTCCAGTTGCGTATCAGAGCCATGGCCTCTGCAAATGTCCGGTCCCAGAGCGCGCTTTACTTACGGAGAAGGTTTGTACTCTCAGGGCGAAGGATTTCTCGATACAGTAAAGCATCCACATAGTGCGCTGGACTTCAACCACTTCCTCATCGCCGCCACACCGGTTGAGAATGATTGGCTCCAGATGCAATCCCAGAGCCGCCGCCGTTGAAGCGCTGTTGACGAGCAAATTGTACATGATCCTCGATCCCGTCTTCTCGACCAAGCAGAGCTGAATGTGTCAGTGAACTTTGGTCTTGCGGAGCGAGAGATGCTTCACGTACTGCAGCGACGAGGGCCTGGCTCTGAATCAGTCACGCTCCTAGTCTTGCAAGTCGAATCAACCCACCAGAAACTTTCGGATTGTGTCCTTCTGAGCACACAGTGCTTTGGATGCGTCACAAGCGAGATCTATCAAAGTTGTTCTGGTACGGTCTTCGATGTTGTGATCCAACAAGGCACCCCAAGCAAGCGTAGTGATCAACAGTGATATGTCTTCGACGCGAATGGATGGTTTCGAGGATGAATTCAAGGTCGCCTGTATGTTTCTGACGAAAGCCCCCTTGAGGAAGGTATTCAAGCTGCCCAAGAGTGAGTCCTTATAGTCACAGAATCTGCCCTGGCCAACAACTTACCCTCCTGGCTCGCAGAAAGTTGCTGCAAAGCGTCAGTTAAGGCATATCCTTTAGTCAAACATTTAGTCAAACAAAAGGCTGACCTACTTTGTATCAAGCGCTCGGTTGGAAGTGATGTCAGGTCCAAGCTATGGTAATCACGACTGGGTCCGTCGTCCGACAAGAGCGAAGAGACACAAAGCTCATTTTCAGGCGAAAGTAGGTTCTCGACCCTCTCCACGACCACCCTTTGTCTGCGACTTCTGACGTGTGCTTGCTGAAGCGATATGGTAGCAGCTGGCCTTTTCGGACCCGTGTAAACTTCGCCATCCTGGTAATGTGAGCTTTCCTGCCCCTACCTGTATGCAGTAACGTACGTACCTCGTTCTCCTCAGCGACAATCCGCGCGAGGAGGGGCCCGAAGATGGACTGGGATGAACTACTTCCTCTCCTACTTTCCGACGAGCTCGGCGTCCATGCCGCCCAGTCTTGTATCAGATTGTTCTGGTGTGCATTCCAAATAAGGGTTTCCAAGCCTGGAAAATGGTTTTCGTAGTTGCCGAATACCGTTTCGTCTCCCATAACCGTTCCGGCTGCACTGTCTGCTCCTACTGTCAGCGTTCTCTTTCTGTCAGAGAGAGAGAGAGATCTAGTAGAAAGGGATCCATGGCTACCTTGGACATCGTTCTGAGTGGGTGTGGGTGTCGGCCCGTAAGGAAATTCAAAGTCCTCAAATGGGGCTGTGTTGTCTGATGACGATAATTGCTCGAGAAGCTTGTCAAGGACCGGTGTGCTCGCGGATTCGAACGAGTACGGTGTGATGTGACCGACGGGAATCTGGGACGGAGCGTTCCGGCTCACATCTTGACCAACCGCATGCGACTCGGGCAAAAGCTGCATGTTGGCGCCGGAGACATCCAGCCGTGGCGCACCTCGTACGGGAAGATATTCGCAGATGGATCCATTCCGCTGTTCCTGGTGTCAGAGATGCCCTTACGAATGCTTTTGGTAGGATTGACAAACGTCACAGTAGCTACATGGTCGTCCTCCGTCACCTTTGGGGATACATTAGCAGACGTCGACAAAGTCGTGGCAGGTATACTTACATCGGACCTTTTTCTGTCGGCAACCTTCGCAAGCCCCTCTCCGTCGAGTGAGCTTGGAACGTCCTGGTTTCATTCCGGTCAAATCCTGAGGCGCCTTGGGCAGGGGGGTGAGCAGGGCCGAAGACACGGACTGAACAGTCACTGAGTGCAGCCACAAAGTATTATCAGATGGCCTATACGAGCCAGTTGTTTCAGCTCGAGTGACACAATCAGGCCACTATCCGCGAGACTGTGGCGTTGAGGTAAGCACGGGAGAATTCCCCAGAGCATCCGCTGCCGTGTCGCGGATCAGCGGATGGAAAACATTCTTGGGTAGAACTCCAACTCGTTTAGGAAGAAGACCCCCACTATAAGCTTACAGCAGGAGCTTCAAGCTGCCCCAGGTTTCAACAATGCGTTTTTTCCCAGTAGCGTACTCAGCCATTGGAGGGGCCATGATTCCGTCTTGGCTGGTGCACGGCGTCAGCTTCCGTAAGATAAGCTCGTCAGTGGGATTCCGGTCGAGATGGCTCCTTGATCCCCAACAGCGTCGACCTGTGTGCATCATCGATGCCAAGATGTACTGTGTAATGCTTCAGGAACTGTGCCGGTAGGATTCAAAGGATTCGGGGCCTGGCGCGCAGATAGCCGCAAGTGACGAGCGCGGTGGAGCAAGATGAATCGTATAAATAATGCAGTCAAGGGTATTTGAACCAATAGAGGTGACTAAAAGATTAGCCAGACGCACCTGATAAGAGGGCTCTGGATATGGGCTGATCAAGAATCGCCAAATGGTTCACTGACGCAATGCGGGTGCGTTGTGCGGATGCTGATCACCCTGTAAGCCGAAGGATCCTTTGCAGGGCCCCGGACAATACTCCGCGGGCATTGTTAGCGTCAACCGTTCTGGTTTCGCTCCATGCGATACGTCTCCTCCGGAAAGGCGTCTTATCTCCGTGAGAATTGTCTTGGTGTTGTGGTCGGGTAACGGCGATTCCTCCGATCTGCATTTCTCGCCACTGTCTTACGGTCGGGTGGGGGATGGGCCCGCTGCGGCCCGGGACGGACGGACGGGCGGATGGCGCTTCGCGGCGTTATTCCGTGGGACCGAAAGCTTGGTTGAAAGCTTGCCTGCGGCCCGCTCCGTTCAGCTTCTTGTTTTCAACCGCTGGCCGTGGCACCGACTGACTAGAAAACGATGCTGAGCGTTGGCAGAAAAGCTTTTTCCTTCAGGATCCGCAGCACATGACGACAGGGCAGCGGCGCTGCTGGCCGCTGCCGCGTTGCGACCCACCCGCCCCTGGCCCATTTTCCTATCCTGTCGTTTTGCCGGCCATCACGTGGGCGTCGGTTCTGCGGTACCGCGGTACGGATCCCCGAAGACGTGCAGGGCACCAGACTCGGCTCCAGATCATTGCCGGTTTTCGTATCGCCCTCAGCGGCGTGGAAGTGCAAGGGCTATCCGTTGGGATACGCTAAACGCCACCTAGGAAGAAAGCACGGCGATCATGCCATCCGCCTCCGCCCTCAGCAGCCCCGCCATCAACCGACACGCCCATTCATCATCATCTTCCTCTTCCGCAGGCCCCCAACCGCCACTGTCGTCACTCCCGCCATGCCGCCGTTGAAACGTCAGTAACGCGTCAACGAGCGGCAGGATCTTCTTCTGCACCTGCAGCGCGATGATGCGATGAGCCAGCAGCCGCGCACTCTCTCCACAGTCATCATTGTCGACGGCATACGAGCCCAGCCTGACCTGCACGCACTCGTCGGCGACATGGTGGCCCTGAAACGCAGATGCTACTTCCCGACAGTTGGCCAATGCCGCTTGCACTAGGTGCAGCACCAGCATCCGGACGGACACTCCTCCGTGCCGTCTCGGGCACTCCAGATGGCCGCGCGCAACTTCTAGCGCCGTCACGTTTAGCCGCAGCAGTGTGTCGGGCGGTCGAGCCATGCTGTTGTTTCTGCTGCTGCCCGGGACGAAGGCGTGCATCATGGCCGCCAACGCGGCGCTGCAGCTGCAGGCACTAATCTCCGAAACAGGTGGGTGGGCTTCTCCTTCCCCCTGGGGATCGGTGGAGGAGGCTTTGTTGTCGGTGATGTCTTTAGGCAACAGTGGTGTGCTGGCCAGGCCGGCCGAGTCATCAAACCACAGATCCATGCTCGCGTCGATGACGGGCGGCACAAACAGCGGGTCAAGGTCCTCCCCACGATTGTTGCTGTTGGTGTGGAGGCAGCAGTCGGCGCCGGGATCCGCATAGGGGCAGTAGGAGCAGTCCCGTTCCCCGGCGCCGGGGCTCATCAGCACGCCGATGTCGTCGTCGTTATTGTTCTGCGGCGTACAAGACATCGACATGGCCCGCTTCGGCTTCTTCCTTGCCCGACCGAGCGGCTTCGAGACGCTGCGTGTGCAGTCTCTGCCCCGCTTCCGGCATCTGACGCACGCCGACGACTGCGCCTCGAAAATGCACTTGACTTTTGCCTGGTGGCAGTCATTGCACGCGGCCCGAAGTATCGTGCTCGGTGGTCGGTCTGGGCTTGGGGAACTGGGCAAGTGGTGGCCCCCGGTGTTCGGCCAGGTGAGAGAAGTGTTGTCCGACCTGGAGCTGGAGCTGGAGCTGGAGCTTGAGGATGCCATGATGTCGCTCGAAAGGATGAAATGCTGACAATGGTATTGTGGGATCCTATCGAACTATCAATCATCCGCGCATTTCCACCATAGACCTCGGTTCCGACTCACTCGGAATTCACCTGCTGCGCCGGGGTGCAGGTTACCGAGACTCACGGATAATGCAGTGTTCGGAAGAAGTTGCTTCGTACCAGCTGTCAGCCTGCCCTTCCCTTTGCAGAGACAATCTGGAGGAGAAGAAATCAATTGCGTCTACCTGCACCGCCCGCCAACCCTCCACTTCCTTCCTCATGGCCCTCGCAATTTCAGTCCGCTCAAGCAAAGCCGCGACGCGGCATAGCAACACGCGCCAGCCAAAAGCATGACGCCGGCAAAGATCTTCATCTGGTTGTAGTCGTTGCCGTGCACCAGCACCGATCCAATCGGCAAGCCGGCCAGCGCGCCCAAGCCGCCGGCCGCGAAGACGGTCCCGGCACGCACGCCCAGCTCGTGCGGCTCCGACACGAGCGAGATCAGCATGGGCATGGCGGCGATGACGGCGTTCGCCGACCATCCGAACAGCACGGCGAATGCGACCAGCGGCGGGGTACCGGCGGCCGGGATCCACAGCGCGAGCGTGAAGACGCCAGTGAGCACGCACGAGACGGTCGTGATGTCGAAGAAGCCCGTCTTGTGCCCGACGACACCGGGCATCACGCGCCCCACAAAGGCGCCGGCGTTGTACATGCTGACCAGGTACCGCGCCAGCCCCGTGTCGAGCCCCTTGGCCACGGCGTTCTGCGTCATGTACGTGATGGGCAGCAGCACGCCCATGGTGAAGAAGAAGAAGGCGGCGACGAGGAACACAAACGGCCCCGAGCCCATGCGCCGCACAATGGTCCGGTTGATGCTGCGCTTGACCGGCTTCGACGGCAGCCGCACCGTGACGACGGCGACGACCATCAGCGCGAGGATGATGAAGGCGCACGTCCGCATCGCCCAGCCAAAGTTGACGCCGTCGATGATGCGGTTCACGACAATGGGGTAGATGATGCCGCCGATGGGCGCGCCCGTCGACGATATGGCGATGGCGAAGCCGCGCTTCTTGGGGCCGAACCACATGGGCACGCTGACCGTGGCCGGGTTGAAGATGAAGCTGGTGCCGATGGAGCTGCACACCCCCTGCGCCAGCACGAACTGGTAGTATTCCTTGCTGATGGAAGCCATCATGAGGCCGAAGACGTGAAGGACGGCGCCGGTTATGAGCAGGTAGGTGGGGCCGAAGCGGTCGAAGAGGAGGCCGACAAAGGGGCCGCAGAATTGCAGGAAGAAGTTTTGGAGCGTGGCGATCCAGCCCACGTCGAGCGACGAGTACGAGCTCAGCGCCACATTTTTGTAGTATTCCTGGAACACGCTCAGGGCGCTGTGTCCGTTAGAAGAGCGCAGTCGAAGCCATGGGCCTGGGGGAGTGCGTACTTGATCCATCCGTAAGAGCAGAAGTAGCATGCGCCGCAGCCCAGAACACAGAGCCAGGCCGTCAGCCCGCCGTCTGGGTGCTGCGGTGCCTGTGGCTCATCCTGGGCAACCTGCGATGACTGCTCCTCCTCCTTCGTCTGTCCGTTTTCGTCCGAGAAATGTTCGTCGCTCATGTTTCGATTTTCTTGGCTCGAGGTGGCTAAAGGATCCCGGTTGGCTCAATGGGAAGGAGGCTTAAAAGTGGCAGCACATCCATGTTCACATCACGGCGTTAACGAACATCTCCGAAGGCAGGGATGGAACACGTGCTCAAATTTCGGAACTGGTTACGTCCGCTCCAAACTCCGAGCGATAATGCATCTAACCGGTTGTTGTCACGGAAGACGTGGCGTGACTTCACCTTGCAGCAGAGTAACCGGCCAAGTACGACGCCCCCACGGAATTCTCTTCGGTAAACCTCTTCAATCACCCTTCATTGTATCCACTCCGAGACAGTTTCAGCAAAGGTGCAGAGACGGAGGGATGAACTTGCGCACACCCACCACAATGTGAAGTTGCATTACACGTGGCCGATATGAGATGATCCAGCCAATAATCAAACTCAGACACAATACCAATCCGCGAAGAAAAAAATATCTGGGAGGGGCGCACTACTGCAAGCAACTTTGGAGATGCATTGGCTAACACTAAGCAAAGTTGGGGACTATCTCTAGCAAAGATGCATACATCTGCCAGCACTTTGGTATTCGGCTAAAGATCACAGTCGAGAAGTCTTTGATTCCGCCTCGTCAGGCCAGAAAGGCTGATACCAGCGGAACCAATTCTCCGGATCGTACTGCTTCTTCAGCGCCCGCAACCTGTTGAGCCTCCACTCATCGTAGCCGTACATGGCCTCAACCGGATCGTTGATGTTGGTGCCGTGCCCATAGTTCGAGTACTGCTGCAGGCGGCCGTAGCCCGAGACGTCGATCAACCTCCTCTTCCAGCCATTGAGCCACTCATTCGACGCGACCTCACGGTCGAGGTTCTTCAGCGAAACCTGCAACAGGCTGTGCCTCTCAGTCAGCATCATGGCACACGGAGGCGGGCTGTGCCACAAATACTCACAGGAAAATATCAGAGCCATGGCGCCACGGGAACGCTGTAGCATTGTCCGGAATCTCCTTGCTCCGCTTGTGCGAAAAGGCCTCGAACATGACGAGGATGCGCGTGTCGTACTTCTGCTCCATCTCCTTGACCTCAGCGTACAACTGCTCCAAGGCGTCGAGATCGAAGCGCTTGGCGCTGACGGCAGAGAAGATCTTGTATGGGTAGACGTTCCACGAGTCTGGGTTGCCCAGGTACTGCTGGTTCAGGCCCTGGTACGCCACCCACGGGAGCTCGTTCCACCCGACCGACTTCAGCGTGGCGGGGACGACGGGCCCGATGGCTTCGAATTTGGAGATGTACTCCTGAGCCTCGTCTTTAGGGCCAGACCACACGGCGTTCAGGATGATGACGCCCTGTCGTCAGCCTGTGTCAGCATTTCCAGGTGCAGTGAAAGGCGATGGAGGAAGCAGCAAGACGCACCTCGGCACCGGAAGCTGCCTTCTTGGACCAGATCAGGAAGCAGGCAAGGTTTGGGTGCATGTCGGAAACCAGTTTGTTCATGACCGTGTACAGATCGCGGACCTTGTCCAGCCCGAACTCGAAGTCCCAGCTGTGGTGGATTCCGCCGTGCGGCTGCGGGTACACCCTGAAGGTAGCCTCGTACACGATGCCGAAGTTGTGGCCCGCGCCGCGCAGCGCCCAGAACAGGTCTTTGTGCTCCTTGTCCGAGACGTTGATGATGGACCCGTCGGCGAGCACCAGTTTGCAAGAGACCATGTTGTCGCTCAGGTAGCCGTATTTACCTTGCAGCCGGCCGATGCCTCCGCCCAGGGCGACGCCGATGAGCCCCGTGGTAGGGCAGGAGCCGATGCCTGCGCGGCTGGTCAGCACATGCGAAGCGGGCGCGTCTTCGTGGATCAGACACTTACCGAGCTCTCGCTTCCTGTCGTGGATGAACTGGGCAAAGTCACCGCTGTAAACGCCACCGCCGGCCGTGACGAGCTCGTTTTCAGCATCGTAGGATAGGTGGTTGATGCATCGCATGTCGACGACAATGCCGTCCTGCAGCTTCTTCATGTAATTGGTCACGCAGTGTCCTCCACTCCTGGCCGTGCAGCCTATTCCACGCATGTGCGAGTAGCGCACCGTGGTTGCCACATCATGCTCGTTGGAGGGATGCACAGCAGCGATGTACGTCTGCGCCGAGGTGAGCACTGGTTCGCCTACAGGGACGTGCGAGAGAGCCATACCGGACGGCCGTACTCGGAAAATCGCGCGTTCGAGTAATGGAATTTCTCGCTTCCAGGCAGATAGATCTTTGCCTCGTCGGAAAGCAGGCGGCTAAGCTCAGCCTGGACCGAGGCAGCCAGATACTGCTTGTTGTTCACGAGTGCTTGGGACATTGCTGGAAGCTGCGGGCAGACGACGAATGATGGGGAATATTTTGCCTGACGGACTCGCCTTGTCCAAACAGCTCTTACTTGGCTTTAAAAAGAGCCCATAAATTTCCGATGCAAGTTGCCGCTCCCCTTCGGATGCGTAGTTGCCCATTTTTTTCATCCGCAGCTGACATTCACGTGATATAAGACACTGCGCAACCGAATTCCGGCCCGGATCGCCGGAATTCGCTATTCTATCCGTTATCACGGCAATTGCGAGCCGCAGTGCTCGGCTCTGGGCCGCTTCACGGTGCAATTGAATGTTCCTTGTCTCGGTATTCCTCACATTTGGAGGCTTGAATTCCGAACAGCCTTCCGTGCGTGGTACTGCATCCAAAGGCGAAGTTACCACGTGCGAATATTCTGGATATTCTCTCGATAGCCAAGTCATGTAGTCCATACAGGCCTACCTGGGAAAGGCTTAAAAGAAAAGAACTCCCGAGTGCTCTCGAAATCATTGAGTGTGACCTTTTGGATCCCCAATATTGTCGTTTCTTTTTTCAACAAGACATAGAATCGTTCCCTGCCGGGCCACCATGGACATTGCCATCATCGGAATCGGGGCGAGGCTTCCTGGAGAGGACTCTACCCCAGAGGGGTTCTGGAACCTGCTTGTGAACGCCCGATCAGCCCTAAGCGAATCCCCAAAGTCTCGCTACAATGCCGAGGCATTCTACCATCCGGACCCAGACAGGGCGGGCTCAGTATGTTACTTCATCTCAGCTATGGATGGCAATTTTGACAGAGGCAGACACCCGCTACGAAAGCCCATTTTCTAAACCAAGACCCCGGCGTCTTCGATCCGCCCTTTTTCTCCATCACGCCGGCAGAAGCCAAAGCCATTGACCCGCAGCAGAGACTACTCTTGGAAGTATCATACGAGGCCTTGGAGAATGGTATGAAAGCTACTTTGTGTCGTTTACTCAAACCTATGCTGATGCTTCACAGCCGGCGTACGTATCTCGGACCTCAAGGGCTCCAAAACGTCGTGCTATGCGGGTAGCTTCACTGGCGACTACCGAGACCTGATGATGCACGACAACGAAGGGCACGGTCTGTACACGGCGACAGGCACACACACCAGTCTGGTCGCCAACCGTGTGTCCTGGTTCTACGACCTGGCCGGCCCGAGCGTCACAATGGACACGGCGTGCTCGGCGAGCTTGACAGCCTTCCACCTCGCCTGCCAAGGCATGCGCAACGGCGAGGCCGACATGGTGAGTCCTCATCACCAGCTTTTTTGCTGATAGGTGCTGACCCGCCAACGCACAGGGTATCGTCGCGGGCACGCACCTGATTCTGGGACCCGACTCCACGCTTCTCCTTAGTGCAGGCCGAATCCTCTCGCCCGAGGGCTCATCCAAAGCGTTCGATGCTCGGGCAGATGGCTACGGCCGCGGCGAAGGTGTCGGCGTCATCGTCATCAAGCCCCTGCACGCGGCGCTGCGGGACGGCGACACGATCCGCGCCGTCGTCTGCGGCTCGGCTGCCAACCACAACGGAAGGACGCCCAGCCCCAGCCAGCCGAGCTCGGATGCCCAGATCGCGCTAATTAACACGGCATACGAGCAGGCGGGCCTCGAGCCCTCGACCTGCGGCTTCGTTGAGGCGCATGGGACGGGCACGGCGGTGGGAGATCCGTTGGAGATGCGGGCGATCGCCGAGACTGTGGGGAAGGACCGCACGACCGACTTGTATGTTGGGTCAGCGAAGACGAACATTGGGCACTTGGAGAGCGCGGCGGGCATGGCAGGGCTGATCAAGTGCATTTTGGTCGTAGAGAAGGGCATCATTCCTCCCAACATCTGGTCAGTTTCCTCCCTTTGTTGCCGTGATTTGGACTAGCTGACATTGCCGCAACAGGTTCGAGAAGCTCAATCCGAGAATGAAGCTTCCCAACCATGTCAAAGTGAGACGAGCAGGCGGGCGCTGATTGACATTCGCGTCACTGACATGCTGCAGATACCAACTGCGGCCGTACCGTGGCCCAACCCCGGCCCCCGCATCGCCAGCGTGAACTCCTTCGGCTTCGGAGGTGCCAATGCGCACGTCATCATCGAGGACGCATACAACTTCCTCCAAGACCGCGGTCTTGCAGGCTTCCACCGAACGGAAATTCATCCAATGCGAGCTGTTTTGGGCGGCATCAATGGCCAGAGAAACGGCACCAACGGCCACACTAACGGCGTCAACGGCTCAGCAAGCAGCGAGCAGCCGCGCCCGCAACTGCTCCTTCTCTCCGCCCAAGACAAGCAAGGACCGGCGCGTCTCGGCGCCCAACTGTCATCCTACCTGGCCGCCGCTTCGTCTTCTTCTTCTTCCTCCTCACACCTCCTCTTCTCATTCGCCCACACCCTCTCCCGCCACCGCACCCCCCTGCTCTGGAAATCCTTCCTCGTGGCTCCCTCGCTCCCCGCGGCCATCAACGGCCTTTCCTCGCCCTCCTCCCTCAGCCCAGTGACGCGCTCTTCCCGCCGCCCCCGCCTCGCCTTCATCTTCACAGGCCAGGGCGCGCAATGGCCGACCATGGGCCGCGAACTCTTCATGCTCTACCCTGCCTTCCGCGAGTCTATGGCGGCGTGTCAAGCGACGCTGCACTCGCTTGGATGCCCGTGGGACGTCCGCGAGGAGCTGTTCCGTGAGGCGGCGTCGTCGCGGGTCAACGACGCCCAACTCAGCCAGCCGCTGTGCGTGGCGCTGCAGATCGCACTGGTCGACCTGCTGCGCGGGCTCGGCGTGCGGCCGGCCGCCGTGGTGGGCCACTCGAGCGGCGAAATGGGCGCCGCATATGGCGCTGGGCTGATCTCGCGCGCGGCGGCCACGGCGTTGGCGTGGTGGCGTGGCGTGTGTGCCGCCCAGGTCGAGCGCGCTGCCGATCTGGACGGCACCATGCTAGCCGTCAGGGCCGGCGGCGACGCGGTGCGGCCGCGCCTCGAGGGACTGGCGCGCGGCAAGGCCGTCGTGGGCTGTTTTAACAGCCCGCGCAATTGCACCGTCTCGGGCGATAGGGCGGCGCTGGAGGAGCTGAGGGCTGTGCTGGAAAAGGACGATGTGGGCTCGACACCGCTGAAGGTGGGCGTGGCGTATCATTCGTGGCACATGCGCAGGATTGAAAAGGAGTACAGGGCAGCTATTGCCGAGAAAGCTCTGGAAAAGACCACTGCGGCGGCCGATGTTCCGTTCTTCTCGTCGGTGACGGGGAGGCTGTTGCCGCCGGAGGAGTTGGGCCCCGGGTATTGGGTCGAGAACCTGGTGTCGGCGGTCAACTTCACTGGAGCCGTGCAGAGCATGATCAGAAGCACTCAGAACGGCGCTGGTGGGGCGGCCTTCATCGACGCCTTCGTCGAGGTCGGGCCGCACTCTGCCTTGAGGACCTACCTCAAGGAGATCTGCGACGGGGAGAGTACGCCGGTGAAGATGCCCTACTCGACCATCCTGCGCCGCAACACCAACGCTGCTGAGTCGCTCCTGGCCGCAGCCGGCGAGCTGTGGTGTTTGGGCGCAGACGTGGACATTGACCGTGTCAACGGGACAGAGCAGGGAGCCAGGATGCTGACTGACCTGCCGCCGTATCCTTTCAACCACTCGTCCAGTTATTGGACTGAGTCTGCCATAACCAGGCAGTACCGATTCCGTCAGCAGCCGAGGACTGACCATCTTGGTATGCCCTTTGCCGGCTCAGTGACGCCGCAGTGGAGGAATTTCCTCAAACTGCGCGAGAACCCGTGGTTGAGTCATCGAAAGGTACGCAGCAGTCTTCACTGCAGGGGCAGATAGAGACTAACGCGCCCATGCAGATCAACTCGGAAATCGTGTATCCGAGTGCCGGGCTGGTGGTCATGGGTAAGTAAAAACGCATGTGCGACATGTTGGAGCAGTCAAGACTAAAACACCAAGCAGCCATAGAAGCAATCAAGCAGCTTGCCGACCCCAGCAAGCAAATCTCGGCCTTTGAGCTGCGCGACCTGACGTTTGGCGACCAGCTGCGCATTCTCGACGAGGAACGTAGCACAGAGGTCATGACGCAGGTGAAGCAGCCAACCACTAGGCCGTGGGCCGATTTCACCATCGTCTCGCGCTCTGCAGACGGCAACTGGAGTCCTCCGCACTGCCAGGGCAAGGTACGTGCCATTTACAAGAGCCAGGAAACGGCCGCGGTGCAAACGGAGCTCCGGTGGGACCAGAAGAAGATCGTGGAGCTCTACAACAAGGCGGTCGTCGACTGCGGCAGGCCGGAGCAAGCTTTCTACGAGACGCTTGAGGCCGCAGGTTGCGAGTACGGACCAAGCTTCCGCAACCTGAGCAGCCTTTGTCTGGGAGATAGGGCTGGACGCGCCGTAGCACGAGTGCCCAACACCAAGAGCCTCATGCCGTACGGCTTCGAGTATCCGGCCGTCATCCACCCCGCGACGCTGGACACGGTCCTACAGATGATTTTCCCTGCCCTGACCGAGTCCGGAGCCGTGCTGAATACCTCTACAGCACCACCCGTGGCGCTCGAGCGACTCTACCTCTCGGCCGACGTTGCGTTCAAGCCAGGCACCGAGTTCGACGTCTTTTCCAAAGGCGAACAGCCGAGCCTCGGCACGCAGCAGATGTCCGTGTACGCACTGCAGTCATTTTCACCCGCACCGGCCGTCATCATCGAAGGCCTGCGTGTCAGCGGCGCGGTGGAAGCCGCCAGCGGTCCACCGACGCTCTGCTTCAACACGGCCTGGCGCCAGGACGTCGACGTGCTTAGCCAGGAGCAAGTCGCCGACGCCATCTTCTCGCGGGCCGAGCCCGACCCGTTTGACAGCGAGCACTACGCCATGCTGGACATGGTCGCGCTGACGTACATTCAAGACGCGGTCGACTGGCTAGCCAAAAACAAGGACAAGCTGCACGCCGCCGAGTTCCTTAAGCTCTTCGCAGAGTGGATGGTGGACAAGCTGCGCGAGAACGCCACGCTGGTGGCCGACCCG